CCCTAACCCTAACCCTAACCCTAAGATATTATCGATACTTAAAGTATCGAGGCCCTAGCTATATAGAAACTAGAAGCGAGATATTAGTATAAGAATAGTATACGGTTCGGTATAAAAGAGTACTTATAATCTTACTAACCTCTACTAAGGCTAAAAGGCTATAGCGTATACTCTATATCTATAGAAGTAGAGTAGGATTACTACTAGCCGCTACCGAAGCAACGCTACCTGGCTTACGAGGCGAGGCGACGTTACCTACGGTAAGGCTACGATTATAGTTAAAGGTCCTAAGGGTAGCGGTTAGGGAGGCGTAAGCCTCCTAGGCGGCCTAGGCGGCGGCGGCGCGGGCACTAACTGTAGTAGCCTCGTCTAGTATAATTGCCGTATACGTAGCGTAGGCGTAGACGGTAGTATTAAGGTAGAGAAAAAGGGGCGCCTCTACCCTAACGTAGACGTAGCGGGCGCGGACGTACCTCGGATACTTCTTCTTAAAGGTACCAAAGGTACTACTATAGAGATTAACGGCTATTACTATATTAGTACTAGCTCCCCTTACGGCGTATACGCTAAGCGTATACGCCGCTTAGTCGATACTTACTATCGACGTCGTTATTAAGGTATAGAATATACCTATTATAAATATTAATAAGAGGGCTAACCTCTCTCGCCTTACGAGGGGTAGCGGGGGGTATAGAGGTAGCTATAACTTATAAGGCGTAGGCGGTACGGTAGTAGTAGTACTAGAGGCCGGAGGCGGTACGGCTATAGTACGCTTAATAGTACTATAGTTATAATTATAATTATAATTATAGTTATAGTTATAGTTATATTAATATTTATAAAGAATAAGAAAGAGAAAAATATATTAATAAATACTCGATACGTATACGAATCGTACGATAACTATAAATAAGGTAAGAACGTAACGTACGTCGGTCGTACCTACTATCTACGAATTCCTAAGTAAATACTATATAAACCCTAACGATTACTATTTATATACTACTAATAAGTATAAATAAAGCAAGCGCGACGTATACGCTACGCTATCTCTACTTATAGGTACGACCTAAAAGGGTTGTTAATATATAAATAGACTAGGATAGTCTACCCTAGGGAAGGGGTAGTTATTATAGGAGGACAACGATTAGCCTAGCACGTAAGGAATTACGTAAGACTTAGCGTTTAGCGTACTTATATACTACGCTACGTAGGCTTCTCGCCTATAAGGAAGTAGTAATTAGCGCTAGCCTTAACTAGTATTAGTTAAGCCGCGCCCTATACGCTACGAGATATTCTTTTTAGATACTACTATATTAGCGACGGTATAGAACTAAATATTAGGCTATAGCCTTATATTATAATTATACGTAAAATAACTATTATATATAGCGAGGCGGAGGTTATACTTTCGAACGTTAGATTTCTATAAGGTCTTTATGTAAAAATACTAATAGCTCTCTTAGTACGTAGCTATAATTAATAAGACTACTACTATAAGTAATAGAAGTATAGATATACGTTTCTATAATATTATCTAGTCTTATAGAGGTCTATAGTCGTCGTAGTCGTTATTATAGAAATTAAATATTTTAGTCGTAAAGTCGACGTTCTAAAATAGAAAAGAGGTCGCATTTAGAGCCTTATAGATAGCTTAAGTAATAACTATAATAGCTATAAGGCTTTAAAGGACTAGATAATATTATAAGAACGTAGACCTATACTCCTATTACTTATATTAGTAGTTTTTATTAATTATAGCTACGTACTAAAAGAGCTATCGGTATTTCTAGATTCTAATATTCTAGTCGAAAGTACGACCTCCGCCTCGCCGCATACGATAGTTATTTTGCGCACAATTGTATTATCCTCGATCCGGGCGAGTCTCTACGACTCGCAGATGAGCGCGTTCGACTGATCTTGCTAGATTTCGTGGGCTTGAGCAATCAAAATCGTAACAGCGGGACGCATAACATTCGTACTGGAGGACGTGATGTGTCGTATCCGCATGTCAGTATGACTTGACCATATCTTCGAAATACGCTGTCCACGGATAGATTCACAAAATCTACGCAAGTTTCTTGGCAATCAACAAGAGTACACTCTCGGCACAGTAAGTCCCCGTGCCGTGGCCACTGAATGACGAGGGACCAAGATCAGTATCACATAGGTTTTGATACCAGTACCAACGAATATATGCAATCCTCCGACAAGTTACGGACACAGTGCATCTTGTGTCGAGAGTACATCTTGCTTGGGAGCAACTACAAGTTTGGACACTGCAATATCCACCATGATGCATGGCTCAACTTTATGGGAAGAATGGCTGACAGTGTTTTCCTCCTAGCCCCAGCACCACGGATACACCTACGACTCGTCATGAAGCTATTCATCGACTGTCTAAAGTCTCCTCGAGCTCATGACAGTATCGATGTACGTTCTAACAGCTCTCTGGCCGTAGGCCTCCTCGCGAATTCGAAGCGGACACACTTCCCCACCTCGTAGTTCAGACTGCTGCTATATGCCCTGCCACAAGAATTTCCATCCGTCATCAAGGCTCTATTAGGCATTCTCATCAGTCGACAGAGCGTATGTATCATGGCGCCCAGCTGCCAAATATCTGTCTCTGCTCCATAACGAGTGCAGCCCCGGCCTGCGATCTGCGGAAGACCTTCTGGTGGGTACCAGTCAGGTGTCCCGCAGTCTTGGATTCGAGGGTGCTCCATGCCTGAGCGAACACTGGACTCCGCAACGGAGCAGCCGAAGTCCCCGAGAACGACTCTCGGAAGTGAGCCTGGAATGTGTGCGGACGAGAGAAAGACGTTGCAAGGCTTGATGTCGAGATGCCAAATCATGTCCCAGCGTCGACCCGGACGATCACCTGGGGCAGATATGCCATGGTGAAGGAAAGCAAGGGCTTGTGCCATCGAGAGGAAAGTGTGCCAAATAAGCCTTTCCTCGAACTTACTGTCACGATTGATCTTGTCCTTCAGCTTCTGCTCAAGACTGCCTTGGTCGCAGAACTCAAGAATAATCGACATATGCGGGGGCTGGTCGAGGCTAGTGATGATCTGATTGAGGTTAGGTGCACCGCGGACAGTTCGAAGAGCGTGGATCTCAGCTTTCACTCTCTTGTAAGTCATGGAGTTCCCGTTCACGCCAATACGCTTCTCAACGTATGGCTGCCGACTCCGGTTGTCTTCGACGACGTTCACAGCGTCGCTCATTCCACCAGGACCAAGAGATCTGACGAAGGTGTAGCCGGGTACTGAGCAGCGGCCAACTTGATGACGCTCGGGTGCCCTCCTAAGACCACGGTCCTGCCCACCGAATTGAGCGTCGACAAGGTCAGCCGGGAAGCCTTCACGTTTTGGCACTCGATCACGTCTGTAGTCATGATGTTTCGGTTCGACGGACTGGCGCCAAGGATGCTCGCGTTGTCGTATGCTTGGAATGCGAGGTCGCCATTCGAAAAGCGATGGACGTCGTCCATTGTCTTCTTGCCGATAGTCAGGTCGACGTTCCTCGTAGATTGGCAGCCGAGATTGTTGCTGGAAGGGCTGCTGAGCGTAGGATTGGCGTCGCGGTGATCGATACCCCTGTAGACGTGTCGCTCGTCTATCGTCGATACGGATTGCATCGAAGGCCCGTGCTAGACTATAGCGTCTGTCCACTCGTGCCCGACTATATTCTCCAGGAGTATACTGTGCCGCGAAGGAGTCACGACGAGGGCCCAGGACGGACTCAAAGTATGAAACCATGGTTTCGACTGGCTCGATCTTTTTTAGTAACGTTAACGGTCTTGGAAAAGCTGGCAAAGGTGGGATAGATGATCTGGTAGTGTCATCGAACATACTCCTGATGCTGAGGTGAGGTTGGAGAGATTCACTATGCGATAATGACCCAGCTTTTTAAAGCTCCCAGACGGTTCTGCAAGCAAAGTGTCTGGAAATATGCCCCCCGAGACTACCCGAGTGAATTCGTGCCTGCGTCTGGACTATAGGTGAATTTGCCATCATTCACCAAGGAACAGTTCAGAAAGCCATGGAAGACGTGGTCTGAAGCCCCAGGAGAGTGGTCGAGCAGGAGACTGCATTTCTTGACAGCCATGACCCTGATCGCGTCGCACTTTGGTTCCGGCATGTCCGTCTGATCCGGCGGAGGAGAGATATACTGAAGTCAAAGAATGCTGCTTCTTTGTGTTGAGATATGGCCATGGAGAAAGGGTAAGCTGGAAGGGAGTAATATAAGTTTGACCAGAGTCTGCTAATCGGAGGAGGAGGATGAATTGGTTACAAGATACGAAGTAGTCTCGTCTGGTCTACGAAACCAAATCGATAGCCACAGAGCGCTATCCCACGAGGCACAGACGATTCTAACTAAAGACAAAGAGAAGAACAAAGCGGACTGTGAGACTCATCGTCGCCGGTGGAACATGCAGTTGCATGAAAAGGTTTGCACGAGCAAGACCTGTTTGATCTAGGATGCAGAGCGTTAGCTGCTGTCGTCTGCAACTTTGTCAGAAGGTCTCTAGAATCATGCAACTACGACATGGGACTGGGATTTCGAACGCTACATCAGTCGTTCCAGATGTCCACATTGTGATCGTGAACTCCAACCATGTCTCCAAAGTGGATTGCACAAAGGCATTGTGTGGAGATATGACCCAGAATTTTTGAGCTCACAATTCAAGTCTTGCCATTGTACACCACCATAGCTTCCTCTATATCAAAAGAACTGCATGCCTGCCAAAGCTTTCCAGAACTGAACAGCGACTAGGCCTTCTTTATGATCACTCAGAACACCTTGTCATACCTTCGTCCTGACTTGGGGGGGCAATCTTGGCCATGACAACAATGAAATTGAGATATGGCAAGAATTTTGGTGTGCACTAAGTACAACTATCTGAATTTCATGTAAAGCCACAAAAACGCCTGATCTTCAAGAACGCCATAAATCCCAAAGGAATCCACGTGAATTTCAGGGGGTAAGGTCCCGAGGAGCAGCATATGGCCTACCACCCGTCCATGTGCTCAACCAGCTCCAAAATGCTATCGTACATTCCACTCAAGCTCAACGTCCCTGCCCTCATTGTCTAGCCATCAAGTCTCTGACAGTACCCCCGCCTCGCGCCTCAATGGCACTACTGATAGCCCCCATCCTCGTGAGCCCTCCGAGCCTGTGCAACATGCTAGTTGCGGCGACGATCCTCGCCGCGACGGGTATAGCTATCCTCACCACCTTGAGGCTGTTGACGGGGAGGATAACGCTCCTCATAGATGGGCTGCAGAGGTTGCACTTGTTGACGATACCCCTGCTGTGGCGTGCGATCCTGATCGTACTGCAACTGACGGCGAGTTGGGCGGTCGTTGACGTTGTCGCACTGAGTGCGCTGCTCGGCGCGGCGGCTTTGCGGGGCTGGCGCCTTTTGACGACAGTCGTCGCGATAGCGGCTCTGAGCCGGCTGGTTGTTGACAGGGGCCTGCTGGTCACGGGCCTGGCGGGGGTAGTCAGAATACACAGTCTGACGGGCTGCCTCGCGGCGCTGAGTCTGACGGACGAGCTCTCTGCCCTGAACCTCCGTGCCGGGGCGCTCCCTACGAGAAGTGCGTTGGGTCTGCTCGCGTCTGCTCCGGCCAGCGTCCCTCACCTCGCCCTGGACATACCCGCTACCATTGACTTCGCAAGCGCTGGATGTAGCTCGGCGACCCTCGGTGGACTGGCGCTGAGCTGGAGCCGGCAACGTGACAGGGACGGGAATGTAGACAGGGACTGCGACGGCCACCGGCACACGCACCGGCATTATGCGAGCGTAGGGATTTAGACGTGGGCCGAAGACCGGATCGAAGTAAGGGTTGTAAGGCATGGTCTCGGCTGATTTAGATCTTGGTAGGCGAGTTGCTGAAGACAAGTCGGGGATTTGAAGACCTTGTTGGTATGGTATTGATCGTAGGACTGATGAATGGTCTTGGCTTTGGTTGAGATCGTCAATAGACTTGATTGATGATCAGTGGTTGAGTTGCAAGGTATCAGTCTGGTGATTGGTGGGTGAGTTGAATTCTTGTAGTTCGTTGGTAGATGATGATAGAAGAAGAGCAAGCCCAAGCCCGTAGAGAGCCTTGCTTATATCCTTTGCGCACAGTCGGTTCGCCGTTGTGTTTCGCGCCTCTTTTCGGAGCCTGTCGTGTCTCGAAAGCTCGAATGCAAGTGACATCCAGTCTCTAGATCCCCTGGCGCCAATTCACAAGGGACCCGCAGAGCATGTCGACTATTCACGTACTGTGTGGCATGGAACCCACCTCGAAAGACTCGGCTTTTTGCAGACTTGCTTTCCGAGTTGCCCGTGTTTTGAGAAAGGACAATTCATAGTCCTTGATCGAGAGATCCGAGGACAGCAAAGGAGGCTATTGTTGCCCTGTAATGAAGAATTCGGACTATAGAAGATCTGCAAAGTTGGTGGACGTGTATATACCGAATGAAGTCGGATGGACGAAGAACAACGAGACCACCGAGACCACCCGACCATGGCTGCACGGCGCAATATAATGTCGTACTAGCCGATAGCCAGCGAGCCATGCACGACATGCATAAACTTGAAGATCAAGCAAACCGACGGCAAGGACAAAGAGAAACATGAGACTCACCTGCGTCGGGTATGCATCCATCACGGAGCCAGATGGGGACCAGAACCAGCATGAGAGTGCCCGACCGTATTGTAATTATCGACCATCCTCAGGCAGTCCCCAGCGGCCTGGATCTCCCTCTTACATTAAGCAGCGGAACCGAGTCTTTCGAATAGAGCACGCGGACGTCCAGGCATTCCGGCAAGGTCGATATCTAGCACAAAGCCATTGCTGCCGGGAGGGAGAGTCTTTATGATTGCCGAGTTGAATGCGAAAAGACAGCCGTGATCGCCACGCCTGGTGCATGTAGGGCGGTAATGTAGAATGCTTCATCATATCATCAACCTACTTCTACTCCCCTCGCCGCACCCCTCTGCGGCACAACCCAATAGCACGACGCCCGAAGAAAAGCGCTGTCTAGACATACTGACTCAACCACCGAATACCCTCACCATACCCCTGCCTCATAACAACCGAACACATGAAGATCTCAATTGGTCGGATGCCATCGAGGGGGACTTTGCCCTTGCCAGCTACACTGTTCGTCAGTATACCATTCAATCAGGGCCGATGATATGTGAATTGATCTTACTAGTCTGATACAAGCCCAACTCATGCCTCAACTGCTCCTCACTAACAGCATTAGGATGATCGATTTTATTCCCCAGCACCAAAAACGGCGTCTTCTGCAGATCCTCCATACTCAACAGCGCATCCAATTCCACCTTGCTCTCCTGGAACCTCTCCGGGTCTTTAGCGTCGACAAGAAAGACGATGCCGCTGACCTCGGGGAAATAGTCCTTCCACAGCCGTCGGGCTTGCTGATGGCCGCCAAGGTCGAAGGTGGTGAAGCGCACGGAGCCGATGGAGAGTTCTTCGCTGGTGGGGTGGAGGGTGGGTTGGAGGATGGCTACGCGGTCGTTTTTGAGCATGTGAAGGAGCTGATCAAATATCATTATTAGTATTGAGGTGGGTGAGAGGGGGGATGACGGGTGTATGTACGGTGGTCTTTCCGGCATTATCGAGACCGAGGAAGAGGAGCTTGGCATGTTTGTTTGCCAGGCCTAGATTGGCGAGGACGTCCCAGACTATTCATAAATCACCATATCAGTATATGTTCATCTCACTCGCACCTTCCTCTTGCTTGCCGACGTACACCAGTCGATAATCCACATCTTGTTCGCTGTCGAGGAGGTGTGCCTTTGATGTGAGAGAAGAGTACTGCCTGGAGTATGGGAGAAGTGGCGAGGACTATATGAGATCTCGTGTGTGGCCTCTTCTTTGCTGGTGTCGGCGGAATGCACCTGCTCACTCCTACAAGCTTCTCAGGGTCCAAGACCTGATAACCTCAGGCACCGCATTTTGACAGCTGTTCGCGAACGCGACTACACGTGAACAACTGGCAGCAAGCAATTGACAAACCCAAGACGGAAGGCACAGAGCGCAGAGCAATGGCGTCACAAGGATCGGTAGCTCATGAAGGCTCAGTGAAGTTGAGAAGCATGCGCTCATGATATTCTAGCTCGACAAACTAGTAGGCGCAGGCATGCTCGTCTTAGCCACAGCCGTATTCCTCTATTACACAATCTGGACCCTCCTCCTAGTACGTTCCAGTAGCATGTTCTTTGCCATCTCCTACTGATTACGTCATAGCCCTTCGTCGACGACTCGCACCCCGTCCAAGTGCTCTTCCCTCCTCGAGTCTGGGCAATCCGAATCCCCGTGATCCTGGTTCTCCTCGGCGGCGCAGTCGTGGGCAGCTTTCTCAGCGTCGTCATGATCAGGAGTAATCGGAAGAAGGCAATGAAAGCGAAGCAGGCGGGGAAGTCGAAATAAGCATAGACATGAGACCACCATCCGCAAAGAACTGGGCGCGAAAAGGGGAAGGCACGACCAAACAGTAGCCACGCGATGTCCCGATCCAGCAAGAGCGAGCCATGACCGTTCTCGGACTATCCGGGCTGCACATTGCGAGGTCATACCCAAAAATTAGTCGACGCGGAAGAGAAGCTTCAGTGGGCAGAAGCTGCACGATTCCAAGCGTAGGCGTCACGGATATTTCATGGTACACTTATGTACTTATCTTTCATCAACCATAGATTCATGGACGTCATGTCTCGTGTGGCGTCTACATGCTGGAAGTCTGGCAGACTCGGCCAGGGTCCCATATCACTTCACACCTCACCCTCCTTGTATCCCAAACAACATCTGCAACAACTGCGCCTGAGGAATGGTAATATAGTTATCCTGATTCCCACCCCCTCGCCTCTCAACATCATTGGCGTTCATGATCCGATAGGCATCATGCATGCGCTTCCTACTCGCCAAGCCTGTGGGAGCCACATACGCTTCACCCTCCTCGGAATCCGAGATCATGGCATCCGTCGCTGCTGAAGAGGCTTGCGCTGGCTCAGACGTCACCGTACTCGCCTGTTCGCCGTTGCTAGGACGAGTTGACCTTCGCCTCCCGCTCATGCGGTGCGGAAATGCAAGCGATGAGAATTGGCTGGCATCGCTAGCTGTCACACCATCGCCCAACCTCGCCTTCGCCCGTGCGCGAGAGTCGGCAGAGAAAATCTTGATAGTATGATCAATTCCGCTGACGGCCATCATCGTCTCATACGGATGCCCTTGCACCACATTCACCACCTCGCCATCTCCCTCGCCCACATAAAGCAACTCTGCGGTCTGTCGATCCCAGATAAAGAAGTTTCCATCATCGCTTCCGGAGACTACGTATTGGTCTTCGGGACCAAAGAAGTTCACATCTTTCACTGTGCGAGTATTGTTGTGGCCGGTGTACTTGCGTGTCGAGGGGTTACAGGGAGTATGAGGCTGGACCTTTTCCTTGTCGCGGCGGCGGGAGAAAGCGGAGGTATACATGAAGCGTGGGAAACCGTGGCGGCGCGCATTGGGGACGTCGTCTTCTTCATCCGGCTCTGAAGATTCACTGTCTTCGGAGTCGGAGGCGGATTCGAAGGCTGCTTCATCACCGTCCATTATTATGTCTTCCATGTCCTCTTCGTTCAGCTCCATGGTCTCTTCATCCTCCTCCCGCGCTTCGGCCATGGCAGCTGCCATATCATCTGCATTTGCGCCATTTGCAGCCTCCCCATCTTCATTCAGCAATTCCATATCATCCAAGACAGCATCATCATCTTCGTCTCCCTCCTCCTCCCGTTCAGCATCTTGCTGCTGGCTACCTGTAAGACTGACACCACCGAACGCACGATCTACACGAACCTCGTCTAGCCTTTCCGATATGCTCAGCAGAAGGCTCCTCGCTACCTTACCCAACCAGAACTGTCTTGTTGTACTTCGATCCTGCGCGTCACCTGCGTGCTCATAAGTTGCTGCAAGGGAGGACAAGTCCGCGAAGGGCACCCTGACCACCTTCTGGAACTCCCTGACTGCCTGCTTTTCACTGAGCAACAGACGTCGATTCTCCTCCAACTCGAATTGATTCTTCGTGGGGTCAAGAACGGCAGCATCCTCGTTGGCTGATCTCAGAAGATACGGAATCAGAAAGTCGTCTATCGCTTCCGTCGTGGCCTCTGACTTAGGGATCGGTAATCGCTGTGCACCCTTCACATCTGGGGGCATCTCCGCCGGTCGGGTAAAGCCTTCAATCAACCGTCCGACCCCGCTTTCGAGGAAAAGGAGGATGGCTTTTGTGAAGTCGAAAGCCAGGATTTCCTCACGTAGTGGTTGGAGCTCGCTGCTTCTAGCTTCAATCGACAGGAAGTTTGATAGCAGAGGACTTTCCTGATTGTGTGAGAGTGTCTGGAGCTTACCACCTAGTGCTCGTGAGATAGTACCTGCTGCTTGCACAAAGCGCCGTGTGCTTTCACGATCTCGACGGAGTTGTTGCTGGATCTGGACTTGTGATGCAGAGGGCTCTAAAGGATAGCCCCATTCCCGTATGCTGTCGTCTAGCTCGTCCATTATGCTAGCTGCGAGGCTTAAAGCTGAGGTGAAGTCTGTGACTGATGGCGATGTAGTAAGAAGAGATTGGCGGATTGACGTCGTGGCTTTGGCTATGCGGGATGCTGTTTGTTGCTTTTCGGTCAATGACTGTCGGCGGGTCGTGATTGGGATGTCCTCGGTTTGGCCGTTCCGGTAGCGTACTCGAAGGGCTGATGCTGCCTGGTGATCTTGTTCGGCGTTTGTTTTGCGCTTCCTCTTCCGATCCGTGGGTGTCTTCGCTCTCCTTCTCTCACTCGCCACCAGATCTACCATCGTCTGCGCAGTCTCCTCGCCAACATTAGGACTCCTTATCAGATCGAAACTGTAGATCTGATCGCCGCTCCAACTCACCACCATCTCATCCGGCCTCGCATCACTGATCTTGCAAGCCGTGATGTGCCCATTCTCTGTCCGCTTCATCCTCTGCTGTCCAGTTGGGGCGAATTTGCGCACACACTGTGTAGCTTGCGACATCAGCTCGCCTTCTTCTCTCGAAGATGATGACGATCTGCCTGCCTCTCTCAGTCGATCTCGTCCAGTCATCCGACGGTCATGGAGAAAGCAATGCAGGTGTGCTCCTCCTAGGGCTATGTAATGTGGTTGTGATGGCGAGCAGGAGATGGTATTCAAGTCCAGCCCGTATCTTTTGTACGAGATTAGTGGAGGAGGAACACCTCTATCACCATGCAGTCTACTGCTCGGTGCTGGGTAGGCTGAAGATGGTTGCCGTAGATCCCACTGCCTCACTTCGCCGTCCTCTGAGCATGTCAGGAATAAGTTCGGGGATGATTCTGTGACTATCCTCTTCACGCGATCGCCATGACTTCGATATACCCTCGCGTCGGTATCGCCGTCACTCATATATCTTACTCCAGAATAGACCCGGTTCCTGCCTCGCCGTCTCCCTTCGCTAGCGAACGAGCTTGCCGCACTGGCTTCTGTAGTGTGACCGCCGTGCTCCAGATCAAACACCCTCACTTCACCATCCCCGGCTGCCGTGACCACCATGCGATCTCCGTGTCCCGGCATGAACTTGACGCTGAAGATGTTCTGCGTGTGGCCTGTGGCCACGGTAGCCGTGAGTTTGAATTGGTCATTGCTGTCGTCGGGTTGGTAGGAGTGGATGTTGAGATGTTGATCGTCGCTGCCCGATGCCAGGAGGTTGCCTGTTCGGGACCATGACAAAGCGTTGACACATCCCGAGTGGCCGCCGAGCTCGTTGACGATGTCGAGGTCGGAGATAAGCGAGCGGGTGCCGTAGAGGCGGCGGTGGGAGTAGCGCGGGGACGTGAGCTCGCGGTGATGGAGGGAGTTGTGGAGCGAGTCCTTCATCGTGCTTGCTGTTGTCAATAATAGTCGCGTGTCATCATTGAATATGGAAGGTGGGGTAGGAGAGGTGAGGTGAGGTCGGATGAGATGAGGTGGAGCTCCAACCTTGACCTTGACGCGCTCGCTTGCCCGGCCGCGTGCCTTCCCTATCACGACCACGTCAAAACTAACGACACTGTGGCTTCACCTCGGCTCTGCATGTGTGTGAGGGTCTCGCCACAGACGCGAAGACTTGGATGAAGAGCATCAGATCGACGTCGTACAGATACGATGTCGACGTCGCGTTTATTTCACCACCGCCACCAAAGGCCCAAGCTCGACCGATGTCCACATCCTCATGAACACCCTGCACAGACATGGTCGATATGAGCGGTAGCAAGGCCTGAAGAGAATATGATCTAGCTGGCTCTATAATATGGAACGTTTTGACGCTGCAAAGAATGGCGTCTTGAACCCATATGCTTGGTGGTATTCATGAGTTCGACAACGATGCATCAGGCACTACGCTATATTCGAAGGATGCGTGATTTCGCCCCCACGTTTCATCCCTGAAGGGTTTGCGAGCATTACAGCCCCAGCGCTAAGCCTGATAGATCATGTCAATACATGTATCGGTATAAAGTCAAGGCCTGGACGTGTCTGAGACCTTCAACAATCGCTGGAATATGCTGCCCTGGACACACCTCCAAACTGGCACAATATGGAACTTCGGAACCTGAAAGCGCGAAGTGAAGCCCATCAAGCACTCATTCGCACTATCGACGTCAGTCCAGATCGTGCTTGCGAGTCGATATCGCCAGAACCTCGCAGCAAATGGAAGACCACTGTATCCATCGGGGCCGCTCTAGCTACCGTGGTGCTGGCTACCAACATTGCAATTCTTGCCTGGGTTAGAAGCTCTGCCATCAATCAAGATGGCGTGGCTACGGTCTTTGAGGGTAAGCTTTGCAGCGCCCCTGACACATGCTACACTGCTAATCATCGACAGGCTCCTGCGACGTCACGGAGAAGGCTGTCACTGGCGCGCATCTGGCTATCAACGTCCTCAGTACGCTCTTACTAGGCGCGAGCAATCATAATGCGCAGCTTTTATCTGCACCCACTAGGCAGGACCTCGACCGCCAACATGCCCGTGGGTCATGGCTCGACGTCGGTGTGTCGAGTGTCCGGAATCTTCGACACACTCCAAGGTGGCGCACGGTAATCTGGGCGACCCTCCTCATGAGTACCATACCGCTCCACCTCCTGTACGTACCCACCTCGCAATGACGATGAGCGGTAGAGCTCACCAGACGTAGATACAACTCCGTAGTCTTCACCACCCGCTCCGCTGTCAATTACCAAGCCGCTCTCGTCACCAAAGACTTTCTCACAGGTGGCTGGTGGAGTACCTACACTGCTGCGAGTGTCCAATTCTTCGAGACGCCACAACTCATTCAAACCCAGAAGAATGCCGAAAACCTCATTCGTCTCGACCCAGCTACTTGTCTCAAAGTCTATGGAAGCTCCATGTACGAAACACAGTGGCGGAATCTGCTGGTCATCACCTCTCTTCCAAGCACGAACAGCAGTCTTCTCCACGTATACACGCATCAAGTCGGCGATCCAGATAACGATATTGCATGGGTCTGCCATGGAGACATCCACAACTTTGATTCGCCGACACACTCGGCTTGTAGTCCCGGCTTCCTCCGCGCAGCTGGTGGGTCGTGGTCGATTCCCAGTGTTACCGCTTGTCCTATCGATTACTCGGGAGGTGGCTGGCAGAATGTCTTCAACGGCTCAGATGTATGTGAGGACGAGAACAGGAGGCTGATCAAGTACGATGCGCCGGTGGAGTACTGTCTTGCGGAACCATTCCAGCCGCATTGCACGGTCGGTATCAGTACCGACCTACTCATAACGGTGGTTGTCTGCAATATACTGAAGGTTATATGTATGCTTGCTACGCTTGGCGCCCGCGACTTCAGGCCACTAGCTACCGTTGGTGATGCTATTGCTTCATTTCTGGAAAGACCTGATCGAGCGACTTCTGGGAAAGGTGCTCTCGAGGTCGGAGCTGTTAGCTCGGGTGTATGGCGGGAGCTGGACAGATATGCACCGCTACCTTGGACAAGAAATAAGAGACGGTGGTGGTATGCTATACCACGGATACAGCTGAATCTGATATTCTTATGGTAATTCTACAAATGTGTTGAATCACATAAAGCAAAGCTGATGATCTCTGCAGCTTCTTCCTTGGCTGGCTCGCAGCTATCATTGCTCTCGTCAAGAGCGTGAATTCCACCAGCTCCTTTTCCACCTTCGGCGCCATCGATACGACTAACATCGTCACCAGCAGTCTCAACGCTAGTCTGGTTGCTAATGTTGTGCTAGCCAATACTCCTCAATTGCTCATCAGCTTCATCTATGTCTTCTACAACGATGCCTTCACGCGGATGCTCATGAGTCATGAATACTCGCAATTCGCTACTACTCGAAAGAGTCTGCGAGTTACGAGGCCACGTGGCCAGCAGCGATCGACATACTGGTTGCAGCTACCCTTTCGGTACATCGTCCCCATGATGTCGCTGATGGTCCTCCTGCACTGGCTTGTCTCACGAAGTCTCTTCTTGGTCCGCATCCGCGTGTATGATATTGCTGGTCTCCGCGCTCCAGACCAAGACATCTATGGTTGCGGCTTCTCACCGCTGGCTATCTTGCTGGCGCTTTGTGTGGGAACGATTTTGATTGTGGTACTCGTGGTGTTGGGACGTTGGAGGTCCATTGAGGCTGGTATGCCAGCGGCGACCTCTTGCTCTGTAGCTATTAGTGCTGCGGCACATCCGGCGGAGGACGAGGGTGAGGATGTCGCGCTATTGCCGCTACAATATGGTGTGGTTTCTGGAACAGCGTCTTATGGCGACGTTTCGCTCATGAGCACTCATGGACACGGCGCTCGCAGATCCAAAGCTGGTACTGGACGACGGCAGCATGTGTGCTTCAGGAGTAAGGCAGTCAGACCACTGGAGAATGGTGTTGTGTACGACTGAGGAAGAGAATACTACATACAGCGAACCCTGGTGGCGAAGTCTGGCCCACATGGGACACATGACGAACTCTGTTGAGTCAGGATATCAATCTTCATGACTCCAAACATGAAGCATTGTTCCAGCGTCGTGGGGCATCTGACACAAGTAGATGAATGGGGAAGCTGGATGCACGAGGAAGGCACGCTCGCGCAGCCGTGAGGAAGGAACGCATGGGCATTCACATCGAGAGGTTCGGTTCTTCATCAAGTAAACCCGAGCTTGCTACTTGTGCACACGGCTATTGGTGGGATTGAGAACACTCTGTCCCTGGCGTTCTTTCCTTCTTGGGACGGTGGGCCTAGGCTCAACGATCTTCTTGGCACTCCGCACGTTTCAGGTTCTCCTGCACGGCTTCTTCGACACACATCGGACCCTTAATCAACTTGCTTCCGTTGGCGATCCAGACAGTCAACGCATGGTCAAAGACCATCTCGAAATCCACCCGCCGCCTCCTCGAGCCGCGAGAGCTCAGCTCAGCTATCGCCTACTGAGCCTTGCACAGTATTGACTTCCATCATTCGCTCAAAGGACCTTGTCTGCCACTGAATTGACCACGCTCTGCTGCACTGAATGCTCGCAGACTCGGTACAGATATAAGCCACTCGCAATCCACCCGCACTGAACTCCTCTGCCATACCAAATCGAGCTCCGTACCCCTATACGAGGGCACAACTCTCCAACGACGTAGCCACCAACAATATGGCAAGACCACTGTCATCCATGATCAGCTGTGGTTTTATCACATTTCTCTTGCTCACCCAAGCTTACTCACACCTGGCGCCAATAACGACCCTCGAGACTTCTCTGTCGGTGAGCAGTGCGGCGGAAAGCAACACCACGACAATACTACTTCCACGTATTACCGAGATTCCGTACCCATCAATTACTTTCTCTCTCCTCTCATCGACCACGCCAGTCTCCGCTCACGAGGTATTATCAATCGCTCCATCGGCTACAGCGCACAGCATTACCGAAACATCATCACCTTTGTCAAGCTCCTACCAAGCCACAATTTCGCGGTTTGATAGCGGCGTGACCACAAATTCGGCTAATGCTGTCTTGCTCTCGCACCCGAAAGGCGAGGATGGCGAGATAATCGATGAGGTGGGTGCCGAAGGTTCCAACACGACCTTACATCCGAGCCCACTGGACAGGCAAGGGTTACCACCAAGCTGCGCCCCATCGATAGCCTCGTGGTACCATGTGACATGCGGGCCGACCATCGTAAGTCGCACCACGGCTGCATGGTCGTGCCAGACTTCGACCGACACGCGCTACGGCTGCCAGATTTCGGCCAGCACAATCATTACGACAGTCAATCCTACTTACCCTCCTCTCTGCTCCACGACAGGTTGCCCTGCCTGTACGGGTATGGCTGCTCCATCGCCGGCCGTTCAATGTAACGACTGTACAACCAGGAGCGGTATCGTCTACCACACACAGCAGACGACGTTGGACACAAGCAACGCAGCAGCAACTCGTCGTTCCGATGCCGACTTCACTGAGAGCAATGTGTCATTTCACACTCAGCACACGACATTGGATCTGAGCAACGCAGTGTCAATTCGCCGTTCTGGTGGCGAGTCTAACGAGACCGATGTATCATCGCTGGAGAAGCGCAGATTCGCACACCCAGGCGAGTTCAACAATGACTACGATGCGTTCTTCGCCGCTATGTTAAGTCAACCCGGGGTGCTCTATGTGCCTCATCGACTGATCCAGCAGGGTCAGTGGGCATCCACGGCTTCAGCCCCTCTCAAGAAATTCAGTGATAATCCCGGGCAGAAAGTCTTCATGTCCGTACAAGGGATAGCCGGCTGTACTACCGTCGTCGTGGTCTCCAGACAGGCTGTGTACATGAACCACAGTAAGCTTCTATCATCCCCTTCCGATCGAATCATTTGATAGCTGACTGTTCCGACTAGTTTGGGAAGCGCCGACTTTCGCGAAGGGTGTGAGGTGGAAGCACGATGATCAGTCCGGGATACAGGAAATCATATCCACAGACGATGTATTCAATGCCAATATACAGGTCATCGATAGCGGAGACGCAACACTTATGTCGGGCGGCACACAGTGGGACGGGAGACTGCCCTGGCTGCCAAGCCTGAGAGATCAGACAGGCGGTGTCTTTCATCCCGACCAGGACGGTGGGGTCAGGGTATTCATCATCACCCCTGGTCCTCACAACGTTCCGTCCCCGAGAGCACCGAAGTATCCCGTGCGGGTTGGCATCATCAAGCAATGGCTTGCTATGGCATTCAAAGCTGACAGCGAGATCATTCCCTACGCGAGGCCGGCCGACGAAGACTCCAAGGATCCAAATAAAGCCGCTGGCAAGATACTGTTCATGTTCGATCCTTCACAGGAGGATATCCCGTCCAGACGAATGGGTCCAGGTGGTGTACCACTGTCATGTACGACAATTTATGCTGGGTAGGAGCTGTGGCTGGGATTTCAGCCCGAAGATGATCGGTATCAGGCATGGAGAAGTGGCTTTTGGTTCAGCCCTGGTGCATACTTCGAAGTACCTTTCGACGGCCCGATTGGTCCACTCCATCTGGGAATGCAACTACCTCGTCGTGACAATATACCGAGCGGATGTGTCACGATTAGCGCTACCAGTAGCGTGCGGACGACTCTCAGCCCTATCACAACCGCGGCGCCTGTCACATCTTGCAAGTTATCATACGTGCGACCGTTCACTGTCGAAGGTGTGAGCAATTCGGGCACGACGGTATGCTCCTGTAACGGCGTTGTGATCGCTGGCATCAACACAGTATACGTGGGATCCGGAATCTACCAGCTGCAGTGTGCTGCCCGAGCTTCGACATCGATCATCGTCAGCACGTTCTCCTCCGCAGGACCAAGCATTCTGCAGTCGACGGGTCAGACAACAAGCAATACCGCAGCGAAGGTCAGCCCTCCATCAACGATTACCAGCGCTCCCTCCAAGACACCCTGTGTCGCCAACAAGGTGTATCCAATAACGATCGGCCCGCATTCGGTGTCGAAATCGTCAACATGTTGAGACAGGCAATGCATACAGAAGTCTTATGGGAGTTTCAATATGCCCTTGGCCAGAATGCCGCCCTTGCGACCTGCGCCTTGACCAGGTCTCGTGGTAGGTATGGTCTCTGATCGTTGAGCAGATTGTCGCGCATCCTCTGACTACAGGAGATTATTCCGATCATGGCACTTCTGTCAATTGCGGACCGGAGTGCAGTAACGGCAATACTGCTGGTGGAGGATGGACAGATCTTTCCTCAAAGGAGATACAGAACGGTGAGCTAGGCTAGCCAATGGTGTAGGTAGCTTTCAACATGATCAAAGATAAGAGTAGAAGTAGACTATGCTTCTTCGATCATCAACTCCCCAATATCTGCTACACACGGAGCCAGTACGTCCAGTGCGACTGCCCCTAAGCCAGTGCAATGCAAAGAGCCGTACGATGGTCGATGAGTCATTGTACGGGATAATCTACCTTTGGAAAGGGCATGTACTCGAGCACAACACTCGGTCAAGCAGGCAGGCTGTGATGTATAGCGTCGCAAATGAAGTAAGTATATACATCGCACCATAAGTCAGTCTACCTAGTAACGCCATCCCTGGCCAGAATGATCTGGAGACGTACAGATGCCGCTGCTGTTGCCTTCAAACCTCTGTATCCCGCTTCTATATACAAATATCCTACAGCTTCGTCCATCCGCACCGTGTCGTGCCCAGTCACACCTTTGCCGCCATCTGAAGCCCATAAGTCCTCATCTGTCCATCACTCATCCTCGTCGGAGCCCCAACCATTAAATCCTCGCCCCTCCCACTCTTAGGAAAAGCGATAACATCCCTCACGCTCTCCCTCCCCAGCATAACCGCCACCAGTCGATCGAACCCCAATGCCATACCCGCGTGAGGCGGACATCCTGCCCTCAGAACCTCAAGTAAATGTCTGAAGTTCCCCACCCTTTCATCGGACATCCCAAGCACATGTCTGAAGATGAATTCTTGCATCAGGGAGTTATGGATCCGACGACTGCCGCCGCCTAGTTCGACACCGTTAAGTACAAGGTCGTAGTGGGCTCCTTTTGCCTCCAGTGGAGCTTCGAGCAGCAGATCGACGTCTGCGGCTGTTTTGGGGGCGGTGAAGGGATGGTGAGTTGATGTTAGACCCGTTGTGCCACCTTGGCCTGGTTCGGTGGGCTCGATGGATGTGGGTGTGAAGAGCGGGAAATCTGTGACCCACAGGAACTCGAACATCTGCGGATCATGAGGTGGCAGTAAAGCCTGCTTGCAAGCAAACCTATGAAGAGCGAGACGAAGATTGCCTATTGGTGTGGAGCCGCCGGCGAAGGCAGCATTCTTCCGAGCTTGCAAGACAACAAGATCGCCGTCTTGGAGGTCCAAAGTCTCTTCCAACTGCTCCGCGGCCTCAAATCCGAAAGTTTGAAGTCCTTGTAAAGGCTTGCGTGAATCGCATACGGATATGCCAGGTTGACCCTCCGGGTTTGAGATGAACGATGCAGCCTCCGGCGAGTCCATGAAAGTAGAAACGAACTTCCTCGTCGTGGCCGGATCGTCAGAAATGGCTACCTTCATGACCTCAACAATGGGATCCGAAAGCGGCCCTATCTTGCTGACAAGATCCACAGGTAACATATACTCGACCCGTCGGATCTCACTTCCCAACCTCACATCAGGTTTGTCAGACCCATACCTGCTCATGGCCTCAGCGTAAGTCATCCTCGGGAAAGCCTCGGACAAAGCAGCACCTGGCAACATCTTCTCCCACAACGCTTTCACTGTATCCTCCACGGTCCTCATAACGTCCTCATCACTCGCAAAAGCCATCTCAAGATCCACCTGCGTGAATTCCGGCTGCCTATCAGCTCTCAGATCCTCATCACGAAAACATCTGGCGATCTGCATGTAGCGTGATATTCCGCTAGCCATAAGGATCTGCTTATACTGCTGCGGGCTTTGCGGAAGAGCGTAGGCGAAGCCAGGGTTACGAGTGGGAACTAGGAATTCTCGTGCTCCTTCGGGTGTTGATTTGAAGAGGAGGGGAGTCTCAAATTCCTCGAAGCCATGGTTGTCGGCTAGATGATCGCGAACGAACCGAGAGACTTTACTGCGGAATATGAGGGCGTCTCGAATGCTCTTGTCATGCTTGATCTGAAGGTGGCGTTTCTCTGGTGAGAAGACTGTGTCGGACGTCACGATCAAATCCTTCGGAAAAGCGTTCAGCGGCGTGATATTGTCCAATTTAATCTCCACGCCTGCTATGATCATAGGCTTGCTTTCATCCTTCGAAGACTGTCCTGCTTTGGGGGCCTGTCGTCCTTTGACAGTACCTTGAATCACAACCGGAGTATGCTGTTCCAGATCCCGAAGCAAGTCGTGAGGACGGCTGATACTGTCTACATTCTTCGTGACACTTGAGACGATTTGGATGATGGAAGTGAGACTCATATCGTGCAGTTCAGCAAAGACTAGTGTCTTGTTCGCCACTCGTCGAGCTCCAACGTAGCCATGGAGTGTCACTTGTTTGTCGACCCATTGTGTGCTATTGGAGGCCAGCTGAGCCAGGGAGCAGGTCGCTGGCGAGAAGTCGAGAGTCTTCTTGAAGTCCGTGAGCAGGGATTGATGTCCTTGATCGAATAGTGGCCTATTGGTATGAAACGTTCTTGATGCTATCGCCACCCGGCATGGGTATGACAGACTACATCGTGCACTGATGACATGCGCGCCACTCACGCAGCGCCGTAGCAGCATCAAGGCATTGGCTGTTAATGATGCGAAGGTGATCGTCATTCAGGAACCAATTCGTGGCATGGCGGCTCGGCGGCTGTTCCCGTTGAAGCTCCGCCATTGCCCGAGACTGAGCAGGAGAGCTTCAACAATCTGGCGTGCGGTGATAGAGATATATTCCACCTTTAGCACCTGTCGAGGATGTTACGCGCGGGTATCGCTCGAAGCGCACGATGCGCCGAGCAGAGCCTGGTCCGTTGCAGAGGCCAATGGCAGCCGCAACGGGCATGGCAGCTTAGGGTATGGCTAGGATGATGTTCATGATATGCCATTACTGACGATATACAGCGCACATTCGCCGACGGACCTGGCAATCAGACCGTCTTACCCGGATCAGAGTCGAAGATAGTCGCCGGCGTTCCTCAGGCCCCGATCCTGAACGCCAACAAGACGAATCTCGATGCAGCAGCCGGCGCGTCGGTAAAAGTGCCTCCTCCACCCCCAACGACGTCTGTCAATCCTACTGGTGTCCCTCCCACGCCCTCTACCAATACCGGCAACCTCCCGCCGACTGGACATGGCACAGCAGCAACTGGACCTACTTCAGCAGCGCCTCCGCCACCACCGAAACGCCCACGCCGTCGCTTCCGCAACTTCCTCTACTCCCTAATCCTGCTCAGCGCACTGGGTTACGCTGGCGGTGTGTACTACTCCCTCATCTCCGACAACTTCCATGACTTCTTCACCGAGTACATTCCATTCGGGGAGGACGCAGTATCTTACTTCGAAGAGCGCGAATTCCGCAAGCGTTTCCCCTCCAAAGACGTAACGTCACCCAAGAACTGGCCTTCGACCCGCGGCGAGAACAAAGTCACGATTGGCAAATCGAGCGGGCTCAGTCCTCGGAGTGTAGACGAGGCGCAAGATCTCGGTGGACGACGCAGACATGTGAGCGCGGTTGAGGATGATGGGAAGCCGCAGCCTGGAAAGGCGCAGCAGAACCCGGATGTGGCTAGTCAGAGAGAGAAGACGCAGGCGGTCGAGGCAGCGAAGAAGGGTACGCCAGCAAGCGATGCGCCTGCGAAGAAGAGCGAGCCTGTTACAACACCCACAGCACAACCAAAGGACACACCTACTCGTACTGCTGCGCCAGCCCCGCCCACGGTAACGACGGCTGGACCAGCTGTTGATCATATTAATATCCCACAAGCTGTTGAGCCGGTGGTGCAAGATTTGGTGAAGATGGTCAACAATGTCATCACAGCAGTGAACGCCTCTCCCGAAGCCTCGAAGTTCACCACTGTAGTACAAACGATGAAGGATGATCTCAATAAGGCCATCTCGGAAGTCGGCACATTGAAAGAAACCGCAGTCGAAGATGCCAACAAACGAATCAAGGACGCCAACACCGAATTCGATTCTGCTGCCAAGGAACTGGTCCGCCGACTAGAGACAGAAATGCGTGAGCAAGAGAGCAAATGGCGGGAAGAGTACGAGGTCGAGCGTGAGAAGCTCAGCACATCGTATCAACATCGTCTGGACGCCGAGCTCGATGCGATCAAGAAGGTGCAAGAGGAGAAGAACCAGAACTCCCTTCTGCAGCAAGAAATCGCCCTGCAGAAACAATACATGGATACCGTGAAGTCAAAAGTAGAAGAAGAGCGTTCCGGTCGCCTCTCAAAACTAGACGCACTCTCAACGTCCGTCTCAGAGCTCGAGTCTCTGACATCCCAATGGAACGAAATAGTCGACTCCACCCTCCGCACGCAACATCTCCAGGTCGCCGTAGAGGCCGTGAAAGCCAAAGTCCTCGACTCCGACCGTCCCACCCCATTCCTGAACGAACTCGTTGCCCTCAAGGAAGTCAGCAAAGACTCCGACCTCGTGGGCGCAGCAATCGCATCGATACATCCACAAGCTTACCAATCCGGCTTACCGTCCCCTGCCTCCTTGATCGACCGCTTCAGACGTGTAGCGGCGGAGGTGAGGAAAGCCGCCCTCCTACCCGCAGACGCAGGAGTAGCGTCGCATGCTGCTTCTGCTGTGCTTTCGAGATTGATGTTCTCCAAGAAGAGCGAACGCGGCTTGCCTGAGGGCGGCGACGTGGAGGCCACGCTTGCAAGAACCGAGGTGCTGCTTGAGGAGGGTGATCTGGATGCCGCTGCTCGGGAGATGAATGGGTTGCAGGGGTGGGCTGGGGTATTGAGTCGTGATTGGGTAGGCGAATGTCGGCTTGTACTGGAGGTACGGCAAGCTGTCGAGGTGAGTTGATACATGAGCACTCCTAGTGTAAGTGACGTGCTAAATATTATTCACAGGTCATGGCCACAGAAGCGCGACTCCAGAGCCTGCTCGTCGAGTAGGCGAAGTGGTTGACTGGCCGAATTTGAGATCGCGTGGGTGTGAAGAACGTGTATATTACTCTGTGCCCTACTAGACATCACCTACTGTGTACAAAGAGGAAAGAAAGTCACATTTTTTATTTCATATTCATGTCTTGAATGTGCTATCTACCGAATACTGTCTGCTCGTCAGTGTCAGGCGAGCTTCACTCCAATCGAGTACCGAGCGAATTACCTCTTCGCCGCTAGAAAGTAGTGAAGCGAGGCCACTACGAACCACCCCATGCAACCTTGCATAAGTGAACCTCTGCCGATGAGTATATGTGCCCGCATTGTTGTCACTGCGCCAGGTGAACACAGTCGAGCTGGCGTACTAAACGTCTCTATCGAGACAAAAAGGCCGCCAGTGATATGATGGTGTTTGATCGGTCTCAAAAGCTCAATCCAGCCCTTCCTCCGACCCGTACGAAGCAGGCAGCGGCGCACCACCCTCAGTACTCTCCGCAGTCGAAGGCAGACGTGCATGCCTAATCGGCAGAGTCTCGCTCCACACGTCCTCCCCTCCTCCCTCGAAATCATCATCAACAGCACCCTCCTGCGCATCATCAAACATGTCTTCGTTAAAGTCGTCATCATCTACCTCCAGACCGAATAGATCGTCCCACTCTTGCGAGTCTGGGTGTGGTATCTGGTCATGGGGTAGGGTGGCAGCTGTCGGAGCGGGACCGGGTGGAGGTTGCGGATTAGCTTGCTGGGCGCCCGCTGCTACTGCTGCTGGTGGACCTCCATGCATTGGCAATGTCCCCATCATCATGCTATAACCAGGGCCATGACCCAGCGAGACGAAGCCTGGTGGCACATGTGGACCATGATTATGTGCGTGTGCTCCTCCTCCACCAGCAGCATTGTTGCCCTGGGTAGTGGCGGCGGGTGCTGGAGGGTGAACATGAGGAGCACCACCTAGCCCAGGTTCACCCAACATATTCATGAGGTTGTTGATGTTGACGGGCGGCAAACCTGGCGGACCTGCACCCCCTGCTGCGAATGGCGGGAAGGGCATTCCAAGAGCTTCGTCCGCAAGATCTTCTCCCAGATTGTACTTCTCGATGAAGATGGGAATGTACTTGGCAATCTCCTCGGTACCCTTCAAGCAGACATAGTAGCCGCGCTCTCCATGTCCTTCGCGTCCCGGGGCTTGGAATTCGCGATCTTGGTCAGTCTTGCCTGGTGTGGCACTAGTGGTTGGCGGAGGATCATTGGATCTTGGCAAATCGAAGCCATCGGCCGGCTCGAGCTCTGGCATCGACCCATCATCATCGTCGTCCTCTTCGTCGTCTGCATCAAAGCCTGCCTCGCCATCATCCAGCCAGTCGTTTTCACGATCAGCTTCCTGCTGCTCGAGGAAGTAGCACTTTCTCCCATCTTCTTGCAACCACATCAGATGGAGGTGTTCCAGCGTTGGTAGCTGGGCAATAGCCCGCAACACAGATGTCCATTTGCCTTTGCTAAGACTGGTCCAGCTGATCAGTAGATCGTTGACGGATGTGAGCTGGTTGATTCCAGCAATCAGAGCACTTGCGGGCATTTGAACACCGTCCATGGACAATTTCTTGAGTTTGCTCAGAGCGACATTCTGCATGAAAGCGGTGTGCAGCCTGCCGGTGGGTTCTGACATGTCGTAGCTCAGCACAACCTCCTCAAGCTTCGACTGGTCGAATATGCTGGCGAAGTTAGACATCACATCCGCACTGGCTTCGATGTCTGGGGACCCGCCTTTGACCGGCTTGACCAGCTGGGTGCCTCGAATCGTCAAGTGTAGGCTCTTGAGATTCCGCATGGCACTCATCATGCCCGTGAAAGTCTTTTGACTGATCTTGAGATTTTTGCCCACGCTCAGCCCATCACTGGTCTTAGTAATGATGGAGCCGAAGGCCGTGATCGTGGAGGTTCCGCTTTGTGCGATAGCTCTCAGCATAATCAGCCATACGTGAATGAACCATCGTCCATACTCGCCGTCGTCTTTTGTCGGTGGCGCGACCGATGGAGGTCGATTCGTGCGACGCAGCACTTTCTGCAGACCGTACAGACAAGCGTCTTCCATATCTTCTCCCGCGTGTAGACCATCAGCGATGTGGAGACCGGCAAGATTTGGCAGATTCCGGAAGGCGCGAGTCAGGATTTGCTGGTCTTCGCCACTTGCTTTGAGATGTGCTTGATCCTTGATGTAGTATCGATAGGTCTCCGCTTGGCGGGTCGACGGCTTCCATGCACAATGACAGCCATTGGGACATTTGAAAGCTGAGTCCGAGAAGTAGCATGTGATGATGTAGATGCTGCGCAGGTATGTCCGCAGTCGTTTGTCCTCGGAGATCGCAGTCAGAACATGCAAGCTGTCGGAAGAGATCATGAAAGCTTTGGCAGAAAAGTATTCGGTCGCGAAGTCGTGGAAGCTTTTGGTTTCGAGCGCTCGACACACGAGCCGGATAGATGCGAGATCATCGTAGTCTAGGCGATGGACAATGTTGGACACGAGCTCTTCTGGCAGCATATCCAGGCGAGGTAGCGGTAGAACGGCGCCATGCTCGCCACCGGCAGTCCTCGACATGTTGTCAGAATGTCAGCGGCGCATGTGTTATAGCAGAGAAGTCGTGAAGTGCACAACCCGCAATGGTTGATATTGTGGCGGCTTGGTAGCCCTTGTGAGGTGACAAATTATTGGTATATCATTTGGAGAATTATGAGGAACGGCAGAGAAGTGTTTGTCGTTGTAAACGGAGACCTGAAGATCCAGCAGTGAAGTGGTGCTCGCGTGAGGGGCAAAACACGCTAGCTTGGGCACACGCGATCTGTCACAAAATGCATGTGCTCGAGCGACGATGATGTTACACGAAATGAACTAGTTGACAGGAACGACATTTGGTCTCTCGCCGGTAGCGGAGTCCTGTCTCGCGTTCCCAGAATCCCGCCTCTTCTCAGCATTGCCTTCCAAGCCAAGCTCCTTGATGAAAATATCTGCGGCCCTCTCGCCAACAACAAACGCGCAACCGCCCGTGTTCGCACCCACATTCTCAGGAGGTATGCTCAAGTCGGCGAGCTTCAAGTTCTTTGTACCATGAACGCCACATGAAGCATCATCGACGCCCTTCTTCTCACGGGGAGCCATCTTGGCCGTACCAAGTGAATGCCAGGTCGTCGACACAATTTCGCGGACCTTCTGCTCGATCGCTTTGTCGTCTTCCGCGGTGTACTCGATCCTGTCCTTGCCCTTGCTGATAGGCCCATCCGCCTTCTCGACTACAGCTGCTTTGCTTCCCTCGGGGAAACGTGGGTGACTGGAAGCCAACTCACCCCTGAAGATGTCCATGCGGCGCCACATCTCACGTTGAAGCTTGTAAGCCCAAATATGCTTCTTCAGGTCGTTATCGTCTTCGTCCTTGAGATAGCCGACATCGAAGTCAACAGGACTGTTTACATCCTTGGACGTGATGTGGATGTGGCCACGGGAGAAGGGGTATGCCGTCCAGTTGGCCATAGAGACATACTCGGCATCATCGGGAAGCATAGAGTGGTCTCCGTAGTAGCTATGGATTTTAGCTTGAGTATCAGCATATTTGTCAAGGTCACACTCACCAAAGGTAGAGAGCAATGATCATGAGTGGCCTGTCTGGTCGGTCCTTGAACTCACGATCCCAAGCTTTTCTGAACTCAGGACCGAGAGCATCCACTTCCTCCTCAGTAGGTCTGAACTTGCCGGCTGGAGTCTTGTTAGCACAAATACGTATTCTCCATTTGAGATCACTTACAAGCATCCATTGCATTAGTGCCAAGACGCTCGTCCGTATTCTTGATGGCTTCTGCGATATCCATCCTGCCATCCGACAGAGCATTGATCGTGTCTTTCGAGCTCAAACTCGTGCGGTACGCATACAGCGTCAGATGATGGTCCTGATAGTCATGACCCACTCCAGGTAGCTCCTCCACAAGTGGAACACCTGCTCGGTCGAGGATCTCTTTATTGCCAACGCCAGATCGCTCCAAGATGAGTGGCGTAGCATTGGCACCCGCAGACAGCACAACCATCTTGCGAGCCTTGACTGTTCGTGGAGTCTGCTTGGCGGTCATGAATTCTGGGTTGGGGAGAAACTTCGGGTTCGTCTGATACTCCACGCCAACAGCCTTCTTATCGTCGTCGAAGAGCACTCTGATGACCTGTTTCTCACAAGCTACGTGGAGATTTGGGTAATCACCGCTCTGGAGCTTAGGATGAATATATCGGTGCGCAGCATCTTGGCGTCGGCCGTTAGGGCCGATGTACTTGAGCCAGCGCTCAGTAGCATTGTTGGCGTCCAGGTTCTGCAAATCCTTGAGCTCGTTGTAGCCCATCTCATTAGCAGAATCGATGAAGGACTGCTCGGCTTTCTTGCAAGTATGCGTTCCTTTCGAGATATTGACTGGCCCATTGTCGCCGTGCCACTCCTTGTCGCCGACTCCGTGATACGTCTCAAACTACGGAGGTCAGCAAGATACTGGGACTGCTGCCATGGACATGATCGTACCTTCTTCATGAAAGGGAGCATGTCGTCTGCTGCCCATCCGGGAGTATTCCATGAATCGTAGTCTGAACGTTGGCCACGCGTGTAAACCATCTAAAACTATTCGTCAGACCTCATCAATGTCTCGAGCTCGATCCAAGGCCTTCACATACCCAGTTTATGGCGCTACCACCTCCAAGTGTGCCACCCGATGGCACAATGGGCTTCCGATCTGCAAGCTGTGGTGACTCGTTGCCTTGCCAGAAGAGCGTATACTTGCTGTTCGGGAATAGGTTGCGTGGGTACAAGCCCGGATGAACGACTTCAGGTGCACCATAGCTGTTCAGACCTTGTTCAATGACGAGGATGGAGAGGTCCGGATCAGCTTCTGCCAGACGTCCAGCAACAACACAGCCGGCAAGGCCACCTACGGTATGTCAGGCGAACGGCATGGTATTTTGGAAAGCTGAGCACATACCGCCTGCCACGATCACGTCCACCTCATCGAGCTCTTTCGGGAGTTTAGTGTAGATACCCATTGTAGAAGAACTGCCTTCGACACTCAAGACGTGGAAGAAGAGTGATAAAGGAGACGAAAGGTATCAATATGACAGAAGAGGAAGATAGTAGATTGAACCCGTACCCCTCAGTACACCTCACCTTACCGTGGCTATTGCTGGCACTACCAGAATCCTTTGGCATGCGCATGTCCGGAGGTCGCTGGGTTATCTTATGCATTGGCGACGATCCGACATACGTACCAGACCCCGCTTCGTAGGTAAGAACGCGAGCCGCGTAGGGGAGACATAGCAGCTCCTATTGCCGCGCAAAGACGTGGATAGCTCAAGGATCAACAGTGATGCTCCATCGTTTGTAGAGACGTACCTGGCATGCTAGAGGCTGAATATAGAGTTTGATGCCAAGCGTGGAGAAAGTCTGGAGAAGCAGCGATCCGTATGCGAGATGTGGTGAGGGGAAGGGAGAGGTGCTTTTCTTCCTTCTGCATGATGATGCTCCATCAAGCTCGAGCTGAGTAGGCCTTCGTAATTATGACCAGTGTGGCTGGATATCGTGTGTGCGGGAGCTTTGGCTCGTGAATACTCCTTGCATTTTTCAAGGTCCTCTACTACGAGGCAGACCAGAGCGCTTGGCTTGATCCCTTGAATCGGAGTTGTCAGCATATGGCTCTGGCTGAGCGCAAGTATGAATAAGCTGGCAAGGTGTCTTTCTGGCCCAAATTTTACCGGAGTGTCTGTGGTTTGAGATAGGAGCCGACTGGGCATGTTCTGCCACCACCGATACGGCTTCCTACCGCGTACCTACAAGACCGTTTATCGGTGCTGTGCAACGACCACGGTCTCACCTGTAATGAGTTGAATTGGCGTTGGTGGCAAGAACGGGGTGAAGACGTTGCGTTTGTGAATGGCTTCGAGGAGAGAACGTCACGTGTAAATTGTCGAAGACGCGCTAGCGGAGCGCGATCAGCCGAAGCTCCGCCGGTATCACCTTAGCTACCCTTTCGTGAACTTCTGGAGACACAGCATTCCTTTCCCTCCCGCACTTTTGTGACACAACAGCGACACCTTAGCTGCTTCGAGTATCGTTCCCCAGCGGCCGTGGGTGCTCCATACCACTACCTCGGTCCTCCACCATGTCTACGGCGAACTTTCTAGACCAGGACTTCCCGGACGAAGAAGATGATGACTTCAACCCACAGCCAGAAATCGCCTCTGATGACGAGGGTGACGAGAAGGCGGTAGCGAACGGTGGCGATAGAAATGGCTCGGCACAGCAGTCACGATCGCGATCACGGGTGCCTGATGGCGATGACGATGACGTGAAAGATGAGGTCGAAGCTGCAGTCGCAAACGATGAGGCTGAGGAGGATGCGGACGGTGAAGCCGAAGCGCCGGCAGGGGCGGACGAGGAAGGCGAGGATGACGAGGATGACGAGGACGAAGAGGATGAGGACGAAGAGGATGAGGGACTTCCTTCACGAAAGCGCAGGAGAAAGCAGGCACGACGAAATCAGTTCATCGATGTCGAGGCCGAGGTGGATGAGGAGGAGGATGAAGAGCCAGAAGAGGACGACGACATGCCAGGCGAAGAAGTGCATCCAGACGATCTGCAAGAGCTACCACCCGGTGCGGATAGGGACGACCGGAAACATCGCGAGCTTGATCGTCAGCGGGATGCACGACAACAAATGGATCTGGAGGAGGAGGCTGCTCGGCTGAAGGAGCGCTATGGTAGACAGAATCGTGCAGCGGGCGCGGGCAGTGCTATCGTACCGCAGCGCTTACTCTTGCCTACTCAAGACGACCCACGGATCTGGCGCATGCGATGCAAGCCTGGCAAGGAGAAGGAGGTCATCTTAGGTCTACAGCTGCGCACGGCTGAGCGAGCCAACTCCCGTGAGCCAATTCGGGTTCTGTCTGCATTCGAGAGGTCGAAAGGCGCCAGCGATCCCATGGCTGGCATGCTCTACATAGAGGCACGGCGCGTGGATGATGTCGTGGCTGCTATGGAGGGCATCACCAACATGTTCATGAGTTTCAAGCCTTTTATGGTACCAGTTGAGGAGATGCCGGATCTGCTCAAGGTGACGAAGGACAAACAGCTGGAGCCTGGCATGTATGTTCGCATCAAGCGTGGACTATATCAAGGTGACTTGGGTCAAGTTGACGAGGTAGAAGCGAACGGTGCCGCAGTGGTGGTACGGCTTGTCCCTCGTCTCGACTATGGCTTGCACGAGGATGTCAACGCCCCTACGACCGTGGAAACGCTTCCGAACGGCCAAAAGCGCAAGCGAGTGATGAAAGTGCAAGGTCCACGACCACCACCACGACTGTTCAATGAGAGCGAGGCGAAGAAGAAGCACGGGAGGTATCTCAGCAAGCAGGGAGGACTGGGTAACAGCTCGTGGCTCTATCAGAACAAGGAATATGTGGATGGCTACCTCCTGGAGAACTTCCGGAGCAACGCCCTGCAGACTGAAGACGTCAATCCCACTCTCGAAGAAGTGTCACGCTTCGCATCTACTGGTGAAGACGGCGGCGACAACCTTGATCTCAGGCAGCTGGCAGCTACACTGAAAACGGCATCTGGTAATGAATTCCTTCCAGGTGACAAGGTCGAGATATTCCGTGGTGAGCAGAAAGGTGTCAGCGGTATATCAGTACAAGTCTACGCTGAAGTAGTCAAGATCAAGGTCGACCCTGGAAATGGCTCGCTTTCTGGGGCTGTGATCGAAGCACCCGTGAAAGAGCTTCGCAAGCTATTCCGAGACGGCGATCATGTCAAAGTCATCGGCGGCACGAGTTATAGGGAGGAAGTGGGTATGGTTGTGCGAACAAAGGGTGATAGTGTCACGCTTCTCACGGACGCCGAGCAGAAGGAGATCACAGTATTCAGCAAGGACTTGCGAGAAGCTACCGACTCTGGTGGCGCGGCAGTGGACAGCAAGTACGACCTCTTCGACCTTGTGCAATTGGACGCTGCAACTGTCGGTATCGTGGTGCGTGTTGACCGCGAGAGCCTGCGGGTGCTCGATCAGAGCGGCTCTGCACGGACACTACTCCCTAGCAATATCTCGAACAAGATCGAGAAGCGTCGTAACGCCGTGGCCACCGACCGTGACGGCAACGAAATGAAGCACGATGACATGGTCAAGGAGTTCTCGGGTGAGCAGAAGACTGGTCGCGTACTCCACCTCTACCGCAACTTCCTCTTCGCCCAAAATCGTGAGCGAGTGGAAAACACCGGCGTCTGGGTCGGCAGACATTCCAATGTCCTTGTCATTGCTGCTAAGGGCGGCAAGACACAAGGCTCTGGTCCAGATCTGACAAAGATGAACCCAGCACTGAAGCAGAATGGCGGTGCTGCGCCCATGCCACCCCCACAATTCAGAGGCCGCGATCGTTTGATTGGCAAGACTGTCAAGATCCGCACGGGTCCGAATAAAGGTATGCTCGGCATTGTCAAGGATGCCACAGCGGAAGAAGCAAAGGTCGAGCTACATGCGAAGAATAAGATTATACCCGTTAAGAAGGATATGCTTGCTCTCGTCGATCCGGACACCGGTAAGGTCGTGGAAGGTGGCCTTCACGCACTTGGTATGGGGCGTCTGCCGCCTGCAGGTGGTGCTGGTGGCATGCCTGGACGTACTCCTGCCTATGCACAAGGTGGACGGACACCAGCGTATGCTATGGCTAGTGGTGGGCGCACGCCGGCTTATGCTGCTGCTGGCGTTGGGAGTGGGAGGACTCCAACATGGAAGCAGGATGCGGGCGGGCGGACACCGGCATATGCGGGTGGACAGACGGCTTATGGTGGTGGTGGGTATGGTGGTGGGACTGCGTACGGCGGGCAGACGAGCTATGGTGGCGCTACGAGTTATGGTGGGGCTAGTGCTTGGGGTGGCGGAGGGGGCGTAAGTCATGATGTTCACTTTCGTTTGGTAGATGAGAGCTAATCGTTCTCTCAGCAATCGACCTGGAATGCCAACAGCGGTGGCCGCACACCTGCTCCTGCTGGCTCGAAAACTCCCGCATATGCTGGCGGGCTCGAGGCACCTACGCCTGGCTTTTCAGCGCCAACCCCAGGCGGGTATCAAGATCAGCCGACGCCTGGAGGCTTCAGAGACACGTACAAGACCCCTGGCTCGTATCAGACTCCTGGCGGCTTTCCTGAGACTCCCGGCCCTTACAGTGCAGAGACACCTGGAGCGAATGACGATGGGCCGCGGTATGATTGATTCGTTGGTAGCAATGGCGTTACGGGGCGATGATACTACCAGGCTTGGTAAGATTATTGTATCACTAGCTAGATCTGCTAGGATGGGCAGAGCCTGTGCTTGCTGCTTGAACGTGTATACTATTTCACCAATCCCTGAAAATCTATAGCGTGTACCCGCGACTGTCGACCACCCCACTGCGTCGTCCTGCCAAGCTGTATGTGTGACACGATCTATCGACTCGCCCGATGAGGAAGGTATATGCGGCGAGTTCATGACAGCTCTTTTACTCTACGGCAAACAACGAGGGTTATCAAGGACCTCCATCGGCGAAGATCCAGTTCTTGTGCGCCATTATCTGCCTAATCAGCTTCCGAATGTCCTCGTGATCGGCGTCCTTGCTCGGATCTTCTTGTCTTTGACATCGTGCCCGCTGCGAGACACCGAAAGGTACCGGTAGAGGTATAAAGTGCTCTGGCTAGTTCTTGTATGCTTCTACAGCTTCCACCTATGAACCTACTCACATTCTCTTATTTCTCATCCATCATCATCACAATAGTATACTGAAGGGTGTGCTTGGCCTTTTGAACCCACGGAAGAAGGACAGACAGCCTCCCGACAGCTCAACATGGGCTCAACAGGAATTGTCTACCGCCATCCACTGGCACAGTTGACACTTGACGAGACCAACGAGGCTCGCGATGTGATCGTCAAGCTCCACTCAGACGCTGTGGTCAGTTTCCGGATCATCAGCCTGCAAGAACCTGCCAAAGCAGATCTCGTACCGTTACTGGAGCTTGAGCACGCTGGGAAGCTTCGGTCTGACAGTCCGCGACCACCACGACTTGCTAAAGTCCACTACGATGTCATTGGCGGTAGCAAGAAGCCTGTCTACTGTGAAGCTGTGGTGAACATTGAAGCATGCAAGAGGATCTCGCATGAGACTCTTCCTGATGATGTCCATGCCTGCCTGACTACGTACGTCCATACAATTCCGTCCTTAGAGTGAATCAGACTCTGACATTCGACAGACACGAATTTGGCGTCTTCGTCGAAGTCTGTAAAGCTTCCGAGCTCTTCCAAGCAACGATGAAGGAGTTCGACCTCCCCGAAGGCTTTGACGTCGTGATCGAACCATGGCCCTACGGAGGTCTGGACACTACAGACGAGAACAGACGTTATTTCCAAGGCTTAATCTTTGCAGTCGACGAGAGAACGAAAAACCCAGATTCGAACTTCTATGCCTTCCCGCTACCAGTGATTCCGATCATGGACTGGAGCAAACGCGAGATCATCCGGATCGACCGACCAGCTACTGGTGGTAAAGGCGATGCTCTGACTGGTAAGACCCATGCTAAGGGCATCCTTGACCATTGCAAGCCTGCAGAGTATGTGCCTGAGCTACTGCCTGGTGGTTTGAGAAAGGATCTGAAGGAGCTCAACGTTGTTCAGCCGGACGGGCCATCGTTCTCCGTCAACGACGATAACCTGATCGAATGGCAGAAATGGAGGTTTCGAGTGACATTCAACTCCCGTGAAGGTGCTGTGCTGCACGATCTCCACTATGATGGCAGAAGTGTGCTCTACCGGTTGGCCATCAGCGAGATGGTAGGTTACGTCGAGTCATTGAGAATGGGGTGAGCTGATGCATTGTTAGACCGTGCCCTATGCAGACCCAAGGAATCCTTATCATCGCAAGCAAGCCTTTGACTTTGGCGACGGAGGTCTTGGGCATTGCACGAACAACCTTGAGCTAGGCTGCGATTGCCTCGGAGTCATCAAGGTTGGTCGATATCTCTGATGTGGTGACAGTACTAATGCATCCTAGTACTTCGATGGCGTTGTCGTTGGTCCAGACGGCACAGGTGTGAAAGCACCAAACGTCATCTGCCTGCATGAGCAAGACAACGGCATCAACTGGAAGCACACCAACTGGAGGACTGGACGTGCTGTCGTGTCGCGTCGCCGTGAGCTCGTCGTACAGTTCATCATCACATTGGCAAACTATGAATATGTGTTCAATGTTAGTAGAGAGCAGGTGGTTCGCATGGGTGAGAGTGCTAATACTCATTGCAGTTCAAACTTGACCAAGCTGGTGGCATCATGGTCGAGACACGAGCTACCGGTATCGTCAGTGTTGTCAACATTGTGCGTGTTTCCCATCAGCTTTCACTACACCGCAATGCGCTGACGTACCACTCAGGACCCGGACAAGACTGCTCCATGGGGGAACGTCGTCGGCCCAGGTGCTCTTGCGCAAAACCACCAACACATTTTCTGCGTTCGCATCGATCCTGCAATTGATGGCCACGCCAACACCGTCGTCCAGCAGGAGTCATTACCACTGCGCATGAATCCGAAGACGAATCCAAAAGGCAACTTTTACGAAGTACTCGATACGCGGATCGAGACTTCTGCAGGAGTCGATGCCGCACCGCACAACAATCGAGTCTTCAAGATCCAGAATCTCGACAAGAAGAATCCTATCTCCGGAAAGCCAGTGGGTTACAAGATTGTGCCACCGCCAACTCAGAAGCTGCTTGCAGATCCCGAGAGTACGCAGGCAAAGAGAGCAACATTCGCTCAGCATCACCTGTGGGTGACCAAGTACAAGGAGGATGAGCTGTACGCAGCTGGCCGACACACCTTACAGAGTAGGCAAGAAAGCGGTGGCGTGACCGATGCTGTTGCTCGGAACGAGAACACACTGCAATCTGACATCGTGGTGTGGTCTTGCTTTGGCTTAACACATAACCCTCGCGTAGAGGACTGGCCGGTTATGTGAGTAGATTGCGAAAGAGCATTCGCGAAACCGCTGACCATGAGACAGGCCCGTCGAGATCATCCAACTACCAATTGTACCGTCGGACTTCTTCACGAGCAATCCTGCTCTCGACGTGCCTTCGCAACGCAACCAGACTTCACGACTGGCTAACGGCGACGGCAACGGTGCTAACGGGCAATGCTGTAATGGCAACACGGCTCATTGATGGAAATGCCGCGTGTTAGCTGATATAACCACAAAATCTCCCAAAATCCACTAGGCCGCTAGATGATAAACTGATGCATTTCTGATCCTGCCAAGCTATTCTATCGAACCCGTTCTTGTTCAAACAATTCGTGGCGCGTCGATTCTACAACGTTGTAGGCGGTCCGACGAGACGCACTATGAATTGGCCAGAAGCACATCTCGGATGGATCGAGATAAATGTGTTCTGATAAGTCCAAAACCATATTAAGCTGTACCGGAATTTGTCTCGCAAGAAAGCCGACGAGAGAAGTCGACATTGAACATCACTAAGTGCAGGACTAGACAGCATCCCAAGTCTCGGCGAGATCTCGAGGGTCGACGTTGCTCTCAAGTGTCTTGCTATTTCTTTTCGTGTGTCTCGGAATAGTATTGAACATATATTCATATCATAAAAGTATGTAGACCTTCCCCGTCATAACGTGCGCCTTCACACGGGCGTGAAAAGTCGGAACTCGAAAGTCGTCGTATCGCCTTTGGTCGACGGTCAGTCCCTGATTGATCGGTCGACAATCAACGATTACATTGAGGAACGACTGCTATACGTATATGCCGCCATCGCATTGCATTGTGCTGAGGACCAATTACTATTGCCGACGACAGACTCGAGTACTGCTAAGTGACCACCGAATTGGCAAGTGACCCTCGTGTTGGGAGAAATAGACCAGTCGAGCTCCTCTCCGGCCGTACCAAATTCCTTCAACCATTCGACGGCATGCACGAAAGGCAAGTATCAGATTTGACGTACACGCGTACATTCAGCGGTCCTGAGCGATTTTTTGAGCTGCGGCGTAAGTACGTAGCAGAGTTCATATTGATTGATTTCCTGTATCACACACAATTCGTGGTGCTCGAAAACCTGTACCTTTCTATGTCTACATTTACACAGGAGGCGGGATTTGAAAATTTATACCTTGACCATGATCTTCGCCCCCACTCTCCAAAACCTGAGCACAACGAACATCAACCCGGCAATGATAGCACAGACACCGCCGTAAGTCCAGACGCCCGACCAGTCTAGGTCGTCCGGACCTTTACGCTGAAGAATGCCACCGCCGCCCGGGCCTCCAGCGAGCACACCGAAGCCAATCAAGGCGAAACCCATACCGATACGAGTGCCGATCTTGGACTTGTCCTTCGTGAGCTGGACGAAAAGGACGGGTGGGAGAGCGATGAAGATGCCGCTGAAGAAGCCGAAGAACAGGACGCTGACGATGATGCCGGCGAGATTGTGGACGGCGATGTTGCAAAGCAGTACGATGCCGACCATGATGCCACCTATATTGATATACGTCAGCCTAGTCGAACAACATTGTGTGATGAAGATATGTACGAACCTGGAGCAATGACATTAATTGGTCCTATCTTGTCTGCCAAGATGTTGGGCAATGTACGGCCCAGTACAGAGCCAGCGTTGAGGATCGGTACAAGATAAAAGGACATGCTGTCGTTCGTGATGCGAGTGCTTTGGCCGAAGAACGAGTAGTAAAAGATGCCGACATAGAGCCCAATGAAGCCGATCAAGATGGAGACAACACAGAAGATGAAAGGTCCGTCGGTAAAAGCTGTCGGGTCGAACATAGCGCGGACTCTGCCAGGCTTGAAACGCATCTTCATGCAAAAGATGGGCACCATGAGTGTGGCCAAGATCGTGAACCCAAGGATACGAACACTCCAGCCGAATCCCACTTCCGCAATGAGCTTGTAGAACATGATCGGGTAAATGATACCACCCATCGAACTCCCAGACGCAGCAATACCGATCGCCATGCCGAGTTTGGTGCTGAAGTAAGACGGCATGATTGCCACGGCAGGGACGAAAAGCATACCGGCGCCAATACCGACGCAGAAGCCTTGAGCCAGGATAGCTTGCCAGAGGCTGTCGACCAGACTTAGCATCATGTGGCCGAAGACGACCAAGATGGTACCGATGACGAGGAGGTAGCGGAAGTATCCTCTGTCGAAGAACGGTCCCACGACTGCACCGGTGAGCAGCACCATCAAAGATTGAACAGATCCAATCCATGATATGTCTGAAGAATTGGCCTGGAATAGGGCCCCGGACTCGTAGTATGTTTGGTAAACACCTAACCCTATCAGCAGGTAGTTCAGTCTGCGACCATGAGGTATAGCATACCAAATGTGTTAAGCAGTCCCCAAGTATTGAAGAACAACGACCAGGCCCCCAGCACTTGCAGCCATGCCTGTAAGCCTCCATTAGGTGGTGGACCGCCTGGTAGACCTCCTGGCGGCCCTCCTTGAGGTGGCCCTGCCTCTTGTTTGGCAGGAGTCACGTCCGCCTCAGCATCGGCTGTCGCTTCGACCGGTTGGTCATGCTCGAATTTCTCCTCCTCGAGTAGTGACTGTGATCTATCGGAGCCTTCTACAACCGACTTAGGCTCCGTGGCGGTCGCTGGATGTGTTGAAGCCATCATGGCTGTGGCAGATGATCAAGACACGCAGGCCAAGCTTTCCTAGTCGCGATCGCGCCAAGCTGAGATGGGGCCGAAGAAGAGCGCTGCTGTCTACGCACAGCAATCGCTTGTCATTCAACGCACAGAAATGATCCAGTATATCAAGCGGTAGCACAAAGATCGTAGAGTCGCGATGAGCCGGGGCAACAGATCGATGAAAACAGAGCCAAGACTGACGTCTACGATGAAGTTTATAGATGCGAAAGGGAAAGTAGAAACGGCTGAGGCGTGAGATGCGCTAGTCCCGTTGTCGTTTTTCGGACTTTCGATCTAAACGTATCTCCGAAGAAGCGAGTGCTTCGGTATGGTGAGTTGTGAGAGACAATGGTAGCTGAGTCACTCTCCCTATATGACTATATACACACATTTGCGAGACTCTGTTGGTAATGGAGGCGGGCTTCTGTCAATGTTGATAGCTCCGTATCGTAATGCTGACAGAATGACGAGCATTCTCGGCAATACATCAATTCATGTCCGCCGTCAGCATCTTTTCGCAGTAGAGGCGTGATGAATGATTGATGATCTGTGCAAATGCTTCATGTACAGGGTATATGCGCAACATCTCGGAGTTCCAGCACTTTCAAAATCCATCGCCCTCCTCCCATGCCCTCCCAACGTCCAAAGCTCGCAGTCTGGGATCCTGTCCTCGTTTAAAAGCTTCCGTCTTCAATTGATGCATCTGCTCATCTATCATGGCAATCTCATTCTTCAGCCAAGCATTCCTTCCTATCTGCGGCACATCCAACATAGCATCCTCGTCAAAAGTGCCATCCGCGTTGCGTGCGGCTTCTATCAACGCCGCCTGCTCCTTCCAGACCAGTAGTTCGTCGTTGTATTCATTCGACAAGTATCGAAGCTCGAACCACTTATCGAATGCTTTATGCGAGCCAAAACAATAACCATATCCGTCACAGTAGCAGGCGCTCATGCTGGGGCAGTGGATTGGTGATGCGGTGAAGATGTACTGCCAAACATACTCGAACACACGCCCGGACATGTAGTCTGACAGTTCTGTCCGCATGATCCAGTCGCGCATGCTCACATAGCGTTGTTTAGGCAGACTCCTAATCCGGTCGCGAGAGACTGCGAACTGAGCACAGCATGGCTGGGCAAGGACAGCCGGGATCGGGTCGAGAGGGAAGAGCTCCGCCCAGGCGTCTGCTACCAGCGTTTCCTCCAGCTTCTCCGTATTGCGCGTGAGGGCACCCGGGTGCAACCAAGCCGGACATCCAGGATCCCAATGACAGCGAAGATTCATGTAGCCATCCCTTGTTACTCGTTCGGGACTGAGATGCCGCACCATCTGGGCGGCATCTGTATCCATGAGTGCGTTGTTGTGCCAGGCATAGCGGTGGAAGTGCATGAAGATGCTGATGTCGTCCAGCTTGTCGTAGAAGTCGATGATATATGTAAGGTAGACGTTCGCCTCGTGCCCTTTGTTCTTGATGGGGTGCAGAGATGCCGACCTGTCATCTACGACGTACTCTGCTTTCGTTAAGAGACCACTGTGTAGCATGTCACCTAATTCGCCATCGATCCAGCTCGAGTCCTCTACTCGCAATCTTGAGACTACCAAGCACCTAGTATAATTGCTGCCTGGTAGCTTAAGCTCGCCGATAGGATATGGCGATGTTGACTCGATTTTCGGCTCCTTGAATATATCTTTTCCCTCTTGCATGCTTGGCAAATCCTCATGCTGATGCCCTGCGCTCATGTGTGGCAGCAAATGCATCTTCTCCTCTTCATCCTGTCCGCTATACTGCTCTCCCAGCCCAACCACCTGTGGCAACCGACGCCATGCCACATTCTGGAATAGTGTGAAGAGGAAGATGGTGCTGAGCGTGCCAACTAGGAGGTATAGTTGGTAGCGTCGTAGCATACTCCAAAAGTTTTGTTATCGTGCCCACAATGGACAGGAATTGTTGTGACTAGGCCAGCAATCGTGAAAATGCGCCATGCGGACAATGCGCTACGCACACAGTTGTTGGTGTCAGAACATAGCGATGAAGCATTGTGTTCATGCGAAGCATATATGCGTTGACGCCTACCGCAACATGATTATTCACTTACGACGACTTTGATGCAGAAGGCACCCGTCACGTGGCGGCGCGCTAGCGTGGTTTTTGCCTGCGCGTGCCCCGCGTCCTTGCACTTTAGCTTTACGTCCATTTTATACACTCAATATAACCACCCCCGCCATGTGGCTCCTCAGCAGCGATGGCAACCTCTTCGCGGGCAAGAGGTTCTGGCTGCCACCCGGATCTACCCATCTCCTAGGACGCACCTCTGGCAAGACGGAGACTGGCGAACGAATACAGTTCATCGACCACAAGTCGGTGTCCCGGAAGCATCTCGTCATTACCGTGGGCCAGGTCACGAGCGTAGACCTCTCGAAGTTGCACCAGCGGACTGAGATTACCATCAAAGATGACTCCAAAGCCGGCACCTCGCTCGATGGCGAACGCTTCTCGAAAGCAAGCAAGACATTCGATGGAAGCAAGACGGAGCATGTGATCAAGTTGGGGAGCTACGAGCAGGTGTTCAAATTGACGTGGCTGCCTGTCATCCTCAGCTGCGCCAGTCCTGGTAAACCTAAGCATGAAGCCTTTGCAGCAAAGCGAGAGCAGTTGAGCGGCACAGACATCAATATCGTGGCAGAGTATGTTTCGAATGAGACGACACATGCGGTGGTCAAGTCACGCAATCATCCGATTGGGATGCAAGCGCTTCTACAGGCAAGGTGGATGGTTGATTATGCATGGCTCGATGCTGTTTCCGAGGTCACGAGACGGACATCCCCAGATGCGAATGGCGAGCTGAGGAGTGCCTTGGAGGATGACTTTGATGCGAGCTGGCCGCGGGAAGATCAGTATCTACCGCCTGCCAAGGGTGAGCCAGTAAAGAGACCGGACGAGTATCTCCTACCCAAGCCAGAACGGGCAGACGTTTTCCAGGATTTCATTTTCATCCTTCTCGCGCAGGGTCAATTCAACACTCTCCTCCCTGTGATTACAACGGGAGGCGGCAAAGCACTGTTATGGGAAGCCGATGAAAAGAGCACGACGGAGGATTTTGTTGCGTATGTGTGGGGAGTGGCTGGTAGAAAAGGCAGCGGAGAGTACAACTTGAATGAGCAGACAGGCAAAGGTGGCGTGGTGATTGTCAGGCTTAACGGAGACACAGATTGGCAAAGGAGCTTCATGTTTGATGTGGATCAGGCGCTTAAGCAGCGCTCGATCTTGCAGAATGAGTTCCTCGACCTGATCTTGATGAATGATGCAAGTGCCGCACGACAGCCACTCCCTGAAACACAATCGTCTGTTCGTGATGTACCTGCAAGTCGCACGAGAGCTCACGTACCAATTGTGCAACCACAAAGTCCGCCACAGGAAGATCAACCGATGGCTGGAAGCGAAGAGCGAGGGAGAGTAATGGAGAGTCGTGAAAGAAGTGTGCATGAGGTAGAGGACGTGCCACCGGCAGAGCAGCCCGTCGAAGAAGAAGAGCAACCGACGGCCACGAGGCGAAAGTGGAACAAACGTGCCATCACCAAGTCTCGTTTTCAAGGCTTCGATGACTTCGACACTAGCCAATACACCAAGCCAGCTTCGCCAGAACCAGAGCCTAGCTATGCCGACCCAAGTCAAGCTGACAGTGCCCAAGGCATGGATGTGGACCCAAGCCAGACATCACACCCCCAACAAACACAGCAAAGCTCACGGAAACGTCCTGCACCTATCGATGAGGAGGTCGAGGAGCCAGGGAACACGCTGGACGGCTTAATGCACGGCCAAGCAGCAATGAAACGCGTTCGCACCGAAGCAGCTGCCAAGGGCGAGAAGAACGGCTTCGCGAAATCGTTCACCGAAGCGGACAAAGCGGCGACAGAAAAGGCAGCGCATGCCAAGAAGAAGGAGAAGCAGATCGATGTCAAAGCCGCGCTGGCCAAGCGCAAAGAGGAGGATGAAGAGCGTCGTCGTAAGGACGAGGAGGCGCTGCAGCGGCAGATGGAAGTCGTGGACATTGGCAGCATCGAGCCGGACGTCGTGGAGATGGAGATCTTAGTCCGCGAACGAACAGCTCGCGCTGCCAATGGCGTCGAGCAAGGCGACCGATGGGATCCAGCGTGGAATGGAAGGAAGAACTTCAAGAAGTTCCAGCGACAAGGCCAACGGCGCGGCGGGCCAAGATTACAGCGTGTTATCGTGCCGCTGGAGGAAGCGGTCAAGAAACCGTATGGAGCGGGGGACGATTACTGGCTGTTGAATAACAGTACTGCAGGAACGAGCCGGAATGCACGCCAGAGTCAAAGCCAAGGACAAGGCCCATCCCAAACTGTCCGGAGCACTGGCACGCAAGCCCAAGGCGAAGAAACCCAGCACACCTCTCCCGGCTCCCTAAGTTTCCGCCGCGCACTCCAACGCAGCCGAGAAGAGGACGCCGAAGTCGAAGCGGACGATAACGAATTAGCGGCCGTCAGGGGTACCAACTCCGCCGGCCGTGCTGTCACCAATTCCTCTGGATGGAGTGCTCTCGCCGCTCAGAGCCAGACGTTCGGGAGTGCGAGTCAGCGGAAGGCGGCGGGGAAGCGACCGGCTAGTTCGCAGGGTGGTGGCGGGGCGGCGAAGAAGGCCAGGACTGCGGCGCCTGTTGCTTCCGCTTCGACGAGGGCGGTGACTGGTACCGCTGCTGCTGCTGCTGCTGCTGATGATGGGTTAAAGTTTCGGAGGAGGAAGAGGGATTAGAGGATGCTGTCTGCTTGGGTGGCGAGGTGAGCAGATAGGTGGGAGTGAGGTTATTGTAGCTTTAGTGGTCTTCATGATACCCTGTGTTTCTTATACTGTAGATATGTACTCGCATGGCGCCTCCCAGGGGGCTTTAAGGGTATCTGTTCTTTCTAAGTCATTGTGTTTGATACACTGTCTCCGACGGCACAGCATCTCCAGTAGCACAGCATCTCCGGCAGCACGGCCGCTTCAGTAGCATGCCGTCCGTTCGACAACAAGATCTAGGTCATGGCCTTGGGGATATGAAGAGGAACGACATGGGCTAGGGTAAGACGACAGTTACGATAGCACGTGGCAAGGAGGGTGAAAGAGGGACAGTACCGAAAAACGGGCAGTAAAGGTGTGATCATCAACTTCCTAATGCATAGATAGTTTGATGACACTACATCCCCTCGCCTCTACTTCCCAATTTTCCTACCCTTCGCACTCGGAGCGATACTACCAATCCTCGCCACCAGATCATCCAAATCAAAATCATCGTCTTCGTCGGACATGAACTCGTGTTTCCTCCTCCCATTCGTCGCTGTCGTGGTTGTGGCTGCCGCAATCTTTCTACTGTTCTCAGCCGCCGCAATCTTCTTTAGATCCCTCGCGGCAGGCCGTTTGCGTTCGCGCGGGGCGGTGGCGAAGAGCCAGTCTATGTCGTCGTCGTCGTTGTCGTCGCCGTCGTCGTTGGCAGCGGTCTTCTGGGTCGGCGGGAGAGCAGTATACTTTTGACGGGAAAAGGCGGTCGGGATGGGCTTTGGTAGTGACTTGGGGGCGAGGGGTTCTTGTGCCGAGTTCGTGGTCGTGAGCTGCTGCTTCTTCTTCATCCTCGAGGACTTGGTTGGTACGTTGCTGGATTGGGCTTGAGCTTTTGCTCTCGGCTTAGGAGAATTGTCATCCGCTTCAGGAGGCGAGAGTGGGGTGTCATTTTCATCTGATGGCTTGGAGGCGGTTGGGCGAGGATTGCTGGTCGAGATCTTGTCTCCAAAGCTCAATTCGTCCTCCAGGTCGTCAATCTCATGCTTTACGACAGCCAGAAGTTCGTACTCACGACTATCGCCCCTCACGTTGACCGCGGTCTCGATCTTGGTGTTAATCGTGCTACTCTTCGGTGCAGCTTTAGTCGCTACTCCCCTCGTAGCAGCAGCAACCTGTCGCTTCCGCTTAAGTGGTTTCGGTACAAAGTCATCGTCGCCGGCAGCACGTTTCTCTCCCTTCTTAGGCGAGACGGAGGGGCGGAGGATATTAGCGTCCGTCTCCACAAGCGGCCTGCGCACTGGGCTTCGCTGCTGTACTGGTTCAGATTGATGCGCTGTGGCCGACTTCAGGACATCGTAGAGGTCCTTGTCGTCATTTGGCTTAATCACAGCCTTGCCTCCACATCTTCTATCTTTCGCAGCTGGCGGTGGTGGAGGCGAAGCAAGATCTACCAGAGCTTTCTTCGTTTGCTTTGAGGCGGCTTTCCGCTTCGCAGGCTTGAAGTCCACATCTTCCTCGTCATTGTCGACATTGTCTGAATCTGCCACCTCTTCCAACACTTTCTTTTGACCCCGCTTCGTTGACTTCGGCTGAGTCTGCTCCTTGTCCTGACCACCTACCGCTGCCAAAGTCGGTTCGTTGGCCTGTTTCTTCGTCGACCTCCTCGCCTTCGTCTTACGCTTGACCAGTAGGATCTCCTCGTCCAGCACATCCGCTATATCCTCGACAGCCGACACACTGATCTGTGCTTTCGCCACCGAGTCGCCCTTAGTCGCCCGTGTCCGTCTAGGCTTTCTGACAGCAATAAAGCTATCATCGTCGACCGTAGACACAAGTGGAGCCTTGACTGCGTTGCGCCTGGGTGTTTTGCTTGATGTCTTCGGAACCTCTGGCACGGATACTGGTTGCACCGGCTCGGACTGGACCTTGGGTAGCTCAGGCCGTACTGGCAAGAGCTGCTTGGCGGCGACATGCTCGACATCAGTCTTCCGTCGTTTGGCTGGTGGGTCGATCGGTGCAGACTTATCTTGAGGTATGATGGACGAGGCCGGGAATTCGAAGGAGAAGCCGAAGTTGGCTGTAATGTTCCGTGGACTATACTACTATCAGTCGAGTGGCTTCCAAGGGCGTAGGTAGTCTGCACACACCCAGCACCTCGCTGGCGCATCAAATGCTTCTCGTATCTACTTTCTGTTTGCAGGTCAGTGGAGGAAGCAGACTCTGGATTTCAGGATGGCTTACGACTCGAGGAGGCCGTCTGCGACATATCGCCTCCTCAATGCCGTATTTATACACCAGTAACACTGTTATGAAGCGAATACACAATGATGCTCGGGAGTGTTTGGATACTTCCTGATCGGGTCTAGCCTGGCGAGCATGTGAAGCTCGACTGTCATCGCATCGAACAACGGTTAATACTTCAATCAATTCATCAACAAGATGAGCTGGCTCTGGGGCAGTGGTGGCAGTACTGCCGACAAGCAACAACCCAACGATCCATATAGCAAACTCGACCCTAGCTTGAAAGACTTCCTCAGCAGAGAAACGCCATTCACACCCGACACCCCCCCATCAACCAAACCAAAAGCCTCGCCCGATGCCGCGTCGAACGAATACCGCTCCCAACTAGGCTGGACCGAAACATCAACCACTCACACCCCCCAAGATGAAAAGTCCACCGTCCCCCCCGAATCCCTCTACCCCGACGGTCGCTACGCCCACCTCTGGAGCACCTACCGCCCGCGCAGCGAGATCGAAGCCGCGGGTAAAAACGACGCCGACCGTCTCCGGGACGTAATAGAAGCCTACAACGACCGCCGCACCGCCATCGGGGCCGCGGCGATCGAGAACTGCGTCATGGAACAAATGGCCGAGCGCGAGTGCTGGGAGACGGGGACATTCTGGGAAAAGATGAATATGTGTCGGGGCCCGAATAGGCAGTTCTTACGGTGCTATACCATGCAAGCGCGGTTTCTGAAAGCGTTGGGGTATTTGTCACTGAATTCCGTGGGCGAGGAGGAGGAGCGGATTCAGATGCATGCGGATTCGTTGTATCATGAGATGATTGCGCGGGAAAGAGCGGCGGAGGAGGCGAGGAAGGAGGGGAGGGAGGTGGAGATTGTTGGGCAAGTACCGCTGATTACTGCGGAAAGCACGACCGCCGCGCTCGGGGAGAAAAGCGCCTGGGCTCGCGCGAGACAAAAAGCCATTGCCGGCAAATCAGAGGGCATGAAATTGAGCGATTACACCCCCGAACGCCAAGAGCAGATCAGGAAACAACTAGCGGGTTTGAATCCGCAGGAGAAGGAGTTGGAGATGCAACTTATTGCTGCGGAACGAAGGGCGCAGGTGGAGATTGCCGAGGCGATTCAGGAGAGATTTGCGGAGGAGGCGGAGGGTAGGAAGAGTAGAAGGGAGAGGGGGAGGGAGACGGTGGGGGATAGTATTAAGAGGGCTTGGGGTTGGGATAGGGAGCGTTGAGCGTTTGATGCTTAGGGGGTGGAGAGAGCGACGCTTTTGCCGGCCCTGGGATGGGACGAGGACGATGCTCGTTGGTTCCTTAGACCGAAGACCCGGCATCTCACAAGTCTCTTTCCCGACGAGCCTACACGCCTGGCTGGAATGCGGCATTGGACAATAAGACAGTACCACGTGCAGCGAAGCGACTCAGCAGATCCATGCGGCTCGTGTTGTCTAATTTCCGTCAAGCTGTAGCGTTCATAGCCGCTTCGGGCCACGAGACTCGAAGACTGAGTATCACGGCTGCAGTCTCGGTGACTCGAAGGAAGAAAGTGCGGCAGAAATCGGTTGGGAATGTACTCTATATAAACCTTGGTGGAGGGCGCAGAATACGTACGTGGAGAGCGACGGGCTGGACCGGTATGGAGGGTGGAAGTGAAGCACAGTAGCACACAATGTACGGTACATTGGGTTCTCACAGGGACAGAGTCCGGGCAGCAGATGTGGAGAGATACACAGATGCCCCACTGTAAGAAGTAGAAGAGTGACAGCTACAGAATGAATAACCGGTAGAAATGACTCCATCCATTCTTAGGGGAAAAGACCTCGTAAAGGCCAGGCCTAGCACTCCCTCCGCCCCCAAACGCGAACACCATCCCAAGCTCTGACCTCACAACCCAAGACTCGCCAGGCCCATTTCACGTCCCAGCGATTCCTCCGCCACATCCCGTCTACCACCATGCTCCCGCAGTGCCGCTCTCCTCTTCGCGCCGACAAACACGACCGGGATACGATACCCCTTCGCCTCTGCAACGGCTTCCCACTCATCTCCGCTCGTCATTCCACTCGACCCAACCTCGTTCGCTACGTAAGGGCCCGGGCACTGCCATTCCTCGATCTGAACCTCCATGTCTACATCACATCCCCCCATCAAAGGGAAGCAAGACCAATCCCACCTATCTATTCCCTCTGGTCTATCCTTCGGACCGAGGAAAGGCGATGGAGACTTATCCCAATCACCAATCACCGGTGCTGCCTTGTGCAAGATCGTAGTATCGGGGGCGTTTGCGTAGACGTCCAAGGTATCGCAGGTGTGCCATGCGTCAACGGCAATGTGTAGCGTATTCCAGGAAGCGAGTTTGATGCGCTCGAGGTCGAGGCTGGTAAGCGGAGTAGTGGTCGGCTGGGTGGCTTGGCCTCGATGAGCGGTGAAGAGCTGAACATCACAATACTCGGAGAGATGCGGCAGCCATGTCTCTAGGACGGCTTTGACAGCCCAGACCGGATCAGCGACGAAATGTGTCGGCGTGGATCCATCACTGTTGGCTTTCACATGGTTGCTCTTGCCTGCGGAGCAAGGTCGTGGACAAGTCTCCGCCAAAACTCTGATCGTGAGGCGATTGAGGCATAGAGCTCGCAGTCGCCGCGCTGCTCTTGCCCAGTCGCCGCGCCCAGCTGGTAGGTTAAGCAGACTTGCGGCTTCAGGAGGTGCGAAAAGGAGTAGGAATTCAGGCCCATACATCTCCAGGCTCAGATTCCTGACCCTGCGGCCATTTACAGGCTCGCCAAGTCCATCGAACCAGTGGAGAAGATCAGCAGCTGCTGAAGGGTGGCGTAGGTGTGGATTATGATTGCCGGACCCGGAAGAGGAGTAGAAGAACTCTGCAGACCCGTAGAGTTTGGAGTCGAAGACTCGCTTTAGATGTTGAGAGGAGTGTCGAAGACCATTGGTGTCGTCTGGAGCGAGGGGTGTAATGCCGATGTACTGGCTTGCGATAGTATGCTGGTGGCGATTGTGCTCATTGATAGCCACAATGATCTCGGAGGGAAGCGAAAAGATGGTCGTAGCAGATGTCGCGGTAGACATCTCTGTGCGCTTAATGCTGTCGTATATAGTGATACTCGGTAGCGATAGTGTCGATTAGCGACTGTATTAGCGACTGCTCGGCGGAAAGATATGCTTTATAGAAAGGAAGAGAAAGAAAATCTGGTTCAGGCGGACGCCTCGCATAGTTATATACCCTGCATGCGAACGTGGACTTCGTTGAATGCCGACCTACTACTAAGCTCGAACGTGACTGTGTATATAGCGGCTTTATACTTGCCTGTACTCCTGAATGTCTTGCTTGTTACTTCCTGCTTGGCTGGCGTTCCTGGCAGGCGCATGCATGCAGGGCGTGGAAACAGGTTTGTTGTGTTTGTGGTGAATGAAATAAGGCAGCTAGTTGTCTTTGTTACACGTTTGCCGTTGAGACATAGGGACTGTTCACTGTCGGAGTGTCGCGGACGTGCCTGGTAGCTTTCGTTGACGGTATATCTGCTTAGTAGCTGGTTCCCGCGTGTCTCAGCAATAACCCGCCCTTGTAAATGCAACCTTAAAACAGATCGTCAAGCCCTTGTCTTGGGCTTGGCGATCGTATTGCTTCCTCACATCATGGTGTATGTTGACTGTCAGCAAACTCCACTCCCAGGACCTTACCCTCCTCTCAAGCCTTCTTACCCATTTTGAACTTATTCAACGGCGCACCCCTTACCCCAACATCAACCTCAAATACCGCCCCACCAAACTTCTTACTCCATTCATACTTCTCCGGATCCTCCTCCTCGGCACTAGTGATATATAGCTTAGTCCCGCAGAAGCCAGGACAAGTAATACATCTAGTTGGCAGCTCGATCTCAGCCACGATCTCTCCCTGCAGATTCACACGCACGACTCTGCCGGCGCCAAAGATGGCGACCCAGAAGAAACCTTCTTCGTCTTGAGCGTGGCCGTCAGGGACACCGCCTTCAAAAGGGCAGGTGAAGAAGGGTTTCCCGGCTGACCAGTCTGCCTTCCCGGTTGAGATGTCGTAGGGGTATTTTGTTATTTGGCCAGAGGGAGAGTCGGTAAAGTACATGAATTTGTTGTCCAAGGTCCACGAAGTTCCGTTCGGGATGGAGATTTGCTCCTTGGCTCGAGTGAGAGTGAGGTCGGGGTTGAGGCGGAAGAGGATGCCTGCCAGCATGTAAGTACACTTTCTGAAACATCCTCGAGTCCACACGACTCCACCTACCTTCATCAGTAATCTTGCAAACAGATGGATCGTTCATAGCGCCCACCCAATACCGCCCCTCCTTATCAACGGCCCCATCATTACTCCTCATCCTCACCTCCCTCGTAGCACCGACCCCAGGCTTTCCACCACCATCTTCCTTCCTCTCTTCATCATTCCACATAGGCACTATCTGCCTACTCTCCCCAGTCTCCCGATTCATGATCCCATATCCATTTTTGCCACCGAATATGAACTCCTTGTCATTACCTTCGATATCAGCAGTCGTACCGATACTGAAGTCCAGGTCCCATTGTTTGTGTGACGAGGGACCTTTAGCTAGATCGACAAAGTGCAGTTTCTTCTTCACGATGTCGACGAAGCGAAGAGTGTTGCGGTCTTTCTCCCAGAAGGGTGCTTCACCTAGGCCGCATTTGAGGTCGAGATAGGGTTCAGTGACCTTGTAGTTCTTCACTTCCGGCATCTTTCGACGATCAACAAGGTGGGTTATGTGATTCAATTGTTACTGCTGTGATTCAACGATGTATTACTTTCTATCACGAGTCGCTGCTGCCAATGTTGTCAAGTTTCCTCTCGGAAGCGAGCCGACATCGGGAGAAGTGGGCACCACGAGAATAGCCTACACTGTTTGCATATATTAATCTGCTACGATGCTCGTTGTTATAACCACCTGCTTGGACGCCGTCCATGGCCTACAGCGCGATCACAGCTCGTGGGGCGATCTCAGACACCAAAGTCTCTAGTCACGGCCCATACTGTCGACGGAATGGAGCACATTGGATTCTGCATGTCATCCATCTTATATGGACAGGCCATGTGATTACAACATATACCCACCGACCAGGTCCTCTACGGCTTCCCAGGTTGAACAACGACTCCCTCCAACGTCTGACCAACTCGTTGGGTTGCAGTTCATCCCACGCACCAGATACCTCATCCCGTGCCATGCCATACTCTCCCACGACTTCACCCACGGTCCCACGGTGAGCATCTCAGGTTATTACAGCACTACTGTCTCCGCCAGCACGACGCTCCCATCGACCCAACACTATGTCTCGCGGCGTGAACCTTCGAGCTTATATGCGACCAAAGAACTCAACATCCGGAGCATTTCTCTGGCGGCATGGTCAGCGGGTTGCCCCTCAACGCCTCGTTCTTCAACAAACGGGCCAGCATATTCGGGTCCGACGGGATGACAATTGTTTCGTCACATGCATATGCTAGACTTGGTGCCGCCCAACAATACTTCAGTTGAGGTTTTGCGCAACGTAAAGGAACCAAGGCGCATGTCAAGCCGCACTCATTCCCATCAGCAGCGTGCCGCGGCCACATCCACTCGGAGCACGAGTAGCATGTTGCACATCTCAGATATGTTGGTCGGGCCGTATCGCAGTATGCACGTCACACTCTCCTGGGACGTAGTCCCGAACTTCTGCGACTTCTTTGTCTGGCAATTTGTAGCACGCACGTTGTCGGGGCAAGCGGAAACTGCAGAAAATGCTTAACCGATGTGTTGTCGGCAGTGCAGGTTTTGTCACTGCCTCATATGTCGTGCTACCACAGGCTGCGGCTCGCCGGCTGCGGATTGTAGCAAGTGGGTTGCGTGACTTGTGTGTTCACGCGGCACTCACGTGGCTTTCTTTTCTGGACGACATTGACATCATACCGCACGTGCTGAGCGCTTGCATCCATGCTTGTTCTCGTCTTGCGTGTACGTTTCTTGTACCAATAACTTGTCGTTCGAGTAGCATCATGTGCTCCGAGGTGGTTCTACTCCTTTCGTACAGTCTTTTGTCACGAAGATAGACCCTTGTACTGTAACTGCTGATAGCGCAACCCAGCAATAGTGGCATAGGTGGCGTACTCGAGCACAAATGCGGGCAGTAAACACTGAAAGAGGAGCACCAGTAACCACTTACGGACCTATGCGGTGTGGCCGTGTTGGCTCAACGGTCAAAGATGCGGGCGTCAACATTCCAGATAGATTAAGATTAGGTCGGCAGTTTGCATGCAGCCCTTTCGACTACACCTGCCACAAGGCGATCGAGCTTCGAGCTCATCGATTTATCCTTCCGGGTCTGCACTTCCGTGTGGGCTGACTTGCTTCGGCGCAGTCGCTGTCGCTGTCGCGCTCTACCTGGGTCAGTTGTGTTGTTTCTGCGGACGATTGCCCGTTTAGGGCTCTGCTGCTGTCGTTATTCATCGGGGTCGGGTTAAGATAGCAAAAGCGATGGCGAGGCGACGGGCAGAAATCCCAGATGCACTCCACGGTAAGCTTGATGCATGTTAGCCGATGGCGTAACTAGCCGGCTGGCACGTGGATGTACCGGGATGTAGGGTCTAAGAGTGTGGGTCAAAGAAATGAGGTTGTGAGACCTGCCACAGCCACGCTAAACGACAATGCGATCGAGTCAAAGAATCGGGATTGTTCGTCTCGATGACACCATCAAGAACCCTCTTGACTTGCGGCCAGCAGAGCGGCCAGAGGAGCCTTGAAGCCAAGATGCCGCACTTGATGCTAGTAAGCGGTCGTCATCTAGCCGATGCTAGCTCTGCAGACCGCTCCAGTGGCTTGGTCTCTGGCGCAGGTCTAATTTCCAGCGGCGCCAACGCCGACTGGGCCATTCAAGGCCATGACGCATGCTCTATGGTACAGAACGATGCGCCAACGAGAGCTATGCACTGTTGGCACTTATTTGTGTCGCCCATGCTACTCAGGAGCCGACACGTCATCTCGCTAACGACAAGCGCCGTGCGGATTCGTGTACACGGTGACGGTGTACGACCAACGTGCCTCGTGGCTTGCAAAGCGAATGTCAAATGAAGAAGGTAGTAAGACAAGATGCTATATTCTGGACTGGCCCCGTTATGACACACATGTGCGCACGGTTGTCCCGGCTCACGTGGAAGCATAGCGTGGACGCAGTACGGACCATGGCCTAGCTTCCTGGTACTACGCTAGATCCTTTGAAGTTGTCAGCGGAAGAGCTAACAATGGAAGACATCCGTAAGCCTTCTCGAAAGCATGAGCGAGATTGCAGCTAGACTTGATAGCGCCATCAAGGCCTTAGGCGAGATCAGGTCGTTGACTTTTAGATTACTTCGGACGAGGATAGCAGAGGAGCAGAGGACTCACTCGGGGCTCAAGTGGCGCGATGTGTGCGCAACGCAATAACGTATGGCTTGCATCGCTACTGCACAAGGCCTGATCGCGGGATTCAGAAAATCAAGCTCGCCGACCAATTACAGAATTCCGCGCATGCGGCTACATTAGAAGACGAGGTGTGTTGGCATGGGGGTTTATCTAGTGCCACTCTGCTGCGTCAAGGCGCGGGTGGTCTGCCGGACTATATGCCTGCAGGCTGCACATGACCTTGAACCTATGTATGCACGGCCAACCACGCGGCCAATGACCGCAGAGCTTAAATCGATCCAGGCCACCAACCGCGGTGTTCCCTTTTATCGCGCGAGGATGCAACAGGCGTCGAGTTGCGAAGCTACGCAGTTGGAGTATGCCTACCAAAAGGCAGAATCCTGTCGGCTGTGATTTCCAAGCATAGCCGGCAAGACCCACGGGACTAAGAAGTCACAGCACCATAGGGCAGGGCCAATACGGCGACGGGCAATAACGATCTGCGCGTAGTGCACCTGCAGCGCCAGATGTCGTGCCTGATTGACAGCTCATCTATTTGACGCCGTCCATTGATGCCCAACGACGATGCTAGCTTGCCAGCGTATGCATTACAGCAGAAGCATCCGCATCTGAGACGTTGACTGTGACCAAGGTGTAGATCAACATGTAAGTGCCTCGACCACCGGGGCCAGGATCTGTGTTGGTTTGGTCAGATGCCACAGCGCAGAAATGCAAGCCATAGCCGAATAGGCAGACGAACGGCCCGTAATGGCGCGAATGTAGGATAGATCTTCGGACTTAGCACCCTGGATGTGCCAGCGAAGTCAACCGAGTCATCTGCACCCCTCACCAGACGCCGGTTGTCTACACTGTTGTTGGGGAGAACAAACCCTAAGCAGAACATGCGAAAGCGCCGCTGTGATGAGTGAGATTCGAGGTCGTATTTGCACAATGGTCTGGCTCCGTCACACCTGCTGGCACGCGCCACTTATGGCTCGAGCGATCGTTCGGACCCATGATCTCGGATGATGGTACAGTTGCTCTAACGAACTCAGATTCCCCACCGTCAGCAAGCCGTGTTGACGGCAGTTGCACTCTAAAATTACGCTGCCACGAATTTGCGGTACCTGAGCCAGTGTTATGAATTTGAGGTGAACTCGGAAAAGGCAGCCCGACGGATGCGCCTGGGATGCTCTGTGTCCCGCACGTATCAGGTGGCTGCGTTGATTCGCGTGGCCAGCGCCCTAGCCTCTGGTACGAGGGTGCGTGTGCGCCAGCCTTCAGGAGCCCGCAGGACAATAAACAAAAATCGCGCTAGCGTCGCATCACCTTGGAACAAGAAGGTCAAAACGCAAGAGAAGCTTGAACACCGTCCTAGCCCTTGCTCATCCCGTAATCCGCGGCCCGCCTGCGAAGTCACAACCCTTGCCTTGCGCTTTGGGGTGTGGCAGAGGGACCGTTCGGCCCATGTCGACGGTGCTTAAGTCGGTCTGAAAGAGCCCTGCGCACAATGATGCGTGCAGCACTAACGAGGCTTGAGATGCTTTGCTGAATGGGGGTCGATCCATTGTGTTGCCATCTCACCGCCCTGTTATATCAGTGGCTACATCCGTCCGGTGCGGGCGGTCCAGTGTCTACTGTTCCTCCCATCTTTGCGACCTCATAGGTGCTCAAGCACATCGCCTATCATACTTTGTGTCTCAGCTCAGCACGTCGACCATCTCGCGCCTGACCAGATACTTTATCAGGCTTACCTCATTGTAAAGCCGGGATTACGGCTTGAGATATGACAATTTCGTGGTCGCACGTGAGCACCCAATAATTGCTCCATAACATCGACACGCATCGACTGGCGACGACCACTGCTGCTGCCTATTGGGACGTCCTCGCGTCCCACAACATTGGCAATCGTGGCTGCCCCAGACGTCCAGCGATACCAGGGCACCACCCATTACACAGGCCCATTTGTCTACGGTAGACTGTCTGGTATCTCGAACTCCTGGTCGCCTGCTTACGACGCCGTCGTTAGGTCCCGGGGCCGCAAAGCGTCGACGGAAGATCCAAAGTTTCCATGCAACGGCGCCCGGGACCGGACGGGGCATTTAGCGGAGGATTACATGTCGAAGAGGTCGACTGAACAGCGATCTCTGGATTCGTCGGACGAAAAATGTGCAGCAGCATCAGCAGCATCTGCATCAACGGTCCAACATGGTCTTCCAGCTCCTCCTGCTTCATCAAGACCTCCATCCCGTGTCTCACTTGGACAGCCTAATCCTGCTGGGTTTGCGGTCGACCTACTGCCGTATGCCTCAAGACCGGGAGATTCAAGTACGCTCACCTCGCCCGCCTCATCGACGACCCGTCTAGCTGGAGTGCACGCTATTCTGAACCCGCCACACGGCGACGAGCTGAACCCGGGACGAAGACGCAAGGCTCATGAGTTGGAATCACCTTTCCCTACCGGTCAAGCACTACCACCTATAGCGATGGGCGGGCAGTCTGCACGTGCTACGCCCGTATTGGGTCGTGCTTCACCGATCATGTCCTTCGGCGGACCTCCAGAGCTAGCTCCACGGCGGATCTTGACACCAAGATCTCCGTCTCTACATCGTGCTGCAAGCCTCGGGCAATTGCAGCCCCCAGCTAGTACAGTCACTCTTCAGCAGGGTAATTTTCCGAACTCACCCAGGACTCGAGCGTATGCTATAGAGCCCGGGACAGCTGGAGCACCTCCATTGCCTTTGTCTGTGGGTGTTCCCCGGCCCGCGTACGATTATACTAGTGCCACACCATCAGCAGAGGCGGCGAGGAGAGCAGGCATGACTGTTGGTCGCAGTACCCGAGCTCCATCGGGCAGTGCAAGCCCAAGCAGCTCCTATTCTTCATACAGCCAGGCAGAGCAGACCTCTCCAGCTAGCCAAGCGATGGGCCTATCTGCCGGTGGTCTGAATATTGATCGACAGCGACATATGGGTATTCCGATCTCGTCATCCTCCGGCGGGCAAAATACGTATCAGATGATGACGTTGGAGACCACATCTGGGACAGTACAATTGCCTGTCGATGTTCAAGCTGCGTCAAGAGTTGCCGATGAGAAACGAAGACGGAACGCTGGGGCTAGTGCACGGTTTCGACAGAGACGGAAGGAGAAGGAAAAGGAAGCGTCGGTCACAATAGGCAGATTGGAGCAGCAGGTGAAGGAGTTAGGCGAAGATGCAGACTTCTATCGACGCGAGCGTGACTATCTGAGTGGTATGCTGTCTCAGGCTCCAGGCGGTGATCGTCATTTTCCACGCCCACTATCACCTCGAAGGCGCCGTTCATCTTCTGTCATGGCTGGCCCTAGTGGGGGCGGCGGCACTGGCTACATGAGTGCAACAGAGTCAGGAGCTCGTAGCCCCGAGCAGAGACGCAACGTGCGAAGGCGGACTTCCACCTTGTCGCTTCCGCAGCCGCCACCACCTCCTTCCCAGTTCGCCGCGCCACAAGCAGGTGGACGTCCTCACGCCAACTATGCAGCTCCTGGGCTGTTTGGCGCAGACCCTCTGGTTCAGCAGACCACACAGATGCGACGACCATCTGGTCCCTTACCGCCTGCGCTCGCAAGAGAGTCGCTACCGACATCGACAGTATTGCCTCCGATGCAACATGGACCGCCTGCGCCGGCATCTGCAGACACGCGAAGCCAGCCACAGACAGGACCGTGGAACCCTTTCGCTACTGAGCGGCGATCTACGGGGTTTGGAGATCCACGTGACTCACGTTGAGAATGCTTTTGTGGCCCCACTGTCGATAATTTCCGTCCTACTTATTGTGAGCATTTACGATACCCCAGAAGCGCGACAAGCTGCAATTTTCGCCGTGCTTGTTGGAAACCAAATGAGGATGCCGGTCCAGATTGCAAACATCCATCCAATCCGATGTACACTTGTGAAGTCTAGATAGATAGATTTGAACGATCTCACGATCGCGGTACAGTGTACATAAGAGCGAAGCAGTTAAGGAATATCAACATGATCGTGATTCAAGCTGTACCCTCGATGACTACGGAGAATTGCTCCCTCCTCTTGCCTTTGATGTGGCTTGAATCCTTAAACCTTTTGTTTTTCGAGCGAGTAAGCAGGCCACAGTGCATGTACTGTGAAGATTACGACGCCATTACGAAGTCAGCGCTCCTGCTAAATTAGGAAGGTCATTACGAGGCGGCACACCGACTCCTGCAAGCCATCTCCTTACTTCCTATCAGACGACAACAAAGCCCTTTTGACGTTTCCAGCTCGTGTCATGTACTCGGCGACCGCCATAGGCTTTGGCTTGATAGCCGCCTTTCACTATGCTGCCTGCCGTCTGAGAAGCAGTCGAAGCGTCCTCAGGCTGGGGACAACCCTCCGCAGGGTTCCGAGCTTCGCAGGTTGTGTGCACGCAATACTCCAAAAGGTTGCGTTTACTATGATCCTTGGAGCAGTTCACCGGACACCATTGGTCAACCACTACTTACGCAACTTTGTCGACTGCCGAAGGGGAGGTGTCGTCAATCCCGGCAATTCTCGCGTTCTCGCACCAAAGCATAGCCTGCACGAGCGAACGCAATACTACAAATGAAAGGCGAACATCCCCGTCTGCCACCGCTATGAGGCTTGAGACTACTGAACCATCTTTTGGGTTTATTTTGGGCGATTAAATACCCCACAGCGGTGTCGATCATTATCTCTTGCTTTTCTTGACATGAGCGGCTGAGCCCATGGTGATCGTCCCTAGGTGCATTCGTCGATCCTCTGACGGAGCAATCCATGGATGATAAAGTTCGCGTTGGCAGAACAAGCGTGAACACAACGGAAGTTTCAGGGTTGGCGAGTGGAAGCGTGAACACAACGGCTCCACACCGTTGGAATCGTGAACGCCAGCAGGGACTTTCTAGGGCTTTGAGATGCCATTCCGCGAGCTACAATCCTCGCAGCTAAATCATCAATGATGATCGAGAATCGCCTTTCCGAAAAGGCAGTTTCGAGCTTCAGACACTGGTAGAGTGCATCGACAGGCCAATTGCGCGAGCTTGTCGGCTGGGCCCACTTGTCGAATCCTTGTTGAGCCTCCGAGTCTATGCCAGCCTGATGGATGTATAGTAGCCGATCGGATGGATTGGCTTAATATGCACAGCTCTCAGTCGCTCCCCGAGCAGGAGTGTGGCTGCTATCGCAATGGTGCACTTCGAAAGTATGCCGGTACTCATGATGCGGGATTGCTAGCTTAGCATCGGCTCGAGCCATGAGAACGAAGCGAGAGAGCTGGACATACGAAATGACAACCAAGTCAGCTGGCCACATTGATAGCGGGCTCTTCCTGGCAAATGCCAAAACATGAACGTCTCAGCTTCCAGGCAAAGTCAGCTGAAAGTGATGTCGGTGTAAGGCGCATCCATACGTGTTCTACGTGGCCCTGACATGACATCAGCTATATAGAAGCGATCACGGCTACGATGGCCCCACAAAGTGAGCCGGCAACCCACGAAGCGTGCGTGTCGGCTATCATGTCTGAAGCACATTCGGCATATTAATACGACTATATGGTAGCCAAGCTGACCATGCACTCACCAGATCATGGCTGTATCACACGGAGGCTCTTCGTCTTGGGACAGTGTTGCTGACTGGTCGTCGACCCCAAACTGCTCGGTGACTATACAGGGACCTAGCACAATAGCCCGCGATCTAGCTGATGATGCATGCTCACAGATATCAGGGATACCGCAAGTGCATTTCTCCAAACACATGGCTGCTATGCTGGCGAACAAATCACAAACCCAACCACCAATGAATTGAATACGCTGGCTGGCCGTAGCTGGGGCTGTGCATAAGCCCGGAGATATATACCCAAGCCCGAAAACAGGTCACCGTAAAATCCTCGTACTTATCGCGGTCTTCAGGATTAGACCCCAATCAAGGACTTATATTCGGGTCCGGTACCTGATCGTTCAGTCAGCATCCTGTGGAGACATGCAAGTCGCAGGATCAGCAGCATCAACTATCTACCATGGGTTCTAGGGGCTCGAGGCCACATTGGCGGTGTCACGCCCATGCGCATAGGTACTCGAAGAGAGTATCCGAGTATGACTGCAGCAACTGAAGGCGCGACCATGACTCCAGGCCAAGCAGGTCCGGATGTACAGCATTCATTCGGCTGGAGCTACCGCCAGAGGGGTTACTTCGCGAAGCTACTGGAGCTGGGAATGCCGACTGCTCCGGAGAAGTGTGCACAAATCAGACGAGAGAGAGATTACTGATATGTGTTTGTATTGGCAGTAATAAGTAATAGCTCCTGACCACCGTCATGCATGCCATTCATCCAACATTATCGCTTTCGTGTAGACATAACATAGCTCATGATTTTGATCACATTGACCATCTTCCTCTGGATTGGCCACCATTATTCGGGGTTCAAGACACCACTAGGCTGAGTAGGGACTGTCCAGGAATTGTGGCGATCGCCTTACCACCCGGTAAGCTGCGAGCAACTCCCTCGGTCAAGTTGTTGGCATTATTGGTCAGGTAGGTCTTCACCCCGCTGTGTCCCCAGCCCCATTGCATGGGAACACCGCTAAGCGTGATGGTCTCGGTGTTGTTACTGTTATTGATGACTTGCACGGCGGTGGAGCCGTCAGTATTCGCGAAGGCACTGACGTTGAGAGCAGCGGAGCCAGAGACGGCATCGATACGGTGAGCACCAGCACGGATAAACCTGGAGCCGTAATGAACGTGCGCCCATAGACGACCAGTAACGGTGACCTCTGCCGTATTGTTGACGAAAAGCAGAGACTGGTTGTCAGTGGTGTTGGCAGCGCCCCACCAGTAGAGATGACCGGTAACGTTGCTGATTGTGAAGAGCTTCTGGATGCGATTGGCCCAAGCAATGCCGTCGCTTTGGCTACCGCCGGTGGTGTACCAGTTCTTGTTGAAGTTATCGAATGTCGACCACTCAGTTTGCCATACCTTCTTGGAAGTTACGAAGGGAGCGCCTGGGTAGGACGAGTAGCCGTGAGATGTGACAAGTCCGAGATCGTTCTCGTAACCCGCCTCTTGAATGCCAGTCAGACGTTCACGGTTCTGCTCCCAGCCGGAGCCATCGCAGCAAGCGATCTGGGTGTTGAGGCCGGCAGCCTTGAGGGTCGGGTAGAGAATCTCGATGAAGTCGGCAGCCTGCTGGCCATTGGACTGCATAGATGCGTACGTGGTGCTGTTGAAGCGGTCAGTCACGTCTTCTTTCTTAAGACTAGGTCGAATACTTACTTGAGATCAGGCTCGTTCAAGAAGCCGACATAGTTGATCGTGATACCCTCAGCGGCGTAGTCTTGAATGTACTTGACGATCTTGTTCGCATATGACTGTCTCCAGTCGCCAGATGCGCAGGTTGCGTTCGTCACACCGCAGAGATACCCACCGTAATCCTCAGTACCTGTTCAATGTTAGACCAGTCTCAGGTTTGGTAGGATTGAGGCAGACGGCTCACCATTCGTCTTCATGTAGCCATCAGCGCTCCACGCATCAGCGTAGACGGTGGTCACGCCTCGTGCAATGGCCTGGTGAGAGAGCCAGACCTGGTACTCATCCTCACGGGGTAGGGGAATGAAGGCAAGCTATCGCCAAATCATCAGCTGCGGTTTCAGTCTTTCTAACAGGCAGGTACGAACCTGGCTACTGTTGGAGGCCGGTGCAACAGGTGCAATGGACTTCATCAAGTCGAAAGGGTCGGTTGGCGCAGAGCCGAGACCATTGCGAAGAATGGTCATGCCCGCGCCCGTCTTGTTGCTGAACAAATAGTCCAGTACCTCAGCCTGAGCCGCTGGGTTGAGCTCGTGGATGACCAGACCACGCTGGAAGGCCTCGGAGACACCAATGCCGTCGAAGCTCTGGTACTTCGTACTGGGGTTAACGTTGATGGTGACAGAGGACTGACCACCGTTGCCGCCGTTGCCACCGGGGCCTCCCCATCCACCTGACCCGCCCCATCCACCTTGCGCATTGGCAACCGCCGCAAAAGCGGTGCTGAGGGCTGCGATACGGCTTGCCATGGTGAGTTCGTAGCTGATGACCGTGTCTTGGGATTAATCGAGGACGACTGGATCATGGAACTGGGGGGCAATCTCCCGCGTCTTATACCGTCATACTCCTTCGAAGACGTTGGTCATGATCCGATCAACCCCTCCGATCCAGCCTGCCTCGAAGCATTGTGGCTGCGCTACATATACAGCCTGTAGATGAAGTTCTCGCGTGGAGTAAGCAGATACGAGTCGCGTAGCTGAGGTCGTTCCTGGATCTACGCCAGATGAGGTATGGTCGGATGCAGACAGCTGTGAGCTTCACGGTGAGCTTCACACGTGGTGACGTTGTCGTAGGCGGGACGTCCTTGGCCAAGGAAACGCTGTACCGCTTCGAGCCCGAACGATGCCAGATGAGGCTCTTCACATTCAGCCGAGAAGACTTCAATATATTGAGGGGCCCCACACTTTGATGCAGTCCTTTCCCCACATTAGCCAAGAGAGCATTTGATGTCCTTACGGACAGAAGGATAATGGTCTTGTGGATCCTGGCGGACGATGAGTTGCGATGCGGTTCCAGGACGAAAGTGCATTGCCGATAGAACATGAGGTGGGATCTGCTAGGCACAGCACCACCACACGTGAAGCAACGGAAAGAACGACGGAAAGTGATATCTGTAGTTGTTGTTGATGGGCAGCGCCATCATGCTTGGAAAAATCTACTGATGAGCTAGAGCCGGTTCGAAAGACATAGCAAGGACAGGGCTGGATGTGCATTGGACGCTGGCCAGGGCCGTGGCTGGTGCTGGTGGATGGCAAAGGCATCGGCAGCATGTGTGCGCCCGGGAATTTTAATAGTGCAAGAGTATGGCATGCCTGCTTGCCCAGCATATGCGATCAAAATGTCCTACACTACTTGCTAGACCAGAGAAATCGGCCGCAGTGGCGTTGACGTGAAGCACACAGAGCTGATGGCGATAGATTGCGTGCAGCACACCCATCTTGAAATGTATTGTGGACACATACACGACATGACCGGTCGCGAGCAAAAGTTGATGACCCAGATTTTGGGTCATGTTACCGTAAAGGTTCGAAGGATGAAGTTGCGTTGTCGTGAAGGGATTCATCGATATTTCTACTGAGGAGAGGTCTTGCTCTTGGCCAACTACTTTGGGACTAGCGTATGCAGCAATTCCATCTTCAGTAGTAATAGCGAAGTTATCAGCTCGGAAGACGCATCATCCGTCGTCCTGCAGTAGGTAGTCAGCGAGTGACAGGCTCAGCAGGATCTTCTTGATCCGACACTCCTGCTGAGCGGTCTCACTCGCACTTTCATGATCACAGCACCCTCACAATGCCTGCTCTTGCGAGTCCAGCCTCGTTGGCTCCGGCGATTATTCTACTGTTGACGTTTCTGCTGGTTCGCGCCGTCGTGAGAAGTCGCAAAACCGCTCACATCCCGAGCGTACGGTATGGCCAGATACCAGGTTTTCGATCATGGCAGGGAGCGTACGCGTACTTGCGGGACCCGGAAGCCACGCTCAAGGAGGGTTATGAGAAGTACCCAGATGGGTGCTTCAAGGTAATGGAGAATGACCACGAAGATCGACCTTCTGGCTACTCACTATTCATAGGTGGCAACATTGACTAGTGAGTTGATCATAGTCAGTAGTACGGAGAAGCTGGGCGAATACCTAGCCGCGCCAGATTCGCAACTCAACGTTCAAGATGCTATCAACGAAGGCATTCAATTCCAATGGACCATGGGTCCTGGGGTATACTTCCGCCCGTATCACATCCCGATCGTACGTGGCAAGATGACGCAGAACATCGCCAACATGGTTCCTGCATTGCAAGAAGAGATCACTGGTCTGCTAGACGCAAGCATTGGACATCCTGCCGATTTTAAGGAAGTTGCTATCCATGATGTGACTATTGATATCATCGCCAAGGTCGGCAATCTTGCTCTGGCTGGGCCCGTTGTCGCCCACAACCAGGCATACATAGATGCAGCTATCCAATATACTTTGGATCTTATGGTGTCAGCAGAGTTCTTGCGCCCGACCCCAGTTGTGGCAAAGGACTACGTGGCGTACCTTACGCCTGCCTATCGAAGCAAGAAGAAATGCGAGAAGATGATTGGTGGCTACATACAGGAACGTCTGAAGGCTACTGACGCTGGTGAGGCGAAGACACAGGATATGTTGCAATGGCTTATCGACTCGGCGCCACCTGAAGAGCGAGTGAGTACATTGCACGCTGGAGACCTTGTGACCATTGGGCGAAACCTGACTGTAATTTGCAGACAATGCCACAGTTAAACGAAAGGCTACTAGCATTGAATGTCGCAGCCATTCATACCACCACAATGACTTTGACGAACGCCATCTATACTCTATGCACAGAACCTGAGAAATATCTACCCGCTCTCCGCGAAGAAGTACACCAGCACATACCAGACAGCCAGTTCACCAAGGAGCGCATCGACAGTCTGTCCAAGCTAGACAGCTTCTTTCGAGAATGTGGCCGTGTCGGAGCCATAGGCACGTTGGCTTCAGGACGTCTAGCCAGACATGATTTCACGTTCAAGAATGGCACTGTCATCCCGAAAGGGTACATGGTCAGCGGATCTATCCCGGTCCTTCATAAGCTGGTGTCGCCAGAGGAGGCACAATTCGATGGTTTCAGATATAGCCGGATGGCCGAAGAAGGCAAGAAGCAGATGCAAGCCGTCAGTACGAGTAACGACTACCTAGCTTTTGGCCATGGTAGACATGCATGGTACGTGCTGCGAACTTACGAGGTGACTTGCGCCCACTAACGATTCACAGCCCTGGACGCTTCTTCGCAGCTAGCGAGATGAAGCAAATCTTTGCGAACATGATTGTGCGTTATGACATGAAGCTGACACTCGGCACCAAGCCGATGCGGCTCTACATTGGGCCCGCGAAGATACCAGAGACGAAACTGAAGATCCAGATGAGGGCCGCTCAGTGACCAGAGGTTAGATGATTAGATCCACAACCCATTTCCTTCAATTCGAGCAATGGATACATGTTATCCATGTCGTAGGCGATGCTACAGAACTATGGTTGTGAGTCAGATTACATGATTGCAACTTGGGCTATCTGTCGTGCCCGTTTTTCGAGGTGAGCCATGGCTAGTCGGTACGCTAGTGTACGATGAGGTAAAGATGCCATGATTATTCTTAGGACCTGCAGGAGGAGCTCCATAGCCTTGTTGGTATTAGCTACGCATTCCATACTAGATAGCATGATCGACGTCGAGTTGGAGCTTGTTGGCGAAGAGTCACCATCAACGCCTTTGCCGACAAGGCGTGAAACATAAACAAATAGGATTCTAGAGCCCGTCATTGCTTGTGAGATCGCACCCCACAAGTCCTGTTCGAAACGAAAGCTACAATGTCTGCAGCTTCTGGACGACTGACCATCCGTGACCTTGGCTACTCGCCTGGCTTGCTGCCTGTCGGGCCAACGAACAGCATCCTGGACGTGACAGGGGTGCATATTGGACAAGTGACTCTGCCTACATCAAACAGTCTACCCGCTGGGTCGACCGCAACAAAAGGCGTGACAGTGATTTGTCCTCGAGCGCCTAAACAATGGTACAAGCCCTGTCGAGCTGGTCGGTTTGTCTTCAATGGGAATGGTGAAGTGACTGGGCATGTCTCCTCACCAGGGTGAAAACTGCAGCGTCTGCTGACAGTTATCTACACGCAGCTCTGGCCAGGTCGAAGACTGGGGTTACGTGTAAGTTGCCGGGCTCATCTATTTCCTGCGAGCACGAGTCCTGATCAAGCTCTCAAGGAACACACCCATTGCGTTGACCAACAGCTTGAGTTTGGGAGCCGTCATCGACGCAAGCTGGGACTGGATCCTGGAGCAGGAAGATCGGGCCAAATTTGACCTGCTTGACCGATCGAGACACTATGGCACACCCATTGTCGGCGAGACTGCCGACTGGATTGTGAATTCTGATATCCGTCACAGCAGACTTGCCAAGGACGACATTCAATCTGCTTTCGACAGTCTCAAAAATCTCGAGTCCGGCGGGTCTGTCCACGAAGGTCAGTATGGCGGCGGCGCGGGCATGACATGCCACCATCACGCGGGTGGTACTGGTACAGCAAGTAGGCTCGTTGGTGGCGGCACGGACGGTGATAGACAGTATACGATGGGTGTACTTGTCCAGACCAATTACGGACACCTGCCCTCGCTTTCGATTGGTGGTGTGCCGGTTGGTCGAATCCTACAGAAGGAGAAGGCGGCGAAGGAGGGTGTCGAACCAGGTGCACTGGAATTTGACCCACGTAAGCGTGCTGCTGATCAGACTGGTCGAGCCAGTGATGGCTCGATTGTGGTCATCGTGATCACGGATGCGCCTCTATCTTCAACGCAATTGAGACGCGTGGCTCGACATGCTACGTCGGGTCTGGCACAAGTCGGAGGCCACGCTATTGGATCAAACTTCTCAGGCGACATCTTCCTCGCATTGTCGACTGCCGAATATGGCCCCGAGCAGCTTTTAGATGGCTCAAGCTTGCGAGGAGCCTTCAAACCAATTCAGACCTACGCATCTGAGACAATCAAGAACGAGAGTATAGACCCATTCTTCATTGCTTGTGCAGAAGCCACAGAAGAAGCGATCTTGAACAGCTTAGTGGGTGGTCGGCCTGGAACGGTGGGCATGGACGGTACCAAGATTGATGGGTTGCCGGTGAAGAGGGTTGAAGAGCTTCTTCGGCAGTACCATGTGAAAGTGTGAGAGTGCGGTCGTGTAGTAGGCATGTAGTTCAGATGCGATGCAGTACCGCCTTCCTTTAGCGTGCCTAGACGCTTGACGCAAATCTCATGCTGCCGGACAGGGAAGCGTTCGAGATCGAATGCAACCACACATTCTCGAGCTACATCTCAGCAACCTACTCCTCGCCAAGAAGCCGTGATAGCCGATAAAGCAGGCAGGTTCTTTGCTTATGGTGAGTCTCCACCACATGGCGGTGACCTGGAGAAAATCTAAAAAGGAACATCGGCGCGCACACCCGTCAAACGTACGGTTTCGTTGACGTATCTATATTGCCTCGGTCAAAGTATCTCGAAATTATATTAACGACGCCACCAGCCATTGTCCAGATTCCCCAAACGCCACAGTCTTTCAAGGTTCCTCCCTGCCTTGTGGGGCAATGAACATCTCCACAGCGCACATCACCTTTAGCCGCGCGGGGACGACAACCAGATCTTGTACCACACTTGCCTGTTTCCAGAATGGTTCATGCAGGGAGGAGTCAACACGAGCCGCAATGCAGGTCCATACCACGAGAACATGCAAGACTGCATTGGTATAGAACTCCGGACTCTAATGGGGTGACATGCCGTCTAAGTCGAGGCGATTATGCTAGACGCACCAGCGATGTGGTCTCCAGACCTGTCATTTGGGATCTGCCGCATATGTGTTGCATTGACTGGGCAGAGCATATAAGTTCCTCGGGTCCGCCATCAAGGTTTGCCTGCATCTCCCACCAATACTGTCACAACAGCATCGCACAATGGCACGCTCACTCGCTCTCTCCGGCCTGGCCCTTCTGCCATTGATCGCAGCCCAGCAAATCGGCAAGGTACCTGAAGTCCACCCTCAACTGCCATCACAATACTGCACCAAGCGAGGTGGATGCAGAACAGTCCAGACATCGGTTGTGATCGATGCACTCTCCCACCCCATTCTCCAAAGCAACGGGGCCTCCTGCGAGAACTCCACCGGCTTCCCAGACCCATCCGTCTGCTCCACTGAACAGTCCTGTGCGAAGAATTGCGCCATCGAGGGGATCAACTATGCCGCTCACGGCATCAACGCTCACGGCAGCTCGCTCACGCTCCACCAGTACCTGAACGTGAACGGGACCGAGGAGAGCGTCTCGCCCCGTGTCTACCTTCTCGACCCAAGCGGCAAGAACTACCAGCTTATGAAGCTCCTAAACCAGGAAGTGACCTTTACGGTCGACGTCTCGAACTTGCCTTGCGGCATGAACGGCGCCCTATACATGTCAGCCATGGACGCCGACGGTGGCCGGGGCCCACTCAACCCAGCTGGCGCTCAATACGGGACCGGGTATTGCGACGCTCAGTGCTTCGACACAGCCTGGATCAACGGTGTCGCCAACGTCAAGGGCTATGGCGCCTGCTGCCAGGAGATGGATCTCTGGGAAGCCAATGCCCGCTCTACTCAGCTCACACCCCACGCCTGCAACGTCACCGGACTCTACGAGTGCTCAGGCGCTCTGTGCGGCGCCAACGGTGTCTGCGATAAGTCTGGTTGCGGCATCAACCCTTACCGCGGCAACAAGAACTACTACGGCTACCATGATATCGTCGATACGACGCAGCCATTCACTGTTGTAACACAATTCCACACAGACTCCGGTACCGCGAACGGCAATCTGAACAAGATCACCAGGCTTTATGTGCAGAATGGCAAGGTTATTCAGAACCAGGCTGTCAACTACACTGACACCAAGAGCACGAACGCCATCACTGTAAGTCTCTTCACCGCATCCATTTCTCAACGGCATCACTGACGTATACATCACCAGAACGACTACTGTAATGCCACAGCTCCAGTCTTTCAGACCGAGGGCGGCCTTAAGCAGATGGGCAAGTCTCTTCAGTCCGGCATGGTTTTCATCATGTCCATCTGGAACGGTACGTGCCTGCACATTTCCGCCTCGTAAGAAACATAAGACTGATTCAAACTGCAACAGACCAAGGCGGTAACATGACCTGGCTCGACACTGGTAGCGCTGGCCCGTAAGTGATATCACATACTCTGATGTGATAATACCGGCTAATATTTCCATAGTTGCACCGCCGAAGAGAGCGGCCCAGCCGTCATCGTCAAGAACGATCCCTCGACCAGCGTGGTCTTCTCCAACATCAAGTAAGGCTCTCAAGTCCCATCTTACAAGATCCGGGATAGTTGCTGACACATCGTAGATGGGGTGACATCGACAGCACCTACGAGGACTGCAGGTGGTAATCGGATGGTCTAATTGACTCTGATCTCAGCGCTGTAGCTACTATGTACCAGCTAGGCGTGCGTAGCAGTTGCAAATCTGCTCGAACAATCCTTGAGTATTGTTTTTTGTCAACGTACTCTTATCCTATGTGGGTGTCATGTTCCGAATTTCCTAAGGAGAATCCTCCGTTGAGACCATGACGGAAGTTGTGATAGCGAGTGGAGCACCCTACGAGAGGGAGAAGACTGTGACACTGGCGGGTCGCAGCTGCCGTCTCATGCCTTCAGTACATAGTATGTGTGAATCTTTATAAGGAGTCATCCTAGAGCACGTACACCACGGTGGTGAGGTAGTATTGACGTCGCTACTTGCTGTTGGTCAAGTCGAGGGGTATGATGCAGAGACTGTGCAGGATACGGGTGTCCCTCCAGAAGCGGTGAGCTGTGCCGACGCGGCAGAGAGCATCTTCGTACGTGGCGTGCTGCAGATATACACTCCCGAATTCCATATTCAGCCAACACCACTACGAGTGCCATTTCAGTTCTTTGCACCATATCACCCTTTTCTCAACAGCATGGTATGTCAAAGCATAGCTGAAGGTCGTGATAATAGCAGATAGCCACTCGGTATATTGGTGGCAGCCATTATCGTGCCGCTATGTATTCCTGGCAGGCCTGTACTATGTACTCCAGAGGTCACTCCAAGGTCGATATGGCAAGATCGAGCCGAGGGTGAATACTTCCTCTTAGACCAGCAGTTGCTCAATCGGGTACTGCACGATAAGGAAGGCACGAAGGCCCCCATGTAAGAACGTGATGCTCCATTCGTGGTCCGATCTGTCACAGAAGCTTATGCACTCAATGCGAGCAGAACAGTGGAGCAGACGTTCACATCAAGAATTTCGGCCTCGCTGCTCTACTAGAACCAGCATCACCGTCCTCAGGTACTTCCGCGATAGGAGAAGCAGACTTCCTCTCCTGCTCCTCCTTTAATCTCCGCTCCTCCATCTTAGCAGCTTTCTTAGCCTCTTTCCTCTGATGAGCCTCCCACAACACATCCGTGTCTTCAATCTCCTTGACCACATCCTCCCACTCCTTCTCCGCAGCCGGATCACCAGTGCCCAGCGCCCGCTTAACCTCAACATCGTCCATCTCCCCTCTCCGCACCTTCTGCACCACTTCCCGTAGTAGTGCGAGCTTGACGTCTGTGTGTCGACTAAAGGCCGTCATTTCATTGCGTAGGGAGATCATCTGAATTGCGTTGCTGCCAATAAGAACTGCGAGGATGATGAAGGTGGTGTAGGGGTTCCATTTTCGACGGGCTTTAGGAGGAGCTACTGCTGGTACTTCTTGACCTTCCTCGCCTTGTAGGGCTGATTGCTCCGATCGTCGGAACGCCTTGGGGATGAGAGATGACCAGAAAGATGGTGTGGCTACGCGTGGAAGACGCGATTCTCGGACTTCGTCGAATCGCAGTATCGGTGCAGTCACAAAATGTCTCCGGGCTACCAAGTGTTGCTGTCTTGCGCATGCCGCGCAGACGCCCAATACTGGACGGAGAGCTCTTGACGATGCCATTGGTATGGTAGTTGATGGAATGTACGAGCTATAGGACTAATTCCCTGCGTGTCAGAAGCAACACCAGGAAGTCAATCACTCGGCCCAATCTCGGGGAAACATCGTCCGCCACCTTCACCTTCACCATTCACACTTCACACATCTACACGCTATGACAAAACTCTTCGAAGCGAATACAAGACATGATAACGGAGCAAGTGATTCGTGCCTCGGCACCCATACCAAATCTCCAAGCATACCGTAGCACAATCAACTGAAGCCTGATAGACTTCGCCACTCCACCATGATCGGCGTCAAACTGAACCAAATCAAGACTTCGCACAAATCCTATAGACCGAGGCTCGTCATAACGAGTTGCTTTGGTGAGTAGCATATGTATCAGGCTGAGGTCGTCCATCTCGCAACACAAAGTACCTCATCCCAGCTTTCACTGCCCACCAATCGCAAAATCACCAAGTCACGACCTACAAGCCTCCGAAATGCTCGCCCTCAAGACTCTCCTGCTAGCCTCTCTAGCCTACGCCTCTCCCATCGCCATCCGCTCAGTCTCCTCAGCAGCAGCAGACACCCTAATCCAAGACGTAATAAATATCCACAACGGCGTCCTCGCCAACCAGGCCTTCACAGCCGCCTACACAGGCGGAAATCCAGTGACTTCCCTAATCCAAGGAACGCCCGTCCTGGCCACCGTAGCCGACATTCACATCGTAAATCGCAAAGACTACGTCGATGCCAACTTATCACCCCATCTAGACGAGAGCGATACCCAACGCCTCTTCGATCATGTGAGGGATACAGTGGGTGTTTCGATCCCATCTGATATCCAAACTGTTATTGGGAAGAAAGCTGCATTCGAGAATTCAGGGATGGGCCCGATTGTGTTGGCTGGATTGAAGTTGTTGATTAACGATCACGATACCTTCAGCGCTGCTGTAGAGGCGAAGTCGCATCAGGGTAATGCTGCGTTGACGGCCGAGGGAGTGGAGGTAGTGAAAGAGATTCATGATGCTATTCAGAGTGGTATCGATGCTTATTCTGCTTGAACTATTATGATACAATGCTCACTAGCTCGAGTGGAAGTAATGCTTGCAAACGACTGTAGATGACATTACTAGTTGACAGACATTATCAGATCTTCTTCGAGCTGATCTTCAGGTGCACACTTCACCCCAACCAAACTCCTTATTACCAGCCGTAGACTTTCCGTCACCCCAGTATATCCTCGCATCTTCAAATTCGCCTTCGACTTTCAATTCTGCCCATTTGCGCGCTACCATACGAGCACGTTCTTTGTTGCGGATCTGGAGGTTGAACTTGAAAGGTAGTGGTTTCGCTATGAGGAGGGTGGAGAAGTTCATTGTAGGGTCTTCCTTATCCATGCTTTTGTCAACAGCCGATGTGGATGCTGAGGCAGATGCTTGTGGTGGCGACCGAGCAGGCGATGGTTGCCGTGATTTGTGTTCCAGTGGTGTGGCGGGAGGCGCTGGCGGTGCAACTTCGATTCGGAGGACCGGGAACTCGCCCGGAATGCTGATAGCGGAGTCGTTGCGATTCAAAGTGAGTCGACTGAGCGCCGTTTTGATCGGATCCGCATCGCCGACATCACTGCCTCCGTCGCTGGATATTGTAGAAGACTCCTCTTCTCCTTGAGAACATGCGAAGCTCACCTCGCTGCTTCGCCATGATCGTCGCTTGATGCGCTCGGCGTTTTGCTCGAAGAAGAGCTGTTCACTCGACAGGACACGGTGATGAGAACGAGTCTTCGTCGTAGGCGAGACTGGTGGACTCAGACCGGGCAGTCGCTCTTCAGCCTGCGCTTGGTATAGCGCTGGCTGCTGCATAATCTCCGGCTCGGTTTCTGGCTCCAATACTACCTCGGGCTCCGGCTCATCCTTGCCCATCGAAAAGAGCCAGGCAACACTACCAAGACCGACGAATAGATCGGCTTCCGTAACGCCCATACCCTGACAGATCCGTCTGCCGTAGCCGAATTGACTGTATTGGGTGATGGTGGGGTACTTGTTCAATGGCTCCTGGTAGGTGGGATACTGCGCTTCCAACCATCTCATCGGATTCCACTCATCAGGTTCTAGGAAGACCTTCGGATCCCGTGAGATAGACCACTCCAACGGATGGATCACCGAGCCAGCGGGAATGTGGTAGCCGTTGTACATGTCATCCTGGATGACTTCATGTGGGATACCAGTAGGCACAGGTGGGCGCCAGCGCAGCGTCTCGCGAATGAATGCTCGTAACACGGGCATGTGTGCCATATCCTCGAAAGTCGGCATGCGATCACCCAGGACTCGATCAACCTCCTCGTGCAGGATTGGCTGATATTGTGGATAGTGGCAGAGCGCAAGACAGAAGCTCTGCATGGGCGCGGCAATGGTAAGAGCACCAGCTATACCGTGCATGCCTACTGCAAAGGCCCCTTCAAGCTCCGATGCGAATCCCCATGATGGTTTGCGCTCGAGGAACATTCGCATCCAGGAAGGTCGTGATCTAGGCGCGCTGAACAAAGGTGCTGCGGCAGGTTTAGGAAAGTTGTTGGCGTGCATGCTATCTCGCACTTCGTCCTGCATTGTCTCGAAGAACTTCTTCTCGGTCCTGCTTCTTCTGGCCTCCCATGCTTTTGCGCTTGCCAGCTGTTCCGGCAGCGACATAATGAAGGGAAGCTTGTTGCCCAGAGCTCCAGATGGGGAGACACCAACCAGTAGCTCTCTTGCTCGTTGCTTGAGCTCATCAGATGGTGTGGCTGTACCCCATGCCAGCCTGCTTGTGACACGCGCGATGAAAGACTCCATGGCAACATTGTACTCCAGTGGCTTAGTCATGAGTTCGAATAACAGACGGATAGACTCAAGCTCGGGATAGCCGTAAAATGATGCCTTCTCAGAAGTGTCCATTATCTGCTTGGCGAATTTGCGCTGTCTAGTCCACTTGTCTGTGGGGACATCAGTATCAATTCTTTTTCATATTTTAACGAGGACAGTAAGCTCACCATTCCGACTCATTAAAGGAAGATATTGACCACTGGTTCGATTATCCTGCTCCAGAGCAGGAATGAATGGCCGGTCTGAGTAGATGGCGCTCCGCTTGGACAATAGATCATGTGCGACGCTGTCCCTGGTGATCCAAACATGGTTGACGCCAGCGAGATTGACTTGGTAGATCGATCCATACTTCTCGCCCCATTCATGGAACTTCATCCAGCTGTTGCGCTCCGGTAGCTCATGAACACTACCTATTACTGGCAAGCCTGCTGATTGTCAGCACGGTGTCAATAGTGAGAGTACTGGAGCAAGACGTGATGTACCCTTCGGTCCAGGTAACGGCCTGAGATACCCCGGTAGTCTCTTGTTTCTTTCGAGGCGCTCAACGATGATGATCACCGCCGCTACCACTATAACAGAGAGAAGCGTGATGTAGGCCATGTTTCGCGTCACTCAATGACAACTAGAGGGTGAATAGAACAGACGCGCAAAAAGACAAAACAATATATGTGCGGAATAACGAGCGAGAGGATGATGAATGGAAGCGAGTGTGATGGTGGGACCTTGGGCAGACCGCGAAGCTCGAGAGCACCGATCTGTTATATGTTATGGGAGGATCCAGCAGCTCGTAACGTCGAGCCATGCCGATCAAATCCGTGCATGCATAAGAGGAGGAAGATCTGCAATTCCTACCTGGTGGCATGCCGATGTAGCAATGTGAAGCGAAAATGTAGAAACAAGCTTCGATAGTCTGGCAAAGCTGCTGAAGCAGCCATGCGAGAACAGGGATCGGAAGATCATACTTTGCACATCTCCAGCATTTGGCGATGATTCAATACCCGCATCGGGTCGTAGTTCTACAGCAGTGCATGCGCACCACGTTGGTGGAGCTTTAACCTGGCCAGTGGCATCAGTTCAGGATTCGAGGGGCGTCTGCGTTTCCTGCTCTGTAACCTAGAAGCCGTTGCTCGGAGCCAAACCATGTACAACGGGTCTTTGGCTGCTAAGGGAGATGTGGGGCCCTGGGCACCGAGTATCAACGACCTGCATAGAAGTGTAGGCTCTGCCACGTAAGCAGTGCTCGGACAACTTATGAGAGCGCTGAGTTTGCTCATGAGGTTGCCAGGCTTGACACGTCCTACGCAAGAGTGGCAGCATGTATCCAGCTGTCCAGCGGGCATCGTTTGTTCTCCGGGGATTAGCAGCAGCGCCGCCATGGATCGTGGCTGCTAGGTACCTTGATGTCTTTGGGCGATTTCGGTTGTCGGCGGAGCCAGAGACGGTTTCGTGGCAATAGGCTCCAAGCAGATGGCGTTCCAAGTTGCTCGTGTGCCTGCTGCCCAGCCTATGGCGCGGCGGTATAGGCTCGGGATCAGCAGTAACGTCTAGCGGACAGCACGGCTGTGAGCTGCAGGTACCAAAGTCAGAGTTCTGTTACCACAAGGAGAAAACGCTTTCGTACGTGCGTGGATGTGTTGTGAAGCTGCTTAGCGCAAAAGGGTGAGGTGAGGAGACGGGACAATGCAGGAAAAGCCGCTAGTGAGTGACGAAAGAAGCTCGAGCCGGGATGTGGCTCGGGGATTTCCTTTTACTTATCCTAACGGTTTTCTCACGATGCAGTAGTGTAGTCTCAACTACCCCAGTAGTATACTCTTTCTTTACAACCCGGTGTTGACACTCATACCGGGTGCGACACGTGATGCTTGTATATCAATCGAGGCAGTTACGCAAAGACAGTGAGTCTACGCCAAAAATCTGCTCCCGTATAGGTGGTGAGCGAACCTCAGGAACATTAGGAGCCCTTACTGGGCATGCGGAAGATTAGAGACTGACGCCACTGCTCAGCGTGGGCCCTTCTCGGTAACCATACTTTAGGTTCGTGATCCGTCAAGCCTCTGGCTATGGTCGGCTTGTTTGCCGAGTGCCCAACGGCAGATGCTTCAGAATTTCACCATTGTTACTGGACAAGAGCACGAGTTTGCCCTACTTCCGCATTCTGCCCTGCCTGCATGTTTCCGGGCTTACTACTCAGATGAAGACGGCGCTATGCAAGAGCGAGCATCGGTCGGAGACCATATGAAGCTCATCTAGACTCGAACGATGCCTTCTCCTCAAAAGTGCAACTGGCCTTTGCCACTACTTGGCTCTGGATATGTGGAACAGCATGGTCTGACCGGGATACTTGCGTCAACCACGGCGCGTTTTAAGTTTCTACCTGCAGACAATAGCCTGAGCTGAGTACGTCTAGTGATGCCTTGGCTATTCATCCACAAATCCGAAGACTATAGGTTGTACGACAAGGATGTTTACCTTCAGCAAGATCCACAGCAAGGGCTGGTCCACGTTTTGCGAGCTGCATCAACCGCGCACGAAGACGGCAATATTATCAGTATCAGAGCCGCCAGAAGCCTCGTCGTCCAGTTACGACTGATGCCTCTCATGCTGACCACTTCTCACACAGCCCCTCATACATGACTACGACCTGTTTTCTTTTGCCATCCCACCAGGGAGGTAGCGTGCACAGTGAGAATCGCTTTTGAGAACGTCCGAATCTTCCCGGTCTGATAGCTGATGACTTTCTTGTGTGACGGAGCATAGTTTCCAGCAGGATAAGCACCTGACAGGAGATGATTTTGCAGTAGCAAGGAACTATCTTTGGTTGTCTGTGGCAGTCTGTTCCTTCATCCCGTCCGAGCCCGCGTTCTTTGTACATCGTACTGAGTGAAACGTCACGCATAAGGGCTGATTGACCTACTTCGAAACGCTTGCATATACAGGGTATCGTTACGGCAACCCTAGGTTGGTTTCGAACGAAGACAACATCGACCAGCATGGTGGCCTTTCAAACAAGCGGCTAAGGGTCTTGACTCTGCGTATGTTCACGAGCGTTTCACCACCCGAATGACATGTTCGGCGTCTGCAACGTATTGCATGGCTCAACTAGTGGGATTATTCGTGCGGATTTCCTAGCGTGCAAAGCGTCTTGAGCTACCAACAGTCTCGTGTGGTGAGAGCAAGATCACTGAAACTCCCACGATGAGGCTTGCGTTGAAATCATTCTGCAAGACCAGCAGGTGGCGATGGTCTGAAACCTCGGACAATGATCAACACAACATCAGCTCGATAAACAGCCTGCTTGGGTTGACGCAGATAGGACGAAAGATGTTAGAGTAATGGCGATGTCGGGTTGTTGTAGGAGATTTCCAGATTTCCCCGCGAACACCTCGGCTCTTGAATCGATACTCATCTTCCTCACGACGGAACATCACATCAGTCGACCTTTGGTCCCCAAGAGATCTAGGAGTCGTAAATCAATTGGACCCAACCATGCCAGAGTCCATAATCGACGAGCAAGATCTTGCGCTTGATCGCCACGATGGCAACGTCTTCGTCATCACCATGCGCAAGGCACCCGAGAACCGTATCAACAGTGCATATGCTCAGAAACTCATCGGTGCCTTCAACACAGCCAGAAAGATACTAGGACCTGACAGTGAAGGTGCTGTGATTACGAAAGGTAACGATGCGAAGTTCTGGTGCACAGTAGGCGAAGCCATAGTTTGATACGCAAACCTGCCCGGCTGAACTGACAACCTTATCAGGGTCTCGAGCTCGATGAATCAGACAGCAACCCATTCGCAAACTCCGAAGGCTTCTTCCCACTCCTGGCAACTATCGTGGACTTCCCATTCCCAACTATAGCACTCATCACAGGCCATACATTCGGTGGTGCAGGCCCCTTCGCCCTGAGCCACGATTACAGAGTCATGAACAGCAAACGCGGCTACTTCTCCATGCCACCTGTTAACCTCGGCCTTCAGTTCCCAGGTATCGGCACATTACCACGTATGAAGCTCCGACCACAAGTCGCGAGAGCGATGCTTCTCGAAGCGCAACGCTGGACTGGCCAGGAAGCGTACAAGGACGGTATTGTAGATGCTGTTGCTGAGCCTGACAAGATGCTCGACGTAGCCTTGGAGTTGGCGAGGAAGTGGGCACCCAAAGCTAAGATGGGTGTGTACTCTGCTCTGCGAAATGAGCTTTATGGTGATGCAGGAAAGGCATTCCGAGAGATCAGTTATGTACACGGCAGAGCTACAGGATCACCTGCTAAAGCTAAGATATGAATGCAACGAAAAGCAAACTCGACTACAGCTTCGCCAAGATCTTCTTGAGCTCATCACTGCCGCTTCCCATCACAATCTCGTCGCTCTTGTAGTAAGGGTTGAATGTGATCTCGTTCAACGGATTAAGCCGGTGTGCCCGATTGAACAGGTCTTCGTAGACTTTACCGTCATATCGTCCCAATGCACTGTCAAGGAGGAAGTCAGGTACTTTCCACGAGTCCACCAGACGCACAGCATGCGGTCGGATTTGTGCCATCAAGTCCTGGATCTTGGCTGGTAGCTGGTCCAAATCGGCGTTCGACACGGCGTTGGCTTTTACAAAGTCGCGAGCTTCAGCGTCCATCGTGTAAAACGCGAAGAGGCGGAAGAGTGTTGCCAGGTGCGCTCTCAAAACGGACGAAATGCCAGAAGGTTCGGCCGTAATAGCTTCGAAGAAATTTGTGACCAAGATCGATTGAGATTCTGCGTGGCTGATTTTCCGCAGTTGAATTTGCATGCTGTTCCAGCTTCGCTTCTTGACTTCTCGCTCAATGTATGCTTGGTACGTCGAGTATCGGGAGCGTCTGTGAAAGGCTTGCACGATTGCTTCGTCGGAGTCGAAAACTGGCAAAGGTGAACTGCTGCTCCTTCCGCCGTTCTTCAGCCAGTCTCGACAAGCTGCCTCGAGCTCATCCTCAGCTTGACCCTTGCCGGATACTGCGGCGGACATGCGTTTGATGAGATAGCTCGCTGTCTGCTGTGTGATCATCCAATTGTCACCCTCGACCGTGGGCTTCGACAGATAGTCGTTATTAAGCTGGATATACCCACTGCCGCCGCCAAAGCCATGCCCACCCATAGCTCGTCGACAAGTCTCGATGCTATTTGCTGCCAGCTCGGTACAAAGACTCTTGAGACCAGAAGACTGGGCGTGCAACACTGCAAGCTTGCTGAAGTCACCTTTGTCAATTTGTGCTCTTGTGCCTTCGTAGAGCTTCTGCATTGCCTCGCCCGTGTAGTGCAATGCAAAAGCAGTTGCTAAGATTGGCAGAATGCGGATCTGCACAGTTGGATAGTCTAGCACGGAAAGCTCAGGAGCACCTCTATCCTTGCTATCCCTATCCTGGAATTGCCGTCTGACGCATGTATATCGGACCCCAATCGTGACAGCTCTAGCCATGATTAGCCTTGCGTGCATGATGATGCTCGCTCGCACAGCTGTCAAGCTACCGTAGACCACAGCTGGATTGGCAGGCCGACTGTAAGTGCAGGTGTTTGGATCGACTCTAGAGTAGTTCGACAGCATGGCTGAATGTGGGATGCGAAAGTGATCGAACAGCATGTAGCCGTTGTCCATCGGAGCATAGCCGTATTTGGGACCTGTCGTAAAATTATAAGTATGGTGGGCTTCATTCCCGACCGCTGGTAGTCATACCTATATCGCCAACCGCGATGCCATCCAAAGGTTTGTGTGTCTTCAAGTCTCGGATTTGCACAACGAATGGATGCGGGCCATGATCAACATAGTCCGTCGAACCTGGCGACTTTGGTACTTTCAGTTGAGCAACCACAATGGCATGATTAGCAGTCCGACCCATGGTCCCATTCCACCATTTGCTCGAGCTGATATACGGGCTATGCAGCACGAACTCCTTCGTCTTCGGGTCCCATCGTGCCTCGCACTCCAGTCCCTTGACGTTACTTCCGTGGCCAAGTTCGGTCTGGGCGTAGCAGCCAATGACGTCCATCGCATCGATCTTGGGCATCCAGTATGCCTTCTGCTGTTCGTCACCTTGCTCGCGGATTGTGGTGATGAACATGGCATAGTGGACCATATATGGACTTACGTCGTCGCAGAGGTACGACGACATACTTTGATCTTCCGCGTCCCAGCCATGGGTATCAGCTAGACGCCTCAATTTCTTCGCGCGGGCGAGACCAAGATGATAGCGTTCTGGGCGTGATAAGTTCTGTTGCTTCGACTTGTTGAACAATGGCTCCTTCTCCAGTACACGGAGGACACGTTCCTGGCGGGTAAGAAAGTCATTGCGGGAGAGCAGGTGAGAAGCTAGCTCATCGATGGGAACATCGGACTGCGCTCGTTCTTTTGCCAGGATTTCAGGCCCATCAGGCTTGGAGGGTTTGAGGTTGTCAGTGAAGTCGGGCATGATGCCAGAATTGGGAGCTTATAATAGCAGTGCCAGGCGATCTATAGATCGAGGTGATGGTAGTGATCGTGCTCAAGTCCTCCTCGAGCGAGCCGCTATGCTTCTGTTCGCCTGGATTTTCCCAGTAGATACATGTAGCCAGAGGGTGTTTTGACTCAAGATTTATCAACTTGCAGAAAACACACAGCTCTTTCTCGATCGTTCCCAGAGGTGAGCATGATGATATTCTACATCGTGTAGGATGTCAACATAATACCCTCGGCATCGATCTGCGAGACCGCCTCTCGTCGGCACGATGCAGCCGACCCCACGCCACCTCTCCACACTCCACAATCAACACCCCGCGCACATGGCCTACAGCCGGCGGCAATACAGAGACATTGACCATAGCGACTTCGATCGAAATCATAGCATATCAATGTCACAATGACTGGATTGCTATAAGACGGGTGACACAGGACTTGAATTCATGACTGACGACGTCGACAACAGGCCAACCATCAACGACATTTCCGACACAATCGAAGAATTGCTAGACAACGAGGTTAAGGTCATTGAGAGATCTTCTGGCCAATGGGAAGATGGGGCTCGACATATGAAAGCGACATTGAAAGCGCCGCAGTCCGGCTTGACCTCCAAAATGTCTACCCCATCAAAACCAGCATCAAATCATGACCGGACAACCAACATCCCATCCCATACCGGCCGAAACATCTTCCCCAACCACGGCCTCTTCTCCCGCCTCCTCCGCTTCGCCTACGTCCAACCACCACGCCTCTGCATCCGAGACGTGACCACAGGACAAGAAGCAACGCACCACCAACTCCTCTCCGACGTCCTACACCTCCGACAACGACTCTACTCCCAACTAGGCCCGTCAACCCTATCCACGCTAGAACGCCAAGATGGAGCAATCTACATCGCCGTCCTCGCCCCAGGCGGCTACGAATACACAGTAGCCATGCTCGCGGTCCTAGCCCTAGGCGCCGCCGTCGTGCCTCTGAGCGTCGCACTCCCCGTCTCAGAAGCAAAATACTTCATCACGACCTCGCACTCCGTTGCCGTGCTAACAGCCACCTCAACCCTCCAGCTTGGCCTGTCCCTCGAGAAAGAAATCAAAGACTCCGACCCCACCAGCACATTCACCTGCCTTCCCATCGCCCCCTCAACCTCCGCTCCCCTACTCCCAAGAGCCGAAGTCAAAATCTCCTCAAATCCCCCTCTCTCCGACGCCGCCCCGGGCGTGGTGATCTTCACATCCGGCACGACGGGTCCACCAAAGGGAGCCGTCATGCGACGTTCCTATACCTTCACCGACGCACTCGGAATAGCAGACCACTACGCCGTCACTCCCTCAGATGTTCTCCTCCACGTGTTACCAGTCCACCACGCCACGGGGCTAGGGATAATGTTCTTCCCCTTCCTCGTAGCGGGGGCAACCATCGAGTTCAAATCTAGTGGATTCAGCGAGGCCTGGACCTGGGAGCGGTGGCGTCGAAGTCATACTTCCAAGTCCGCCGCAGATCGTCTAACCTTCTTCTCCGGCGTCCCAACAATCTACATGCGAATGCGGCGGTACTTCGAAAGCACCATCTCCCCCCAAACCCCCGCAGAAAAATCCGAATACATCGCGGGCGCCCGCACCCTCCGCGCCTGCTTATGCGGAACCAGCGCCCTTCCAAAACCGATCGCGGATTTCTGGACGGAGATTTTAGGGAAGAAAATTCTACTGCGGTATGGGGCGACGGAGATAGGGGCCGTATTTCGTATGCCGTACCATTCCTATCGCGACCCCAGCGCAGACGACATGAAAGAAGAAGAGGTGCCAGATGGGAGTGTGGGCATCCTAACCCCTGGTGTAGACGTCCAGCTCTCCACCTCCCCCTCCTCCGAAGGGGAGATTCTCGTCCGCAGTGCAGAAATGTTCTCTCACTACTTGCACTCGCCCTCCGCTACACAGGCCGCCCACAATACCGAAGGCTACTACCGCACCGGCGACATCGCCCGTCAAGAAGGGGACTGGTATTGGATCCTCGGCCGCGCAAGCGTAGATATAATCAAATCCGGCGGCTACAAAATCAGCGCCCTAGACATCGAACGGGAGATCCTAGGTCTGGACTACATAGCCGAAGTCATGGTCGTCGGGGTGCCGGACGAAGAGGAATTCGGGGAACGTGTAGGAGCCGTGGTGGTGATGAAATACCCCCTCGGAGCAACGGGGATGAAACACCATCTTACGATCGAGAAGTTAAGGAGAGATTTAAGGGGCAGGGTGGCGGGGTATAAATTACCTACGCTGTTACGAGTATCGATGGCTGAACTGCCGAAATCGGGGACGGGGAAAGTGGTGAAGAAGGTTCTTGGGCCGGAATTTTTCCCACGGGATTGGAGGACGAGAGGGGTGGGGAAGGTGCAGGTGTGGGATCCGAAGGACAGGGAAGGGGATGGAGGGAAAGGCCAGCCGAAGCTGTAAGGCTGCCGCCATACCAATCTGTAGAGAGACATGTGTCGCGAAAATGGTGAGACCTAGACCCAAGCTTCGTCCAGGAGCGTGAAGATCCATATAAAACAGAGAAGAATGGCAGAAGTCTTTCCTGCTGCTCCAGGGGGCAAGCCAGGGCAAAACGTGAGAGGTGGAGGATGGGGAAACAGGCCGGAGCTCTATAGAGACGCAACGGCACGCTTGGCCGAGAGACCTGCTCGGGACAGATTGGTGAGGCCTGGGCTTTTCCTGGCCTTGTGCAGAGAGTCGCTGCTAGACGTACAAGGATAATCAGATGGCGGAAAGCATTTCACGCTTCTTGTGAAAATTACCTCGCCTTCTACACAGTGCACATGCACATGCACATGCACATGCATACCCTGCAGAGGGTTTTCCTGCCCTTAGTGATTGATACATTCGCTTGATCGACGCCGAAGAAGAGTCAATCTAACCTGTATCTGCACAATCACCCAGTCCCCGCGAACCGCGCCTTCCTCGCCTCAGCTTTCGCCTTGTCAGCCTCAGTCATCCAGCTCCCATTCCCACTCGCCTTCGCACCCCCACCACCACCACCACTCTTCCCCCTCCCCTCCAAAGGCGTCCGACTCCTCTCCCTCCCCGCACCACCATTAGCACCACCATCTCTCCTCCCACCCGTTCCACCCCTCCCACCCCTCCCTGCACCCCCGCCACGTTTCCTAACCCCACTCTCCTCACTCAAAGGAACATCCAAACCCCCCGCACCCGTCCCCCTCTTCCTCTCCCCCCTCTCCCGTTGAGTAGAGAGGGCCTGATTCAGCATCCCCGGCACCAAACTAGCATCCTGGACCCCAAACTTCTTCGCCCGCTCCAGCAAACGAATCTCATCGCTATCCTCGGCCAAACCAAACTTACGCGCGCGCGCTTTCCGCTTCTCTATCTCCTCGTCTATTGTGCGGTCTGCAAGGCCGGAGGTGAAGTCCTTTCCTGGCACTTTCTCCGCCTCTTCTTCTTCTCCTTCTTTTGCAGGTGCGGTAGCTGCTGCGTCGGGATTCGTGACCGAGAGATCGTTCGTCGTCGCGGGATCTTCCACAATAGATTGATTAGGTACAGCAGCCGGGTTCTTCACTTCGCCTATCCCTCCCGCTGCTATCGCGTCGGCGGCTGGGGCTGTCGTGGCTGCCGCAGGCTCCTCATCCCAGTCGATTTCTTCGTCTTCGGCAGAGGTCGTTGTTGTTGTTGTTGTTGTCGCGGCAGGTGCTGAGGTACTATGTGTCGCGTCGTAGTCTTCAAGGCGCTTGACCAGGTCGGCTTTCTTGCCGCCGTGGGGGAGGCCGCGGTCTTTGCAGAGGGCGCTGAGGTCGTCGTTCTTCTTCTTGACGTAGTCGGTCATGGTTATGGGGTGAAAAGTGTGCGGGTAGATTGGGAAGGGAAAGTTGAGGAATAAAGGAAGATTATTGGTTGTTGATGGTTGAGTAGAGTTACAAAAGCTACGGGCCTCCAATGCGACACCGCGAAGCTCACGCGTTACTCAGAACTCACGAATGGCTCGTTCCGGGTCCAAGCTTTCGTCATGACTAAGCACTCTCCACCCACGTACGGAATCTGTATGTACATAGCGCCTCTATCCAGTGGTATGATGGACACTACTGCTCCTACATGGAGCAGATACTGATAGCTCTATTCCATTCATCCATCGTCCTCGCCTTTTGCAACTCATTCGCGCATTCATACGTACTTTAGACGTCTGCGAGACATCACGTCGAGCGAAGATGTAACAATGAGACTGCGCAATGACCTCAGGCTAAGATCCGAAAGCGACCATGTTACGGTGCTTCATGTATGTACGGGCAGCCTGATGTTCTGATGTGGACTGAGCGGTCAAGGAGGAGAAATGCTGGACGAGATCTGGAAATGGAAAGCTCCAAGCTCCAAGCTCAAGCCTTGATGAGCAAGCGGGTCACGTGCACGAGGAAGGAAGTGAGGTCGAAATTGACTACCAGCAGCCATGCGACAGCTGCACGCTTATATCACGCCGGACAGGAGCAGCGGGAGTCCTCTAGATATTTGTAACATATGTATAGACACACACTTCTCGTCCACGAAGCCAAAAGCCATCAGTATGTATACCATCACGACCAGCGCGACCTGGCGACTCGATCAAGACTCATTTTCACGAATAGAAACGTGCTGGTGTAATGTTGATAATAACTGAATCTATGTCGTCGCATCGTGGCTCGGAAGCGACGAGCAACTTTGCAGCCTCTAGCGCCGATCGGAGTATCACAAATATGCACGGACCACCACTGCTCCAGTTTTCTTTTGGCGAGGCGCCCATCGAATAGGTCAGCCAACCAGGAGGTGGAAGAGGGTATCGCTGCCTTGAGTGGTGTGCATCTCATCCATCTCATCATCATCTCGTCTCCTTGCTTTGCTTCGCTTTTCTGTATTGGGTTTCGTGTGCTTGCTACTGTGCGTACACCCACGCGCGTGACAGTCATCCACGTCCTCGATCGCGACAAAGCCGTTTTCTCTAGCGAAGACTCGTGTAAGGATCACATGTGAAGCATCATTGCATGGACAAGGATCAATACAATAGGCGACAGTGCACGTGAAAAGAACAACGCTAGCGAACAGGCGACAACGGACAAACGCCAGCCAACGCAACGTCACTTCACTCCACGCGCCCATCGCCATGTCCAAGCGGAAACTCTTCGAGCAATTCGACCCCACCAAATCCGACTCCGACGACGAAACATACGGCGCCGCCGCCACTTCCTCCCCTCGCCCTCGCCCTCGCCCTCGCCCCCGACCCCAAGGCCGCTCCTCCCGACCCAAACCCTCGGCGCGCAGCAGCAACAGACCCGCCAAGCGACGACGGGAAAAGTACGGCGATAGCGAGGACGATATCGAGGCGGATAGCGACGAGATTAGTGAGGAGGAAGAGGACGAGGAGGTGGATTTTGCTGCGGATTCGGATGCGGATGCGGAAGAGGTGGTGGTCGAGACGAATCCGAGGACGGGGCGGAGTGTGAGGTCCGTTGCTAAGAAGCCGGTCAAGTACGAGGATCCTTCTGAAGACGATATCGAGGCGGTGGATAGTGAGGCCGATCCGTTAGGACCTACGTCTGGTGTGAGAGGTAGTAGACGCGGTCAAGGTGTGCAAGGTGTGACTTCCAGACCGGCACCAGCAGTCACGCCATCACTCGTCCTCAAGCTCAAAGTACCTTCGATCATGGAGGGTGGACGATCACTACGGACACGCACGGGTGGGAAGAGTATCGGGAGGCAAGAATCTACTCCGGCTGAACACCGTGGCATCAACACACGGAGGAGTAGTCGCATCTCGCATGATGATCAGGAGCCTTTGGTCGCGTTGACGGACTCGGGCAGGCATGAGCAGGTCACTAGGGCTGGCACTGCGACGCCGGAGCCTGAGGGCTCACGTCGGCCTACGAGAGGTGGCAAAGGATTGAAGAAGCCGCCCAGTGCGATAATGGAGGCATCACAAGAGGACTCGCAACCCACACAACAGACTGGGCAGGGCGAGATCATTGCTTCGCAGCTGGCGGATGAGTTGGGCGTCGATATCGCGCCTGTCGAAGCCGACGCGCTGAACGAAGAAGACGAGGACATGATCATGGAGCGCGTAGATGAGGAAGATCGCATCGTGCAGGAATCGATGGAGGAAGATGACGACGAAGACGAGGCTCCCATCAAAGGCGGACGCTCGCTTCGACAGCGCCACAAAGCCTCCACACCACCAACCTCCCAACCTATCCTCAAGACTGGTGGTCGATCTTTGCGGGCGAGAAAGTCGGGGGCGGAACCTAGTAGTGACTTTGACCCCGAGGCCGACGCCGAAGCAGATGTAGAGGAGAACTTGTCCGAGTCGGATGATTTACTCAAGATCCCTCGCGGGGATAGCGATGGGAATAGCAGGAGTGGGAGGCGGTCCGGCCGACTCTCACGCAAGACGGCTTCGCAGAGAAGTCGCTCGCGAAGACATGGGTCGGATGAGGAGGAGGAGGCGGACGAGGAGCTGGACCCGGAGGAGATTGCCGATGAGGCTGCCGAGCTGGACGAGGATGCCCGACGGAACAAGCGGACGCGCAAGCGGCCTTCGACTCGGAATGAGATTGCTTTTGAGCCGAATTTGCGGAATAGGGGGAATAGGCCGGATTATCGGATTCTGAGGCCGGAGCTGTTGCATACGTTGGAGGAGGATGAGAATGCTATAGCGACTGCTGCCACGCCGCAGCGTAATCGACGGACTGGAGGTGGTGGGGGTGCTTATCGCAGCCTGTTCTCCACCATGGGTCCTTTCGGCGGTGCAGGTGGTCCTCTACCCGTGTTCGGTGGACCTGATGGTGCTGCGGCGACGGGAGGTGTGGATTCGGATAGCAGTGATGACGAGGCTCGAGGTGGACAGCAAGGCTTTGGTGGTACTGTGGGTATGACGCCCACCTCTGCCTTTCCCAAGCCTTTTGTTCCACCGGCATTGAACAGCGATCCTATCCAAGGTCCTGGTGGCGGGCCTCCGGGTCTTGGCAAGGTCAAGGATAAGAAAGCTCTGGCTGATGCTGATCCGCTTGGTGTCGATCCGAATGTCAGTTTTGATGGTGTTGGTGGGTTGGATGATCATATCGATCGGCTGAAGGAGATGGTCGCGCTACCATTGCTATACCCAGAAGTGTTTCAGCGCTTCCATGTCACGCCACCTCGTGGTGTTCTATTCCATGGCCCTCCGGGTACTGGTAAAACACTTCTAGCTCGCGCACTAGCTTCGAGTGTGAGTTCGCATGGCCAGAAAGTAACATTCTACATGCGAAAAGGCGCCGATGCGCTCAGCAAATGGGTCGGCGAAGCCGAGAAACAACTCCGCTTGCTCTTCGAAGAAGCCCGCAAAAACCAACCCAGCATCATCTTCTTCGACGAAATCGATGGCCTCGCCCCCGTCCGCTCAAGCAAACAAGAACAGATCCACGCCTCCATCGTCGCCACTCTCCTCGCCCTAATGGACGGCATGGACGGTCGAGGCCAAGTCATCGTCATCGGAGCGACCAACCGTCCCGACTCCGTGGACCCAGCTCTCCGACGACCCGGCCGCTTCGACCGAGAGTTCTACTTCGCTTTGCCGGACCAGAAAGCCCGCCGCGCCATCATCGACATCCACACCAAAGGCTGGGATCCCGAGCTTCAACCCGCATTCAAGGACAACCTCGCCGAAATCACCCGCGGCTACGGTGGCGCCGATCTCCGCGCCCTATGTACTGAAGCCGCGCTGAATGCTGTACAGGGCACTTATCCCCAAATCTACGCCAGCGACAAGAAACTCGTCATCGATCCCAGCACGATCAAAGTCATGGCAAAGGACTTCATGATTTCCGTGAACAAAATCATCCCTTCCTCGGAACGCTCCGTAGCTTCCGGCGCCGCGCCATTGAAGAAAGACGTCGAACCCTTACTCCGCAAACCGCTTCTAGAACTCACGAACCGTCTCAACGACGCTTTGCCCCGCAAAAGGAAAGCTACGGCGTTGGAAGAGGCGATGTACGATGATCGCGAAGACGAGCTGGGGTTCGAGCGGGAGACGATGCAGAGGCGGTTTGAGAGCGCGAGGATTTTCCGGCCGCGATTGTTGATTCATGGGGCTGGGGGGATGGGGCAGCAGTATCTTGGTGCGGCGTTGTTGAGTAAGTTCGAGGGGGTGCATGTCCAGGGTTTTGATATGGCTACGCTTTTGAGGGATTCCACGAGGGTGAGTCTTTGGATGTCTTCTACATGTGTGTGTGTGGGTGGGTGGGAGGAGGTGATGTGCTAACGTGTTTTCTACAGTCACCCGAAGCTGCTATTGTGCAGCTTTTTGAGGAGGTCAAACGCCATAAACCTAGCGTCATTTACCTGCCTAATGTGGATATCTGGTATGAGACGCTTTCGGACTCGTCGATACGCACTTTTGCTGGACTGTTGCGCGGCTTGAATCCTACGGAGCCGGTGTTGGTGCTGGGTGTGATGGATCGTGATATCACGCGCGAATCTGATCTTCGCGAAACGGACAAGAGGTTGATTCAGGACTTGTTTAATTACTCTTCGAAGAATCGATATATACTCGCGCGACCAGACAAGCCGTCAAGACACGAGTTCTTCCAGGGCGTCATCGATCTCATCAACAAAGCACCCTCCGAGTTCCCAGAACCAGAAAACAGAAAACGACGCAAACTAGCCGAACTCCCCGTCGCCGCCGTCCTGGAAGAACCAAAACGCGGCCTAACAAAAGAAGAACAACGCGCACAAAAGAAAAAAGACCGCACCACCTTGAACATGCTCAAACTCCACATCCAATCCGTCATGGACCAGATCAAGCTCAAGTACAAAAAATTCCGCACCCCCGTCATCGACGACGCAGCCATCAGCTACCTCTACGACGAACAGAACCCGGACCTCATCACCACGGATCTAAATGAGGAGCAAAAAACCGCACAGCGTCTCTTCCGCCCATACGAACTAGACAAAGACGAAAAAGGCGTCCCCGGATTGCGTGAGGTGGGCACGGGGAAATTCTACTACAACCTCGAAATCGTGACGATCGAGAAACGGCTGAGTAACGGGTACTATAAGCGTCCCCGGGATTTTTTGGCGGATATCAAGCGGTTGGCTAAAGATGCGAGGGTTTCGGGGGAGCAGGAGAGGACGTTGAAGGCGAATGAGATGTTGGCGAATGTGGAGGTGGATATGGGGACGCTGGAGCAGATGCAGCCGGGGTTGTGTGGGGAGTGTGAGGCGGTTTATGAGAGGGAGGTGGGGAGGGAGAGGGAGAGGGTTGGGAGGGTTATGGGGAGGGAGGTTGGCGGGGGGGTCGGTGGGGGTGGTGTGCCGAGGATTGGGTTACCGTCTGGGGTGGGGAATGTTCCGGTTGTCGGGGCGTCGAAGACGACGACGGAGGATTCTGGGCCGGTTGTGCTGGGGCAAGAAATTCCCGGGGGGAGGAGGACGGGGTTGTTTGATGGTGCTGCTGCTGCTGCTGCTGCTCCCGTAACGCCTAGTAGAATTTTCGGAGGTTCGGTGGGGGGTGTGGGAGGGGGGTTTCCGGAGAGTGCGAATCCCTGGAGTACGACGAATGGGAGTGGGAGTCATAGTCATGGCTTGACCAATGGGTCTTCGGCTGGTGGTGGTGGTGGTGGTGGTGGTGGTGCTGGTCGTGCTGGCACACTGGTTGGCGAAGGACATCTGGGTCGGGATGAGGACGAGGAGATGTTGGATCCGAGCCAGGAGGAGCTTCTACATCACCAACAGAATACGCAGCCGGGGACCCAGCCTGGGGGTCTCTCTCGGTCCCAAAGCCACGGTCTCACGCGCCTAGCCCCCGGTTCCCAACCGGAGAATTATCCAAATAGTGCTTCCACCACCACTTCCGGACAAAAGACAAGCGATAAAAGTCATCGGAGTAGTGGTCCGTATAGCGTGAACTCGCAGTACACGAATGGTCATCGTGGGGGTACCACGACAGGAGCAGGGACAAGTGGAAGGCCGGATTTCAGTATGATTGGGCCGCAGGAGGGGGGGAGCCAGTTACCGGATACGCAGCCGCCTGAAGGCGGGAGCGGTGGGAGTCAGGCTTCGGCTTCTCAGCCACAACAGCAGTATGAGGGGGTTGGGGGGGGTTCGCAGCCGATGGGGCCGCCTGCTGCTCCGACGATGTCGAATGCGGCGACTGTGGGTGCGGGTACGTCGTCTGGCGATCTTGGTGGTGGTGGTGGTGGTAGTGGTGTTGGGGGCCAAGTGAGGGGGCACAGCAGTATCAACGCCCTCCTCAACAATCCTGTCCCCACCGCTCTCGAAGGAGGAGCAGAACCGATCCCCACCCCTAACCCCACCGATCCCGCACCACCCGCACCTCCCCCTCCAAGCAGAATCATAATCGACCTCGCCACAGTCGAACAACTGCACTACCACCTCACACACTCCTCATCGGGATGTTCGGTCGAGCAACTGGAGCAGATTTCTTCAAGGTTGATGGATGTCATTTGGCGGACGCGGGGGAATTGGAATCGCGTGCAGGTTGTGATTGCGGTGAAGGATGCTTTTAATGAGGTTGTGGGGGATATTGAGGCGTGTCAGAGGATTTTGGGGCCGAGTCAGCCTTGATGATTTGTGGGTTTGTGGGTTTGGGGGGGGAACAGGGGGAGGGGACGGGACGGGAGGAGGGATGAGGATTAGCGGTATTATGAGAGTGTAGTGATGCAGCATCAGTGTCTAGGAGATGACTGTACTGGGATGCATGAAGTAAAATTCTTTGTGAACGGTACAAGGGCCCTCAGGGCTAAGCTAGTCGTCGTATCTTGCACTTTTTCCACTCGTGATCTTGGCTTTTCCCGGAAGCTTGTAGACTCTGTCCAACCTGATGTAAGAATTTCCAGCGTGCTAGCTAAAAAAGCCTTTTCGCAGTATGTTAATACCATGCTGCTCTTGCAATGTCACATATTTAGATATATATTCGTGCTTTCCTACGACTCGATTGGTGGAGAAGGCACGAACTCCCACATTGTGACTTCTTGACTCACGACTTTGTTCCTCCTCCTCATTCTTTGAACAGTATACATTAATCCGCCACTGGATCCCCGGCGACTCAGGTGTAAGGCTACTGTTACCATAGCCGCCGTTGAAAAGGAGCTCGTCAAATAAACTCATTGCGTACACCGGGATCCACTACTAGTCAGCCAAAGCGACATCAACCTCATCACGCCATCCACCCCACGGCGATGTCGCCATCTCAGGAACCAAGCAGTCCCCCGGCAATCAAAAAAGTCACCCTCCTAGGCGCCAACGGCAAACTCGGCCTCGCAGTCCTCCACGCCCTCCTCTCTGCCAACTTCACCGTCCAGATCCTCAAACGCTCTTCCTCCACCACCCCGGACGACTTCGGCCCAAACATCCCGGTCCACAAGATCTCCGATGAATTCACAATCTCGGACCTTGTCCCCGTGCTCCGTGGCCAAGACGCCCTAGTCGCCACGATTAAAGGCAGTCAAGTCGAGATCCAGCGACGGTTGGCAGATGCTTGTGTGCAAGCGGGCGTATACAGATTCATCCCTGCCGATTTCGGAAGCTGTGATAGTTCTTCCGCTTTGACGCAGAATCTCGTGCCGTTGTACAAGCGGAAGACGGAGTTGAGGGAGTATTTGCAAGGGCTTGCGAGGGAGAAGGGGAACGAGGGGAAGTTTACGTGGACGAGTGTGGTGTGTGGGCATTTTTTCGATTGGCAGGCATCGTTCATTCATGTCTGGCCGGGGGAGCGGAGGGCGGATGTCCTCAGCGATCCGGAAGATGTGAAGGTGGCGGGGAAGTGGAGGGCTTCGTTTTCCACTCTTGCTCGTGTGGGGGAGGCGACGGCACGGCTTTTGTTGTATCCGGATGTAGGAATTAATCAGATGGTTTTCGTGCAGTCGTTTTGTTTGACGCAGAAGGAGGTTGTGGAGGCGTTTCAGAGGGTTTCCGGAAGGGAGTGGGATGTGAGGATTTTGGATTCGGAAAGTTTCAGGAAGGAGGAAGAGAGGAAGAGGGACGAGGGGGGTAAGCAGGCGGTTGAGGAGTTGGTGTGGTGGTTGGGGACTGTGGATGCCGAGTGGACTAAGCGAGGGGATTTCGTGAATGGGGCGTTGAGGTTGGAGGATGAGGGGTTGGATGATGTGGTCAAGCGGGTGCTGAAGGAGGATGAGGAGGAGAGGAAGAATGGTGGGAAGTGAGCCCTTTCGGACTTAGGGACTCGACAGCATTGAGAAGAGGCGTATTGCCAATATAGACGCTATAGCTAAAAGGTACAGATACTGATTACAACCATCAAGTCCATTCCGCCACTTTCTATACACAGATCGCATGCCTTACTAGCGTACGTGAAGACAATCAAAAGTCATCGTTTCGCAGCTCATGTGCCATCATACTCATCATTCCCTTCGTAATTTACACAAAACTCCATACTTACATCATCACGCCAAAAGTCTCGCACTCGGCACAAACTTCTCCAACTCCCCAACACCCCATCGCCCAATCCCAGGCGCCCTCACCACTTCCCCTAACACCCGTCTGGTACGAACAGTAATCGCCCGTCTCTCTGCCAACGTCGCAACAGTCATACCACCAAAGCTCTCTCCGCGACCACTAGCTCGAACCCACCGGTCCTCGGATCGAGATCAACGTTTAAGATAAAAGCATCCGCCTGCCGTACACCCATGGCGCAAAGATCCGCTTCGAAGCAGAAGAAGAGTTCCCAGTGCTTGATCGCTGCGAGATTGGAGGGGTCGAGGTTATGGTACCAGCGGACTGGGGCGTAGTGGCCTAGAGATCCTGGAGCGTGGATGATGAGAGGGAAGCGGTAGGTGGAGTAGAACACTTTCAAGCTTTCCTCTCGGGTCTGACGGGATAGTATGGTCAAGGCTGGTTCGTGGGGTGGGATGGGTTTGTAATAGTACAGGTCGTGGAGTTTCGGTGTATGGATTGGTGGGAGGCGGAAGGGAGTCAGACGTTGGGCGCCGTGGTGTTGGAAGTAGTAGTAGTATATCCTTTCACGCAATTCCAGTGGGAGACCTAGGAGGTTGAAGGGTATGACAGGTGGAGGGATCGGGACCGGGACGATGGAATGTTGACGGCTTTTTCGCCGGATGGAGATGCTGGCTTTGCGGTCTGTTGGACTGCTTGCTGGGGCGATGTAGCCACTCGACTGTGGGATGATGCCATTCTTTCGAGCGATTTGGCGCCAGAGATTGCGCTCTTCGGCGCAGCAGTGGATGTCTTGACGTTCGAAGTGGTCTTTCCGTCGCCAGGTCTTGGGCTTGAGAAGGTTGACCATGGTTGTTGCTTTTCCAGGTGGCGAGGAATTTTGAGATGACAGTCGGGAAGACTGGGCTAGACATTTTATCACATCGTCGATGAGGCGAAGTAACGGCAGTCACGTGCTATAAAGTTACTCATTTTCTTACCAGAACTATGAAAGGGATAAGTTGTCTTGATGGTTGCCCCAAGACCTGGGCACCAAGACTTCGTGATGCACAGTCCCGCAACAGCTTCACGTGACTGTGCCGCGGGTGTGGCCGCTCTCCGCAGTTCGGCCGGAGCATTCAAACCTCGAAGTTGAAGCTCTCCTTTGGCGAAAGAGAAGAAGGCTGTCGTTGAGCTCGACATTGAATACATTCCTACCCTCCTCCACGATACATACGATGAATTCCTTCAAGGTCGCCCGCGCGGCCGTTCGCGCTCGTTCGTCCGCGATGCGAGTGCCCGTAACCCGGCATGGGTATGCGGATGTCGCGCCGGACAAGATCAAGTTGAGCTTGGCTTTGCCGCATCAGGTATGTTTTGGTGCTGGTATAAACAGAGAAAGTGACGGGATGTGTGCTGATATACATGTTTTGATCAGGCCATCTACAAATCGCAAGACGTGTACGTACTCGCCAACCATCCGAAGTTGTCGGCAGCGCAAACGAGGACGATGAGATGAGAGGGATATGTGTACTGATATTGGTGGTCAATAGCGTACAAGTCAACATTCCAGCCGAGTCTGGAGAGATGGGTATCCTCGCCCAGCACGTCCCATCCATCGAGCAGTTGAAGCCAGGTCTCGTGGAGATCATTGAGGAGGCTGGAGGCAGCAAGCAGTTTTTCCGTACGTGGCACCTCTGTTCAAGACCTGCTCGAGAAGATGACGACCACATCTTGCACAAGGAAATGATGATACTGATATCTGGCGGTAGTGTCCGGCGGCTTCGCAACCGTGCAGCCCGACTCCCAGCTCAGCATCAACGCCGTCGAGGGCTACCCACTCGAGGACTTCAGCGCTGAGAGCGTGCGAAACCAGATCTCCGAGGCGCAGAAGATTGCTAGTGGAAGCGGCAGTGAGCAGGACAAGGCTGAGGCGAACATTGAGCTTGAGGTGAGTCTACTACGGTATTGGATAGTAGTAGTGCGGATGGCGAATGCTAACATCTACATAGGTCCTCGAGAGCCTTCAGGCTGCTCTCAAATAGAGTTGAAGTCCGCGAGAGTGTATATACCTTGTAACATTGCTCGAGTTTTGCATCGCACCTGCAGTCAAGCCGGTCTTTCTGGCTCCGTCTACAATAGTAGACGCAGCTGCCGTATCTTGCTATTCGCGCCTGCTATACGGCTGATCCACGCGTCGCAACTCAAACACTGCATCCTGCTGACCATATTCAGTAGAGGTGCACACTGCGGTCTTGACGAAGCGCATAATTCCATGATTCCATAATCATTCACATTCTTTTGTCTTGTTTCCTACTCGACTCCCTTCATAGCGCTATCTGAGCGCGTCTGATATGCATGCCGGCTAATGCTGTCCTGGCTGCTGGAGTCTTTGCGCCAGGACCTCGAGACCGCTACCTCTGTATCCTCCCAGACATTCTCGGCGACAGGCACGGAATTCATTACTACCCCAGCAAAGCTACAGGATGGTGTTCGGGAAGAACTTCCTTGTGAGTCTGCATTACCAGTCGTAGCAACACCAAAGTGCTGACTTGGCACAAGCGCCACCATATCTCAAAACTCTCTCTTCGCAAGAAAAAGTCCTGCGTCAGTGTCGCCACCCAAGAAAGCGCCGCATGCGCAGCACCACCAGCAGTACCACCAGCAGCTCTACCAACAGCTCCAACCCCAGCCTATTCGAACCTTCCACATGGCCAAGAGCCCTCCGAGTCGGACGACAATTCCGAGAAGAAGCCTCTCATCCAACGCCTTCTCAAAAAACAGCCCTCAATACCTGCTTCGCTCAAAACGCTCTATACGCCACATTCCCGGTACAACTCGGCCGAGACGCTGGAGCGAGATGTACGCGAGGATCGGGACAACCAGAGCATCCTCACCCGGATACAGACAAACACTTCCACTGCGACGACGAAAGTGGGTGGGAGCGCGGCGATCACTCCAAAGCCGTCGGAAAGTACGATCGCAACGACCCCTGCTGCGACACCATACCCAAGCACGACCGTCACGCCGCAGCCCAGTTCATCGGTCATCAGGGAGACGGCGATCGAGCGGGAAGAAGCGTTGGCACGGTGGCGAGCATCATCGAACCCGAACCTCCCTGCCGTACCACCAGCCAACACGACGACGACTCCAACCCGAGATGTCGGACCCAAACAGGTATATCCAGAAAGCAGCGGCCGCCACAACCGCGAGATGGAGCACCTGCCAGAATCACAGAGGCAGGAGGATCATGCCTATCCGGCGTCGAAGCCTGGCAGTCGTGGTTTCACCCCCGTAACGGAGAGAGGCTTGGGGAGCGGGATAGAGGCTGTACCGAGCGGCGGGCGGTTCGCGACCAAGGCGGGGATGTTCTGGGCAGGCGTCAAGGCCAGGATGTGGTGGCATCGGGAGGAGAGGAAGGTGGAGAGATTGGGGAAGAAGATTTGATGGGGTGGGTGGCTCGTAGTGGTAATCTTGGCGGTATGGACGGTACAGCTGAAAACGTTGGGACGACGGTGCCGAGAAAACCACTTGCGACTGGAAGGGTGGCAGATCGCATTCGTGCTTTGGAGGAGCAGGCGGCGCGGCAAGCCAAGGTCGAAAGTATGCCGACGAGGAAGCCGTTACCTGGACTGACCAAGCTGAGTGCGCAGGATGCGAAGGCTGCGCAGGAGCTACGCACCAAGAGGAGAGAGATGCGGGTTGCTGCTCCTCCGCCCGAGTCACCATTGTACAGGTCTCAACTGGATGATGAGCCTTATCTACATACACCTAAGCCGACGAAACCTATACCTATACTGAGTAAATCGTCGCCAGAGCTTACACATCCTACGCTCTCGCCGCTGCCTCAAACAGCTACACCTACTGCACTGCTCCCTCGCACGTCGACGGCCGCCACCTCGGCCTCTACATCGACTAGTCGCCAATTTCTGCCGCCGTCTACAAGACCGACCCTTGGTTCAGCGCACCTAGCCGGCCCATACATCTCGAATCCCAACTCTGCACTCCTCTCACCTTCAATCTACCTCTCAGGTACAAGAGAGAAATGCGTCCGCCACGGCCGTAAGCACAAACCTACCCAGGACCAGATTGCGAAGGGTAGGAACGGCGCCTATCATCCTACAGGCTTAGTCAATATGCGACAGATGGAAGCCACGAGTCCCTGGATAGGACCGGACGTGCACTTTGACTTCAATGTCCGACTCAGTGGATCGCAGGGCTCTAGCGGTAGTGAAGGGAAAGGTGGTAAAACTGGTAGTGAGACTTGTCCGGATTGCAAGGCCGAGTTGAGTATTAGGAGGAGGGAGGATATGTGGGATATTATGTGGCCTGTGCGTGAGGCTGACGGAGAGGACGATGATGGCGCTGCTGGCACATCAACCCCGACGAATAGTGGTGGTACAACGCCTAGGACCAGAAACACTGGTAGTGCGATGCCTACGGAGAAGCGGGCAATGGTCGACCACAAGCAAGCGTCGACACAGGACTATCTGCGCGACTCGATCGTAACCGGGGCCCTGGGCCAGGGCGTCTATGCTGCTATCATAGAGCGCCAAGGCATCCTGGAGAGAGTCGTGATCAACAAGACATCTAACCAACCCACTACGCTAGTCTTGCAGAGACTATCCAAGGAGTTGCGGGCAGTCGCAGAAACCCTGGCATCTACAAGCTCGAAAGACGATCTAACAGGGCTGCGTCCTGCCAATGATGATGGACGCGAGCGTACTGTACACGTGGCTAGGGAGTCACACGGCAGACAATAGTCTGTCTCTGAGCTCCTGGGCTTGGTACAGCAGGCTGTGGATACCGTGCACAACAGCCATGATGAGGAAGACTCAACCCCCGAACCGCCTGTGCATTCTGAGACGTTCCACGATGCTAGAGGATTGAGCAAGGCTGCGCAAGATCATGTTCGCGAAGAGCATAAGCAAGAAGTCAACCCCGCTGCTCTTCCTCCGGGAACGCAACAGACGTCAAAGCCCACCACCGCCAGAAATGTTTCGGGAGCTGTTGCCGACTCTTCAAAGCCCATTCCTGAGCTCGCAAGACCATCTGGTATGCCTGCAACGGCGGCGTCTGCGGCGACGATGGTTCAAAGCATACTCCCTAACATCCATAAGAGACCGCCTACAGCAGAGCCCCATGATCCTACAACGGGCGAGCACAACACCGCCTTGCCCTCACCTCGCTTTGTTGCGACGCCAGATATTCCAACGCCTACCCCAACAACTCCAACAACATCTCTTTCCCCACCCAATCCAAGCAAGAATACATCACTCGACCCAACAAAAGCACTCCTCGCCACAATACCGAACCGCCTCAACCTAGCCATCCCAGCCGACATCCTCCATAATCTCGACCTTGTCGAACCCGCGCTCGGAGTCGCAGAACAAGTCCTCCTCCCTATAGCCAAAAACCCGCGTCCTTACCATCGTGGACCAGGCGAGCCATCAAAACATCTCCTCGCAGCAGTAGAGAAGCAATTCGCCAGGCTCGAGAAGGAAAAGCAGACGATGCGGAGTGGGATGCGGATGGAGACAGCGTCAAATGTGGCTAAAGCCAAGGATGTGGAAAAGGAAGTGCTGCGGAAAAAGGAGGGCAGTAGAAGCGAGAGCGGACTGGGGTGGTTGGGTGTCTGGAGAGGTGGTGGTGGTGGAGGGAGTTCGGATCATCTTGGAGGGCACTGAGATAGTATGGATGAATCAGACGTGCAGGAGCTAAGAGCGACCTGTTGATAAGTGGCTTCTGTATTGCTGGATACAAGGATCGGCCTGAGATAACGATCGATGGATGTTCCTTACGCTACGCCTGCTCATTGCCACCTCGCTTGTGTCCGGCCACGTGCCTTCTCATGCTAATGTGATACCGAGCACTCCTCTCAGCGTGCCCGGCATTATCGACCCGAGCGCAGACGGCCTGTCATACTGTGAGCTTTCGGACAACGAGGATGATTGCGTCAAACAACTGACAGTACTATGCGTTACAATCTATGCTACCAGTAAAAGCTATGCTCATGACCTTCTTTTCCCTTGCCATATTACACCGCCACCAGGACTTCCTGTGTAACCCGCCCTGTCCATTCCTGACTATCTCCCCTCCACATGCATACCTCCTGTCTTCTTCCTCCCGAATTACCCACCTCAGCTCGAACCCTATCAGAAACGGCCCAAAGCCCAAAACCGACCTACATCCCCGGCTCCTCAAGCAAACCCCCACTCTCCACAACCTTCCTCCCCTTCTTGCCCCCCTTCCCGCTCTTCTTCTGCGGCGAAACCAAACCGCCCCCACTCCCACCACCACCAGCCACAACTTGGCTCGACGACGACGTCTGCGTCTGCCTGACAACACTCCTCCTCGTAACCTTCAACCTCCCGACAAAATCAAACCCCTCCACCTCCTCCAAAGCCAACACTCCCTCCCTTTTCAACGCCTCCCCATCCTCATCCGCCACAATCTTCGCCGCATCAATAGCATCCTGCAACTTCCCAATCGTGGCATTCTGCCTCGCGACCACCTCCCTGAACCTCGTGCGGAAAGCCTCAAAGTCCGTCGTCAATTCCTCCGTTACCTCCTCCCCAGCCACAGCCTCAGACTTCAAAACCTCAATCTCCTCTTCCCGAGCCCGGAGGATTTCCTGCCATGCCTCGTCGGCGTCCTTGGCCTTCTGCTCCACGACCAAGATAAGCGTCTGCTTGTCCTTAAGCTGTTCCTTATAATCGTCGATCTCATCTTCCTTGGCATTTTGTAGGTCAAGCATAGCTTCAGCCTCCTGCTCGACCCGGCGTTCCAAGCCCGCAGCTTGGGTTTCGAGATCAGCACGTTCGTTCTTGACTTGTTCCAGACTAGCATGTAGATCCGCGATCTCGGCATTGCGGTCTTCGATCTCGGAATTGTGGAGATCAATGATGGTGATGGAGTCCTGCTGCAGCTGGACAATCGTGGCTTCGTGGAGGTTGATAGTCTCTTGCAAGGCAACGATACTACCATCCAATTCCTCCAGACGATCCTCAAGCCGAGTCTTCTCGATATCGTGCGAGTTCTCCGCGCTTGTGAGATCCATCTTCAGATCCTCGATCTCGTTGTCGCGGACGGCGAGGTCGGACTCAAGCAGTGTAATACGCTCGTCACGCTCAGCGAGGTCTGTGCGCATCTGAAGCTCAATCTCTTCGATACGGGTCTCCAATGCTAGGATAGTGGCGGCGCGCTGCTGGGCTAGATCGTCCGCGGCTTCGCGGCGAGCGACCTCGTCGGCAATGTCGGTTTGGTATTGCTCTTCGCGATCAGCCAATGTCTCCTTGAGCACCTTGACTTTTTCCGCGTGCTCCTGCTGTAGCACGAACATCTTCATGCGCAACTCATTCGCCTCCGCGCCCTGGCTGGCGAGCTTCTGTGTCAGCTCATCGATCTCAGCATTACGATCGTCTAGGTCCTGCTCGGCAGCCTCACGCTGTGTCCGCTCGGTCTCGTTGACCTTGCGGAGTTCGTCAAGCTGACTAGTGAGGATTTCCAGCTCCTCCTCTAGACGACCAACGCGAGCCTCTAGATCCTCAACCTCGGCATTCTTCTGCTCGAGCGAAGTCTCGGCGACATCACGAGCGTCGGTCTCGATGTCACGCACCGCCTTCACCGTCTGCAGCTCGTGGATGAGAGCCTCGCGCTCGGTAGACATATCCGCGACCTGATGCTCAAGTGCCGCGAGCTCGGTCTGACGCTCAACGACAACCACTTCAACATCTGTGCGTAGTCTGGTAGCCTCATCGAGACGATCTTCAAGATCGTTGACAGTCTCCTCACGCTCCTTGGCCATCTTCGCGACAGTGTCCCGATGATCCTGCTCCATGCGCTCGACAAGCTCCGTCAGCCTGACCTCTTCGCGTCGATAACCCTCCAAGCTCAGCTGAAGTGCCTCGTGATTTCTCACAGACTCGGCGTGGTCCTGTCCAAGAGCCTTGACTTCCTCCTTCAGCTCATCGTTCTGCTTGCGAAGATCATCACGCTCTGCTAGTGACTCATTAAGCTCCTCCTCAAGCTCCTCAATAGTGCGTCCATTCTCCTCGTTGTCACGATCGAGCTGCATCCAGCGCTCATCAAGAGTCTTGAGTCGAATGTCCTTCTCAGCAAGATGATCCAGGAGGCCATTGATCTGGTTGCTCAAGTCGGCTATAAGCATATCGCGCTCTGTGACCTCAGTCTCTTTGATGCGTAGAATATCTACTTGCTCGTGCAGATTGGCAATCATAATCTCGATGATGTCTTGGTTCGTAGCATGATCAGGCAGACTGTCCGGGAAAACTGCTTCAACAGCATCGCGAATGTCGGCATGTGATTGGCGAATGCTCTTGACAATAGTGATGATGTCGACGCCTTCCTGCTGGCTCAAAGCGCCGAGCTCGATCTCAAGAATCTGCAGACGTGCTTTGGCATCATTCGCCTCTTTGCTGAGGGCGAGGATGGCGTTCTCGAAGTTGGCGCGCTCGGTATCCCAGTCCTCGGTCAACTGTGCGCTGAGTGAGGTACGAGTGGTCTTTGTGATCTTGGTCTCTGTCTGTACGCCATTCATATCGACATCATTGGCCTGGGAGGTGGTTGACCTCGCAAACAGATCCGGATATGTGACGGCCTCACGGCTACCGAGAACAAGCATGCCGTCGTCCAGCTGTAGACCATGAGTGTCCAAATGATGGCTGTGCTCCCGCCGGGCATCAGACAATTCTGCCTCCAGAGCTATAACGCGCTGCTGGGATTCATCGTCGTCGACTTGGCTAGCGTATCGGCGCTGTTCCACCAAGTCCAGCTCGATTTCTTTGATGCGCTCCTCCTTCTCCGATGCCTCCTGCTTCAGCTGATCGAGCTCAAGAGCCGTGCGTGCGCCCCTCGCGCTCTGCACTTGGGAAAGTTGAGAGCGTTGGCGGAGGCGGGTCTGAAGGGCCTCTGCCAAGGGGACCATGGTATACTTGACTTGGCTAGACTCTTGGGTGGTAGCATCCTCATTCCAGCCGGGTGGCAGCGATTTGCGGCTGAGCGATGTGCTTCTACGTTGGGAAGTTGCGCCAAGCGAAGGTGATTGGGTCGTGCGTCTGGTGATAGTTGATGTCTTGCCAGGGTGTGGTGTGGTAAGCTTCTTCGAGCTCGTGACATCCTCGCCATTCTCAGCCACACCACCGAACTTCACGTGCTTTGAGCGTGGGTTATGGACCTCAATGGAGTGCTCGAATGTGCGGCTGCTGCCGGGACGCTCACGCTCCATCGTGGCATCGCCTCCAAACTGCATAGCATCATCATGGTGTGTGCTGAGCGTGATCTCCTGTTCGGCCTCCTCGACAATCACTTCCGGCTCCGCACTGGTGGCTGCTGGCCTGCCTCTCTTCCTCTTCTTGGCGGCGGCTTGTGTGACAGCGCCTTGACTCGATGATGGCCGGTCTTCGGTGACGTTGCTGGCGTTTGAGGCATCGCTAAGTCTTCTCTTCCGCCCCGATGCGCGCGTGGACTTCGCTGGCTCAGGCTGGGAAGCAGATGGCAACGTCGTCTTCTTCTTAGGAGGCATCGTGCTCTACTTGCTATTGCTGCCTGTTTTAAGAGTGATGTGTAATGGTATGATACGTAAGACTGTGCGTTGCGGAAGGAGGGGCAACAAAGATTTGTATCAATGGAGAAGCTCGAAAACGCAAGAATTTGTGCTACTTGGAGATGATATTCAGATGGAAGAGGAGGTTGGTCTTTCGCGTGACGTATGTAGCTGTTACTAGCGTGGTCGTGTTCAGAAACAGAGTTTCACATCCACCGCTTCAAATCGTCATTCATGCGCCTTTCTTGCTTGTGTGCAGGAAGTCAGGCGCCGTGTGAATATCCCGTTGGCCATGAAGCATTCAGTCGACGAAAAGCTTCATAGCTATCAATTGTTCACTGCGAGCTACATTTCGGCCTCAGTAGAATTGCACTTCCCGTTTCCGGCCGACGCGACACGCGTTTTCAGCCCTACTGTCAATTCGTATTACGTGGCTTGTGAAAGTGTTCAATGTTCACCTTGCAGTCAACTCCCTTCGTCCATTCATACCACCTAAGAGAGGTACATACGGCCTTACTTCCCATGGTGGTATCCAGGCAGTCTTGCTTTGTCCAGAGCTATATCATTCGTCCGCCGACCATGCCATATCATCTCTTGGGAAGAATGCATCGTGGCCATGGCCACTAGGCCAGCGGTAAGAGACTCGAGTCCTTCTCGCTCCCACTTTCTCACAAGTATGATTGAGCACCGTTTCTTTTCAGAATTCTCGCAATTTATGCCGAAGCAGATCTGCATACAGTACTTCGACTTCTCTTATAGTGCCTGATCTGCGAGCGTCTGGGAGGATGCCAAAGAACTCGTGGCGCTATCTATCATCACATCATCTTCCAAGAGAACCGGATTGCGATTGCCATCGCAGGAGTGGCGACAGGCCGACCATTGAGCGCGGAAGCTCCTTCTAATGGCCTTGCAGGCAGCAGCAGGATTTGCTTTCGTGGTCTCTCGCAAGCACAGTCTTACTGATGGCACACTGAGAGCTGCTGAATAAAACCACGATTCTAAAGGTCGTCAGACTCAGTCTGGATGTCCAGGTGGCTCCGCTTACGAATCCGGTATATGACATAGAGAGTCGTGGATGTGCAGCACACCAGAGAAGGATAACGACTGCAGTCACGACACTCTCGCCACCGGAGTGCTACAGTGCCACATAAGCACAAGATGATGGTCATGTCAATGGCTGCTAGCTATATGTCAGCGCCGCATGGCTCGAAGTCAATGTCATTATGCAAGCGGGGTGGGCTCCGTGCTCCATATCAACCTCACTACACAGGCATCAAGGCCGTCATCCCACAGCAAGAAAGGAAGTATTCGAAATTCCGACTTGCTTCTTCACACCTCAGCGTTTCCCTACTCAACCCCCTTCTCAGCCCATCACCACAATGTCAGCCAATAGGCCCAGGCGCGTGAAAACGAAGCCGAGAGGACCTACGAACAGATGGGATCACCGCCAGAGACTGGCCCTGCACATTTTGTACACAAACTTCAACCTCGACTCGAAAGTCCGGCTTCGAGTCTTTAACGAGCTCTTCAAGGACCATCAGCGCGGGTGCAACATGAGAAACGGGGTGACCACTGCGATTCTGAATGCCCAATACGGCGAGCGCAACAAGAAACCCAACTGGGTGGCCATTATGGCTGGTCCTCGCACGGTTCGTGAACAAGAAGAGAAGACTGAGCTCATCCGAGTCCTTCGGGACATCATCGCTACTACTCAGCCTAATCAGAGCCCGACTATGTCAAACACCAGGCCAGAAGCTGTCCAAAGCCCGTCTCCTGAAGATGAACCTATTGTCGTGCAAAGACGCGGCCGCAAATTCACGCCCCAGAGGCAGCCGGTAAAGACGTGGCTGGCTGGTTATATGCACGCACCTACTGAACAGGCACTTAGGCCGGAGAGCCCTGCCCCTGGTCATAGTAAACAGCCCCTCGTCGTCTCACAAGCGCGTTCTGCTGTTGTTCGACACTGTCAGGAGGCTATCGTTGGGTCGAGCTCCGCTTCCCGCGATGAGTTGCCACCGCATACCCCTCCGTCGAATCGAGTTGCAGTCTCGGTCAACGTAGCGACACCAGCCACATCGTTCTCCGCGCTCTCGATCTCGCCCACAAAGTACAAAAGGCAGGAAATCACTGTCGAGCTACCTCGTCAGCATGGGCCAACTTTACAGGTGACCCCTGAGGTTGCTGCTAAGGCGAAGATGCCATTGGTAGAAGTGCCAGATGCATTGGCACATCCGCCCACCTCAGGGCTCCTGTTCCGGTACGTTTACATCAGCTCTTGGCCTGACCAGCTCACTAATACCGTGGATAGATACTGGGATGAGAACAGCTTCGGCCACAACAGCGAGACCGGCTTCACAGCCGGTCGCTTCATGTACAACAACGTACCACCTCGCCGCGCACCGAAATGCAATGAACTCGATTACGCCGACATCGAGAACCATCTCAATCGAAATCCAATCCCGTCTCCATTCTGCTCGGCCTCGAACTGTCTCCTCTGGATCCTCCGACTCGCTCTGAAAGAGCACAATCGAGGCGCCAAGCAAGGCAAAATCACCCTGATAGACGCAGCCAACCTCGCCCGGAAGGGCGTCTACTATGTTCGACCCTTCCACAGACAGCTCCGCCACACGCATTGTTTTACGAATGGCGCTTGGCGCTATGTCGGTAAGTCTGACAAGAGAAGCCTGAACAGATCAAGGTACGAACGACTGACGGTAAGTAGGCACGCACGAATTCATAGTCTGGGCCCACATCCCTCAGCAAGCACTGATCCAAACCTTCACCATTGCCGACCTCCTCGCAGCATGCTCCCGCATGCCAGCAATGGCCGCCGCCCTACGCATCGAGACAGTCGGCAGGAAACATAAGAGCCTAAAGAAGACTATCCTAACTCAACTCGAGGATGAACATGTTCCGCTCTCAGCCCAAACAACGGTCGTAATCGCCCGCCTCTGCCGCTTCCTAGGCCTCACGGCCTCGTCCCCGCTTCCACATCTTGAGCATATCGTCTCGGACGTTCTACAGGGTTGGAAACTTAGCGTTCAGCCCATGTCTTCGGCGGAGTGGTCGCAATTGGCGTCGCTGTGGGCTCATAAGTTTTGTGGTCGCCAGACTCTGCCCTCGTTGGAAAGGCAGATGACGTTGCAGATGTGTTTCTTACAGAGTGTCAAGGCTGGGTTGGGTGATTTCAACGTCATGTTGGAGCCGAACTTAATCGTGAGTAGGACCCTCGTAGCCTTCGCGGCTTGTTACGACTCTTTTACAGTACTAACTTTCCTACAGAACAGGATGCACCGCAAATCCAAAGCCGTCGGTCTTGAATCACCTACCCGCGTCGTCCTAGACGCTATGGCCAACGCGACGACTGCTTTACTAGACTACGAAAAGCAAGTCGACCAACGATATGCTGAAGCTGCTAGTACGAGGCTCCTGCCTGGTATTGAGGAGTACTTCCAGCTAGGAAGTGATGTGCCTAGTCCGTCTTCTAGAGCCTCAAGGATGCTTCGAGTAGGAGAGGAAGACCAGATCATGTTTGACGATGATGCATTCGGGCTGTGAAGTTCTGCACGGACTATGATGAGACTTTGTTGAGGCGGGAGCTGTACAATGGGTGGAGCTGTTCATACGATGGGCGACACTGGGTAATGATGGGAGGGTGCTTAATCACGGATGACTGTGGGCGATAGTGTTGGCGTTGGTGTCGGGGTCCGTACGACGGGTAATACTGGGTAATGATGGGAACATGCTTGATGAGGGTCTTGTTGGCGTTGGTGTTGGCGGTTTGTGTCAAGTGAGGGCTATGAGAGACTTGCTGCCCCCTGGGATCCACACATAACATTGCTTGTCCTTAAACAATGCGTACATTAATCATGTACACCAATCCACACACTACTAAGGGGTATCTCTGTCGCATCAATAACTTGCACAAATGAAAGACAGGCACACCCCTCTCACTGCCCGACAAGCTCATCCATAATGAACGTCCACTCCTCTTCCGTAACCTTCGCCACACTCAACCTCGACTGCCGAAACAACTGCATACCAGCCAACTTCCCATCCTTGAACTCCTGCAACTTCTTCAAGCTCACCGGAGCATCAAGCTTAGATCGAAATTGCACGCCGACAACGACCCATTTCTGTCGTTGCTCCTTCTTCCCCTCCTCCACATACCCATACGCTCCCGGATCCTCAGTCGTAACATCCCACTCCGCCTCACTCACCACCTCCATCGTGCCCACGATCCCGGGACTCCTCCCAGCTTTCCCACCCGAAGCATAGAAGAAAGCCAGATCGCCTTTCCGCATCGCCCGCATATGATTAGCCGCAACATGATTCCTCACACCATCCCACAACTCCGGCCTCGCATCCGGCTTCGTGACAGTATTCTCACGTAAGTCGTCGATGGTGAATTTCGTGTTGATCTGTGTGCCGTCATGGGCCGTCTCAAGACGATCCTCCTGTTCGGCCTTCATGAGCCAGTAGTTCTTGGTGCCTGCCTTCGCTTCGTGACTCTGGGCTGTCTTTGACGTGGTAAGAGATGGCTCACCTTTCACTCCCTTCTTCTCAGCTCCCGCCGCCGTAGGCCCGGTAGTAGCAGCGGCATCATCTAGCAATTCGTCCTCGAGCTGTTGCTCCGCTGCTTCTTCCAGGACGGTAGCTTTGGTCGTCTCACCGCCCTTTGGTGGACGGCCGCGCTTACGAGGAGCAGCCTTTGACTCCTCCTCTACTGCTCCCGTAGCTGGTTCTGGCTTCGACGGCGCATCCTCAGTCTTCTTTGCTTTTGGGGCGCCTTTGGCACGCTTGGGAGCTGGTTCGGCCGTCTTCTTGGGCGCGGCGCGCTTCTTGGTTGCTAAGGGAGCTGTATAGCTTGTCAGACTGGCATCTTAGCAGCTTGCCAACTCATATTCCGACTCACGAGCTGAGGTAGCAGCAGGAGCAGCAGTAGTCCGCTTAGGTCGACCAGACGCCGCTGTCTCTGCTGCCGGAGCTTTTGGTGTGCCTTTCTTGGGCGGCATATTTGGCTGTATTGTTGGTATAGTCCTTACGAAGTCGCCTGAGAATAGTCGCAGAGTTGCAAGACTTGTAGAGAACAGGGCAGAGTCGCGGCGCATAGTCGACGCGCCGGGCTATTGATAGGAGAGCTCGGACCACATGCGCTGTACATTGCGCACCAATTAGAGAGGGCCTCGATGCGTCCTGAGAGACACAGTAATATACAGTAGTATGACGATAATACCTGTCCAGCCATGATAGCTTGAACAGTTGCTTTGGGCGATGGCTCCAGGCGATGGTCGCGTAGCATGGTCACAACGACTGTACTCACCTGGTCGAGGGTTTAGACATCGACCACTTCAGAGGGGAATACAGGAGCAGACGTGTTGACAGCCAGAGTACGACTGAGTAGAGGCATGGGCATGATATGATGTGATATCGTCTTATATAGTAGGTATATGATATGTACAAAATCCGCTCCAGCATGGATATTCTATCGAGGTCATCGGCCATAGCACGAATGTCAAAACATTACGAGATTCTCCTTCCATCTATCCTGCCTATCCTTCTTTCTGTACACGGCATTGCTCTGGTATAAGGTAAAAAAGAAATAACGGAAAATCTAAGCGTGAACGCTCAAAGTGCATGCAAAGAAGCCAACCCATCATCAAGACTATCTAAGCCCTAAACGCGAACCCAGGACGACCAGTCGGTCGACCATTTTGAGGTCCACCTGGGGGACCAGGGAAAGGTCGGCCCTTGATGTTCGTCGCCACGGCAGTCGCGGCGGTGCTAGGACCAGTGACAGTCGTCGACGCGAAGCCATACCCGCTTGAGCTAGGCGCGACAGTCGTGGTTGCCGCAACGACTGACGAGTCGCCGTTGTAACCGGCGGTGACGTAAAACTTGGCCTCTGCCGTCTGAAGAGCGGCGAAGGACGAATAAGCGCCCAGGTTGGCGAGGGAAGAGGCGGCGGAGCTCTTGGCGGCAGGCGAGAAAGCACTGTCGCTGTAGTCTTGCGCGGCGAAAGCCTTGTTCATTGGGTCGGCGTAGTCGATGGCGCTGCTGTAGCCTAGATCTTGGAGGTAGGTCACGTTGAAGGCGTCCATCATTGTGTGGTCTTCGTGGATGAGGTTGTGGCTGTGACAGGTTAGTACTAGCAATGCGAAATGAGTATGGTTTGGTTGACTCACCAATGGAACATATACACGCCGTTCTCGGGACCGAAGTAAGCGAGCACGCGAACGGTCTCACCAGGCTCCAGGAGAACGACGTCCTTCAAACCAGCAGCTTCATAAGGAAGGACACCACGCGAACCACCAGTACGGCTGACGACTTGCAAGTTCACCAAGTGCACGTGGACAGGGTGGACCGCGGGACCGCCGGTGTGGTGGAGCTCCCAAAGCTGAACGGTACCCTGAGGAGGACGAGCAAGGATACGGTTGTTGACATCGTTAAAGTCGACGCCGTTGATAGTCCATGTGCTCTCGCCACCCATCTGGAAGTTGAATGTATGGTCGACAACGGTCCTCTGCGCAGGCCACTGAATGTTGCCGTTCAAGACTGACGGTACATCACCATTGTTGCTGTTATCAGAGACGGAGTTGCCGACGACAAACTTCATAAGCTTGTTCGTGTTGGCATACTCCTGGATCTGCTGCTGTTGGTTGTTGTTGCCCAGGGTGATGTTCTGGCCAGCATACTTGCTAAAGTCGAACACGACTTCGTAGCGCTCGCCCATGGATATCAAGACATCGCTAGTAGACACGGGGCTACCAAAGAGACCTGAGTCGGAACCAATGACTTGGAATGGAATCCAGTTGCCACTGTTGTCGGCGAAGTAGACGTCGTACATACGGGAGAGGGACATGTCGAAGAGTCTGAAGCGGTACTTGCGTGGCTCGACGGACATGTATGGCCATGGCTGACCATTGACTTCCAGAATATCGCCGAAGAAGTTGATTGGGTTGCCGTTGGGCGATGCGAGGTCACCGTTCGACTGGTACTTCTTGTCGGCCAATGTCAATGGCACATCGTACTTTCCTGATGGTAGCCCGAGAACGTCCTCCGCTGAGTCGGTAATGATGTAGACACCCGCCTGGCCATAGTACGCATCCGAAGCAGTATGCCCGTATGCGTGATCGTGGTACCAGATCGGTCGAGCTGTCTCCGAGTTGGGGTAGTAGTAGTCCTTCCATTGGCCAACCTGTACCTCATCGCTCGCCCATCCGTCCCACACGGAGTGTGTGTATGAGCCGTGAAGATGGACTGCTGCTGATACGTCGCCCTTGTTCAAGTATCTGATGATCGTCTCTGTCCCTCTTGGGATCAGATATGTTGGTCCTGGTGCTGTGCCATTGTAGCCTGTCATGTGCGCCGGTCCTAGGTTAGGGTAGACCTGTTTTGTGAAAGGCTCGACAGTCGATGTGTAAAATTGGACTGATCGTCCATTGAATGTCTCAGTGCTGCATACAATGATCAGTATAGCTCAATCGGGTGGCCAAGCTGCTCGTCATACAACTCTGGCACCGCTACCGCAGGTATGGGCAGTGGATTCTGGAACATGTAGTTGTATGCTGGACTGCCGGCCGACTGCCCTTGTCCCCTCCATTGTCCGGGTTGTGCAGCTACACCAGCAGCGGCAGCCAGGCCGAGTGCCAGTATGTTCGAAGTAAAAGCCATTCCAATGTATGCCAAGAAGAAGATGTCACTGGGTGGATGTCACTGAAAAGAAATGTTTGGCCAGAGCCTGAACGAGTGTAGGGCGATCGCCGGAGAATAGTGATATGCAGGAGTGAAGATGCAGGCAGTACGAAGAAGCAGGTGTACGGCGTGGTGTATAAGTCAAATGTCAACGTCGTGAAACAACGCGCGCTGGAGTGTGAGACTTCAGGACGCTTTGGGATGGACTCGCGACTTGGCCAAGTGCCTCACATATAACGAGCAAGGACAGTGGCGTTGGCATTGTGCGCAGCCCATGCACCAAGCATCAGCGCTTGCCGCATGTTACTCAATCGCTTATCTCCCACCGTCGACCAGGGCTGTGACGGCAGATCCGGTTGATGAAAACTAGTGAACAGAGTCGGTGTCTGACACGGCGTAGATCCGTGCTAGATGCAGAGTCGATGCTCAAAACGAGCAAGTGGCGACAAGGCATGTCTCGCTTAAGCCGCTTCATGCAGCACCGCCCCTGTTTTCCTGTCAGGTCCCAAAACTCAAGGGGGCGCAAGGGGAATATTTTCGGACGCCGGTCCAGGGCTGCATGATCTGCAGGGGTCTGAGCTGCATGAGCAGGATCTATCCTTCGGAGATCTTGCATGTTGACGTGATGATCTGCTCTATTCGAGTTCATCAAGCGAATTGATAGTTTGATGGGCTGCTTCCTCGGGCATTTACTTGTGCTTGCATGATGCTTGACAGAATACTCATGGTATGGCGGGTCGTAGTCGCTCGACCGAAGGCCCGATACCATGAAAAGGCGCCGAGGAGACCCTCATGCTGTCCAATTGTGTCACGACGGCTGCCGTTAATTTACCAATAACTGCCAAGATGGAGCGCTACCACGCGATACGGTTGAAGTGGCGCAAGCCAACAATCACTTGATGTGGGCTGGACTGCCGTGTCTCCTTCACGAGTCACGACACATGCGCGTGATGTCTGTGACGGTGGTGAGACGAATGCTCGTATCATCGCGCTGGTCGGTGAGCGTGAGATGGCTGGAGCGAGAGATACCAATAGTGTCGTGAACAAGTGTGATACAGTGCCAATTGTCGGAAGATGCTCCAGCTCCACAGAACGTAAGTGTCGGAAATACGCTAAAAGTGAGCAAGGATGCTGCTACAGATCAAAAGTCTATTACGCTGCGTCTGCATCTCACCAGCATTGGCGTTCTCGACTCTCCACATGGAACCACAAACATGAGAACGGTGCTCTGCGACGGAAGCGGACGATGTTGATCCCGTTGCGCGACAGTACCGAGCAAACACATCTGCTACAGTCGTGATACCGATCACATATACGGCTGCTACATCAAGTCCAACACGAGCCTCCAAGAGTTCCAGTATATTTCCAGACAACTACCAAGTCCCAAGTCCTTGGCCTCTTGTCAGCGTCAACACGTGAGAGGTAAGATTCGCCTGCCCCAGCCTCATGGCATCAGGAGCACAGTAGTGGAAAGCGGTGGCTTGCGCGACAGCAGTGTCTTAGACATGGCCAGACCGGTGCTGCCGTGCGGTCCGATATGTATCTTGCACTTCTCGCCTGTACGGCATATCACGAACAACTGTTCCGTCTCATTGCTGACGGTCCATCTTCTGTCCCTTTGATGATGAGCATACTCGTCGTCACGACTCACAAACACCCACCTTTCCGAGCACATGCGGCACATTCGATCCGAAGGCAAAGCTCTCAATGCCCAGCAGATTGATATTCTCCGGCCTTGCATAGTGTTTAAATGCTTGATCCGCGAAGATCTACTACTCCATGCAGCGACAAGTCAAGTTGCTGAAGCAAGAGTCGATGATGCTGTGGAGCATTCGAAAGACTCCGAGCGGTTCTTTCATGCCACGTTGTCATGATGCACGAATGCTTGAGTTGATATGTCTGAGTCTATATGCTGGGACTCGGCAGGAAAGTGGAGTATGAAGATGGGCAGGGCTGAGGATTTGCGACGGGCGGAAGTCTATTGGCATGTGGCAACTGGCAAGCATTATGCGCCTCATCATATGTAGCATATGCTTGCTCTATGTATTCCCGATTGTGCATAAGCCGGCATGCATATCTTACAAGCGGCAAGCATGCTGGTGTGTGTGGAATTCCATCTTGGTTGGTGGAACAGGTACCATGTACCTCAAAGCTGCCGACTCTTTCCTGGTGGACAAACGCGGCTCGTCATGTGACCAACTGGTTGTAGCCAACACACAGTCAAGACATGGAAGTTGATGGCTTGTGTGCGCGATGTAAGTCACCATTCATATCGACCCGTCTCAAACCTCACGATCCGACCGCCAGACAACCAACCTCTGATCAAACCCCCCACTAAGAAGCACTTCTTCTCCTTCAACCATACCTCCCCAAATGCATCTGACCTTACTCCCCTCCTCATGCCCCCCCTCCCTCAGCACCCTCACCACCTTCCCCGAACTCGCCTCAATCCCCCTCACAGCGCCATCATCCCCATTAACCCACACCCCACTGCCATTAGGCCGCCACGCCACAGCAGGAGTACTATACGCCGTCTGCGGCGCCATAGTTGTGCAATGGATCTGTATAGCCGCTGCCTCTCGATCCGCTATGGCGAGTTCGCGGCGGGCTTGCGAGGCTTGGGTGTCGGGTACTGGTGTTTCGTCTAGTAGCGATGTTCGGACGGGCGCTGCTTGCTCGGATGAGGACGCGAAGGGAGGTACCAGGAGTCGTACGAGCAGTAGTTTCATGTGAGGGACACTTGATGTTCCTACGGCGAGTAAGGTGGGATCTGTAGGGCAGAGTGCCATGGCTGATGGTGTGAAAGCTACCCATGCGTTGGAGTGAGGGGCTAGATTTTGTTTACCCAGGAGTCGAGGTGAGGTCTCAGTGCTGTAGTAGTAGATGAGGTTCGAGTCTGTCCTTGTGACCAGTAAGATCAGTTGTAAGCTCTCTGGATGCCGCATCAAGACCATCGCCTCAGGTTTCGTTGGTAAGGTGATAGTAGCAACAGGATCATTAAGTATGAACTTCCCCTGCTCGTCGACAGAAGGCCAATAAAGCACAACCTTACAATCCCATCCCGCAGTCGCTAGCAAAGGTCCCGCGGCATCATTTTCAAGCATTGCAATCTTGACAATATACTTCGTATGATCACGTCTCCGCTCAATCGACCTCCCATCCAGCCCACTAACCAACAGCTGCCCAGACATGGAGGCCGTAAGCAAGAACTTCTCCCTGTAGACCAGGGTCGACAGTATAGGCGAGTCCTGCAATCCAGACAGAGAAGCTCTTAAAGCCTTCGTCCGTGCATTCAGAACATGTAGACGTCGATCCGCCGTACTCACAAGCAATGTCGCACCATAAGCTTCCGTATCGTACGCCGCTACACTGAGGACATTCGAGCTCGTCGGGAGACTCCTCACTACTTCCGCCTTCTCAGGACCTACATGGCCATACAAAATCAGCACTATAAAAATCATCTCAAAGCACAACACCAAAACCCTCTCCAACTCACCACCCTCAACCCACCCCCTCGCCCCACCCCCCTCAACCCCCAACTTCTCAAACCTCGCACTAAGATCAAACGTCTTCTTCTCCTCCAACAGCACCTCAAGGGTCAGATCCCCTTTCTCAACCATCCCAGCATCGGGCGGAAGACCCGCTTCGGCGATGAAGGCATCGTATGTCTATAACAAAATAAGCTATGAGATTAGCATACATTCTCAGCGAGAGCTAGGGGATTTGAGAGATATGCTACGGACTTCATCATAGTTGCTCGATTTGAGAAAGCGGGCTACGATGATAGCGGGGGAGTCGGTAGCTGGCATCGTGGAGTGATGGCGTGAAGTCGAACCTGAGTTGGAAAGGATCGAGCTTGACGAGAAAGGCAAGCACGCAGAGTGGCGAATAAGCGGGCGCCAAGGATTTCGACGTAAAGGACAAACTGGACACACAACTGCTCCATCACAACCGGTAACATACATGCATAAGACGGGCAGTCTAGATTTAAAGGAACGACAGCAGATGGGCATCGATGGAGGGTTCAAGAGGAGGTTGATACCGCTTTTGGAGCAGCCTTAGATTGCCGCCTACCAAGCCTACACAAACGATTCAACGGCTAAAGAAACCCATACGGTAACCACCGCGACCCTCCACCCATTCAATCCCAATACTTCACCACCCCATTAAGATCGCCTGTGACAACCTTACTCGTCTCCCTCGGATGCCACGCACACGCCACAACAGCGGCCCCATCTGTTCCCGCCTTAATCTTATGCCACAACTTCAGCGTCTTAAAATCCCACATACACAAAAACCCAGCACTATCCCCACTCGCCACGATCCCGCCATCAGGCGAAACGGTAATGTCCACCGCATAACCCGCCGTATTATGCCCGCGAAACTCCTTCTTCCGATTCGCGCGGATCTTCTCCCCGGTATTGTAGACTTTGATCGTGTTATCGGCGCTCTGCATCAGGACGGCGGGTTTGGTTGGGTGGGGGGCGGATTTGACGAGGGGGAACATGCCCGGGTCTGAAATCAGTTTGATGGGGACGGGGATGTTGTATTCCCATGCTCTCAAACTCTTGTCGTCGGAGGTGGTGATGAAGCGGCGGTTTTCGTCGCAGAAGGTGATGGTGTTGATGGGGCCGAGGTGGTGATCGTATTCCTGCACTGGGTTTTTCTTCTCCCCGTCACTCGGTAGCCGGGTATCGAATTGGACGATCTTGTTGTCGTGCATGCCTGCCAGGAACTCCTTACCGCTCGGGTCTTCGGGGTGCCAGCGCACGACGTGTGGGGTGACGCCTGTGCTGTACCGGCCGAGGCAGGAACCTGTCTCGGTATCCCAGACTTTCATCTGACGATCATAGGAGGCGGAGAGGAATTTTGTTCCGTCGGGCGTGAAGTCGATGTCGATGACGGATTTGGTGTGGCCGGAGTAAGTGCGGAGGTGTTCGCGGGCGTGGTAGGAATCCCAAAGTTTCACTTTGCCGTCGGCTGCCGCACTGAGCAAAAGATGACCGGAGCGAGGGAAGAAGCGGAGAGCTGTCAGGGCTCGGTCGTGGGCGGACTTTCCGGCGGAAGTCTGATAGGTATGGATTAGTTTCTTCGGATGGTAGCACTTCAGACTGAGCGAGTCGAAGTCGGACGTCAGATCCACATCCAGATCTTGCGGAACGTGCATATATGATCGGCCTTGGTAGTCGTATTGTTGTGAGCCCTCGAAAGTGCTCGTTTCCTTCTCCGCGCTCACTTCCTCGTAGGCTGTCCCTGCTAGGGCGCCCTTGGCTGGTACGGGGACGATGGCATCTTCTTCATACACGACTTCCTCCCCACTCTCGTCGCCTGAGATCTCCACTTCCTCGCCACTGTCGCTATCGACTATCTTCTCCTCATATTTTGCCCAAGGACCTTTGTATGCGCCGCTGCCGTATAGGACGCTGCTGTCGCCTTTCACTTCCCGTTTGCGCTTTTTGCCTGCCGACTGCTGACTTTGGACGTCGCGGTGGAGAGATCGGAAGCTGGCTTCGCTTATGGCGACTTCTTGCGCAAACCCAGCGGGCACCTTTCCCTTCGTGCTTGTCTTGTCGGAGGGAAGAGCTTGTACGAGTCGGCCAGCCAGAGGAGTATTTGCCCCGTTTCGACTGGTGGGTACGAGAGACATAATGAGTGCGTATCCTTCTTGTGTCTATCAGTATGCGCTCGGCGGGTCAGTCAGAAGTATCTGCGGACTTACATGCGGGAGGTGGAGAAAGTGGAGGATTGAAAGGTGGGCGATATAATACATCTCAAGCATGCATGACTCGTGCCTCGAATGCGGCGATCATCCCCGAATAATTATTTGGAGGGGATGGACATGTCATTCACTTCCATTCAGATTCGCTCACGCGTCACTCATTTGGTATAGCCATCATGCGCTCAACGGCCGTCGCTCGTCTGGCATTGCGCAATGTTGCTACCAGACAATGTAGCAGTAGAACGTTCATCACAGCAGGCATAGCCGGTCAAAACCATCAAAGAATACCACGACGACAAGCGCAATGGCAAAGTATACCACAACGACGATGGCAATCCGGCACAGCCCAAGCAGTGCTCGAGACAGCAATGCAAGATCCCTCCGCACTAACCCAAGACACAATCGTCGACAACCTCAACCCGGAAGAAGCACAACGACTATCACGTGTACGAAATATCGGTATCGCCGCCCACATCGACTCCGGTAAAACAACAGCGACGGAACGAGTATTGTTCTACACTGGACGAATCAAGGATATCCACGAAGTGCGAGGGCGGGATGCTGTGGGCGCCAAGATGGACAGTATGGACCTGGAGAGGGAGAAGGGCATCACCATCCAGTCTGCGGCGACATTCTGTGACTGGATCAAGAAGCAGCCGGATTCTGTGACGGGTGAGATGAAGGACGAGAAGTACCATATCAACCTCATTGACACGCCCGGACATATCGACTTTACGATCGAGGTGGAGAGGGCGCTGAGAGTGCTAGATGGCGCGGTCATGATCTTGTGTGCCGTTTCTGGTGTGCAGTCGCAGACGGTGACTGTCGATAGGCAGATGAGACGGTACAACATCCCTCGCATTTCCTTCGTGAACAAGATGGATCGTGCGGGCGCGAATCCTTGGAAAGCCGTGGATGGGATCAGTCAGAAGCTACGCATACCGGCTGCTGCTGTACAGATACCGATTGGTGTCGAGGATGGGTTCCAAGGAGTGGTAGACTTGATTAGGATGAAAGCGCTGTTCTCAGAAGGAGCAAGAGGTGAAATCATACGAGAGGATGAGGTGCCTGCGGATCTGCGGGAGTTTGCTCAGGAGAAGAGGAGGTTGTTGATTGAGTCGTTGGCGGACGTGGATGAGGAGATCGCGAATGCTTTCCTTGAGGAGCGAACACCAAGCCCACTGGAGATCAAGGCGGCGATCCGACGAGCAACCATTGGCTTGAAGTTCACACCCGTCCTCATGGGTTCAGCTCTAGCAGACAAGAGTGTACAGCCCATGCTCGACGCAGTAGTCGACTACCTCCCGAATCCATCCGAAGTAGAGAACCTCGCCCTCGACCGCCGACGAGCCGAAGCACCCGTCAAGCTTGTCTCCTACAACAGCCTCCCCTTCGTCGGTCTAGCCTTCAAGCTCGAAGAAAGCAATTTCGGACAACTAACATATATCCGCGTCTACCAAGGCCAGCTGAAAAAGGGCTCTTATGTAACCAACGCCCGAACAGGCCAAAAAGTCAAGATTCCTAGAATCGTGAGAATGCACAGTAACGAGATGGAAGACGTCCAGGAAATTGGTGCTGGAGAAATCTGCGCCGTTTTTGGCGTCGACTGCGCTTCCGGAGATACTTTCGCCGAGGGAGGCCTAGGCTACACCATGACCTCCATGTATGTCCCCGACGCCGTAATAAGCCTCTCCATCCGCCCCAAACAAACCAAAGACACCCCCAATTTCAGCAAAGCCATCGCACGTTTCCAGCGCGAAGACCCAACCTTCCGCGTCCACGTCGACACCGAGAGCGGCGAGAGCATCATCTCCGGCATGGGCGAACTCCACCTCTCCATCTACGTCGAGCGCATGCGCCGCGAATACAACGTCGAAGTCCTGACCGGCCAACCCCAGGTAGCCTACCGCGAAACGATCCAACAACCCGTCAACTTCGACCACCTCCTCAAGAAACAAACCGGCGGCTCCGGCGACTACGCCCGCGTAGTAGGCTACCTCGAACCCACGGGTACACTAGGCGAGAACAAGTTCGAACAACAGATCGTCGGCGGCACGATCTCGGAAAAATACCTCCTAGCCTGCGAAAAGGGATTCCAACAAAGCTGTATCAATGGTCCTATGCTAGGCCACCGAGTCCTAGGAGCGAGCATGGTTGTCAACGACGGCGCAACCCACATGACGGACTCCTCCGAAATGGCCTTCAAAAACGCCACCCAACAAGCCTTCCGCAAAGCCTTCATGGCCGCCGGCCCCCAAGTCCTCGAACCCCTCATGAAAACCGTGATAACAGCCCCCAACGAATTCCAAGGAAATATCGTCGGCTTACTGAATAAACGCAACGCGGTGATCAATGATACCGAGGTTGGGCCGGAGGAATTTACACTTTATGCTGATTGTAGTCTGAATAGTATGTTTGGGTTTTCGTCGCAGTTGAGGGCGAGTAGTCAGGGGAAGGGGGAGTTTTCGATGGAGTTTTCGCATTATGCGCCTGCGCCGCCGCAGTTGCAGAGGGAGCTTGTGGCGAAGTTTGAGAAGGAACGGGCGGAGAAGAATAAGAAGTGAGTGGTTGAGGTGTTTGGAAGGGAGCTTGGGTATGGCGGATTTGATTTGAGATGTTCGTTAGACAGGTGGGTGAACTTTCATGCATTTCTTGCGAAGCATTGCGCAGGCGCTGGAAGGTCTACGGGACGTGGCGTTGTGGTGGAGGTCCTATAAGGTTGTGCATATGTACAGATCTCAGCTCGGAGGAAGGGGAGGGGTTGTGTAGTATAGAGTAGACTCTTCCGCCTATTGTACTTATATCAGAGCATTTGTTTGCAGCAGTTCACCACCGTCCAATACGTGCCGATTCGACATCGAACTATGGGTGGTTTGATTCCTGGGCCGAGGTCGTTGCTTCATGTCGAGGCTTCGACTTCAGATAAGAATGTCCGAAACCCCGGCAAGTATGATGCTATGGCCATCAATCCAATGTTGGATCGATTGGCTTGTACAGGTGTATGTTGCCACATAGTGTGCTTGATTTAAGATCGATTGCCGAAAAGTGAAAGGCTGTCAATCATGGCGCCACCGCGTAATGGCAACGAGTATGCGATCAATACCATAGTAGACCATCGATACCTCGAGAGGATCTCCAGCTAATCGTCGAGTAGATATACTGTACGTCTCCTCACCGCGGTTCTGCGTAGGCTGAAGCGGATCGACTGATTCGAGGTCCGCCGCAGGACTTTAGGGACCTCGTCGCCCTCGAAACACTTGACGAAAACACATATCGAAGCATCGCGCTTGCCTTCGGTCCTGCGGAAGGCGAGAGGACATATGGCGGACATGTCTATATGCAGGCCGCTTACGCGGCTAGCAAGACTGTACCCAAAGGCCAGGTCTTGCATGTATGATCACTTGCATCCCTTCGCCGAGTGGCGATGTTAAAGTTCCTAACTCGGCTGTACAGAACATCACAGGCTGGTTCCTGCTTCCAGGCAAAGCCAGCGAGCGCTTCACTTACCATGTCCGCGAGCTGAGGACAGGAGGATACAGTACCCGTGCCGTCGACGCCACGCAGGAATCTGATCCCGGAGTATCATTCAGCTGTATTTGCTCATTCAAAAAAGCTGAGAAGCCCGAGCAGCCGAATCTGGATATACGACAGCATTTAGACCTGGAGAAGGAGTACGCTACCGTACTGAACGGCAAGAAGTCTCCGGAGCACGAAGAGATGCCCGGTGTGGATGCCCCGTGGTACTGGGACTTCACAGGCCGTAACAATGGCTACACTGATCCTTTCCCCGGTCTCGAGTTGCGGAAAGTGGATATGAATGCTTACAATAAGAACAAGCCTTCCCATGGTCTAGAGCACAGGAACCTGAAAATGTACTCTGTACGAGGGGCGATGCCGAGCGTAGAGCAGGACCCGAACATGCATATCTGCGCACATCTTTATGCTAGTGATCGCAACTCGTTATTCGTGATGTGAGTCAAATATCCTCGTCAATGGCTCCGTACCACAGGCTGATGGCAGAACAGATCGAACCACTTAGGCGTAGGAAATGCCTACTCCCAGATGGGCTCACTCTCGCACAATGTCATCTTCCACGCTGATGCCAGTGAACTGAATACGCTTGACTCGGCCACGAATCAGCCTCGATGGTTCTGCCAGGAGTCCTGGACAGGTGGCGCAAGGCAAGGCCGGGGGATTCATCATAGTCGGTTATGGCGAGACGATGGACTTCATCTTGCTACTACGCTGCAGGATGGTATGATAAGGTTGACTGTGCCTGGTAAAGAGGGTAAGGTTGGTTACTCGCCTGAAGCTATGGGGAGGAGGATGGAGGAGTTTATAACGAAGGAGAAGGGGAAGCTGTAGGAATGACAAGCTCGTGCGACCTTAGGAGATGTGCTTGTAGACTTAGAAGCTAGCAATGACGGAATAAATAGTAGTAGTCAGTTATCGCTACGCTACCCTATGTACCACTCACTTCGGCGGCAGAATCCTACCTCTGCACTCGCCGAACCCCAACGCCACACCATTCCCTCCTCCACACCATCCCTCAAGGATGATCTCATCGCCATCTTCCAAGTAGCCGTCCTGATACTTGCCACTGCCCTCTGGCAGAACGTCCGTCTTCGTCCTCTCAGCTTCATACAAACATCCCAGCTCCACCTTCTCACCCTTCCCGTTTCTGCCAGCACCGCTAATAGTACCTGTACCAATGAGATCACCGGTCTGCATACCACATCCACTTGCTGCATGATGTGTGAGCTGCTGGTAAGGCGTCCAATACAGATACTTCAGGTTGCTGGTCCCCAACACGCTCTCCTTGCCGTTCCGGACCAGCCTGATCCTAAGCTTGATGTCCAATGCACCATCTCTCGGTGATGGCCACTTCAAGTGCTCAAACGGTGCGGGGTCCTGCTGAGTGTTCGGCTCACAAGCAAATGGCTCTAGAGCCTCCATCGGGACGATCCAATTGCTGATTGATGTCCCAAATCCTTTGGAATGGAAAGGCCCCAGCGGCCTCATTTCAAACAACTGATGATCTCGAGCAGACCAATCGTTAAGCATCACGAAGCCGAAGATATGCTCTCGAGAATCTGCTATGGACATCGTCTCACCATAGGGGATTGGCTGAGAGACGTAGTACCCCATTTCTAGCTCGAAGTCGAGTTTGCGTGTTGGACCGTACTCTGGCTGGCTATCGACGCCGGCGGCGAAGTAGACATTCTTTGGTCGAGGTATATCATGCGGCGTAGGCAGAAGCGAGGAGACGCGGGAATTGTAGACACTGGGAGCGTACCACCAGTTCTTTGCTATGGCTGAAGAGGTCATCTCGCCGGAGCACTGCAGATCTTGTTAGTCAGGCGTCGATCAGTACCATGAGAATGAGGAGGTACATACATTCTGGCAGTGCTCGAGCGATGTGTAGAAGTCGGAAAATCCAGTCGACTTCATTGGCAAGTGGTTCGTCACATCCTTGAGCTCGACAAGGCACGAAGAGGGTATCTTGCCGGCTTTCAGATCGTCTTGAATTTGCTCGCGGACCGTTCTCCTCGTTGGCCATGGCAATGAAGCGAAGGAGTTCAGGGCTGGCTATACTAGGCTGTCAGTCACGAACCTGATGAAGATTTGATCGCCATACTTCGGAGAAGATCTGCTGCAAGATGAAATTGTGTCCAGACTCGATATTGAACAAGTTGCCATTCTTAGCATACTTGGCGAGTTCGATCACATGTTGCCCAATCTACAATAGAAGTCAGACTACATTTCAGGCCGATAACACCTCTCGATTGCATACAGCTACAGCACATCTGGGCTTCGGCTCGGATGCGGTCGAGATCACTCCGTAGGGTAGATTACTAAGTGTGTAGGGGGGCTGGTCTAGTACTGGAGTGGCCATGATTAGTCGTGTACAGTGGCAACGACGGCAGTTGGCTGGAATCGTTTGTCATTTCAGGAACAGCAGTGTCGTTGGAGTTGCTCACGCCGGAGAATGTTCGGTGAAGGTGGAGCCGAATGTTCAGTAGGAAGAGAAACCGCACCATCAACGAGGACTAGCATACACGACTTGACTGTATCGAACACGAGTCGTTGTGACGGCTGACAGAATGGTCTGCCCTCGAGTGTCTGGACGGCTCGGTCACATAGCTTCTCTACACTCTTACCGACCTATCCCGAAGCAGAATACGTACTTGCACATCATGTGTCATTTCTTCGTTTACAAGCACACGTTGCCAGTACTCCTGCATTGATATGCTGGCATCGAAACCGGAACATTGTGGCAATGGCTCTAGGCACTTGGACTGGATCCTGCAACCTCAAATTCGAACCATATTGGCCTGGATTCATGATGCAGAATCTGGTGAAGTTATCGTCATGTTGACGTATGGCGTGTCAAGGCCACCATCCTATCAGCTGCTTCAACTTGCTCGAAGTTTCGCCAATGCACGCAATACCAGCCTGACCATCATCAATCTATCAGCGTTGAATGGTAGAGAGAAGTGAATATGTTTGCAATCTGGCTAGCCCTTCGCCTGGGTAAAAGTGGGCCGAGTCTCGATCCCCGCAAACGTGGAGCTGCCAAACCGGGACGACAATTCGCAGCTCCACAGTCCACACGACATCAACTGCCGATGCGTGTCATATGCGCCGCCACGAACAGCTCCAGCCGCTCAAGCCTATCTAACAATGGTAGACACTTCCCACCTCCCCACATACATCGTGGCGCGGACGGCATTGTAGGGTGGAGTATATGCCGGATGTGTTCACGATGCTCATATGTATGATTGATCTGCCTTTCTTCATCTACGGTAAGTCCAGGTGAGCCTCTCTCGATCCTTTCAACCTCAACTTGCCATCTCAACATGGCTGTCGTTCAAGATGAAGCTGGCGAGGCTGGCGTTGTCCAGGCAGTAAAACTCCTGAGGACATACTGGTATCTTGCTCTACCTCTTGTACTGGTTCTACGCTTTTTCTACTATAAGCTCGCTTCGCCATTAAGGAATTATCCTGGACCCTTCCTCGCCTCTGGCAGTCGAGCGTGGAAAGGTAAGATGACTCATATGTCTCTCAGTCACATGCCATCGAGCTGACGGGTTCAGTCATCTCCACATGGCGAGGCAAGACAGAGACAGACCACATCAAGATCCACGAGCAGTACGGTCCGATTGTGCGGATAGCACCAAACGAGCTCTCCTTCTCCTCGCCAAGTGCCGCGCGAGAGATTCTAGCAGCCGGGAAAGGCTTCCACAAGACCGACTTCTACGGCGTGTTCCCACCACCCGAGAACCCAGATATATTCACAGAAACTCGCGAAGCGGTGCATTCGGTTAAGAAGCGATATGCCAGCAACCCATACAGCATGGCGACCATGCAACAGAACAGCCAGTATATCGAAGAGACGGAAAGGCAGTTCAGAGCAAAGCTTGATACCATGACCCAGACTCCAGATCAATTCTGTGATCTAGGAGACTATCTGCATTATTATGCCTTCGACGTTTTAGGCGAGATCGCATTCTCAAAGAAGTTTGGTTTTATCGAGGCAGGGTATGACCTTGAGAAGGCTATCAAAACTATCGATGATATGCAATGGTATGATGGCATCGTTGGTCAGATACCGGAGTGGGACTTTGCATTCAGGCGCAACCCAGTGTGGAAGTTCGTGCCGTGGTTGAACTCTGGAAACTTCCTGATCACTCGCATGGCTTTGAGCGAGATGGCAGACAGGAAGAAGCTGGGTAGTAAAGAGCTGGACAACAGGAAAGATCTTATGAGTCAGCTGTTCGCTGCGCACGAGAAGGCACCCGAGACTTTCAAAGAGGGCGATGTGTTCGCGGTTGCCCACGGTGCTATGTAAGAATTCCATGCTGGTGACTTTGCTGTTTGACGCGCTGACACGCCTCGCAGCTTCGCCGGGTCCGACTCCACAGCCTCGACCATGCAATCCTTCTGCCACCACGTTCTCCGTGAACCAGTAATTTACCGCAAAATCAATAAGGAGATTGACGATGCGACGACAGAGGGCAAGCTTTCAGAGATGCCACAATGGAATGAGGTCCAAGCCCTGCCATACTTTCAAGCCTGCCTAAAAGAAGCTATGCGGGTACGACCAGCTGTTGGCCTAAATATCACGCGACATGTCCCACCAGAGGGTGCAGACATCGATGGCAAGCGCTTCCCAGGCGGCACGCGCGTAGCTCTAAATGCGTGGGTGTTGCATCGTAATGCTGAAGTGTTCGGTGCGGATCCCAAACTCTTCAGGCCTGAACGATGGCTTGAAGGCGATGCCAAGACCATGGACCGCTATCTCTTTACAGTAAGTGCTCTCCATCAGCTAATGTCGGCCACGCTCTGCTGACCATACCGCTAGTTCGGTGGAGGAAGCCATCTTTGCATTGGTAAGAATCTGGCACTGCTTGAGATGAACAAGACTCTGCCTCTTCTCTTCCGCGATTTCGAGTTTGAGCTTTTGAAGCCGCACGAGGATCTGAAGTACCACTCGACATTCTTCGTTGTGCAGTCGGGTCTTGAAGTCCGAATATCCAGGCGCAACAGGAAGGCGCAATAGCTGCAGTCTTAGCGTTGGCATAGCTCATTGTGTGTAATGAGTATCGCACATTATCCGCGTCATCATATGATTCCAGTCTTGTTGGGATACTCGGCTTACATGCCGCTATCAGGGCTCGCCATGCTCAGGACAACGCCTGACCACCCACTTCTCCCATGCCTTGCGTTTAAAATTCGGTATAGTGTAGCCATCGACGCCTACTGTCGTGCCGTCATCGTCCAGATCCTCGGATGAGTCGTGATGACCCTTACCATTACAGTTGCACCAAGGCGCTGAACCTGGTGTGTCCGGTGAGTTGAGTGGCGGGAAGTCCATGTCATTCGCTTCTCGACCATGCTCGTCGTCCGAGTCCTCTTCGCTGTCCGTAACATCCTCATCATCACTATTGTTTCCAGCGGCGCCAGTATGGATATGGCCAGAGCCATGCATCGTTCCGGGTGATTCGTCGTCTTCGCTTGCCTCGCTATCGCTTTCCCCTGGCGGCGGATCGTCTGGCACTTCTGCTCCTGCAGCCAGCCATAACTCGTCAAAGTGGCGTGCATAGCCTATTCTCCTCAGACTAACCCACTCAAGCCTATACATCGACTCTCGTAACGCAGCGAGCACATCTTTCCACATACTGCCATCCTTCAGCAGTACATCCCGAAGTCGAAGACCCTTTAGTCGCTCTTTGTGCCGCAGTGCTAGATCCACGATCTCCTCTGCATCAAGCTTCCAGCCTTGCACACCAAATGCCACTAGTTTGTCCCAGGTCACGTTGTGAAACACATCTTCCAGTCGAAGACTCAGCGGCCGATGTGATGGGAAGCCAACATGCACTGCTTGCATATTGACGGCTGTCGTGAAGACAGTCCTGAAAAGTTCCGAGAGCTCGCTCATTTTCTGATCGAGATCAGTGCCGTCGTCAAAATGCAGTGTCAAACAGGTCAGTCGCGCAGCTAGCGTTGGCAAGGAGTGCGGACTGTGAGTCGCGAGGAATTCTGCGCTCTGAGGACTAAGCATAGGGGATGAAAATCGTGACCACGGCACGTTCGAATGCAAGAGCGCTGCACCGATGGTCTGTGAGCCGTGAGAACACGCTGGCGCCCACTCGAGATCCACGAAACGTCTCAACTCCTCATGTTGCCGGATGTACTGCAATAAGGCCCGATCTTCAGCGTCGCTAACCCGCAGCAATTGTACGAACTGTAGCGATGTGAAGCTAGCAATAGCCTTCTTCAGCACTCGTGCGTCTCGATGGCTGCTGATAATCTGCTGCTGCTCCTTTACCTTCTGCCGAAGACTACTGAGATCGAATGCGAGTGAGCCATCCTCCGTGCCTGGTCGGGCAAGACGGATACTACCAGAAGCTGCGAATCATTAGTACTGCACAAGCCTCATATTGTTTGACGTACGGTTCCTGTAGAAGTACGGCAGAAGATAGCTGAACTTCTTCACGAGCCGTGCTAGATGGGGCCAGCTTGACAGCTGCTCAAGCTTCGCCAGACCTCTCTCAGAGAATCGTGCAGTGACTCGAGTGTATAGAAGGGGAGCGCCGACGTCTGCAAACAGTCTGCAGCCGCATCTGAAGTTGCCGATGTCTTTGATGGACCCACGAGTCGAGTCCAGAGGCCGATCGAAGCTTTCTACAGATAAGAACAGTCTCCGGTCTATGGGGACTGTCTTGTCAGGGTCGGGCTCGATTTGATCCAGAATCAGTCGCAGAAGCTCACTCGACAGGCGGAGGATTGGTGGGCCACTCATGGTTCCATTTCTGTTAGTGTCGCCTCGCTGCTGGACGGCCAAGTATTTGCGCTCGTGCATCCCATAATCTGTTCTCGAGCTAGCGACGTACGTCATGCGTTGCTATAAAATATACCTTGTACGTAGGTGTTCTCTAGGCTGAATAGGTAGTAGAGGCGATCGGCGTGGCAAGCAGCAGAGAGAAGGACGAGATACCAGACCAAACTGTCCTTACAGTACCCCTCTGTAAGCTCGGCGTCATCGCCGACCATCGTGGCCGCATTCTTGCAGAACCATAGTCATGCAGAAGCAGTGCGCTGGTGCAGCCACGAAAAGACGGCCAGAAGTGCCTCCTGGCCAATTAACAGCCTGGCGACCCACACCTTAGCTGGTCCCGTGATCACCTAGTCCTGCGCATGCCCGTGTATTATTTTTCGGGACGGAGCGGTGGCAAGGCACGATGTATCCCCGAGGCGGCTCGCGGAAACTCAGTAGTAATAGCGAGGAACAGCCATCCAAATCCTGGGTATGAGTTCTGCGAAAACGATGCAGTGTGCGTTGGCAATCAATGCAGGTTGAGCAAATCGGGTGAGGCGGCGTAGTCGCGATGCTCGAGTAGGCGTTTGACGTGCAGCATGCCTTGTTAGCTTCTTACCACCAATATGTTCGTCGCACAAATTGCTGTGAGGTGCCGCGACACTCAAATTGCCAGCGGCTTTTTTTTGTCTCGGTTGACGCTGCCGGGCTCTCCAGGTCTAGGTCTGACATTCGTACAAGTGTGAAAGGAGAACAAGACATGCTTGTAGACGAGACTGCTGGAAACTCACGAGACTCGCTAAATTCAAAAGGTGCGGCGACGACATACCCTTATGACCTACAACGAATGGTACAAAGGCTCGGAACCCTATATTACGAATGCGTGCAACGCCTCTTACCAAGCCGTGTTTCTTCCTTCGGAAAGACGAAGCACTCCTACCATTACCCACGCTATGAAAGACCGCACTCATGGCTAGCGAATCACTGCAGTGTAGCTGTTGCGTAACACTATTGCGGCCCAAGATACTGATCTATCAATACATCTACTCCTTTCTTCTCGATGTATGATCTACAACTTCATGCCCAACGCCTTATGCACTTTCAAAGCCTGGCGAATGCTCAAATCAAGCATGATCTCTTCACTACCGCCAGGTATAGCATAAGCTCGCACATCCCTGTACAGCCTCTCCACCTTGGCACCTTGACCACCTCTGCTGTAGCTCAGACCGCCGAAGATCTGACTAGCTTCCCGAGCACAAAATTCAAATGTGACGGTAGCTTGTGCCTTCAAGCCAGCAATAGCGCCTCCAAGTTTCAGCATGGCTTCCATGTCAGACATCTTCTGGCATTGGTAGACTAGGCTCTCATGCCATGTATAGGATGCCTCGATCTGTCTTGCCATGTGAGCGAGCTTGAGACGAATGACGGCGTGGTTGATGAGCTTCTGGCCGAAAGTGCGTCGCTTGTGAGCATACTTCATGCTCTCTTCGTAGCAGACCCTGCTGAAGCGGAGGCATTGGATGATGATGCCAATGCGCTCGTGGTTGAAATTCGTCATTAGTACCTTGAATCCCTGGTTCTCCTTGCCAATAAGGTTCTCTACGGGAACCTTGACGTCCTCAAAGGTGATATAAGTTGTGCCGGACGACCAGACGCCCTGGCAGTCCATACGGCGTGTGCTGACACCACCCATACTGCGCTCAATGAGTAGCACAGAGACACCGTTCATGCCCTCTTTCCCAGTCCGGACGGCAGTTGTGAAGTATTCACACCATATGCCATTGGTGATCCACTTCTTCTCGCCGTTGACGATGTAGTGCTTACCATCTTCAGTCAGCTTGGCCTCGCATGTCAAGTTCGCGACGTCTGAGCCGGCATCGGGCTCTGTAATGGCAAGACAGATACGCTTGTTACCGGAGAGGATGTCCGGTACGATACGGTCGACGAGAGCTTTCTTGCCATGCTTCACCAAAGGAGGGCACCCGATGCCGAAGCCACCGATCAGGTTCCATACAAAGCCGCCAGATCCAGACCGAGAAAGCTCGTCGGTGAGAAGCATCTCGTGAAACAGATCCCACTGCTCCGGTGCCACCGTCTTGACAGTCCTACCTCCGGCGAGCTTCTTCGGGTATGGGTGGATGCCAAGCAGTCCTGCCAGGTAGCCTCTTTCTCCCATAGCCTTGTATATGCTGTCTGGGACCTTCTTTGCCTCATCCCATTCGGTAACGTTTGGCATTACCTCTTCCTCCATCCACTGCCGTACCTCGTCACGAAGAGCAGCATGCGACTGGTCGAAGTAGGGCGTGTGGTAGCTCTGATACCAGGATGGATCGGCGTAAGGAATCATGTCTCCATATGCATCCATCGCCTCAGCTTCCTCTTCAGCCGCGGGACCAGGCATAGGTGCAACTGTGCCCGACTCTGCCGAGGGTACCACTCTCTCTTTCTTCTCCTCTGGGGGAGGTGTAGCTGGTGGCGAAGGTGGTGCAGCTGTCTTCGCCTTGCTGTCTAGCGAGCCGACCTGGAGCTGCTTCTGGTACTTCTTGAGGATAGACTCGTTGTGGTACTTCCAGAACTGCTTGCTCGCATCTTTTCCTGCTACTCGTTGGAGGACTGTAGGCTGTTAGTGCGGCATGCAGGCATTGCATTGGTATCTGATACGTACTCTTCTTGCCACCCGGGTGTTCTTCTTGGAACTTTGTAAGATCGTACACATCCTCATCAACAATGATATACAGATTGTCAGGCTTGTTATGCGAGGCGACCTCGCCAGAAGTGAAAGACTTGGACATGATGCTGATGATAGAAGAGGACTAGGAGATGATGTTGGTGACGAGGGGAGGATACTGATACGTCGATGAAGAGGAAGGGTAGACCACGAACCACGGGACCTGCGAGGTCTAGGTCTAGTCAATGGTCACGTTGCCCATGATCACAGCACTCGCCTCGGCACTGACATGTGAATGCTGACCTTCAGCCTCAAGCCGACTGCATGTGAATCCTGCAAGATGATGGGTCATCCGCAGACCTGTGCGCAGAGCCGCATTGATTTGAGCAGCGGAGTTTTATCCACAGCCAGAAGTCGTGGTCTGTCACTGTGATCTGGCTTACACGCATGCAATGAATATTGACATCAGCTGAGGGCACATTGATATGGAACCGTAACTTCAGCAATCTCGTTCCCTACTGTCATCATGGCAGAGATGAGGAGCCCTGCTGGCTCTGCCAAGACCGATGCCATGCCCTCACCTCCAGCAGATCCGCCAGAGGGGCAATGGACACGCCGCTGGATCATCTTGTCCTTCTGGGCCATCATCGTCTGCTTCGGCCTTCCACATTGGCTGATGACAACTTCGACATACCGTGCGAGCCTTCCGCTGGATGCTATGAATTCATGGGCCCGAGAAGACCAGATCTGCGGAACCACGGATGCTTTAGCTCTGCAAGAGAGCAGAGACAATTCAAAGGCCTTCAAGTACTCTTCGACTTATCATCTGACCTTCTCGCTCTTCACACCGGCCGCTATACCATCGGATTGGGACATTGATCAAGCGCTGGCCCAGTATATCCGACCTTTGATTAGAGCGCTGTCGAATGTCAGCGATTTCACGGTTGAGACACAAGTACAACTGCATGCGTCTTTCTCTCCATCTATCGCTGGCCCTCAATTCGATCATTCTAATAGGGAATGGCAGCTGCAGAAGTCTGATCTTCGTGGCTTCATTAACGCAGCTGAGTGGCCGTTGAGTCCGAGCATCGGAGCAGGGCCGACCATTAACTTTGTTCTCTACGTACCCACAGAAGGGCAAAAACCACTAGTCATAGCTGAAGCGAATCGAGCCACGAGCTGGCTTATACCTCAATGGGGCGGTGTTGCTATCCTCAATACCTTGGCAAAGCAGTCGACCAAGCTCACTGCTGCCGAGCTGGAGTTGGCGATGCTTACATTTACGGAGCAACTTGCGACTTTAATCGGTCTTCCTTCTAATTCTGGCTCTCTAGACGAGCAAGTCCTGCGACTGAAGCAGAACCGAGCGGTCTCACTCATCAGATCCACATCTTCGACCTTGGGTGCGCTTTCTCGTCTGACTTTGAAGCTTACCGCCATTGCTATACCAGATACCGTGGCGCACGCTGTCCAAGAGACCCTGTCACGGCTCGAACAAGCCTGCGATGCTTTCCGAAGCGATGATTGGGACAGTGCTCTCCAACATGCAAGGATAGGCAATGATGAGATCGAGACGGCATTCTTCGAGCCTTCCATGGTTGGGCAGGTGTACTTTCCAGATGAACACAAAGTGGCTGTATATGTGCCACTATTGGGCCCAATGGCAGTTCCACTTATCATGGCTGCTATCAAGGAGATCCGGACTTGGAGGCAGAGGAGAAAGGCTAAGACTACCTAAACAGTGATATGATACGACAATATCATCGTCTTACGATGGTCTATGCTACGGTAATGACTGGCTGCCACTAGCGCTCTGGTCTTGTGGCATCAAATCGCTTTGCCAACAGCTCACTGAGCTCCATTCGAATCTCAGCAGAAGCTGAAGATGAAAGGCTATCGTGCCACTCTCCAGGTACTCAGCTCTGTGCGAGACAGCTGGAAATGATCAAGCCTTACCCATGTGGGCACCGCCACTGCAATGGAAGGTCTGGCCTGTCATCCATTTCGCCTCTGGACTGGCAATGAGTGCTGCCAAACCAGCAATGTCGTCTGGGTAACCTGGCCGACCAAGAGGTGCGGTGCCAGAGATTGTCTTGTCAATCTCTTCTTCACTCATTTGGTCACCACCAGGAAAGTAGTCTTTCGCGGCCTCTGTATACATATCGGTCTTAATGCCTCCGGGAGCAATACAGTTGACGGTGATATTGCGTTTGCCGAAGTCCCAGGCTAGGCACTTGACCATTCCAGTTATGGCTGCCTTGCTTGCGGCATAGATCGCGTGGCGAGGCAGGCCCTATGAAGATCATTAGCGGTAGCTTGACTCAAGGGTCAGGTGGCATCCTTACCGAGACTGCAGAAATCGAAGACATCAGGATCAATCTTCCATCATTGCTCAGATGTTCGTACGCCTGCTGTGCTACGAGAAACTGGCCACGGACGTTGATGGCGAAGACCTTGTCGAAAGCTTCGACAGTGACCTTGTCCACCTCGTCAAAGTGCTCAATACCGCTGTTCGAATAGACGATATCGATCTTGCCAAACTCTTTCTTTGCATCTTCGAACAAGTGCTTGATATCTTCGGCCTTCGAGACGTCTCCTTTGACGCAAACGGCGCGCACGCCACACGAGCGTGCTGTTTCAGCAATGTGCTCTGCTGCGTCGGCCGAGGAGTGGTACTGGGAATGTCAGGCTGCAAGCGACTTGGCGGTTGGGGAAGGAACTCACGTTAATCACGACATCCGCGCCATGGCTGGCATACTTCAAGACGATGGCGGCGCCCATACCTCGACCAGAGCCGGTCTCTTGAAGGTCATCAGTCCTTGACCTCCGATCGGGATGGTACCAGCATACCAAGCGCAACTTTGCCCACTAGGGGTTTGGCATCGGTAGACATGATGGATGGCTTTTTGATCGGATTTCACCGTTGCTTGGATTCCTTCACGCTTTGTTGGCCATTCTACGAATCGGCGATAAGTACAAGCTATATATCTTTGAAGGCAGCATTTCGAAGGCTCTATTTCGCTCCACAACATATTTCCGCAAAGCCCGAGCGCAACCCATGGCTAACGTAATTTGAGTCAGGATTCGCTCACCATGCGGTGTTGCTGTGATACTCACTTGCTTGAGCAAACGGGCTTTCGACGAGAACGAAGCGCGAGGCAGTGACACAAGCTGAATGTACGCTTTTGGGAAGGTTTCCCGAATACGTTACCAGACCAGCCAAGTCACGTGAATTATGGACACCCGCCAAAACCACATTCGAAAGCTCAATCTTTACGATCTCCCACTAGACTCATAGAACCTTCACCTAGCACGTAGCATACGATGTACCTCGGGCTTTCGCTTCAAAGTTCTACCCGGCTTGCGAATACTCTCGGGTTGTTCGTTGCACTGCCACAGGCACAACATGTCAAGCCGCACTGCCCCTTTCAGATCTGGATTGGACGTCATCGATGCCTTGGGGGTCGACCTCAGCCACTCTTGTGAGGAATTACGAATTCAAGAATAGCGTTGTAGCCATGACGACCTCCTTGAGACTCTTCAAAGCAAGCAAACCGATACCTCTATGATGCATACGCAGCAGCCTTTTGGGTGGACGCACTTCTCTTCATCGTTTGGAGCTGGACGGCCAGGCCACAAGTGACCATTGCTGGGCTCATCTTGTTTATCAAAGGAAGCGATAATGAAAATATGTTCGAGGTACACGCATCCCATGTGATATATGACGAGCGATTGGCATGTGTCTGGAGACTTGATGTAACTAGCACTAGTAGAAGCTACGAACATGTCTTGCGGAATAACCTTGTCTGGCAGCATGAAGACGAGAGTTCCAATACCAGACGCCGATCTTCTCGTATGTCGCAGGGCCGTCCCCAGACTTGTGTGTGTTGGAGGGAGAGCAGGGCACCATACGGTCACTGTACAAGGAGCTGTGTGCAGGCAGGAAGACCGCGCAAATGGCAAGGTAGCAGTGTGTATCTAGCCAGACGTTGCTCCAGAGATCGCACCATTGGCTGTGTTTCTCTTTTCTTGGCCACTTCACAGATGGCAGAGCTGCGATGCAAGAGTGCCAAGCGTGTACAAGCTACCATGTGTTCTAATACCGAGCTGACTCCTTCGATTGCTCGTCGGCTCCAGTCGCGTTCTGTTGACTGAGCCGCTGCTCTGACGGACATGCTAAGATGATATTCATTTCGATGGTAAAGAACGAGGCAGAGGACATTAAGTAGGTGGGTCGTGGGCCGTGGATCTTGTTCATAGCGAAGCAAATCTCACGCTGTATTGCAATGCCTGCCCGTCACATTCACCAAATGAACAAAATCCCGATTTATGACATGATATCCAAGATGCTCTCAAGGAGTTGAGCGATTTGGAAGTCGGCTTTCTGGACCATCTGATCTGCCGAACAATCAAAAATCGTGCAGGGGCCGACATGAGCTTGGTCCACTTTATGGGTCTTCTCCACTTCTCACTCGTCGTCTCCATGGGGTGGGGCTCCACCCATATGGCAGCCACGCGGTACAATACTAGAATCTGTTTGATCTACTGAGGTAGAACCCCGCAGGATGTGCTCAGACTATGCGAGATATGGTCGTTGGCTGATCCCATAGCATCAAGCTGTCCTGGTAAACGCCCAAGTTGAGTGTAGGCCGGCAGTTGGTTGTCTGCAGGCAGAGATCGCCGGATGGCCCAATACACCTGAGTGCTTACAGTTCCTGCATCCCTTCTCTTTCTACCGCCTCTCTGTTCGTTCTCTGACTGCTTGCAAAAACCGAGACTGACAACCGACCATGGCGCCCAAAGCCCATCTGGTGCATAGTCATGCCCACGAATCTGACATTCCTGGAACCGTCGACCTTCGCGCAGCCGAGGGCGACGATACAGCATACGGCCAGGCACTGTTCCCAGTGCCAGCGGAGGATCCCAATGACCCGTGAGCTTCTTCATCATACTGCAGTGTTACCGATTTTACGGTAACATTTTGGCACTAGAGCTAACACCTAAGACAGGTTACAGTGGCCATCTTGGAGGAAGAATATGATATTGGTGGTCTGCTCGCTCTATTCCTTCCTCAGCAACTCGGCACTCCTGGGTCCAGCCGTGTACATCGAGATCTGGGCGGAAAGCTTCAAGATTTCGCCAGTCACCGCTTCTGGTTTGATTAGCTACCCTAACATCTGCTACGGTCTGGGAACATTGATCACCGTACCGATGTATCTCAAGTTCGGCCGACGCCCAGTGATGCTGGCGTCCCTCTTGATATACTTGGTTGGGTTGATTGGCTGTGCTTGTAGCACAAGCTATGGTGGACTGATGGCTTCAAGAATCATTCATACCTTTGCAAGTGGTGTTTGCGAGGCACTTCCTGTGCAGCTCGTAAATGATATCTTCTTCTGTACGCTGTTCCAGCAGTCCTCAATAGAACCATGCTAACATACTCTAGTGCATGAGCGAGGCAACAAGCTCGGCTACTACACAGTCTGTCTATGTGTTGGCTCCACTGGCCCATTATATGCAGGATATATGCTGGCTGGAGGTTACAGCTGGAGACTGTACTTCTATGTCGAAATCGCATTCGCTGGCCTGCTCTTCATTCTAGGAATACTGTTTGTCGAGGAGACAGCGTACAAGCGCAATACGCCCCGTGGACCCGCTTTGCCAAACCCAAATGGCGAAAAGCGTGTGTTCGCGCAGCAAGAGCTTGATAAGAGGTCGGACGAGGTCGAGCACGTCGAGGTCGAGACATTAGTACCTCCTCGACGTACATTCATGCAGACTCTGAAGCCTTGGTCTGCTATCGACCCGGATGAGCAGTTCTTCATGACAGCCATTCGGTCTTTCAGCTACTTCCTGGTACCAGCGGTGCTCTGGGTCGTTACCACTTACGGTATCTACATCGGTTTGGGCGCCCTAGTCTTCAACTACACCTTCCCCACCATAATTGTGGCACCTCCATACAGCTGGAAGGCGGAAAACTCTGGACTAATCGCGCTTGGGAACATCATTGGTTATGGGCTAGCTATTCCGCTCGTATGGACTTCCGATCGACTAGCAGCATACCTCACGAAGCGAAACGGTGGTATTCGTGAAGCTGAAATGCGTCTGGGTGTACTCATTCCAGCTTGCTTCATCGCTCCCGCAGGTCTGATCATCTACGGGTTCACGGCACAAGACCAGCTGCACTGGGTCGGCTACTTTGCCGGCGTAGCCATGTGTGACTGGGGAAGTTACTTCTACTTCACGTTCACCTTGGCTTACGCCGTCGATAGCTACAACGCCAACACATCCGAGATGCTGATCGCCATGTGCGTCGGCAAGCAAATGATCAGCTTTGCTTTTGGGCTGTACTTGCTGGACTGGGTGGTCAAGAGCGGCTACGTGACGATCATCGCGGGTGTTTTCTGTGGTGTGCTGTTCGCGAACAATATCATGCTATTCGTGTTCATGTTCTTTGGTAAAAGGATCCGAAAGTTCTACACTGGAACGTTCCTTGCTCGATGGCATAAGAAGACCGTCAAGCAGGTGATGACCCACTAGACCATGCCAATGTGGCTTGCAAGATTTGTATTAACCATATTGTGGTCGAGAAACATATTTCTGCAAAATGCATACACAATGATCGCCGCCAACCTTGTGCTTTTTCATGCATTGAAAAGAAGACCCGAAACCTGTCAAAGTGCCTCACCAATGCTTTGCTCTGCGCGTATACCGCTCAATATTGCCGCCCTATGCCGGGTGTCTCAAGCACGCCGAGAACAACGCCGAGACATGGTTCTCTCACCTATGCTCGCACCTCCGCTACGGCTACGTTCCAAGCGCGTACTTCATCCCGCACGCCGTCTGTGCCAAGCGCTGCACGAACCATGATTGTCTGCCGTTCCTTCCCGATGTTACGTACACCGTACGTGGCTGGGTCAAAGCGGATCTCATTCACGGCGTGGAAGTTGTGCTTCTCGTACAGTGGCTTCGCCGTGTCTGTGCCTTCAAGGTATACCTCCAACCCGTTCTTGTCCGCTTCAATGAGGATCGTGTTGAGCAGCATCGTTCCTGCTCCTTCGTGCTGATGACATGGCTGCGTTGCGAGCATGCCGATGTCTACCAAATTGTCAGACACGCCCAGTACATTCCTTCCCGCTATGTCTTACTTACAGCAATGCTTGACGAGACCGATGTATTCTCGTCGCCGGATCTCATTCAGAGCAAACCAATTTCTGTTCATGACCGGCTCGTGCTCATGGCCTACATCGGGGGGAGAATATAACTCTTCCTCACTATAAGTCTTAATCTCTGTCTTCGCAAAAGACACAATCTCTCCAGTCTCTGTGTCCGTGACCTTGAGGAAGCGAACCTTGGCAACTGGCGCCAGACCTTGTCGTGCCTTCTTGTTCAGCAGGCGATGAGTAAGAATGTCTTGAATAGCGGCAAAGTACAGCTCTACCGATCGCTCGAAATGTTCAGGCTTCGAATAGTCTCGGTATGACAGCTGCTGGTTGGCGCGCTCGTTCTCGAATGCTTGGAATTCGATGTCGACTAATCGTCGGACATCTTTGAGTTCGGCTTCTTCGATGACGAAGTACGCTGTTCGTTTGCCTCCAGAGGAAGAACTGCTCGGACTACCGGGGTCGAGTAAAGGCATCTTGTGGTGTCTTAGGTGTCAGTCTTAGGTTTGCTGAGGTCGAAGTGAGTTTTGTTTCACACTGCAAGAAATGATTATTGTAGTGGAATCAAAGACGCTAGAAAATCTCGAAGCAGGAACGGAAGGTAACAAGATCAGAAGCAGTAGCGAAGGAGAGTCTGACGTCGATCATTTGGCGCATACTGCTTGTGTTCTGTACGGAAGGGTAATGACATGTGAAGAGAGGAGGCGGCCAAGAAGACAACATCGTTTCCCTCTTGAAGGATTGCTAGGCTGTTGGACACCAAATGAACCCGGGCGAGGGCTTGCATCAAGCCTCTTCGGTGCAGGCCACGAGGTCAGCGTGCAGGTTGAATGCTCTGAACGTGATGTGCAAAGCGACATCCCACGCAGCCACGCTTCTTGAGGCCACGAAAGGCAATGGAGTGGAGTCTGGCTGAACACAAATAGCAGCGACGCAGCTAGCGATGACACACGTTGCCACTGCTTCCAGGTACGTCGCGTGTGGGCGTGGCATGGCCGTCCATCAATTAGACAAGAGAAAACCACAAGGGCAGGAGGACATGTGAGCAGGTCTGCTAAGTCATCGACGCCACGGGGTCATCACCTTCCTTCCTGGGCCAGTGTAAGCGTGTTGAGCGCGCGGGTCGTCCTATACCCTGGTATCTGTGCCGCGAATCCGATCAAAGCGTTCCAAGTTGTTGGATATATGCAGGATCCGGAGGCGGCCACGAGTCGTGGTGAGGTGGTCAATGGCAAGTCAGAGGCCATGTAGCGCAGGAGTCGGAGTCCGGCGAAGGAAGGCTGGCGCCATCTGCAAATCTACGTTCATCTTGGCGTGGGGGCAGGGAAGGGAAGGAGATGGAGTATGAGACACTTCGCCACACCTGCTGACTTCCCTCGTCTTCACCGGAACAGCCAGGCAGGCCAGTCGCGTCGCCGAGGTAGAGCAAACACGAGGTCGTGTGAGCACACGCTTCTCCAAGCATGCAAGCCACTGATTAAACCCGGTCGCTGGAGCGGACACTGGACAGCTATACGAATCTGCTACCCTTTCCGTCCAACTGAGCTGAGAATGCCGCTGCTGCGCGCATCCCCGCACTGACCCCTCATATGGCGTACTGCTTCCAGACATGGAGCTCATAGGACATCAGTAGATGAATACCACAATGACTTCCCTGTCGTCAGCTGCGAATGCTGCAGACTGTACATCAGCAGTGCCATATTAATCGACTCACTGGAACCGCCGTAGGCGCAAGCGAGAGCGACAGGGCAAGCGAATACAGTATGCCACCATCACAGAAGATCCAAGAACAGCTTGACCAGGGAGCCATTCCTAATTATGTCTCCAATGTCTGCCCTCAGGGCACAAAGATCTGGTTGCTGGAGGTAGGATGGCTCGAGGCTGACGAAGGGTTCGTGATCCGTGGTGGTAACACGTCGTTGAAAAGTACTGGGGACAAAGCGTTCGTGAACAAGCGTCGACAGATGCCGATGTACTGTGTCCTTATTGAGCATCCGATTGAGGGCTGTATCTTATGGGAGACAGGATGTGGAAAGGACTACCCAGAGATCTGGGGACCTGTGGTCTCGGACATCTTCAGTCGTGTACGCTACGAACCTCACCATGAGCTTGATGCTGCGATCGAAGCTACTGGCCACAAGCTTGAGGACATCAAAAAGATCATTATTGGCCACTTGCACCTGGATCATGCGGGTGGGCTAGACATGTTCTTGGACCGCAAGGATGTCGAGATCTAGGTTCACGATCTCGAGCTCCGATCTGCGTTCTGGTCGGTGGCAACAGGTGCAGATGTAGGCGTATACTTGAAGCACTATTTGAAGCTCGATCTGAATTGGAAGACATTCGACGAACGAACGCTCGACTTCTGCCAAGGCATCACACTTCACCATCTGCCTGGCCATACTGACGGTCTCATTGGCATGCAAATCAACCTACCGGAAAGTGGAACGTTCTTCTTCATCAGCGATCATTGCCACGTGATCGAGAACGTAAGTACTTGAGATATCACGGTCCGAACTGGCTAGCTGACGTATGGTGATAGTGGCGCGATGGCATTCCTCAAGGCTGGCTAGCTCGCGACCATCCAGCATGGTTTCGCTCTACTCAGCGTCTCAAGCAGCTTGTGAGGCAGACTCGTGGTAGAGTGATCCCTGGGCATGATGAGGAGACATTCCTGGCACTACAGAAAGAGGCGTCTAGTCTGCCGAATAAAGCTTTCTCGTGAGATTGGTGAATCCTTGTAGTGAATACATACTCAAGCTGTACATATGAACAGACGTCAATCGAAGTGCTGGCGCGCTCTAAAAATTCGGGCCTCTTCGTATTCCCTCAACTCTGCATACATTAGACCTGACCAAGTCCAGACGGCATGACCAATCCCATAAGTCGACCCTGCTACGCCACCTCAGATACATCCACACCCTAGTACTCAATCCCAAGCTTCTGGAACATATCATCCAAATCATGGTCATACCACGTGCCCTTGTTCTTGAACAGATGGTTGATGTCAGCGTTAATCCTAATATTCATGACCTCCATGATAGCCCTGAAATCCTGGCTGCTATAGCCGAGAGCCTTGAGTAGACCAAGTGCACTTGAGCGTCTACTGAGTTGAGCGCGCTGCAGCATGGTGTCGACGCGAGATGTGCCGGTCAATTCGTGTCGTTCGAGGAAGCCAGGGATATCTGGGGTGGACATGGCGCCCGGGATGTCGTCGAGGATGTCGCGGGCTACGATGGCGCTGGCGATGGCCGCGGTGTTGTCGGATGCCAGCGGTAAGGCATTCACGACTGCGCCGAGGGCGACTGCGATGGTGAAGAAACGCATTTCCGGCTAGTGATGTCGCGAGCTGATGATGTAAGGAGATCGTCAAAGTCGAATTTGTTTTATGTTGGGTCGCTGAGGGGCAGACAGTATGTTCGCAGTCGAAGGCTGAAGCGATGCTTTGTATGAGAGCAAAGATGCTGCGCTCCTTGAGGTGTATGGTGCAAAGTGACGCGTTGAACATACCGAGAGCCAAGATGCCCAGCAGCTCGGTCTTGGTCTCCGGCGAATCTCATAATGCCTCAAAAGACAAACCCGTACCTTCTTGCTTACCTCTATGATGCCTTCCTTTCGTCGAGTGAATAATCAATGCTTATCAGCTTTCAGAAGGGTCACTCTGCCTTCATTACTGCGCACCCATGGTGTCATGGGCAGGAGCAGGGTCATTCATGGGTCTGAAAAGAAATCTCGAGGCAAAGAGGCAGTGCTTGCCAAGTCTCCAGTAGACTGTCTTAAGAGAGTGATCTCTTACTTTCCGCCGCGGGCGAGCGTTCGCCTGAGTTTGTGTCCAGCTCTCATCAGACTTTACCAGAGCCATGGCACGCCAAGGAGACCAGGTATAAACATTTGTCCATGGTCGGCGGGAGGTACGACGGCGCCGGAATGCCACGCTCCTGTAGACCGTGAGACTCACTCGTACAAAGCTCTTGGCTACAACTGCGCATGTAGTCAAGGTAGGGAGGGACGCTTAGCGTAGAGTATTCATACCGAGAGCCAAAAGGTTGCACAAAATGGAGATTGGCACTGCGTCGTCCAAGCACCGCAAGACGCACTCATCTCGGGCCGGAGCGAACGCTCTCCGCGGAGGACAGTATACGGATGCTTTCATCGATATCAACAACATCACCATTGAGTCAATCATATGGTTCACGCTGACTAAACGGAGCTATTGTATGCTGGCGAGATCGCTGTGCTCAGCAAGTCAGCATGGCCAAGTCTCTCATGAGCTAAGAAAGCCGGAATAAGCTGGGCAAGGGAAAGCAACTCTTGATGAAGAACGATCGAACAAGCATGGCCGAACCGAAGTGAGGCCACGGTACCAGCGAGCGGCCAGCATAGACTGCGATACTCGCCACGCCTTACCAGCATCGGCGTGGTCGTGAGACTCTTCAAGGACATTGGAAGAGCTATTGCAAAGACTGCCTCCTTGATCGAATTGGCCATTCATAACATATGCACACCATGAGCAACGTACACTGACGGCAGCCTATGGTCCACCTAAATAGTGCTCCATGGTTCAAGGCTTGCATACGAGCCGTGTCGTAGCCTTACGGCAGCCTTGCGAGGTGCAGGAAAATCAAGCACCGATGCAGTATGAGGCTTGCAGCACGGCCATAAAAGACGACGACAAGGCTGCGGTATCGACGCCATATATTCCTTCTGCTTGCAGATCAGGCTAAGTACCCCTCCTGTCGAGTCCTTCACGGTGAGATCCTGCTTCTTTCTTGTATCATCTTTTCTCCTCTTTTTTCATGCTTCAATCGACCAATAATGTCTGCCAATATCGCTCTCACGACCACTTTCGCTCCGCCTGCCTCGTGCTTCGACAACCAATATACGTCGTACGGCGGATCGTACTGGGTCAAGGACACAGCTGTCTCGTCCCTGCAATGCTATCCCACTGGATTTAAAAGCTTGTGGCCTAATGGCATACCATTCTCGCCTGGCATTTGTCCGCAGAGCTATACGACAGCAACTCAGTCGCCATATTCAGGACAAGCTGGAGCTACAGCTGGATTATGCTGTCCGACGTATGTGCCAGCTAATGGCAGTGGCTAGCCATCTCAGTCGTGCTAATACAATGCCCATTGTAGAGGTTTCGCCGCCAATGGTCTTGGCTGTCAGTCTACCATTACAGCGTCTACAACACTCTCTGCGCCAGATGGTAACCACGCCGTCGGGTCCGGCGCCGTGCTAGCGCTGCATGGTGTCTACATAGTGTGGCAGTCTGGCAGTAGCGGGCAGGCCGCCTCGACGACAACAATCCTACCAGCGGCCGTCTCACCTACCACCATGACGGTGTCGGCGATTCCAACTGCTCAGAGCACCATATCCGCCCCTCCACAGAGCACAACCACCTCTAATACGCAACCATCAGCTCAGCCCATGACCTCGAGCAGTCCCTCCACCGGAACATCAACCATGCAGCCAGCATCGCAGACAACGTCCACTATTGGGGTTCCGTTGTCGGGAAGTACCAATACAGATACCTCACCATCTACAACTACAGCAAACCCAACCTCCCCGTCATCCTCTGCTGTAGTAAGCCCAGCAAACTTCACTCCAACGCCAACCCCTAACGTATCAGCCCACGATCTCTCAACAGGCGCAAAAGCCGGAATAGCCATCGGCGTCATCGTCGGCGTCCTCGCAATAGCAGCACTAGCCTGGCTCCTCCTATCACGGCGGAGACGAGAGCGAAAACGGCTTCCGGAACCTATGCCATACAAAGGTACCCACAGTGCCGAGATGATGCAAACGGCTGGTCATCAGCGTAATGTTTCCGAACTGTCGTCTGAGGGTGCCGCCTCGAAGACGAATATGGTGCGTCGGCCACCAGGAGCGGATAATGATATGTTTAAACGGTCTGAGCTGCAGGGGTAGTACTAGTGGCATTTGCAGAAGTAATCGTAATGCCTCATTATGGAGTGGTCTCATTCCAGTCCGTGACGTCGCAAAAAGTCGAAAACCACACCATCTAGAACCTTTTTCGAATCATATTGTTCTGTCTCCGACTGAATGACAGCAGAATACTCCCCCTTTCGTTGCGAAGCCAATCTAGTTCGTTGACTATGGCTAGCAGTAAGGGCGTGTGATTGGAGACTTGCTTACACGATCGAATTAGTACATCTACAAGCCATACAACGGCTACGCTAGCGCGATAAAAAGACATCATCAAACATCAAATTTCTTACTCGTACAGATCGATTGCAGCTCAACACAACACACCATCCAGACCGACACCCCTTACCACTGCTCCATCGCGGCCTCAATAAATGTCAACCTCTGGTTGATTCTTCCCAAGACCCCGGGATAGCGATTCCGTTTCTAGGGCTCCTAGGTTGAGGAGTGCGGCGCGGGCTTGTGGGCCCCCTGTCCAGCCTTCTTGTGGGAAAGGTAGCTGCGCTGGTACTGGCGCGAAAATAGGCCGAGGCTGGTTAAATATCCGGCCTTCCTGCGGGACTACAGCCGGGATGCGTGCTGCTGCTGCGGCTGCAAGAAGGCCAGGAAACCCTTGGTGAGGCAGAGGAGCAGGATCGTGGTGAGCATTCTCAGCACCCGGTTGATTCCACCTGGGACACGGCATCCCCTTCTTCCAATGCTCCACCTCCCTCCTCTTGACAGCCATCCCACAAATAAAGCAAAACGCCGCGTTGCAAGACCCCGCCTCGCAGAAGATATGATTACAGCCATCCCTCAACTCGACCGGTGCGCAGCATTCAGGACAAAGTTGATAGTCCTTCCCCTTCACCATCCCCTCAAAAGCGTCCCGGGTCTCCTTGTCCACAGCATCTGTGCAGTGATGCTGGGTAGGTGGCTCGAAGAAGGAGCTGGCGCAGAGACCGCAGGTATTACCTGTGCAAGAGGTGCATGTGACTGTCGCCCGGGCACCGGTCGGAGGAGCGCGGGCGCCTAGAAAGCTGCCACACTCCTGCATCGGACACTCCTCATCGACCGCCATCTCAATCTCCTCCACGGAAAGCGCCTTCCCGAATCCCGAACCAGCCATCGTGCGTCGTAAATTTGCGCAGTAGATGCGTTCCTTGACCGGGGTAGCATACTCCCTCACCTTGAACACCCACTTCACAGTCAAACCCTCTCGCAGAATTCGAGAGAAGAGAGCAGGATCAAGCTTGATGGCGCCCCATTTGACCGGGTAAGCGTGTTCGTGCTGTAAAGCTGCGAGGAATTTCGGTAAGAGGCTTTCCGTGAAGCAGTCGTGGCAGATGGCATCGCCGGGCACGACCTCGATGCCTTGGCTTTGCGGATAGGTGTCGTAGCAGACGGCACAGTCGAACTTGGATTCTTGTGGGCAGCTGGTCGTAGTGGTGGTGGTGGTGGTTGGCATATCGCCGTTTGTGCGTGGGAGCGGAGTAGCGGAGCGTGCACGGTTGGAATTTGCCATATGCGGAAGGAGCAATATGGTCTTGGAAATCCTTGACAATAGTTCCACGATTGTATCCAGCATTTGAATGATGGAGATGTGCGGGTTATGGTGGAGGTGCGAAGTATTTAATCCACAGATCGTGAAGCGTGCGATTGTGTTTCGGCTGCCTGGCGTGGTGACAAAGAAGTGATATTTCGCTGTGCGTCGCGCTGTATTCACCTCCACCTCACGCGTTGGACACTCACTCTCCACGACTGTCTGACTCGCGTCAATGTCTGACGTCTACAAGGATCTAGCTCGTGGTTGAGGGAGGCATAAATACGCATCTCAGTCTAGCCCAGCGAAGCTGAGAGTACTCCCCGCCTCGGGCCCCTTTCCACGCTTCCTCTTCTTCCGCCGCTTCCTAGGCTTCTCCTCTTCTTCACTACTCTCCTCTGCTTTATCGCCTCCCTCCTCATCCTCGTCATCACTATCCACCAACCGCTTCGCGCCAACCTCCACCCCTTCTTCGTCTTCTTCAGCAGCCCCATCGTCATCATAACCTCCGACATGCTCCCTCCAAACCTTCAACACCGGGCCACCTCCACTAATCATCCTCCCATTCGCATCGAACCCCAATCCAACCACGCCCTCCAAATCATCATGCTGCACCTGACTCACGACCTGATTCTGCCCCAGCCTTACAAACCGAATCTTGCCATCGCCCAACCCCACAGCGACTTTCTTCCCAACTCCACCCAGACCCTCGGGTACAGCCACAATAACATCCACCGTCTCCTTCTCCCTCGAGACCGTAATCCGCTCATCCTGATCATCCCACTGTCCCTTCTCCCATAACGTGATCACACCATCCCCACCACCCACCAAAGCCTTCTCGCCCGAACTCCCCGTGCTCTTCTTCGCAGGCAAGCCAGTAACGTAAAGACTACTCATCAAAATCTCCTCCTGATCCTCGCTCTTCACCAGCACACCTCGTCTGAGATCCGTCAGAGCGAGGGTCGTCCCGCCAGTCGTGAGCCACTGCTTACTAAACCCAGACGTCGAAGTAGTCGAAGGCGGTAAATGCGACAAGGAAGAAATATACTCGTCCGTATGCGGATGATGCGTTTGCGCCGGCCGTGATGAAACAAACGCCGTCTTCGCAGCATCACTCAACGGTAAGCTCGGTGCCGGATCCCGCAAATCGAACAAATGCAAAGCACCAGCATCAGTACCCACAAGCAACGTCTGCGGACTCAATGCATGAACTACACTCGGCGCATCCACCTCCACTCCTCCTCGTGAAGCCGGCACAGCAATCTTGCCCGTCACTCTGCCCGTCTCGAGCTCCGCAGCCTTGACTAAGCCATCGCTACCTGCAGAGTAGAGCTGTGCGCCGTCAAGACTGTAGGAGAGACTCCTGCAACTCCCTCTGTGTCTCTTCGTCCGCCACGCAGTATCGATAACACTGGTACCATTACTGCCTCTCCTGCTCAAGATTGAGGATGTGGAGGAGGAGGAAGGTGCAAGAGCGGCACTTTCCTCCTCGTCTACGGGTGGGAGACGGAGGGTTGCGACGTGCCCGCTGCTGAGGCCGATGCTGACGATGGGGGCAGTGGGGTGAACGGTTTGAGCGAAGAGGTCAGCGGTCAAGGGGAGGCTGCAGATGGTGTCGAACATTGCTGCTGCATTGCTGTCTGCTTTACTATAAGACTCTGTGTTTCCCACCGAGCTAATATTTTTTGGTTTGTGTCCGAGCTCCGCTGTCGGCTAGAGCTTCTTTCCTGAAAGAGGAAGGTGTGGGGTGGTGGAGCATGCACCATGTTTGTACTGTACCTGCAGATGAGGTGACGACAGAACGACACTGGAGAAAGTGGTAGTTGTATTACGATGTAGCTGCTCCCTCTTCCACACTGCCATCCCTTGTAAGTGTTCGTACATTTCGATTCTGTGCTTCTCCTCTCTTTCCCGGAACGAACCCCTCCGTAGAACTATGGTACTCAAGCGAGTCAAGCAGAAAGGAATATCATTTGGCTGTAAGCAACAGACGAATACTCCAGACTCCTTGAAGCATTGTACAAACAGGCTTCGTTGACACTTCCCAGACTGTGACACCCGTACTGGTCAACGGATCTACCCTCCAGGGTCCGAACCGCCACTTCCTCCCACAAGCTCAACAATGTCAGACATCCTACCAGATCAACAGCCACCAGACCGCAAACCTGCTTACTACCCAGCGAGTAGCGAAGGCGTAATTGATGCAAGAGTGACATGTATCCCATCTTTGGGCCAAGCGACTCAGATCGCTCGAGCAAATGGCAGTGTACGCTTTACCGTCTTGCTCGAAACGACGAACCCATCAGCCATTGAAGACGAGCTCGAGAGCTCAGATGATGGACCAGCCGTGTGTCTATGGCATGACCACCAGGGTGTTACGACCTGGAGCGAACTACCACTCAAGTCAAGCAAAAATCACCACGACATCCTTCTGCTCAATCGTCCCACCAATAGGCAAATAACAAGATACTGGTTCACTGCCGAATTACCCGGCCAACCACAAAACGGCCAAATCGTAAGCTTCACCATCAAGTTCAAGATGTCAGACGCTCAAGGTTGGAAGTGGGTCAAAGACAGTACTGGCATCGATGACGGCGCGCTGCATTACCACACTGATGTACTACAAAAGGGTGCAAGCCTTCCGCTGCACACTTTCTTCGACAATCCCAGTCCGGATCTCGAAGTCAATATGGAAAGACCAGAGACGGATAACACACTTCTTTACAGTGTCACCTGTCCAGTTGCAGGAGCACAGGATCCAGACTCCGGGTATCAGCACCACAGACTCGGCAAGCCTAGTCATAGCTCCCGCTGGTTCGCTCTCGTGCGTCTCTGGAGTCCGTGGCTGGCGCCGCGTCAGGGTAAGACGGGTGCTGGGAAGTTCGTGCTTGATAAGGAAGGGATGCTGTTGTCCTTCTTGCGAGACGATGGTTCGCATGTCGTGTGCTTGGCTATTAGTGGATTGGAGGATGTAGTCACTACTTTCATCAACGATGGCAATGGTGATGTGATTATCAAGGGCCGGAACGATCGGAAGGAGGTTGGCCAAGCGAGAGTGCTAGTCGCTGTGGCGGACAGCTTCGAGGTGGCTAACGCGGCTGTTTTCTATCATGCGAGAAAGGTAGTGGGGACGTATGGGGTACCTGATGCTGATGCCGAGACGGCACGACTTATGGAGGACAAGGTCAAGCCGCAGTGGTTGGAGGAGTGGTATGACGGTCTGACATACTGCACCTGGAATGGTCTAGGCCAAAACCTTACCGATGAGAAAATCTATCACGCCCTCGACTCGCTATCGAAGGAGAACATCAACATCACAAACCTCATCATCGACGATAACTGGCAGAGTCTAAGCTCAGGGGATAACCAGTTCCGCCGCGGCTGGTCCGACTTCGAAGCAAACAAAGAAGGCTTCCCTAACGGCATGAAAGCCACGACAACAGAGATCCGCAAACGACATCCAAACGTAAACCACATAGCAGTCTGGCACGCCATCCTAGGCTACTGGGGCGGCATAGCACCCGATGGCTCAATCGCGAAGAACTACAAAACCCTGACCGTGAAGAAAGAAGCAGGCGTAGCAGGCGGCTCCTTCACCGTCGTCGCTGCCTCGGACGCTAAACGCATGTACGACGACTTCTACCGCTTCCTATCCGCCAGCGGCATCGACAGCGTCAAAACCGACGCCCAATTCTTCCTCGACCTCCTCCTCCACGCTCCCGACCGCCGAGAAATGATGACAGCCTACCAAGATGCCTGGACAATCGCGCACCTCCGCCACTTCAGCTCGAGAGCAATATCATGCATGTCTCAAACCCCACAGATATTATTCCACTCCCAACTCCCGACCAACAAGCCCAGATTGTTAGTCCGCAACAGCGACGACTTCTTCCCCGAAATCCCGGCCTCCCACCCCTGGCACATCTTCTGCAATGCCCACAACTCCCTCTTCACCCAACATCTGAATGTCCTTCCAGACTGGGATATGTTCCAGACTAATCACTCCTGGGCTGGTTTCCACGCTGCCGCGCGCTGTGTAAGCGGCGGACCGATCTACTTCACCGACGAGCCGGGGAAGCACGATATCAAGTTAATCCGACAAATGACGGCGCAGACGACGAAGGGGAAGTCGGTGATATTGCGACCGTCGGTGGTGGGGAAGGCGGTGGGGGTGTATGATGGGTATGAGAGTGGGTGTTTGCTTAAGGTGGGGACTTATCACGGAGCTGCGGAGACGGGGACGGGGATGTTGGGGGTGTTTAATGTTAGTCAGGAGGTGTTGTCTGAGTTTGTACAGTTGGAGGACTTTATGGGGACGGAGAAGGGACGGTATGTCGTTCATTCTTTCTTGGGTGGGAGTTTGAGTCCGGCGATGGATAGAAGTGGTGTCAAGGCTATGGTGGGTGTTGAGCTGGGGGTTCAGGGCTGGGATGTCCTGTCCGCTCACGCTGTTCGGACTTTCACGATCAAGGGGAAGGAAGTCGATATCGCTCTCCTTGGCCTTCTGGGTAAGATGACAGGCTGCGCAGCCATCACTGGCCAGGAAGTGCATGTTGAGTCAAATCAGCGTCTACGGGTGTGGGTCCAGCTCAAGGCTCTTGGTGTACTCGGTCTGTACATCAGCGAGCTGAAGGGACGGAGTGTAGAGAAGGATTTCATGGTCATGATCTTCGGGAAGCCAGCTCCGGTCGGTTGTGTTAAGGTTAGTGAGGAGGTTGGGGGGGGGAATGTGTTGGCTGTAGATGTTGAGAGGGCGTGGAAGGAGATGGGGCTGGAGGCTGGGTGGAATAATGAGGTTAGTGTTGAGGTGTTTATGTCGTGAGAAGTTTGAGTAAGACGGAGGCAAAAAGTTGATGACGATAAACGAACTTAAATAGTTCCAGGTCGCACTGTAACATTCATGAAACTGACATGTACACGAACACAATCTCTCAATCGTCTGCGGTCGCCGGCAGCCAGTCCCTCCGTTGCCCAGTCTGTTTGTCATCTCCTCGCTTGACAAAGACAAGGTAGTTATAGCCGCCCACGAAGGCTCCTCCCACAATATTTCCAAGGATGACAGGCAAGATGCACTTCCATAAGAAAAGTCCAACACTAAGTCTAGCTCCAAGCATCATCGCCGTAAGTCCAAGATACATGTACTCCACCGTGTGCGGAAACTCCGAGACCGTCGAGATGAAGAACGGCAACCAGAGACCAAGGGCCTTGGAGATGCCATCGCGGTTCTGCGTGCCGAGCATCATGGCAATTGAGACCAGAAAGCCGCAGCCGATGGCTCGTAGGAAGATGACATGCCAGTCCTCGTCGGTGATGCTGCTATCGATCTGCTCGATGATGCTGCTACGCCACGGCTCCTCGGTCACACTTTGAGTGAAGTATGATTGGACGCCGGACCAGAACAAGGCACCGGCGAAGTTGCCACCGAGCGACATGATGATGGTCATGACATACTGCCAGGGTTTGCCTTTGCGGTCGATAGCTGTCATGCAGAACCACATTGGGTAGCCCGTGAATCTACCCACACATCAGTACGTTCTAAAGACTGCATGTACTCTGAAACTTTGGACTTACAGCTCCGCGCCTAGAGCATACACAATAATGAGACCGACTGGAAAGGCAGTCCCCTGCAGCATTAGCGAGAGGCCAGGATTGGCCTTGGAATACCCGGGAATGCCTTTGGAAAGTAGCATGGCGAGCTGGCCTGCAGCTGAAAGTAGTAGGCCGCCGTAGAAGTTCTTCGCGAGCGTCATTTTCAGCGGCTCATGGAGATGGTGTTCGCCGACTTCCAAGGTCTCGTATGCTGCATCCTCGGGTGAGAGGGATCCAGAGGTGGCCATTGACGCTAATATGTTGACAGTCGTCAACTGAAAGATATGACGGGGTGTGATGAGGGGAGTATTCTATAATGTAGCTCGAAATGTTTGTTCTGACTTATACGAGCAGTGTGATGATGTAATAAGGAAGGCACGGAGCGCTAAGCGGAAATAGCGCAAAGCTTAATATTCACGCAAACACGCTCGTAAGTAACATGATCTTCGACTTTCCATGGCATAGCGATTCTGTGTTTCTTCGACACCAAGACCAGGTTCACAGCGCGTGCGTCTGATAACAGTAACGCGGCAAGTCGAAGCAGCGCCCGCGGGTTCTTGAAGGGCGTAACTTGTACCCTTGGCCAACCTGAATAGGCATTATCGTGATCGTTAACCTCTTTAGCTTAATGGCCCCTGAGCTTTAGCGATCGAAATTCATACACACGCGGCACAGGTCACATCACATCGTCAAAGATAGTAACGCAGAGACGACAGGGCGCACGGAGAGAAAAAGAGCCCCAGGCAACGAGCCCCTCAGCAGTCACGACCAGGACCAAGCACTCCTCCCACAAAACGAAGATCAGCACGACCATCTCGCAGCTCAGCCCAGAGGCCTCTTGACTCTAAAAGCCAGACCTCTCACTTTCTCAGGCTTCCCGCGGAGCTGCGGGAATGGGTCTACACATTCGTGGCACAATCGACGCACACGCTCCTGCGGGCAGCATCCGGCGGTAAACTGCTAAACGATTCCCCGTTACTCCGCGTCAGCCGTCAATGCAATGACGAGTATACGAAGGTCCTACGCCGCGAGGCACCAGCAATCATCGCACAAGTAGTCGACTTCGATTTCAGCCATGTGGTAAGCTCCAGCATCTATACAGACGTGCGACTTTAATGCAGAGACTGATTTTGCGTTCTCATAGGTCAAATTTCTCAACAGCCTGACCGAAATTGAATTGAATCCGATCAGAGCAAAACTTCCTGCCGGGGAAGCTCCAGACCGTGTCCTCAGAATTAGAATCTTCGCCACGCCACACTGTCCTCGTAATCCAGAGTCACTTCATCGCTGGCTTCGACGCTGCGCGCATCCGACCAAGAAAGGCCATGATATCGACTTCCAATACCGCGTTTCCATCTGGCACGGGACGAGGAATTGGTTCCACTACCTAGCCGGCCAATGCAACTTCGGGATCCCAGAAGTGTTGCCTGTGAACACAAGGGAGGCAGAAGAAATCTATGCCGGAAGGCAGGGACGGGTCGTACAGGAGCTTTATAAGATCAATATGGCTACAGAATTTGGCTACGTTAGGGAGACTCCGAAGTGGATGGTTTGGAGTAATGGGAGGGTGGTTTGGTTGAAGCCGAGTGAGATGCGCGAGTCGTTCGCCTAGACTGTGCTGGTAGCAACGCATCTGAGCCGGCTAAGAGCTCTTCAATAACTTGAGCAAGCAGGATCTGCTACCAAGCTGCCAGCGCCTGTGAAGGTCATGGACACCACGACACCCGCGGCATCCTGAGCGGGATCCAGTTCCTAACACGCAGGACTAAGTAAAGACTTGCAGGGTGATATAGTCGTGAGAGGGCTACGCAAATGTCTGTCACTTCGAGAAGGCATTAGGAGACTGCGCTGCCTCGCACTAGACCGGAGGTTCGGTGCGTTAGGCGAAGCTCTCGGGTTATGGACGTGATAACATGTGACACTTCGACTGGATATGCTTCACATTCAATAGAATCGGTCATGCAACGCTATAACAACGCCCGAAACTCCATCTCCTAACAAGAAATGCCTTCTCCCTCACATATGGTATCTCCTGTTCCGAAAAGCACATTCACGCATACAGAAGCCCGTCTTGATCCTCTCCACCTAACAATTACACCCTCCGGCCCCGCCCGCCGCACCTGCCTCCTGCCTGTTGCCCAGATCCACACCCGGCCTCGTCGCACCACCCGCCGCACCCCTCATACCCCTCTGACTCGCCTGCTCAATCGGCAACTTCTTCGCAATAGCCGTGAACAACTCCTTTACATTCTCGGCCGTCTTGGCTGAAGTCTCGAAGAATAGAAGCCCGGCTTCACGGGCATAGGCTTCGGCGTCCGCGGTGTGCACGGCCCTTTTATCGGGCTGGTCGGCGACGAGATCGGACTTGTTGCCGGCGAGGGCAATGATGATGTTTTCGTTGGCTTGGCGTTGGAGTTCTTTTACCCAGGATTTGGCTTTGTCTAGGGAGGACTGGGAAGAGATATCATGTTAGCATGACCTCGCCTTGTTCATGGTAGATGGTGGAGTGGGACGTACAGCTTGTGTGATATCATATACAACTACCGCGCAGTTCGCATTTCGGTAATACATAGGCGCCAGGCTCTTGTATCGCTCCTGGCCTGCCGTATCCCATATCTCGAACTTTACTGTTGTTTGTTCGTCGAGGGCTATGGTCTGTGTGAGGAAGGCGGCGCCGATGGTGGATTCTCTGTAGTCATCGAATTGATCCTGGTAGAAGGGGTAAGTATCATACGTGGCTCCAGGTCATGGTCTAGTCGACGTAACATACCTTGACGAATCGAAGGACAAGCGATGACTTTCCGACTGCGGACTCTCCTGGAAGGGATATCAGTATGCCCTACTTATGCTTCAAATACTGTATAGCCTACCTAACAGCACCAGCTTGAATTGCGCAAATCGTGCGCCTCCCGGTCGTCCTGCTTGCGCTCTCGCCGCCATCACTGGTCGTTGTGTTTGTTGGAGTTCCTCCTTGGTCAAGCTTCGCTAGTCGGTCCTCGGAGTCCTTGGATCGGTATAGCCGGTATGGTAGTTTTTCAAGTGGTGTATGATAGTTCTCTTTCCACACCGGGCGCAAGATAATAACTCGCTTGTTCTCAGGCTACAGCTATCAGCAGTCGCGGTGATGAAGGAGCTGCAGCGGACCATCCCGGGCAACGAAGCTTGGCGGGCGGCGTCATCAGATCCTGTGGCTGCCGCTGTCTTGCACGTGCACGAGTATCAACCTCACAACTCAACTTTTGCCAGAGCAACAAGCAGCCTGGACACGATTCCCACCATGCACTGACACATTCACGACGTGACATACCCGATCTATCACTTCCTAGCGTGGGACTCACCCAATGAGTGCAATGCTGCCATTCCGGGACATCAACGTCCATGCCTCCTCAACATATTACGCCTTTTCGTCTCCATCGTCACCAAATGCCCCAACTCTTGTCATTGATCGACCTTCTGGTGACCTGAGGCTCAACGATGGCAACATCACTGGTGGCCATCGAGTCTCAAGCATTTCAGGAATTCTTGGCATTATCAAATTACGCCTAGGTACCACTACCAAGTCTGCTGCTTAACCTATAGCTAATGAGTCGCAGACAGCTATGTCATCACAATCACCAAGTCCCAGGCAGTTGGTCGGATCAAGGGCCATCAAATCTACAAAGTCGTCTCGACCGAATTCATGCCAATGCGAGAGAGACAGCTCACGGATCCGGACGAGCAGACCTACCTCACGTACTTGAAAACTCAGCTGAAGACCAGCCCGCTGTACTTCTCCTACTCCTTCGACCTGACCAACAGCTTTCAGAGACAGGCACAAGGCGATGCGAATCAGCCGCTGTGGCAACGAGCAGACGACCGCTTTTTCTGGAACCGATTCGTGTCTACTTCGCTCATCGACTTCCGGGAAGGCAAGACATCTGGTCGCATCTCTGGTGGTGCTCAGCCGAGTGTGGACGCGTATATTCTGCCGGTCATGTTCGGCATGCTGAGCATCACCAACACTTCGATCAAGGGCAATGCTATGACCTTCACGCTCATCACGAGGAGATCCCGGCATCGAGCAGGCACACGATACATGTCTCGTGGCCTAGACGATCAAGGCCATGTATCTAACTTCAACGAGACTGAGCAGTCTGTCATCCTCAATGACAGCACTTCTAGTGGCATGACCAGCTTTGCGGGCGACCAAGGCTTCACAAATGGTAAGCCTGTTGGCGGTCGTGAGACACAAGTGCTTGCCTATGTGCAGACACGAGGTAGCGTGCCAGTCTTCTGGGCTGAGGTGAACAACATTCGCTACGTCCCGATACTACAAATCAGAGGCGTCGAGTCGGCGCAGGAAGCAACACGCCACCACTTTGACGAACAGATCAGCCTGTATGGTGAGAATTACCTTGTCAACCTTGTCAACCAAAAGGGACGCGAGAAGCGTGTGAAGGAGGCCTACGAAGAAGCAGTGCGACTACTGCAGTCTACATCCGTTGAGGAGAAGGAGTCTGGCCGCAAGACGAACGAGCGCTTCAACGTGATCGAGCCTGGCGACAAGACTAGCTGGTATGACCATCTACACTACGTCTATTTCGACTTTCACAACGAGACCAAGGGGCTGAAGTGGCATCGTGCTCAACTACTCCTCGACCAACTCAAAGACGGCTTGACAACAGGAAGCTACTTCCATGGTATCGACATGCCAGGCGGTGGTATTGACGTGCGCCGAAAGCAGACCGCAGTCGTACGCACGAATTGCATGGATTGCCTCGACCGCACAAATGTGGTCCAATCCATGCTCGGCCGCTGGAGTCTGACCCGCCAACTCATTGACCTCGGACTCCTTCGACCAGGTGAGACAGCATCAGATGACCAAACCTTCGAGCACCTCTTCCGCAACGTTTGGGCGGACAATGCCGATATCGTGTCCCGCTCTTACTCCGGCACTGGCGCACTGAAGACAGACTTCACACGAACAGGAAACCGTACACGAGCTGGCGCACTTCAGGATCTGAACAACAGTATCACTCGCTACGTCTCCAACAACTTCTCCGACGGCCCAAGACAAGACGGCTTCGACCTCTTCCTTGGCACTTACCAACCCGACAGCGCGGCTATAGGCCTCGGGCAGCAATTCGCAGATAGGAGACCGCTGGTTGTGCAGGCCGTGCCGTACGTCCTCGGCGTCTGCGTCTTCTTCGTCGCGATCAGTGTAAGCACCACAAGGCTTCCGGACTCGACGGTCTGGCCGCTGAGAGCGTTCACGTTGTTGTGTATGGGGCTTGCGGGGTGGTCGGGACGGTTCATGTGGAATTTTGGGTCGTTATATGTATCTTTATGCGGCTCTGCTACATCAATGTGTGCTAACGATGTGCTAGGTCAACTGGCCAAAACTCAACACGCCCAATTGGGCCGTCGAGGCGTACGAGGATACTCTCAACAGAGTCCGCAAGGATCCGATTGTTGGCAGTTTTATCGGTGGTAAGAATGCTGCTGGTCTTGGTAATTTGGAGGAGGGCAAGAAGAGGCGGGAGTGAGAGGCTCAGTATGCCTTTCTGCTGCTGGTCTGTAAGAACTCTTCTTCCATACACAATGCCTTAGCTGACAGTCTGCAGTCTTCTCTCGATGTTGCTTTCTTCACAATTTAGAGCACTTTACATATCTGTAATCCGAATCAGCATCAGGAGTCCCTTTCATCGCATCCGAGTCCATGCAATACCTTCGCTGACACTCAGTAGTCTCTGCTTGTCACTGCCTCTCTCACAATGCAGAGCACCTAGACACAGATCAACCTAATCAGCCCCAGGAACCGCATTTCTTGCCACCATTTCCTCAAGAACGTCATCAGGCACCTCAAACCGATTACTCGCCACTGCAAGATAGACATCCCAAATCCTCACCATCTCCTCCTTCCACGGTCCGTGGCTGAGCTTTCCCAAAGACAGTCGAAACTCGCGCTGAGACTTCAGCAGCTTCTCGTGGCCCTGCATTAGTCTGACAAGGTGATCATTGCTCAACTGCGTGATATTCGTGTTCCCCTCGAAGATATATATCGCCACATTGAAAGCCAGCTGCCGCATGTGTTCCGCTACCACATGCACGGCATTCTGCTTCGCCACGGTTACGTGTTGCGGAGCAGGGAATTCGACTTCGAGGAGTTGGTCGTAGGCTGTCAAAGTCACGGCATGGATTTCGTTCTTCACGGAATTCCAGTGCCGTCTTCGCTCCTCCCATCTCGCTTCCTCCTCCGGCGTGACGAGTCTATCCCGACGGACAGCGGCAGCCAGAGCCCGCCGCTCGATCTCGGGAAGTCGGCCGCGGGCAGTCGCGTCTTGGATATGCGTGGGTTTGGTGCCATCAAAGCTCGCGCGGGGATCGTCGGGTTGGAGCCAGCGAGGACACGGATTACCGAGCAGCCAGTGCGTGATGTGGTGATCTGCTTGGACGCCGCAGATATAGCAGAAGTATTTGTTGTTGCAGCGTTGGCAGGGTATGGCGTTGCAGCCGGAGGTGAGGTTGACTTTTTGCTTGCAGCCGGGACAGAGCTGGTAGTCTTTTCCGCGAGTCTGACCTTCTATTGACTCATCCGCTGGGGCGGGATCGGGACAGTGGTGGCCATCTACTAGCTCGTGCGGAGAGGTAGCTGCAGTGGCCGCATACACTTGCAGCGCAGGCCTCGCAGATGAGTTTCTGGTGCTTGTCTTGGTGTCTTGGAGCCGTATACTGCTTGCACTGGCCACAATAGATCCTCGACTCTGGAGTAACACTATACTCGAGCATTCTCTTGGTCCAGCGCGCCAGGAAGTCGTCTGAGAATAGATGTCTTGGGAAGTCGGTGGAGGGGCTTAGGCTCTGGCTGGCCCATGATACTGGCCAATTGATCTCATTCTTGATGGCCTCTTCGAACTTCGGAACGAGCTCGTCTTTGAAGCAGTCGCCGCAGATGTCGTCGCCGCTGATTTGGAGGCGGTGTGCGTCGTGCTTTCCGTCGAAGCAGATTGTGCAGGTATTGTCTTCCTCTATCGTGGGAGTGACGGGCCCGGCCATGGCGTCTCGTAATGGCTGGTGCTCGGTGCGAGACAGTCTTGCGACATCATACCGATGAGCTACAGTATCTACTCGAGTATGGGCTTTGTTTAGCCGGTTCTGGCTGGAGACACACTCATTATTCACGAGGTCTTTGTCTGACATCCATTGATGTAGGTCCGCATACTATCACCATCACAGCTCAGTCAACGAATACTCGAGCTGGACTCGAGCAATATCACGACCAGTATTCTCCAGATATCGCCGTTCCGAGGATGATCGTGCTTGTGCAGTATGGCGTGGACTCTGCAGTGCCATTGAACCAGAGGTGCGAGTCAAACGCCGTTGCGCTCTTTGTTCTCACAGATAATATCATGACCTCTCTTCGTGACTTCGAAGAAATCAAACCACGTCGGCACACGCGGCACCCTCTCGACATGGGCGATGCGGAGTCATACAAACACGATGGCTAGTGCTCAATATTCACCATCGCCTGCCGAATATTCGAGTGACACAAGCAGTGGCTTTGCGTTTCACTTCTCGGACTCTGGCTGTGCATGATCAAGGTAAAGCCGTCACGCGGCCGGATATCTTCATACATAAGTTCCCTTGCCACGGCTGAGATTCGAAGTAGCGAAATCCCTCGCTGGCAGTCGCCAACGCGCCACCAGTAACCGCAAAGCAGATACAAAGGAGTTCTGACCTTTGCGACTGCCAATATGGCAGACGCCTACGAGGCATCTAAGATAACGGAGACCATCACCCTTACCCAACAGATGCGCGCGATCCTAAGCTGGTTCAGAATCGACATCACGAAGACGGTCAAGGAAAGCGGAGCATGCGCCACAGCAGCACTGAAACTCGTGGAGCTCATGGAAGACGAAGACACCCATTAGTCGGTCTCTGCTGCGCCAGCTTGTGACCGCTTAGTCAAGGCATGCCGAAAGATGATCTTGGACATCGAAAATCTCCTAGACAAAGAAAAGATGTCGAAACGCGAGCTCTCGACTTCCGTTTTCCAGATCAACGCTCTATACGAGAGTGCATGTACAGGCTTCAAGGCGGAAACGGAGCTGATGAAAAGCCTGGAACCTATTGGGTGGGATGTTCAGCTCGCAGCCACCGAGATCCTGGAGTGTATGGAAGCAATCTGCGAGACTATCGCCGGTGCTGCTCAGAGTGTCGAATGGCTGCAGCAGTTACCCCCGATCGCTTAGGCACTTTATTGGGGAAACAGGCGTCGGCAGAGCAGATTATTGGTTACGCTTGGTGCAGCACTAGGCTCGCCGTGAAGTTGGCCTGTTGCAGCTGACCATTGGGGCGACTTTGGTAAAGACCAAGTTGTACTTCAGGCAAAAGGGCGCAATGGGCACAATGAGCGGTCTGTATGAATCTCATAGATTATGCAAACTGCAAAAATGGTGACGAGTTGAAGAGCCAATTGAAAACAAGAGGCAGATCTATCAAGGCACTTCGAGTCCAGGATGAGTACTGGCCCCACAACGTGACTGGGCGGCGGATCATCAAAAGAAGATTGATTTCTCATTGGTCGTGGCCACCTGCCGGGGGTCGCAAAAACACATTCGACATTAGAAGCGAAGGAGTGTTATCCCTCAGCAGCATACGACCATCTTTGATCAGAATAGTGGAAGAAAGTATTTGAAGTCGAGACAGTAAACCGAGCAGTAGACGCGTGCCATGGACACAACAGCATATTACGCAAGCGAAATTTACTTACTCATGAAATCCTAGCTCCAGTACCATGCTATAATGATTCCGTCCCATTGCTTGACTCCTGCGACCAGGGCTGACTCGCCTTCTATCCTCGCCCCTAATCCTGCGGTAGACATTGAATGCCATCAATGAGATGCAGAGTTCGACAAGTATCAAGGCAGTCCTGAAGTCGAGCCGCTGAGCTCCTTCGCACTGTCGGTCGCGGATCTGCACTGGCGATCGCGCATGCAAGCTCGATACTCATTTCCAGCTCACGCTCCTTTCTCAAATGCTCTGCGGCCAGCTCAGCTTCTTGCACGGCTTGCCTGGCCAAGCCCCCAGACTCGACCCTCGTGCATTGGTTGGCTTCGTACTGTGCCACAGGCTCGCTAGGTTGACCATATGTAGTACACCTCCGCGACGGCTGCCAATGTCCACTATTTGCCTGTGCTAGTTGGCCACAGATATAGCAGAATGGGGTTTGACATGGGCCATTAGTGCAAGTGATGTGGTTACATCCTTCGCTTAGTTCGATCGGGATAATGCAGCCTGGGCAGAGTTGATGATCACGACCACGGACTAGACCAGCGAAGTCAGCGAGTGAGTCCGCTATTGTCATTGCTATCTTCGATGTGGACGGCAAGGATACACAGGCGTGTAAGCGTGGGTCGAGACTCGTGTGGCCGCATACGGTGCAGATGATACCATAGCAAGCGCTGTGTCTCCTTATACTGGTCCCGATAGTCCTGCAGCCGATGAACCCCCAACAGGTCTTCGAAGTGCGAGACTGCACTTGGTCGGATCGCAGAGGATTTACAGCACAGATGGAGTCGTCCTCCTTGGCTGGCACGGTTCGTCGGCAATATAGCCTATCCTGAAGCGGCGTGGCGTACTCCTTGATCATAACATCAGGCTGCTTGGAGAAGGTTGAGTCACTCATCTATTCCGAAGGTCCGGCGGTGTGCGAGAATGTTGCTGGAGTTGGAACGCCTGGGTGATGAGATCGCATTCGTCGTTAATTAAACCCAGGTCAAGTAGTACGTGAGCCTGGCATATAAACCAACCCACGTTTGGATGAGCATGGTTGCGATCTAGTGGAAGGGCTATGGTGTCAAGGTCTCTTTCACGTCTGGAGACAGTGTGTGAGATGTCTAGAGCCGCCATGTGCGATAATTCGGTTCATGCTTCAAAGTCAGTCTCTGCTTGACTCAAATTTATGTTATCTCATTACACCTCTCGTGATTAGACAACGTAAGCACACTGTAACATCCTGATGAAGAAGAGCGACACGTACGAGCACTATGTTCAGCCACGCCTCCTAGTACTAGGCGAAGACTTCTTCTTCTCACTCCCAGACGAGACAGCCCCTCTGCTCTGTCCATCCAAGCCAATAGCCTGTCTCGCAGCTTTCTGCCCACTAGGCTTGAGCTTCGTCTGCTCGGTGTTCTTGCTCCTGGGACTGTTCCAGTAATACACCATCTGGGCAGCCAAAACAGCATTGAGCACGAAACCAGCAATGAAGCCGTAAAGTATAAGCTTGTCGGGTACCTCCTGTAGGGTGGTGAAGATGCGGGAGAGGGAGCCGGCGAGGTAGTTGAACACCTGCATAATCAGTCATCAGAGTCCTCAATAGCTCGTAACCCCAATCACTCACAGCAAAAGCACTCAACTGCCCCGTCCCACCTTGCTGCACAATAGCCAGGATCTGCGGCAGCTTGCTCGCAACCCCAAGCACACCAGCACCAGCCTGCAAATACTGCAACATCTCCCTCGACACAACACTCTCATTATACAGCGCAAATCCCGCCGCAGCCAACCCAGCCACGAAGACAGCCGCCGCAGCTCCCTTGCCCGAATATTGCAGGACCAGAACCGAAATGACCACATTCTGAATCGCAATCAACACCACCTCGCCATACGTCGAGAACGGGAAGCCATTCCGGATGTTATACATCAGACTGATCAAGAAGCTCGTCGTCTCCAGTAGGTAGGACAAGAAGCTCACGCCCTCAGCAGACTGGGAGTTCAAGAGTTTAAGCAGTTGCGGGATCTTGACGATGGAGCTGGCGGCCACGATCCCGATGCCCAGACCCTTTGATATACCAAGCTTGAGGCATTCGGTGTCTGTGATATTGACATCGAGGGCGAGGGAGCCATAGCACTTGTTCCCTAGCAAGGAGACGCCGAGGTCGCTGATCGGTTTAGGCAGATTGTGGGTGATGGGTTTGATGATTGTGCGGAGTGTTTGTTCGAGAGCGTCCATGGTTGCGATACTGTAATGGTGGTTTTTGTTGTGTCTGAAGCAGTGGTAGTGGTGTGATTGCTGCCGGCGCAAGACGGAGCAAGGTCGCGATAATCACAGCTGTTTGCTTTGGACGCGGGGGTGTGCTTGCTAACAACTTTGACGTGATTCGAATAAGGAGCATTGCACACTTCGATAAGCAGGAGATAGTAGACAGCCATCGGGTTGTGAATCGACCCCAAGTCCAGTGATCATGACGGTGACGGTGACGTGGTGAGAGACTGTCTTTATGTGCGAGCTGCGGCATTGTGATGTATTAGTACATGCTCGATACTCTACAAAGCCAGACGATGGCCGCAAAAACAAGACTACAGCTTAACTCATACTATACAACAAGGCAGAAGCAAATAAACACCTTGCCGATTTTCTTCTCGGCCAGCACGGTGTCTTCCAGCAGAAGTCCAGCCTGATGGCGTCGCCGATGTTGGGCTGGTAACGCGCACTTACAGCGCAGCAATAGCCATCAACCCAGCCCCCAGCGCACCACCCATAGCCCACGGTGCAGCAACAGCGCTCTGTCCCGCAACACCAGCAGAACTCGTCGAAGTCGCAGAGCTCGAAGCACCAGACGTAGTTTTAGCGCCAGCTGTACCAGACGAGGTACTGGTGATATTCTGGGTGGCAGTAACCTGCACGGCCTGGAAAGCAATCATGGAACCGGAGATAGTTGTCTCCGTGCGGATGATGTTGCTGTTTGAATCCAGGATACCTTGCGAGCACGTGGCTGTTTCGGTACCGGTGTAGGTGCAGACGACGGTTGCGGCGCTGTGATGTATGTCAGTGGATGTAGTCTACGACAAACATGTCCGCAAGAGAGGAGAGATGTACCCTTGACTGTTGCTAGTTACATATCTCGCCGAGCCGACACCCTCCGTCAAGGTGAGGTTGGGTGCGAAAGCGCACTGTGGCGACGCCGTTGGGCAGGAGAGCACATATTCAGTAGCGTTTGAAGATGGATTGACGGATCCTAGGGACGCCAATGGTGTACCACTAATGGTTTGGAAGGGGATCTATGCCAATGTCTTAGTATTCTGTTATGTTGTTCGTGGGCAAAGCCGCCTGCTTCCGCGACCGCCGTGCGCAGCATGACATACCCATAGCGATCGAACACCAGTGCCATTCTTGAATGTCGTGTCCTGTGCGACGACGAGGCCTGTCAATGTCGCGAGGAGGATAGATGTGCTGTACATGATGCTCTCTGATGCCAAGTCAAATACAATTTGGGTTGCTTGGAAGGGGGAGGCTTGTTGTGAGAGGAGCGGAGTTGGCGATTTTGGCCGGCGCACTGACCCAAGCGTTGCATAAAAACGCGTCCGCGCGCCTCCGTCGAATCTTCTCAATATCCACGATTTCGAAGTGCTTCGTCTGATTAACGTAAATCGACGTCCGGGGACCAAGTCCGGGTGGGACATAGCGATAGCAATGTCATCGAAGCGGCTTGCTGATACTGGTCGGAGTCTAAGCTACAATTTGCAGATACTTCTGCTCCTCAGCATGGCAGGTATGCAACGAGGTGATATCCTGACCTCCCCATGTCAATAGAGACAGCGTACCAAGGCTCGCCCCTTGTCGGCGCTGTGAAGGCAAGAAGCGCACCAGGCGATGGTCTCTTGCAGACCCAGGACTATGAGTAGCGATCAGATGACTTTGATCGAGCACGAGTTACGCCACACACCGTGACACAACTGCACATATCGACTACAACCCTGGTCAAATGAAAAGACTTGGCACATCTAACCTGAATTACTGACTTCAATCTCCTTCATCCGGGTTACTGCTCCTACTGCAACAGCACGATACCTCTCACCAATCGCAGCCTCTGACAAAGTCTCAAACCGCTCTCTCCAAAACGACCACCGCTCAAACGACAGAGCATGACCTCCCTTCCACAAAACGCCAGCCGCAGCACTCGCAGCTCCCGAGCGTCCAGCGCAGTGACAGTAGAGCTTCTCACCTGCAATACTCATCCACACTGCCGCAGGTTCAAGGTACATAGTAACGCATTTCTGTCTCCTTGGAACCTCATCGTTCTCGAGAGCATCCTTTAACGCAGCCGAACCATTGAATGTCCCTCCCACGTCGCGGCTTGAGCGTGCGAATAGCGTAGCCAGGAAAGTCGTCGCATTCAGATAAGCAGGGGCCTGTTTCAACCACTCTTCACCAACGTCGTCCCAGTCGTCATCGCCTTCGTCGTCGATGTCTGTGACACAGTAACTGTTAGCTACAGTCCCCACGATATGAGAGACCACCGACAGCGACTAACAATTACCGTAATCCCTAAACATGGCCCCAAACTCAGGCAGATCAGTCCAGTACACTCCTCCACCCTGGTGCCTGACCAGCTTTCCAGCATCATCTCGGACAGGCGGCAAAGAAGCCAGTCCAATCACAACATCGGCCAGTTCTCGAGCCTTCGTATCGCCAAATTGACGAGTGGCTTGACAGAAGATCGACCAGAAAATGCCTAGCTTGTAATAACTCGATGTCTTCATGATCTCGTACTTGAGATATGGTTCGTACGTTGCTGCTATTGAATGACCGGCTTCAGATGGGTCGATTTCATCATTGAGTAATGCTTGGATTGTGTTGATGACGGCTTCATGCTTAGCATCGACTGGATGCGTGGCGCGGGCGTGGTCGGTCCAGAGTTGGGTGGACATGATTTGGAGAAGTCGTTAGTGCGTGACCGTGGGTAGGATACGTGGGATTACCTGCTTCTGCTTTGTCTGACAACTCTGGATAAGTGGATGAAAAGAAGTCCAGTTATGACTCTTATGAAAGTAGTATTTGCCAAGAGTGGATCATGATCCTGCAGATCATGTCAACGCCAACATCCACTGCATTGGCAGACCTTTGGCCTTCGCATGACTCTTTGCTCTACATTGTGAGGGATTGAAGGCAACGTCGAGGTTGCTCTAAGCAGCTTGCAGCCAATCTTTGGATCACGAGTGAGTTCAACGCGTCGATGGCCACAATTCACACTGTGCTGCCCCCATCGACAGACGATCTGCCTACACCAAGAAAACATCCTCAATTCCCTCACCAAACATCATCTCGACCTTCTCGTCCATTAAAATAGGCATCCCAATCCTCCCCGCAAGATCCTGCCAAGACCGTTTCCCAGAAGTGTATCTCGTAGGTAACCAAGCAGTATGATACCCAATGGCATAATACCACTCCCCCCAACGACTCACACTACTACAGTCATACTCGTCGTACAACCAAGCATCGTCATCTACAATGGTTTGCTCGACGAGTCTGCCAAATCGCCTGCCTTCATTCTTCAGTGCGTTCCTGCCAAAGCGTCGGCCGCCAGCCTTGAGCCAAGGCCTTCGCTGTCGTCTGGCAATCCTCGAGATCTCATCCGGGAAGCCGCCACGTAGCAAAAGACCGCGAGCGAACTCCGGATAGACGTGCACATTGCCACACTCCACATCCACCAATCGCTCAGGTCGCCGGAGCACAAATCGAATCTCCATATTGCCATGATTCAAATTCATATTCATAATCTTCCTCACCACCTCCAGGCGCGTCAAATACATAGCATTTAGCTCGATGAACCTCAGCCCATACAATGTAAGATCGCCAAAAAGCTGCCACAAATCGTAGAAAACACTCGCTTCCACAAAGACCTTGGTTTGCGAGTCATACTGTGCCATCAGACTGATGCTGGCGACGAGGAAACGCCACTCCAGTCGAAGGTGCCGGAAGAAGCCATCGATTAACGCGGCAGTTTCGAAACAGAACGTGTTCTGGGTATAGAAGACGTAGCCGGCTTCTCGCCACCATTTTTTGCAGACTAGAAGGACTTCTAGATTTTGTCTTCGAGCGCAGAAGCAGCGGAAGTGCTGTCTGGTGGCATCTGGGCACTGTCGCCATCGGATATCCCAGCACGTGCTGCATATATACGGGTTTCGAGGTTTGGGGGCCCAATGGCTTCGCCATGGAGCGATGTATTGAGGCGGGAGGTTCAGCGTCCAATGATGTCGGAGTCCGTAGGGTACTCCTTTGCAGTGCACGCATCGATTGTGGTGGTAGTCCTCATCGGCGGCTTGGCGTTGGGTAATGAGATTGACGTTTGAGGTGCGCTTCGGGCAGTCGGCGAGATGCTTGACATTCCATTTGGCTGGTCGGACCAGTAAGAGGGTGAAAATTAGGGCTCGGAGCTCGCCTGGCAGTGAGTGGAAGCGGTCGGCGAGTGTGGGATGTGACACTTTGGAGATCGATATGGTGAAGTCGTCCTTGTGCTTTATGTGGGCCCGAAGTTTTGCTGGCAGTGTACGAGGATCGGAATAAACCGTTAACGGATCCGTTTCGCAAAGAATGGTGGTTGCCTGTCGACCAGACCGAAAGGCTTGTGTCCTTGCTCCAGCAGGAGGCCGCTTATGCTTGTGCTTAGCCATTGGACTGAGTACTGGCTGTGTCAATTCGCGTTGTAGGTTGTCAGTAGCACCCAGGTGAGGGAGAATGACAGAGTAGGTATACACTCTCAACGTGCCTCGACCTGGGCTTTGCCATTGCAAGGCCAACACAGCCACCCATAAATTCATGACTCACCAAGGCCGATGTCTGCAATGGGCAGTCGTGACTCTTGGCCTCCCGCCATACTAGATTGAGATCAAGAGTCATCAAACGCTGGACCTGCTCTGGTGACAGATACAACTCTGCTATGGAAACGCCGTGCTGTTTTGCTCATGCCTCGCCCAAGACGCTAGCGCCTGAGGCTGCCTTGAGCGGCCACGTGATGTGCAACTAAGCGAGACAGCCATGTGTCTCCAGCCGTGGCTTCAAAACTAATGCGAGCCCAGAAGTCCACAACAGGGCAGACAAAGCAATACAGGCAGATGTTCTTGCTTTCGTTGGCCGCAATCCCAAAACAGACTCGAGGAGGCAGAAAGAGAGTGATGATTGTGGCGGGAAAGTGAAGGTAAAGCGGAACGGCGCCGAGCTGAGCTTATTCGTCATCTGCCTAGAGTGCCGGTAGATATGGCCAGTATCGACGTGAAAGTCGACACCACAAGCAATCCCTGGGGCGCGATGGACGAAGGAGACTCACCCTGGAGCGGTATCATACCCACTTCATCGCCTTGGGCGACACCATTCACTAACATAACCCTCTTAGACGTGCCTTCCCGGACGGGAAGTAATCACGACCTGCCCACGGCAGCAGAAGAGGCCTCTACACCCAGCAAACCAACCGAACCATCAGTATCATTATCACCTGCAGGCGCCAAACCGGCGCCGAACAAATCACGAACGCCTCGTCGATATGGCAATCTCGCGCAGTCCACCACTCTCCAGTCCTTAGATGATGATTCTCTCGGGCCTCTGGGTCCACTGGGTGCGGAGCCAGCAGCAGAACTCGCAGCACCAGCGCCGCCAGTCAAAGAGCTAGCCACAAGGACAAAAGCATCATCACGACCGAGCACAGCTGCGAGCGCCGGCGATGCATCTCTGGGCAGTGACGATAGCACACTCAACGGCCACGGCCGCGCATACCAGCAACCACTCCGACAACCTCAACAGCCACCCTCGCTTCCCATTGAGCAAGCCAGCAAACCGACCTTCTCCATCACAGTCGGCGATCCACATACAGTAGGAAATGCCACAAACAGCCATACCGTTTACACGGTGATAACCCGCACCACCTCAAAAGCCTACAACAACTCCGCCTTCACAGTCACAAGACGATACCGAGACTTCTTATGGCTCTACGAGCGCCTTCACGACAACAGCCCAGGCGTAGTCGTGCCACCACCACCGGAGAAGCAGCAAATAGGCCGGTTCGACACACAATTCATCGAAAGCAGACGAATGGCACTAGAGAGGATGGTGAACAAAATCGCCGCACACCCAGTCCTACAGCACGACGGCGACCTCAAAACATTTCTAGAAAGCGAGGCATTCAATGTGGACATCAAGCACAAAGACCGAGCACGAGACCCGCTACTAGCAGGTGAGAGCAAAGGCTTCATGAGCAGCATCGGCATCTCCTCCGGCTCAGGCGGCAAATTCATCGAACACGACGACTGGTTCCACGACCGGCGAATCTACCTCGATGCGCTGGAGATCCAACTCAAGGCCCTACAGAAGAGCACAGATACGGTGATGGCGCAACGTAAAGGCTTATCAGACTCTTGTGGTGACTTCAGCACTAGCTTGCACCAACTCGCTGCCGTCGAACTGTCACCATCGCTATCCGGTCCACTAGACGCACTCGGCGACCTCCAGATCCGGATCCAGGAACTCTACACCCGCCAAGCAATGCAAGACATGCTCACCCTCGGCATTGTAATAGACGAATACATCCGCCTCATCGGCAGCATCAAAAAAGCCTTCGAACAACGCCAAAAAGCCTTCCACTCCTGGCACTCTTCCGAGTCGAAACTCCAAGATATCAAGAAGGGGCATGAGAAATTATTACGAGCGGGTCGGACACAGCAGGATCGGATCCAGCAGATGCAGGCGGATGTTGCGGAGGCGGAGAGGAGGGTGCATCAGTCGCGGTTGTTGTTTGAGGATATGGGGCGGTTGATGAGGGGGGAGTTGGAGAGGTTTGAGCGGGAGAAGGTGGAGGATTTCAAGAGTGGGGTGGAGACGTTTTTGGAGAGTGCGGTGGAGGCGCAGAAGGAGGTGAGTTGAGATCCAAATTCTCCGTCTCGAGGAATGAGAGACGTGGGTGGCTTGGTGCTGACATTTGTGACATTTGTAGCTTATCGAGTTGTGGGAGACTTATCTTTATCAGCTTGATACGGATGAGGATGGGCCGCCTGTCATGCCGGCTGGGATTCGAGCGGACGATGCTGCTGCGCCTAAAGCGGCGGCGGAACAGCATGAAGATGATGCGGCGACGCTTGTCGCTGGCGGTGCGGAGGAAGCGGGGTTTGCTGCTCCTGCTGAGACGACTACTGCTGGTCATGATGAGGCGGAAGAGGCATGAAGGGGTGCTGCTTGTACATAGTAGCTATATCTGGTCTTCCACTGAGTTTGGCAGGGTTTCCGAGAGGATTGACCCGGAGGACTTCATGATGGCATCGTAGGCTCCGTTCAATGTGATGCTTTCCCCTCTTCTGCCTTGCAACGGCAGGTTTTTATCTGATGTTTTATCTCGTGGTTGGGGTTGATTCCTGCCAGTTGCCTTGAATCGTAGCTCCGGGTGAGCATGTCATTCGTGTGCAGAACTTGACCGTTGAAATGTACCGCAACGATATGGACTCAGATCATTTCCCTGATGAGGTCCGAGTTCCATCTTGTTAGAATCGTGCAGTAATCAAGCCACTCGAGGCCCTTCCTCGGAGCTGTGGAGTCTTGACACTAGGACCAGCACGGCTGCATCCGCGGGACGGTTCAGAATGTACTATGACCGAAGCCCCTTCAGGCCCGCGATCGTGGTGAGGAGAAACGGTCTCACCATCATGGTGAAAGAGGAGTCGAACGAAGCCACAATATCAAGGGCACGTCTCGGGTGAGTGACAGCTATATGGGCTGCATGCGAGATCTATTGGCAGACAGGGCCTCGCCTGAGAGAGTTGCAACTTGCAGGCTTGTGCGCTGGTCCCACCGGCTCGTTACGACGCCAAGCGGGGAGAGGCGTTTTCCCGACTTCCTTCACGTGTGTCGTGCGGGTAGCCGAGACGAGACGAGCATGTTTCGATCCGTACACAAAGCGGTTAAGAGCTGGGGATATGTACGATTGCGATAGCTACGCGGGCAGGGCGGCAAAACAAACAGGTGTGAAGATCTTGTATCTGCATCTCGTGACAAGGTAGCTTGGTAGTGGTGAGACGAGGGTAGTCTGCTTTGAGGTTCCGTTGCTATGCGAGTTTTCGGCTGGGAGTAGTGGTTCGCGAGCAGGATCGATAATGGGAAGCTCGCGCCACACAATCGACCTCATGGCACGTCTTGCGCGGGCCAATCTATCCACACAGCATGAAGCTTTGGGAGCCGTTGTGGTTGTGACGTGCTTGACTGAGTCTGTGATCATCTGCCTGCGTACTACTACGATGGCCAAGATGGACAGACAGATTTGGTGGCTTGCATGCTCAAAGCTAGAGATCTAGATGGAGCGGCCTGGTGTGGTACAGAGTGACTTGGGACAGTCATCGCTCCATTGGCTGAGGAGGAGGGCACAGCACCTGCAGCTTCCAATCTGCATTGCAAATATTAATGGCATGGCGTGCGGGGAGAGCTCGAGCAGGGTGCAGCAAAGCCAGCATCTTCCTAGCCTTCCTAGCGCCAGAGATGGCAGTGTGTTTCGCTGATCGCGATCGTGATTCGAATGCCAACCGAGCCAAACCCTTGCAATCGTGCACCTGCCACCCCTTCAGCCCCGCTTAATCAAGTCTGAGCTCTTGCTCTTGCATGCAGCGGCAGGGCAGCACAGGCGTCAAACAGAACTCACTCACTCTTCCATCCTCCTCCCTCTCTTCTCTCTCTTCCTCTGCCACATCAACCCTCCTCCCCATAACACCATCACCTACCCCGTTCCATCTTGTGTGAAGAAAGAACATCGACATCATGATTGTCGACCCCGTCCAGGCTTTCGCCACGGTCTCGTTGCCGTTCGCCACGAGCTCCGTCTCCGCCGTGCCAACTGTGGTGCCCACGCTCCCTGAGTATCAGGATGCCACCGAGACTGGCACCAGGACCCTGTGGTATGTACAATCACACGCTTCAGCTAGTCGAGCATGAAACGGAGCTCCAGCGAGCTTGAAAGAGCTGGAAAATAAATGGTCTTCCGCTCACCGTGGCTGCCTACGACCCATCTCATGGAGCTCCATCTCAAGCACCAAAACAGCTCCCAGAAAGCACATGCTAAGACTATTCCCAGGGTTGTCATGGTGGTCATGCTCATCGCCTCCATCATCTTCACCGGCATGGCATGGAACATCCCAATCGTAAGTTTCTGCAGCCAAAAAAAAACCTGCTCCAGCCCGCCAGCCAGGCAAGCCCTAACAGCCTCGCAGTCCAAGCGCCTGTACCACGTCGTCACGATCATGATCACTGTCTTCGCCACCCTGTCCTACTTCGCCATGGCCTCCGGCCACGGCATCGCTTATCACCACGTCGTGGTTCGCGAGGCACACAAGCACGTCCCGGACACGACCTCCGACGTCTACCGCCAGGTCTACTGGGCCCGTTACGTCGACTGGTCCTTGACCACCCCTCTCCTCCTCCTCGACTTGGCTCTTCTAGCCGGTCTTAACGGTGGTAACATCCTCATTGCCATCGTTGCCGACATCATCATGATCTTGACCGGGCTCTTCGCTGCTTTCGGTGCCGAGGAGACTCCTCAGAAGTGGGGCTGGTACGCCATGGCTTGTGCCGCTTACTTGGTTGTCATCTGGCAGCTCGCCTACCACGGCCGTGCCGTCGCTGCTGCCAAGGGTGGCAAGGTTGGTAGCTTCTTCGCTGCTATCGGTGGCTTCACCTTGATTATCTGGACCGTCTACCCTATGTAAGGCAATCATACAGTAACTTCTGTCGTAACTCATACTAACACAATCTACAGCATCTGGGGTATCGCTGACGGCTCCCGCAACATGAACGTTGACGAGGAGATCATCGCTTACGCCGTTCTCGGTAAGTGGCCTTCTATTTGAGATGGGAAACCCACTAACTCTCTTCATAGATATCCTTGCCAAGCCAATCTTCGGTGCCTGGCTCCTGTTCACCCACTCCAGCATCCCCGAGACCAACGTCGACCTCGGCGGTTTCTGGTCCGAGGGTCTCAAGGGCGAGGGTGCCATCCGTGTCGGTGATGACGACGAGGGTGCTTAGACGAACCCTTTCAACTCATCATCGTTGGATGGCTCTCCGCGACAGGACTTGCACGTCCAACGTCGGAAGTCTTCTGCCATTGAAGTGACGAGGCGCCCTAGTGTGGGTGCGAGGCGAGTTGGCTCGGGTGGGAAAAGAGCTCATGGGTTTGAGCCGTTGTCTTCCTAGGCCTCTGGTCTAGTGGTGGCAGTGGCGAAATGCTTTTGGTGGCTGGCGGGGCATTTTACGAGGCACGAGGTGTTTTTGCATCAGTCACTCCATGATATCTATCTTTCTAAGGTGATGACGCTGCTGTTGGCTCAATTGTGGATGGAGCAATGGTTGCTTTGTATCATAGGTGTAGCTTGTTAATGCATAATAAGAAAAAGTGTGGTTGCTTTGGGAGAACACATAATTGGGTCTCATCTTACAATGTTCTATGCTCATCGCTGGATGGTTGGGTCACGGCTGCGCGGCGTATCAAGCTTGAGGTGAAGACAATATCATTTGTCACCGAGTCCAGTTGCAGAACCTCTTGACTAACTACGCCTCACCACCACCAGGCAACCTCACCCTCCTCTCCCACAACCACTCATAATTCGGCATAGCCAACCCAACCATCTCCTCCATCATCTCCACATCCTCCCGCCCAAACTCCCTCCACCAACCCTTGACCCACCCCTTCCTCTCCCCTTCTAAATCTCGATTCCTCGTCGCCAACTCCGGCATCACACCACTCGACTCCTTTAGCCTCGTCTGACTAATATAGTACGAAGGATGCATCTCCCTTTTCCCCTCCGCCGTCAAAGCCGGCCATGAGAACTTCGCTTCAGTGGGATCTAGACCGAGAAGTGTACAGAGATGTCGCACAAACGGTTGGGAAGTGGCGATGTCGTCGTAGTCGACTATCAGCGGCATCACGGCTTGGCTGGGGTTGTAGTGGGCTCGGTAGAAATCATACATTACCCTCGTATGGTCCTGCGATGTCACGGCGCGGAAATTCGTGCGTCCGCCGCCGTGGGGTAGACCCATACGTTGGAGTACACGCATTGCCGATGGGATCGTGCAGAGCGGGTGCCGGATTAGGAGGATTGGAACCGTTCCGAGGGCTAGGAGCAAGTCGTCGGGGATTCGAGTCGGGTTTGCTCCGGCGGGGAGGAAGGGGTAGGGGTCGGTGGGGTCCTGGTGTGGGGAGGGGGATTTATAATTGTATTGGATCTGCAGGATTTCGCGGCCGTGGGAGGAATTGAGGATGTGGTCTTTGAGGAAGAGGGTTTTGCCCTGCTGCTCAGTCAGCTGGGCTGAATGGGTTGAATCTTCAGTGGTGGGACTGACGGTGTCTTCTGCGTCGGACAGGGCTTCGCGCCATTTGGTAATGCCTGCTGAAAGGGCTGTGGTGAAGTCTGCGCCCTCTTGATAGGTCATACCCTTCTCGTGGCCTTCACGCAGCATCCAGCCGATCTGTTTACCGCGGGCCGCGCTGAAGGGCGAGTCGAGATGTTTAATCTCCGTGCCATGACCGATCATTCGGTCGAGAAGATGGCCTGGAGTCAAATCAGTATGTCACACAGCTCGCGATGAAGGAGCTTGATCACTCACTGCCGCTTCGTGGCGTGTCGAGGAGTAGGATTTGGTGAGGCATGGTCGAGATTATGTCGATGGCGAGGTGTGGTATCCTCGATGGCAAGATTTGCCTTCATCTAATTCAAGTCGCTCTGCGTCTATGGCTTGTTTATACATTATGAATTCTTTCCTGCCAAGCAGGTATGCGTAATATTTAAATTGACATAAGAAAGCTGCCTACATGGATATACCGACAAGCACGTATGGAAGGCAGCTATATTATCATCCTTCGTCGGTATCTGGGGTTGCTGTCTCGGTCTCGTGTATCAAGGACACGTATACTGCTCAGTCATACTGTTGTCTTGGCTGTAAGCCTGATACCGTATCAAGTCGTGGATCGCCGCTGGTTGCTCCAGCTATTCGAGGCGTCAGCATACCAAAAAGTGGTACTAGATGTGATCTCCCTTTTCAAGGAGAAGATTTGGCCAGTACGGCACATTGCGCCGCCTAGCTGACGACGATGACGATGAAGAACGTTGCGTATTTGAGAAGACGATTGATCGAGAATACTGCCAATGGTTTGAAACTGTTTCGTCCATGTTATTCGTGTTGCACATGACGCAGCACGGGTCTCGTCCCGTTTCCCCAGACGCCCACCATTGTTTGGGGAAAGGGAAGCTGCGAAGCTCGTTGCATAGCTCGTTGCATAGCTCGTTGCATAGCGGGGCCCAAAACACTCTCACTCACATGCCTGACCGGGACTGAAAGCGGCAAGCGAGCGAGTACTGCTGTAGTAAAGGACGACCGAACAAGACACATAGAAGTGCCTGTCAATCAATCTTTTCGAGTCTCGTGACCACGTCTTGAATCTATATCCGTGTCCATTCAAAGCTCGCCAACAGACAACCCTCCTTCACTCCAACACATCCACACCCACACAGCCACCCAGCATATCAAACATGGCCGACCAAACCGCCGCCGCCTCCTACGTGGACCAAACTCCCATCGACAAGCTCGAGCGCCGCAATTCACTGGAGAAGCATCTCGCTCTACGACCCGAAGAGCAAGATCTCAAGAACCGGCATATCCTCCTAGATACTACAGCTGCTCCGGCCTTGCAGGCGAAACAGGCTGAGCTGGAAAGGCAGCGGATTACGGATAATTTGAAGAAGGTACGTGCAAGCGAACCCCTCAAACCTAGCACAAAATGAGAGCCTTGTGATGGCGAGCAGAACTGAATGCTGATTGTGCTCTTGTGTTTCTAGGGCCTCTCAAAACGACCAGAGAAAGACGAGCTAGTTGACCGCAATATCCTTGCCGACAGCACGGCGGCACCCGCGCTGCAGGAGAAGCAGAGGGAGTTGGAGAAGCATATGAGGGCCAATAGTCTGGAGAAGCAATTGCAGGGTCGGCCGGGGAAGGAGGAGTTGGTCAAGGGTGGGATTCTGAATGGTTAGTAGGAGGGATATGATGATATGCCTGGTTGGACCTGAGTGCTGACAAGGAGTGTGTGTAGTGAACGAGGATCATGTGGTGCAGGACTGAGGAGATGTGACACGCATGGGTGTGGGTGGAATACTGGCGTCAAGGCGTGATATTCGAGTCTTTCAGATACCATGGTGCATACATGCAGGCCTACTTCGGCTGCAGAGCATATGACCGTACCGGGTACAAGCCTTTCGGCATCCCTCTCTGCAGCTCCGAACTCACCACCTTCATGCCCGCCTCCTCGAACAGTCGTCGGAACTTCTCGTCCGTCCGCGTCACACTACTATCCGTCTCATCGTAAACGTCCTCGGCTAGGTAATGATTACTCAGATTCTCCTTCACTATGATCCAACCACCCTCACTCAAAACAGGCGGTAACCGTTTCAAGTACGCAATGAACTGAGCATCCGTGAGTTGGCCAACACACCACTGATTCCATATCACATCGTACAATCCCACCCCCTCACGCTCAGGAAACCACGCCTCAAGCCCAACATTATACACCTCTCCCACCCCACTCTTCCCCTTCACTTTCTCCGTAAACACCTCCACCGGCTCAACCACATCCACCACCTCCGCCACCCCAACCAGCAACCCCTCCGTAATCCTCCCAATCCCAGCCCCACAATCCACCACCCTCTTCAGTTTCCTCGATGTGGGATGGGACTTCGAGCCTCGACGGAGTTTCGCGAGGAAGTTACTGCTGCCTTGGAGGTCTATGCGTGAGACTTGGGGGAAGCCGCCGAGGACGCCGGAGACGCTGGCTTCGGTGCTGGACCAGTAGGAAAGGGCTAGGGTGGAGTTGATGTGGGAGTCTGGGGGTGGGTCGGGGGTGGTGAAGGGCATTGTTGCTTCCGTGGTGGGAGGGGAGGTGCGAGGTTTTTTGGGTTTTGACGTCTCGTGGTCGGGTTCGAGTTTGCGTTTGGGCGAGGGCATGGCGAGGTGGGTGTGCGAAGATGGGGATACGGTTAATTTTGGAAGGCGCGTTCGATGAGACGCGACGCGAGGATTTCTGGAAGTGCGGGGCTGGGGTTTGAAGTGAATGGCTTCTCCTTTTGATCAATGTCTGCCTTAGACCAACCAGCACGACTTCCTCGTATATTGTTCTACCGCCATCATCAGCTACAAACTTGGCTGACGGGGATAAGCTTGATAATGTGCCTCAATAGCCAGCTCATGATAGCAAATTCTCATGATATCCCTTAGCGACGAGATGGCGATCTTGTATTAAAACATATCCGTCTTTCCCTTCCCCTCACCTCGCCCGGCTATGTCAGCTCCGGTCTGACATGGTAACAATCGTTGACGTGTTCTCGAGCTCTTGAGATGGACTCATATGGCTATCAGAGCAGCATAAGGTAGGTATCATCTATTTCCAGCATATTCATCACTCCCGTAACAGTACCTACCATGGCTGGAGCTTTCATGAAAGACGACGCCTCTGTCGAAGATCTCTATGCTCAAGACCCAACAGGTAAGGTCGCCACCCCCAAGTCTACAATGTAACAAAGCCTGAATTCACCAACCAACAGTCGTCCTCAACGGTACCCCAGACGAAGCCAACGGACCAACACCCTCACCATTCCAACGCTACGGCCAACCATTACCCGCAGAATGGATCCCCCTCTACAAGAAGCCCATGCGAACACCCACGCGCAAGTTGCGTATCGTCTGCATAGGCGCGAGCGTAGCAGCGATGAATCTCGCCTACAAAGTCTACCACGAGCACGCCCTCTCCGGCCCCGGATCAGCTGATCTTATCGACCTCTGCTTCTACGATTCCAATGAGTCCATGGGAGGCACCTGGCTCGTGAACACTTACCCTGGTGTAGCGTGTGATGTCCCGGCACATATCTACACGTTCCCGTTCGAACCTAACCCGGACTGGAGTGCTTTCTATGCTTCTGGGGAGGAGATCTTGGAGTACTTTTTGCGGACAGTGAAGAAGTATGATCTCGGTAGGGATGTGAATTGCGGACATCGCGTGACCAGAGCGGTGTTCGACGAGCGGCAAGGGAAGTGGGATTTGGAAGTCGAGACTCAAGGTGGCGTGGTAAAGGACAGTTGCGATATCCTCGTCTCTGCGCGAGGATTCTTATCCAAATGGCGGTGGCCGGGTATCCCGGGTCTCCACGACTTTCAAGGTCATCTCTGCCACTCAGCAGTCTGGAATAAAGCCTTCGACTGGACGGACAAACGCATAGGCGTTGTAGGAAATGGCAGTTCCGCTATCCAGATCCTCCCGCAAGTTGTAGAGAAAGCGGCACAGGTAACCAATTTCATCCGATCACCTACATACATCACCCCCGGTCTGGGGTCTAGTATCATAGGCGGTCAAACACAATACCACTACAGCGAAGAAGAAAAAGCGAGTTTTCGACAGGATCCAGCCGGGTTGAATAAGTATCGTAAGAAGATCCAGGCGGGCAGCAACAAGGCCTTCGACATGTTCGTCAAGAACTCGGTCGCGCAAGAGGAAGGACGCAAAGCCACGGCGGAAATGATGAAGAAGAAACTCGGTGGCGATGAGGACTTGGCGCGGAAACTGACGCCGGAGTATGAAGTCGGATGTCGACGTGCTACGCCTGGTCCTGGTTACCTTGAGGCTTTCACGAGGGAGAATGTTAGTTTGGTTACGGAGAGTATTGAACGGGTTGAAGCGAAGGGGATAAGGACGACGGATGGGAGGTTGTATGAGTTCGATGCTATCGTCTGTGCGACGGGATTCGACGTCTCGCATCGTCCTCCCTACGAGCAGATTGGAAGAAATGGTGTTTCGTTGAGTGAGGCGTGGAAGGAGGAGCCGATGGCTTATTTGTCGCTTGCTGCGGCGGGATTTCCGAATTTCTTCATGTACGATTCTTCACACAGCTGACCTGTTAGATGGGTTGTACTGTTTTTGCTGACCAAAGCATAGGTTCTGTGGACCCAATGCTCCCGTGGGACACGGTAGCCTCATGGCGGGGTTGGGATGGTCAGCAGATTATATTTGTTCGTGGGCGTGGAAGATGGCGGAGGAGGACATTCTGTGGGTGGATCCGAAGCCCGAGGTTGTCGAGGAGTTTAATGCGTATGCGGACGAGATCATGCAGACGCTGGTGTGGAGCGGCGGGTGTCAGAGTTGGTATAAGGGGCATCGGGTTGATGGGAAGGTTACTGCTGTCTGGGCTGGGTAAGTAGGCGGGTGTCCGCGGAGGTACAATGTGGATGTGGAGTGTTGCGCTGACATTCTTTCGCTTTGGTCTAGGTCGGCGATTGGCTTTCATGATATGATTGAGCATATCCGACCGGAGGATTTCGAGATAAGGTATAGGAGTAAGAATCGCTTCCGTTTCATGGGGAACGGGAGGACGAAGATGGTAAGCCGGGGTGTACTAGATTGGTGCCCTTACCGGATCATGAGCTGATTGCTGGTGTAGGAGTACGATCCGAAGGCAGACTTGGCATTCTATTTACACAAGTGAACGGAGTCGAAGTTGACTCGAAATGCTGTGGTCCTGAACCAGAAGCAAAGATGAATGTAGAGGCAAGTCCCGACTGCTCATGCTCAATAAAGAGACCCTGGGTTGACTCTTGCCAGGGAATCGGAAAATGACTGTTCTCGAAAGGCGCCAATGACCATGTTGCCACAGCAGCGAGAGCACCAGCGCTTCGCGAAGCATTCTCGTTGATGAAACCCCGAGCTACGAGATTCGCGTATAGCGTGTGTGGATACAGGTCGTACATCCTGACGTGGGTCTGGGGAACACACAACGAATAGGGATCGAGTCGCACACAGTGGAGCCCAAGCGGTGTCGATGTGCGCCTCTCAGGGAACTTTCCTCGTTCCGCCCCTCTTTCGACAACCAATCCTAGTCACCTTAATCATCATCGATACTTACTTGCTCGCCTGTGACGATGAAAACACTTGTAGCACGGCGTTGTCTACTGGGAACTCGTCGGGAACGTCGTCGACCCAGCACCGCCGGACTCGACACCGCCTCTGCAGCCTGTGCCTTGCGTAAGCGCGCAGACGACTTCGGGGATACGAATCTCCAAGCATTGCGGATCCCACAACACCAATGTGCTACTGAACATGATGCCGCCACGTATCGTGGGTGCTCATCCACTCGACTGGGCGCGGGGTACGATCAAATGGTTTGCGCGAGCATAGTAACATCATGCGGAGTGGTTACTGTGCTCCACCCACCATAGCCAATGGCGCATGCGGCGAACAAACATATGAAGCCAGCAACGTTCAGCGAGCTCCTCTCAACGGATGTGTGTATTGTGGGATGGCAGAAGGCAAGCCGTAATACCCCTCAAGTCTTGCAGCGCCTTCTATAAACGCTATAGGCCTGGGGATGTAGCACTCCAAGGCAAGTTTGTTTTCCTCCTCCATCACTAACATGCGGTCCTTCACTAAATTGCTCGCGGCTACTGCCAGCGTGGCTACTGCGCAGTCCATTTTCAAGCCATTGCGGCCTCCGGCTCTTCCTTTGGCAGTCCGCTCTCCGTACATGAGTACCTGGCAGCAAGCTGGCAGCGACGGGGGCAATGGAGGCTATCTTGCTGGCGAATGGCCTACGTTCTGGGCGGGTCAAATCACCGGCTGGTCTGGATTCATCAGAGTCGACAATGTCAGCTATACTTGGTTCGGCGCGGCTGACCAGAACAACCTCTACGCGGACCAGACTGGATACGAGTACACTTCGACCAAGAGCATCTTCACCATGAATGCTGCTGGCCTGGTTGACATGACCATCACATTCACTTCTCCAGTCGTGCCAGACGATCTTCTCCGAGCTTCTTTGCCATATTCTTACATGAACGTTGACGTCAAGAGTGCCGATGGCCATCAGCACGATGTCCAGCTTTACACAGATATCACTGCCGAGTGGGTGTCTGGCGATCGCAGTGCTACAGCTCAGTGGGATTATGATGTGATCCAAGGCGCTGCTCAGCCGAAACTTAACACTCCAACCACGACACAAGCTCCTACAACCACATACGTAAGTCGTTGCCGTGAGACTCAAAGTAACGTTCATTAGCTGACGAGCTGTTGTAAATTCTAGCCAGATGGTCCTTTCGGCACCGAGACAACCTACAAAGGCGTGGACGGCGTTGACCACCCATTCCGACCCAGCCAAGTCTCGAGCAACCCGCACTTCCGACCAACAAACTTCTTCCCACCCGGTTCTGCTCACCCTACAGGGTCGGCGAACGAACATCACAGGCGGCAGGCAGGCGGTGGTATTGCCTACCACGAGGTGTATCGCCAGCAACAACTCAATTTCTCCGAGACTAACCAGCAGGCTGATTGGGGTTACTGGTGAGTCTTGCCATTTGCTTCAGCAGCAGCCCTTCCTAGCGCTCGTACGTCGATCTGATTTTGACAGGTATTACGCCACCTCGAATGTTGCAGGTCTGACCCACCAGTCTGGGTCGGATTTTAACGTCAGAAACCAGTTCTTGAACAACGGCGTTCTCGCCAATACCGAGGATACGAATTATCGTGCTATCAGCGGTACGTCGTAGTCGCCCGACGCACACTCGTGACCATGACTGATATCGTTGGACAGACGCCTACCCGGTATTCGGTTATGCCAACAGCCTTGGCCAGGTTGGCACGTCTACTGTCAGCACGCTGTTCCAGCTCAGTCTACACCAGCATGACTGCATTCAGTACGAAGGTGCTAGTGGTAACCAGTCACTGCCTTGCATGTGGACTAGCTACTTCGATACCAACACCGCAGCCGTAAGCAATTACTCCTCCTTGCTTTGCAGCAATGAGAATGCTAAGGATGTTGCAGGTTGACTTCTACTACAATGACTACGCCAAGGGATCGTCGCTAGCCTCAACATTCGACGATAAGGTGAAGAGTGACTCAGTCGCAGCTGGTGGTGATGATTATTCTGCTCTCACAGCTCTTGCCGCTCGTCAGGCCTTCGGTGCGCTGGAGTTCACGAACACGCCAGATGTGAGTCAAGTACGAAGGGCCCTTAAGGTATCGCTGACCGAAATATGACAGGCGCCATACGTCTTCCTTAAGGAGATCAGCTCGGATGGAAACATCCAGACCGTTGATGTTATCTTTCCATTCCATCCTATGGCCATCTACCTCAACCCTACTATGCTCAAGTACATGCTCGATCCACTCTTTATCAATCAAGAGGCTGGGTTCTGGCCGTATGCTTTCTCCATTCACGATCTTGGCACCAGCTTCCCGAACGCAACAGGACACAATGACGGCAATGGTAAGCCTGTGGCGAAGAGACATGATTCGGGCGTCGATTACTGACAATCATTCCAGCTGAACAACAACCACTTGAGGAGTGCGGCGACATGATCATCATGACACTTGCTTACGCCCAACGCACGAATGACAACGCATATCTTTCCCAGCATTACGGCATTCTTAAGCAATGGGTCGAGTACCTGGTCGAGGAAGCACTCATCCCGGACAGCCAGATCTCGACCGACGACTTCGCGGGTGCACTCGTCAACCAAACCAACCTAGCATTGAAGGGCATTATCGGCATTGAGGCCATGGCTCAGATTGCCAATCGTACAGGTCATCCCGACGACGGCGCCAACTACACTGCCATCGCACACAACTACATCTGTCAGTGGGAGAAGCTTGGCGTCAACTACAACACGACCTATCCTCGTACAACGCTGAACTATGGCAACTTGACCTCCCATGGTCTGCTGTACAACCTGTATGCGGACGCTGAGCTTGGCTTGGAACTAGTCCCGAGGAACGTATACGATATCCAGTCCAGTTTTTACCCAACTGTCTTCAACCAGTATGGCCCGCCACTTGATACAAGGCATACATATACGAAAGGTGAGCACCAAACGGTACAGGGACGGCAGATATGATACTGACAGCTTCATAGCCGACTGGGAACTCTGGTGCGCCGCCATCGCCTCCACCAGCACTAAGACCCAATTCATCGACACCGTCGCCAAATGGTTGAACGAGACACCCACGAACTTCGCCTTCACGGACTGGTATGAGACTATCACTGGAGAGTACGTATCAATTGCCATGACCTGTTGGGGAGTACTCCTGCTAAGCCTTTCTCTAGCTATCCTACTGCTGGGATGTTTATTGCTCGGCCTGCTGTCGGCGGCATGTACAGTCTGCTTGCTCTGGAAGGTGCTCCAACTTCGGGTTATGTGACGCCGAGTTGAAAAGACAGTAGAGAGATATATCCGGAGTTGCTGGTAGGTTGGGAGGATGTTTGGAGTTCGGGCGTAGGTAGTGAGTCAGAAGTAGTACTAGGCATTGAGTATTCACCTAGACCGGGTTCCGAATGTGTCGTGTATGATCTCTTGGTTTGAATCGTCTCAATAATCGGTCGAACGTGCCACACGGATCATATTGCTATTTTCTTCGCTCGCCCATGAAGAGATTCGCAATATAGAGATCAAGAAGGCGGTTTTGATTCTTCGTCAAGCTCGTACCTGACCACGTTTCGCTCCTCTCGGCTCTCCAATCTTGTCCTATATAGATTGAAAAGATTAACCCGCGTTCATTCCAAGCACTTCGCTGCTTCAATCATCCTCATTGGTCTAGTGGTCATGATTGTAGGTTCAGCCTCATTTGAAATTATTACGATTTCGCTAACGCTTTAAAGTCCGCTTGTCATGTGATTACTTCACTGAGAATCTCCCTCTAAGACACCTTAGAGCATAACGCGGGAGACCTGGGTTCGATTCCCAGATGGGGAGTAGCGCCTTCCTTTTGCCTTCCTTTTTGAGCCGACGGCGATGGTATAGAAGTAGTTGGTCGATATGGGAGAGCCCATATCGATCTCTTTTGCTGATGGGAAGGAAGGGCGTAAGTAGTGATAGCCCAAGCCCGGCCCGCTGGAAGCGGGAATTTGGCTGACAAAGCACCTGGAAAGAGCGCAAGAGAAATGCTGAGAATTGAGTTGATAAGGTTGTTTAGATCAGTTGTCGTTTCTTCGACCGTTTAGATAGCTCTGATATGATCTCTATAGCCCCAACGCCATGCTAAACCGCTACTAAGACCCAAATTAGAAGTATCAGCTCATCCACAATTACCCTGACAGCCCATCTCACACCCCCGTCACTCGCCATCTTCACCCGTTGATGCAGGCGGTCCTCCTACAGTCGCACTACTATCAGACACAAGCGTAGGGGCAATCCTCCTCTTCTTCTCACCCCTGCCCTCCTCCACCGCCGCCTCGCTTGCATCACTCGTTCTCTTAACGCCGGCAGCAACCATACTAGACGTACTGCCCACCGAGCCATTAACATGGTGGCCGGGCGTCTGAGGGGGCGTGAACAGTGGCAAGCCCGACGATCCAGCCGCAGCTACTGAGGGTAGGGAGCCCATGCTTGGTGTTGGGTAGTTCATCATCGGCACAGCATTCTGATCCGGTGCTCGTGCAAAGCTGCTTGCTTCTGTTGCTATACTTGACGCTGACATACTTCGAGCTGGCGACACGGGCCGAGGCGCTGATGTGAAGGGTGGTGGTGAGGGTGCGACGGCGGGCGGAGGAGCGGAAGTGTTGCTTTGGGCTGAGAGTTGTCTCGCCATTGATGGTGCGAAGGTTGCTGAGGAGGCTGTAGGTGTGGCTTGCGGTGTTGACGCAGTAGAGTTCGCCTTGCCTATTGATATTGGTGTAGGTGTATGCCGTGTACTGCTCACTGGTGGTAGGTGGTAGACGGTCCCAAGCTCTCCAGGCGCAAATGTGAGAGCAGAACAGAAGCCATCGGAAGATGTCATGAGTAGTGTCTGCCCATCTGTGCTCCAAGAGAGATCTGTGAAGGTAGCATAATGCAAATTGCTGACAACACAGATTGGCCGCTGTTGCTGGGTATCGTATACATGTATCGCATCTTGTGTTGCCACGGCATACACTATTCGATAAGGCAGGCCAAAAGCAGGCGGTGGACCAGATGAAGGAGGACCATTCGACGTCGGGCTTGGCTCTGCATCGAGTGGATTCCGTGGAGATGCCATGGTTGCAGCACTCGGCGATGGAGACGGTGCGCTGGTAATTGGTGGCGGGTCCATCGAAGAGTATGTTGGCCTCGTAGGCACAGCTGGCTCGGGCAGGAGTGGGATGTCTTCTTCTGTCCGGGTATCAATCGTGATCTCCTTAGTATCACTACTCGTCACCCGCATATTATAGTACACTGGAGAGCACTTCACTGCGATCGACGGCTTTCTGTGGCCAGGCAGATATGCCACTGGTGGCTTATTTAGCCCACCACGAGTATATATGTAGACTGTGTTTATCACATCATCTGTAGATTTTGATCCGTCGACATGAGGATGTGTAGTCTTGTATTGACCAGCAGGCGTGAAGAGTAAGCTGCCGTCCGGAGCAAAAGTAAGTCGCCGGAAGAAAGAAGTGAACGTCTCGTTTTGGTAAAGATTTGTATTCCGCACGCCAAGTCCAGACAAACCCGGAGAGGCAGACGGCATCACAGCAGGTAATGGCATGGAAGGGCTGGGCGAGACGGACCGTTGTCGCATTGAATTCTGTCCCATCTGAGATCCGAAAGATGACCTTCGGCTGTGTGATGTCGGAGGTGGGTTCATCGGCAAAGCCAGTGACTGCGGCGTTCCAGGAGCAGACGGTCGTGGTGAGCCAAGTGCTTCTGCCAGGGTCTCTTGCACGAATGACGAGCGGTGGTTGCTAAGATCTGGTGGTGCTGGGCTGCTGGAGGAAATTCGTCGTCCGGGTAGATCCATCTTTGTGATTTTGTTATGTTGTGCGAGAGAGAAGGTGCCGTCTTTCGTCTTCAGCGTGTAGATGTGTACAGACCTGTCGGAAGACTGCGTGGCCACATATTCGTTGAGCGGATCCCAAGCTACACCTTGCACGTAGTGGTTGTGCTCTGCGATTTGCCTCACACATGTACCTTGTGTGAAATTAGTGGCAGGTCCTCACTAGAACTGTGTCAGATACTCACCAGTCGAAGCATTGTATATCCTAGCAACATTGTCCATGCTGCCTGTGATGAAGAACAAGCCATCCGGTGACCATGCCAAATCGTATATCTCGGATCCTGTGCTTGATCTGCACATTGTCTTCACACGCCAATGCTCAACATCTTCCTGGCCGTCCTCGCCGAAGCTAGCCTGCAACGCGGGATTGTCTGAAGGTGTCCATAACAGCACATTCCCATCATCACCAGCTGAGGCCAGAAGCTCGCCTCGAGGACACCACCGGACCACGTTGACTGCCTGGGTGTGCTTTTTCAACGTTGACAGGTATGTGACTTTCCGTTCCTCGCCGTTCGAATCGATTTGCCATATCTGTTGTGACTGTCAGCAGACTGCACGTGGTCGACAATACATCCTGGAATAAACATACTCGAACATTGTGATCACCTCCACAAGTAGCTAGTCTTCCCTTGCCATGAGGTTCGAAGTGTGCCGAGTAAACAGGAGCGTTTTCGTCGTGCCAGGCCACAAGTAGCGGTGCAGCTTTCATCTTGACGGTGGAAGTGGTCGTGTGTCGAAGGAAGTAGTAGTAGCTGGCCTCGAGCCAGAGAGGAACCGTGTACCAGCCACAAAACTATCGCTGCGAGTTGTCAAAGACGAGTCCGAGTAATTCAGGCTTCTTTGCAGGTTGGATGTGAGGTGCAGAGGCAGGACAATTCCGCACTGAGCTTGGATGGGTGTGATCCTGGGAGTGCTTGCATGAGACGCGGCAGGGCTAGCCGTCCAGTAGTAGCTCTGGGCGTTACAGGCTGTTCTAGCTGAATGAAGGACTATTGCAGCTTGCAGGAGAAGTAATGCGAGCCTGGTGATTCTACAAGCAATTCAGACGATTGGTCGACAGCGTAACTACTGAATGGATCATCGACGCACAGAGAAGGCAGACAGAGGACGTAAATGGTTGGCCAATGTGATCGGATCACGCTCTACTGTCGACTTTCCTGACGACGCGGGGGCAACGCGCTTTCGAAGTGCCTGGTCAGTGCGTGGGCGGCGAATGTGATCTGGCTGTCCTCATGCAGTCTCACTGTTTGCATCTGCGTCTTCTCCGCCAGGTTTCCCGTCGACAGCATATGCACAGTCAGCATGTGTCGTCGAAGGTGAACAACAGAAGATCAGCGAGGTGAGGACTGCGCAGCTCGTCTCCGGGGCGAATGGGCCGCAAGGTGAAACATACTCATGATTATTGTGACACAGGATGGACCTCAGTTTCGTACAGTAGTCATTACAATCTCACGACTTGCCCCAGTCATCAATATTCACAACCTTTGGTTGCGGGCCAGGACCTCGTACTATACACCACACAACGTCCTCATCCCCATCGTTGACCTCCTGATGCTCAGCGAAAGCAGGAATCAAAGCAAAGTCGCCAGGTGCAAGATTCTCGCGTTTCTTGCCACCATCACTCACGATTGTGCCGTGGCCGCTGAAAGCGAAGACGACGGTATCTGTTGAGTCATTGGTATCAATGAACGGCTTCTCTCCTGACAGCCGTCATGGGCTCAGCTAAGCGTACCTTGATCACCGTGATGATGAATAGCAGAAGCTGAATGAGGCTTGGCAATCATTCGTGAGGCGCAGATATTGTTCGTCAGGTTGACCAGAGCGTTCTGCCGTATTATTCCCCCAGTCTGTCCGCCTGAGGTCTGTAGATTCTCGGACTTGGTGACAGTGACTGGCTTTTGTTCCGGCATTTTGAGCAAGAAGAGATGATTCGACAGTGCAAGGCTCGCTCAATTCCGGCTCTGTTCCTGGTTTTTACTTCGAGTTCGGAGGGTACGTGTACGCGCTTCACTTCTAGCATTGAAGTCACATGTGTTGTGACGTAGGATGCGGTGGAAGTACATCCTCTGTAGTGGGGAAGTCCAACAGAGAGTAGCACGCCGGCAATAAACCACACACCAACCTGGCCAGCAGAGAGAGGTCTACAACAGGGACATCCTGAGACTTGCCATATATGGGGCATAAATTGATAGATGGCAGACGGAATCCACTGACAGCTGTCAGGCATCCTAGGTTTATTACACGACTCCGATGCAGAGGGTATCATATATACACGCTCACAACTTCGCCTGCCCACCCACAATACTCTGCCACTCCTTCTCCCCAAACTCCTCGTATGCCTGCGCGCCTGGTGGAAGCCAATACAGAAGATCACTACCCATTTTGCTAGGCTCCACACCAGTATTCCTCAAGGCTACTTTCTGGTGCTTCATCGTGCCCGTCACCTCCAGCTCATCCTTCATCAGCCGTAGAAAGACCGGCACAGCATACTTTGGCAACTTCTTCCTCGCCTGCACCGCTAGCTCAGACCTCAGACTCGTATCGAGCTTGTGGCCAGAGTTGAGCGCAATAGCTGCACAGCCTGCTCGGCCGTCGTGGTTGGGGAGTTGGACGCCGTAGACGTTAGCTTCTTGCAATGCTGGATGTTCCCCAAGTGCTTGTGAGACCTCGGCAGTGCTGACGTTCTCGCTCTTCCAGCGGAAGGTATCTCCTACACGATCCAGGAACCACCATCGACCATCGGCGTCCATGCGCTGCAGGTCACCAGCACGGTAGTAAGCATCACCCTTCTTGAATACATCTCGCAATATCTTACTACCAGAAGCCTTGTCGTTGCCGAAGTAGCCTTGGTACTTATCATTGATAGCAGAAGCATCAAGCCAATTGAGTAGCTCCCCAGGCTCGCCCGTTGCAGCCTTTTCACAGAGATTGGTCTTCGGATCGCGGTAGGGCATATCCGTATTATGATCGTGCCTCACCAAGACACTGTTGCCGCCGAACAGTGATCTTATCAGCTTCCCAGACCGACCAATCGCACCCCGTGTGAAACCACTTGCTTCGTGGACAAAGCTGGACCCGGGTCCCTCAGTCGCGCCATAAAATTCACAGATCTCCGGAATGCCGAAGCGATCCTTGAAACGCTGCCAGACGTCGGGTCGCATGCCATTGCCGAAAGCTATCCTGAGCTTGTGTGCGCGGTCATATGGTGTTGGCGAACTTGAGACTAGGTATCGACAAGCTTCACCGATATATTGCATTGCTGTTGAACCGGTCTCGGTGACTTGCTTCATGTACGTGCGTGGTGAGAACTTTGGCGAGATGACAATGGTGCAACCCGGTCCAAATACTTGTAACACCCCTAGGATAGAAGCGCTCGTGTGGTAAAGAGGCATGGCTGTGAAGTATCGATCGTCCTTGGTTAGGGAAAGAGCCAGTGCGAAAACCTCTGGTCCTGCTCTCGCCTTCTGCCACGACACATTGGCAGCTTTTGGTAGTCCGGTCGTCCCGGATGTGTAGATGAGAATCGCCCTATCGGTGTTCTTCTCTCCAGACCGAACAGTGTCCGGAGCTCGATAGGTAGGTCCAGCTAGGATCTCGTTTTGAAGACTTGGCTCCAGGATGAAAGTATCGATCGCGCGACCTCGTCCGTCAGATGCAAGCTCCGGCCGAGTCTCATCGTTCAGAACATCCCGTACTTCTGGGTCGACCAAGAGGAGCCGGGATGTGGACAGCCGAACACAATGCACGAATGCATTGCCTCTGAGGTTGGAATTGATGAAGGCTGGCTTAGCTCCCAGTGACCACAATGCCAACCATACCCATATGAACAGCGGCTTGTTGGTGATATTGATTGCCACAATCTCGTTCTTCTGCACGCCATGCACATCTTGCAGCCATCGTGCATACTTGAGCACGATCTTGTACGATTCCGCGTATGTCCATTCAGTCTTCTGTTGTCCCTCGGTGTTCGGTATCATCAAGAAGTTGCGGCGCGAGGCCTGCGCATCGAGAGCCCATTTCTCAAAATCGTAGAAAATGTTGATCCGGTCTTGCTTCTCTTTGCGCCAGGACACGCCCATATCTGACGATGACATATATCATCCATAGATCATTGGTAACGCCATATCGGGCGTTGAGGTAAGCGAGTGATGCTGCGCTGGCAGGTAGGACTACCTGTCTAGGGATAGCTGTAACAAGAATGAGTTAGCTGCTTGGAAATCAGATAGTGTCGAGTCTGCAACATACATGTAAGAGCTTGTATCGCCGAAGAAGCCATGCCTATAACACACTGCTGTTACGCGGTGGATTGATGAGAGCACTGCCAGCTGTTGATTTGGGAACACGAGTGCGAGACGTCCCTAGCTATCGAGGTCATCGTCACGCTTCGCATCATGCACCGAGGCTGGCTCGTTCCCGTGCATAACCTACACTTTCCTTGCTGATCCCTTCGTTCATGTAGCGAGTGGCTTGCATCACGAACCGAGGCCCGTTGTGTACCCGCATCCTCTCTCGTTCTGCTATTGGTTGTCCCCGGAGCAAGACACGTAAAGGTTTTCAGCCTCCAACGGTCATGCTTGCGTGCTTGCCGTGGTCTAGCTGAAGAAGAAGGGATCAAAAGTCGAACAGTGACAGATCATATTAATATGACCTGCAGCAGACATACTCTATCTGCAGCTAGGTACCTTCACCAGCCTCGAAGACACACCTCGCGCACATACAATCGCCACCGAGAGCCCCACGAGCCCATTCCCTTCTTTCATGAACTGGCAGATTAATGTCACAGTAATGGTTCAGCACTTCCTCATCTTTTTGGATACCAGCCTGGGCCTTGATGCACCGCTTCCCATCTCCTGCATTCCAATCGACGCGTTCCTCCCTCGCCCAGAACTTGACACTGCCTCCCCACTCCCAACCAACGTTCGGATCGCAAGAGTGGTTCGCCATGCACCACATTGGGTGCACTGCGCTGACTTCGGGACCTCTGATCGCACGACCTCCTAACCCAGACAGGCGTGCAGATGCTGTGCCGCGGAATTTGGCATACAGAGTGTTGAAGACCCAGAGATCATACTTCGGCTCCTCGAACGGATCAATATCCATCTTCTCCAGCATCTGAATCGGCAGACGAATATTGTGCTCGAAGCTGAAAGGCAGTGTTCGAGGCAAGCCACCGTGCGCATTCCCGAGAACCCTCCACTCACCACTAGGCGGCTGGAAATGACGGGCCAGAGGTATGCCATGGAAGTCGCCCCAGATATACTTGACCTCATTGAGCTCTAACGGATGGCAGTCTTGTGTTTCGGCCATGGCTATTGCTCGCAGCAAGAGCAGCGAGTAGAGGGCATCTGCTGCCTCTGCTGGCGGCACATCCCGCAGCAAAGCGTCCAGATCCGCACCACAGACAGCCTGATGGTATGACTGCTCGGCATCCTCGAAGCATTCTCGACTACAAAAAACAACCTGGCAGTGAGGACACTCAACCGCCGAGGTGGCGCCATCTTCGCTGAGCTCGGGTAGATCTGCACTGCACGCGTCGCACAAAGCGTCCTGCAGCTTGTTGTTGGCTGTGAGCATCGATGTCTCGTCAAGCACGACCTCCCCAGGAAGAATGTCCTCCCTTGCGAATACGCCTAATTGCGTGACAGTGGCATCAGCATCGCTTCCAGCCAAAGCAGGTAACTCGACTGCTCGTATCTCCAGCTTAGGCGCGACCTCCGCCATCAGAGAATTGAGAGCCGGCAATTCCTGTAATCGATCTGACTCCCACTCATTCCATGGATATAGCTCACGTCTGACATAACCCATATCGGGCCACTGATCCCGGTCGCTATATTTACTATCGGGATCGACGAGCTCGTCCCTAGTGATGCCGAGATGAGTCGCTACAAAATTCCAAATTTCGACGCTGCAGTCAAGGAGCCAGTGGTCTCGGTAGCCCTTGTCGATCGTCGCTTGTAGAGCATAGTAATGAGCAGTCTTGTAGCAGCCACAGCGGAGAAGACTGAGCGTCAGCAGCCTGTATGCCCATGGTAAATACTGTTCGCGGACCCAGATGTCGACCTCGACATCCATGTCTTCATCTGGCTCACGGTAAGCGGTTTGCCGGTCGCCGAGCAGCTCGCCTTTGAGTAAGGAGATCCGCTGTACTAGAGGTATCTGCTGAATGAGCTCCCGAAGCTGCGATGCAGCAGAGCCATGGTACTCGTCCGATGTGTCTTGAACAGCATCGCAGAGTAGAAGCGCTTTATACGCCTCGCCAGCGGCCAGATCAGGATAGCCGATTTGGAGATACTTCTGGGATAGTACGAGCCGGAGCGGAGTCAAGTAGGCATGCTCGTCCATATAATGCTGCTGTATTCGCTCGATCGCATCTAGTGCTGGCTGGAATTCATCTTTGCCAATCTGAAACATACATCAGCACGAGCACAATATCGGCCAGTATACATCAGCATACCTTGCGGAGTGGCGACGCCTGGCCATACTCCAATGGCGTATACCTCAAGTCAAGTACCTCCTGCCAAGTTTCATCGCGATTGTGCTGTTCTCGCTCCCGCAGCGATTCGGTGGTATTGCCAATAGGTTGAGAGAGCTTGCCCTCGGGAGTCAGTAGAGGAGGGGCGTGCTTCTGTCCGACTGTTTTGGAGGCTGGAGCTGCAGACCGATTGTGCCCGGAGCCCGCAGCTGCAGCTCCCAAAGTATCACGACCAGTCAGCTTAGCAATGCCCCCAAGTCTGTAGGACTCTAGCGTCGCGTTTAGTCGAGACAAAGCCACATCAACGTCCTGCACGGACTTCTGATATGCTTCCATACCAGGCCGTCACGCCAGTCTGTATCTCTTTGTCCTGTCCTCTCCTTTCGGCTCGCTTTAGGCAAAGTTCGGCAAGGAATATCAAGATCTGGTGCAAAGTTGCAGATTGAGGTGTGCGATATGCCAAGATTCTCTTTCGGATCGCGGCTGGCTGCAGAAAACGGTGCCGGATGCAGATGATCCGTGCCTTGCCGCGCAACTCACGATGCCTTTCGATGCTGCGATGGTATTCCGATGCTGCAAGGTACTTTAAAATGGTCTCCGTGGTTACGCATGCAACATCTGCGACGTGTTAGCCGCCAAATAGTCCAGCGTCGTCTTGTGGATCAGATGGGAATGCTCTTCTACCCTAGATGAGGGACACGATGTCAAGAGTATACCGTATTTTCTTGACGGCGCGGTATACTGTATGACTATGACTGTGCCTAATAACCATGCGAACCTCGTAGTGCTGGAATTGACGCGTTGCAGTAGGGTATGCCGCTGCGCTGTTGTTCACGAGCCAGCGCTAAATGCGCCTCTATCGTAGCATTTCTGATGAGGTCTGTTAGACCTTCCTGCTACGGGCAGAACCATCGTCGATTACAGGGGCCTAGATCTGGAGAATTGCACAGCATTCAGCACTGGCTTCATGCGGCTGTGCATCGTCTGAATGGAGCTGCTCTCAAAGCAGACTCATCACGAAACTGCGTCAGCCACAATTCTCATAGTCAGAGAACATCATCCGCGACATCGACCTCACACGCAAACCGATCAGCCGACATGCGCAAAAGAACACCCAACCTAAAAGCGCCACATCTCACGATACCCGTTCCATGATTCAAGCTTAAACGTGACGCTGCGCCACGAGGTCTCCATTGAGCCCTTACCAAGTACCAAGCCCCATCAAGTTACATCTTGCCCTCAAAAGATTATATTTCGATGGCGGCCTTACGAAGACTTTGAGTTCAGTGCGCAGGCCACGGCGGCTGCACAGAGAAGGAGTCAGGTGCAAGCGTTCGTGTCCCAAGGAGACTGCAAGTCGCATTCGAGGGATCCGTTCTTGAGCAACATCGTGGTTTGTCTCGTAAATCGAAGGATTTTGACGGTGTGTCACGAGTCTGCAAATGGCGAACGTTCAGTTTTGACGCGAAGCACGCCAGTTGCCTTTTGGCTTTGCCTTTGTTTCGAATGTAATGCTTGGATCGCAGATGTTCTGAAGTCTCATCGGCGATCTGGAGAAAAGAGCCAGGCCCTTTCAAGTTTCCTGTGGGACTGGCGGAGAGATGGGATGCGAACACTGACGACTGTCAACAAAGAGACCACAAACGTACTTCACACGTCAATAGTTGTAGAGCGATTGATTGTAGTTTGAATGATTGAGGACTGGTACTAGCCACGACCTAACCAATCAGTTACTCTAAAATAATGCACATAATAGTTCTCTCCCTCGTTCGTTCCAATCCTGACGCGATGGCCGTATATCAAATGGGTATATAACGCTTTGGCCGTAAAAATCATAAAGTCGTAACATATCTGGTCGGTCCGGCCAACTAGTCTCTTTACATAGCAATAGCAATGGCTGACAGTCTACCACTTTGGGTCTGCCCATGCTCGTAAAGTGTGACCTCGAACAGTGCCCTGTATCGTGCCGGCAACGAATACCATCCCTTCTTGCGAATATCGTCCTTGGCGAAAAGACGCCAAGATGTATGGTACTCTTGTGGCCGTTTGGTAGAGACGAACGGTTTGCTGATGCAGTGTGGTCGTCTCCAGTCGATAATGTGTCGTCTGAAAATGTTTGGTGTGGTGTTTCCTTAAGAGGTGCGACCCGCACATTCCCTTCCTTCAGCGGTTGGTCAAGCCGACCAGGCCCGCACAACGAGTGCAATACCACAAGTTCAGGCCGTATCTGACCATATTGCTCTTACCAGTCCGAAGATCAATGCCGGTTGTGCGTTGACATCTCGAACATCTGGCGAGCTCAGGCGGAGATGACATGCCGAAATCTATGGCAAAGCGGGACTCGCTATCCGAGCTGCTCGAGTATGAGGTCGAGTCGTCGCTAGTGACATGTAGCACGTTCTGAACGGGTACTGGTCGAGGCCTGCTCGGGTAGTGACACTGGGCGGGCGATGTCTGTGTAGACATAATCCCGAATGAGGTCGGAAGATACGGTCGTGCTGGTTGTGCTCTGTATGCTAGCGATGGTTGGTCCGAACAAGTTTGGGATCTCTCGTCGTGGTTATGTTCTGGCGAGCAGCACAGTGTCTCGGCCGAGAAGGACGTGTGGCGCGTATGTGTCGGGGATGTGTAGTCAAAGTATCCGATACCGTGTGGTAAGTGGATCGACGGTACGGTCAACATGTGTTGATTGTCGATGCTGGGACTGAGGAATGTGCGAGTAGTCAAAGGTGTCGACGTATTCGTCGATCAGTGTGAGATAACCGGGGGTTCATGGCAAACGTGGGCATGAAAGAGGTGGATCGGGAGCGGAGCCTGTCATATACGCATCGCCAGAGGTAACGAAGCCGCTCGAGCCTGCTAGGCAGAACGATAGAATGGGTGCCCAAGCAAAGCCGGTGCTGCCGTCTTTCTTGCTAGCTCTCGGACTCTTGGTTAGAGTTTGACCTCAGCCACGCGGACTTGACTGCGCGAGATCGTGAATCGATGGACAGAAGGCCTGTCAAGCCACACCGCAGCTGTCTCCAGGCGCATTGGAGAATGAAAAGGTCATACTGCATGGATGCCTGCCTGGTGTCCGGCAAAGTCTTGGACTGGTCACTTCCCTAGCCACAGTGATCGGCACTAACTTTCACGAATACGATCGCTTCCGTTCATCGTTCAAATGCTCTAGCAGCTAGCTGGTCCTCGTATATGTCCAAGCGACTTCGCAGCTCCAGAGGCTAAATTTATTTCGCGTCTTTTCTCTCTCTGAACGTCATGCAAATCCGCAATAGCCGGCAATGGCAATGCGACACTACCTTGTGTGGCTGTTCATGCCTCTCACGTGAATCTTCTGACGTGGCTGGCTTTCGGGAGATGCGAGAGCTGCAGCTTTCGGGTCAATCAAAGAAGAGAGACAAGCCTGGCTGATACGGCAGCGAAACAAGGGTAGCCTCTCAGCATGCAGTAAGCGAGCGATTCGTACTCTGTTTGACTGGACAAGTCGCCGGAGCAGCGGCGACCTTGCTTCTACCTTGGAACTACATACCTTCCTTGGAAAGTTCTCGTTTCGACACCGGGCCGAGACCAAACTTCGAAGACATACCCGAAGCTTGAGGTAGAATCGGATGGTGGCGAATCATCTCTAACACTGTTAATCGAGTATGCCAGACCCGCTGCACAGAACATCCGCACCACCGAGGAATTACTGGAGCGTGCCAGACACCTTGGTGGCTGTACTCAAAAACAGACAGTAGCACGGTCCGCGCCTCTGTAATGTTCTGGACCGTCATCCACGACGGCACTTTGCTGTGCAAACGCTCGACCACTGTCACTGATATATCGAAATTGTGCTTGCTGAGTGGGCCCACATATGTAAGCACAGTATCAGGTATGGTACAACTGGCATGCAGGAGAGAGCTCTAGGTGGCGAATCCAGAGACACAGATGGCTTGCATCACTCTAAATGCATGCTGCCCTCTGGCAACGCCACAGCGATCGCGGATAACCCCAGTGAGCCTTGGCCGGAGCCAGACGGTCGAGCTACCACACTTCAGTGCCACAATTGACAGAAAGGGGGCTAGGAGCCATCTGTTCCATCAGCACTCGTACCTCTGTCGATTCGCTCATTCGTCAACTCAGACGGCATCCAACTGCAGTCTTAGTGGAATCGCAGCCTCTTGAGTCTAGACATCCTTGGGCCCGCATGACTAAGCGATAATCTACTAGCACCTAAGCGCCACCAACCGGCCTAGCCGGCCGTTTCGTGTCTGGACCGCTCTCTGTATGTTTTGTCGCTGACCTCCTGCGTCATTCTTATTGACGATGTTGAGATGCACCTGTAGCCGGCATTATGCTCTGGTTGTTTCGCCGTGGACTGAAGCCCGGATGCGCCGTCTGTCGAGGCTGCACGTCTAGATGAAAAGTCAATCATGATCCTCAGACTGGACCAACTGGATGGGCCGTCAGGCTTCTCATCCGTGACTATGGCGGAAGATTGTACCATGTAGGGCCTGGGTCCATACCAGCAGCTCACGACATCTCAAGACCTGGGGCCTCGATCGTAGGCAATTCATTACCTCTGCAAGACACTATCAGTACTCGCACCAAACGGTAAGTTTCGATCTGCCGAATCGCGAACTTCGTGAGTTGAAAGACCGGCCAAGTCTGCACTACCATGGTTTGCCCTATGTATCGATGTTTGAGACTGTGGCGCTAGAAGCACATATTGCCACATCATTTGTGCTAGAAACAATCGATGGCCATTCACGAAGCTCAAACGTTCTCACTGATGATCTGAGGGAATATGAGCAGGATACATGCTTGTACAGCAAGACACTAACTGCTTCGGCCTATTTCAATAATCAGTGGGTATCTCACAGGCTAGACTCCCAAAACCGACACCCGCTTCCATCTATCCCATCCCAATCAAAAGACATTCGATGCTAAGCCCCGTACTACAAACTCCATCGCGCATATGTACAACCCTCAAAGACATCGATCTCAATACAACGACTCGCCCTCATCCTCAACAACATCAAAGCCCGCCACCTCCTCCATCATAGCACTCCCTCCCCTCCTCGCCGAGGGCCGAGAATGAACCCGGATCTCTTGCCTGCCGTCCTCCGTAGACCTGTGGACAGTGAGTCGACTCTCAATCATGCCTGCCACTATCGCCGCATCGACATCATCGTCCTCATAGTCCTGCTGAGCTCGAGGAGAGGAAGAGGTGTCGTTGCGAGCATGCTCGTTCAGCTTGACGCTAGTCGGTAAAGCTTCACCAAACATCCACGGCTCATCGTGTTCAGCAAAGCCAGTCCCTTTTGTCTTGAAAGCGAACATAGCCTGTTCATTAAGTTGGCCTTGCAGGTCTGCGGCGCTGCCGTATGTACTGTCCTCGTATGCGAAGATGCTGACACGATTGTCAATGTGGAAAGGACAGTATGGCGGGTTAGTCTCGACTTCATTCAAGCTCGTGGTCGGCAGAGACGTTGGGACGCTACTCGCACGCTTGTGTGTCTTGTCTTCCTCGTTGGAGTTGAGACGGAGACTCCAGAAGCCGTGCGGACCAGCTTTGGCACAATTAGCATTTGCCTTGTTCAGGGCACCGTCCCTAATGGTGCTGATGCGTGGGAGTGGAAAGTCGCGGCTCTTCTTGTCCTTTTTGAGTCCCGACACCATTGCATCTCCTTTCTGCCTCATGACACGCTGCACAGGGTGCAGATGGACGGTACCGCCAGCAACCACAGCGAGATTAGAGCCGCTCTGCTTCTGTACCCATTGGATACTCCCTGCCTTCACCGTACCTTCCTGCAAAGCTTTCGGTCGGACCTTGTTGTCTTCAGCGTGCCACATGTCGCCCACACCACTTCGTGCAGCACTGTAGCCATCGCGCAAACCTTTCGCCACTACCCTTTGTCCTGCTGTGCGTGCTGCTGCTGCAGTCTCGCGAAAGCCAGCGAAAGAGGTTGGTAGAGCGTATTGTGTCTTGACTGCGTTCACGCCCGTGCTCACGGTCCTTGACATAGCTCGCAGGCCACCAAAGAAGCCATTGCTGGGTGGCGAGAAGCCTTGCGAGAGGCTGACAGTGGCTTCTGCCTTCTCTGGGGCCGGCGCTGCAATTGTACTTGCACGGTTGCGCTTTCGTGGAGCGGTGACAGGCGTCTCGTGCAAGTGAATTGTACCGTGAGTCGTGAGTAGAGCTAACCAATCGCCATCTCGTGTCCATACGCTGTCTGCGATCACAGAGGGGCTGCTGCGAGCGATCCGTCGCATTAGCTTCACATGGGGTGCATGCTCGACTTCGCCAGGCTTCACGCTGTCCTTCTTCGTACTCCCGTGCGCAGCGTTGGCAAGATTCCAGATACTTGTGACTTCACCTTTGCGGTTGCTTGTGAGTAGCCGTAGGCCATCGGGCGGGAAGCTCAAATAATTGCATCCTTCCACTAACGCGAACGTGGCCAAAGGCGCGGGTACCTGCTTGAGCCTCTGCTCGTCTGCCTCCAGCAATCTTTGCAGATCAATAATAGATACAATCGCAGGCTCTTTAGCAAGTCGTCTAGGGTCGTCGCTCGGTCCGTTCGTAGGCGGAAACATACTCGCAGGATCGGCACTTGGTTTTTGCGTGCTGGAAGGTGGAGAGGGATGCGTGAGCTCCTTCCAGCCTTGTATGCCCATCTCGTAGCCTTTCTGTGACGCTTTCACAAGTCCCTGAGCAGCTGTGCGAGACAGCCAGTCTAACGTGCTCTCGATGTCAACACCAGCGACTTCACACGTAAGCAATGGCTGTGATGGTGCAACGTGCGTGCCTAGACCGTGAGGCTGTGGTCCTTCGTCCGCGACCAGTGGCGTGCCTTGAATGGACATACCGGGCGTGGTATAAGGTGGCACGATGGCAAGCCAGCGAGCACTCAACGTCATCAGCGGCACGCAAGGAGGTGTATTTGTGGTGTTCACGCTACTGCCATCAACTGCTGTAGATGGTCGAGAAGTATCAAGTCTCCGCTGTATCGCTGTCCAGTACTTGCCAATGCATCGAAAGTTCATCCCGTTGGTCTCATCGCTCGTAGCGGCTGAGAAGACGAAGACCTCGCCACTTCTCCCAGAAGAGATTGTTATAAAGCTGCCTGCTGCGTTCAAGCTGAGCTCGCCAACTGGCTTGGGTGGTAAGGCAAGATGTCCCATGACTGGCTGATCTTTCCGGACTGTGGTACTCTGATACAGCGTCGTAATTTGCTCGTGCGTATGTAATGAATAGACCTCCACCACTGTCTGGTAGAGGTTGCCGTCCTTGACATCGTCCTCTACAGCTTCCTCGTTATCATCTCTCGCTGGCCCATGGACGATTACTGCCACGAGTGGTCGTAGAACCTGCACCGAGTCGTATACACTCGTATGAGGCAGAACCTTCGCATCAATGACTGCGCCACTCAGCCCCTCGAGTCTTCCGGCAAGCTCCATCCTATCGGGCAGCACCTTGTAAACGTCGAGCGCACCCTCTGAGCCGACTAACAATGCATCTCTTGCTTTCCGTGCGGACGCCGGATCACCAGCTGCTGCAAAGCTGTCAAAACGACAGCAGTAACCATCCGAACCAGCAGGCTGACCAACATGCTCTTGCTTCTGTGCTAAGCCGGCACCCCGGTCCGGTAGACCGAAGAAATGCTGCTGCGGCATATGTGGAAGTGGTGGATCAAGTGCTCGTGGTTCGGGCGATCTTTGCTGTGCGGAATAAGAGTCTCGTCGCGGCATGTATTGTCCAGGCGGGGTGGTCATGCTGTTTGCTCGATAAGCGCCGCGGGCTGAGTAATAATGTGGCGGTCTCGCAACGCTTGCTGGCCGGTAAGCTGATGACGCGGGAGGTATGGCCGGGATCGCTGCTGCTGGCCGCGGTGAAGAGAGAAGGACTGGCCGGGCTGTTGGTGAACGAATGGGCGCAGGTGGTGGACCTGGTGAAGGAGGGCAGATTGGTTCGACTTGCGCGATGTCTGGAGTTTCGTCGTCCAAGGCAAGCTCTTCCAAACCTCCGTACTGCTCTTCCAGTAGTTCGGGGCCGGGGAAGACTGGTGGAGGAGAAGGCGCTTCTCGAGGAGGTGCGGATGCGACTCGTGGAGGAGTATCGAGTTGCACGCCATAATTATCTGGCGGCGAAGGGCTCACCGAGCTCGCAAATGCCATAGGCTCTTCATCCTCGATATTTGCTCTCGTCTTCGCAACATTGCTGCTGCCTTTCTTCTTCTTGCTCTTCTTTTCTTTCTTGGCAGCTACGGGAGCTGCTGAAGTTGGTGCCTCGCTCAGAACCTGCTCGTCGTCGATGTCGAGGAGGTTGTCGTTCGTGGAGGGCATTCAGACAGGTCGTGCAAGCTGCGGTCGATGCGGTATCACTCTTGGACGAGAAGCACGCTCAGTGGCAGGGCGATCTGGAAGAGGGTGTCCGAACGACTGTTTGCGATTCCAATCAAGCTTCTGGACAAAGAGCACGAGCTTGGCAATGAGTCTTCTTCACCGTCCGGCGGCAGGAGCAAAGACAAGAAACGATGAGAAAGCGACCTGCCGCCTGAGTGATTGAGATGGTTCGGAGGTGCTTGCTATCAACTTGAAGCTCGGAGTTCGTGGTGCGGTTACTCGTTATGTTAGACGCCAGTCAAGGCGTCGATGGTAGTGGTATGTACGGTGAGGATCGTAGGAAGTGTGTATATGTGTGTATGTACTGCTAGGTGCTGTCTACCTACCTGACTGTCCTTGAGAGCTTGCATGAGATGAGATGGCTGCGACCCGCATGAGGGGTCACCTGCAGCCTGCAGGGCCCAAAGCATCGTCCGTGAGACGCGCCAGCCGCACGCGGACGTAAAGCATGATGACGATCATACAATCGGTCACACTCAGATGTAAGCGCCAGTGAGATGAAGAGGTAGTGCTAATGTCTGGACGAGTTAACCACAACAAGGTGGCGGCACTGCTTCACTTTCAACACCTGCTGGCCGTCGCCGAGGCCGACAACCCTACTAAATGGCTGGCTGACTATTGGCGACACCGTACTTCTAGATGGGCAGCTACCCTCATGGTAGTCTTGCACAACGCAGCTATGGAGGATGGCATCGCACTCATCGCGCCGCAGTCTCTGCAGTGACACCGAAACGTCTTTCGCGAGCCTCCTCCGCCGATGAGATGGTCCCCGGAATTCTTCTAGAGTGATTCCCAGAGACGAAAGTGATCGCTTGGCTGATACCGTGGCTTGTTCGGGAAGCGGTCCTCGGACGACCATGATTGTTTTTCGTCACTTCTACCAGCTGTGCCATGAAAGCGGGCATTCAACAGTGCTCTCCGCCTCACCAGACCTCGGAAGGGTCGACCTTGATATTCTCACCATTCGCCCTGACCGTCTTACGCTGCTTGTCTCTCTTCAGCGGCTTCCGCATATCAAAGGCATCACTGCCATCGTTATAGTAATCAGTAATCCTCCGGTAAACAGAATAGCTACCAAACACAATCAGCAAAGTCAACACACAATCCAACAGCCAGTTTAGCACTCACCCCATCTTCCTATACAGTTTGATAGCAGCCTCATTCTCCACTCTGACAAATAAATCCACGAACCAAGCATTGTGCTCATCGCCCGCCTGCTCCAGCGCCTCAGACAACTTCGTGGCATGCCCCAGTCTTCGAGCCGACGGCGCAACAGTCAGACACGTGATATGAGCATGCCAGGGTAAGTAATTCGACCATTTCTTCTGATAAATCTTCAAACCAGGATCATAGGGTTCCACTGGGGCTGGGTAGGGCGAAGCTTCTACTTTGCCTAGGATGTAGGCTTCGATTTGACCAGTCTCGCTTTCGATTACTTTGCAGAGGTTAGGCCATTTGGTGAAGTATTCCAGGTAGAAGGATATGTTATAAGTTTCGGTAAGATGGTCCAGATTGCAGGGGTTGAATTTGAGTAGATCCATCGGAGTCATTGGCCGCACGAGGGACATGGCGAGCTATCTCCAGTCTTCCGGAATAGATATGTAAGTTATCGGCCTTGCATGGGATTATTCCCCTCGCCTCTCGCAAACTTCACCGTAAAGTCTAAGTTTGTTCTCGCAGTTCCATTGATTGTTCACCACTTTATCTCAGGGCTGTCTTATTTGACACTGTGCAAGTAATGAAGGCGTATATATTGTATTCTAAGAGGTTCACGACCATTCACGCAATCCAATACGAGCACAAAAACACTAGCGCCGAACTCAGCGGCTACTCCCGTACAGTAGCGCCTCGTGACTTTCTCGTCGGCAACTTCCCTGCCACGGATCCTTCAAAGTCAGCGCATTGCATGGTATCACGCGAAGGGTTCGTCGCACTGATGATTCCATGAGGTGAGACCTAAAGTGCTTCGGCGCTATAGGATTGGGACGCAATGGAGACGAGTCTTTTGACTAAGCACCTACGCGACGTAATGAGCTTATTTGGGAAAGCAGTACTGTAGGGCGGAGACCAGGTCGTGACTGCTGACTAAATGAGCATGGCGATGAAGATGCATGTAACTCGACCTTCTCCTTCATACCCTTGCTCTTCCTCAAGCTTCAATCATGGCGTCCGCAACACACGGAACTTCATTGCGCGAAGCGCCCCCTTCAGCCGGCACCTCGTTCTTCCTCCTTCTCATTGCCGCACCTTGCCTATATACTCTGACCCACATAATCTACAACCTCTTCTTCCACCCCCTCCGCTCCTACCCAGGTCCACTACTATGGTGCATGACCCGTCTACCAAACGACTGGCACACCTTCCGCGGCGACCTCTTCCAAACCATCGCGCGCTTGCACAATCAATACGGCCCCATCATCCGCGTCTCACCCAATGCACTGAGCTACGCCAACAGCCAAGCCTACTACGATATCCTCGCACACAAGCCTGGTCAGCCGGAATGGCCTAAGGATCCGGCGAAGCAGAATATTCCGCCTAATGGGATCCCGCACATCCTCGGTGCTGATAAGGAGAATCATGCGCGTTATAGGCGATTGTTAGCTCATGCGTTCTCGGAGCAAGGGTTGCAAGAGCAGCAGGGGACGATTCTGCAGTATGTGGATCTTCTTATCGAGCGTCTAGGTGCGAAAGCCGACTCGGGCGAAGTGATCAACATCGTCGAGTGGTTCACCATGACCGTTTTCGACGTCATTGGCGACCTGGCTTGGGGAGCTTCTTTCCAAAGTCTCGAGAACAGCCAGGTCCACGAGTGGATCGGAGCGGTATATGCTAACCTCACCTTCGTCATGATGAGCGGGCCGCTTCGTGCATGGGGTTTGGGTGGCGTGATGCCGCGGATCATGCCCAAGGCGATCCAGGAGGGCAGGGTGAAGAGTTATAGGTATATGAAGGAGAGACTTGATGAGCGACTCAAGGTCCAGACCGCCAGAGGAGACTTCTGGGATCGCGTGTTGATCAAAAGTAAGGATGAGAATGCTGGTGGTGAGGGTATGATGGAAGGTGAGATGCTGAACAATGCTGCCTTTCTTGTCCTGGCTGGATCGGAGACGAGTGCTACTACGCTGAGTGGTGCCGTATACCTCCTGTGTAAGCATCCTAAGGTCATGGGAGGACTGGTCGAGGAAGTAAGGGGCGCCTTTGATTCGCCGTCGAACGTCGATGTCAGGTCCGTCTCTCAGCTCAAATATCTCGATGCGGTCCTCGAGGAGTCAATGAGGATCTACCCGCCTGTTCCGACCCCAAGCTGGCGTATACCGCCGAAAGGAGGTGCCATGGCTTGCGGAAGTTTCGTGCCAGAGGGTGTAGGTTGCTCCCAAAAGTGGTGTCGTTTCAAGTGCTGACATGGACAGGTCTCCGTGAACGTGTCAGTGGTCGCCGCTTGTCGAGAGCCATCATATTGGCACCGACACAACGACTTCCTTCCTGAGCGCTGGCTAGACGATGCACCAGCTGAGTTTGCCAACGATAATCGGGCCGCTTTCCAGCCGTTCAGTGTTGGTACACGGAATGTAAGTCGTCCGCTGTGATATCAGATAGTGTTGCTGATCTTTGGCAGTGTATCGGCCGCAACCTGGCATATGCGGAGATGCGACTAGTGCTTGCCAAGTTGGTGTGGTCGTTTGACCTGCAGCTCGAGGACAAGAAGACGGGAGACTGGTTCGACCAGAAAGGTTGGGGCTTGTGGGATAAGAAGCCTTTATATGTCAGGCTCTTGCGAGCGCATCATTAGAGCCAATGGGCCTGATTTGGATCCCATCGGGCAGTTGGCCCTGTAAGACTCTGACATCGCTCGAGTCGGCGTACATCGACAAGTCGCATTTCAAGTCTCGTCTATTGCAACGCCACTATCGTCGTCGTGCTCATGTGGTTCTTCGAGGTCATCAGTCGTGCTTCCCACCGCCGTCTTGCTCCCCTTCTTCTTCGGCTTCTTCGCACTGACAGCATCATGCTTGTTCTTCCACATGCCACCATAACGATAGAACTTGTGCTCGTCAGTCTTGTCGCCATCGATCACGCCACCGCTGACCTGTTTCCAACATGATCCTGGACAAACAAAGTGCCATTTGCCTGACTCGTCAATCTGACAGCGGACTAGTACGTCTTGTAATGTACTGCAGAGGGTACAGGCTTTGCGATGGTCTCGCTGTTCCGCTCCTTTGGGCATTTTGATAGAGTCGATGAGTGGGTGATGCTTCTTCTTCCCCTTGCTATCACCTTCTCACTGCCATTTGAAGCTCAGTGCTCGGTCTCACCAATATTCCTATGAATCCCTCATTTCCCGGCTCGCCCTGCTCTCGCGAGATGCATATAATCGTCGCCTCAGAAACAATCACTCCCATGTGGCTTCGCCGAGGCCGCATTGCTGTCCCTGCATCTAATCGCGTGGAGCCGCACTATCCCAAAGCGGTTGCGGGCGGGTAGTAGCTGGAAGTTGCTCGAAATGTTTGGAATAGCTGGAGAAGAGCAAAGAGCGGGCTGCAGACACTGCTACAAACACTGCTACAAACATTCTCCTTCGCAACAACATCCCACCACCTCACACAAACCACATCCACCCTTTGATACCCGACCATTGGTCACATCTTGTACATCACAAACACAAACACCACACTGTACGTACAACATTCTGTCGCTGCTGCCTCCATCGGCAAACGGCCATCACTTCAGCCTTGAGCAAACACTGACTCAAAACTGCTCCACAGACACTTTCCCACACCTACTCCATCGCACATACCACCGCGAAGATGTCCGGCGAGACATTCGAGTTCCAGGCGGAGATTTCGCAGCTCCTGTCCCTGATCATCAACACCGTCTACAGCAACAAGGAGATTTTCCTGCGAGAATTGATCTCCAACGCATCTGACGCCCTTGACAAGATCCGCTATGAAGCCCTCTCAGATCCCAGCAAGCTCGACAGCGGCAAGGATCTCCGCATCGACATCGTGCCCGACAAGGATGGCAAGACACTCACCATCACCGACACAGGCATTGGCATGACCAAGGCTGACCTCGTCAACAACCTCGGCACAATCGCCCGCTCAGGCACAAAACAGTTCATGGAGGCTCTCACCGCTGGTGCTGACATCTCCATGATCGGTCAGTTCGGTGTCGGTTTCTACTCCGCCTACCTGGTCGCCGACCGCGTGACCGTCATCTCAAAGCACAACGATGACGAGCAGTACATTTGGGAGTCCGCCGCTGGTGGTACCTTCTCCATCAAGCAGGACACCGAGGGCGAGCAGCTCGGCCGCGGTACCAAGATCATCATGCACCTCAAGGAGGAGCAGACCGACTACATGAACGAGAGCAAGATTAAGGAGGTCGTCAAGAAGCACAGCGAGTTCATCTCGTACCCCATCTACCTTCACGTACTGAAGGAGACCGAGAAGGAGGTGCCTGATGACGATGCCGAAGAGACCACCGAGGAGGGCGACGAGAAGAAGCCCAAGGTTGAGGAGGTTGATGACGAGGAGGAGGAGAAGAAGGAGAAGAAGACCAAGAAGGTCAAGGAGAGCAAGATCGAGGAGGAGGAGCTCAACAAGACCAAGCCCATCTGGACCCGCAACCCATCCGATATCAGCCAGGAGGAGTACGGGGCGTTCTACAAGTCTCTCAGCAACGACTGGGAGGACCATCTCGCCGTCAAGCACTTCTCTGTTGAGGGTCAGCTTGAGTTCCGCGCCATTCTCTTCGTGCCTAAGCGCGCTCCCTTCGACCTTTTCGAGACCAAGAAGACCAAGAACAATATCAAGCTCTACGTTCGTCGTGTCTTTATCACTGACGATGCCACCGACCTCGTGCCCGAGTGGCTCAGCTTCGTCAAGGGTGTGGTCGACTCTGAGGATCTGCCTTTGAACTTGTCCCGTGAGACTCTCCAGCAGAACAAGATCATGAAGGTCATCCGCAAGAACATCGTCAAGAAGACCCTTGAGCTCTTCAACGAGATTGCTGAGGACAAGGAGAACTTCGACAAGTTTTACTCCGCCTTCAGCAAGAACATCAAGCTTGGTATCCACGAGGACAGCCAGAACCGTCAATCCCTCGCCAAGCTCCTCCGCTACAACTCGACCAAGACTGGTGGTGAGGAGACTGCCTCGCTCGCCGACTACATCACCCGCATGCCCGAGCACCAGAAGAATATGTACTACATCACCGGCGAGTCGATCAAGGCTGTCGAGAAGTCGCCCTTCCTCGACGCCCTCAAGGCCAAGAACTTCGAGGTTCTATTCCTTGTTGACCCTATCGATGAGTACGCTTTCACTCAGCTCAAGGAATTCGACGGCAAGAAACTGGTCGATATCACCAAGGACTTCGAGCTTGAGGAGACTGAGGATGAGAAGAAGACGCGTGAGGAAGAGGAGAAGGAGTACGAGTCCCTTGCCAAGTCGCTGAAGAACGTCCTTGGCGACAAGGTCGAGAAGGTCGTTGTGAGCCACAAGCTCGTTGGCGCTCCTTGCGCTATCCGTACTGGCCAGTTCGGCTGGTCCGCCAACATGGAGCGTATAATGAAGGCACAGGCTCTCCGTGATACTTCCATGTCGAGCTACATGAGCAGCAAGAAGACCTTTGAGATCTCGCCGCAGAGTTCGATTATCAAGGAATTGAAGAAGAAGGTTGAGAGTGATGGTGAGAGCGACCGTACCGTCAAGAGCATCACCACTCTGCTCTACGAGACCTCGCTGCTCGTCTCTGGATTCACGATTGAGGAGCCCGCTGCGTATGCTGAGCGCATCCACAAGCTTGTTAGCTTGGGCCTGAACGTGGATGAGGAGGTTGAGACTAGCGAGGAGGCCGAGGCTGCTGATGCTGCGCCAGAGGGTGACAAGGCGACGGGTGAGAGCGCTATGGAGGAGGTTGACTAGATGGGTCGGCTTCTTCTGAAAGGTGTCTCGCGTTGCATGATGGGTTGACGAGCATAGGCGTTCTCGCGGGAATGAGGGCGTGAGATGCGCTTCTTCATGCTGCTATGGTTATGTGCGCATGTAACTCTAGACGTCGATAGGTGATTCAAAGTCTGCATGAACGATTCCCTCACATGTACGATTCCCTTACATGTTTGCTGATCTGATCCTGAACACTCTCGTTAGCATGCCACGAAGCCGCAAGCCCCGAGCCAGACAGAGAATGTGTCTTGATCCCTCGCGAACCATGCGGCAGGTATCCTTGCTGCACTCATCTTGGCCATGCGATCAACAGCCGTTACGTCGAGTGAACCGTCAAGATTGTTGCTGCTCTCCTACCCGTCCAAGATAGATCCCGCTGTCGACACCTTGCCCGCTTATCCAAACCCTAACCCTAAGCTCCACGACGGACAATCTGGACACGCCGACGACGTGCGAGCGAGGTATCGTCATGATACCCATGTCTTTGATCATCAATCTACCTGGCCGTAGTTGTTGTGAGGTCGTGCTCAACTGGCAGGCGGCCAGATATCTCTCACATCATGCTCGCTGTTGAGGTGTTCACCAGCTCATGTGGGTCGATTGCGTCCAATACTCAGACGCAGTGTTTGGCTACATCGCCCGCCTTGAGATGACCTACAGCAGAGGCTATGATGCTTTGACTCATGAGTACCAGATAGGTTATTTCCATGACGGCAGCGAAGGTGATGAGTGCGAGAAAGCTTCCATTACCATGTGTATCAAAAATGCCAACATGCTAATTCTACATTAATGTCATACCGTCAATTTGTCTCCCCACCTCGGACAAACGTATCTCACAATACCGACTCCCTCCATGGTACCTCCATCCCCTTGAAACGAAGACTAACGCGTGGTTGTGACGTACACGGGCGATGGAGTCATGGTCATAGTTATCGTAGACGGCGCTGGACAGGTCGAAATCGTGGAGGACGAGAGACTGGAGCTTGAAATTGTAGTTGTCGTTGTCGTTGTGGTCGTGAGTTGTGGTGAAGAAGAAGATGATGAAGAAGAAGAAGAAGAAGAAGAAGAGGTTGTAGTAGTCGTTGTTGTCGTCAATGGTTGTGGCGAAGAAGAAGAGGATGTTGTTGTAGTAGTTGTTGTGAATGGCGAAGGAGAAGAAGGAGGTGATGAAGAAGAGGACGTAGTTGTAGTAGTCGTTGTAGTCGTAGTGAATGGCGAAGAAGTAGACAACGAGGACGAAGAACTTGAGGACGAAGAGGTCGTTGTAGTTGTGGTAGTAGTTGTTGTAAATGGTGATGATGAGCTGGTGGTACTGGTGCTGGAAAACGAAGGAGTGTACGAGGTTGTGATCTGGTAGGTTGACGTGACACCATTCTGAACCACCGCCCTCTTCTGCATCTGAGCGAACTGCATGTTGGGCGAAGGTTGGCCACTACCCTGAACCTCGCTGTAGTAAAGCGAACATTGACCCGTTTGGGTATTGTAACCAGCGCCCTCACACTGCGGGTCAGCTGAACAGTAGCCAGCACATTGGTTCAAGCTGCTGGCCTGCATTGTGTTGCCTACGCCTCCGGAGTACGTTTGGTTGCAATTCATCTGATAGACGCTGCCCGAACTCGGGTCAGTGTAGCTGTACGTCTGCCCAGATGCCGTACACGAAGGAGCTGCGGAAGTGGTTGAGGTGCTTGATGTGGATGTGGTCGAAACTGTGCTGGAGCTCGAGAGAGATGGTGAAGATGTCATGCTGGACGATGAACTCATGCTCGAGGTGGATATGATACTGGATGATGAGCTCATGCTGGAGGACGTCATGCTCGGCGAGGACGTACTCGATGGCGAAGCGGAAGAGGACGAGGACGAGATCATACTGCTAGATGTCGACGAGCTTGGCGAATTGCTCGCTGTGGAAACGATCGTGCTGTAAGCGGTACTGACAAATGTTGTCGTTGCGTACGATACGGTCGTCTGGGTCACAGTTGCGCCTAGGAACAATTAGTATCACAAAGAGCAGAGGCTTCGAAGAATGGGCTTACCAGATGCTGTAGTCACATAAGTGCTTGTGACTGGCACCGTCGTTACAACAGTTGTGGCGACAGTGCTGACAATCGTAGACCCGGGCTGTGTAGTTGTGGCCGTGGCGGTAATTGTTGAACCTAGATGGCTGTCAATTGACTGCTGGTTCTGGTGACTCATCTCGTGACTTACCAGGCGCCGTAGTAGTAACCTGCTGCGTACTGACGACCGTAGATCCTGTGAGGGCTGTTAGTGCTAATACTTAGCTGCTGGCCTTCAAAATCTAGCTTACCGGGCTGCGTAGTCACATATGTACTGACAGCTGTAGTCGTAGCATACGAGACTGTCGTTTGTGTAACTGTACTGCCAGGTGCGGTCGAGACGGTGGTGTACTATAGTCTGTCAGCAGGGCCACTGTGATACTGAAATCCGACTTACCGTAACGGGGTAGCTTGACAGGTATGTTGATACGACCGTGGACCCTTGACATTGAAGGTTAGCCTGTCGTAGATTTCAGACTCGACGAACGAATTACCTGGCTGCGTTGTTGTAGCAGTAACAGTCGATCCTAACACTGTGTTAGCACCATTCAGCCTCATCGTTGCATCATATCGGCTTACCAGGTTGCGTTGTCACATATGTGCTGATGTATGTAGAAACAGCGGTCGTAACTGTTGTTTGGGTAACTGTACTTCCAGGGGCTGTGGAGACGGTAGTATACTGTGATGCTGGTCAATTACATATTTCTACATCCACCTGGAGATTGCTTACAGTGATTGGGTAGCTTGAAAGGTATGTGCTGGTCACAATGACGCTGGAAATGGCAGTAGAGACGGCCGTAGTCGTTGCTGTGACTGTTGCTGTCGCTGTACTGACAATCGTAGATCCTATAAGGGCTGTCAGTGCTGATTCTTGTGTGCTCCTCCTTTGTAAGCAGCTTACCAGGCGCCGTGGTCGTTCCCGTCACTGTTGCTGTTGCTGTGCTAACAGCGGTGGTCACATAAGTAGAAACGGCAGTCGAAACAGCTGTTGTTGTGACTGGATATGTGGAAACGATCGTTGAGTAAAGCGTAGAGACGACTGTAGATCCAGGAGCAGTTGACACGATCGTACTAATATAGGTGGTGACAGCAGTTGAAACAGCAGTGGTTGTAACGCCATAGCTCGAGACTGTAGTATAAGTTTGAGTGACTGTGCCAGCACCCGAACCGCTGGCGCTACCCGATGATGACGTTGAGCTCGTAGACGTAGGAGACGAAGTACTGGTCGAGCCGGTTCCACTTGACGAGGATGTTGACGTGCTACCCGTAGAAGAAGATGTACTCGTCGAAGTGCTACTCGAAGAAGGAGTACTAGTCGAACTGCTACTCGTGGCCGAAGAAATGGTTGAGGTAACGACGACGGACTGCAGTCTTGTTAGACTCTGCTACAAATCTCCAAACGCAACAAGAAGACGTACTGTAGTAGTTGTTGTGGGTACGGAGCTCGTGACCGTGATGGTCTATTGATGGTCAGTATCTTCAACAGGGCCCCGATGGCCAAGCCAAGGCAGGTTGCTTTATCTCATGTTAGAAGGAAAGGTGACATACCGTTGTGCTGATTGTGGTTGACGTAGGTAGCGGGTTGATTGTGCTCGAGGTAGATGATGTGCTGCTTGTGCTTGAGGTAGGTATTGTGCTAGTAACGGTGACGGACTAGATCAAATTAGAATCCGATCCAATGCATATGTGCATTTCCATAAGTACTCACAAGCGTAGTGGTGGTTGACCGGGAGCTCGTGGCGGTGGTCTATGCGAGGTTAGCCAGGTACTTGGTACGACCTGCGGGATATCTTACAGTAGTTGTGATGACAGTTGTCGAAGTCATCTGTGGCGAGCTTGTCTGCCTGGTGTTAGCATCTCCCCAACATCCCACACCACGCCTGCCATGATCGATATCCCCGAAGCATATTGGAGGCGAGATGAGGCCCAGAGAAGCACTCACACTTGTGCTGCTACTACTTGTGGTCGTAGTAGTCGTAGTTCTGAGACACGTCAGCGCCCTGAGCAACCATCATTCAGGACCATGTTCAGCTTACGTGGTAGGAGGAGCAATGGTCGCAATAGCAAGCATTGAGCTTGACACGACGGAAACCTGACTCATGACAATAGCGCCCTTGTTGTTGCATTGTCCATTGCCCTGGGTGGTCGACTGTTCGGCTCCACCATAGCCGTAGTCGATGCCATTACAAGTTGCACCAGAAGCCGTGTCACAGGTAGCGAAGCAACCGCCAGCGTTGGGACCTTGGGGTTGATGTCAGTGTAGTCCAACTCCACTACAGGTGTGAGAATACTGACCTCCCCGAACGTTACTACTGGGTCCAATGTTTGATCCACCATCGAACCCGCAGAGGACGTAGTAGGTATGTGCGTATGCATCATTGTAGTATGATCCGTTGTACGATGGGCAGGGGAACTGGACGGTGTTCTGTTGGATCAGATAAGCTGAGCCGTAGTTGGGATAGGATCCAGCCACGACGCTATAGGAGTTCGTCGACGATTGGGCCAAAAGCGAGCCTTGAGTGCCACCATAGTAGTTGCTGGGAGGGTCGCATCAGCACTGTTTGCAGTATCACGTGTATCCAGGAAACCTACAAGCATACTCCTGTCCCCGTGCTACCACTTGTGGTGGTGCCGTAGAATGTGAAAGCAATACAGTTGACACGTTGTGCGCAGCCATTAAAGCAGGCTTGCATACCAATACCAGTGGTCGTTTCGTAGTAAGGGCTGGGATCGTAGTAGTTGGACCCGGAGAAACCTTGTCCACAAGACACTTCCCAGAAGTTTCCAAACACATCCTCGAAAACACCACCGTTGGCGTTGCTCCCGCCTGAGCTACATGCACCATTGGGGATCGACCAGGCCGTTGTGGGTGTGAAAGTGGGTGCGGCCGACAATGTGGTGCTGGACTGCGCAGAGGCCAAGGTCACCCATAGCCCAGCCACAAAGGCCAGAAGACCGAAGCGCCTCATACTCTTGAATACTCTCTTGCTGCTGCTCTGCTAGTATGTGTATGTTCTGAAACCGAACAATTGAAGCCGGAGATTAGATGCAGTATAGCGAGTGCCTTCAATGTTCGGTTTGATATTCGTATGTATGCGCAGAGGTCTCAGGTGAGATGATAGCGAATGTGTACAGAAGCATGTGGCGCGCAAATGTGTTGCCAAGAGACAATAATCATACTGCGAAAGATGCTTGCCAATTGGCAAGGGGACGTCTTGTTGACACCGCGTTGTGCTGGAATGCAGTTCATCAGTCGAGTCGATTGGAATGTACTTCTAGACGCCATTTGCGCTGGTAGACAGGTCCGCTACACATGGAGGTATCATGCTGGTGCTTGGATAGCATAGCTATGTGATACAATTAGCTGATAGTGCCAATTCAATTAGTGAGGAGTCGAGGTTGCATGCATATACCGATAGGGGCGGTCGTAGAATACTACCATACAATTAATTCATTTCTGGCATGGGATAAGCCGAGATTGGGCGCTAGTCACGTGTAGGAACAATACTCCCCGTCCAGAGCAATGGCAAGCCTCGCCCTGGGGTCCACAGAAGGGCAGCTCAATTTTGGGAGGGCCGTCATACGCATGTGCAGGTTACTTTCCTTCCGCGTCCGAGTACTATCCACCCTCCTCCCTTCATCCGACTGCTCCTTGAACGTCAAGTCGGGAAACTCGGCAGGCATGATACGTCTCGGCTCCGACCCAGGCACAAGAGCATACTTCCTGAAATCTGTCACTCGCGTAGGAAGTCCTCGTCCAGAACACAGCGGCCATTGATACTCCCAGGGCCTACTTTGACGATAGCCAGGAGAGCGTCAGAGAATATGGTGGGTCTCCGAAGCTCGCTGCGAGCTGTATTTGGGCCTTGGGTTGCTGCTGAGTCAACGACCTGACCACAATCAGTCAGTAAACCAAACTACACAGCCTAGAGCCTGCACACACTCGTACCACCCTCCAGGATTAACCCTCTACATCAATTGAAATCTCTTCGTTGGAGTCTGTTCCACGCTCGGCCACCATATAGCTCCAGAATTGTAGACGAGCAGGTCCAGTCGTCTATGTTTCTGCATGGCTGGTTTGACATGACCATATCTTGGATGTTGTCATAGTCTCGGGGATCCAGTGCCAAAGCCAGAGCCACGCCGTCTGCTTCTGTAATCTCACGGCCGACAGTAGTGATGGTGCTCTTCTGACGATCGGGATCCGGTGGGAATGGTGTACACTTGCTGGCGTCCGAGATGATCTTCGCTGCAACGACGACTGTGACCTCTATCAGCTTGAATCGTAGCTTAATCTCCAAGTGCACACCCCCTTGAATCCATTCTTAGCGACATCAAAGGCCACCCGCCGTCCAATACCACGCGATGCGCCAACGACAATCATGACCTGTTCTTCAGCAATCATTGGAGCAAGTGAGAAAGATGAGAGAGATATCGCGCAAACCTGTGTCGTGTATCTACATGCCGTCTATATCGTCTTGAACGTCCGTCATTTCATCTCTATCGTGTATCGTGAGCTTACCATTCACTTCTTGGTCTCCGAGGTGCCGAAGCAGATGCTCTGGTGCTCGAAAATCTCATCAGTGAAACCGCCTCACTCGCATCTTTGAGGCCTGTGCACTGAAACATATATCTCGAATGGGACCGGCCTATTTGTGAACATGCCAGTTCCGGAGCAGAGAGCCGGAAGATAGCATGAGGTTGGCAGAGTAAAGTTCGTCTCGGTCGTCCAGTCGTCTGATGCCTTCCCTCCGATCAATCCACATCATCGTCACCATCCTGACCACCAGCAGCACCTTCCTTCTCCCCAGGATCATCACTCTCACCACTGACATCGTCCTTCGGCACCAACGTGAACACCAGTACCATGAGCGGCTGATCCGTCTTCCGGTTCTTCATAACATATCTAAGCGAATGTGAGCTTGCACACAAGTCAGAACCACAACATCGCCAGTCCAGAAAGCAAAGCAAGGTAACAAGTTCAAAGCAGTAGCAGGGGAGGGATGCTTGACTTACCGAAGCGGCTGCCCATCCCAGTAGCTAATTATTGGAATAGTGATCCCAGGGATGACCGCAAACCCAGGCAACCTCAGAGCGAAATCATTGAAATCCAAATAAGGATTGAAGAAATCGTTCTCGTAACTCCTTCCCTTCTCAAATTTGAAGTCCTTCAGATGCTGTTCCGTCAAAAAGAACTTCTTCCTCGCCGCCCCATCATCCGGGATCTTAAACTCATGCCTGTAGTCCTCTCCATCTCCATCGCCACCTTCGTGTAATATCTGTGGTGAGTCCGATGATGTGTTGGCTCGCTCTTCTTCCAGCTTCTCTTGTGCTTTATCGTCTTTTGGTCCCACGCGCCAAACGTTCATAGAACTCAGTAGCGGCCCGTAAAGGTATGGTTCATCCGCATGCACATCAGCGTATAAGCCCGGATCTATGAACCATTTCACGATGTTGAATGCCTGTTGGAAGCCAGGAGGTAGTTTGTCTCTTATCGGGTGATCGAAGTCGTTTCCAAATACCAAGTCATTCCCGTTCATATCCTCCTTTGGTGTGAAGCTGAATTGAACACTGTAGAGATCATGTTGATGTGGTGGTTGGGAGAAGTAGGGGCTTGTCTTTTGAGTTGAGAGCTTGCCAGTGGCATCGAGACCACGGAAATTTTGGATGCGGACGGTGAGGTTTGCAGTCAGGTGGTTGGATATGATTCGAGTGTGTTCCTCGCTATTGATCGAGATCGGTTTTTGATTTTCGTAGTCGGGACCAGCCGTGACCTTGAGCATGTATTTGTCGGCCATAGTCGTGGTCACTTGTCAGCTGTTCGGACGATCAGCTTGTAAGTGTAAGTGCGGGTGTGTAGGGCGATGGTATGGCAAGTGAAAGGGAAGGCGCGACTTTTTCGCGACCCGCTGCGTCATCGCTGGAAGGAGAAGGAAGGCACATGTTCATATGATCTACCATACATATAAATATATCATGACGATGCACTGCAACCACAAGTCATCTGAAGGATAAAAACACGTACATATAAGGCACCCCATTGCTATATGTACTGTGCTATACTAAGCCAAGCCAAGCTCAACCACCCAATGCCTTGCCCGCCCAGATAGAAACGATGCGCATATAAGGCGTCCCATCGCACAATCTATGCGCCTCGAAGCGCCGATACCGCTATGCAGGTTCAATACCACCCTTCTGCATGCTGTTGTACAGAATCGTTACTCTACACACACCCCATCTAAGCCTTAGGATCTGCCGACGCCGCCCCGACAGAGTTGCGCAACGGCGCCATCCAGCTGCTAGTCCTGTTGGCCGCTTCGGCAGACAACTTCGGCCTGCCGAAACCGATATCGAGGTCGAGAATGATTTTCAGGGCATTTCTGCTGCGAAGGTAGGGTAGAGGTGCTTTCGCTTCTTGTAGACCAGTCGCCGGCTCGATGCTGCCTCGTGGTCCGAGCTCCTTCTCTGCAGGATGTTCACCAGGTAGTGGAAGCAGACCTTGAAGGACTTCGTAGCCCGCAAGAGTGAACCCGAACTGTGGCGAGGATCTCAGGATACGTGCTGGGCCGCCCTTGAAAAAAGCTTTGGGTCCCTCTTCTTTCATGATCTGGCGAGCTGCGTCACGGATACCAGTGTATGATACCTCGCCCTTTCGTGCCTCCACTTGTAGACGGGTCTTGATGACATCGCAAGGTGTGGTGAGGTAGGCAGCTGGCATACCAGCAATAGCACCTGCTGTGAGAAGTTGTAGAATTCCGAGCTTCTTCGTTGGCGACTCGCCGAAGTAGTCGCGCTTTAGGTGAGCATAGGTTGGGAAGTAGATTGCAGAGAAAGGAGCGTCGCGAAGCATACAAGCCATGGCTCCCTTGTACAATCCGACCAGACCAAGATGGCGCACGATCCACATCGCGGAACGCTTGGTAATCGTTTCGCCTTCTCGTGCTGCTGCTTTCATAGCCTCGCCTTGGACTTGTAGTCTAATCTTGACGATCTCGAGCGGGTTCGTGAAGACGACTTGACATGTTCCAGCCGTCGCACCAGCCAGGATCTCGGCTGACAATGGGATATTGCCAGTCTTGATGTCAGTGTATTTGCCTCTTACCAGGTCGTTGATAGTAAGCTTGATAGCCTTCTCAGGCGCCACACCAACTAGTTGCGGCAGCACACCAGAGTACAGACCTCGGAAGCCTTCGTTGCGGATGACTTTCGTGAAGCAGTCCCAGCTGTTCTTATACAGCATTTGACCGACACGAGCGCCACGCTGGTTTTGCATTCGAGTCTTGACCAAGTCGATAGGGTAGACCATGAAAGCACCGAAAGCACCTGCTATCGCACCCAAACCGAAGTGATGCGCCGAGACGAGGATGTCATGAGCAAGCGTTTTCGATGATGCGACCGCCTTCTCAGCAGTACCAGTAATACCCTTCTGCCCAATGTCTGCTCCAGTGTGATGCCAGCTCGCATCCAGAACACGTGCGAAGTCTGTGATGCCCAGTCTGCCAGATGGTTGATCCAGAGACGCAAAGTGGAACAGAATATCCACTTCCATGGGTGTGAAAAGCGTAAATCGTGTAATCCTTGCCGCCTCATTCAAGAAATCCACGCGTGTAATCTTGCCATCGTCTGACTTGCCAATCGCATTACGAATGACGAGCTCGACCAGATCCATCTCCTTAATAACGTTCTGGAAAGCGCGTACGTTTGCGTAGCTGATCTTCGAGCCTGGGCTGATGTTGCATAGGGTGGGTAGGTTTTCTAGGAGGTGGTCCGAGAGTTTGTGTGATGCCGTCTCTTGAATGATGCGCTGGAAGTTCTCTGGCTCAATATAACCATCTCCGTTGCTGTCGAAGTGAAGGAAAGCTTGCCGCACGCGCTCGCCTTGTAGACCACGCAGTAGTTGTGCGAATTGTGGGTATGTCATCGAGTGCCTGTGCTTCTTACCGCCTAGGTACAGCGTCGCCCAGTCGCTGTCCCAGTTGAAGGGTATACTGTCGCTCTTCTTATTGCGCGCATAGCTCTCCTTGAAGCTGTTGAAGTCCACCTGACCTGTCGATGGATCGGAGAAGAGGCGGAAAGCGATCTCATACTCGGCGTCCGGTTTGGCGAGGAGGTTGTTGAAGACGGTCCAATCTTGCAGACTGATGCGCCCTTCCCGCCTCCGGTCGGCAATGTTGAAGAGGATCGAGTACTGTTCGCGCTTGATCTTGTGCTGTTGGATGATGTGAGTGAATGAATGCCGGTGGTTAGCGAGGACCAATACGTACGTAGTCTTCTCCTTCTGGCGCAATGGCATCCACGAAATGCTTCTCACCCATATACCACTCATCTGACTCTTCATCCTTCACGGCATTCTGCATGAACTCGCCCCTCATCGTCGCCGACAACCCCGGCTCATCCTCCGTCCCCACCAGCGTCTCCTTGACCGATTCCACCACTGTTGCCATGATGCCTTGCCTGTGAAACTGCAATGCTGCGGTACTTACACACCTAAAGTCATTCGCGTCCCACAATTATTGATACTGTTCTCCGGGGATAACTCGCGTGTCGCGCCGTTGCGTGCACTGACGGATTAATGAGCAATGCGGCTCCACACTGGCGCGAAGTGTTGCGGAGATGGCGGAGATGAGGTTAGAGGTGAGTGAATGTATGTCAAGTGAGTGTGGGTCGTTACATTTACAGGGGCACCATCGACGGCATTGGGAGGTTTCTCAATCTCAACATCGAAAGAGAGAGTTTTGGGTTGACGAAAGCTCGAAAACTATTACGCTAGCTTCGGGAGTGCCTTGCCGAACCCGACGGTCGGTAATGGTGGCTCGAGACGAGGCAGAGCAACTATCATATTACATGTAGGTACGATGCCAGCCTCTGCTTACCTGGACATCTTGTGACCATCAGATACCGCAATATCGTGCTCTAGACCGTACGAGTGGCGTAGTTTGGGACCGTGCCGTCCTTACTTTCTGGCGAGGCCAAGCATAATTTGCGAAACGAATTATGCCACACCGCGCCTGGCGCGAACTGCGGACCATAAGGATCGTATAATAAATCAGAAAGCAACGAACATGTCTGAGCCATTGTCACAGCAGAGTGGTTCACATGCCCTCACCGACGAGGAAAGTTAGTAATTTTTGATCTCAAATGGACAAGGTGAGGTTGAGGGCCTGACTTCTCCGTAGTCCCTTCCCAAGCAACGACATGGCTCTTTCCCTCTTCGTCATAAAGTATGTTCAATGGACGCGTCCTAGGCAGACGCGCCGACACCCTGGGACATACATCTCGTTTCCCACCTTTTCCTTCATTCTCTACACTCACAGCTCAACAAGACGAGGACTGTACAATCCAGCGCTCCCCTCGCCAACATGACAAAACGCGAAGCAAAGTCAACGAAGGCATCCGCTCCAGCTCCACCCGAGCAGAAGAAAAGGACAGGCTTCCTCGATCTTCCAGCTGAGCTTCGCCTTCAGATCTATGGCTACCTTCTGCCCGACATCCCGTCAGCGACGTGGAGGAAAAGTGCCCTGCGTACTGATGGCACAGCCTCTTCAACAAACTTCATGGCCACTTGCAAACAAGTCCATGGAGAAGCAGCTGAGCTGCTGTATCCTGGTCATGCTCGTGTCACGATCCGAGTGCCTGGGTCTCGATCGACAGTCGCTTTCGTGGAGCTCTTCAACAAGAAGGTCGAGATAGGAGAAGCCATGGAAGCGAATGTATTTCAGGCCCTCCGCCAAGCCAGAAGCCTGTCGGTGACCGTCCGTACGGCCTCTAATCCGCACGCTGTTTGCGTCGCCCAAGATCTACTGTTTGAGGTTCTGCGCCCTGTTTCTGGTACACTGAATCAGCGCCTGCAAAGCTTGGGACTTGATGCAATCATTCACAGGTCTTCCGGATCCGATTTCGCCCTCAGGGTTGATGACGAATGGATTGATGATTACGTCCGTCGTGGCTCGATGCACGAGTTCAACGGGATCAAAGCAGGAGATCTCACACGTGCGCATTCTGCTGCTTTCCTGACAGACCCATTCCGTAACGCTCGGAACCTGAAAAGTGGTGGTAAGAAAGGTTATTACTGGATGATGTTTCCAGGTCAGACTGGAGGTGCCTGGCGCGAAGTGTCTCGCAGAGTTCGCACTGCTGTCCAGTGCGAAGACCTCACGGACCTTGTTGACTTTGAGCTTTTCTCCCGATACTTCGCCACATGTCGAGCACTCCTGTGCAGCGTCCAGCCCCTGCTCACTACGACAGCAGACAAAACGAGTCTTGAGAAACAGCATGATCTACTGTCATCTGCACGGATCATGGGTGATGTCGGGAAATTCTATGCGCACCACAGCACGCTTGTCACTTTTCTGAATGACGTAGTCAGCAAGGTCAATCTCTCGAATACTGAGACGGAGATACAAGCGCGTGAGGTCACACATTTGATCGTCGAGCTGGAGGCTAGACTGCCTGATGCTGATGTTGACACTTCCGAATTCGGGTACAACAAGGGAAATGCCGATCTCGCGGCATGGCAAGCAGGCTCTGGTGAAAGGAGGAAGGCGAAGGCAGAGAGGAAGAAGCGTAAGCGCGAGAAGGCCGACGAAGGAGATCAGCGCGGTGGCAAAAAGGGGCGTCGTGCCGGCGGAGGCTGGAACGAAGTTTGAAGACCGGGAACTGTGCTGTGGCGTGAGCATCTGTGCGGAACGTGGGACGTGGTCTTCAGCTCATGGTCGTCAATGAGCTTTCTTGGACGGAACATGCGTCACGACGGGGGGGTGCGCCTGAGAGCATCGCATTTGCCTTGCACGTTGAGCGGCAGGCACAGCGTCGTCGTCTCTGCTCAGCATCAACAATGGCGGTCGTTTGTCGTCGCCTGCTCAACACGACTGCGACTTGTGTTACCTCTTCCCTTGATCTTAGCTCCTGTGTCAGATACACGAGGCTAGCTCGCTTGATAGTTCACGGAATCCAATACCAGTTCACCAAGCACATCATCGTTGGTGGCACATAACATCGAAGATATGCAACCACAACAACGATCTCCAGCATGCGATCCATCAACCCGTCAAGCGCACGATGCTTCTGTTCTCACCATCCGAAATGTCCCATGCCTCAAGCCTGTCAAGAAGACATTATAGGGACAGGAAGTGTAGTACAACAATGTAGACAGAGGCGGATGGGCGCAAAATGTGAAGGACATGTGGCTTGAGGATTGTTTCGATCATGCTCGAGGTAGTAGCATACTGCACTGTTCATTCGACCTTCGCGTGTGCTTATGCAGCACATAACATCAACAAGCCCTATACGGTACCTGCGACTTGTCAGATGACGTCGCGGTCCGCTATCGGAGGCATAAATGCACGTATATGTTCGACGATTGTACGTGACCTGGGCGGGTCGATAGACTTTCTGACGGCTACCTGAAACAGAGTTCAGCTGATCAGCAGCCAAGATGGCTACGTCCTCGCCACTTGCGACGGTCGGCATATTGTCCATCGGCGACATGGGCGTCGGCATAGCTCGATTGCTGATAGCCAACAGCTACCGTTGCATAACGAATGCCTCGGACAGGAGGTGAGGCCTTGTAAAGTTTCAGTGATTTACTTGCAACTGATGACTCTGTAGCGAAGCAACCCAAGCTAGAGCCCGTAAGAACGGCGTCGATCTTGTGGCCAGCGATGTCGAGCTCTGAAATACCGCCGACTATGTTCTTTCGATCGTCCCGCCGCGAGATGCGCATGGAACGGCTCGTCGGATAGTAGACGCAGCCACGAACTCTGCCTTCAAGACGCGAAGTCGTCCTTTGTACTTCATCGATCTCAATGCTGTCAGCCCCAAGACCGCCCGCGAAGTGAACAACCTACTCAGCAGCTCAGCTCCAAATGTGCGGCTCATCGATGGCGGCATCATTGGTGGTCCACCTAATCGCGAAGAAGATGGTACTTGGAGTCAGCCAAGCATACCGGTGTCCGGACCGCACAAGCTGCATGAAGCAGAAGCCAATGGTGAGCATCTGGCCAAGACACTTAACGTCAAGCACGTCAACGACAGTATTGGCTCTGCGACCGGTCTGAAAATGTGCTTTGCGTCGCTTTCGAAAGGCTTCACAGCTCTGGCGATCGAGTCGTTTACGACTGCGCACAATCTCGGCGTGACGGACCAGCTCAGAGCACATCTGGAAGAATTCAATCCCATGGCTGCCAAAACGGCCGAGCGAGGACTAGTCAGTATGCCACCCAAGGCGTATCGCTGGATACATGAGATGGACCAGATTGCCGAGACTTTCGAGGCCGATGGCGGGTTTGATTCGAACGAGTCCATCTTCAGGCCAATCGCGAGGGTATATGAGCTCGTTGCTGATGGTACCGAGCTTGGCAAGGAGAAGACAGAGGATCGTAAGCGTGGCAAGACCGCCGATGATGTGGCGGCATTGATGAGCGAAGGCACTTCGAGGCGGAAACAGAAGACAGAGTAGCGCCTTGCAGCTTCATCAATGTCTCCTTCTCATTCCTGGGCCCCACTCTCTTGTTGCGCGTTGATCCAGCCTGCGACACCGAGAATCCCGCCATCGGACGCAGTAGCATCCATAGACCATCGTCGGATTGGATCGACATCAAGCTCGGACTTCCATCCAGCTTCGTACATTTCAATACCAGCCCATGCAATCATAAGTGCATTATCGGTCGCCAGCTCAATAGGCGGAAAAGCTAGTCGCAAATGCTGATATCCATGTGTGTCCAGAATCGTGCGAAACACATGCTGAATGTACTTGTTTGCTGCGACGCCACCAGATACGACCAGAGTATCGCCTTGCCAACCCTTCCCAGCTGGCGATGCCAGGAATAGCATTAAACGAGACCCAAGATGCTCAAAAGCGACACGTTGGACCTCGCGAGCCAGAGTCTGCCGCTCTCGTAGACACATATGTCCTCCCTCTGCTCGGGCAGCCACCAGACGCTCGATACCGGAAAGCAGACCAGCGAAAGAGAACTCCATCCTTTTAGACTCACCACCTTTTCGCTCTACCAATGGTGGGGTCAGAGACCAGCCCCATCTTGTCACACGACGGTCCATGAAGCCTTGTTGCGTTCCAGGTGCAGCATAATCGTATCGTGGCTCACGACTGTCCAGAGAGAGCTTTGCCTTTGGCCCATCCGCCTTCGCTGCCTCGGCGAGGTCATCGCTGCCGTCCCTCACCATAGTGTGAAATGCAAACTTCTCAAGAGCACCACCATATGGTGACACGAGTAGGTGAGCAGGTAACATGGCCCGAGCAGCCTTGTCCAGCAGTTCGCCAAGCGCTATATCGTGGGTCTCAGCGAGCGCGCTATGTTGGACAAGACCTTTGGATTCAAGGAGCATAGTGTGGCCGCCACTGACCAGCAAGCTCAAGAAGGGAAACTCTGGCTTGAGTGTACCAGCCTGCTCCACGGTATTGGGCAAGCGCGATGGTCTTGCATCTGCTTCGTGATCATCCCATAGCTCCTGATTTATCTGCGCAGCTACTAGTCTCGGTGTTAATGCATGGGCCTGCATATGATGTACGGCAACCAAGGGCACGCCCAACGCAACTGCAAGGCCCTTCGCAGTATCAAGACCAACAGACAGATTACTTCGCATTCCTGGACCCCGTGTCACAGCAACAATGATGTCCTTGTATTCGGGCCAGACCCTGCCTGCATATGGTGCACCACTTGCCTGCCGTTCCTCTTGAGGGCGCGAGTCCAAGCCTACCATATCCGCCGGCCAGGCATTATGATCACGCTGCTGCTGCTCGCGCTCTACACAACGATCACGCACATATTTCATACCCTGCCGCAGCAGAGGAGCTAGGTTCGCACGATGCGAGTCCAGTGCTACGAGCGGGTGTATACCCTGATACGCATTCGTGTTCGCCGTGATCCTCTTGTGGAACAGGGTCTTCACCATGGGCACTGAGTATTGCCTCTTGGATATACTCTTCAAGACTTTTGTGTATCGCACGACCGCAACAGAGGTGTCATCGCAGGATGTCTCGATCGCTATGACAAGATAGTCGCGGTGGAGCCTGCGACGATATCCTTCTGTTTGCTGTCCGGGTTGACGCCATGGTGATGTAGATGATAGGCTTCGCGAAGGAGAAAGAGGAGATCGTTGGTGGATGGAACAGAGCTCTTTCAAGGCACACCGCGAACGCAAGATCATGCCGTCAGGAGTGTAATCATGAACGGAGGTAATGCACGATCGCAAGTAACGCAGTAGCAAATACACACCAACTCAATCAAACTTTACGTGACTGCCGAATGTCGGAACAACTTCTGGTCGTAGCTCCGGCACAGTAGTACGTAGGGTTGGCACAAGGATATCCTGCTGTATGTTCCACTACTGTCTACAGGCCGAACACGATCAAACAAATCAAGCACAAGCACTCTCCTCAAACACCTACGCTAATCAAAACGCATGCCCAGACCAAACCTGATGCCATCTCAACCCCAAGGCGACTGCTGCTGACCTTGCGCCTGCATCTGTCCAGGCCTAGGAAAGACAGGAATAGTCTCCAGGTTCTCCAGCCCACCCATCGTCGTCTGTTGCCCACCTCCTACCTGCCACCCTTGACCCGTTTCATGATTAACAAAAGCAGATTGTCTGAATGGATTCGTGCTGCCTGTTGGCTGCACTTGTAGCTGCTGTGGCATCGATGGAGTAGCGGCAGGAAGGGAACGTGCAAATGGATTCGTGCCTGTCTGTTGTGCTTGAAGCATTGGTGGAGGAGACTGCTGTTGCGCTGTTGGCTGTGGTGAGAAGGCTTGAGGTTGCTGTTGTGGTTGTGACGGGAAAGCTGAAGGTTGCTGAGGCTGTGTACCTCTCGCGAATGGGTTCGTGCCTTGTCGTTGTGGTGCCGCAAAAGCTGTCTCGGCACCTGTTGGCATAGTAGATTGCCGGAAAGGATTCGTGCTGCCAGTGGGTTGTGGTTGCAGACCTTGTTGCTGCATGGGAAATGCCTGCGGACTCTGCATCTGTGCTGGTGATTGCATCTGTTGCGAGCCGAAGGCATCATTCGGAGGGAAACCTGTCTGTTGGTGCGAGCCGAACGCCTCACTCGGAGGGAAGCCTGTCTGTTGTTGCGAGCCAAACGCATCATTCGGAGGAAAGCCTGTTTGTTGTTGCTGCATAGGCTGCGCACCGTATCCACCGAAGCCAGCACCTGTAAACTGTGTCTGTAATGGCTGCGGAGGTGGTTGCTGCTGCTGGTGTGGGACTCCGAAGGGGTTTGTGGATTGCATGCCAGTCTGCTGTGGTTGCTGCGGCACACCAAACGCTTGCTGAGGTACGAAACCAGTCTGTTGAGATTGCATCGGAAAGCCTGTAGGCTGAGGCTGCTGCTGCGGCTGCTGCTGAAACGCTGGAGCGTTCTGCGTCATAGGCTGTTGGTTCATCTCAATCGACTCGAAAAAGTCAATCAGGTCTGGAGCTGGTCCTTTCGCAGCTGCAGCAGGAGGTGCGGCAGGCTGCATGATCGCGTCCGCTCTCTGCTGTGTCTCAGCTGGCGTAAGCTTCGCAGGTTGAGATTGCGTCGCAGCTTTTTTCGGCGCCGGCTTCCCAATTCGTTTCGCCTCCTGTTCTGCCAAATACTGTCGGCGATTGACCTCAAAGTCCTTATCATCGATATACTCCTGTAATGACTGTGCAAGGCTGGTGGGCGCATGCTTGATCTTCGGTATCTCCAACCTAGTCGCATGCTCATACTGCCTCGCCACACCCAGATACTTCACCACCAGATCCGTCTGCTTGCAGAAGTTTTTGTAGATATGAATTGCTCGTTCGGCATCCGGCTTTGACATCTCGAAATAGTGGCTCAGCACACTCATTACCGCCTCGTTCTCCACATGATACAGGTCCAGCAGATCCCTAGTCAATAGCCGGAATGCCGTCAAGGAAATCTCATTCTCCACATCGTTCGTGAGTAAATCGCATTTCACCAATGCCCTGATCTGCTGCTGCACCAGCTCCGTCTCTCGCAAGAGACCCTTGTCCACCGACAGTCCCTTCATATATCTGTCGCCCGACCGCACATAATCGCATCTACTCGCCGCAAATGCCTGCGCCCTCGCCAGCAGATATTCGGAGTACAATCTTATATTATGCCCCTGCGTCTGCACATCCGTGAATGTATTTATCGCCAGCCTGTTCTTCGGTGCGGCGGCCAAATATCGTAATGTCGCATCCTGCGCTCCCTCCTTGATCATGAGATGTACGATGATCAGCGACTTGAAGGCCACAGTCCATGTCGAATCGCGTAGTCGGGGGGTGAGAGTGCGGAATACTTCGGCAACACCTGCTTCGCCGGACTGTGTCGCCAGAAGGATATGCTCGACATATTTCGACTTGGGCGGTGCGAGTTTGACCTTCGTCCCGCCTTTCACGGACTTCTCAAAGTTCATGGACATGGCTGTGGTTGGTAGAGGAGGTCAAGGGCAAGTGGTGCCAGTCTGATCGTTATCGGTAGGGCGACATGGTTTTCGTATGGCAGGCAATCTGGTAAGAGATCGGAGAGAACTGGCCAGGCGAGTATAGGACGTTAGATGTAAGGATGTTGACGGCCTGGATGTTACGTGGACTATGAGGCGCTAAAGCTTAATCGGTAAACAGAGCTGTTATTATAACATGACGCAGCACGTGCATGATCTTGGACATCTACTATATTCACAAACTGCGTCCACACATATATGTCCAGACAATGTTACAGTCGATACTGCATGAGTGAGCAGGATCAACTTGTTGATAGCCTAGAAGGTTTTTTCTACCGCAAGACAGGATCGTTGGATGTGATGGTGCACAACCCTCCGTAGAATTATTGGTCTTGCGGATGTGAGACTACGAAGCAGGGGAAGTCTCGTCTGTGAGCACTTGGTTGGATACGCGAGCTATTCAGTGCTATGGTGATGTGCTATGCAGGTGGTCTTGTTGCCTGTGGCTAGAACCCGCTACTCTGCAAAATCCCAGAGCCCAGCCAGGTGGAGGCCAAATAAGCTGCATACCATACCCTCCATGATCTAAAGAGTGGTTCAGAGATGCCTTCATCGCGTCCGAGTATGTAACAAGGAGTGTGTGCCGAACGCAGAGATCATGCTGCCTCCGACCTGGCACACCCGCCCTTGAGCCTGGTAAGAGGAGAGCAGGATGCACCAGAACCGGGGGTCAGCTCATCTGCTACACGCTAGGCTTTCATCATCTGACGGACATGTCAGTGGAATGCGCGGTGGGCGGGGTCGGCATACGTACATGTCTTTGACATGGAGGGTCATTTGTGGTTTTGGAAGAAGGCGAGCATGGAGGAGAAATTCCATACATCAGACACATGACTAAGCAAAACGCTAGGCACTAGCGGCAAGACATGGCATCTTGAACAGTATTAGTTCAATGAGATTGGAAGCCACTATGGACTTCACCACAGGCTATACATGTGTCTACTGGACCACTGTGCTTACATTGTGGTCTTGTAGAGTTGCCAGAGCAGGCGACGAAGCTTTGCAGAAACAATAACAGGGTATTCAAACTGGTTGGCGATCAGAAAGTCCCGTTCCCTTGTGTCGACGATCTTCCGATGCGTTCAGCGCTCCATGCGAGAGCATAGAGCATGGGTTAGTTTCACGCTCAGTCTGCCTACGGACGGGCAACATCACCGTCGTACTCGATACTGCATTATTACCGCCACAGCTAGCATCACGTGCCAATGGCCATCTCAAGCTTCTCGCGTGTACCTCCCCGAAGTGGCCATGTCACCCAGCTTCGACCCTAGGACTTCCCCTCCATTAATATTGTCTTATCGGCCTTACAGCAACGCAATGTTTACTGCGGAGCTGCCAAAGTAGCTCGGCGCGATAGACCAGTACGGTAGGCGCACACGATCAAGCTCTTCATGCTCGCCCGTTCCTTCACCCTCTTCACCTCTCGTCTCACCAGAACCACATACCTGCAGCCCCGCTACATCTCCACCATGTCGAGCCTAACCATCTCCCTCACTGCCCCCAACGGCCGCAAATACGACCAACCAACCGGCCTCTTCATCAACAACGAATGGGTCGCCAGCAGCAAATCCAACAAGATCACCTCCATAAACCCGACCGACGAGTCCGAGATCGCTTCCGTCCATGCCGCCGAACCAGAAGATGTCGACAAAGCTGTCGCAGCTGCTCGGGCTGCTTTCAACGACCCATCATGGCGCGACATGGCTTCGTCGGATCGAGGAGATTTGATGTATAAGCTCAGTCAGCTGGTGGAGGCCAATAAAGAGTTGCTCGCCACGATCGAGACGTGGGATAATGGCAAGCCGTATCAGGTTGCTTTGAACGAGGATTTGGCCGAGGTGGCTGGATGCTTGAAGTATTATGCGGGTTATGCGGATAAGATTCACGGGCAGGTCATCGATACCACGCCAGCGAAGTTGGCGTACACCATTCGGGAGCCTGTTGGTGTTTGTGGACAGATCATGTGCGTGTTGCATTACGAAAGAGATGAGGAGTGAACTGACACATCAACAGCCCATGGAACTACCCCCTAGCAATGGCAGCCTGGAAACTCGGTCCTGCTCTTGCATGCGGCAACACCGTCGTCATCAAAGCCGCCGAACAAACGCCCCTCTCCATCCTGGTCTTCGCCAACCTCATCAAGGAAGCCGGTTTCCCTCCAGGTGTCGTCAACGTGATCAACGGACACGGCCGAGTAGCCGGTGCAGCCATGGCTCAACACATGGACATTGACAAGGTCGCCTTCACAGGTAGTACTGCGACAGGCAAGGAGATCATGAAGATGGCTAGCGTAAATATGAAGAACATCACCCTCGAAACCGGCGGCAAATCCCCTCTCATCGTCTTCGACGACGCTGATCTGGAGCAAGCTGTCCGGTGGAGTCACGTGGGTATCATGTCAAATAGTAAGTCCACCACCACTCCTTATCAAGTCTGCGTACTAATAGTCGTCTCCAGTGGGCCAAATCTGCACAGCCACCTCCCGCATCCTCGTCCAAGAAACCATCTACGACAAATTCGTCGAAGCCTTCAAGAAACAAGTCTCCGAAGTCAGCAAAGTCGGCGACCCCTTCTCCGACGAGACCTTCCAGGGCCCTCAGGTGACGAAAGCCCAATACGACCGCGTCCTCTCCTACATCGAAGCGGGGAAACAAGACGGCGCCACCCTCGCCCTCGGCGGCGAAGCCTACAAGAACGTCGGCGACGGCAAAGGCTTCTTTGTCACCCCGACCGTCTTCACGCACGTCAAGAGCTCCATGCGAGTCTTCCGGGAAGAAGTCTTCGGCCCTTTCGTCGTGGTGGTATCCTTCAAAGACGAGGCGGAGGCGCTGAAGCAGGCGAACGATACGACGTACGGACTCGGCTCGGCGATTTTCACCAAAGATATCGTGAAGGCGCATCGGGTGGCGAGGAAAATCGAGGCAGGGATGGTCTGGATAAATAGTAGTCAGGATAGTGATTTCCGGATTCCGTTTGGCGGGGTGAAGCAGAGTGGGATTGGGAGGGAGTTGGGGGAGGCGGGGTTGGCGGCTTATAGTAATACTAAGGCTGTGCATGTTAATTTGGGGACGTGGTTGTAAGGAGAATGTTGACAGTGTACAGGCTGTCTCGCCATACCATCTATCCATATTATACAAGCATCTACCACCTCTTGTCAGTCTCTTTCTTTACAGCCTCTTGATAACATCCTCAACAACCTCGTCCGTCTTCGCTTTGCCACCCATATCAGGCGTCAACAGCCGACCCTCCAGTAGTGACCCATCAACCGCCGCGTAAATTTTCGCAGCCGCCTCCTCCTGGCCCAGAAACTCCAACATCAGCCCAACACTCCTGAGTGTCGCAATTGGGTTCGAGATCCCCTGTCCCGCAATATCTGGTGCAGATCCATGACACGGCTCTCCTATCGCAAAGCCATCGCCTACATTAGCTGATGGCACAAGGCCTAGGGATGCGACCAATGCTGCTGCAGCGTCGGAGAGAAGATCACCGTACAAATTCGGCCCGACCACGACGTCGTAGTAGGCGGGTTGGATGAAGAGTTTATAGAGCATACTGTCCACAATCTGCTCCTCGACCTTCACCCCTCCATCCCTGAACTTCGGCTGAGCGAGTGCGTCAAAGGCCGTTTGGCGAAAGAGCCCATCGGTTTGGGAGAGGACGTTGGATTTGTGCGTCACGGTCACCATCGTCTGTTTCTGCTTCGCCGCTGCGGAATCGCCACCGACTTCCGCTCTTATCTTCGCTCTCCGCAGCGCGATCTCGCCGGCCATGGTCGCTATGCGGGACGAGGCGGATTTGGTGATACGTTTGATTGCTTCTGCCACAATATCGCCGTCTTTCTCGTACGTCCTTTCCTCCTTCACGTACAAGTCCTCTGTATTCTCCCGCACGATCACAAGATCAATCGGGTCGGGAAAGGCGCGGGTAGGAGCCACCGACTTAACAGGCCGGACATTGGCATAGAGATCGAGTTTCTTGCGCAGCGCGACAATGGGACTACTATACCCCTTCGTTGGTGTCGTGGGCGAGCTGACGGCGCCGAAGAGAGCGCCATCGCATTCTTTCTTTAGGGTTTCGAGGGTTTTATCTGGTAGAGCTACGCCTGTCTTTTGGAAACATTCGAAGCCGGCCTCGAGGTTGACGAAGCTGAATTTCAGGCCGAGCGATGCAGGTAAGGCTTCGAGGATGCGTCGTCCGGCTGGGATGACTTCGCGGCCGATACCGTCGCCTGGGATAAGGCCTATTCGGAGGGTGCGTGAGGCGGCCATGTGTTTCTCTTGGGGGTCATGTTATAATATTGTACACGCAACCAATGGCTCAAAGTAAAATGTTCCTGATTGACAGCCGAGATCGGCATTAGGGAGAGCTCCCTCCACGCCAAGCCCAAACCGGACCTGTCACGTTTCGCAGGGCTGTCCAATCCATTCCACAGGTTTACAATGGTGCGAGTAAGCCATGGCCATGATCGCTGTTCGCTCAAGTACTCTGGATGTATATCGTCTTCAGAGCAGCATCGACTATTATTCGACAGTCTTCACGAGCATCACCAAATTACCGAGAGCTTATGGTGCGATATGTGCGCGCAAGTCTGACCTAGATGCCATGGCGTCGTTCTCGTTTAGTATCAAGCCAATGGAAGAAGGGCATTATGCAAGACGACTATAGAGTCGGCACTGCAATGTACCAGGTCCAAGTCTTTGCCATTTGAATAGACCATTACGGTGTAAATGGTCGTGTACTTGCGGGTAAGGCAGTAGGACGATCGTCGCTTTCACTCTGACAAGTTCTGATGTTCTGCTCATTATGATGGGTTTTCCAGACACCACTTCGTCTGGAAGCCATCCTACTACCAGTCCAGGTTATGTAGTAGTGGCATTTGCCTTTGCCCAGACACATCACCAAGTACTGCACTTGCTACAGCACCATCAGAGCACAACCTTGTGACGAGTCATGGTTGGTGTTGGGGATTGTGAGATTTTTTCATTGCGAGGTCCAATCTTGTCTAGCTCTCGATATAGTGGTCCAATCCGTATTTGAATGGAGCAGTAAGTGAGTCTATGGTGGAGGTGAAGGTTATGAAATCTGCATGTCTGTACCCATATCGCCACTTGAATAGCCTGGGCGGCCCCATACACGGCTGACCTGAGATCTGCACAGAGCTATGGACGGTCAGCGGTTGCTTCCGATATCATGCTTCTCAGTTTGTGAGGTACAATATGCACAGCCTTAACAATGCCAGCTCTGCGATGACCAGCTGAGGTCTTTTGTGTGGCCAATGGATATGCTCTACATCGTGGGGGACACGTTCGCACCACGCGTCGACGATGTAACTCCACTCCACATATGGGGTGTGAAGAGTCTGTCTCGAGGATATTAAAAAGACAGGCCCTCGGCCATCACCGATCAGGGCGTCTGACTTCGCAGTTTCAGGTGGGGTGCAGTTCGTCGGAGTCGATCAAAACGGTGTGCCGGCGGCCTTCACATGCCATGCAAAAATCGACGCCTCTTCCATCATGCAGCATGCTGACGGGTCGGTTAATGGCTGCCGAAGCCTTGCGTGACATGTTGCATTCATCTTATCTACATGAAGCCTAGTGGCGGCATCGCGGCAAAGGCTTTGGACGCCGATAAGCCACCATCTCAGATAATTGTACGACCAGGAAACAGTGGTACATGGTAATCAACTCAACGGCGCGGCTATGAAGGAAAAGAGGCTTGGTCTTACAGTCATGGAACGATGCGCATGCAAGATAAATCATCAGCTCCCTTGGCAAGAGGAGAAAACATTTCCTAGATCATCCTCTAGCTCAAGGTTCCAACGACCCTGCCTCCTTGGCACCCTTCTCCGCCGAGATAGTGGAGCCCTGAGCCCTGCACGGCCGCACTTTATACGGACTTGATTGGTGAGAACGAGGGCTTCAACTGCAAAGGCCGATGTGGAGAAGGGCTGGAGGTCTGGAGGATTTGGGAGTTGGAGACCACGCGAGCGTTGGCCCCACGGAGGGCCCAAATCGTGGTTGCACGACGAAGGGTTTAAGTATCCTCGATGTCCCCCTCGCTCGCAGCTTTTGATCGTCGCTGCATTCCGTCTTACCAGCTCGACGCTCTGACGAACCGCTATCGCTGTTCATCATGTCTGAGAAACTCAACGACTACGGCGACGAGAAGATCGGCACGTCCGATTCTTCACCTAACCATGAGCTCGCCGAACAGGCAGGACGCCGCTCGTCGGTAGCCCTCAACATCGTCGAAAACCCGCTGAAGGTATGCGACGAGGAGCTTGTGAACCAACGATCGACGACGTCATATCTAATATATCCTCACAGCGCGTATCTCAACCCCAAGCTTCTGCTGATGCCATGGCCTTTGCCGAAGCCAATGGTATGCCCGAGCATGCTGCTCTCTTCGGACGTGCTGCAGCTGTCGCGCGAGCCCCGGACAGCTTCGAGGCGATCCACGACCTGACTCAAGAGGAGCGCGCTGCTCTTATCTACGAACGAGACCATAAATGGCACGGCCCGAAGATGCTCTGGTACTCCATTGGACTTTGCGCCGTCGGAGCTGCTACTCAAGGTTGGGATCAGACTGGTTCCAACGGTGCCAACTTGTCTTTCCCCGAAGCTTTCGGTATCCACAATGGTACTAGCAGAGATGCGTGGCTCGTTGGTCTGATCAACTCGATCATTTTCTTGACTGCTGGGCTGATGTATGTATTGAAATCGCATTGCACCATACTTGCGACCACTAATACATTTATAGCGGCGCATTCATCACCGACCCTCTCAACCACTACCTCGGTCGTCGTGGCGAAATTTTCCTGACCGGCCTCTGTCTTACCGCAACACCCATCGGATCTGGATTCGCCAAGTCCTGGCAAGGTCTTTTTGCTGCCCGCTTCATCATGGGGATTGGTATCGGTGCAAAGAACGCCACGGTCCCAATCTACTCTGCCGAAATGGCCCCGCATCGCATCCGTGGCGCGTTGGTCATGTTCTGGCAGTTGTGGGTCGTCGCTGGTATCTTCCTGGGCTTCTGCGCGAACGTCATCGTCAAAGATACTGGCAACATTTCGTGGCGTCTCCAGCTCGGCTCCGCTTTCATCCCATCGTTTGTCCTGATCTGCGGGATCTGGTTCTGCCCGGAGAGTCCTCGTGTACGTCTTGCGTCTACTGGACACTTCTCACCCTGTTTGCTGACTTTGTTGGTAGTGGCTTATGAAGCATGGCCACATTGCCAAAGGTTTCCGATCCATGGATAGATTGCGAGCACATCCCATCATTGCTGCTCGAGACTACTATTACTCGTACGTCATTTACGAGGAGGAGTTGCGCGAGGCCAAGGGCTCCGGCTACTTCCAGCGCATGTGGGACTGTTTCGCCATTCCTCGCATTCGCCGTGCCAATTACGGTGCCTCGACCGTCATGCTTGCTCAGCAGATGTGCGGCATCAACAGTACGTTCTCACCTTGATGTTCCTATCGGACTCCGCTGACTTGTTCTAGTTATCTCCTTTTACAGCTCCACCATCTTCGAACAGGCCGGGTACACTTCAGATCAGGCTCTGTACGCTTCATTGGGATACGGAGCCATTCAAGTCGTATTCACCATCCCCACCTTGTTCTTGATCGACACCAAGGGACGCCGAACATTGACTATGATTGTAAGTTTCGCGATCGAGGGACGACAGAAGGGGCTCGCTGACCAAACCATCGCAGACATTCCCACTCATGTGTATCTTCCTGCTTGCAGCGGGTCTCTCTCTACTCAACAAGACCGGCTCTGCTGGCGCTCAAATCGGCCCAGTCGTCCTGTAAGTTGTAAAACAGCCAGTTGCGTTCTCATTGCTTGCTAACGTATCGATACAGCTTCATCTACCTCTTCACGATCATGTACTCTTTGGGCGAAGGCCCAGTTGCCTTTCAGTACTCTGCCGAGGTCTTTCCGACGATTCAGCGTGAGCAGGGCATGGCTTGGGCTGTGTGCATCAACAACACCTTTGCTGGCATTCTGTCCCTCACCTTCCCACGTATGGTGCAGGTCATGACGCAGACTGGTGCTTGTAAGCCACTCCATCTCTTCCCCATGAAATTATCTGCGCTAACGACCTGCAGTCGGCTTTTACGCCGGTCTCAATCTGATCGCCTGGGGCATGATCTTCTGTTTCGTGCGTGAGACGAAGCAATTGACGCTCGAGGAGATTGACCGTAAGCATTACCAAACCTCAAACATTGCTCGATCATGGACATCTACTAACACATCTACGCAGAGGTCTTCCAAGTCCCAACCAAGACCTTCATCCACCACGAAATCACCAAGACCGCCCCTTACGTCATCAAGAGGTACTTCTTGTTCCAGAAGAACACTCCCAAGCCACCGGGAATCATCGAGAAGGGCGATAACGTCGACAGGATGGTTGAGAAGATGCACTAGGGTCGTGCAGATGGTCATTTTCACGTTGACACGATATGATGGTTTGAGTCAGGTCGGCCACGGCCGAGCTCGACTACTTCCGCACTTTGCTTGCTCAGCAATAACTATACCCGAAGCATCATCAGCTGTAAATAGCTGGCTTGCTTTAAACTCTGTAAACTGTACTGCATCTTTTTACATATGCCTCAATGACCTGTTGCATCGTGACGCTGTCGTCGATCCATACTTTTCATCTGCCCTACGAGCTCCACCTGCACCAACCAGAAAGTGGGGTAAGATCACATATATAGCTCCCGGCCATCGAAAGTACAGACTCAGTAATTGTATTAACTGAAAACTTTTAAGCTCAGTAGTCTACCTGTCAAGGTACGCCAGAAAAGCCCCTCTCCGGACATGCCTTCGTCAACTCTCCTAGCAGCGCTCGCACTCCTGGTCTCGGGCCTGATATACACCTACCTCTACATCGGGCGGCGAGAGTCGAACCTCCCACCCGGCCCACCCACCCTCCCAATCCTAGGCAATATCCCACACATCCCGCTAAAAGGCGCGCACTTCCAATTCACAGCCTGGGCGCGACAATACGGCGGCCTCTACACCCTCAAACTCGGCACTGGGACCGCGGCGGTCATCACCTCGCCGCGTCTGGTGAAGGAACTCCTGGATAAACGCAGCGCAAAGTATACCGATCGGCCCGTTTCCTATGTCGCCAAGTTGATTTCGGGCGGGGACCATATCCTGCTCATGACTTATGGGAGCCAGTGGCGCGCGACGAGGAAATTGCTGCATGGTTCGTTCATGGAGAAGGTGGTCGAGACGGAGTACCTTCCCATCCAGGAGGCGGAGGCGAGACAGATGATCCGGGATTATATGGTGCAGCCGGAGAAACATATGCTGCATCCTAAGCGGTTTAGTAATTCCGTTACCATGTCCCTGGTTTGGGGCGTTAGGACGCCGGTGCCGGAGACGCGGCATATGCAGAGGTTGTACTCGTTGATGGAGATCTGGTCGAAGGTGATGGAGACGGGGGCGACGCCGCCGGTGGATATCTATCCTTTTCTGCATTGGTTACCGCAGAGGGTGTTTTTGCGGTGGAGGGATCGGGCGGAGACGGTGAGGCGGGAGATGAATGGGTTGTATGCTGATTTCTTGTCTGATCTGAGGGCGAGGAGGAAGGCGGGGGGGAGTCGGGGTGCTTTCATGGATAAGGTTCTTGACGCGGTGGAGATGAAGGGGAAGGGGTTTGAGGGGCTGACTTGTTCGGATCATGAGTTGTGGTTTATGGGTGGGACGTTGACGGAGGGGGGGAGCGATACGACTGCTTCTATCCTCACCGCTTTCGTGCAGGCTATGGTCTGTTATCCGGACGTGCAGAGGAGAGCGCAGGCCCAGATCGATGCTGTCGTGAGTGAAGATCGGAGTCCCACCTGGTCTGACTACGGTTCTTTGCCGTATGTGGCTCAATGCGTGAAGGAAACTATGCGATGGCGTCCCGTCACACCCTTGGCGTTTCCTCACGCCCTGGCGGAAGACGACTGGGTGGATGGGATGTTCTTGCCCAAGGGAACGGTGATCATTATCAACGCCTGGGGCATGCAACACGATCCCACTCGCTTCAAGGATCCCGAGAGGTTTGACCCGGATCACTTCGATGGCTGCACCACCCTCGCCACCGACCTCGCCAATGGTGCGTGGGAGAAACGGGATCATTACGGGTATGGAGCTGGGAGGCGATTCTGTCCCGGAGCACATCTGGCGGAGAGGAACTTATTTCTGGCCATGGTGAAGCTGCTGTGGGCGTTTGACATCAGGGCGAAGGAGGGTAGTAGCGTGCCGGATACTGATCCCGTGACGGGGTATTGTGAGGGCTTCCTGGTGTGTGCGAATGATTTTGAGGCGGAGTTTATTCCGAGAGGGGATGGGAAGAGGAGGGAAACGATATTGAGGGAGTATGAGGAGAGTCAGGGGGGATTTGATCGATTCCAGGCTACAGGGGATGAAAAGGCATAGTCGTGGTCTTGGTAGTGTGATGTATTCTGTGTATTTATTGGATTTGAAGTAAATTGTGATAGGCCATGACCTCTCGGATCGTATTTGGCGAAAAAGCGCGACACGTACCCCTGACCGAACGCGTTGTTTGTCCGGGGTGCAGCTTTCTTGTCGGGAACATCCTGGCGGGTCTACACTACGAATTGACAGCTTGTGGTATTGACAAAGGATGTAACGTGGGAATTACAGAGATCTTGGACTTGACATTGTAAGTACAGCGAATCCTTCACTTCTGCCAGCAGCGACCAAGAACCACACGAGCATTTCACATCACTCACACTCACACCCCTGAAACCGAGGCAATATTATTATTATTGTCTCAGATGAACAAACCCACTTGGCACTTGCTCGCGGGCCATGCACTCCACTACTATTGATCTACATCCAAGACATCACTCACAATAGCCCGATACTGATCCCACCTGCCCGCACCACAGAATGTCCACCGAACGCTCCTCCTCCGCCGTCCGCAACCTCCGCTCACTCTTCGAGAACAAAGCTCCCGAACAATCCCCCGATACCCGCGGCCGATCACCTAGTCACCACTTGACGGAATCGAGTCCCAGCCGACCAGCATCAAAGGTCCGCGCGAGTTTCGTGTCGGTCGTTCCTCCTACTGCAGCCATGGCTTCGAGTGCAGAAGAGGCCGGTGTTGGGAGTGGGATGGCGGAGCTGAAAAGGGAAAGTAGTGCCGGGTTGCGACGAGGGAGTTTCAGTGAGAATGATGGGGAGTTGGAGGGCTTGCTGCAATTGAAGAAGACGGTTTCGGAGGAGGCGGAGAGGCGGCAGAGGGATCCGAAAGTGGCCGAGTCGATTCCGGAGCATGTTGCTTTCTCTGCCGCTACTACGCCCAATGTGAAGGCTAGTATGAATGGGGAGGAGGAGCAGCATATTGAGGAGAGTCCGCTGGCGGACAAGGTGGACAAGGAGCCTGCACACCCGGACAAACCTGTGACCGCTGCCGAGGAGGAGCCAGGCACGATGAAGCCTGCGGATATGAGTAGTGAAGCTGTTGTGAGTGGTGGGAAGGCTCTGCCGCCGGTTGCGGAGGATATGAGGAAAGGAAATGAGCCAAAGGTGCAGAAGTCAGACGAAGCACCTACCACGAAAGCGTTGGACAGTGCTGTGGAGGAGACGAAGAAGCCAGCCACGAGTAAGCCCACACCAGTCTCGATCAAAGCACCTGCGAAGGCAGCATCAAGCTCAGTCAAGTCACCTGCGAAAGCAACAACTCCACCAAAACCAGCCGAAACCTCGACGAAACCTACACAGTTGGCAAAGAAAGCTAGTCGTAGCTCCTTGACAGCTCCCACCGCAGCCTCAGTAGCACGAGCGGCAGGTCAAGACAAACCAAGCTCGAAACCCGCACAACCACCAATGCCAAAACGAGACGCAACAAAACCCATCGATCTTCCCTCACGACTCACGGCACCCACAGCCGCTTCGCGAGCAAGACACGAGCCCGCATCTACCACAACCTCCGCGCCAAGCAACAAACAATCAACCACTTCAAGGCCAAAACCATCTACATCGTCAACACGACCAACCCCACGCACATCTTTCGCTCGACCAGAAAGCAGATCCTCACACACAAGCAAGAAACCCCCCACCTCAGCGCCAACCGAAGGCAGCTTCCTAGAGCGCATGATGCGACCCACGGCCGCTTCGGCCAATAAAACGCACGAAAAACCCGAGGTCAAGAGTCCGCCTCGTGGTGGAAGTAAGACTGCGGCGGTGAAGGCGAAGGTGAATGGGATTGGGGGAAAGAAACATGATTCTGCGTCTGAGCCTGGCAAGGAGTCTACGCACGGTGAGGCGGATGGGCACTCGGCGATGAATGGGAATGGGAATTGTGATGCCGTGGGTAATGAGACACCGATCCCGGCTTCGGGGGAGAGGAATGGAGCGCTTAGGGCGACGCCGGCGTTTGGGGAGGACACGATTCGCTAGACGCGGGTTGTGAGTGCGTTGTGAGATTACGTCTTGAGGACAAGAGACGGACGGCAAGCAGCTTCCATCTGACCGGGACAGTGGTACGGTATTCCTAGGTTGACAATGGGAGAGCGGCCGGACAGGGCGAGGGCGACCTGGGGGCCTAGTTTGTTCTTGCCTCTTTAGCGCGCGATACCATTTCGCTTGTGTAGTATTTGGTTCTATCCTAGCTGAATCTCCCTTCGCTACTTACGAACCCGGTCAAAAGATTTCGAAAGGATCGCGAGATATCTTCCGTTGATCGATCATCACGCCATGTCATGCCACGCCATGTCCTGCACCTGACTGCGGGGCACGTGCGTGCTCTATCTACGCTATCCAGCGAGCTTCGGTGAGCAGACTAGGACGAATCGAAGACATGAGTCTTGTCCCCCATGACTCACCACGTCTCTCGATGATATCTGAGGCGAACCTACTACACCACGACTTCTCTTCCCAGCTTCGGGAGCTGGCCATTGAAGATAAAGTGTTTTCGGCATGGCCACCACGACCACTACTACAGGCAAACCCCTCTCCGCCGAACAAGTCTTCGACAGTATCGGCCCAGCATACGAAGATGCCTTTGCAGATCTAAAACCCCAACTCGCCTCCATCGACTGGCTACTGTCACAATTACAAACCCACAAACCAGCCAAGATCCTAGACATTGGCTGCGGCACCGGAAGACCCGTCTGTTCCCGTCTCGCAGACGCCGGCCATGATGTGTTAGGGATAGATGTCTCCGGCACCATGATCGAGGACGCGAAGAAGAAGGTTCCGAATGCCAGGTTCTGGAAACTCGATGTTACCGAGTATCATCCTGAGAAGGAGAGTTTTGATGCCGTAACGGTGTATTTCAGCATGATTGCCAGTGTAACTCAGGACCAGATCCGGCAGAACATCAAGAGTATCTTCACGTGGTTGGGGTCCGGTGGGTACTTCGTCTTCGCTACTGTGCCGCTGGCGGGGAATAATTCCGAGATTAATTGGTTGGGGCGGGATGTCGTTGTTTCGAGTCTTGGGGCGGAGGAGGCGGTGAATTGTATTCGGAAGGCGGGGTTTGACGTGCTGTTTAGGGAGGAGACGGAGTTTAAGCCGCGGGCGAAGGAGGCGGGGATTTGTGGGGGGGAGAGGGTGTGGACGGAGCCGCATTTGTTTGTGTATGCGAGGAAGCCGTGATGGGTACAGCTTCGATTGCGTGGGTGCGCGGGATATCGCCTGAGTTGTGTCTTGGGTTACTCGGTGGCCTTGTTTCGTGGTAGCTCGTGGCTGTGCATCCAGCTTTGGCTGATCTTCGTATCGAAAGTCACACTGAAGGGTCACGGTTGTTGCTCTGTTGCACCTTCTCGCCACTTTGTAGACCGTAGGCGTTACTGGCTAGCTTCGTGCGATCCGTACTAGCTTGCCTTTCTGCCTTTAGTGAGTGCAGCATTTGCGCAAGAATGTCTTCCGCATCGACATATAGGCAGAGATCTCCGCCACCAGCGCCATCAGCGCCTTCTCGCCGGGTCATATCTGAGCAGTCCTGTAGACACGTGCAGATCATCTGATCATGCGAAGCTGGGGTCTTGCTCCGGGGGTGTGGTTCGGATTGGACGATGGGACATTGAAGCGCCAAGCGATATAGATTGCTCAGTCTGTATCGAGCTGAAGCAGAGTCCATATTGTCTGGAATCAGGTCGACAAAGCGTGGCGTACGCTGGGACGATCTGACTGTTGTAGCAGAACCATCGTAGTTCGTGTTAGCGAGGGTACGCCGCAGGTCAGCCTGCCGATACGCACTTTCTCCTACTCTGCGGATGGCAAAATGCCTCTCGACCAGGCTCGCGAGTCTTCGGTGTGCTGCTGGTGAGCCATGCCACGTCTGTTGACGTTGGTGCTCGAGAATTTCAGCGATTGCGAATCGCAGCTCATTGTTGGATCTCTTCAGAAGTGCTTGGACGGCTGAGTCATGGTGTTCGACTTCCAGTGCTTCAACGACTTCTCTGCATGCCTTGGTAAATGTGTCTGCTGAGGTGCTGTATCGGTAGAACCGAATGACTTCCAGAGCTGTCCCGATTATTGGCAGATCGTAGTCCGGCGTCAGAGGTAGTGCATTAGCCATATTGCCTGACATAGATGGTAAGCCTAACATGCCATAGATCTTGTCACGCGTGTCAGAGCACTCTTGACCTGCGAAGCCATCGACGAGTTCCTCAAGTCGCCAGTCAGTCGTCAGAGTTCCTCGCATACGTGATAGAGCCAGCTTGATGTACGATGAGCATTTATCTCCCCTCACGAAGTCGTTCTTGCCGTCGCCAACGGTAAATTCCCGAAGTGTGCTCCAGGCAAGAATATCGTCGCCGCAATACAACTTTATCTCTTTGGACAGCAGGATCTCTTGCACGATCCACAGGCGTCGGAAGTAGCTCCGAGCACATACATTCTCTGCGGCGTTGATGATCCTGTCCTCGGAAACGAGTGAAAATGCTCTTGCTTCCACTGTTGCCTCGAGGTGCCTGTACAAGAAAGCGCTGAGTGGGACATGTTCGCCAATACAGACGGCTGTGGATTGAGCATTGCGGTACACAAAGCTCATAAGTTGGACCTGCTTCGACTTCTCTGCATTATGCCACTGATCGACGCAGATAGCATCGATCCAGTAGTACACAGATGCGCATTGATTCCGGGATTGTCGAAGTACGCGATGGCAGTTCTCTCCAGTTGGCATCGTCCATCCATCGACAAGGATCAGATGTGTACCTCTACTTGTGCCCCACTCGTACGATATGGCAGTGTAGTAGGGCAATGATGTGATGTCGTGCACAGTCATCCTCAGATGGATGCGGTTGCTCACAGGTTCTGCACGGAATTCTATAAGCCTGATCTGGGCACCAGCATCCGAGAAACGATCGTATCTGAAATAGCGCTCGGGACGTAGTAGAAGGTTATTTGTGGTTGCATAGCGGTTACGACTGGCCAGCAGCTGAACGAGATATTTGACATCCCTTCCCCTCTGAGACTGGTAGCGCGCGGATGATAGAGGGATGAAGTACCAGCTCATCGCCTCCCTTTGGTCGAGGGACCATGAATACATCGACTGCAAGGGATGAGCGCGAAACGCGATAGGTAGTGTTCAAGTGCTTCATCAGCTTACTGTTCGTGGTAGGCCATTACGTGCATGAGCTATAGGTTGCCAACAATCACGAGTATCGTCGTCCAAAAGAGTCGTCCAGCGGTGCCCGTAAGTGACTCGAGTATTTCGGTCGAGCTTTTAATAAGAAGGCTCTTCAGGCGTTGTGAGCATAGACGCCATGGATCGCAGCGGTGGTGGTTCCGGATCCTTCCTATAAGCCTTGAGAGAGTCGAAAGAAGTGGAAACGGCAATATGCTACCTCTTCCATCAGCTCGCAATCCGTATCTTTGTGCACAGCCGCACTTCGCCAGCGAACATCAGACACAGCCCAGCGACGCACGCCTGCACCCACCGCAGATTTCCATTCGGCACATATTAGGCCAAGAAATGTCGATGACACCGACACATTCGTCCACTACGGCGCTACAATGGTCGTCATTGAGCGTACATCATCTGGTCGAATCATTGAGGACGAGGTCAAGCTCTCGAAAAGCACCGCGACAGGAACGCGTCTCGGAGAATCTCGGGCCGACTGCGTTGCTCGCTTTGATGTTGCTTCGACCTGCCGTCAGATGCATGCGATAATGTGATACCGAGCAGATGCCAGCGTTGCGACCTACGCTCATCCTTCGCACGGCAGCGGAACAGTGGAAGCAATACAATTGGCCGAAAACCCTTAACCTTCCCAAATCAGCATTGCCTGCTCGAGCGTCTGCTGCAGACCTCGCCAAATATCGACAGCGATGTGCCGATGACCTGTATGCCTGGCAGCGCGCCAATCGCCCAGCTCACAATGAATTCGTCCTCCATGATGGCCCACCCTATGCCAATGGAGCAGTCCACGTAGGACATGCTCTTAACAAAGTGCTCAAGGACTTGATCTTGAGGGCTGAATTAGCACGGGGCAGGAGAGTCCAATACCGGCCAGGATGGGATTGTCATGGCCTTCCGATTGAGCTCAAGGCTCTGCAGCAGACTCGGACAACGCGGGATGAACCTCAGGCATTGGTGGATGCGCCGAAGCAGGAAGCCACGGTCTCGAGTGGCTTGGGCATGAGTGCTTTGGAAATCAGAAACAAAGCACACACGCTGGCTACACAGACTATCGAGAGCCAGAAAAGTAGCTTCCGAGAATGGGGCGTCATGGGCGAATGGGACAAGCCATATAAAACCATGGACCTGGATTTTGAGATCAGACAGCTGGGAGTCTTCCGTGAAATGGTTAGGAAGAATCTCATCTCGCGGCATCATCGGCCTGTGTACTGGTCGCCCTCTTCTGGTACCGCTCTGGCTGAGGCGGAGCTTGAGTATGACGACAATCACGAATGCACAGCCGCTTTTGTAAATATGCCGTTCACTAGATTACCCAGGGTGTTAGAGAGTCTCGGTGCGTTCCATGCCGGTGATGCTAGGCACAGCGTCGTAAGCGCCCTGATATGGACTACAACGCCATGGACGCTGCCTGCTAATCAGGCCGTCGCGCTTGGCCAAGACATCGAGTACTCTGTTCTGAAGCTCGAGAGTGCTGAGCAGCCTACCGAGTACCTTCTTGCAGCTACTGACCGCATCGAGCATGTTCGATCATTCTTGTTGAAAGGCTTCACACTCTCAGTCGTCCCTAAAGCTTCGAATATTCTGGGTAGGGACCTGGTCGATGGCTATGCAGCATGTCTCAACGTCTTCCAGAATCTGGAATCTCCTCTTCTCCTAGCACCCTTCGTCACCGCCACATCGGGTACAGGTGTCGTGCATATGGCACCAGGACATGGCATGGACGACTATCTAGTCTGTCAGCAAAATGGGATTCACTCGGCACTGACTCCTGTCGATGGAGAAGGCCGATATACTGCTGAAGTCTTCCCAGCTTCACCTGACCAGAATCACAGATTCATCGGCTTGGCTGTGCAAACAGCAGGAGTGCAGGCTGCGTTGGAAGTTCTTGCCATACCACAAAAGGACTGGTTGGCTAGAAAGGGTCTTGTGGTAAACAACCAGGTCTTTGCCACTCACACATTCACACACAAGAATCCAATTGATTGGCGCACCAAGCAGCCAGTCATCACGCGAGCGACTGCTCAGTGGTTCGCCGACACGTCCGCACTGAAGACGCCTGCAACGAATTCGCTGAGCAGTGTGATCTTTATTCCAGAGTCTGGAAAGAACAGACTCACTACTTTCTTAGCGGGTAGAAGCCAGTGGTGCATTTCGCGGCAGCGAGCATGGGGCGTGCCCATTCCAGCGCTGTATCACAAAGAGACTGGTGAGGGTTGTATCATGGACCAAAGCATTGCACACATCATAGATGTTCTCCAGCAAAGAGGAACGAATGCTTGGTTCGAGGATGCGCCAGACGACCCTGTCTGGGTACATTCAAGTCTCCCGCCGGGCAAGTGGGTGCGAGGCCAGGATACGATGGATGTGTGGTTCGACTCCGGTACGACTTGGACAGGCCTCGAGCCCCGGAATGCCGACAGGCCTATCAGCGATGTGTACGTCGAAGGCACAGATCAGCATCGGGGGTGGTTTCAGAGCAGTCTGCTTACTCACGTCGCCATGCAAGACTTGAACGACAATCCAAAGGCCCCCTACGCGAAGCTCATCACACATGGCTTTACACTTGATGCCGAAGGGCGTAAGATGTCGAAGAGTATCGGCAATGTTATTGATCCAGAGCAGATTCTTGAGGGATCTCTGCTGCCGCCTGTCAAAGAGAAGAAGCAGAGAGGCAAGCGTCAAGCAGCAAAGGAAGACCAAGTCGCTAATGACAGGCCGAAGTACGACGCCATGGGTCCAGATGCCTTGCGCTTGTGGGTTGCTTCTGGTGACTATACCCGAGACGTCACGATTGCTGTTCCGCTATTGCAGGACGTGCAGAATACGTTGCAGAAGTATCGAGTAACGTTCAAATGGCTTCTCGGCGTGCTTGAGGACTGCGTCCCGTACAATGGCACAGTCGCCGGTAAACCTTTGTCATTCGTGGATCAAGCGATACTATACCGACTACACGAAGTGGCAGTCCTGGTGCACGAGGCACATAGCAGCTACACGTTTCACAGAGCTGTCAAGGAGATTACAAGTTTTGTGAACAATGACTTGAGTGCATTCTACTTTGAGATATGCAAGGACACGCTCTACACTGGGCTCGCCGTAGATAGAGTGCGAACACAAGGTGTGCTGCAGACCATACTACACCAGCTTATGCTCATGCTAGCTCCGGTGACACCACATCTGATTGAGGAGGTGTGGGATTTCATGCCTGCAGCACTGAAGAAGCACTCGGTGCATCCTATGCAGCGCATATGGGAAGTCGTAGACACAAAATCGGAGCGGGAGCGACATCCGGGACCAGACATTCAAGTCCAAATGGAAAGCTTTGGCAAGCTCAGCGCTGCTGTCAAGCTCGCACAAGAGGATGCGAGGAAAGCTGGGAAGCTGAAGAGCGGCCTTGCTTGTTCCGTCCACATTCAACTTCCTAGAGATGGCAACAAAGTCCTCGACCTGCATGTCAAAGAATGGGAGACTCGAGGTGAGCTGGCTGATCTACTCGTCGTAAGTCAGGCCAGAGTCGAGCAGACTGAAAGCAGCGCAAACGACCCTGCAACCTCTTGGCGTTTTGAGCAAGAATTTGGCGATGGTGGCAAAGTCATAGTCAACCCGCCGACTGGCATGAAGTGCGTGCGATGCTGGAAGTACACAGCTGATGAGGAAGGAGCGCCTTGCCAGCACTGCCAGGCTGTACTCAAAGAGAAAGCCTCTTGAACGAGCTTGCTCTGTATTGATATGTACACTACTGTAGCAATACTATACTGCGCTGTATCTATAACTTCGCATCTCTAGGCTCGCTCTCGATATCTCGGAAGCGCTTAAAGTATGGTATCATGCCCGGATTCATGACCGTATTGCTCGCCTGCACATCTTTTCCACCCAGGACCTGCTTGACCGCTGTCTCGACCTTCTTGCCGTTGATCGTGACCGGTATGTCAGGCACTTCGAGCACGAATCGAGGCACGTGGCGAGGCGAGAGTGCTGTACGTAGGGCCGCTTTGATTTCTGCTCGGAAAGCCGGAGTGAGTGACTGTCCAGCAGCCATCTGGACGAAGAGGAAGACGTCCTCGTCTTTGTCTTGTGGTCGCCGTCGACCTACGCAGAGACTGTTTAGGATTCTCGTGTTGAGTGGAGCAGCTTCTACAATGGCGTAGATCTCGCCACTGCCGAATCTGATGCCTGAGGGATCTGCGCATGGTCAGTCACATACCGAACTGTACGATGAGGAAAGGGCACATACTAAGTACTCCATCACTCCTTCCATGCATAATCAGGCCTCCTGTCTTTGGATTACAGCTCAGCCAATCGTGCTGAGCCCACACATCAATATGTGTGTACCGCTCGAAGTAGCTCTCCCTATACTTCTTGTTCTCCTTATCACCCCAGAAGAAGCAAGGCATGCTTGGGAAAGGCTTTCGTATGATCATCTCGCCTGCTTCTCCCGTATTCAGGATGGAATCGCCAGTATTTGGGTCCGCGACGTCGACATCAGTGCCGAGACTGAAAATTTGCATCTCCCCAGCTCTGATGGGTCCACAGGGGTCTGCTGCTACTAGGGAGGTAGCCGTATCTGTGCCGCCTGCTGTATTGCAGAGGTGAACATCGGACGGGAACGACGAGTAGAACCAGCGGTATTGCTCGGGCGATAAGGTTGCGCCTGTCGTGTATGCAATTCGCATCGATGATAGGTCGAACTCTTGCTTGGGTACAGTCTTCGACATCTCAACCTCAAGCAGATATCGGGGAGATGTCCCAAAGTATGTTACCTTGTACTTTTCCACCATCCGCAGGAGCTGTTTCGCGTCGGGATACATTGGACTACCATTATAGACGATTGTCTTTGCGCCGCATGCAAAGTAGCCGCACATTACGTAGAACACAACCCAAGATGTCGAGGAGTACTGTAAGATAACATCTGTTGTGGTTGTCGAGTTGTGGATGGCTGAGATCTTCTTTGTCTGCAGTAGGATGCCATGTCGATGGACGATACACTTTGGTGCACCTGTGGTACCTGAACTGTAGCAGATCATCAGAGGATCGTTGAATGAGGTCGGTGCGAATGTCAAAGGGTCGGAAGCGTTCGCTCTCGACATGAAGACATCGACAGGAGGGAATGCGCTGATCGACGAAACGATCGGTATGACATATGTCTGTGGCTTGGGCTGTAGCCTCGCCACTATCTGCCTGACTTTGTCCTCTGTCGAAACGGTCTTTCCCTTGTACACTGTATCGCTGTCGGCGAAGAGAATGGAGGGTGAGACTTGCTGCAACCTGGAGACGCAGCCTTCGAGACCCAGATCTGGGCTGATTGAGGTGAAGATGGCACCAATTGCTGCGCTGGCATGGAAGAGAACCATGGCCCATATTGACGTCGCGACTAGAGCTGCCACGCGATCGCCCTGCTTGACACCACTTCGTCGTAGTGCACTTGATACTAGCCTGACCTTCTCGCGGAACTCGTGCCAGGTGACCAATTCGCCATCTTCTCGAGTAAGATCGATACCTTCCCGCAACCCGACGAGAGCCATTGCATTCGGGTCCGGCTTGCTGAAGATCGCATTCTCGGCATAATTGAACCTCAAGCCAGGATAGAAGGGAGGGTTCGAGCTCATGGGCACAGTGTCATCGTAGGCTTTCGTCAAGTCGGCTGGAAGTCGTGGTGTGAAGTCTAGGTAGCTGTACAGATCAAGCCAGAAGTCTTGCGGTTTATCGACACTCCACCGATGCAGGTCTCGAGTTGTCCGTAGATTCTGGTAGTACCTTTTGTTGACATGCCGGCGATATTCGTCCATAGGTGTCCGGTTTGCATTGGCAGGTGTCCATAGTACCTCTGGTATCTGTTTCGTGTCCTCCATCGTTCGTATCGCAGTTGTATCGGGACTCAAATCCTAGGTGGAGCCAGTACTATGCGCAATGTCTTCTCAAAGATCATGTTGTTGTCGTCGTGCCGAGGAACGCCTCGGAAGTCGACGTCTCACTCCGCTTTCGCTCGCCTTCTTCTTCAATCGCACCACAGCATACCGACTCAATCATGTCCGCAGGACTATTACGGTCTGATGCAATGCACGGGGTGAATAGTTATCGCCGCAATGATATTCTGGCAGTACAGGATTTCCTTGGAGAGTGTCATCTCGGCTCACGAGCTGGTCAGGCATAATGGTCAATGGTCTTGATGCTCGGAGTCGCGCCTTGAGCGACCGTGTCTAATGGGACTGCTTCATGCCGCTGCTGCGCATGGCCTGGACAGAGCGGTAGTACAACGTCCGTCGATATGTGGGAAGTGCGATAGCTTCAACAAGGTAGCAGCAATCACACGAAGGCAATCGCCACCAGGCACCAACAAAGATCACGAGAAATTCGAGTCTCAAGCCCAAAGTGAAATGTAAGTACAGACCTGGCTCTCATAGTCATCGTCTCTCATGGCACCAACCTTCCCTCCTGCCCAATACCTCCTTGTCACCACACCATCAAGAGTCGTGGCCATAGACAACAGTGGCACCACAGAAATCTTCGCCAGCAGTAAAGCCGGCATCGTGGCCTCCCGCTTCAATAATAACCAGCTCGCCGTGGCCGATGGCCAGGTTATAGTGCTGCACAATACACGCCGCGGACAAGATCGCAGCTGGGGACTTTCGGCTCACGACGATGAAGTGCGCTTGCTGGAGAGCACTACTGACGGTTTCTTTCTCACCACGAAACTCACACACGGCATCATGCACTACGATGCGAACCGAGGGTGCGTGGGCAGACCATTACAGGTCCATAATGCGACCCCCGTCGCTATGGCCTCCTCGAAGACGTTCATGCTATTGGCGTCCAAGGACCCACCATTTGTCAGTCTGAAGAATCTCACCACTGCACAGCCCGCAGTCTTAATGCAGCCACGAGCATCGGGCACATCTATCGTACTGGCTACCTTCCATCCAAGTCGGCCCCACATATTCCTGCTTGGCTTTAGCGACGGGCTCATAGCCGGCTATAATACTCGGAAGTGCGAAGAAGACGGCTACGATGGCGAGTTCGGCCGGACGAAGAAGCTACACCGTGACCTTACCGCTTGTGCTTTTCTTCCTGGCCACGAATCTCGGATCGTATCTGTAGGTCTGGACGGTCGATGTCGTGTATCAGACCTTAAGACCGGCATTGCCATCAGGACTTGGCACGTCATGGCGCCTGTGACTTGCATCTCGGCAGCATCCGATGGTACGATCGCCATCGGCCGGCTGGACGGAAAGGTGCGTCTGTACAGTGGTGTGGGCGTACTGCAGGCGGAGTGGGCAATCGTGAATGACGAGAGGGTCATCAGCTTGGAGTGGGTAGCCGGCACGACACCTTTTGGTCGTCGGTTAAGCAATATACCAGTAAAGCGTATCGATGCAGCGCCTGGTGGTCTTGGTCTTCCGCAGGCATTGAGGCAAGATACCAGGTTCACCGTGCATCCCGATGAGCTTAGCCAGGGTACTGTGATACACCGACCAGTGACAACGAGGCCAGCCATACCTATCCCCGCTGCAGAGCACCCTGACTTACTCTCATCGCCTCAGCCCTTAAGACATCGCACCAAGCCTCCACGACCACGAGTTACAGCTCGGACATTCGTTTCATCGCGACGCCAGCAAAAGGCATGGCATCCTGGCAATGTGTTGGAGCGCGAGGTCACTTGGCTCACTGATTCAGTCCAGGATTCGTCTATGCATGAGCAGCATAGCTTTGATGGAGCTTGGCAGACGTCTGATGAGGAGGCGCAGGAGGGCTGTAACGAGTCAGCGGTAGCGCCTAAGAATGACAGGACGGTTGTGTTTGAACCGGCATCCGAGGATGTACGAGCGTTGTTTCCACGAACCTCGTCCTTATCTCCTGCTCGACGAAGGAAGACTTCAAAACAGCCAGTTTCCCCCTGGAATCGAGCCCGAACTGCGAAGTCACGGGTAGATTCAGCGCAAGACGGTGGAGACGAGTTGCGAGAGATGTTGGCAGCGCTCGAGAGTGATCACAGGCAGTTAGGAGAGAAGGTCAATTATATGCGGGCCTTGCTGCAGCGCAAAAGCTTGATCTAGTAATACAATATCTCGAATATGGCAGCTGTTCCTGCTAGAGAAAAGTCGTCTCATCTACTATTACACTGTATCATCCATCATCACCCACAACCGCCACGTCAACATGCACTGGATCATCGAATTGTTCTTGTGCATGATACGCCTTGTCCCCTGCCACCTGCTGATTGAGCACAATCAGACCTGATAGCGCGGCGCCAAGGTGACCATAGTCCGAGAAGCGCTTTCGTCCGAAAACGTGGACTTGCTCTCCATGTGGCCAGGTCAACATCCCAGTTCTCACTGCGAGGTAGACGCCTAGGCCCACTGAGGAAGCGGCGAGGGTGAGTATTGCTGGTAGATATCGCTGCCATACAGCGACATGGTACTTGCTGTTCCTGATGAGTGGCATTGTTGGTCGGAGCACAGGAACGTGAGACAGAAGCTCCTGGCTGGTATTGAGTAGAACGTCCGCGATGCCAGAACTTGCCGGCGCACACCATGGCAGAGTCATACCGCAAGCATTTCGCTGAGCCGCTACCTCTTCTTCGATCTTGCACTGGGCCAACGACATAACCTCCTCGGCGTTCGTTCTCAATTCGAGCTTCGCATGTATCCGCTCAACATAATCCACCACCTTGCTGTATTTCTTCCTCATCGTCTTCGCCAGCCAGTCTTGCGATAGTTGTGGGTATAGCATGAGGCTCAAATACCCAAAGGCTAGACAATCGATGCCGGAAATATCCTCACCATGCAGATACTGCTTTGCTCCAAGCATGTCTTGTAGAGCTCCAAAGAAGTTGTCCGCCAAGGCATGAAGCTTGAACACTGCAGAATGTTCTGGTCTCTGCAGCAGACTCTTCAATGTATCCTTCCGAGGTAGTAACAAGCTCGCTCGCTTCTGTGCTTCTACCTCGAACCCTTGGCCTTCCTTTCCCACGCCATCGAAGCCTGAAGGTCGATTGCTCAGATCTTCATGCACATCATCCACGTCTATACTAGAGACGCCGAGATGTTCCGTTCGTTGCCGCGCTGCTGCTCTTCTCCGAGGAGGGAGTAAGTAATTAGTATGCCACGGTAGGATCTTGGTAAAGGCTGAGCGGGTTGCCGTGTAGTTCTCGTATGAGACGTAGAGGGAGATGTCGAGGAGAGTTTGAGCTGAGGAGTGAAGGAACGATGCTAGGGCGGTGTCGTCGGCGGTGGGCCTAGTTCCTTTGAGGTGATTTGCAATACTGGCATACCCTCGATATCGCTTGCTGTTATCGACAAGTAATGGCAATCCTTCTCGGTCATCGTGGGTGGGTATGAGTTGCCAGTCGCCGACGCTGTTAAGTCGAAGGAGTGTTACTGCTGCTATACATCCTGCGTCGATTGATGGCAGGTCAAATGCTGGGCCAAGCACATATAGCTGCATCATTGGCTTTTGTGTATGCTGGTCCCTAAGTTTCACCTTTCACATGCTTCAAGCTCGTTGAGCCTCAGGCATTCTCGCATACACTGTAGGACTTTCGTGTCGCTCCTTATGGGGGACTCGAGATATTCCTAATGTCTCCTCAGTGGTAGTAACACCATGTGAGGGATAGTTACAGTAAATTGAGTGACCACTCTGCTCGTGGTGGCCGATGATACCGCTTGCCAACAGCATTTTGTCATGTACAGGTAGTGTATAGCAGGCTGTGTCGATGTCGATCAGCACAGCCCGACGTACCGGTCTCGTGATGTCGACCGCCATGGGGTACATCTGCTCGCACCCAAGGCCGGCTTGGAGCGAAGAGATGCTCGACGCAAGACCGATCATGGAGAAGCATAATGAGCAATCGACCGATGCTAACTTGATGACCACGACCGACAATCATGAAGAGCGCCCGCCACCCTACTCAGAGTACGTAGATGCCAGCGAGACACAAGAACAGAAGACATGGATGACTCGAGCAATGAACACACTATGGCGATTGTCGCCTAGGTCGAACGTCAAGCACGCCTTGTCACCTCTGACGCGACTCAACATGCGCAGAAGTGGCCAGTCTCCGAAAGCACGGAGCGACAAAAAAGACAAGCCACCACTACTCAGAATCACCATCGGACCCATCGATAAGACCCGAATTTCCTGCAGGTGCCGTCAAACAATCGACACTACACGAAAGCACCCGGATCTACCTCTTGGCCAAGTCCGGTGCGAATGTGGCTACATTGTCAACAGTGCCGGCTACGCTTACAAGTCCTACGGCAAGGTAAAAGCACCCTTGCAGATCAGCTTCGGACCTCTGGATGCCAAAAGTGTCAGATGTGCCTGTGGTCGACGGCAAGATACTACTCTCTGGGAACCAGGATTACCTACCGGACAGGTCCATTGTAGATGTGGATATATTGTGACAAGTGACGGACGTGCGTTTTATGATCGCTATGAGCCAGGCTACCAATGTACGTGTAAAGGCAAGGCTAAGCAGGGTTGCATGCGTTGCGAATCGCGGTGGCGTGAGCGGAATGGTATGGGCGAGTGAGAAACGGACTTCTTGTATTGAAGGGAGGTAGATTGGAGGCCGAGTAGCGCATAGATCGATGAAGGAAATCACTACCACTCGTAACTTGCGATCCGACATTATGATACAACTGTACAATTATGATTCACAAAAACACTTACACTTCACAACTTAGACACAAACCCGCTCTTATCGATCTACACTCAAGTCAGCGCAACCGTCTGTAACAGGGAAAGGAATTTCGTTATCAGAAGACTCACCTTCACCAAATACTCCTTCGCAATGTCCTGCACCTTCGTCACCCCAGCCAAGGCCATACAGAGTCTGAACTCCTCACTCAACAACTTCAACATCAACTCCACGCCCTCCTGGCCCTTATAAGCCAACCCCCACAACGCTGGCCGTCCAACCCAAACGAAATCCGCCCCTAACGCAAGCGCCTTGAATACATCCGTCCCATGCCTTATCCCACCATCAACATGTACGGGAATCTTGCCCTGAATCGCCTCCACGACCTCGGGAAGTGCGTCAAGGGTAGCTAGAGCGCCATTGAGCTGGCGTCCACCGTGGTTACTCACCACGATCCCTCGCACTTGATGGTGAAGGGCTAGTATAGCGTCTTCGGCCGTCGCGATGCCTTTGACCCAGACTTCCATCTCGGGACAGCATTCCTGCTTCAGCCACTCAATGTCTTTCTCCCAGCTAAGAGTCGGGTTCGCGGCGTGGGTGTGGAAGGTTATGGGGCCTGTGGGTAGGACGCGAGACTCGCCGTCTGTGTAGCCTGCTTTCGAACCCTTCTTCGCCTTCCTCTTCGCCGACGTATTAGCTGGCAGATTGTCAGTGCGCGGGTTCCCGCCATCCGCACCCTGCTCCTCATCGTCCTCCTCGCAAGCGAAATTCTCTATCTTGAAGTGCGAAGGCAGTTTGAACTGATTTTTAATCTCCGCATTCCTCCTGCCCAAATACGGTGTATCGACCGTCAAAAACACCGCCTTAAATCCTGCTTTCTTCGCTCTCGCAATCAATTTCTTACTATGCGCCCGCTCCTCAAACAGGTAAAGCTGCAGCACATTCGGCACCACCCCATCACATTCCTTCGCCACATCCTCTAAACTCGTCGTAGCAAAACTGGACAACCCCATCGCAATACCCTTCTTCTTACACGCCCTAGCAGTAGCCAATTCCCCATCCGAGTGAGCTAGCCTCTGCATCGCCGTCGGCGCTACACCGATGGGTACAGCGTTCTTGTGGCCGAAGATCGTGGTAGTGGTGACTATTATACTCACGTCGCGGAGGACGCGGGGACGGATACGGTATTTCTCGTATGCTTTGAGGTTCTCGAGCAGTGTCGAGCCGGAGTCGGCGCCTTCATTGTAGTAGTCGCGGGTCATTTTGTCCATGCGGGTGTAGGCTAGTTTTTCCAGGTCGTCGATGTTGAGACAGTTGAGGTCGTGGTCGCCTTGGGCCATGGTGGCGCTTGTTCTTTGCGACAGTAGTCGCGTGCTACAGCTGGTGGAGTTTGTGGGTATGTGGTAATGGTATGTGGTGAGGTTCTGGGTTGGTGATATGTGGTTGTGGAGACAGTATAGCGATATTGGTAGGATATGATAGAAAAAATAAGACAATGAAGAAGATGAGAAGGAAATACTTACGCTCCAGTCTAGACCTAGTGTATACTGCAAGACTAGTCTATAACCTAGGCATTGATGTCGATGACGATGAGGTGCTCCAAGCACGATCTCCAGAAAGTGTGGAGAGGGGAGATCTCACCAGCGGGCCGCTTCGAAAGTGATCGGACGGGTGGGAGAGCTGGAGATAAGCATGAAAAGTATTTTCGGCTGCAGGTTGAAGAAGTATTTAACAAAAGATCTAATCGGAGAGGTCTTCGCCGCGCCAATGCGTGCTTCCATATCCTTCTCTAGCTCATCGCAAAACGCCTCGCTTGCTCAAAGATTACCGCAATATGGGGCTCAACAGTCCATCATAGCACAAGCCTTCCCGGCTCCTTCTCCAAAGCCAACTTCATGCGCTCCAGGTACTCAACCGCTCGCTTCTCCTCGCCACTCTTCGCCACCACGCTGAACACGTTGGCGCCAGTAGAGATTCCAACAGCACCTGGTCGTCCCGCTATAGACTTCTTCGCCGTCGACTTCGGCGCAAGGATATCAATGATGTCCTGCTTCTTCGCCCTCCTAGCAGGAGCTGTCGATGATGGAGTGGCAAGGCCCATGACTTGTGGTGTATAGCGTCCTCGCGAAGACGCGGCGACCTGATCGAGTCCAAGGACAGAGTTGAAAAGATCGTTCGCCGTCGGCTTCCGCGACTTGCTGAGTGGCAAGTCCTCATTCGCTAGTTCACTCGCACGCGCGATAAATGTCGAAAGTGGTAAGAAGATACCAAGAGTATCGTTAACTTTCTTCTGCGTCGCAATAACAGCAGAGAGTGAAATGGGTACGGCGATCTCAGTCTCTTGCGGTATTTCCGGTACAGCCGCTGCCTCCTTCGCTGCTTCGGTCTTGGGCAACGTCGGTTTCGACAGCTGGATGTTCGAGAGATCCAGGTGACCGAGTTTAGTCAGGCGAGCGGCGGATTGTGATGGGTAGTCCTTCTTCACGCGACCTAGATGTGCCAGGACATCGCCTTTTAGTAGTCGGCCGTTGGGGCCTGAGGCGGGTATGCTATTCGCGTCTTCTTTGGTCAGGCCGTTTGTGTGGAGAAGATGCTCGACTGATGGGTAGAGTGGGTATGTCTGTTTTTGTGCGCGGCCGCTTTGTGGTTTGGTCTCCTTCTGTGCTGCGCTTGCTGTTGCTGCTGCGCCTCCTGCTGAGGCATCGGATTCTGGTGCTGAGGAAGGTGGTGCTTCTGCAGAGCTTGGGGAGCTTTCTGCTGGGTCGAGACCTCCTGCTAATTTCTCCTGCGGTGATGGCCTGTCTTTTCGTGCTAGCTGCCCTTCCTCTGCTGGCTTGTCTTCTGCTGGTATTTCGACACTGGCCGCATCATCTCCTGCCTCTGCTATCACAGCTATCCGGTACCCAACTTTGACCCCTTTGCTGCCCTCCTCTGACATGATCTTGACCATGACACCATCGTCCTGTGCCTCCACGTCCATTGTTGCCTTGTCTGTCTCGATCTCCAGGAGTACATCACCAGCTGAGAAGGAGTCTCCCTCCTTAACTCTCCAGTTGGCGATGTTGCCCTCGGTCATGGTGGGCGATAATGCCGGCATGGTGAAGTTTTGTGCTGCCTCGTTGCGGGATGATATACGGAAGCCTGGCATGTATTGTGAGCTCAACAGTTCATGGTCACATCCCTCATTAAGCTTACCTCTTCTTGCGGCGCATCGTGGAGCATAGCGCGATGCCAGCCTTGCCGACAACTTCGCAGTGTTGAACACACTGGCCATGGCTGCGATCGGTAGTGACCTGCAAATGAGTGTGCGTCAATGGTGGCAGAGTATCTGTAGATTGCAAGGCGAGCTATTATTATTATGCCGGCGCTGCTGGTTGAGTTGAGATGGACCAAGCTTCATGCAGCTGCAAAACCGCCGAACGGGAGTCCGCAAAATACGACCGAAACAACGTCTTCCTACATCTCACCTGCTTCGACAAATATCAATGATATAGACTTGGCCACTATGTCAACACTCTTCTTGCACGGCATACTACGGCTGCCAGTGTGTCTACGGGAGCAAGCCATCAGGAATACATCCCGAGGCCATATCTCGAACCATGGATATCAAGGTCTCAGGCTCAAATCTAACACAACATCAAAACCGCCACGGCAGTCAACAGGCAACCGCGCAATACCCTTTCCAAAGACCAGGCCTCCGGCATCATCATCTCCACCCAGAATTTCAGCCACGCCTTCACCGAAACCCACCCTATCCGTGGCGAGTCCACCCCCAAAACCCCCCAAGCCAGCCATCAAACCCGGCTCCAGCTATGCCGAAACACTTCTCCACACAACAGACGAGATCCTTCTCTACCGCGCCCCGGCCCACAGGTCCTACTACATAACCTCCTACATCCTCGGCGGGGCCCTCTTCGCCGGCGCCTACAACTGGGCCACGCTCGTAACCTCCTTACCCGGAGCCGATGAGAACAAAGGCTGGACCCGGCACATGGTTTCTGTCGCCAACACGCTGAGTACCGTTCTCGTCACAATCTTCAGTTCCGTCCTTATCATGGCGCCTTGGAGACTAGTAAGGAGTATCTCCTTACTCTCGAAGAAAGGAGTCGATGGCGTCAAAAGACCTATTCTGCAATTCAGTATGCGCCGACTACTCCCCTTCATGAAACCCAAGATCATCCAGACCCTCCCATCAAAGACATTTCTGGACCGGAAAGTCTCCGCAATGGATATCAATTTCTCATCCGTCGCACTCAGAGAAGCTCCTGCGTTCACAGCCACAGTCGACCAAGATGCACCTATCGTAGACAGGAAAAGCAATCCGGTCGCTCGTGGATGGAATACTTTCAAACGTGATATACGACGCATGTGCTATCGGGAAGGCATCGCATACCTCCGGCTCGAGGACCAGGGAAATTGGAAGTTGGATCTGCAGAATTGTGCTTTATTGGAGGAAGGGAAGCCGTTGGATCGATTGACCGTGGTTGATGAAGTTAGCAGGGATCGAGGGTTGATTGCTTGGGTGAGACGACTTTTGCAGGCTTGATGATTTAGGGGTTAGTGGGAGTGAATTGTAAATATATTTGTACAGATACTCTCGTAACTAGTGGGTTGCTGTATATGTGTTCATGACATCGTAACAGCTACTTGGCAGTCGGCAGGTGGCAAGTCGACACTGCGTTCCGAGGTCATCTCTTCCCCTTCTCATCGCCCAACTCCTCGCGTAAGATTCTGACTTGTTTCTTGACTGCTCGCCACAAAAGATAATTATCCAGATCCCCATCCTCCTCGTCCATCTGTCTCACAGTCCAAATCCAATCATACAGCCCCTTGAACGGCCGCGTGCTTTCATTCTCACAACTCCTCCCGTTACCTGGCCTCTTATGTGCCTCCAAACATTCCAAACAAACACTCTCAATAAACACGTCTTTATCCCTCGCGATCGACAGCAGAGCAGCGACCATAGCTTCCTGGAGGAATGCGAAGCTGAACCCGTTGGTGATCTTGGCGATGGCAGGACAGAGTTTATCTGGGAAGTCAAGATCGTCATTGTCGGATAGTTTGGTCTGCCAGTATTGCATGTATGCCGTTCGTTCCTTCTCATTAGGGTTGGGGAAGAGGTATTTCCTGTCGAAGCGGGAGGGGCGTTTGGCTATACCTGGGTCCTGTGAGATGTTAGCATCGCCGATAGTGTAAGAGACCATGTGTACGTTGTGACTTACAAGTCGATCGAGATGATTCGTCGACCCAACCATCAAAATTCCATCATTCTTCTGAATCCCATCCACGGCATTGAGGAAGTAAGACCGCACATTATCAGACACAATACTATCCAAATCCTCAAACACCAGATAACAAGGCGCCATCCGCCTCGCCATCATGAAAATCTGATTGATACTATACTCTGGCCCGGCAAAACTGGCCAACGTCTTGACATACAACGTCGGCACGGGCTGCTCGCGGTCGTAGAGACTATGCATCATGGCCTTGATACTGATCGTCTTGCCATTCCCGGGCGGCCCATAGAAAATTATACCTCGTTTCCAGGGGACGCGGAGGTGTTCGTAGGTATCCCTACTATCGAAGAAGTTTAGGACATCGGTTTTGATCGCGATCTTCATTTTGGCATCGAGGATGACGTCTGACCAATGGGCGTTTTGGACGCTTTCCCATAGTTCGCGGTTCTTGCTCCAAAAGCCACCGTCGAAGACGTAAATTTCGTCGTGGAGTTCGGCGCCCCAGGCTCCGGCCTCAAACAGAAGGCTGTTCGTGGCTTCGATGGAGGAGGAGAGGACGTATTGGTTCACGATTTGTGGGTATGGCGAGTTTCCGTCTCGACCATCTACTATGTATACTACGAATTCCTTCCCTTGCCAATCGAAGAGGTATTTCCCTAGCTTTACTATATCGGCGAGTGCTCCTCGTTGGCCGTAGAGACGTGTGGCGGGTGGGATGAAGGTGCGCCATGTGAGGCGGTCTTTTTCTTTGTCGATGGGAGCGATCGAGGCGTGGCCGGCGGCGGCATAGCTGAAGAGGTTAAGGGAGAAGCGAGGGACGACTGTGAGGTGGAGGTCGGGGTACTCGGCGCGGATGGCTTCGACTATGATTGTGTCTGTGTTGGTGCGTGGGGCGGAGGAGTGCTCGAAGTAGCGGGTTGCTGTTTCATTGTGGGATTGGTGAGGTCGATTGGCTGGAGTGCTTCCCGTCATGATTACAACTCTTGCGTTGCTTAGGGGAGAAAAAGCAATGTTATGAGCAGTACTGGCTGACACAACTAGTAAGGATGAGATTGAAGAGGGCAATGGAGCTGTATGTGGCTGCCTACAATGGCGACGTCCTGCAGGAAGCCATTGTGCCGAGAAGGATCACGAGCGTCCGCGGCGCTGGTTGATCTTGCCTCTTCGTAGCACGAGAGGCTGCAAGAGCATGGCTGCGTTACTTCGATACTCTAACCATCCATTTGGAGGTGGTGTGTGAACTATATATGTACTATAGTGACTTGGAGGCTCCAGGTTGAAGAAGCTTCGATGACTAACGAATCGGTGCTATGAAACAACACCCACGACTCATTCCAATCAGACTTGCCCTTCCTCCCTCATACCGAGTGATGAAGCTTCCCGCCCGCGGAGGCCTGTGGCAGTCTTCCTCCTCCGCAGCTACATCGCATTAGCTCAGGCCATGTTGCTAGAGATGCTCGCGCTGGCCTCGCAGCGTGATAGCGGCTAGCGACCCAGATATGAGTTTGCCAAATCTAAGATATGAGTTTGCCAAGTCTATGATATGGTTTGCCAGCTCCCCTCTGGTGGCGTGGGCTTTAGAGCCAGGACAATGCCGTCAGAACATAGAGTACTACTAACGCCGCGATTATCGACACCGCTCTGTGAAGACTCGGGTGTCATCGAGATCGCATCCTCAACAGGTTATTAATGGGCAGGCCGATCCTATAGACAGCAAATGGTTGGGTGTCACCAGAATATGGCGCGTCTTCTAGGTCCTGTGATCTCCTCGTACTTTGACTGGAGCGCAGGAAGCCATACGAGGAGTATAGGTAAGCGAGCAGGCCATGATTGGTATAATCGTGTAGATCGAAAGACTCACCAACTAGGGAAAGTGACAAACGTCGCTCCTCGGCGCCCCACTCGTTGGCCCCGCTGCAACACCTGGCTCGAGCAGGAACAAGGCAAAAACTTCCACCGCACTTCCCTCCAGGTCGTGTTCGGTCCGAGATAGCTTGCATAACGAGCATAACGTGGGACGAGGGATGTTCCCTGGCGCCACGTCAAGTTCGCGAAAGCGCTGCAGGTTTCCAAACGAAGGATTCATGTGGTACGATTGGAGGGCGGTTTAGTTTGACACCTTGTGTGATCTTTGGCACCTATACATAGTTGTTGAGCTACCCAAAACCGCTACCCAACCACACTCATCGAAGGAGCAAAGATGGACTCGGTACCTCATACTCAAAAAGTCGCCCTCGTCACTGGTGCATGCGGTGGACTAGGCCGAGCAATCGCAGAGAAGCTCCTGCGGCAAGGCGCCAATGTCGTCGTCTGCGACATCAATGAGAAGCTCATAGCCGACTTCAAGGAGAAAGTCTCAAGTGCCTATCCAGAGTGTACGCTTGTGGTGAAAGCAGACATCACTGACGATGCTGCTCTGGACGATCTCTTCGCCGAAACCGAAAAGACTTTCGGCCATGTCGACTTCGTGATCAACAACTGCGGTATCATGGATCGCTTCGACCCAGTTGGAGCCATGGAGAGGGACATGTGGGATCGTGTGATTGCTATCAACCTTACCGCGCCAGCAATGGTCACGAAGCGAGCGGTAAATTTGATGCTCAAGCACGACATCAAGGGCTCAATTGTGAACATTTCGTCGATCGCTGGCCTGCGCGGATTTGCCAGCGGCGCTGCATATACGGCTAGTAAGCACGGCCTCGTTGGATTGACAAAGAACACTGGTGCTTTCTACAAGGGCAAGGGCATCCGGTGCAACGCGATCCTTGCAGGCAAGTCTTTGCCTCTTAACAGGAGTCTGCTCGTGCCATGCTAATGATGCTTGTGTATAGGTGGCATGCAGACCAACATAGCCAGCAAGTACATTACCGAACAAGGCCTCAACTTTAATATGGAAGGATATGGCGTCCATGCCCAGGCCTGTGAGCGAAGAAGGCCTCTCGTCGTTCGACTGACACCAGGCTGATCATCAACAGTCCCGAATGAACATCTCATCATGGTCGAGATCGAAAAGATTGCCGACTTTGTGTCGTACCTTTGCTCAGACGCTGCTTCTGTGGTAAGTGCAGCAACGGTGTGAAACCGTATGTCAGACATTGATAAATCCTGACTATGACTTTTAGATCAACGGTGCCACGCTCACTGCAGACGGAGGATGGACGGCCAACTAGATGATGACTTCGCAGGTCTTGTGCGTACAATGAGTCGGTCGTATGAAGGAGGTCCTGACGAGGTCGAAGCTAGAGTCCAGCGACCTGTACGTCGTCAACGTATATAGCCTCGAGAAGACGACCATTCTCCTCGCATTATGAAACTAGTCTCGCCGTTCCTTTCGTCCATGTTGAAGACACTTTGGCCCAGAGCACGCCGTACATAGGCGCTAAGATACTATACAGCTGAGCTGTGCTGTGGTTGGAAGGATCATTTTAGTACCTAGCCAAGCTGTTTATGTCCAACACCGGATAAATTGCTCGTTGCCCCGGTTAAATCGTGCAGGGGGCTTATGTCGTTTGCGACATCCTGCGCCACGAGATTACGGTGTTGCAACAGCGACGGCTGGAACATAGCCTTGGATGATGGCAGTGAGCGCTGAGTACGAAACAATCTACAGCACCGGTCCGTATGTCTTGGCTCAGTTCGAGCGTGAAGACACTTGCTGTGCGCATATATGCGTTGTCGCGCACGCTACATGCACGGCACTCGCCAGGATGCTGCCGGGCCATGCTGCAGCTGCATCGAAAGTGTATGGAATTGCACTCCGTACCCTTTCCAGGCAAATGCAGGGATTGGGTAAGGATAAATCGTACAACAAATCCAGTCGGCTCTATTCGAACGCCATGTGTCCTGGCTAGGGCGGTCCGTGTAAGACAGTGCTTTGCAATTAGCTGTCTTCCGTTCCTCCGGGAAGCGAACACTGAGCACCGCTGGTCCGTACGTACTACCGCGCTTATTATCATGGTCGTCTATTCTCGTTATAGCGAATTATCGAGCCATTTTACGGATATTCCACGAACCAAAGGCATGCTCCGGATCTGGATAATAGAATTCACGGGCGAAAGAAGAGTTTTGAGGCTCTGCTGGCACCTAGACGCCATGGAGCATGAAGGTTGGACGCCCTCCGCTGGTCCTGAGAAGCATCAATCGTACCAAAATGACATGCCTCGGTCTAGCCTCGTGACAAATTCGCAAATGGTGCTCTTGCTTTCCTGCCGTACGACAGCGTGGATACCGTGGCGCTGGATAACCAGTCACGAAGACGACACACGAAACAAGGACTGCTCACGTTGCATGTACGACGGTCATCTCAAGGCCCTGATCCAGCAATCTGTTTGCTGGAAGTGCGCAATCAATATGTTGTATCGCAGCCGCAGAACTTTTAGGTGGTGTTCGCTATAAGGTTCGCCAACATGTCCGCCGTTCCGAGATCGACGTAAACGAGCATTTCTAATGCGCCCATCTTCCCCTTTCTGCTACTAGCTTGGCCGCAGAATGTCAAGCAACTCGCCGGGTCTGCCGGTCACGCAGGCCAAGAAGCGCCTCTGTAGCTCAGAACGATGTCTTAGCGGCCATGTAAGCGCATCATTGATCGTAATGAGAACCCGAGATCGCTTGGATGTGCGACAGAAGCAGTCTTCTTCGTGCTATGCAGAGGCGTCGTTGCTACTGCAGAATATGATAGAGCCAACAACAGCATGCGATTTAGCCAGCTGCGAGTTGGTAGACTGTGCGTCTCGCTTCGCAAGGCTGCGTAGCGGGACAAATACACTGGTCGCCATATTGCGGCACCGTGAACGGGCATGAAGTAGACAGGCTTTGGTCAATGCTCACGCCATCGATATTGCTTCATCATTTGCCGAGAGCAACCTCGACAGGCCTTATTGGTTCGTTTGAGCAACCTCTAACTCCAGACGGAGATGGCATGGGACCTCCCCACACACCGTTCTGAAATGCCTGTGGAGCTAGTGCCAGCTGCATGTTTGTCATTATTCGAGCTATATATTTGAGGGTAGAGACGCGATCACTCTTACCCTCCGTCTCCCTGCTGTTTGCTTTTCAATCTCTCTCTTTCGGAGGGCCTTTCTATCGATCGACTAAGTCCGTACCACCCGGTTATCGTCGCTGAAAAGGACTCGAGATGTCTACCGCTCAGGAACAAAATGCGTCGACGATGGAGATGAAGGCTGAGAATGGCACCCATGGTGTCGACCATGCCGCGAAGCAGCGCAAGCCATACGACTATGGTGGAAACCCACTTGCGCATATCAACACTGGCGACTCTGTCCGACTTCCTGCCTTCGGTGGTGAGTTTCAGCCTGGTCTTTACAAGTCGACTGAGGGCCGCAAGTTTGCCAACCCGGCTCCTCTCGGACTGAGCGCTTTCGCCCTTACCACCTTCCTCTTGTCTCTGATCAACATGGGCACCCGTGGTATTACTGGTCCTTCTCTCGTCATCGGTGCCGCTTTCGCCTACGGTGGTCTCGTCCAGCTGCTTGCCGGCATGTGGTATGTAACTATCTGGTGAAGTCATGTTGTGGAGACGATTTCTGACGTTGCACAGGGAAATGGCTGTTGGCAACACTTTCGGTGCTACTGCGCTCTCGTCGTATGGTGGCTTCTGGATTGCTGTCGCTATCATTCTCACTCCCGGAGGCTTTGAGATTGTCTCGAGCTTGACTGCAGCGGACGGCAGTGAAGTCGCATTTTTGGACTCCTTTGGTCTCTTCTTGATGGTGAGTTGCACGGTTTGTTCAGCAAGGCAAGCCGATGCTGACAAATTACAGGGCTGGTTCATCTTCACCACCCTCCTGCTCATCTGCACACTGAGATCCACAGTGGCCTTCTTCTTGCTTTTCTTCACCCTTGACATGGCTTTCCTCTTGCTCGGCATTGGTTACCTGCTCAACGGTTCTGGCGCGCCCAATGGTCCATGCATCACGGCCGGTGGTGTCTTCGGTATCCTCGCCGCTTTCCTTGCTTGGTGAGTTTGATTATCCACAATCCATCTATTTTATTGTACTGACGATGGAACAGGTACAACGCCCTCGCCGGTATTGCCGACCCAAGCAACTCGTTCTTCCTCATTCCAGTCGCCCATTTCCCGTGGTCCGACAAGGGCCGTGAGATGCGCAGCAAGGTTGACAACATGGATGCTCGCAACGTGCAGAGTGTATAAGTATTTCCTATCAGTATCTAGGGCACACAACAAGAGGTCGAGGTGTTTGGGCACAGATTAGCTCATTGCGTCGGATGTGTATGGATTTTTAGGATACCCTGTTTTGAATGATACCATACCTTAATAATATCGAATCGTCGGCCACCCACTCCCGTGGGCCACTTGCTGGACGGCACGCCGCAGCATATCGTCTAAAGGTCTACTTTCACCAGCCCGCTTGCCTTCCGCGTTCGACCATAACAACACAACTCCCGATGAATTGGCCTCTACACAGCCAAAGGTACCTTCTTACCAAATTGACGAAAGCGTAGAAAATGGCCTGTGCCTCCAGACTCTTAGCCACCACTTGCAAAGTGGTAGTGGACATTGATATTAGCTATGGGTACAGATAAGCGAGCCTGCCAGATGATCTACTACATCGGATTTCGCTCGTCTTTAGATGGGATCTGTCGACATGTGCGTCGACAACTCAAAACAAGACAGACCAGAGAAGAGTATGTGCATTGGGATCGTACGGTCATCGTTGTCGTAATGGAAGTGGTGAAATTTGAAGACCGTGTCCCTGAGTTAAATGTTGTGTTCACAAGCTCATGTACATGGCCATCGGGGCAGGGTATCTATCAATCGTCCTCTCATTTACTCAATTACACTCCACCACGGCAGATTCTTCGAGGCATCGTGCAAGCCAGGAGCATAATACGAACCCCTTAGCAGCACCAGCGGATAAGCATGTTAACATAAACACTTGATCACCGAAAATGACTATCCCAGCCGCGGTCGCGCGTACCCTCTATGCTGACAGGACCGCTTGGTGCGTGAATGACGACGGGCTTGCTCGGAGGTGTGGTGGAGCCACGGGTGTTCACCGGACTGACAGGCGGCATGTTCGACGCTGGCGAGGACATGAGCATCTACTTCATTGTGTTCCACTCCGATCCACTATGGAGGCACGCAACTTACCGACTGACCCGGTTGGAGTCTTGATCGAGCTCCTTAGCTTCTTGCCGCCCTTCTCGCTCACGGATATGGCCACGTCGGTTGTGATCGACTCGTCCATCAAGCTCGTCGCCTGAGACACCACCGATGTTGACACTTGGTTGGGCTGTTCTCTGCTGGTGGTCTCAGTGGGGCGTCGCCTGATGCGTAGAAGCCGAACTACGCACCAGTGCTTGACTCGTGAGAATCTCGTACGAATCGACGTTTTCGTAGCGGTCTCGGTCCAAGCGTTGACAAGTGGTACGACGCAGAATGAGTGGAGGGTCGTTAGGTCGCGGTAATTGTGGCAGGAGTGATACTGGAGTTGTACGACGGATGGGAAAGAGAGGAGATTGATATGAACAGCTAGCAGTGGAAGTGAAGGTCGGCCACCGAAGGGCGACCTGATTACGTGGTCATGGTCATGAGCGACAAGCTCAGTGCGGCCTCACCATTGCGCCTGCCTCTCAAGGCGTCAACAGAGCACGGACAAGACGACCGTGAGTCATCTGAATACCGTGCCAGGGAGACTCCAGGGTGAATGTTCGAGAAGAGTACGTATGATGTCTCGCATATGGCCGCTAGAGCTGCGAACATCTGCTCGCTTGCTTCCAGCACCGCAACATGCATACTGACCACAATCATTGGCTGGTACCAGGGTGAACCAACGCAGGTACGTCATACAGTGGATGCAATGCAGCATACAGACATCGAAACAGACCGCAGGCCGAATTTGTGTCTTTCGGCGAACGCGTCAGACTGGCCATTGATCAGACGGTCGGAAGGCGTCGCAAGGTGAGACCGCTGACAGTGAAGCCCCAACCGCCGCTGAAGATGTAGTCCCGTAGTCGATTTGGTATGAATGAGGCAGCACCTGGAGGCGCAGTGGTGAGGATGAAGTTCAGCTGCAAGCCTGAGGTTATTCATATAGTGAAGCTGATGCAGCTGCGCCTTTTGCAGAACGGAAGCTAACGGTAACCATGCCACATCGGGTCAGCGAAGAGCCGCAACCTCTCAGGCTTTACTCTTCGACCCGCACTTGTGGTCCAAGACGGCGACGAGCCCCGGTGGTGGTGTTTAGTTGGTACTACCAAACGCGAAAAGACTAGGCTTGCTAGTGCAGTCATTTTATTTATCTTACTGTCCACGGGACCATGTATCCGTTGCGAGGCTTGCCCGTTAGGAAAAGACAGGCATACGGCCTGCTCCATCGAGGTTGTTTCGGCTCGCACACCAAGCTAAAGGACCCACAATGCAAGTATAGACACGCTACATACCGTGTAGACGGCATTTGATTGACCGTGCCTGGTGGAGTGGTACTTGGCTGCACGCTAGACACTTTGCAGGTAGCAGAGTCTCCTTGAAGCAGTGCTACAGGTGCTTTCAATACTGCCTCTTTGGACAATGTAAGGAGCGGCCATGGCAAAGTGTGTACGGAAAGAGACGGGGCCAACCACTAGACGCCCTACATCGCGCGAGGAGACAAAGACTCCATGCCACGCGCCGGGCCCTGGGTCATTCTTTGCGACACGTTCATGGCCACTCCTTATACTGATCACCGAACCAAGCGATTAAGGCGGGTCCTGTGCGCTGTAGTACACGGAACCAGATCGCTATCCTCCTATACTCGGGTCCTCTCTGGAATAAGGCCGACTGTGATGGACCTACACAGGGTGTGATGGCTTTGCACATACTTGGCATCGTGGTGGCATTATGGTTCCGTGCGATCTGTATATGTCCTCCATGCCCATCGAAGGATGATCTCTCCTCGATCTCTACCTTGAACCCGACTACACAGGGATACATTGCCGTCCTTTCATTCTGTTCACATTCTCTTATTCAAAGTCCACCATTCACTGGCTCAACTTCCTTCCTGCTTGCTTGTACCATTTGAACGTGGTCACCTACCACAAAATGTCGTTCGCTTTTGCCGTTCTATGCTTCGGTGCTGTCTTGTTTGGAGTCGCATCAGCCCAGCAATACGCTGGCGACTTCATCAATACTACCCTCCCAGGCGTACCGGGATCCGAGATCGCGTACTGGAAGATCCGCGACGGCACCAAGGGCAGCAATCTGACGCTGATCAACTACATCAACCACGGTAGAGATGGACAACGCCTGGTACCGGCTAACCTGAAGCGCGCAGTCATTATTATACATGGTCTCAACCGGGATCCTGGCACATACGAGTCTAACATGCTGAGCGCCCTTTCGCAAGTGTCCGATACCAACATCAACCCGGACTCCGTAGCTATCGTTGCTCCCTACTTCCCTAATGGCGATGACAAGAACACCGGCGGCTACCCGTGGATCAATGGCCTCAAACCAGCACAGGGATCAATCACCAACTGTCTCGTCTGGTCTGGCTCTCAGTGGTCTGCTGGCGGCATGAATCAATACCCTTGGACGTCTAGCAAGAACATCTCTAGCTATGACGTGCTTGACCAGATGCTCCAGTACTTTGACAACAAGGCGATGTTCCCCAACATCAACCAGCTTGTCGTCGCCGTAAGTCACTTCCAGTGTTGCTGCTGCCAATCACGCCTGACACATGATCTCAGGGCCATTCACTTGGTGGACAGACGGTCCAACGATATGCTGCCATCGGCCAGCCAGGGAGCGTCAAGACTCCGGTCTCATACTGGGTAGCCAATCCTAACTCCTACGCCTGGCTCAGTACAGACCGCCCACTGTCGACCTCATCTTGCGCCACGTTCGATAATTACCGTGAAGGATATACCAACTTCTCGCAGTACCCGATGACCTATGGTCTGAGCCTTGTCAATTCTGGTCGCGCAAACATTTTGGCGAACTTCAACAATAAGGCTGTCAACTATGCTCGAGGTACACTGGATTTGGGCGACGATTCTTCGAGTTGTGCTCCTGGAACGACTGGCGCCAACCGCAACGAGCGCTTCTTCAACTTCATCAAAGCCTTCCCACCGAGCTGTTCTGATCCATCCGGCAATGCGTGTGATACTGTTGACTTCATTGCTTCTGGTCATGATGGTGGAGCTATGATGGCATCGGCTGCTGGTCAAGCACGTCTCTTCATCGACAATTTCTATGGCGATAGAAATCGCTCCTACGACTTTGGCTATCCTCGTCAACAGAGTGGGGATGACCCTTTCCCGAACCCGGCTCTTAACCAGTCAACTGCTGCAACCAACAATTATACGTATGCAGGGCAGATGACTTATTGGGGATGTTGGTCCGATCAGGACCCAGCCACCCTTACTAACCTGGCCTACGAAGGTCTCAACAATACCGTCGAAAGCTGCACGGCCCTGTGTGCATCTCGTGGTAACACGATCGCTGGTACGGAGAATGGTAACCAATGTTTCTGCGGCTCCTCTGTAGGCTACCTCGCCACTCAGGTCATTGACAGTTCCTGTGGCACTACCTGTACTGGTAACAACGCCGAGACCTGCGGTGGTGCTAACCGGCTATCACTCTTCAGCGCTGGCAGGCCAAACATATCAGCTGCACCAGGCACACCGGAGGTCATTAGCAACGACTGGTATTACACGAGCTGCTCTGTTGATAATGCTGGTCGCGTCCGTGCACTGGGAGACAGGTCGACTACATCTGACTCGATGACTTTGGAGAAGTGCGGCAACTTCTGTCAAGGCTCACAGTACTTTGGCATTGAATATAGCTCAGAGTGTTACTGCGGGAACAGTCTCAGCTCTTCAAGTATTGCTGCCTCGAGCGACTGCAATATGCTGTGCTCTGGCGACAGTACCGAGTTCTGTGGTGCTGGAAATCGTTTGACTGTATATCAAAACACCACCTGGGTGGCGCCAAGCAAAACTTCGAGTTCATCAGCAGCCAGTGGCACCCCGACTGCGACTGGACCCGCTTGTCCGTCCAGCGACGGCAAGACTGTGACATCGGGTGGCAAGAGCTTTATTGTTGAATGTGGCGTTGACCATGCAGTAAGTCTTCTACCAAAGACAAACCTCCCGGAAGGTCTACTTACTGACTCGATGGCAGGGCGGAGACCTCACTTCTCTGAGCGTAAGCAACTTCCAAGGTTGCATTGACGCGTGTTCCCAGAGCTCTCAATGCATTGATGTCAGCTTAGGGTCGAAGTGCGTGCTATCTCAAGTCTAGCTTAGGAGCCGCTGTTAACAATGGTGGAGTCTGGGGCGCCAGATTGATGGTTCCTTCTACATCGTCCCAGACATCATCGTCAACTTCGGGGACTACGACCAGTGTGCGCAGTACTTCTGTGGCGTTTACATCGGCCACGAGCTCGACAGCCGCATTCACCAGCCCTGGGACTTCTTCGACTTCCAGCTCCGCATCGGCCGCCTCTTCGACGGTCGTAGCCTGCCCAACTTCAGATGCAACTACCGTGACATCTAACGGGAAGTCGTTTATAGTGGAATGTGGTATCGATCATTCGGGAGGTCAGTGATCAGCTATAGCTAGTTTCCGTTTGACCATTGGCCATGACTGACATATTGCAGGTGACCTGACGAGCCTAAGCGTCAATAACTTCCAGCAATGCATCGACGCCTGCGCTCAGAATCCCGCTTGCGTTGACATGAGCTTGTCCGGTTCGGCCTGCTATCTCAAGTCCACAGTTGGAGAGGTTGTCAACAATGGTGTCTGGGGTGCTCGACTCCTGACCGGTACGACATCATCAACCCTTGTCCCTATTGGCAGTTCTCTGGCGAATCCAGCCACCACCTCCACAAGTACCAGCCTGAGTCTCGCACCCTCGACCTTCTCCACAAGTTTCGCCGTTGCCACACCTTCTGCGGTCACCTGTCCAGGCTCGAACTCGACTACATATCAGTCTGGTGGTCAGAGCTGGCTCATCGAATGTGGTGTTGGTATGTTAAACCATCTTCGAAAATAGCTGTGCAGGTGAAATACTAACCAGTCTTACTAGATCATGCCGGCGGAGACATGGGCAGCCTCTCAGCCAGCTCATTCGCAGCCTGTATCGCCGCCTGCGCAAGTACGTCCGGCTGCGTGGATGTATCTCTGTCGGGATCAGCTTGCTACCTGAAGTCATCTGTGGGTGCACCTGTATACAATGGTGTATGGGGTGCGCGAGCAATCTCTGTATCGACTTCCGCAGCCTCAACAACCACTTCGGCGCTCGTTACAACCTCATCTTCGGCAATTTCTGCGACAGCCACTGCAAGTACCCAGATGTCCTCGACCAGCATCACCACATTTGCGACCTCGACCTCGATATCGACCTTGTCCTCTAGCACAGCTTCAGCAACGCCTACCGCTCTCGCCTGTCCCGCAGGCAATAACACACTCTACACGGCCCCCTCTGGCAACACCTTCCTAATCGAGTGCAATATCGACCATGCCGGAGGTGACCTGTCATGGAGCTACGTCTCCAGCTTCACCGACTGCATCGACAGCTGCGACTCCACTGCTGGGTGCGTAGACGTCAGTCTCGCTGGCGCAGCATGCTATCGGAAGAGCACCCTCGGCGCTGCGGTGAGCAATGGAGGGGTCTGGGGTGCGAAGCTCGTGGGAAGTACGAGTAGTATTGCTGTGGGCTCCAGTAGTACTTCGTCAGCTTAGCGAGGAGTTCTTTTCTTATGAGTATCAATGGATGTAGGTAGGGTCATTACATTCTTAAGTGTGTTACTGGCGTCGATGGGAACTTTCTGCAATACTGGCCGGAGATTATATGATAGATGATAGAACGAACGCAGAGATGTCAGGAATATAGCACCATCAGTATACTAATTAACGAACATTGACAGTAGAAGTGGCAACACTCGCTCCCTCCTCATGACCGCACTACCTTCGTTTCAAGTTCGTAAAAGATTGTGTTTGATACTCTCCGCTGCGCCAACTCATCGCGGATTAACGAGAGTTCAGTTCGCAATCTCGACAACACTCTGATTCTGCATCGCCGCCTGCGAATTCTCCAATCGCTGCTGCATCATCGCCTCCTCCATCTGATTGCTCGACAATCCCGGCGCACTCGTTGGACTGATCAGTGGACTCTGATTCCCACTCACTCCCTGCAAGTAGAAAGGGGCTATTACTCATGCCGCGATTTGGTATATCCAATCCAGCAGCGGACATAGTCATGCGATGCAAAGAAGCCGGCTTGTTCGTACCTCCGCTCGACATGACAGACGCCATGCTCCGCTGACTGGCACCAGACCAAGCACGGTTGAGCTTCGGACGAGCCCATTCGGACCAGGATTTCTTGAGCTCGACTTTGCCTTCGATGTTGGTTGTCGTGTTGATCCCCGTATCGCCTTTCTTCCAGTCCACCGGGCAACCCTCACCAAATTCGTCCTTGAAAACCAAAGCGTCCAGGACCCTCTGCGCCTCGTCCACACTCCGCCCGACATCAGCATCGTTGACAGTGATACACCTAACCACCCCCTTGGAATCAATAATGAACATCGCCCGCTGCGCCACCCCCTGCTCCTCAATCAGAACTCCGTAATCACGACTGACTTGATGATTACAATCGCTCATGAGCGGGACGTGAACACCGCCCAACCCGCCTTCCATTTCAGAACTGTTATTCCAGGCTTTGAGGCAGTGTTCGCTGTCGGTTGAGCAGAAGACCACGGCACAGGAGCGGGAGTAGATGAATTCTTCCAGGCGGGCTGAGAAGGCTTTGATCTCCGTGGGGCAGATGAAGGACCAGGCCTTGGGAAAGAAGACGAGGATGACCCAATGGTTGGCTTCGGTGTAGCCGGAGAGGGTACATTCTGAGGTGTTGTGTTAGCTTCGTACATGTTTGCTGAGTCGGATATGAATGGGTGGACAAGTCTCACCTTTGAAGCCGCCATCTACTACTGCAGTGCAGCGGAACTCAGGGGCTGGTCTGCCCATTTGGACACTGCCTGAAGACACCATGATTGGCCACAGTTAGTCCAGCCTGCGTGGAGAGTAGAACTTTAGGGTGTATGCAGTTGATGGGAAAGGAGAAGATGCCAAGAGACTTCGACTGGTACCAAGATGACCAGCGGTCTGGACCCTACTTTACCATTACCGTGAACGTGGACTTCCGCATGCGTCGACCACAGTTCTTAGATGCCGACCGAGTGCGTCCCGCGCGGTGCCAAGCCCGATCACCACGGTCATGGAATGGCATTACAATGTCCTTTGTGCTGTTAACATGCCCGGGAATGTGAATCTACAAAGGCGACAGAGGTGTGGTCATTGTAGCCGACCGGACTGCTCCTCGATCGTAGACAAAGAAATCGCGTTCAGTGTGAGTGCGGTCGAGGGCCTCCAGGCGACCATGTGATGGTGATGGTCCATTCTACTCGTGAGGAGGGTAGCGGTATGTGGCCGCAGGTAATGATCTTGCATCAGACCTGCCATCGTCCTTGCTAGCCCAGACTGCCATCATACTGTCCAGTGGATGAGTATGACCTGATATCGAGGGTTACCATCATGAGGTGGGCGGACAGTCATGTCCAATGTTCAGATGCATGCCACGATGAGACTGAAGTCACGAACTCGTTCCAATGCCGTGGTCGTGGTCCAGCTCGCGTGGCATCCCGCTTGGACGTTCCTGGGATCTTGGCCGAATATACAATGCCACACCTTGCCACGCGATACCGTTAGCTGTCACACGCACAGTTCATACCGATATCGCTTCCTGCCTCATAAACATATTCTCTGCGTCACGACATCATCGACGCACGTCAAACGCGTCGCAGTCCTGTTTTCATCTGTCTCGGGCTCTCGGCTGGCCACCGAGCCAACGGTTTCTGCGGCCCGCCGCCAGCCTCCCCACTTTTTGTCCCGGAGCTCGTTCCTCCATCGCCCCCGCCATCTTGATAACGGCTGCAGCGTCGACGCAATAAATAGATGACTGCCAACTTTAGCTGATGTAGAGTTTGGCATTGCAAGTTACCAGCTTCCTGTCTTTGCCTGCTTTTCTGTACATACATCGGTTACAGCTGCGCCTTGGATGTCCGCGCATGTCAGGGAACGTGAGATAAGCCGGTTTCCTCGCTGCAGCATCCCGCCCACATAACCACCACACTGCTGTTATAACTGTTCAGTTTGGTCTTCACTGCAAACCCACAGCACTCTACCAGCACCATCCAAGCAACGATCAACATCATCCTCAACATCGAGGCCTGATACCAACCCACAACACTACTAGCTTACCCGCAACACAACCACGCAATGGCGCTCTCCGGCTTCCTCTTCCTCTCATGGCGCATCTTCGAGATCATCATCCTCATCCCCATCGTAGGCATGCTCGCCTACTTCGTCCACCAATACGTCCACGCCAACCTCCTCACACCCGACTACATCCTCGTCCTCTTCATAGTCTCAGTGATAGCGCTGGCATGGGCAGTCTTCACAACCATCGACTACCTGCGCGCAAGGCACGACGCGCTGTTCGTTGGACTATTCGACCTTGGCCTCGTTGGTGCATTGATTGCGGGTGTCTACTACCTTCGAAACATTGCACACCAGAATTGCACCAATCTAGATGCTGGATTCAACAATGGGAGTGGATATCTCTCCTTCTCCGCGAACAAGGCTTGTACTATGCTCAAGGCGAGCTTTGCACTGGCTATCATTGCCATCTTGGCATTCTTCGTAACCTTCGTAAGTTGATCATCATATCTCTCTGTTCATGGACCAATGGCTGACTCTTGATCCACAGCTCCTCGCTCTTTTAGTCGCTCGAAATCACCGCAATGACGATCGTGTGGTCGTCAAGCGCGAATATCGTACATCCTCGCGCAACCATAGCCGGCACCGTTCTCGCAGCCGTGATGTTCGCGGAAGCCGTGATGGTGGGTACGACAGGCCATCTGGCTCCCGACGAAGCCACCACAGCAGCAGGCGGCAATATTATGTGTAAACAAGGGAGACGATGAGATCCAGGATGCAGGGAAGGCGGAAGAACGATTACTGGGCGTACATAGAATTTGCGGAGTCTAGCAGAATGGGTACTGGAGGATGCTGTGTTGAACAAATATGGAGCGCTCACATGGGAAGAGCGCATTACGACGACTATAACGACCATTTGCAATTCTGTTTCTTGTACTTGATAGTTCCAGCGCGACATGATACCCACAAGCTACAAACCATGCTCTCATCCCACACCGTCGAAGTGATATTTCTGCCGCCCCATAAGCAAAGTCAATGCAATTGTCCAGACCAGAACACACTTTTCCCCTCCACGCCACCAACTCCCACGAACCTGGAAAAAAGTCAAGCAATATACGCCAGGAGACACTAAGGACGGCGGGCGGGCCGAATCACGTTTCGGCTTGCCGCGCGCTACTGTTCCAGCGAACACCTGCAGCGTGCATACAGCCTGCTCCCTGGTTTCAATCTACACACTACAAAGGATGAAAGGGTTTGGTAAGCCGGACGTGGTTCGTACGCCGAGGAAAACGTGGAGTGGTGGGCGTGTTTCACACTGAAAGTATGACTGCATGCGGTGCTTGGCTGTGCCTGCGATTCCTCTCTGCCGCGCCTCCTGGTGGTGGCTGCTGGTACTGCTCCTGCAGAATTTGATTAATATGCCCGTGGGCTTGAAGGTAATATGGTAGGGAGTGAGTCGGTGGTATAAGATGGAGCGCGGTAGGGTCTTGGGTCAATCACTGAGCATTCCTTCTTTATCGATATTGCTGGGCAATACTCACGGTCTTTCACGATCAGCTACAGTCACTCCCTTGCCACCGACTACAGTCATTCCTTCATAACGATACCCACGCTCATTTACAGATAGACCACCAGAACAGGACGAAACCCACCCGACTTGATCAAAAGACCAGTCACCCAACCACGACCATGTTGAACGCCGGCTTCGTTCTCCTCCCCCTATACATCTGGCCCACAGCCAATAGCTGGCAACCTCTCTTCGCCGCCGCCAAAGCCTACCCAGACGTACAATTCCAAGTCATCGTCAACCCAAACGACGGGCCCGGCACCGGCTGCCCATCCTCCGACTACGCCACCGCCATGGCCACCCTGAACTCCCACCCCAACATCCAAGCCCTAGGCTACATCCACACGGCCAACAGCTGGGACTGCGGCGACTCCGGCAGCGACATCTGTCCCTGCACCCGCCCCACCTCCGACCTCGAAGCCGAAATCTCCGCCTACCAAGCCTGGAACGTCCCGGGAAAATGCAGCAACGCCGATATCCATCTCACGGGAATCTTCTACGATGAAGCGCCTTCCGCCGCCTCCAACGCAGATTACATGTCGCACCTTACGACCTTCGCGGGCGAAACGCTGACGAGAGGAAATACTTCACTTTTCAATTCCGGGCAGAGCGTGGATAGTATCTTCTACAACATCGCAGACTACATCAACACTTTTGAATCTTCCGGGTCCGCCTATACTTCCCAGACAAATCAGGGCAAAAACGTAGGGATGATCAATCTGCAGGGGACGAAGAAGACGCAAACGACTATGATTATTAACTCCTTTGGTTCTGGATTGACAGGGATGCAGAATGCTGTGGCACAGGCGCTGGGACAGCAAAAGGTGGCTGGTTTGTATGTTACCGATCAGCCATCTTACGAGGCGTTTCCTAGTGAGTGGTTGGGGTTTGTGGAATTGGTTAGTCAGACCATGGGTGGGTTGGGCGGTGGGCAGAAACTGAAGTGCTGAAATTGAAAAGTGCGGCGGAAAAGTTTGACAGTTGGGTTTATGATTCATGTGTCATGTTAGAGAGTGTTTCTCTTCTTGCTCGTTCCTCTGGAGGTTCTATATGTATTGAAGCTAGTCTTCATTTCTTCCACAGCTGCTGGGATGACGTGCTATCATCTCATCGTGCCCACAAATCTGCTTGCAGCTGCCGTAAGCTGCTGCTTACCGATCTAACATTGCCTTCGTACTGGGACAAAACCTTCTCGTGAGGACTAGCTATTATGATGTGCAATATTGCGAGCTCATTTACCGTTCCCTGTAGCGAGCTTTCCGTTGTATAGTAAGCCCGCGGCTCGATCACGCGGTGTGATCGCTTTGTGACAGCGCAGAGCGCCTTGGATGTGAGCAATAGAGCTGGCGGTATGCCTTACTCGCCTCGTGAAGGTTCGCATTTGGCGCCAGTGCAAAGCATTCTTGGAGTATCGGCTTAGTAGCCCGGCATCGTGATATCGTGATGCTGTCAATCACGCTCGCACGTTCGATCTCACTTCGCAAGGTCCCAGTATTCCTCGTCATCAGGCCCCATACCCTTCTCAATACCCTCAGCAGCACAGAGATCCCGATTGGCCTGCGGCACCTCAAGCTTCGCAAGCTCATCTGTTCGTGTCAAGAATTGCATAAGCAGACCAGCCTCCGTGTGCCAAGAGACATGACAGTGAAATGCCCATGCGCCTGGATTGTCCGCCACGAGACGCAGCAATATCCAGCCGAATGCTTCCACTGAAGCCGTGTCGCGACGTAAGGGATTGCTAAGGTCAAGGTGCTCGTAAAGAGGTGAGATGTTGTCTCGTGTTATCCCATCCATAGGCTGCTTCATTGGTGGATAGCCATGGCCTTGGGCGAGGACAAAGTATTTGTAGCCGTGTAGATGTAGAGGATGATTTCCGTCGTCGAAATTGGAGACGAGGATATCTACAGTCTGCACGCCTGTCGTCTGGAGCACTAGCTCACGCGACTTGTCGAAGGCGATGTCGTTGATGAAAGCTGCAGGGTTCTCAGCGGTATTGGAGGCGGCGAACGAGCTATTGCTTTCTACCAATCCATCAATGGTGCGCAAAAGTGTCGTGGATCGTGCATCTGGTTTCCAGGTGCTACTGTCGAACATGCCACGACTGAGACGGTAGTCTCCAATCTCGAAATTCGACCTAAAGTAGAAGAAAGCATCTTCCTTCGCAGGTGCTGGAATGACTTCCACGGGCGCAAGCTCCTTCGTATCCATATCGCGGCACTCAGATTCGAGCTGCTCCTCCCAGTCTATCGAAGTCGGCAGTTCTTCCGTGTTCGAGTACCTGATTATGCCATAAACATCAGGCTGCAAGGTCTTGGGTGCGTCGGTGAAACACTGCGTTATCATGCGTGCGCGGAGCCAGAAAGAGTCAGCGGTCGTAGCAGTGGTGTTGATGACAACACTGTAACGCTGAGCTGGGTTGATATTGATTCTATGGAAGTTGGCGGGAACAACATCCGTCCCGTCGACCTCTGTCACGGCAAGTTCATGCTCGTCAATCTGGAATTGAAATTCGGCAAAAGCGGCGACATTGATGATGCGTAGGCGGTGCGCTCTATTGGGTCGAAGTCCGAAGGTTGCCTGCCCAACATTCGCTGTGCTATTGTCACACTCACGATGTGGATATTCATCACAACTTCTGATGTTCTGACCATTGATCAAGCCGCTCTCGGGTACTGGTTCGGTGTTCTCCATATCCGGCTTCAGATATTGCCATAGAAGTGCAGACGAGAGATCGTGGTAGTGGTCAGACACCATGATTACACGATCCGAGTCATATTTGATCTGCTGGAGCTCTTTTTCCTTCCTGCTGTGGATGATGAGTGGGCCATGCATACCATCAGATGATTGTACGCCCTGATGTCCATGCCACCAATATGTACCACTCTGTCCGGGCACGGTGAACTCGTAGGTGAACTTCCCGCCCGGCGCAATAGGGCACTGCGTGATGCCGACGGTGCCGTCCATATGTGGTGTGCCATTCTGGTAGATACCATGCCAATGTATGGAGGTTGCATTGACAGCTCGGTTATCAACATGCACGACAATGGTGTCGCCTTCGTTGACCTCGATCATGGGTCCAGGGAACTGGTTGTTGACCAGAAGCATAGGTCGATAGACACCATCCGGATTGTGGACCTGATCGCGTACAGTCCAGGTATATTCTCTCCGTTGTGGTTTGGCATTGAAGTCCCAGTGCGGACTGAGTATGTAGTCACTCGTATGCACTCCCAGGGCCTCCTCAACTGCCTCTCTTGCATCGTGTTGCAGACCAAAGACGAAGCCTACCGCAATCAGGACCGCAAACAACGTCGCTCCAGCAATGGTCGCCCACACGGTCCAATGCCACCGACGTCTTCTCACCGGTCGTCTGAAGTCTTGCTCGCTGCCAGCATCTTCCCCATCTTCCTCCTGCTTCCAAGCACCCAGAAGGCCTTGCTCTTGCTCAGCAGTACTCGAGCGCTTCGAGATACTGCTGTGGTCAGAGAGCTCGTGCTCTTCCTCCTCGCTGTGACGATCCATGTTTTGCACTCTATCAGTAGAGTACAGTCAAGATGTTCGCCAGAACAGGTAATGTCCGGGATACATTTGCCTCGCTACGTCAACGCTCTCGGATGTGCTATCCGATGTTCGGGCGTCACAGCCGTCTGTCGTCTGGTCTTGCACACGTGCCTAGAAGATGGCAAAAGAGATAAGCCTCACCTCGGCGTCATGTTCTACGTTGACGAATGATCCTCACGGAGTGTCTGTTTCTGCAATTGTAGAACTTGCCTTTCTTGGTCAGACGAGTAGATCCTGACCATCATCTTGTCTATGAGAGGCCAGTGTCCAACACTGCACTTGAGGCGCCACTTTGACCTGCATATGCATATCAATGGCGACGGCCCGCCTGTATTGCGGCTGAAGTCACTCGGACAAAGCGGAAGTGTCTTGCAGACCAATCATCGTCTCGATATCGCCCACATGCTCAACCTCACCTCGAGTCGCTCCTTCCGCAATTATGCTTGATCGGCACAAGCGGAGACGCCATCCAGGAACGATGCATGGCCGAGGAACTCTTTGCGGAATGGTGGAGCTTAACGAAGTGCTTAGCTTCGTTATACGGCACCGTACTACTGCATCAGAGCTTCTGGAAGTCTTCACTGCTTGCAATCTCTTGCCCATGTGCGCGCTTCAGCCAATGAGATGCTACACACGCTGTGGACAGCACTCGGAATCGGCACCAGATGCGTGGGACCAAGGACAATATTCCTCACTCGCCACACTTTGCGAGTGTCCTAACGAGAACGTGCTTTTGAAGTGAGCATGGTAATATATTCCTTCGCGCCTTCTCCCACTTTCGAAAGGTCACCAACGTTCTTTAAGCACTTCCCAGAGAGCATCTCATCAGGCCTCTAGTATTCTTTTCCTGTACCCATCGACAAGATGAACGCTCTCGCTATCACTGCTCTTGCCATTTCCGGGGTCTTTGCAGCACCGCCTCCACCTCCAGGTGGCCCAGCTCCTCCTCCACCTCCACCACCTCCCCCAGCTGGACCAGGTGGCCGCCCACCACCAGGCCCTCATGGCAGCTCCAATGGCAATGCCAACGCCACCGTCCCAGCGCCCTCTGTGAACACTGCCACAGCTGCTGCCTCTGTGGCCGCTGCCGCTGCAACTGCATCCACCGCAGCTCACAACACTGGTGACGTACCAGGCCGTGCCTTCGACCGCTTCATCACTATCTGGCTCGAGAACACCGACTACTCAAAGGCCGCTAATGACTCGAACTTGCTCTGGTACGTCTGTATAGCTTGTACAATCCTCCATCTACAAATGCTAATTCCTGAGCTTTAGGCTTGCTCAGCGCGGTATTACGCTCGAGAACTACTTCGGTGTGACCCACCCGTCTGAGCCCAACTACGTTGCTGCCGTTGGTGGCGACAACTTCGGTATGGACAACGACAACCTCAACCAGGTTGCGTCCAACGTTTCCACCGTCATTGACCTCCTTGAGGCCCGTGGTATCACCTGGGGTACTTACCAAGAGGACATGCCCTACACCGGCTTCGAGGGCTTCTCCTGGGTCAACCAGCAGACCAAGAAGAACGATTATGTTCGCAAGCACAACCCACCAGTCATCTACAATGCCAACACCAGCCCCAAGCGCTTGAGTTACCAGAAGAACACGACCGAGTTCTACGTCGACCTCAAGAATAATGCTCTGCCGCAGTGGTCGTTCATCACGCCAAACATGACTTCCGATGGCCATGACAGCTCCGTCACGGTTGCCGGCGCCTGGACTCGTGCTTTCCTCGAGCCCCTCCTCTCCAACGAGTACTTCATGAAGAACACCCTTATCCTCGTCACCTTCGATGAGAACCACACCTACACCCTCGCCAACCGCGTGTTCACCATCCTTCTCGGTGGCGCAATCGCCGGTAAGGAGGGCACCAAGGACACTAGCTACTACAACCACTACTCCGAGATTGCCACCGTCGAGGCCAACTGGAACCTCAACACCTTGGGACGATGGGATGTTGGCGCCAACGTTTTCCAGACCGTTGCTGAGAAGACTGGTGATGTTGTTCGTTCCAACGACGCCGTCACAGCCGCCAACCCAACCATCTTCCAGAACAGCTCGTACGCTGGTCCATTCAACAGCGATGTTGGCTTCGCTCCTTACCCAGCACCCAATGTCAACATCGTCTCCCCAAAGACTGGTCGTACCGTTCTGCCTGCCATCCAGAGGCAGTGGGGCAACAAGCCTTCCATCTACAACAATGGTGTGGTCATTCCTGACGGTCAGCACCCTCCTCAGGGCTATGCTATTAACACCGTTGACAACTAGCTGTGCTTCTTCTCAAGCGATAGATGGGGTATTTAGCATTTAGAGCACAAAACGGCCTACTATTTAGTATGACTGACACATACTCATGAAGATGAACACTCGTTTCATGTCGTCGCAAGTTTGCCCACCTTCACATGAACCATCCCAGTGGCAATGATCGTGCCTCAGCTATCTCCAGGCTCCTCCAAGCAATTCTAGCCGCACTCCGTCGTCGTCAATCGCTAAGGTTTCGGACAGCGTGGCGTCGTTAAGCTTCGATCTTTCTGCGGGCGCGGGGAAGCAGAATTCCTCGACTTCAAAGCACAAAAACACGTGGGTGCCGTACGCAGCCAGTGACGACGGCCGATCATGGTTATGCGGCCTTCTAGTTTCCAACCTACTGCAGGTTCGTGTGTCGATCAATGCGGTACGTGGTGGTAAGCATTAATTGCTCTTTCGCTGTTCGTTCGATACTTCTTATTACGCTTGGCTGTCCATCTCTTGTACACTTCTCATTGGCAAATCTTGGCGCATCAGTGAGGTTGAATATTGATACTATGGCAGCTTTGTTTGTAAAGTCATTACTGTTTCCCAGGAGTAACGAGAGCAGATACTCGAGGCTACCGACACGAAATAATACCACGACAACAGAGTTTGAACGAGGTACTTCAAGAGACTCAGGCGTCGCTATGAGCGACTCCGGATCCATCAACGAGAAGATCGCGGCGGAGCATGACAGCAAACGACTACTTCCAACCCGTATGAACCCACGTATCATCAGCGACGCAACAATAGGTCTCAGTGACGGCCTCACGGTCCCTTTCGCCTTGACAGCCGGCCTCTCGGCTCTCGGAGACACGAATGTAGTCATCTACGGTGGTCTGGCTGAGCTAATTGCGGGCGGTATCTCAATGGGACTCGGAGGATATCTAGGTGCTAAAAGTGAAGCTGAGGCTTACCAGGCCGCTCTTTCCGAGACGAAAGCCATTGTCGCGGAGGATCAGCAGACTGCTTCTAGCCTTGTCAGAGGCACATTCACTCACTACGACTTCTCGGAACGTGTGCTGGATGAGATGACAGAAAGCCTGCGGGCTTCGCCACCGGATATGGTCGATTTCTTGATGCGATTTCATCACCAGCTTACGGAAGCTGACTATGCACCGTCCCGAGCATATATTTCTGGTTTGACCATCGCGCTGGGATACGTTCTTGGTGGACTGGTGGCTTTGTTACCATACCTCTTCATGTCCAGTATCCAAAACGGCTTCTACGGGTCGGTTCTCGTCATGGCGATTGCGCTGTTCGCCTTCGGTTGGGCCAAGACTTCGCTTGTCGGTGAGGCGAACCGCATGACTTGTCTGCAGAACGGCATGCAAATGCTTGTCTTGGGTGCTGTCGCTGCTGGAGCAGCCATGGGATGTGTCAAGGCCATTGGCTGAGACGTCAAGCGACTTTAACTTGGCGGGTGGCGTTCCCACCACGACCGATATCAATGACTATCTCGTACAAGATCCAGCAGTTTGCCAGGAAGAAGGCGATACTCGCAACCCAAAGAGCAGGCGCGAAGCTCGATATGCCTAGGAACTCCAGCCGGTAGCCTTGCTGAAGCCACAAAGCTTGACCGAGCACCCACGCGACCAGCATGACGATGCCACGGCGTCCCCAGAGCAAGGTCGTGTCTGGCAGGTAGACCGGCAGAAATACCAGATACCAGAGGAAGTACTGGCTGGTGCAGACCTTGTTGAAGGTGACGAAAGCGAAGGTCTGAGCAAGCATGGTGCCTGCCAGATTCTTTCTTGCCAGTGCTAGTGGAATGATGATGACCGAGAGCAGGAGCTGCGGTAGGAAAGCAAGCGATTCGATACGGAGGTGCGCAGTCTCGCAAGGGTATGCAGAATTGTAGTGTAGAACAGTGTTGTAGACCGAGAAGTTGTGGCGATGATCGATGCGAGTAAAGTGGTATAGGAATGTATGCTTGAGGAACGATATACCATAGCTGAACACGAGATCAATGAATGTGGTGTAAGAAAACCTCACACCTGACTTACTATTGCATCATGACGAAGTTCAGCGCCATGAATGTTACAAAGCTGGATAGTGCTAGTCGAAGTCTCAGCCGATTGATGAAGGACAGAGCACTTTCCAGCCATTGTGGTCGATCTCGGTCCTTTCGTGCCACTGGAACACTGCCAGCTTTACTGCGATCAAGCCATACAAATAGGCTTGCGGCGTAGATGAACGGGTAAATTTTGAAGTGAACAGCGACTCCAAGCAGGATACCTGCAATCCCAATCCGCCGTTCCAGTGTAGCCCACAACAAAGCGATGGTAAGCAACGCTATTACGCCCTCAGAACTTCCCCTGGCGGATATACTGGCCACGATGGGGTTGAGAAGCCAGATGCAAGCATAATTCGTGGCCTTGTCGAGACTCATACGTTTCCGCAAGATGAGGATGATAAGCCAGCCTGTAAGGATATCTGCAATGCAGAAGAGTGCTTTGCCGAACTCGAACCAGAGACCTCCCCAGGTCGTGGGATACAGTAGCCATGCCAGTAGTGGTGTATAGCGGTATGTCGCTCGATCATAAGGAGACCTGTTGTGCGAGAGGAAGCGAGCGGCATCTGTGAAGACCAGGTAGTCGATGTCTGTGTAGCCAAAGTATAGCAGAGCTGCCCGTAGGATGGTCGCCGCCGCGAAGGCAAGAGAAGCTCTCATGTTAGTTGACTAAGCATGCTGCATCATGTTGTTCTTCACAGGGATGTGGATGTATTTCGCCAAGGAGACGGGATTGTCTTGCGACGTTCATGACTAAGCGGCATTGATCAATCTTGCAACTTACTCGGAGTGTTCTTCTTCCATCTTCACCGACATCACGGTCGACTAATCGATAAAACAAATCTCGACAGCAAGTCGTTCATTCATACGATTTGCACGAGTCCCGTGATCATATCATTATCTGGCTCGCCTGTACCAGTATCTGATGCCCTCGCGGCAATCCGTCCTGATTCGTGGCAGGATGCGCCAGGCGAAGATTGCTCAGCCTCGTGCATTTGGGGGCCAATGTATTACTCCTTCAGGATAGCATTGCGCTCGACCACCGGTATTCCCATGACACGAGCAACAAAGCGTCGGTTTCGCCATCGGAAAGGTTGATTGAAGCTTTGGCTCCCTTCCACTAATCTAGCTGCGCCTCGAAGCAATTTTGAGCTTCTGTGCATGATTAATGGTATAAGTATTTGCGATTGTTGCGCTACGAGTGCAGCATATATCACACCATTCAAAGCTGAACTTGCCTTGCCAAGTACCTTCACTACACCTCCAATCAACCTACTGACAGATCTCCAAACATGCCTGATCGAAGACGAGGACCTGCCGGCATGCTTGTCGGCCTTATCGGAGCTGGTGTGGGTGCAGCAACCGAGTACCACGAGCATCGCAAGGAGCAAAAACAGCAAAAGCTATCACGAGAGAACTCTCAGCAGTCGGAGAATCTTGGTGTCGGTAGCTCTTCTGCCCCACAGCAGTCATCCAGAGATCTCGGGCCTTCATCTGGTGCTCCACCAGTATACGAGGATGTACCAAACAACAACAGGGACCGTTTCCTCGCCTCCGGAGGCCCAGTTGCAGATGAAAAGAAGCAAGACCTCTCCCAGTACGACGAGGACGACGACAGTGACGACTCCATCTCTACTGAGGAAGACGAAGAGGACTGGGAGCTGGATGAAGTCGGTGATCGAGCTTTGGGTAAAGATCCGGCCGCGCCACCTTCATATGTCCAAAGCGAAGCCGACTACCGCTCGACAGACGAGCTCGTGCAAGATGTCATGCTCCACAGCCAATCAGCCGCACGTAACCAGCACATCCGTCCACACGAGCCACTACCTCTGCCTGTCATCCTCCCGCAGCGACGACCCGGCACAAAGGCACGTGGCTTCGTACGTGCCTACGCACCTGTCTTGGATAATTCTGGGATCGATCAGGACACCTTCATGAGCTTCCTCGATAACTTCGACAAGTCGTCTCAAGCCTCGCCCATCTTCACCGTGATCCAAGTCTCGGCAGCAATCGCCGGCTTCGCACCTAGCGTCATCGCCATGGCCGTCACAACTGCCGTGCAAGTAGCTGCGAAGACAGGGGCCGAGATTCAAGCGCGACAACGCACGAATCATTTCCTTGACCAGGTGAATGAAGACCTCTTCAAGCCAGCTGGTCTATACGCCTTCATTATGAAATACAAACCCGACTCCGAAAACAACCAATCCCTCGCCGCACGCTTCGGCTTCTCAAGCCAAGTCGTCGATCTCTCCACCAGCCAAACCATCGCCAAATACGCCCGCACCATAAGCGGCGACAGCAACGCCTCCAGAACCATGGGCGACCGCATGAAAGACCTCCGCCTCGGATCCGGCACAACACACGGCAGCCTACGCCTTCCCGAAGCCGCGCCCCTAATCTTTCCAGCCATCGACGCCGCAATCCTCCAAGATGGCGCAGAAGAAACCTTCAAGACCAAGGCCAAAGGCGCCAAGCTCTTCCTAGCAGACTACGTCGATCGTCGCAGCCAAATGAAGTACGCGGCCAACGACCCCGATTCTGCCTTGAACGTGCCCCAAGACCAACGCGCCTTGAAGTCTAAACTTGCGGACCCGAATCATCCCATGTGGCAAGGCGGCCTCATAAACATGGCTACAGGCGGGTATCTGGAAGGCGGGAAACAGCAGTACCGTTCGAGTAAAAGGTTCGATAGGGATGAGAGGCGGGTGTTGAGGTATGAGCAGCGGATGGATCAGGGGAGGAGGTTGAGCCGCAAGAAGCAGAATCGGTATGAGCATTTTCTTGCTGAGAGTGATAGGTTGGGGTATGCTGAGCGTGGTAATGACAGTTATGGTGATGCTGGGTATGGGCGTCGCCGGAGACGGGGGCGGGGCGGATTGATTGGCGGGTTGATCGGTGCTGCTACGGCTGCGGCGTCGGGATCTTCTTCTTCTTCCAGCCGACCGGTACAGAATGAGTACGCGCAGAATGAGTACGGACAGCGAGATGCTCGAGCGACGGGTTCTGAACCTCTAGCCCCACCTGCGATGTACCAGCGCTACAGCAGACATAGCCAACGGGAAGGTCGTGGTGGTGGACGTGGAGGCGCTATAGGGGCAGTGAAGAGGATCATGAAGGAGGATGTGCTATACCTCATGATTGTGAACATGCCCTCGGAAGCCGAGTTAGCAGAAGCCCGGCAGGAATTGGCCAGGATTAAAAGCCCATGATCAGAAGGGTAAAGAGGGACCTTTAGTCGCCGCTCGTGGAATACAATAATCTATACAAATATCATACACCACCTCACCCCTGATCCTCCCACTCCTCTTCTTCCTCCTCATCTCCACCCATAATCCCTCTCCACAAATCCCCCCCCAACCCCTTCTTCTGCACCATAGCCAACACAAGCACAATAGGCAACTGCCACACACTGGCCCAAAACAACGCCCTCGCACTCCCCCTCTCCGCATTAAGCCACCACATCCTCCACGCCTCCCTCAACATCCATCCGTTGATCACGGAACTCGTGACCACAAACCCCGGGTCCGTGACCTGATACCAGCTTAACCCGGCACAGATGGGGAACATAGCCAGACTGTACCTCAGACTCACCCTGGCCGCCATGGGGATATTGGTCGAAGTCAGCATGCGATACCCCGCCGAAGCGTACTCATGCCGCACCCCATGGGACAGCGCGAAGAAATGCGGAAACTGCCACGCAAACAACAAAGCAGCGATCAACCACCCCCCAACAGCCTGTTCCGTGAACAACAATTCCCTCGCCTCCCGGCCAAGAGATCCCAGATCCCCAATCGAAGCATTAGTGGTAGAATACTGAGAAGCAGCCGCACACCACCCCATCAAAGGCGGGATCGCCCCCACCACCGCTCCAACCCACGTATTAATCGGATGGATCCTCTTCAACGGCGTGTAAGCGAAAGCGTAAAGAGCGATATTACTCGCCCCTAGAATCGCGGTGGTGGGGTTGACACCCTCCCATAATAGGATTGTGCCTAGGACTCCCGTGGCGATGGCGAAGAGCAAGGCGGAGCGTTTACTCACGAGACCTCGGACGAGAGGTCGGTTCCGCGTGCGGGACATCTTAGCATCGTAGGCGGGCTCGAAGAGCATGTTTAATGTATTCGCGCTCGCGATCGCCAGGAATGTTCCAGTAGTCAAGTACAACAATGTCAGTGTACTTAGACTCGGTGCCGTCGTCGCCGTAGCGCTGAGCAGATCCGGAACGGGATAAATCGAATAACTCGCCGTTGTCGTCAGCACTATAAGAAAAGCTAGACGCGGTTTGGAGAGTGCGAGATAGATGGAGACGATCCTCCGCCAGGATTTCGCGGGCGCGGCGGCGGCAGTTTGGGAGAGGGTGGAGGAGGCGTCGGGGGGGAGTTGGACCTCTTTCACTGCCTGCTGTGATGCTGCTGCCTGTGCGGCTGCTGCTGCTTCGGCCTTTAATCTTTTCCGTCGACGATGTGGTGGTTCTTCTGTTGCCGTCGGCGCCATAACATCCTGTATCCTCTCTCCTCCGCCTCCTCCTCCATCCACTATCCCATCCATCCCCGCAATAGCCCCATGACTCTTCCCAGCGAACACCTCAGCTTCCTCTCCCCGCTGCTGCTCTCGATGACTCCTCCGAAACGCATTGGCCCAGAAAAACGTCTTGTCCACCCCCTCACTCCCACTCCCACTTCCACTCCCATTCCCACTCCCACCCTTCGCCGCTACCGCGCTCTGTCTCCTCTTCGCTCCGACATGGAAACCCCGGGTGCTATCCTGCTTCTGTGCTGCTTGCGCCAGGCGTCTAGCACATCGTATACATATCGTGTTATTCCGAGACAATAGCAGGCCTAGAACAGGTCGCCGCAGTGACATGAAGGGAGAGGGTCCTGATAATCATGGAGACGTAAAGCCAAACATGCATGGGATGCCAGAAAGTCGAGATGCGCGAGACGTCCGTGCACGCGTCATGGAAAAGCTTCCGAGCGATCAACACAGTACACAAATTCTGGAACATGGATATGCTAAAAAAGGAACTCGATTTTTTCATGGTATCTCACTCTAATAGTTTGCGTCGTAGTCGTGCTCTCACGCCCACTTTTCATCCGCATGATATGCCCTCTCACCCAGACCCACAACCACGCCTCAAGCACCGCCTCCACCCACCCCAAAACCATCCCCAGATATGAGTTCCCTAAGCATCCAAATCCAACCCCAAATCCTCCTCAGCCGGCACCACACGCAACGTATTCGTATGCCCCATGCCGCCCCTCCAACCCTGCACACACACGACCGCATCCCCCTTGTTCAACACGCCCAACTTGATCGCATTCGTGATGCCCCACTTGAGTCGATCATCCACGTCCTCCTGCCAGGGGTGGGACTTGAAATCCGGTTTCTGCTTGGGGTAGTGGAAGGGGTAGACGCCGCGGTATAAGTGGGAGTAGCGGGAGGCGGTGGCGTTGCGGGTCACCATAATGATGGGGCAGACGGGGCGGTATTTGGAGATGAGGCGGGCGGTGTTGCCGCTGTAGGAAGGAAAAGTGTTAGCTCGGGCGGACTTCTGCTTTTTGATATGAGGATGCGGAACTTACGACGTGGTCAGACATAAGATAGCGCCAGCGTTCTGCTCGAGCGAGGCGGACACGGCAGCCATAGCGCACGTCTCAGTCGTTGGCACGGGTCGCGGAGCCAGACTCCTCAACTCATCGAAAGCGTTGACGTAGGGGATGGCGACCTCAGCAAGCAAGCAAGTCTCGTGCATCATCGTCACGGCCTCCTTGGGATAGTTACCCTTGGCCGTCTCACCAGACAACATGACACAGTCCGAACCGTCTAGGACAGCATTACCCACGTCGCTGACCTCAGCACGAGTCGGGCGAGGGTTGTAGGTCATGCTCTCCAGCATTTGCGTGGCGGTGATGACGGGCTTGCCGGCGATGTTGCACTTGGTGATCATCATCTTCTGCGCGATGAAGACTTGAGCGGGAGGGATCTCGATACCCAAGTCACCGCGTGCGACCATCACACCGTCTGTCACTTTCAGGATCTCGTCAAAGTTGTTCACGCCCTGTTGGTTCTCGATCTTGGCAATGATCTGGATGTCCTTGCCTTCCTCACCGAGCACCTCACGAATGGCGGTAATGTCCTCCTTGCGGCGGATGAAGGAAGCGAAGACCATATCGACCTTGTTCTTCACACCGAAGCGGAGATCGTTCTTGTCCTTCTCCGACAGAGCAGGGAGATCGACGTCGGTCTTAGGGAGGTTGACACCCTTCTTGCTGCTGATCTTGCCGTTGTTGATGGCCTTGCACTTCAACGTCTTGTCGTCCACGACCTTCAACACCTCGAAAGCGAGGACACCGTCGTCCACGTAGATGATCCGGCCCGCCTCGATCACCTTTGTGATGTTCTTGTAGTCGACGTACATGTTGTGGTTGTCACTGGCGGTGGCGTACTTGTCGTCGGTCGTGATATTGATCTCGCTGCCGGCGGAGATTGGGATGTCCTCGTCGCCAGGTGTGTTGCCAGTGCGGATCTCCGGGCCCTTGGTGTCGAGGGCAATGGCTACTGGACGGCCTGCCAGGGTCTTCTCGGCCTCGCGCGCGTTGTCAATGACGGACTGGTGGTACTCGTAGCTGCCGTGGGAGAAGTTCATGCGGACGACGTTGAGACCAGCTTGTCGAAGCATGTTGATCTTCTCGGCCGAGTTGGTCTTGGGGCCTACGTCTCTATTAGTCCGACTAACATAAATCGTTGAGGTGCCTGTTGTCCTTACCAATTGTGCAAATGATGCTGGTACGTCTAAAGTTCCTTGGAGGCTTGTACTCGGTGTTGAGGTTAGCCAGCCATTCCGCCCTGGTCTTGCCAATCTCCTGGTGCATGAAGGAGTCGGCCATGATGTTGTGGCTGTGGAGAGCTCGCTGCAGCTCTCACTCGTGTGTTGGTGTTGGTGTTGGTGTTGTGGTAGAAGGAGGTAGCTGAGACTGCAGCTGTGTGGCCGTGGTATGCTGATGAACAGTAGACGCCGTCAAAAGTCAAACAAGGAGAGTTGCGGTGAATACTGTATCCTTATATTTATTTTGTGAGACAAGCTATCTCGAGGGAAGCTGCCCACGGCCCCTCCTTCCCTCAACAACGCTTTTTTGTAGCAATCGATAAGCCGCGACATTATTATTGCATCCCGCCCGCCCCGACGCCATGCACAGGAGCGGCGGGCCGAATACATCTAGATGTCTCTTTGATCCTGTCATAATAATAATAATAATAATGGCATCACGGACAATCTTACAGTATTTCGGAAGATACTCTCTGAACCACTGACCAATGTTGACCTGCAATCAGCCTTTCTGCTGAGATGGCGCTAAGAACCAGACCCTTGGAAGCCACGCGATGCGAAGTCAGCATACTGTACATGTATCTAAGAGTAGATCTCAGCCTTGCGAAGTCCGTATACCAGTCACATGCGCCCGCCCGGCATACACTTCCGTAGCAACGACCATACATGTACATGCAACTACGGCCCTCAGACCATCATCCTCCATCTGGCCAACAAATTCCGCGCAGGAATAGGTGTATACGTGCCGAGACGATTCTTTACTCAAGCAATCGACTACCTTTTCTCGACTCCGTGCTGAGCGCGAGATACCGCTGCCATGGTGGTACGCCTACCCATCGCATCGCCGTCGCCATGATCGCTCGCATACTAACACCATCCTTTCCTTTCTCCAGCTCGGCCGCCTAGCCCACTGGACCTTCGACGCCGTCCTCCTCTCCGCCTTCCTAGCCGGCGTGCGTCGATCCACAGGCCTGACGTACGTTCCCACTCACCTACACCCTCACCCACACCCACACCCACACTCACAGCCATCCCTCCGGACGTCCTCCTCACTCCCTCTACTGCGCCCAGTTCCTTACTATCCATCCCCTCTCATCTCAAAACCCTTGTCATATCCGATCAATCTGACCCTAACCCTAACCCTGCAGTCCCAGCCTCAAATCCGAATCCATGACCGAATCCCCCAGCGTCAAGAAATGGGTGGAGAACTATCTATGGGTCGGAGAGACGATAATGGATCAGAGTGTGGCGATCATGGGTTCGAGCGGGTACTTTGAGCGGAAACGGTAGCGCGGTAGTGAGCGTGCTATGGAGAGGCGAGGCATCGATCATTTATGGGACTACGGCGTTGGAGCTTGGAGTGACAATGGGTTGTGTAGTATCAATGAGTCTGGCGCACGAGGAGTTTGACTGTGACTAGAAGATTCGCAGAGGGAAACAACCACTTATCCATTTCCTCATCAAGTTATCTACCGGTTACGCTTCCAGCATCATGACCGAGAATCCAGCTCGAGGCAACGCACAAGACTCATAGCCAGCTCGATTTGGGGATCCTCCCGATCCTCGTATGGGCAAGATCCGCCAACGCACCATCCACCAGCTACTCTGACCGCACCATACCTGCCATTCAAGTCAGAGTTTCCAAGCAAGCACATCCACCCTACCCAAATCCTTCCGCGCTCTATGCTGCTTCTGCTTTCGTACGGCGAAAACACCGCCCGGCCTCACACTATTGTACGCTAGCATGAATTCCTGGAACGGCGTTCTCGCCACCTCTTGGATCCCATCGGTGTGCTCGTGTGATGAGCGCTCGCCTTCGCCTCTGCCGTGTCCACGAGGTGCTGGCGTCGATCTCACACTGCCCTCCGTCACCATCTTGCGACCACCTGCAGGATGCGCAGTCGAAGAAGGCTTCGCTCTTTGGTGCTTGACACCATTCCTCATCATCTCATCGTTCGTAAACTCGTCTTCATCGTAAACGTCAGAGCCTTCAGCCTTGATAACTTCCGATCCGATGGTCTTGGTCATCGCTGATCTCCTTCCAGTCGCCACCGTCGGCTCCACTTCGGCCGGCGCACCTGTCACAGCGTCGTCAGCGTCATCTGCGCTCTTGGTTGGTGACATGCGCACTTTGTTATGTTCTCGTTCATAGGACCGTGACTGATCATCGCTGTTGTCGGTACCGTCGCCATATCGAGGTCTGTATGATGAGCCAGACAAATGCGCTGGTGAATGAACGCTGCCGATGTGGCGTGGCCGACCCAATGAGCCTGGTTGACTCGACGGCGATCGCTCGTCACCATCATCTCCCGTTTGGCCACGCTGTAGTCGTTTCGTCGAGCCCGACATAGATGCAGATACAGCATCGTCAGCGTTGTCAGCAGCACCGTCGTACTGTTGTCTGAACAAGCCACGTCCTGGCCGAGTGAGCTGTTGTCCGGCCGGCCGTGGATTGGGGGATATCTTAGGCTTGATGCGTACGCTAAGATAGCCCTCGGTCCCAAGCTTGGGAAACACGGCTTCCAGAATCGTCCTCATATCTGTTCTGGAGATGTCGTCGTTTGTAAAGACGGAGTTGTATGCCTTGATCAAATCATTAATATACGGGACATTCGCCTGGGAGGATTTGCAATTTTGCTCGACCCTGTGCTTTGTCAGTGAACCATACTTTTGGCCACTTGTTTGCTCGTCTACTTACCACGTCTGTCGCTGGGCCTGCTTCATGAATTTGGATCGCTCTTGACGGTGTCGTGATGTTGGGTCGTCCAGTGCTCTCGGCACAGAAGGCTCCATGTCTACTTCGCTGCTGGAAGGATATTGTGTACCTTGCACGGCAGGTGCTGGAGCACAGCTCAAAGCCGACGCCGGGCTAGTCACAACAGGCTCCAAATCTACTTCGCTGCTCGAAGGATATTGTGTACTTTCCACAGTAGCGAGTGCAGTACTGTCCAAAGCAGGCGGCGGTTTCACTGGCAAAGCATGCCTCATAGGAGTCTGCTGCGACGAGCGCTGGCTGGCTGGGTCGCGTTCTATCGAACGTTTCGTTGGTGTTGGCTTCGCACTGGCGGGATGCGGCTCGTCAGGCGACCGGTATGGAAGCTTCCTAGGCGTTCCCATAGCAGATTGCGCCGAAGGTCGACTCCCAATCGTGCTGTCAGGTGGCAAGACGTTGCGCTTCGTTGTTGTCTGAGAGGCTGGCCATTGAGATTCAGGTAGCTCCTCATCACTCGATGTATCCATAGATGAGTCGTCAACGTTGGTCACTTGTGTAGCTGGCCTAGACGGAGTTGATGCTGGCACGTGTGCCCCAGCTTGCGTTGACTGTCTTGCCTCCTTGCTCCTCGAAGTCATCCGGGCACTCCATACATTAAGCAGGTCTATTGGTACGTTTGGATGTGGGTGAGTCCAGCCAGGCAGAGCAGGAAACCACGACTCCTTGCGATCGAGCAAGCGGTGCTGATTTGGAGGGATTGGCCTTCGTCCGTATAGAATCCGGGTCTGACTGGAGGCTTTCGAAGAGCCGCCGGTAGTGCGTCGAGCATCTTGGACAGGAGACGTGTGCGGATTCGGGACTTCGACCCCTGAAGAACTGGTTTCTTGTGCTGCTGGTGTTGCAATATTGGTCACAGGTTGAGCAGAGGGTGGCGCTTCGGGAGCAACAACGATCCGAGCCTTTTCCGCGTGGCCATCTTTGCGACCGAGTAGATTCAGCAGCTGCGCTCCATTGGTTGTGGAGACAGTGGCTTGCTTTCGTTTCACTCCGCGCGATTGTATTGGTGCCACCACCGGCATCGCCAGGTTATCACCCTTCTCAATTTCAAGTCCGTCGTCAACTAGGCTGGGACCTGTAGGCTTCCTGCGAATGTGTGCTTGCGTCGCGATTCTTTGGTTCAAGGTTGGTGTCACACTCGCTTGCGTATGTGCTGCTTGAGATGGACGCTCGCAATCCACGTCGTCGTCATCATCGAACTGATCAGCGAATTGAATCGCGCGGATGTCCTTGATACGCTTTAGCAGATGAGCCAAAGGCTGATGCTCATGTATTGGCTTAGGAGAACCCCAAGTCCGCCTCAAATGGTAGTGGTACTGAACCCCCTCAATGTACAACTGCAGGTGTCCATCAACAGCGCCGAACGGTGTGCTAACCACCGTCACTGTAGTGGGAGAGAAGACATCACCTGTCATCTCCAGATCAAGGTTGTCTCCCAATTCAGCTTGAAGGGCATCTCGTGCTTCTTGTGAGAGCAGAGCTTTCACACTGTGATGACCGTCGGAGAGCAGTACAGAGACTGGATTACGCAATGACAGCACCTGTAGAAGCTGCAACTTATGCTCGCTTGTTAAAGGTGGTGATTCGATAATGCTTCGAAAATTGCTGCCGTCATCGTCAAAACGTGACGCTTCTCGCTTCACGTGTGGGTCGCGTCTATACGCTGTGTCCCATGCTAAGACTGCTTCGAGTTCCGCCTCGACAAACTTGCCAAGCCACTCGATAAGTGACTTCGCCATGTCGTGATCTGTGGAAAGCAAACTCCCATTTCGGTCGCTGCTTGTTGCCTGAGTGAATGATATTAGCTTACGACACGATTGGATTGCTTGTGCGATCAATCAAGGCAGTGGCAGTGGCAGTGGCGATTAGTCCAATTGTCCAGTGGGTTCCAGCGGGCCAAATAATGCGATGTCGATTATGGTGGCTCACTTCAAATCTCGAGGCAAGCACGCGAGGCGCGACATTGAAGTAGTTCGGCCCGATCCCTCTCGAGGGGGAACTGCAGCTTCCCGGCACGGAACGTCGTTGCCGAATGGACAAACACGACGGCCGTGTTTTGGATCGACACGCGAAGACAGGCATGTTCGTTAGTGCGGACGAACATGATGCTTTTCTGCTGGCATGATAGCATTCAGTAGGACCTGGCATATGCAGCGATGACATTAGTACCACGATCGGGTGCCTGCGAATATGGCTAAGGAGCCGCCTTCACCGTCGGCTTCCTCGACACTACTACCTTTCTTGGGACCCGGCAGGTCTCGTAGAGGATCACTGGCTTCTATCAACTCCAGGAAGGAGATTGACAAGGACGTTCTAGCACAAGCCCTGGACCATATACACACATCGGCCTCGAAATCAGAGCAGCTGACATCTTTTCATGACTTTGATGGTGGAGCTCGAATTGGAGCAAAGGAGCTCGTCAGTAATGGGGTGAGTGGGTTATACAACAGGCTGAAGCAAAGTGTGGGTGGTGGAAGTCCTTCAAAAGATGGCAAGGTACGACCGAAGAGCAGCAGCTCCAAGGACGCAGTGGAAACTGGTTCGGCTCACAGCTCAGTGTCAACGAGTCGTACCACACCAGCTCTCACACTCAAAAGACCTGTGCCTGATAGCGCTTCGGTGTCGACCACAAGTGCTGCCGCATCACCGATCATCACCAACTTCTCGAGTGCTGTGCCTGTTTTAGATGTCGCAAAGCCTCTGCCCACGAGCCTCAAAGCCACGGCAGTCGACAATGGAGCCAATGCCGACGAGCAACCAGACATTGCTGTAAATGATTATGAATACCAACAACATAGTACAAACGATGTCTCGCACTTGCCGACCCAGTCTAACGAGATCAGTGAAGAGGATGTCGAGCAGGCAAGACATGCGTTGCTGGATGATGATCGTAGTGAAAGTGCTACGCAGGCCTTGGCGAGGGTGCTCTCACATCATGATGTTCAAGCAAATGAACCTCACGGAACTGGTCTGGCGAGGTCTACAACCAGACAGGGTCAACCGCTCGGTCACTTGATCACGCCCTCGGCACCACATGCCGATGGTTCGAGCGAGCATATGGACCGTGCCTCGATCAGCACGCCAGAGAATGATCCTGGGAGCCGACGACCTCCGATGCTCCACGTCGGTGCATCACATTTACCCGGGTTCAAAGCGTCGAGAGCCTCATCAACGACAGATGGTGGTGACTTGGTATCATCCAGCAGCACCCCAACCAATTCTAGCCGGCCGGCTCTGGACCCATCACCGAACCTTAACAGTGCTATGCAGCGAAGAAGAACTGGATTGAAGCCACCACCAGGAGCTGCCGACCACACAGGCCATCGGACGGCTCACGTACCACATCATCTGAAGCGCAGAGTCATCAGCAAGGAGTTCTGGATGAAGGATGAGAATGCTAGAGACTGTTTCTACTGTGGCCAAAGCTTCTCTACTTTCAGGCGCAAGCACCATTGTCGGACCTGTGGACAGATCTTTGACGCTCGGTGTACCTCTCTCGTGTCTGGCCGGCCATTTGGTCAGCCTGGCACTCTGAGACTCTGCAGACCATGTGAAGCTATGATCTACGAATCTGACGATGATGATTCCACGGTGTTCTCGGATGATGGCGACGACGCCGGGCGGAGTCCACGACTACGAAGTTCTGTCACTTTCGAAGATGAGCAACATCCTCGTTTCGACGGTGCATCTTTCAGCCGCACTGATACTGGGGAAGTGGCGACACCTTCTATAGGTATCCCAGTATCGAGACGCAATCGCGAAGCGAAAAGACGATCCAACGTTATTGAGTTCGATGCGCATCCAGCTCTCGCACGTCCGAGCTCGTCACACTCCCTCATATCGCTAAGCAGACGACCGCGATCAGCAAGTCATCGACGGCAGAATTCGCGACATCAGAATGTTCACCGCATGCGCTCGAGTGTGGACGATCGTGTCCCTTTCCAGCAAGACTCGATAGGCGATCCGGAGAAGAAGCCTGCCCTGCCAGCCTTCCACAACGACAATATCATCGATCCCGATTTAGCCCCTTTCATGTCCGATGAAGGATCAGAGGATGAGGACCAGCCAAGCATTATGGCGGCACTAGAAGCTGGAGCGTCACCTGGCGAGCGGGAACGATTGGGTTTTGGCGGTTTGTTTACATCAGCTATCAAGAAAGGCCGATCGAAATTGGGTGAGCGTACCACTGCGGCGTCCAGCTTACGTGCTGTGAAAGATGACGAGGCGCTCGGACAAGCTAGCAGGCACACGCCAAAGCCAGCAAAGCGGCGAAATCCGAGCATCAGTAGCATGACCTTGGGCAGACCGTCACCGAGAAGGAGTAGGAGTAATATGCTTCTCAAGACGATCGAGACCGGGGTCTACGATGATGGTCCTGCCACGCCGGCGCCAGACACTGCTGTTCAGACTAAGGTGCTGCGTAGCTCCGCTATGCAAGGATGCGATGCACCGCCAGTCGAGATGAATCGTGCGAGCCTCGAGCACGTTCGTCGAATGCTAAAACAGCTACTCGTGGATGGTAAAGTAGGCCATGCAACAGCGTGGGAGAAGGCTTTGCTGCCAATACTACTACAATGCTCTGACGACGTTGAGCCAGATGTTCAACGTGGAGATGATATGGATATTAGGCACTACGTCAAGCTCAAGAAAGTACCAGGTGGTAAGCCCGGTGATACAAGCTATGTTTCTGGCGTCGTCTTTAGCAAGAACGTTGCGCTCAAAAGCATGGCTAGGTCACTCCGCAACCCAAGAATCGCGATTGTTACTTTCTCAATCGAATACGCCCGCCATCAGACGCACTTTATGAGCCTGGAGCCTGTCATTGCGCAAGAGCGAGAGTACTTGCACAACCTTGTTGGTCGCATCGCAGCTCTCAAACCACATCTTCTGCTTGTCGAGCGGAACGTATCTGGACTGGCACTACGACTATTGGAACAAGCCGGGATCACAGTAGCGTTCAACATCAAGGAGTCAGTCTTGGCTGCTGTTGCTCGTGTCACGCAAACAAACATGATCAAGTCTGTTGATAAGCTTGCAATCGACCCATCACATCTTGGCAAGTGCGAAAGCTTTGAGGTCAAGACATATTTGTCAAACGGCGTGCGCAAGACATATATATATCTGTCGGGCTGTCAGTCTGATCTTGGCTGCACTATTGTTCTACGTGGCGGTGATACCAAGGCGCTGCGACAGATCAAGCGCATCACTGAATTTATGTGCTATGTGGTGTACAATCTCAAGCTGGAAACTACTTTGATGCGCGACGAGTTTGTCTCCATACCATCCACTACGCAAGACAAGATCGAAGCTCATGATGGGCCGCTTAAGATAACATCGCCACTAAGCGCCACTTTGCCGTCACTTATCAGGGCGCAGTCTGATACCGAAACACCTTCCAGGTATGAAGAGCTTGAAGAGTGGTGCCGTTCACGCATACTTTCTGCTTCGCCTTTCGTGTCGTTCATGCAGCCATATGTGCTCACGCAGCTCAGAGAGCAGGAACAGAGGCTTGCAACGTTCAAGAAGCTTCGTGATCAGTACGCCGAGGCTGACGAGGCAGGTGACGAAGAGAAGCCAGAGGGCGATGATCGATTCGCGCTTGTCCGGCCAGAGATGGTTACTGCTGCGGCATCTAAAGACCAGCCTAAGGCTGTGCGCGAATACTTGCATGCAGTACACCAAGCGCAATTCGACAAGACGATGCACACATACGAGACACAGAAGCGTCTATGGGAATCTTTTATGACCGGCAGCATCACGCCTTTTGATCCATACTCCCATCAGACAATCGCAGTGCTGCATTCAACGGTCTCAAGCATCACGTCTGCACCATGCACTGGACCAGAGATTCTCGGCATTGGCTTCTACGCAGGATTCAACCGTGCAGAGCCATCTTTCGAGGAAGATTGCACTCTTGGTCAATATGTGGAAGACATGTGTATGAGCGCCAGCAGCAGCTGCAAGGAGTGTGGAAAGAGAATGATCGAGCATCATCGGCAGTATGTTCATGGCTACGGGCAGCTGACTGTCTCCGTGCAACGGTCCTCCGCTCGTCTGCGGGGTTATAACACTACCATGCTCATGTGGTCTTCGTGCCGCATTTGTCGAGCAGAGACAGCCGTCGTGCCCATGTCTGACAACACATGGAAGTATTCCTTCGCCAAGTATCTGGAATTGAGCTTCTGGAGCAGCCCTCTGCGACCTCGAGCCGGTGTATGCGAGCACGATATCCACAAGGACTTCCTGCGTTGTTTCGGCTTTCAGGGCATGGTAGTACGCGTACAGTATGACCCAATCGACATCTATGACGTTGTGGTCCCAAGGTCGCAGATCACATGGAGGGTGGAAGCGGATCTCACGGTCAAGAATGAGCAGTTCTCGCACTTCCTACAGCGCCTTACAGCTTTCATCGACTCTGTTCGCAAGCGTCTGGACTCTATCAATGTGGACACCCTCGACGAGAAGAAGGCCGTAGAAGCGTATGAGAAGCTGCAGTCACTTCGGGAACGTGTAGATGACGACCACACAGAGCTTCTCGAGAAGCTGCAGGCAAAGTACTCGACGTCACGGTACTATGAGCTAATTCCGCTGAATCGAGCTCTACGCTTCATGGACGAGAAGGCCATTGCATGGGATGATGAGTTCAACAGATTTGAGACAGACTACTTCCCGTCCGAGACAGACATTCGCAAGCTCGCGACTTTACAATTACGGAACATGTTCCTCGAGTCGCAGCCGTCAACGAGCAGTATATCCAGTGATGCTAGCGATACTGAAGACAACGGCGATGCCGTGCCGAGAATTCGACGTAGAATAGAGCAACGTCTCGAAGGAACCGACCTGCATTCGGAGAAGGCTCATGATCTTTTGGCTTCGACAGCTCTGGAGCATAGAACATCCCAGGACGTCACTAATGAAGTACGCGAAGCAAACGCAGAAGACTTGCTTGGCACGAATTTGGCCAGACATGTTTCACCACGAGAGGAACGCGAGCAGGCTGCCGATCGCGAGGATGTTCGACATTTGGATCTGGCCGTGCCAGCCAAGTCACCCGATGACACAATAGCAGAAGAGCTGCCTGGTATTGACGAGCAGACAAAGCAGACAAGTCCGCTGGACACTTGCGAGGGCGGTCCGACGGCCGAGCCATTTGCCGTTCCACCGAAGCCACTGGGCTCAGGCCTTCTGGAAAGAATCGAGCAGATCCGCAGCAACCGTGCTGCGGCAGGCGAAACCAACGACCTACCGGAGACCAAGATCCCACGGCTAGCAGACTTGCGACGCCGCGATATCAGTCCACAGCCGTCACCGCCACTTCTGCGTGCACAGTCTCAGCCTGTGCATGTACCGAGACGAAGCGCAGACCTGACGGTAGAGAACAACATCGATGCTCTTGTGGCTGCGCCAAGTCCTGAGCCGCCCAGTATTGAGAAGAGACTCGGCGAGAGGCTTGGTGTTAATCGCCTAGCTAGTAAGGTTGGCAAGGTCGTACCCTCTTTGATACCTCGATCCATTCCACAAAAGCAGGATGAGCAACATAGCTCTAGCGTCTCCGCGCTCGCCAAGCATTTCGAGCAGATGTCTCGTGAGTTCGAGAAGGAGCGTTTGAAAGAGCGACGCCAGCGAGCATTACGCAGTCGACAAGCACGCGCTAATCCGGTGGCCAGCAGTCGGCCCATCGTAGAGGTTTATCGCAATGCTACAGATGCAGTTGGCGAGCGCTCCGTAGACGACCTGTTGAAGGAGCAAGAACAGCAGCATGACGACGATGCCACACCATTGGCAAGGAACGAGCCGGTCTTCCCAGCTGCAAACGCCAGTAGTTCAGATGACACGCACGAGACGCCATCGGTCACGGAGTCACATGAGCCCACATCGAGTGACGAGTCGCAAGCCATAGCCTCTCAAGACTTCACAGGCAATAATCATCTCGGTATCGACATTGATCTTAGCCGGGCTCGCACAGTAGATACTTCGGAGCTGGAGTCAGGTATGTCTTCATCAACTCTGCTTTCGCCAACATCGGTACCTGATCTGGATTTGCACTCGGACTTGTCAATCCCGGAGCATCGCAAGAACGTCTGGTTCAAGTACCTCGCAGACTTCTGGTCCAAGCGATCTGCTTCAGGCTGGGCCAACCTAGAGTACCCATTGCACTCTACTGAGCACGTCTTCGAGGACTCAGACATTATAGTACGCGAAGACGAGCCATCATCGGTAGTAGCATTGTCGTTGGCATGCGCAGACTACCTGAATAAGGTGCAAGACTTTCGAAGTCATCCCTCCAAGCATGTTCGCAAGCATGTGCACACCGCTTCACAGACAAGTGCCAACATCGGTGATATCGAGGACGAGCAGCAGAAAGCCATAAAGGATAGCCTACTCAGCGATACTGGCACCCACATGAAATACTCCTTTGCTCATGGCCCAGTCAAAGCATCCTGCAAGATCTTCTATGCGGAGTCATTCGATGCGCTTCGACGTCGTTGTGGTGTGTCGGAACGCTTTGTTGAATCCATGTCAAGATGCTTGAAGTACGATTCGAAGGGCGGCAAGACAAAGTCGCTCTTCTTGAAGACACTGGACAATCGCTTCATCATCAAAAGCTTGCAGGAAGTGGAGCTAAAAGCCTTCACCAAATTTGCGCCAGACTACTTCGCCTTCATGAGCGCCACGCTATTTCACGGCGTTCCCAGCGTCATCGCAAAAATGTTCGGGCTGTTTCAGGTCACGATCAAGAACCCAGCCACCGGCATGGATTTCTCCTATTACTTGCTAGTAATGGAGAACCTCTTCTACGAACGCAACCCCAACCGCCGCTTCGACCTCAAAGGCAGTATGCGCAACCGCAAGATCGAAAGCACTGGTCAGCCGGACGAGGTCCTCCTTGACGAAAACCTCGTCGAAACAATCTTCGAACAACCCCTCTTCGTGCGCGAACATGCCCGCAAACTCATGCACGCCAGCGTCTTCAACGACACCTTGTGGCTCTGCAAACAAAATGTGATGGACTACAGCCTCATGGCCGGCTTCGACGACGAACGCAAAGAACTCGTCGTCGGCATCATCGATTGCATTCGCACCTACACCTGGGACAAGAAACTAGAGTCTTGGATCAAGGATAGGGGCAAAAATCGTCCGACGATTACGAGTCCAAAAGATTATCGAAATCGATTTAGGGTTAGTATGGCGCAGTATGTGCTCCAGGCGCCGAACTGCTGGCATCAATTCCAGGCACAGATGATGGCGCCGAAGACTTTGAAGGAGAGGGAGGAGGGGAGGGAGGAGACCGAGGATACGGAGGCGGAGAGGTATGAGGGGAGGAGGAGCGATGGGTTGTAGAAGGGTTGGAGATGAGTTTATGATTGATGTCTTATGATTCTTGCATGGCATTGCGTGGTTAAGTAGCTTTCCAGGCATAGCGAATGGCGTTGAGGTATTGCACACCCTTCGGTCGCATCCTTTACTGTCCAGGTCTGGGTCTTGCATAGCCTTGTGTATGTGCTGGGCAATCGTGTGTGATTGGACCTCGCCGAGTATGCTCAGCCATAAGAAGGCGATGTGGTGATTGCCTTGGTAAGCTTTGTTGACTGCCTCGTGCCTCTTCGCCTGAAACACCTGATCCATCGCTTCGCGCTTGAGCCTCAGCCTGGTGCTACAACACAGCCACTGTCGTCTCGCCTACAGAACTTGACACTCCCTGCACTTCCCGGCTAACTTCCTACATCTCTCCCCTGTACGTCAGAAATCGAAGACTTGTTCAAGTGCATGCGATCATGGATTCCGTTTTACAGAGCTTTGCTGCCGGCTTTGGTAGCCTTAAAGACGCAGCTACTGCCTCGATGCAGCTGGTGAGTCGAATTTGGACGTGGTGCATAGAGGAGCACAACGGTAAACGTCGCATTGACAGCTGCTTGGCCAGGTTTGGTATCCTCATCGCCCTCATCGGTCTCCCAACCGGCGTCGTACTGCAGTTGCGAGGCAACGAACAAGCTCGCCTGGGCAACATATTAGCTTGGGGCAACATGTGTTTGGCAGATGTAGGTCCCTCTCGGTTGACGTGAACCCGATGCTAAGATGACTGATTGGTATGATAGGGCATCAGTAATACAACAAGAGCATTCTGTCATCAAAATGAGCCAAGGACTGTTGAGATCGAGCGTGCATCGCGATCGAGCTGGAGCCATGTTCCACAACTGGACGTCTGCATCTCGTCAATATTCGCAATGAAGTCGACCAAAGCTTGCGTCAGATTCTTCATTTTCAAACCTGACTCAAGTCCTATACTGGACATGCTAGAATATTCGGAAACAGTCTTCAGGCTCGTGGCCGTTCGCGCCCTGCGACCAAGACCTCTCAACGTCATCGTAGAGGCCTTCTACGCCGCTCCTTGCACTTCTGCAAGCACGCTATGCACACACCTCGGTGTCATATCTGCCATCGCGGCGGTGGTGCTCACACCAACCGTTTTGTGGAACCATGTGAAGGTAGGACACAGTTGAGCTAAAGTTGAGTGGACGAGACTGCTCAGAACGCAGCGATGGCCATCCAGCACGATCGTAGGCTTTTACGTACGGCCGAGGACGCTCTCGGGTGGCGACCACTGAGCCGTGTGTCTCATTGCCCGGCTTACGAGTTGGCTGTTCTCAGGCTGCTCGCTCGAATCAAACGACACCCACTGGTGTCAGTACAGTGCAATGGAGACTCTAGGCTTCTAGACGGACTCTGTTGGCTACACGGGACATCGCGCAACAGCTGGCTGCATGTCTGGCAAATGGCAGGTGCCATGCTTCCGACCTCGGTCATCCTCGCCATGAGTATAGCAGCCTTTTGCGATTGGCGTTTCGATGAGCTTGGAATCAAAAGTCTCACACTCTGTATCAAGCGTGCCACGCTGAATCCAATTTGCGCATTAGCATATCTGATCGGAACTCGAAGGATTGCACTCGTTGTACAAGGATGGAGGCAACGTGAAATTGAAGTGGCGAAACGTCTGAACGAGTCCTTAGAGACATGGCTCCGGCGGTCCAAGTAGGCAAATGCGCAGGTCGTGTCAACCGCCACGAGAGTCAAGGAGTATCCCTCATTTAGCCAGATATTGGGTAGGAGTAACGACCAGTGGACCCAGTTCCACAGGACAATGCTCTGGTTGTAGCCATATGCACATAATAGTCGCGTACTCAACCATTTGTCGTCTGTGCCTTCCCTTCTCTCCCGCCCGCACTGTCCATCCCCTCACCCAGATCTTCACTCCTCGACCCAGAACTCTGACTCCACAGACTCCTACTCTCACCCTCCACTCCCCTCATAGCTTCAGCCACCACCTCCAGCTTCTTCACCACCTCCTTAACCCCACCCTCGACCTTCTTGAAATACGCCTCGTTCGCCGCCCGCCTCTCGGAAGCGAGCTTGATGTCCTGTGCTGTCTCGTCTTCCAACGGTGACCGCGCCGTACCGCTACTCAACACACTCTCGTCTGAGAGGACCGTGGAGGCTGAGGCGTCCGTGTTACCTCTATTCCTCCCACCGACACCGGTCTGGCGATCACGGGCGATACTTTCCGCTTCGCTGAACCTGTCGGCTTGTGGGTTAGTAGGACTACCTTTATCCTCATTCCCTCTGCCCCAAGCTCTGGCAAGTTCAATCTGTGCCTTCCTCAGCTCCTCCAATGCAGCAGCATGTGACTCTCCAAAGACGTGCGTAGAGCTCTGCGCCGTAAGCTCCACCTCATTCAGCGTTGACTGCATCTCCCTCCACTTAGCATCCGCCTCGCGTTCACTAGCCTTCTTGAGCGTCGGCATCGCATGGTCTTTGTCTTTAGCATCTGTTCCATCTTTCGTGTTACCCGACCGTACCAGAGCGGAGCGCTGTCGGTTCAGAGGGTCACGGGGTTTAGTTGGGTCGAGACCTTGATGGGAGACTGAGAGCTGGGAGGCATTGCGGGACGGAGGACCGACGAAGAGGGCGGGCGCGGGCAGACGACTTGGTTTTACGTTGGCTGTTGGTGAGGGCTTTACAGGGGAGCTCGGATCCTTGGTAGACATCTTGATGTCTTGGTGCGATGGCTGGCTACATCGTGTGCTGGAAGGAGTAAGAGACAAACGAAGGTGTAAGTGAAGCTTGAGAAAGACGCTCGGACCCACTTTCATTTGACAAGACAAGTGAACATAATTATGCAGCGAATATGTTCTACGTCTGATCCATAACAACATTACCGCCATCATCAACAGTCTTCCCTCTCTCCCACAACTCGGTCCACCAATGCTTAACCTTCGGAGCGCCCAACCTTCCCATAACAAAAGGCCATTCCTCAAACATCCCACACCGATCCACCCACTCCTTCGAACAGACCCTATCCCAAGATCCATACAGTCATCCCGAAGCAACCACATCAGCAATCTCAATATTCGGCACCAGGTACGGCTGGATATCATTCCTATGCATCGTCCTCTGCTCATACGCGTACGCGAAACCGATGAGGTCAGCTTCACTCCACTTTGGTCCCATGAACGAGAGGCCGAAGGGTACGTTCGGACCAGTAGCGACCAGGTTGCCGTAGCCGTTCAAGGTAACGGAGGTGTTGACGGGGTAGAAACCCATGGGTACCGTGACCACAGGACTTCCCACCAGAGCAGGAATACCCGGACTGAGCTGAGTAGGTAGCAGTACCGCACTGGTGTTTGTGCGAGACAAAGCTCCCAATATCCCTCCTTCGCCGCCATAAAAGAGGTTGGCTTGATACGCTGCCCAGAATTTCGGATCAGTATTATTCCATCCCTGCTTCAATGCACCATCCCAAATAAGAGTATCCCGCGCCGGCCACATCTCAGCAGTGGAATTATGCGTAAAGTCCCTCTCCTCAGCCAGATTCTCGATCCCATAAGGGTTGACCGTAAGTTCCGAGAAGTACGTGGCGAGATTGATCAAGAAATCGGCATTCAGCACAAGCGTCTCATTGTTATCGCTCTGCCATTGCTCGAAAGCCGTAAAATTCGCGTCCACGATCGTGGCACCCGCTGCCTCGATCTGCTTGACTGCTAGCTCGAACGCAGCAAGGACAGGAGGGTCGGTGTATTTCGCGTAGATTTCGAGAACGTTGCGAGCGACGCCTATCCGGGCGCCGGCGAAAGCGCTATAATCGCATGCAGCAACGTAGTCGGGCGTGGTGCCGTTGATGGCCGGGTTAGCGAGGGTGTAGTTGTCGTTTGGGTCTGGGCCGGCGATGGCTTGGAGGACATAGGCTGCGTCTTTTACGGAGCGCGCCATAGGGCCTACTGTGTCTTGGTGTTCGCTGATTGGGATGACTAGGTAGCGGCTTGTGAGACCGACTGTGGGTTTGATACCGACGAGATTGTTTACATCGCTAGGACTGAGGATAGACCCGGAGGTTTCGGACCCTAGGGCTGCAAGGGCTAGGCCGATCGAGCTAGAGACACCAGAGCCAGAAGAGCTGCCGCTGGGATCTTGGCCGGGGAAGTATGCTGCGTATGTTTGGCCTCCATATGCGGACCAGCCATTGCTGGTGTTGTCAGAGCGGTAGTTGGCCCATTGTGACAAGTTCGTTTTGCCGAGAATGATTGCACCAGCTTTCCGGAGCTTCGCTGCCATGGTACTGTCTCGTGGTACTTTACTACCAACCAACGACCACGAACCAGCTGTGTTGTTCATCTTGTCGTCGGTAGCGATGTTGTTCTTGATCAATATCGGAATACCATGAAGCGGTCCAAGCACTGTACCATTAGCTCGCATAGCATCGAGCTGGCTGGCGATCGTGAGAGCATCCGGATTCAGTTCGGTGACCATGTGTAATGTGCTGTTAACCTCCATGATTCGAGCTTCATATGCCCTGACCAGGTCGGCGCTGGTGAAGAGCCCACTTTCGAGTCCGTCTACCAGCTCCTCAAGGTCCACCTCGATGAGGCTCGGGAACTGCTTGCCTTTGATAGTCGTGCCGGTATACGGCGGGACGTATAATCCAGACACAACGCTCGCTGCACCCAGGAGCACGGCAGCAATAAAAGACCTCATGTTATCAACTGTCCTTCGACCTGATGACAATGCAATAGGTTTGCCGGGTGGAACCAGCGAGCAAAAGATAACAAGCTGTTTCTTGGGGTACTCGCAGTCCTTATGTATGCCCAATGTATGATGCTTCACCTGCCACTTCATAGACCAGCAGCGTCAGGCGCTGACTTCGTAGATAAGAAGCCATTGCTACTATTGAGCTCCCCGAATGAGCGTAGTGCGTGTTGTTTGGCAAAGAATATTGACCTCGTACCTGCAGACAGATGACGACACATGTTCCCATGCGGCTCTGACCACGGTAGATACACGGATAGCTTTTGGCAAATCAAGAGTCGTCAGTGAGAAGTGTTATGATGGGAACCATGAGAGATCGGCGAATGTAGATTGGTGAAGTGGAGATCGAGGCTTCCCAGATAGGAAGGTGTCGGGAGGGTCCGTTGCCAAGGTGGTGTTCGTGTAGCGGCGTGCTGGGGTGCTCGTGTGGTGCGAAACGTTCGCTGGTATAGCCTCGTGTAATTTCAAAATGTCGTGTCCAGTTGCGTCCTGAGATTTCGGATACGCCAAATAAATGTATTGTTGTTGACGCCACGGCTTGCTAATGGCTTCGTCATGTATGGCTTGTCATCAGCTTCTGAATCTTCGTGATCCTCACCATCTAGGCGCATACCAATCCAGCCTGGTTTTTATTCAGTCTCCGAGTAGTAGGCAGCAAGATGGTCAGAGCTGCAAGATGTCGGTCCGGTCCTCCTGTCCTCCCAGCATGATCTCAGGGCAGTAGTTCCCTCCAAGCAGCCCAGTGATGGATAGCCATCCCCGCGAAAGCCGGGTACTCCGCCAACTCCTCCTCAATAACCCTTACGTCCCTCAACACCGCTGTCCTACTCTGCTTCCCGACCGTATCACCATAGCTGATGTTCCTCCCGACCCCCTTCGCCGTCTCTACACTCCCCAGAATCCTCGGCATCTTGCTGCCTTCCACAGCTTGTTTAGTGGCGTGCGCAGCTTGTGTAACGATACGCTTCGTAGCGTTGGCTGGATCGGTGTTATAGCTCATAACGACGTATTCGTCCATCAGAGGCATAACGAGATCCATTACGCATGTGTAGCCGCCGGACCAGTAAACCGTAATCGGTTCGCCCTCGTAGTCATGGAGCCAGAAGGGCATTGCGGCACTGAATTCGAGGCCGTAGCTGTGCATGAGATTACTAGCGCGGGTGAGGAGACATATGAGTTTGTGCCAGAGAATACTGCGTTCGATTTGTTGATGCGGTTCGAGCTTGGATTCTGCTATTCCATTATGGAAACCTGTGTTGTGCAGTGGTTGGTCTTGGGGCTCGACATCCGCCTGGAAACCGTGGAAGCGTGCTGAGGGGTGCACGCGCTCGTTAAAATCGCTCAGGCTTGTGAGACCCGCGATGAAGTCGTCTACAGCGGGAAGGTCATCGATATAAGACGGATCGCCGTCCAGCGCCCAGACACGGACTCCAGTGGCATTGAGATGCGTGTTCAGTTTGGCTACATCGTCAGATTTGTCGTTGTACCACTTTGGTGCCATGTAAAGATATGCATCCGTGAGCTTCAGACTCGCCGCCGTCCTGGTCAGATCATCTATCTGCTTTGGATCCTGAACCAGTTCCGCAGTATTCCAGATCCACATACCCCTCAAAAGCCTCATCTCGTTGGTGGTATTCCATCGTTGTTGCTTCGGCTTAGTAGGCTCAAGATCCTCCATGCTTTCATAGCACAGCAAAATACGCTTTACGGTTGACTTCGACCATGATAGCGGGCATGCAGCCGCTTATGTTGCGCGGCGTGTGAACATGGATTGGTAATGGAGACCCACGATGGCTTGAACGATTCCGATGTCCTGCATGCTAGAGTCTCGTGGAGTTTCGCGTGGCTCTATCATTGAGCGGGAAAAGCTGGTTAGCTTCGCTTCAGGATGCTGTCGTGCCCGACTTGGCAATCCACAATGCAGGTGAGTGAGCTGGGCGGCGGAAGTTCCGGCCCACTCTGGTCGTGCATGGGAGAACAGATTGTTCCTGGTCAATTTCACGAGTGGCTCATGCAGACCCGGACTCACGTATCGGGTTCTCGGGACGTGCTACGTGGAAAGCGCTTTCGGCATGCCCTTTGCACACGAGCATGCACGGAGTTTAGTCCGTCGATGACGGCACGGTTTCGGGAATTTGTGCATTTTGAAGTCGTTGGCATATGCACATTAATCTTTGGCTAGATAAGGTAGACATTAGAAGATTGTTCATCGGACATGGGAGCCTCCGCATCAAAGGCATCCCGTGCTGCGGGCTCTGCTGCTCGGAAGTACCCAACCAGACCAGAAGCCCCATCAACAACGACGGCGCCTAGCAATGCGCCTGCACAACAACCACCGCCAGCGGCAGATCGCCAGCCAGGACCTACTGTACGACCGCAAGCTCACGCCACTGGCAGTCGGGATGAAGCCATCAACCTCGATGCATCAGATCCCGACTTTGCTCGATCACTGCGCTCCCTAGGACCTGTCCAACCAAACCCTACTCTGTCACCAAGCTCGGCCTTTGGCAACAGTGGCCAGCAGTCGACATCACCACCTGTTGGACCAGACCCGAAGCGCAACCCAGCAATTGCGGTTCTAGAAGCACGATCACGCTTACAGGATCAAGCAGAGCTGGAGTTTCAGCAGGCCGGAAGAAGAGGTCACGATGGTAGACAATTCCTCGATATTTACATGATTAGGCAAATACTGGTCCAACGGGATGAGAAAGGCAAGACTTCCGCGGAGATTGAGAAGAGTATGGGCTTGAAGAGAGGCGTAGTAGACAGGCTCGGGCCAAAGGGTGTGATCGGTTTGGCCCAGCAGCAAGGTCGTGCTGAGAAGGGCGTACACATAGTATAATTGATGATGACTTTCCATGGGAGGAATTGTGTCAGATGAACGTGACGGGAGCAATCGTCGTTACATCTATCACTGCTCGTAAAATTAAGATCGAGGGACTGCAGATCACGCCATAGCGGCACTTCGCAGACGGAAGACTCTTTACTGAGCAACTATACCAGCAGGGCCCCATAGTCTGTGGCGTCGCTATGAATGAGACAGAGAGCTCGCGCATACCTTGAATAAAGATGGGTCAAAATACAAAAACCGCATCGATGACCAGCGCGGTCCAGATGAGGCGATGGTACACTGCGCCTTAAACGCAACTCGACACAAATGCTAGGCTGTCCGATATCTTCTGAAACCCTTCTGGAAGCCTTCTGAAAGCCTACACAAGCTCAGGCCGTGGCCTCTGGTTATCTCACCTTCCGCATTGCAGCGGCGGACATTCAGTGCTGGCGTCCGTTTCACAGACAGTCAAGTGATCCGGAAATGCACGGGAACGCGACTATGTAGCACGACTCAGCACTCCGGCCTAACATTATCGTTCTGTATAACGGTCATTATGTACATAATTTCATGTACAGTGCCATCAGATCGGGCCTCACAAGCACAGGGCAAAAGCGATAGCCGCAACCATCGCCGTGCCAAGGACACCAGCCTTGATATTCGCAGCCGCTCCCGTATACATAGCTGGCATACTCGAAGTAGCATTGGGCAAGCCAGTCGAAGTAGCATTCCCGGCACCTAGCGCCGCACAGCTAGTGAAGTTCTTTCCACCCAAGAAAGTTCCTACTGTGACAGCGTCGGTCATGTGTAGCATACTCAGGACCTGGCTGGCGACTGAGGCGTTGGTTGCGCAGAAGTTGATCGTGTAGTTGCCGGTGGTACTGTCAGGAGCTCACGGTCAGCATCTACCACTTACGATCGAGCCTATTGTCGTAATGACTTACGCCTTCCCGCCACAGATCGGTTGGTACACCTGCCCATCGAAGTCGCTGTAGAAGCTCACATTCGCGGCAGGTACTGTCAACGGTGCAAGGGTGTGTACTTCAACATATGGACCATTTGCTGGCTTGGAGTACGTCAGGATTGTCTCGATGACATGTGCGCCTGCGATATCGTAGAATCGCGCATCGCCAGGGCCCCAGTTGTTTGTCATCAACGCCTTGGAATCGTTGGTCGTGACCGAATTGTCGGGCGATCCGGACCAAGTCAAGTTGGTGTAGTTCCCGATGATAGACAGGACTTGTTGGTAGGTGTATGGGACCGTGTAGATGACCTGAGAGGTTCCTGGGTAGTAGCCGGCGGCACATCCTGTATTACCGACTGCTGCTGGTAGACTGCCATTGGTTGCTGGGATGGTGACTTGCGCTAATGCTGTGGTCGCAAGGAGAGCGAGAGTGGTGAAGGTAGACATTTTGCGTAGTTGTAAGGCCCGTTAGATTCAATGCAAATGGCAAAGGCTTTGCGCGCTGAGAAGCGCGAGAGCCTTTATGTTGGCCCCGAGCCCCTCTTGTGAAGCTTTGGGCCACGCCGCCGTGCCATACCTAAAGCCTTCTCGTTCCTGGCGATCCAGCGCCTAGATCATGCGTGACGTTGGTCTCGCATGGCCAAAACGGGCAATAGTGCGGAGAAGCGCCAACTCTTTTCGGCAGTAGCAAAAGCTTGGCTATGATCGGTTGCTCTGGCACGGATTAGTTACTCCCGAGCCTCGGAGTGCAATCTGGATCGTTGTGTCCGGGACGTCTGGTCCATAGACTTGGAATTGGAGCGATACAGGAAGCTCGCAAAGACGTGAGTATCACGTCTGCGTACCCCAGTTCATCTCGTCTTCCCGGTCGTCATCCCGATCGTCCTCATTGTCATCCCAATCCTCCTCGTCAACGTATCCCATGCGGTCGGTATCATCAGTCCAGTCACTATCGCTATCGTGATCGACTATTCCAATATGCCCGCCCTCCTCGCGAAAGCCAACGTCGTTGTTCTCGTAGATCAGCACATCGGCGACAGGCTCTTCACCATATAGATAAGGCGGAACAAACATCTGGTGCGAAGCAGGCCGTGTGAGACGTAAGGCAACGTCTTTCCGTCGCAGGAACTCACCTGCAAGCTTGATCGCCGTTCTTTCTCCCGTCATAGCTGCCAGTCTACCAAGACCGGAATGTTCGGATGTGATTGTCAACGTCTGGAGCTTCGTGTTGGCATCAGCAATGTTTGAGATTGGTCGCGGTGGTTCTGTTTCGGAGTGGTTGCCGCTCTCCAGCACATCGAGAAAAGGAAACTCGTCCAAGGTCAAATTCTGTAAACCAGGGGGCGCAGTTGCTGTACGACACAGGCCTGTAGACATCCAGCCCCAATCACCCGTGAAAGAGATGGTTTTCAAGGCAATGAATTCGCTGAAGTCGGGGCCCTGATATGACGACAATGGTGCGGACTCACCTTCATCGTCAGCACGATAGATTAGGGTCTTTAGTGATGTCTTTTGTACGCGTAATGCTTCGACGACTTCCGCTGCACTTCTCCTGCAGAGGTTGTTGTACTCTTGGTCCGGTGGGAACGCCGTCTCCTCGGGCGAGTAGCGGTTCTCACCTACTAGACGTCAGTGATATCCTATCGGCGCTGGCCGGGCTCGACTAACCAATGTAGAGATACTCCAACGCAATAGGGATAGCAAGCATGCAACGCAGACCATGCATGGTCACATTTGCTTCATCAAGCGTCAGACGCTTGAGTGGCGTTCGAACTCCTTCCCTGATACTGTTCATCGCGTGCTCCGGAATGTTAATGGACGAGACGTGAATCTCTTCCAGCGTCTGGTGTGCAAAAATGAACGCGTCTTCATGCTCTACGGTCCAGAGTTCCCGTTCCACGCCATTCAGATGGAGAGTTAAACGTTTCAAGCCAGGTAGCAGATCGCGACTCACGCCACTCGGTAGCAGCATCGCATCCAGACCAGCTCGTTCCCTGCCTGAAGCAATCTTTCCAGACTGCAAGATCGGCCACAACCAGCTGTGCAAGGTCGTATCCCATCCGTTGAAACTAGTCGCGGCTTGCCAGTCGCGATTGTTGCAGTAAGGACTCTCGACAGTAAGGTCGTTGATGTTACAGGCAGTATTCAAGATTGTGCCGAGCGGCTCCAATCGACGTGCGCTAGTGCGTCCGGTTTCCTGGAACTTACAGCGGGCGTCAAGCTTATGGATGCTGTTGAGACGATTCGGGGCAGCTTTGAGAGCAGCAACCAGTCTGGCCAGTACGTTCGGCTTTCGGAAGAAGATGTCTCTGTACAGTATTGGTTCTACGATGGCTTGGAAGTGGCGACATGCCAATATGAGCTCTCGCAAGGCCTCTTTCGAGTCTGCTAGCTGTTCAGATATACAGATGAGTAATTCGTCTGGTAGGTCGAGAAGCGTCATGGTGATGTTGCCGATGAAGGTTGTGCTTAGGCGATTACAGTGAGTAAGTTCCTCCTACATGGCGAGCCTTGAGTCGGTGGGCACTTGGGATACGAATTGTCAAACATAGGCAAGACATATATGAGTTATGCCTGAAAGCTTGTGAGACCTTAGCGCGCGGGTCTGGCCGCTGCTATAGCCGTTGCCATCGTCGTAGGTCATGCTTACGTGCATCGCTGTCAGCTACGGACACTTGTATCCAGTCTTGTCCACGTTTCGAGGTGATCACCCAGTCTGACGTGCTGAGCATACATGAGTACGGCCAGACAGGACAACCCAGATTTTGTGAGGCCCGGGAGCAATGCTCAGGAATGTGTGCTAGACCTATCGTGATACTACAGTGCGCGCATGAGAATCGAAAGACCACACGGTGATATGCTACTGTCTGTCGTATCTCAGCATGGTTTGGCTTGTTGAAGATGAGTTTTATCCATCAGAACTGTGATGTGAGACACAAACAAAGTTCAGCCCTGCAGATTGGTCCATGCGGTCTGCCACAGCAACGGGTTGTTGATTCGCTTTTTGGGCTGCACCTGCGGACTAGGATGGGCTAGAATCATGCATTAGTGGCCAAGAAACAAGAACAGTGCCAACGGCGGTACCCATCATCCTTATTGACGTTCGCTGTTGTACATACACGGAGAGACCCAGAAACGAGACAAGAGCAGGACTGCCTGCAAGCGTTGACGACGACGACAACCATTTACTACCCCGCCGCCACCGGACAGTAGCTGGCCAACGACCAGATCCCACGATCACAAGCGTCATCAGTCGAGAAGCAGAGCCTGCATGAGATCACAATACCGCCGTCGATAGCGCTGCGAGCGTAGAGACGTACACGATGGATCTGTCGCCGGCGGGAAGCAGCAGCTACACTTCCAATACCCTCCATGTCGGCGATGGAACATGGGATAATGGCCGCGACACATTTCTCCTACCCAACCTTATGGGCGTCAATTTCGCTACGATGCAATACAATGGCATGGGGAATCGCTTTCGAGATCTACCAGAGTACCATCGCCTCATCATCGGGCACGGCGTTCTGGCAACCGTGGTCTTCATGGTCATTGTGCCCACTGCAGCTTTCACGGCCAAGTTCTACACGCGCAATCCAAGGACGGCTATCAAGCTGCATGTCTACCTGCAGATATTGACCGTATTCCTGCTCACTGTGGTGCTGGTGCTAGGCTACATCGCAGTCGGGCCCGCAAGATCGTTATCGAATCCACATCATGGTATTGGTGTGGCTATATATGTCCTGGTACTGGCGCAATTCATCTTCGGCTGGCTGATGTCGAGAATTGAGAAGAGAAGGAAGAATCCACAAGACTTGACCAGAGTACCGAAGAAGGTCTGGTTCCACAGACTATTCGGGCGGACGATAGCGATATTGGGCATTGTACAGGTTGCACTGGGTCTGACGTTATACGGTAGCCCGAGATATCTGTTCATACTGTATGCCCTTGTCGCTACACTGCTGGCACTTCTGTACATTGTGATGGATCGAGTGTACTTTGAGAAGAGGCATGTGATGTTTGGACTAAACTCGCAACCTGAGTTCTACTCAGACTATGGCAGCTATTTGTCAGGCTCGCGGACAGACTATGGACCAGGATCCAGACCAGGAGGAGCTGCCCCGCCGATGCGACAGCAAAATGAGAGTCACTGGGGTCGGAACGTGTTGGCAGGTGTTGGGGCGTTGGGAGCGTATGAGGCATTCAAACGGAGGCGAAGTAACAGACGAGACGACCGAGAAGAGTCTGGAGTTGAGGAAGAGCGCATGCAGAGTGTAAGGCGCGAGGAGCGAGAGCAGGCAGAAGTGGACGCGGAGCGCAGACACGGACTTCCGCCACCGGGAATGGCGCCTTCTGGAGTGTCGACATCAAGGCCTGGCAGTAGACCTCCTCCTGGCGTTGAGTACGGAGCCGGCAGTATAGCAACAGGGATGGGTCCACGGCCCGGCCAACCCAGACCTGACAGCCAGATGATGACTCCAGCTCGGGTGCGGCGAAATGACGATAACAGACTAAGCCCGGAGTCGTGGGAGATGGATGAGAAGTATCAGCAGCGACCGCAAGATAACACTTGGCGCAATAGGATACTGGGTGCGGGCGCCGGTATTGCAGCCTTCGAGGGCGTGAGGCGTGTGTTCAGTGGACGACGCAAGCGACAGGAAGATGGATATGTGGACGGTAACTACAGACCAGCGTTAGGTGGCAGTCACAACATGGTCAGCCAGACAGATGTTTCGAGAGTGGAGGCTGGGCAGGCACCATTCTCACCAGATAATCCTTGGCGGCAAGAACGTATGAATATGGCTGGAGTGCAGCCGATGACACCAACTGCCACACCCTCACGCCCGCCACGGCGGCCCCAGCCTGATGTGGATTCACTCGACTACAGCGACGATGAGAGCGTGATGTCGCCAAGACCCGGCGGTATGAGGCCAAACTCACAGTATGAGAATACCGGAGGAGATGGCCATACGCTCAGGAACAGCATCGCAACGCTTGGTGCCATCGCAGGTTTCAGAGAATGGAACCAGCATCGAAAGGATAGACGAGAACGACAACGACTCGGTCGCTTACGGCAGGATGAGCTGACGAACGAGGAGAGTTCGTACAATCGTCGCACGTCTGCCAACTACCCACATCCACAGGATGCAGGTGGCAGGGGACCGAGCATGGGTGGTACAGTGACGACAGCTGATCACGGACTCAACGGAAGCAATCCAGAACTGGGCCGAACGAATATCGGCAGACCGGACACTATGCAGCCACCTCTACCGGCTACAGCTGGTACGATTGGTAGTGGTATTGGCCCTGGCTATCCACAGAGCACGGTCGGACCTAGCATCAGCCAGCAACGGATCTATCAGACAGGCGAAGGGTATAGTCTACCGCCGCCGCCAGCTGGGCCTCCGCCTCAAGGTATCAGACAAGACCGTCTGCCACCTCCGCCACCCGGCCCACCACCCGGAGGTATGCAGCCGAATGAATATCTTGCGCCCGAGCCAGGTTCACTGCAAATGCCATCAGGCGCTATTTACCCTGATCCATCTCGACTCGTGTCATCGGGAAATGTAGTCCAGCAATCATCGAGCGGCCGTCCCATTCGTGATGCAGCGGCTGGTGCAGCCGTAGGAACCGCAGCAGCGAATGTTGCTAGTAACCATCGACGACGGAATTCACAGTCGGAATCTCCGTCTCGCATGCATTCGCGCCAAAGCTCGACCAGCCGCTTTCAGCATAGAGATAGACGCGGCAGCAACGCGTCAGGCACGAATTCGACATCAGCACTCAACACAAGCGTTCCACCTGCAGGCGACCAGCCGACTTCGCCACCAGTGAGTGTCAAGGTCAAGATGCATAACGATGGCAAACACGTTACCCTCCGACGACTGAACGAAGAAGAAGCTGCCGCCGAGCGCGCCGCACGTAGAGCAGAGCGTCGTGACCGCCGACGAAGAGGAAGTAGTGAGATCAGCTCAGGTCTCGAAGGTGATCTCCCGCCAGGCTCGAATCAGCGCTACAAACGGACAGGTATCGGTCGCCGTCCCAGCGCTGACCAGCCCATCACCAATGTCCCTCCTCCACCACCCATGAGTTCAACAGCTGGCTCGCATCGGCCGCCATCCGAGCTCAATCTACCGCCGACTCCGATTATCGCAGGCCCATCAATGGGCGGTGGTATATTACCACCAGCCACCCACTCACTCTCACCACAAGATGGACAAGGTCTGAGTCCACCACCAGGCCACGCTCCAGCCGACAGCGGCATGACTAGTCCTGGTGACGCTGGTACTGGGACTGACTTAAGTGCTTTTGATACGAATAGACGAAGGCGAAGGGCCGAGAGGGCAAGGAGGCTTGAGGCGGCTAGGGGTGGTGGTGGGAGGAGTGTGGAGTTCACGTAGAAAGTTCGTCTTGGGAAAGCGGGTGCATGAGAGGGATATGGCGTTGGCACGAGTGCCTGTAATTATGGATGGGATATGCAAGGTTGCACGATGTCACGTAGCGCTCTTTGATATTCTCTCTATCGCATGTGCGGCTGGCACCGTGTAGTCATTGCTGGAGCTACATGCATGCACTCCCACTTCCTTCTCGTCCATCACTTCTCAACATGTCCTGATCCGTCTGCAGTATAATCGACAAGCTAACCTGCTGCCGAAAGGTCCAAAGGTGATGTGCAGGAGAAGCTATTGACTTGTGGTATCTTGAAAGCCTCGATCATGCCCTCGATAGCAGCATAGAAGCCCAAACCAGTCACTACCCACGCCGCAAGACAGTACAGGACGTTGACCACATTGATCAGTACTTGTGTCGTTCCTCCCGCAAGGAAGCCTTTGATCCAGTAGTTGATGCCAGAGTACTTTCGGACAACCTCACCAGTCTGGGCGTTGAAACCACCGCCAGTAGATCGCATCAAGTTGACTCTGATGTCATATGCCAGAGCCACCATAGGAGGGAATGAATATGTGAATTGCATGACAGTTGCCGCGCTGACCACAGAAACGAAGCCAAAGTAATCGGGAATGGCGCCCGCGATGATATAGGCAACGGTCCACCAAATGGGTACGAGGAATATCCAGAGGGTCTTCCCAGGTTTGCTGGTGATTGGAGGCGCCTTGAAGATGTCGGCCAAGACATTGTTATAGAGGACTTTGATGCCGATGTTGCTATATAGTGCTGCCGCTATCAGGCCGGAGATGACGCCAATCATGTTTCCCTGAACATGATAATCAGCACCAGTGAGTACCTTGCTGGGTCATGGCTGTACTTACCGCGGTCTGGAGACCATACGACGACACCCCTTGGTAGCTGATAGTGTAGCTGTACTGTCTACGATAAGTTGTTAGTTCCGTTGGCTTCTGCTTTCGAGCTCAGTCTAGTCCCGTCTCACCCTTGCCAGTAATACGTATAGCAGCCGTATATCAAGTACACGGCATATATCTGCGAAAAGTGTTAGTATGTCCATTTGCTGTCTCAGAGATGGGTTTGATCTATCGCACTTACGAAGAACTGTGCACCCCACATCGCCTTGATGAAGTCGCGAGGTCGACGCATCTCGGCCATGAATTCTACAAACAGCTGAGCTCCACCGTACGCGAAAACACCAGAGAGTAGACCATTGAGTGCAGCAACAAAGCTACCCGATGGTGGCATACCAGCATAGTGAATGATAGGAGGGTAGATGCCATCAGCATTTGGCGTGATAGAGGCAGGATCAACTAGACCTCCTGCAGAGCCAAGGGTCGCGATTTCGTAGTACGGTGGAGAGTGTGCAAAGGCGCCCATACTGATGAATATCACTAACAAATGGTCAGCAAGACATACAATACCAGTAGGAAAGCGGAACATTCACCTAGTAAGTTCAGCCACACCGCCAAATTGGCCACCCAGCCATATGCTCGCAGAGTTCTGATCTGACCAAGGAAAAAGCCAACGATAATGAAGATGACCGGACACACTGCATAACAAAGGCGAAACTTGGAGACCTCTGAAAGAGCTTGTCCTTGTTGGATCGTGATCTGACCCAAGACCAAGAGGAGAGCGAGAGCTTGCAGTATGTTGACGGTATAGCGGGCACCAGATCCAGAGAGTCGAAAAGCCAAGTCACCGTAGTTCTTGACTGGAAACTGATGACTGTCAAGGCCGAGATATGCATGCCATAGCTGAAAGCCAGAGTAGCCTGCACAGATTCCGAAGACTGTGTAGAGAGCGATACCAGGACCCCAGCCGAGCGTACCTACGTCTTCTGTCAGCATCAATCAGACGTGGAGACGATGGCGGACATCTCACCCATGGCAAAGCCAACACCATATGGCCCGAGAATATCCGTCGTGATAAGATAGAAGCAAGCGCCCCAAGAAGCCGTCCTCAACGCTCTTGAGGCCTTCGTCCACTCTTCATCACTGACCTGCGAACGCGCATTACGATCAGCGAGATTTACTCTTGGCGCTTTGCCGTCATCCTTATCAGCGTGGCCGTTCTCGCCATTTGTAGAGACTTCATGGGCGGGCTTCTTGCGCAGCAGAATCTCCCGCCATGTCGTCTTGGGCGGCGCGATGCTGTCTTCTTCCTGCCGAGTCTTGAGCGCGTAGTAATGGTATTCCTCGAAAGAGACCTCGGGATCGTGAAGCTTGCGCGACTGCGGTTTGATGATTGTGGAGGTGCCTGCAATTGGAACATCCGAATAGTGACCTTCAGTGTCACCGTTGACTGGCACAGCTTTCTCGTCCATGCTGAAGCACTTTGAGAGCCTCTAAAGTCAATTGAGTGTTCTTGTGGAGGATGATGCTGATGAGGATCAACTCAACAAATATCACCATAAGTACCTTAGTTTATCGACGCCGATCCATAGATTGGACGCCTGAGAGCGGTGTTCAGTGAGGGTTAGACCTATCAGTAGATATGCGGCTTTGCGGTGCAGTGAGGTCGGTTAAGCTGGCCGCTGCACTGTGATCATGTGCGAGGAGTTACACCCGTTGCAACCCTATCGCAACCCATGTAACACCATCCCGACCATACCAAATTGGTTACCCTGCAGCAATATCGAGTTGCTCGCCAACCTATCGCGTGAAGCTTCGTTTAGCTTGTCAAAGGCTTGTCCTCGCCACTCGTACGCAGTCAGTCATTAGTCATTCTTCGCGTGGTGTCCGGTAGCTGTACCACGTCTGTACGCATGACGAGCGAGGACATGGCCACATTGAAGGGAAGGTGCGATGACGATGACGACTGTCCACCAGACATTGTGTAGCTGGTCATGCATGCATTATATCCAGCGTCGTGCACAATCGAAAGGTGGAAGCGCATGTGAGTGAGGGCTAAGATCAAGCGATAAAATGACATCCAAGTACTGGCGATAAGCTTCGCGAACTCCGCATAGTGCGGCATTCGAAGCTGATCAAAGATAACATTAGTGCGGTCGGGCAAGGTAACGTATAGGCTGCTTCCTGAAGTTTTCCATGACGAACAGGACTGGGCAAGGACTGTGATCCGAGCCACGTACATAGCCGTGCTTGGTACATCGCCCGTAGAGTATGAACGTGCACGAAGTGTTCTTCTATGCTGAGTTCCGTATGTACATCATATTGTTCACCCTCGCAGTCCGCAGAACAAGATTACAGGACTACAGTAGTCTGTCGAGGAACCTCGTATCGCTATGGCTAGGGTCGCTAGACGCCTGTACTAAGCAGAGATGAATGGATAGAAGAAAGGAAAGTGATGTACTTGCCAATCCGCATGTCATTTCGGAAACATGTTGTTTCGAGACAATGTCTTGCACAAAGCTACGATGTCAACAGTCAGTGACATGATGTTGTGCATTGAGGTTGCTGCGGCGCTAGGGTGTTGACCAGCATTGTAGTGAGCCGCGTGCAAGATGTACTCGAAGCACAGGCAGAGCCGTCGAATAAGGGGAACGCGTTCTCAGGAATGACCTGCCAGTAGTCAGCAGATTTCTGGCTCCAGTCAGATCAATGGAAAATGTCTTGATGCCGTTTCATGCGACTTTCAATAGCCATTCCCGTGAGAAGAGGTTGTTGATTACGGCCAGAATATGGATCCGTGAATGCTGCGGCCGCATTGATGGCGGCAAGGGAACGGCGACGTGTGTCTTGGCAGACTAGAATGGCGATAGCCTGGGCTGTACTTGTACGAGAGGCGGCGAAATTTGACGATGGTGACGGCGAACTTATGACTGAAGATGACGAAGGATTTACCGTAGCGTAGGCGTATGATGCCGATCAGCAGTCATGTTGCAGATGTGCCGACGAATGCTGAAGTTTCGAACCAGTCACGATGAACGGGGATGGTGCAGTCTGATCCAATCTATGGAAGAAGAAACACCAAGTGTGCTCGTGTTGTTGCAACAGGCTAGTCGCAAAATTTTTGCCGTGCTTTGTCCGCCGTGACTAGTAGTAACACATGCTGCAAGTCGCACCGGGTGAAAGAAAGAGGTGGTAGTAGTACAACATGCCGATTTGCCGTCTCCCGAAAGCCGCCTTTTTGTCGCAGTCTGATCTTCTCCTCGGTCTCAAGGAGGACACTGCCTACCTGCTTTGTCAGTAGTCAAGCCAGGTACCTATACCTCACATCTGCGCTTAGTCGTAGCTGCGACGCTCGCTGTATTCACGAGGAGGAGGAGCATCACGCGCAGGTGGGGCATCTCCAGAGTAGCCACGAGCCGGAGGAGCATCGCGAGGAGGCCTGTCGTAGCTGCCACCACTTCCGCCATATCCACCACCACGACGCTCGTAACGGTCCTCGCGGTAGCGGTCTCCACCACGGTCTCCGCCACGAGGAGCGTATTCGTCGCGACGTCCTCCGCCGTAGCCGCGGTCGTCGTAGCGGTCGCGGTACCCTCCACCGCCACGGTAGTCATCGCGTCTGCCGTAGCTGCCGCGGTCCTGCAAAGGGATCAGTATGTTGCACAGTCGATGCCAATTGGGGGAGTGCTTACGTCGTAGCGATCTCTATACCCACCACCGCGCGAAGGGCGGTCGTTGCGCTTAGGTGGGCCGAAGTACTTGCCGGGAGTGGGGTGGCGTGGCTTAGCGCGACGGGCCTTCTCGATGCTCAATGTCCTGCCTTCGTAGACCTCGCCTTGCAGGCCGTCCTTGGCAGCATCCGCCTCTTCTGGAGTGACCATCTTCACGAACCCAAACCCACGGCTCTCGCGGGTGTGAGGGTCGCGCATGATGTTGCACTTCTCGACCTGGCCGTACTTCTCGAACAGGCGAGAGATCTCGCCTTCGGTCAAACGAGGGTGAATGCCGGTAACGAAAAGGTTGGAGCCTGGATTGCGAGCCTCCTCGTCCTCCTCCTCATCATCGTCCTTGGGTGGTGCGCTGCATAAAATATCAGAGGCTGCTTACGTATTTTCTCATTTGAGCAAGAGCTTACCGGTCGTTGCGGCCATTAGCCGGGGCGTCGCGAATCCTAGCGTCACCGTCACGATCGCGATCTGGACCGGGAGAGCGCGAGCGGTCACGAGGTGCGGCATACTCGCGGTCGTCTGTTTCGTAGTATGTCAGCTTAAGCTCAGCTTCCAGCTCCGTCATGACATTAGCCATTCTGAAACAGTCAAGTGTTGTGGTATTTCGGTGATGAATTGATGACTGTCAGAAAGGCGTTGTGATGGGGAATGCGGTGCGCACCTTCGTACTGACGAGGCTCGTCGTTGTAGGTGTCAAGGTCGGCCATGATGACTGAAGTCCTAGAGTGAGCGTAAAAGATCTACTGCTGAACTGTCAGGAGCTCGCGAATGGGAATCTAGTGACGTCGATGAGTGGTCTAGTCCACAGCAGTGTGTCAAGGCTAGGTGTTGTTGATGATGGAAATAAAGGCTGTCGCGTTCAGAAAGTCGCAAGCAGCCGGCGAAGCAAGGAGGCTGAAAGCGGCCCGCTCCCGAAGAATTCTGGCCTTAGGCACTCACGCATAATATATGCTTCTACGTCACGACACACATCTGAAGGAGCGGTACATATGAGTGGAAGTCCGTTGTTCGACCACGTAACGAGCCGACCCAAGTGAAGTATCTATCTCAATGTCGATCAATCGCCAAGATATACAGGCACGCCATACACGACTGGCGCAGCACCGTTCAAATACCTTAGGTAGCAAGCATCTCTACTCCTGCTCACAGCCTCAACCAATGACCTCTTCCTGCCATCACTTTGCCTCGGCTTGCTCCGACTTCTGCTCCTAGTAGGTGTCTTAGCAGCCGCCATTGAAGTTTTCCCGACCTTAGGTGTTTTTGGAGTCTTCGGAACCTGCTGCGGTGTTGATGGGGCGACGAGGTGCCTTTGAGGCTTCTTAGGCGTCTTTGTAGGCAGCTTAGAGGCTTCGGACGGTGCCCATAGTCCCCACTGCTCACCTACTGCGAGTGAGAAACGATCGACGTCCTTGTCTGTCACATCCCAGAGCGTGCCTATCGCAGCCATGCACATGTTGTTTCTATCCCTCGGCTCTGCTGCCTGAGTGTCATGAGTGCTACCGGCCATGAGATAAGCAAAAGGTACAGCGAAGGGCTCGAGCTCGCCATACTCGGTAATTGCACCAGAAGAGCAACCCATCAGCCACACGACTTCACTGCACTTCTCCAGTCTCCTGATTGTGCGAGGCCGTATGTATTGCGATCCTGCTCCGTGGCCAAAGTATAGCAGGATGGATGAGTCGGTAAGAGCTTGCTTGAACTCTTCCTCTTTTGGCGCTTGTTGCACCATTGCGATCCACTTCGCACCTGGTGCCTTCGCCAGCACAGCCAGTGGATCTTGCAGCATCGTCTGTGTGTTGACGAGATCGTTGGATGGATTGAGAATGTAGGTGCCAGACTTCCGATCGACCACGTGACGGTCGTGGTCTACCCCGAGCACTCTGTGTCTATCTCTCATTGCCAATACACTCTCGCGCAAAGACAGCATACTCCCAACTCTACTTACGCTGGCACTCTCAAGACATGGCAGGCTCTCCCACGGAAACGCTTGTAGCCGCTTGTCCAGGATGAGGATCGTGTGTCGTGCTTCATCGCCATCTCGTGGAGGTGCATCATGGTAGCTGCGCAGAGCGTCTTGAACATCGACGACCATGCTGTCAAAATCGATCTCGTCATAAGCGTTATGCTCGCCGCTGAATTGCAGCATGTCGACAACAAAGTATAGCAGATCCATTAGAGGCTCATCAGTGTCGACAGTATCATTTTCATCGTTGCCGAGTCCGACGAAAAGTTCCAGCACCTTGCTATCCAAGGCGAGCAGCCCTGTGCGTGGTTTAGTACTGCGACGTGATGGCAAGTGTCGAAGCAGTATATCGTCAAACGTCTTCCGGAAGCGTGCCAGCAGTTCAGGATGCCTTGCCTGCTGCGAGAATATGGACTTGAAGCCACCGAACCAGATATTCTCCATATTGAGCAGAAGCTCGTGTAGTCTTCGATCGAGTGCTTCACGCTCGGTCCACCAATTGCTCTTCGCTCCCTTGCCTTCCATACCTTTCGTGTTGTGACAACTGTAATTGCTCGCTGCGACGATATCTTGCAGCTCAGCTTTGCCCTTGTTGTAGTCGAACGGCTCTTCATTTTCGGCATCAGGTTTGTGTCGTGAGAATGGAAGCCGCAGTAAGAACGGAGACTGTCCAGCTCGGTATCGGACGGCGTAGAGCTCTGTACATTCGGCGTTCGGGTACAATGATACAGCCGTCCAGGACTCGGGCAAAATATCCACATACTGCTCTTGGAACTGTACAGCAGTCAAGGATTCCGCGTGATGCTCGTCCTTTGGTAGGCTTGGCCACTGGAAGGGAGATGACGACTCCGCAGCTTCGATGTCCACCTCCACCGTAGCAAGCTCGCGCACCTGAGCATGCGTTCTCGGATACTCTCCCTGCGATGCAGCACGAGCGGGATGGACTCTACTCCCTGCATGTGTCGTCCCTATCGACGCAAGATACATGCTAGCCTCCAAGAATAACGACGCATCATGGTGAGCAGTCGCAGTAGTGACCGAGACCACGTCGTTCTGCTTTGGTAGCAAACATTGTCGGGCCGTCACAAGTAGCTCCGAGGCCTCCGAAGATGTCGATGCATTGTCGAGTCGAGACTTTGCCGGTCGTCCCGTCGTTTGCATGAGCTTCTCACCTGGCAGCACAGTAGGGCACGCAAGCGTTGACTCTGCGAGCATACTGAAAGTAACATCGGCTTCCAATATAGCGGCAGCATCTTGCATGAGTCTGAGGTTCTCGTAGTGACGCTGGCTGAAGCTTTGTCTTTCAGTAACAGGCAAAGCAGCTACTAATGTTGACGCTTCCTTATGCCTACCCACTCGCATGAGTGTCAGCGCATGCTTGAACGTTATGCGAGTAAGCAGATCATCGAGTACGATGCCGACTGGCTGAGCCTGGCCATGCCCTACCGTTGCTATCTTATCAATCGCTCTTTTTGCCGTACGTGTTGATTTGGCTTTGGCAATTTTGCCCATCGCAGAACGAGACACCGTAGGACGTTCACACCCCACTGCCGGTGTTGGGTCACTGTCAGGCGCTACGCCCGATATGTCAAGCGCTTTCAGGAATTCATGCGACCTTATTGTTCGAATGAGCGCAGTGGCTTCACGATACAGAACTGTCGCTTCCTCAAAGGAGCCTTCTTTTGTGCGTAGCTCGGCCTCAGCACACTGTCGCTCAACCACACGCCAAGGCGCAGGACTGGCATCGGCGTCTTTGCTTTGAGTCAAGCACAGCTCAGCAGCTTCCAGCTGGCCCGCAAGAACCTGTAGACGGCATCTATGCACCCTCACGTGGGCAAGGAGTTGTTTCGAAGTTATCGACTCAGCAATTCTAATCGCCCGCTCTGAGTAGTAGTCTGCTTCCGCAAAGACGCCGTGGTGGGAGTAGAGATCGGAAAGGTGCATCAAAGCTTCACACATTGGTGACACAATCGGCCAAAAACCGGCACCTTTTCTCGAAGTCTGCATGGTCGACTTGGTCTGGTTGACTATTGGCGTAAGCTGAAGCTTGCTGACTCCCGTGGCCAAGGCGTTCACATCTGGGACGTCTGGGCTTGCAATATCTTCAGATTGACTGACAGACCCGAACAAGTTCTCTCCAGTGGCCCTCTCTGCTGCCGCCCAAGTGGCTTGAAGTAACTTGACTGCACGCTTTGCAGCGGCTAAAGCACCTTTCGCAGGCCCGTTCGCTGCACACAGCTTCGATCGTATGATCCACGCTCGAGCATGAAGCAGTTCGTAACCTTTTCGTTCAGCTCTCGCCACACCTTCAGGCGGCAACAGCTCTCGTATTGCTTTCGTTCTTTCCAGATCAGCTTCAGCCTGTACGAAATCTCCAGTAACCACATGACATTCTGCCAACGTGAGATCGAGATTGAGCTCTTCAATAAGTTCTCGTTCGGAGGCTTTATGAAGTGCTTTGGCGTCTGCAAGTAGAGGCAGGGCCTTCTCGGTGTATCCTAATCTGAGGTACTGGCCTGCGAGACTAATTATTGCTGAAGGCGTTCCAAGACGTTGTTGCAGACGAAGCGTGAGCAGATGATTGTGTTCATCACCCATCATATCAAAGTATGTGGCGCAAGCAAATAGTTGGCTTGTGCTAACTTCGACATCATACACCTCATCTTCGCCCGAGAACTTTCGCAATTTGTCGAGGACAGCCACGAGCTGTGCGGAGGGAGGCCTTCCGTCATCGAATGACATGGCGATAGTCCACATCGTCTGGACGTCCAAAAGATAGTGACCAAGGGCGTCATCTTTTGCCAGACTGATGGCGTCAAGGTCTATCGACTTTGTCCACTGCTCGAAAATATGAGGCTGTAGGCCGTGGATAGCACGAAGTCGAGCAACCTGCGTAACTACGGCCATACGACGCAATGGATAGCGACTGGGTTCGTACAGGTTGGAGAGCTCCGCTAGAATGTGCTCCACCACCTTCGGCAGGGTGGGTCTAGACTTCTTTGGCTCTGGCATGTCTAGTATGGCTCCATGTAGCAGCACTGCCTTCTCGTCGCCGGTCAAGGCATCTGAGTCTTCAAATGGCAGATACGGAGAGCTTTCGGATGCTTGCGAACCAGCCGCTTGCCAGAGCAGCGCTTGCAGGACACGCCTTAGTGCCACTGCCTCTGAGTCAATGCTCCAAGCTTTAGTCATATTGGTCTGCGCAGCTGCATGTGCAGTCTTGCGTAGTGTGCCGTTTCTGTAGTATACCCTTGCAGATTCCAGAGTCACCCATCTTGCTGTGTCCTCGACCCTGAGACTAGTGCTCAAAGCTGACTGGATGATGGTCACTACCAACCTCGAATTACGATCCCGGTATGATCGTGAGTATCTCTGAGCATATCGTGCAGCTGCTCGACTCATCTCAGTCGATACTTTGCGATTCCTTGCGGTGACATAACAAGCAAGTTCTTCCAGGAGCATATCGTAGTCAACTGGTCGGCCACTCGTCTGCTTATATAGCAAATGACTGCAATCCGTCTCGTCAGACGACAATCTAAGTCGCTTGATAGTACAAGCTACATGACGGGCATGCTCGTCTCCCAGGCTGCTGCAAGCTTCCTGCATACTTGCAGTCCACTTCAATGCTTCATCGCACAAATCAAGGGCCTCTGCTGCAGTAACAAAGACTCGAAGGATATCAAAGTGAAGTTCCTGACACATTCCAGCAGTGGAAATCTCGAGCAGCACATAATACTGTACAACCCGGGCGTGGTGCCGGATCAGTCCATCATGGGACTGTCGTCTAAAAATCTCGAGGAAGCGATGGAATGCGTCTAGTGAGACTTGGTCGTTCGTTGATAACTGTTTGAGTCTGAGTGCTAGCACCTGTAGCTCAAAGACCATAGCTGGTTTGTCCTCCGGCCAGATCATTTGAGATGTGATGACTATTGCCTGTCTTGGTAGAAGCACATGTCGAAGCAGACTGAGCTCTGGCTCAAAGTCGAATCCAAGGACCGTGAGTTTGCCTGCGAAGGCAATGATGCCGCTGTCCAATTGCCATAGTGTCTGGTCTTTGGCATTCGAAATGCCTTTCGCCTCATTAGACTTTAGGAACGAGAATGCAAGCCTCGCGCATTGGACAATGTTCGTGATACATCCAGTCGTATCGGATCCCGCGACCTGCTCGATGGTAGCTGGTTTCGTACCAGCGCGCTTTGGCGATGCATTCCCCGATGTTGGCCGAAGTACTCTAGATCTGTCACCTGGTCGTGGAGTTACTGTGGGCGATACGTTGGGTGACTTCCGAGATTCTGCAGCCGCTTTCAGAGACGACTTGTCCTTACTCGCTGCACTGAGGAACTTTAAGGAGGTGTTGACAACCTCAGTGGCGAGCACATATCGGTCTTTGGAAGACAACTCATCTGCATCATCACGTACATCATGTACTGCCTGTCCATCCGGTACACGCTTCTTTGGTGGAACCTTTTTGATACTAGACTTGACTGTGTCCGCGGTCTTTGCTTTAGGCTTGGTCATCGATGCCGTCGTCGCAGGTCGCGTGTTCAAACCCAGAATATCCCGAAACGCGGAGATGGTAGAAGTCGATGTTGTGCCATCTGATATGGACGATTTGATGGCCTCACATTGCGCCTTACTCGCCCTCATACTGCTCTCAACCCCCGGCTACAGGCGTAATCATCCACCTTTTCAGTCATTAAAGATCACTTTCCGAACGACCGTGAATCGCGTCCCGATGCATAAGCGCAAATAAGGTTCGTCACCAGAGCAACGCTCCACGATTCGGTCCATCCCGTGTTGATACAACATCGTGGAACCCAGAAGCTTATCTCGAAACGCGCCTGCTAGCAAGGTAGCTTAGAGCTGCGGTATACATTGCTATCCTTACAGCGTATCCATCCGGCAATATGGTATCCACAAGACGAACCGCTCAAATCGAGCCTGCGGACGATATGGCCGGCTCCACTCTGGCCAACACTCTCCGTAAGAAGCCTGTGCGCAAGGCCGCCGCGAAAAAGGCCGAGGTCGACACGAAAGCAAACCCAACCCGTGGGAGAAATGCAGCGACAATGGCTGATGATCAGGTGGTGGGTGAGCCCGTGGAGTCGACTACTCTTTCGCTGCAAACAAAACCAACAAGGAAGCCAGCCGGCAGAACCAAGAAGACCACCACTCAGCAGCCTGCAGAGGAGGTCGAGTCATCAGTCGCACCACCTTCGAAAACCGCCAGAGCGACGCGAACGAAGAAGACCGAACTGCTAGTCGAAGAGCTTGCGGATCGGGACGATGTTCCGCAGTCAAGGCCAACGCGCAGGACGCGTGCGACGGAGCCTAAGGCGCGACCATTGTCTCCTAAGAAGATCACTCAAGTAGCCAGGCCTCGCACCAGAAAGACAGACGGGAAGAGGTCAGCCGATAAACCTCAAGCGATAAGAACCGCAGCTCGAGGGGCTCGTGCGGCTCGTGCACGAACAGTATCGGACGAGAACGCAGAAGTGCCTGATTTGTTGCATCAGGAAGAGTCTGAAGATGAGATCATGGTTGTCTCAAGCACACCAGTCAAGCGCTTGTCTCCTGTGAAGACTAGCCCACGAAAACGTGCCGACAGCGAAGCTTCGATGAGCTCGAGAGCAACAACGCCATCAGCTTCGCCAGTGCCAAGCTTTGACAAGATCGAGGATGAGAACGAGTACGCCGCGCCAAACCACGACCATGAATCTGATTTGGAACAAGAGGAGAATGCGCGCCTTGTATCCGATAACTCTGACGACGAGCTCTGTGGACCCAAGACGCCGATGAAGCGCTCAAGTCCCGGCACCGGGGCCCGTCATCGCGCTTCTGTGCGCAAGGTGGCGCAATCGAGTATTGAGGAGACGCGAAATCCCACTCCTGTAGTTCAGTATCGGGCACTTGCTAGTCATACCAAGACACCGAAGACCCAATTACCTTACAAAAAGCATACTGTGCCCGAGTCTACAGAACGATCATTGACAGTCGGATGGGCCGGCAGGATCACTGTTGAGTTCCGTAATGTTCGAGAGGAGGAGGCACAGGCCGACAAAAGCCCAGATGCCACCAGTCATGATGCATTGACGAGCGTCTCAAGTGGCGAAACGGACCGTATGTCAGAAGTCCAGCACGAAGTAGTCTCGGAGCCAGAGCAGGAGATCTCAGCCATGCCAGACAGAAGACTCGCTGGTGAAGCGGACCTCATACCTGAACCCCTAGACGACGATTTTATGCAACAGAACGTCTACGATCCGAAAGAGACCATTATTATCAGCGACGAATCAGGAACTGATATGGCAGGTCAGGAGGAGGCGAGTATGGATTCATTTCTCACAGAAGATACTGTACTTATAGCCAATATCGAAGGACCTGTGCCGCAAGATCTTGAAAAGGATGCCGAGCACGTCGACGTTCATATTGTACCACATTCGACCACTCCAGAGACTCTCATTTGGGACAACATTCGCCAGGATATCACTATCCCGATCGACTTTGACTCCCACCTAATGGGTCTAACACTCGCTCCATCGGTCAATGCGATGGACATGATGGATGAAAACATCGAGAACGACTTCTCCGACCTCTCTCAGACTGGCGATGCTCTATTCGCAGCTAATGCTTCGATCTCTGACGACACTCACGACGATAGCCTCCTTAGTAATGAAGGACTGGAGTCGAATACGCAAGATGGAACCATCAATCTTAACGACTTCATTGACGTTGCTGCTCTCGCGGAGCAGACCCAAGCACTGAATTTGCCCACCCAGCAGATGGAATGTGCAATTGAAGAGGACGAAGATGAAGCAACCGTATTGATCATCGAGACTACCGCAAATGCAAAAGTGGCCGACACCGCCGTCCCACATTATGCTCTACCCACAGCTTCATTCGATGCCAGGCGCACGTCAATGCCTGCTGTCAGCTTCCACACCCCTCTTAAGCTAGGCGCGAGACCTACGACATCAGATGGCGCAAGTATGCCACGAATGCCCCTGATCTTCAACAGGCCGTGGGTTGCCACGCCGACAACTGCCAGACGATCTGACTGCAATGAGTCTGGCGATCTGACAGGACAGGATCACAGTACCACACCGTCCAGACGCTGGGAGAGCATCTCTCCAGCCAGTTACTATGCCAGCATCGAGGAGCACGCGAAGACAACAGCTGGGCCGAAGCGCTTTCAAACTCCGACGCGACAGATCAAGAACACATCTGCCATGGCCAAGCGCGCGTCCGCCAATACACTCACGCCACGCGCTTCTTCTTTGAGGCCTCGACCAGCTATGCTCGAGCATGCTGAGAAGTCTACACCGCGGGTAGAGGATGACAGCGAAACATCCTTCGCCATGGAAACGCCAGTACCCAGGACTCCAGCAGAGCGGTATCCGCTTCTGTCACAAAAGGCCGGCCAGCTCGATCATGCGCAGACAGTCGCGCCACCACCTCGGTACCGGACGCCCTTGCGGAACTCTACCAGGCGGCCAGCTACTGTCAGCAAGATCTCCGCACAGGCTACAACACCACAGATGCAAGCTCCGCATCTACGACGTCAGGACGGGAATGAAGAGACCACAGAAGCCCTAAAGGCGGCTGCTTCACCAGCTGTGAGTGCCGCAGCATCCACACCTACACACGGTGAACGCTTTCCCAAGCTGCCCGCTCACAACAATTACAACGATCATGCTAAGACCGCATCCGCCCCGCGCTTCAAGACACCTGCGAAGTCCCCACTCAAACGACCTTCCACGGTGCAGAAGCAAGTCTCGCTACGCAAATTCGCAGTAGCCAACAACACGACTATGGGCACCAGAACGCCTGTCATGACGCCGCTGAAGCCACCTGCGATGACGCCTGGCCAAGTCCCGATGACACCGCATCCGTCTGCACCACTGAAAGCTGTGGTAGCCATGGTCGAAGTATACACTCTCGAAGGCGCCTCAGCATCTGCGCCATTCATCGCTCTTCTTCATCGTCTAGGCGCGAAGACCACCAAAGTCTGGAATGAGCGCGTCACCCACGTTGTGTTCAAAGACGGGTCCCCGACCACTTTACAGCGCGTACGTCTACACAACAAAGGCGTTGGCGAGTCCGGCACCGGCAGCACTATCTACTGCGTCAACAGTCGCTGGGTCACAGACTGTGATACGGAAAGCAAACGTGTCGAGGAGTCCGATGAGGCATACGTGGTCGATGTGACAGAAGTTCCGCGAGGGGGCCAACGACGACGCAAGTCCATGGAACCTTCTGCTTTGATCAATCTGGGTGGTAACATCGTCCGCGATCGAAAGAGTAGTATTGGACGCAGCTCGCTGGGGAGGACACCGCTGAAGTTCGACTCACCCGCGAAGCAGCCTGAGATGGATGTGACTTCAGTGACTACGCCGCCGGCTGAGGCGCATACTTCGTCTGACAAGGAAAACAAGGAAGAGCCGTCATCGCCAGCCACGCCGGCGTATCTTGCTGCGCCCGATAAGTTGATCCAGCAGACCGCGCCTATCAATCGCATGCGGAAGCTTGGGACGAAGACTAAGGAGGCGAACAAGCTGAGGAGATTGACGTACTTCAACGGTACTGGTCATGTGTGAGCAGGAGGAGTCTGTACGGGAGTCTGAGTCTAGGTGGGGAGGCTGTATTATGACTGCACGAATTGTTCAATAAGAATGCGAACTGTCTATCAAGATCTTGCTATACATTTCCTGTCTAGTGCGACGCCTTTACAATGCCCACATTTGGAGAAAACTCTCCCAAGCAAAAGCCATAGAAGTTACCATAGTATGCGCATAATAGTGCGTGCCTCAGGCTCACTGCTCAGCATTTAGCCGCCATTAACCGGCGTCTGGCTTCTGGTCCTGGCATTAGCATCAGACCCACGTATATTTTTGCTTTGGTCGTGATGGTCGGTGAGATGCGGCTGTAGTGTCGGCGTTGAGACAAGAGCGAAATACACCGCGTGTCGTAGTTGTGTTGAGCTTTCACTTAAGATAAGTAGAAGACAAGCACTATTGATCGATACATCTACACTTCCTACTCTACCAAGGTACTACCCCACTCGTGAACACAGTACGGTACTTCCTGCCGTGTCACGCGACTCTCACGCTCAACGTAGTGAAGCGTAGCTGAGAGCTCGCAGCCGACATGGACACGATACCCATGAACCCATGGGCCTTCCTCAAGGCAAAGGTCGGCGCCAGCATGTCTACGGGAAGCGGACCACTGTACATGGGCTTCGACCTGTCAACGCAACAGTTGAAAGGTCTTTGCGTCGACTCGGACCTGAAACTTGTCTACGAAGCCAAAGTCGATTTCGACGCTGATCTCCAGAAATATGGCATCGAAAAGGGCGTTCTGACCAACCCCACTGAAGGCGAGGTCTTCGCTCCTCCAGCGATGTGGCTTGAAGCTGTTGATCTTGTCCTCGATCGCCTGCGAGAGGAGGGACTGGACTTCAGTCGAGTGAAGGGATTGTCCGGAGCAGGCATGCAACACGGAACAGTCTTCTGGTCACGAGAAGCAGAAGCTCTGCTGAAGGCCCTCGACAGCAAGAAGTCACTTGTCGAGCAACTTGCGCCGAAAGGTACTTATGTACCAAATGGCGCTTTTGCTCATCCTATGAGTCCCAACTGGCAAGACGCGAGCACGCAGAAGCAGTGCGACCTCTTCGATGAGCATCTGGGCAGTCCGCAGACGCTCGCCAATGCCACAGGAAGCAAAGCTCATCATCGATTCAGTGGACCTCAGATCCTTAGATACAAGACAAAGTACCCAGAGCACTACGAGAAGACATCAAGGATCTCATTAGTTTCTGCTTTCCTGGCTTCTGTGTTCTTAGGCAAGTTCGCACCAATGGACATCAGCGACGTCACCGGCATGAACCTTTGGGACGTTGGCAAGGGAGCTTTCTCCGACGACCTCCTCGAACTCGCAGCAGGAAGCAAAGAGGCCGCCAGAGCCCTTAAACAGAAGTTGGGCCACGTCCCAGAATCAGGCGGTGACAGCTTCGGCAATATAAGCTCATACTTCACCTCCCGCTATAACTTCCCCAAGGACTGCCAAATCATCCCCTTTACAGGCGACAACCCGTCCACCATCCTTGCCCTGCCCCTGCGCCCCTCAGACGCAATGGTCAGTCTAGGGACCAGCACAACATTCTTGATGAGCACTCCCGTATGGAAGCCCGACCCAGCATACCACTTCATGAACCACCCGACGACCGCCGGCCTGTACATGTTCATGCTCTGCTACAAGAACGGCGGCCTGGCCCGCGAACAGATCCGGGACCAAGTCCCCGGCACTACCAACAAATCCTGGGACTCATTCAACTCAGTGGCTCTTGCCACTCCACCAGTCTCACTAGAATCTGATTCAGACAACATGAGACTAGGCCTTTACTTCCCACGCCCCGAGATCGTCCCCAACCTCCACGCAGGCCAATGGCGTTTCAACTACTCACCCACCACCGGCAAGCTCACTGAAACATCTTCCGATTTCTTGTCGGACGACGCCCGAAACATAGTAGAATCGCAATTCCTCTCCCTCCGCCTCCGATCAACCAACCTGCTCAAAGCCGAACAAGACCTCACGACCGGCAAGACCCTGCCACCACAACCCCGAAGAGTCTACCTCGTAGGCGGCGGCTCCGCCAACCCTGCTATAGCCCAAATCGCCGGCGAAGTCCTCGGCTCCGTAGAAGGAGTCTACAAACTCGACATCGGCGGCAACGCTTGCGCACTAGGTTCAGCCTATAAGTCCGTCTGGGCGTGTGAGAGGAAGGCGGGTCAGACCTTCGAGGATCTAATTGGGAGTAGGTGGGACGAGAGTCAGTTTGTGAAGAAAGTGGCGGAGGGGTACAGGGAGGGGGTGTTTGAGAAGTATGGGGTTGCTGTTGAGGGATTTGAGAAGATGGAGAGGGTGGTCCTTGGGGAGGAAGGCGAGGAGTATGGGAAGATGACTGGTGGGGTTGTTTTCAGGAGCGCGAAGTGATAGTTGTCATTTTCGAGTTGAGGTTATTATATGGCGCAGGTTGGGAAAGAGTATTTAGCTAGTCAGTCTGTTTGTTGTAGCAAGTACTCATCGTGAACAGCAATTTTGTCGTGTAAGCCGAACGTGAACGAACGCAGCACAAAAGTTAAATCCTGCAGTCTATTCGGAATCAAAACGCAGCACACAATCCTGGCAATCTGTTTGGTAGTCCTAGAAACCCCCTCTCTTCCCCTCCGCTTCTTCATGTTCGACTCGTCTTCTGTCTTGCTTCTGCGGCACTCTTTTATAATTAAGACTTGCTGGCCACTATTGACAATTTATGTGCAGCCAATGTCTTTGGAGCTGTCGTCCGGTGGAACGAGATTCTTTTCTGTCTGCCTTGTACATCGTGTTGTGCGAATATCGCGCGACCGAAGTCGGTCTGAGGGTGATGTTGTTCGTCGTGTGCTCCATTGTAGAGCCTTCGCATCTCCGCCATCACGTCGGGACCCACAGCTTGCGTGACACGCCGCGAGTGGCTGGCCCAGCGCCTCTCGGTCGCTCGAAGCTGTCTGGGTCGATTTGTCCACCTGATGGTGTCTGCGCGGGCGTATAGCCTCCGCGGGCAAAATTGCCACGCCCACGTCCACCACGAAAGTTGCCACGGGAATTATTGCCACGTGGTAAGAAGCCGCTGTTTTGCATGGCGCCACGTGCGGAAGACGGTAGGTTAGGGCCTGTAGGCTTGACCGCCGTGGGTGAAGCAGTTGGCACTTTCGTTCGGCCGAATGAGTTCGGGTCGATCACATTCGGTGGTAGCTGCTGCTGGGCCATCGTGGCGGGTGCGCGGGGTGGCGGCTTGTACACCACCTCGTCCTCATCAACCGTTACCGGAGCGACTGAAGCTGGTGTGGCCGCAACGAATTGTTGATTCTCGCGACTCTGCAAACTCAGACGGTTGCGCACGTCACGGTCCTCTCGGCCCACAGCTTCACGTAGCTGCTCTAGCCTCTTCGACCTTATGTCGAAGCGCTTGGTGTAGTGCACCTTCTGTGGATCATTACACAAGAAGATGAAGGTCTCCAGCGCAGCGACTGGATCAAGCTCTTGATGAATGCGCCAGAGGATGTAGTTGAAAAGTGGCTGGAATCGTCCGGGCACACTTGCGCTGGCTGTTGGCAGTGCTGCGGACGCGCTCAATGGCGTGGATATCGACTTAGCTGGAGATGGATCTGCTTTTGCAGGGCTCGTTGGTGGCGAAACAGCACTGATAGATGACCGAATACTCTGCATGGACGAAGCGGAGCCAGAGCCGACAGAAGCTGCAGAGCTGACTGATGACTTAAGTCGGACCTCCGAGATGGTCAGCTTGCTGGCAGTGGCATCCGGAAGGCTATCGAGATGCGTGCTGGCATCTTGATTTTCCTCATGGTACATATCCTGCTCGGAGAAGAGTGTACGCGGCACGGAGAAGCGTTCCACTTCAGCCCACTGGTCGTAGTACTGGTCACCGCCTTGTAGGGTGACGGCATGAGGGTACTTCGAGGTCGCATCGTCCAACCACTCTAGCGTCTCTCGCACATCCTCACCATGCTTGTTGGTTGCGCCCTTCTGACGGCTAAGCTGCTCGAGCGCTGAGGACAGTCAGCACCACTTCACGTGTCGCCAAGAACGTTCGCCTACCGTATAGAGGCACGAACAGCCTTATCTGGCCGTTCTTGACCCACTGACGTATGCCGTTCCTCGTGCTTCTCTTCACGCCAGCCACCAATGCCGTATCGTCGACGATGCAGTTGAAGATCTTTCGGTTTGCTGGTGTATACGCCACTTGCGGGCCGTTTTGAGATACGGGACGAGAACGAGCGCCGCCACGCATCTTGCTGTTGGCCGTGGTAGGGCGTTGAGTGGTCTGCGAAAGGTTATTGTGTGAGTACATGTACGGGCGCTTGCTTGGCGCTGTCAAGTGAATGAAAAAAGCTGCCGACGATGGTGCAGTAGAAGGATGAAAGACTAGGCAGAGGGCGAGTTTGTGTAGCCTACCGGTCGCATCGTTGTTGGAGTAATTATGTCCATCATGGTCTAGCAATCTTTCCTTCCTTCACGGCATTGTTCGGTATCGCTTTCCTACGGCGCAAGAGATGCGCTTGCAGACTGCAGGGGTTGACACATGGCGTACGTGATTGAGTGTGACTCAGCGACTTCGCCGGCGAAGCATGTGCGGAGAAAGGTGCCGAGTGTATCGTTATGCTTGAAGCAGTGGAGGTTGGACCTCGAAGAGTGGGTGGTGACATGAATGACGCCAAGACTTGGCCAAAAGTCGTGGCTGGTATGCTCGAAATGGAAGCCATGTGTGGCGATGGAAGTCTGCATCATGTCTACCAAAACTATCCTCATCTCTGGAGCAGCCAATGGTCTGGGAGCGGCCTTTGTGGATGCTTATAGAACACAATTAGATGCGCAAATACTAGCCGTCGACAGGAGCCCGATCGACGCAAACCATGAAAATGTCAAACGGTTCCAGGTCGACCTCGCCGATGAGGCCTCCATAAAAACATTCGCTCGACATATCAAAGACACACCCATCGATCTCGTCATACACTCAGCTGGCATACGAGGTCTAGTGCCCCGACTCGAAGAAGAACATCACGGCAATGTGGAAGCCTGCGAGACCCTCGAGGCCATGGACATCGCTACCATGATCAACACTTTCCAGATCAACGCTGCAGGCACATTTCTGCTCTTCCGAACTATCCTCCCAAATCTCCGTCTAGCCAAGGACCCAAAGGTCATTGTCATGTCTTCACGAATGGGCAGTCTAGGCAACAATTACACCGGGAACCGTGCCGCTGGCTCGGCATATGCCTATCGTGCTTCGAAAGCTGCGCTGAATGCTATCGTCAGGAGCTTCGTAGTAGATGTGCCGGAGGTGACATTCGTGCTATGCCATCCTGGTCGGGTCGAGACAAAGCTGGTGAGGTGGAAGGAGGATGGCGCTATTCGTGCCCAGGAGAGCGTTGAGGGATTGCTGCCGTTGATCGAGAGATGGGGCAAAGCGGATAGTGGATGTTATTATGATAGGTTTGGCGACGCCATTCAGTGGTAATAGGTCAATACAACTACTCTACTCCATATGGTGACGATGTTGAAGGAGAAAGAGCATATATAGTATAGATACAGTACACATAGATTGAGTCTAGCACAGAGAAACCCTGTGCATTGGCGTTCTGCTTGCACATTAGCAACCCACAACAATTATCCGAGATCTAAGATTCCTCTTCAGAGCCAGCAGTAGGGCAATGTGGTCCTAGAAGGGATGGCAGCAAGCGATTACTGATCTCCGTTCGTCCTGAGCGGGGCACTTTGGACGTGAAACAATCCGTGCCTTCCTTCTTCTGTCCTCCCTTGCCACCACATTCAATGTTACGTACGCGAACCATCCATCGACGAAAGCATGGAAGAACTCAAAGATCGTAATAGCTACGTCAAGGCCAGCAATGCCGATGGCCTCGCAATCCTCGAAGCCACCACCGTATCGTCATCTCCCAGACCTCACCATCTATCGTACAACTCTTGATCTGACTAATCTTGCAGACATGGTGCTCCCAATGCAAAGCAATCGCACCCTTCGTCGAAAAAATGATCAAGCGCTACCCAGAAGCACGTTTCTACAAGTACGACACTGATACAGCCGACGACATCAGCCAGGAACTTGCTGCCAACCAGATGCCAACGTTCCATGTCTTTAAGGACGGTGATCTTTTGGGAAGTGTCACTGGAGCGCGGGCAGCAGAGCTGGAGAAGCTGATCAAGCAGGGGTATGATGGGAAGGTTGGTGAGGATGAGGAGTAAAGTATGTACCGAATCTGATTAATATCCATTCGCGACCTCTGGACGAAGTACTGTCTGTAACCACGATGATCATTGTATGTACAGGTTTCATGAGATTGACGGAAAGAAGAACCAAGTCATCGAATCACATATAGAGAAGTCCACCAACATTCTACCAGCCCTGGCGACCACCAGCAGCAGTCGCAGCACTTGGCCAAGCCGTAGTCTTGAACCCACTAGGCCCGCCCCAATTCTGGGCACCGGCACTGGTTGGCCATGAGTATCCAGTCTTACTCGGCGACCAAGCTGAGCTGATAGCGCTGCATGCTTGTGCAGGCAATTTCATGCTAGAAGAGAAAGGCAGTCAGTCTCGCTGTGCACTGGGAACCGTAAGTTGAGGCATAGGATCGACTTACTATCCATTGCTCCCAGCAATCAACACATGAAACTGATCCTGCCACTGTCCATCATTCGTTGCCGCTTGACAGGTCACGGGACTACCCCATAGAGCACATTTGATAACAGTCATAGCCGTGGGGTTAGGACAAGCATCGCCAGGAAGAAGTGTAGGGTTCCGTTCGAAGTACAAGTTCGTGCCTACGCAACCGGTCGTGTTGTCGCAGATAGCGGTGCAGGCTCCGGCGTCATATGTCTTGAGTGCGTAGTAGCCTAGGTAGACATTGTTGCTTGATGCAAATTCCGAGGCGTTGAGATTAGTGAAGACATTCTGGTAAAGCGAAGGGGTCGCGGCGTTAGACGCAGCGGAGGCGAATGCTGGGAGGGCCTTGAAGCTTGCGTCATCGTTGGGAGAGGGCGTTGGTCCGTAGCCTGGTAGCATAGAGGTGCATGGGGTCTGCTGTGCTACTACAATGGCGGCGAGGCCGACTATGGCGGTGGTCAAAGCGTACATCTTTGCGGGTGGGATGTGCGAGCGTCTGTGGGCGAGGTGGCAGGGTGGAATGTAGGTATCATGAAGGCAGTATCTATGGGTCAGTGGCAGAGTGCGTCGCCGGATGCGGTGGACGCCACGAGTGTAAGAGACAAAGCCGCAGGGCGACGGAAAGGTGCGCGGCAGACGAAGGCCATCAACACAAACAAAGCGAATAAGTAGTCTGGGCTGTGCCACCACTTGGGCTGATAGCGACATTAGCGAGTGATACGTGGCTCAATTTGAAAGGTTGATCTGGTACTGTTCTTCATGTATTCGATTTAATATTGTAATATTATACATCTCTCCGAATCATCGCTTAGGTGGAGGCAGCAACTCTCTCATGCCGGTACTGCTGCTTCGATTCTCACTTCGCCTATTGCTGAATAGATTGATCCTCAGGCCAGACTTCCTAGATTTCCGCGCCGTCTCGGGTCGCTGTTCTGCGCTGTCTTCGCTCGCAGCTGGTGATGAAGGTCGAGCTTGCGATCTTGACAATTGCAATGGGCTTTCGTTGCCGTGAATCACCTGCTCGTACTGTGCCTCAGGTGTGGTTTGCTTGTATTCCTGGGTAGGGGTCATCGTGAGATTGGTGGGCCGAGGGCGGAGTGATTGAGAGCTAGTCGGAGACCCAGGAAGGAACGATCTGTATGTCATGCTTGGCGTCGCTGGCTGAGAACTTGATGGGAACAGTTGCCGGGTGGCCGGCTGATCTCCATCATGCGGAGAGCCTGGCGAGAGTGAAGTTTCGGAGTCCTCGTCACTGCTGTCATAGTCGTTGTCCGTGACTGGTGTCGGCGACGCGGAAGTCGCTGATAGCGCCTCGTCAGTAGATGACGGATAGTCCATTGTACTCGGCCCTGCCCCACTCGTGGTTATGGTTGGCACAGAATTTCCAGCAGCTCGACCCTCAGGCATATCCCGTTTTCGTCGTCTAGATCTCTGTCGCGATATGATCATGCTCCTAATACTGTTGTGGCTGCTTCTACTGCTTCGGCGCGGCCGTCCTCGATCGGCACGATCGACGGCAGCCTGGCCGAATTGGGCTGTTCTGGCTTCGAGTTGCTCAGGACTAAAGACTGAGGCGGCCATCGTCCTTCGTACCGCCCAGTCCAGCTTCATTTCGACCGCAAGATGATTTCGTATGCGACTAAGCTTCGGCCATGTCGCGCGCTCGCCATTGATCAGAGCGTGGCGCATGAATTCCGGCGACGGATTTGTCAGGACATTTGGGAACTGTATGTATGATATTTCGGGTAGGATAGTAATGTCGCCAGAGTATCTCTGACCCAATATCGACCTGACTTTAGTCAAAGTATTGGGCATGACACCAAGTTCAGTGAGAGCATGCAGTCTGTGTAACGCCTCTCCTTTCGCATATCCTGCTACGCCGTTGAACCAGCTGGGCGCAGGTCGGCAGACCGAAGCATGTTGGGTGTCTGCAGGCTTATCGTTGTCGTCCACAATGAGGAAGGGTATGACATGAGGATTCACTTGCGACACGATGAAATGGTTCACGTTGAACTGCTCCGCCAGCCTAGTTATTGGTAGATCGTTGTCGATTGAGCCGTCGATGTACCCGCTAGCAGAGTCGTCTAGCTTAGTGACATCGATGGACCCAGATTTCCGCTCGAAGAGACATGCAGGGTTGTATATGCCAGGTACGGAGCATGAGGCAGAGACAGCACTCCATATCACGACGTCCGGCGACGTCACATAATTAAGAATCTTACCCGCATCGTTCATGTCAGCGGTCGAGACACAAATGTTCAATATGCGTTGCGTCTTGTTATAGGCATCCAGAAAAGTCATGTTTCCGACGAGGCTCGTCATGACACGTTCCAGGTTGGCGATGTCGTAAATAATGCCCTTTGTGACGAACTTTAGAAGCTTCTTCAGAGGACTACTCTTCTCTGCTTCTGATTCGAAGACATCGAGCTCGCCCGTGCAGAAGTCTTCCAGCATCTGAGGTATTTCGTGGTCTCGTTTTGTACACAGAACGGCGCAGACAATGCTACCCGCGGAAGCGCCAGATATGATGCGTGGCAAGAGATCGGCTTCCCACAAAGCCTTGACGACTCCAATGTGATTCATGCCGAAAGTGCCACCTCCCGACAGTAACAACGCGCTGCGTCCAAATGCTTGACGGATGAGCTTCATCTCCTGACAGAGGTCCTTTGCTTGCTTTGTCCCTTGATACTCTTCGCCGGCCTCAAGCACTATCCTCTCGATACTGGTGGTGGCTGTACTGATATACTGTTCGATGAGCCGCTTCGTGCCTGTGCGACTGTGCTTATATAATTCCACATTGCCAAACTCTCCCAAACTTCGTGTCAAGGAGGTGCGGCACTGCCAGCGCAGATCGGCCACATCTCCTCGCTGGTGAGCGGCCTGAAGGCTGGCCAGTCGATCTTTGACGAAATCGACATCATAGTCTTCGCATTCGTCTTTGGCCTTCCACTCTTCTGCACCTTCTAGCTCATCCAGTGTGGTGGCCGCTGCATGCCATTCTTCATAGGTCTTGGCACCCTGTAGACGTAGCAAGGCAATATTGCGCTCCCGCTCGGCCGGAGTCTGCAAGAGCCCAGCACTTTGACCGAGAGATCCTGCAATCGAGCCGATGGTGTCGAAGGGACTTCTGACCAGCGACTGTACCGGCTGTACTAATGCCGCAAGACTCTGCGAGCGCCTGACCACATTCGCCGGCTTCCCAGGAGTGCCATGACCTCCGCCATCCTTCACACGGTGGTGGTATCGTTCAGCCTGCAGAAACATGGGTGTGCGTTGTCGCCATGCGCTGGGGCATACACGATGTGGGACGTAAGGGCTGTAGTCGGTGACTATATGTCGGTTGAAGACCGGTCGAGGTCCTATGAGCCTCGTCACTGACGACAGTCAGCATCTTTACGAAGGCTGTGAAGGCCCGGCTTGACTGCTGGTGGACTGGTCATGCGCCGAGGGCATACGCTAGAGCACGAGCCTAAACTTCACCAACGAAGCAATGACGAGGCTTGGCGCCGGCACTTCTCACGTGCCGGGACGGGTTGGGAAAGGCTTGCTAGTGAACCACACTTCACGATCTCGTTTGACCGTTCAGCCCGTATGCTGGCTGGCCAAACTGTTTACTTACCACCAGCAGCGCGCGGAGTGATCGTGAGGAGTCATGGACGCTGTTGGCGGTTACGCCACCTCGCAGCCGCAATGATGACCGGATGGGGATCGACAATCAGCTGAAACAAAGAGCCATGAGGCAACAGCCTACGGCAACGAATCGTCGGCTCTCACGAAGTACACCACTATGAAAGCTGAGCGCATATTCGAAATATTTGTGGACGTACACTGCACACCATCGGATGACCCACAGTCGATCATAGCAAGATCTCGCTTACTTGCAGCCGACGCGTGCCATTACGGTCATACGTACCTGGGGCCAAGTGTGTACGTACCTACATGTCAGTACATGTATCTCAAGCAAAGACTGTCCTCGAGCCACGGCCGTGAAGGAAGGATTATCATTTTTAGGAAGACAGTGCTCATTGCTTTCCAGTCAATCATCATACCGTCATGCACAAATTCCCCAGGTCTCCGCGCGATGAAACCCAGAGTTTGACTTGACCACTCCTCATGTTCTCAACCATCCAGACTATTTGGTAGCTCACTCGCTTGACTTATTGGGTTCCGATCGAGAGAACTATAGTAGCGATTGATACACTTCTACCTGGAGCCCGCTCGCCTACAGCAAAGACGCCTGACCACTACCGATGTGCAGCACTCGCGGAACAGTTTTCGCACCACCCTTAGCTTCTGATCCCTCCCTTCCCAACGCCCATTCAATGGTACGAGGTGTATCATGAACCCACAACATCCGCATGACCACTCCAGCATACTCCAAAGGTAAATTGTGTGACACGATCCAGTGCTTAGGCTCACCAAGCATGCGCCACAGACGTAGACCACCGTCAGCACCATACGTATTCACCATACCCATGGCACGACTTTCCTTGAGACCGTGAAAAAGTGCAAGTGGCTGTGGCTGTGGCGATGATTGGAGAAATGCTTGTAGTGGTTTCTGGTCGAGCCTGAGACCGTGCGGTGACTGGTAGATCGCTTGGTGCTCTTCTTGTCCATCTGGCGACGTTCGAGTCCAGATGAGCGCGAAAAGGTAGTTCAGCTCGTGATGACCGGGCAAGCGTATAGGTGATAGCCATTCAGGTAGTCCGTCGGAATGCTGTAGACTCCGCCACGTAGAAGCATTGGGAGCCATGTCATGTACGAGACTGATGTGCTCGAAGTGGTTGAGAGCTTGCACTGTATTCTGGCCCTGTGGCGTAAGGACAACAGGTATGCGCTTGTCGAACAAGCGCAAAGTGGGCTCATGCAGATGATCCGAGTAGTGGAAACCGAGCAGAATGGCGTCCACAATCGGTGACTCTGATTGCTTGAAAGTGCGCCCGTTGCATGCAGCCCAAGTCGTCTCGATACGGCGCACGATATCGTCGATATCCTCCGCCGTAGCTGCTGCTGGAGGCGCAGCAAGATTGAGATAGACCAACCACGGTCCGACGGGGCCAGGTAGACCCGTAGGTCCATTGAGCCAGGGCTCGAAGACGATGTGGAAGAATGCTTTGCCAGTCTCCTCACGTTCTTTGCTGGGGCGAGGAAAGGACCATAGCCATGTATTATCACCGTTAAGTGAGATGATGATTGGTCTTAATTCCTTTGCGTCTACAGCGACTTTGATGGCATCTTGTAACTGCGCCAGCTCGATACCGCTACTGACAGACTCCATGACACTATAGAGTTTCAGTATAGCAGAAAGCAGAAGTGGTCGTGAGATATCACGCTGGCCAGGCTCCCACAGCAATCAAGGTAGCTTGCCGAAGGCATGGCTTGGCATACTAGCGAAGGATCAGTGCGACCATGATATAGGCACGCTCGTATAAGGCCTGTGCACGAGGAAGGAAGGTGTGAGAGTGACTGCCGGGTGTGGCCCCAACTACGTCTGCCAAGCAGCAATCCAGCCCTACGCGTTTCACATACATACACCTTACGTTCAATGACGGCCCACGCAGATCCTATACACTACCGAGGTAAGGCTATACTCCGATGTTCAAGCCGTCGATGCGTAGCCACGATATGGAAGGTGAGACTATAAATTGATTACACATTCTGTACGCCCAGCCGGCTATCGACATGAACGTCCGCAGTAGGCTTCTGGCACTTCCGTTTCAATGTTGTTTCTCCTATTGCTCGTGTCGGCTTCGCTGCTTAGTCGTGGTGGACTTCAGGCAATGATGCGAAGTAGGCGACTTGCTCCAAGCTGCGCAGTTTCACGCGAGGTCACAAGTCTCGGCGTGATGTTGCGAGTATCTGTAGCCTCTTCTGTCGGGATCGCTGTACAATTCAAGCGAGTCTGAAGAGTCCGGATGGCATCAGATTGGGAGGCATCAAATCTCCACTCAAGTCTGGTTTGCGAATCGAATGGCAATGGTTGGCTGTGCGCCAAGTCATATTATGGATCATTCCGATGACCGCGACCCGCAAGTAAGCGGGAGGTTCTCCCTCTGATAGTTGCCGCTGTTCCATCTAGTCCTGCTCAATGGCCAATTGCTCCATAGCCTTGACACCATGCTCGAGCTCCCTAACCCTCTGCCCGATTCTCCTTTTCACCTCCTCGGCCAAGTCGGCATCTGGTCCCTCAACAACCAGCCTATAAGCTTCCTTCACCTTGTCCAACTCCTCTCGTGCGGCTTTGCGGTCCTCTTCGGCATAGACTGTCTGCTTCTCCGTCTCCTCCATTGCTATCTCGAATTCATCCTGTGCTGTTGCATACAGCTCCGTGATCTCTTCTATCCTCTCATCTGCCGTTGACTTGGCGGACAGCCATCGTACCAGGTTTGGTGATACATGCGAAGCATATCTTGCTTGTGATGGGACGGTCTGAGATGGTCGCGTGAGGGTCTTGATGGCTCGAGATGGTGTTTGTGGTCTGGCGAGCCGAAGGGTGCGTATGGCGATTGCTCGACGCATTGTCGCGGAGAACATGGTGTAAGGACTGTGATGTCAAGTGTAGCGTGTAGCCGACGCAGGAGATGCATTTACAACTGCATGGCGGATGATGGACGATGTCAGAATCGAGCTCTGCAATTGGCTCGGCTACAAAGCACGCTACTAAACTGTATCTCGTAGGGTCGAAAATGAGCCCAAGCGGTCGGCTTATTAGTTGCTCAGGCGTCGAGTGAGTGGCGACGAGACATCAGCAGCAGATCGAGCGCTATGAACGCCAGCCGGATTTCAGATTGACAGAAATAGTTCACCCATATTGATGAACGACGTCCGACCTTTAGTGATAGACACACAATGGTATATGTGACCATCATCGCACTGCTGCTTACAACATCAGTCCTTCTGCTCTACAGTTGGGACAAAATGTCTTGGAACCTCTTCTCATCGTGGCTGCAACCCTCATCATTAGATACAAAGCCGGACTCAGGTACTGATGGACAACCAAACGGACATGCACCTGCTGTGACGATCACGAACCCGGATAAAGAGAACGAAAAGACTCCCAAGGCCGAGGTTTCAAAGACGACGGAAGGCGTACCGACGTTTTCATTGTCGGACGGCGATAATACAACATCGTCGCCAGAGACAGAGACTCCCTCGTTCCCAGCTCTCAATAGTGCCCAACGAGCCAAGCCATCAAATAGTCCGAATAGGATGGCACCACCACCTGCACCGACTCTGATGCCACCACCTGCGCGCCCAGCAACGATCAATCGAGGTCTTGGCCCGCCACCGAGCACAGCTTCCTCACTCCGTCTACCAAGTACAGGACCCCTGCCAAACCGTGGTCCGCCAGCAGGAAGCCAGCAACGTGTTAGCTCCTTATCACCCAACGGCACTGCCGTCTCTGTCCCAAATCCTCGCGGCAAAGTTCTTCTCTCTCCCGGCCACTCGCCAATGGATTGGGCAGCTCTCACCAAATCTTCCTCAGCAGATCTCACAGGCGTCAAAGGCTTCCAACGAGTCACGCCCTCCCAGCTCAAGAAAATGACTGGACGGAAGGGAAAGCCTGCATGGAGTTCTTGGCAAGGGAAGGTGTACAATATTACCCCTTACCTTCCGTTCCATCCCGGCGGTGAAGCGGAGCTGATGAAGGCTGCTGGGCGTGATGGCGCAAAGTTGTTCATGGATGTGCATCCTTGGGTCAATTGGGAGAATATGCTGGGAGCGTGTTTGGTTGGTGTGCTGGTGCCGGAGGAGGAAAGCCCACTGGAAGGATTGGACTGAGGGCATCGATCGATACTTTGCAAGACGCTTCGCTTTGTCTGTTCTGCAATGAAGCAGACCTCTCCCAACGTACCGACCTTCAAGACAATCACGCCGCGTATCGTAATGCTCGTTTGGTGAGAGCTCTCGATCGACGCAAATGCGCGTCAAAGTCTGCTGTGGATATGTGCGGCGGTGTCCGCGCGAGGGCAGTATCACAACGCGGTACACGGAACCATTTCTGAGGTCATGCCGTTCTACGACGGCTTATTATACACACTGCATATAGGTGAAGCCACCGCGTGTAGTCACGATCACTCGCGGGTGGAAATACTGCGCCGGAGGCATTTGAGAAATCGACCGCCGGACACGTTGCAGCCCCTTCGCAAAGTGGCTCGTGGAAAGTGGCGACGCAGCCCGTCACCATCGACAGATTCATCTCGCTCAGCGATGCATGATGCCTGACACGTGCCGAGCACATGCAAAGTCCCGCATGTTGCTTGGAGCGGCAGTCGCAAGCTTCCGTGGCACGACCCTGAGCGAACAGCGATGCATATTCGGAAGTACCTAGGCCTATGCTCTTACGAACCAAGTAAATATCACGTAGATCCATAAATCCGATAGAGCTTATACCGCATGCCGCGACGCAACGCAACATCGCCAACTTTGAAGTGGAGCTCTACCACATCTCGCAGCAGCTCTTGCGGCTAGGAGGAAGCTTTGATCACCCGAGTCATGCTTATATCATATGCATGCGATACGTCAAGCTTGGAAGCACGCACTACATCACAACTCCACTTGGTCGCCACCGGTCACCATACTGTCCCTGTTCATACAGCCAGACCATGGCGTGCACTCTCTCACCATGATCAAGACAACGCTATCGTATCCTCGTGTCCCTTGTACACAGCTGCTGAGAACAGGACATCAACCCCAACACGGCAAAGTACCAGGTCGACTTGGAGAGTGGAGAGACCGAGCGCAGTACTGTACTCCACCATCCGTGCCCCCAAGCACCGACATCCTCCCACCCACAACAACAAAGCTGACCACGAAAGCGCATCACCGCAGGCCCGTGCTCCAACTCCCCAGCGCGCAGGTATAAGTACCTGCTCCCCTCCCACAAACCTCCCTCTCATCTTCTCTCACCCTTTCCCCCTTTTCGCTCCAGCACCTCAACACCTCTTGCACGAAGCCTCTCCCCTATCCGCTTTTGTCATCCCCCTCACTGCGAATTCATCACCCCTTATCATCTGCCACCGCTCCGAGCCCTTCCTTTTGTCGCCCTTATTCTCGCCGCCTCACCCTTTCTTCCTCCTATGCTTGGCGTTCTGTTGTCACCCCCTTGCCCCCTCCTATCCATCACATTCCCATTTCCCCCCTCTGCAGCCCCTTCATGCCCTAGCCCCCTTACCCTTGCCATTGCCTATCCTCCCTTCCTTCATTTACCGCCTTATGCACCCGCCATCATCCACTGCCCCCATCAGTTTCACACTTTGCTTGTGCAGGGTGCTGGAGGGGACCATCGTGCTTTGTTCTTGTCGTGACGCGAGGAAGTCGCGAGCTTTTCAGTAAGCGTGTGATTCGTGATGCCGCTTCCGACCAGTGTAGTAGTATGATGACATGCAGCAGAGTGGGATGTACATGGACGCCTAGTTTAGTCTTTGTGGTCGTCGCTGGTAGTTGGCGAGCGTGCTTACCACTATCATCGCTGTCGCCACTGCCCAAGTGCCACACGGCCGCTGCTGTTTCGATTGCATACATGGTCGCCGCTGTCACTGCTCACCGACGTGCAAGAGAAGGTTGCGAGTCCTTGTCGTCAGCGCATCTAACAGCACATGCACGTCGCTTGTGAAGCAGCGTTCATCACTTCAACCACAACCCGAAACGAAGGGACCATCAAGCGCGAAGATTATGTTCAAAACAGTTATCATAACTCATTGCACACCCACTACCACAACACCATTCACTTCCTAAACCCCTTCCCACCCCCAGCACCTAACCTCCCCCTCAACTCCCTCACCGCATCCGCCCACCCCTCACCCACATCCTCAACCCCAACACTCTCACCAACAAACTTCGTCATCTTACCCTCATTCCATTCCTCCCCATACACCACCCTAACATCCACCCCCGTCCCCAGAACCAGCCGCAAATCAGCCTCCTGCCCGACACTCGCCGCCAGCTCGAAAGCCACTCGAACTTTTGTCCTGATCGCCGGGAAAAGGAGGTCAGACTCCATCGCCAGCTTCTCATCGCTCACGATGCGAGAAGAGGTGAGGGTAACGATATTCAGTCTCTCCTCCGCCTGGACAACCGCTTGCGCAGTCGTCCAACCCTGGCTCACAAACCCCAGGAGTTCTGCTACTCGAGTCTCGCATTGCGGTAGTGCTTGTAGGCTCGCTCGCAGGAATTGGAGGAAGAAACGTTGGGTGGTATCTAGGTCCTTAACCTGGCCATGGCGGTCTTGAGCCACGTATGATAGGCTGATGGGAGCGTTCGGGCGTGCTGTAGTGGTTGATTGGGTGGGGACGAGGAAGGCGGCCGGGTGGAAGAAGAGTTGGAGGGAGGAGCGGTAGGTCATTGTTACTGTTGGTGGGGAGGAAGAGGCGGAGGTGATTTTCCAGCCGTGGGTCGTTTCGAGGTTGGTGATTGAGTCTGTTGGTTTTCTGTGTTAGCGATGTATAGAGAGAAAAGATATTCGATGGGTTGGGATCTACCTTTCAGTGCTGAGATCTCGCCATGTGAGACACCACGGCATGATTCCCTCACTCGTTCAGCTTCTTGTATCGCGGCCAAGAACTCCGTCTTGCTATCCTGCAGATCTGTCGCGACAGACTCCTGCTCTTGACCTTCTTTTTGCAACATAGCCAGAATCTCTCTCTTCTCCTCCAGCTCAGCATCGACTTCAAGCAGCCTTGCCCTTGCGGCCTCGAGTTCCATCTTCCCTTCTTCAGAAGTCGCAGAAAGAGCCTGCTCCAGCCTCTCAGCCTCGAGCTCCATACTCTCCTTTTGCTCGACTAAGCCAGGCAGAACAGCGTCAAGGACGGTCTCACTCTCAGTCAGAACCTCATCGTCCCTTAGCAAACCCTCACCGATACCACTCAGACCCTTCACAAGATCGCCTAGCAGCTGGCTGCGCCACTGATACCACATCTCCTTACTCCTCAACCTGGCCTGGGTCTTCATGTCCCTCATCTTGACATCGAGTATTGCTCTCCGGCTGGGCTCAGCATTCATCCAAGCCTGTATCAATGGCGGCGTGTCCTCGTAAGTTTCCGCCTCGAGCGTCTTGATCACTTTCTTGCCGGAGTCAATATAGTGCTTCAGCTCGTGGCAAGCATGTTGGTACATATCGTGCTCAGGCTGCGTGCAAGCGGCGGAGATTAGAGCAGTCTCCATGGTAAGGTTGGACTCGGCAGGCTCGTTCTCGTCCATGTCGTTCGATCTACGCAGCTTCGAAGGCGTGGGAGCAATAGTCATGCGTCTCTTGGTCGCTGTAATGTCCATAAACCGGATGCCTGCTTGCTCCAGGAAGTCACCGAGATGCACATGCTCGATTATTTCATCATGTGGTTGGGTAGCCAATATGTCATCACGAACTTGCGTCGCAGGAGACTTTCTCGCCGAAGCAAGTCGTGGTCGAGGTGTGATAGCCTTGACCGGACTCGCCTGCTTCGACACAGGCTGTTTCTTCGGCGTGAGAGCCTTCAAAGTCTCCTTTCGAGGCGTAGACATAAGTCTGATGGAACTTGCCAGTGTATTTCTAGCCTCCTGCGACTCGGTCTGTCTTGGTACTTCGGGTGTCGAAGCTTGCTTGGCAGGTGTGCTACGCAAGACCTTCTCCACTGATGGCGAAGGCTGCATTGGCAGCAGTTGTGCATCGAGTTGCAGTTGGAAGACTCGAGACTGGCTTGGTGGCGTCCTTGGAGTAGTGCGAGCTGATGGCATCTTTGCGATTGGTCCTTGTAAGGGCACCTGCTCGACGCGAGTCTCCTGTATCGGAGGGTCCTCCACAACACTTTCTTGCAGGGGTGTCTCTTCCACTGGCTCCTCTTCAGCCGACAACTCTGGATAAGCCACTTCCTCCCCTGCAGGAGAATCATGTCTGTCTTCCTCAGCCAGCGGCGCAAATTGCGCAGCCGCATCATTCTCTGGCTCTCGAGTTTCGTCAAACACAGCACCCATCCACGACACCATGCCCGGCGAAATCGTCCTACGGCGCTTAGCAGCTTGGGCAGATTTCTCGGCAGAAGAAAGAGGTTTCTCAGCCGACAAATGAACCTGCTTCTGGAAGATAGGGGTCAGCAGTTTCTTGGGTCCAGAGTCCGGCGCATCCTTGTATCGTTCTTGGTCCTTGGGCGAGAGATTCTTGGCTGGAGACATGGGTTTCTTGGGCGTGGTTGGCGACGCTTGATTTGCTGCAGCAGCTCTTTGCGCAGTTTTGAAACCGCCAAGCACAGTCGTCAGTTCCATGGTCAGCTCCTCGTTCTCATCGAAGCTTGAGGCAGTGTTCTCGGCGCGTTGAGCGGCTTTGATGCCACCAACGGCTACAGTAAAGTCCATTGTTGCTTCTTCCTGCTCGGACTGCACTCCAGAAGATCGTCGTCTAGCTGCCGCTGTTGCTGCTGCTGACCTTCTTCGCTGCGGCTTGAAAGGTGATGAGTTAGGTTCCTTGATTCCACCGATCGCCACAGTCAAATCCATCGTATCATCGCCCATTGATGAGCGTGCTGCGGAGGACCGTCTGCTGCGTTTGAGAACAGTAGCGGGAGCATTTTCGCCAGGTGATCCAGCTTCGGTCGTAGACCGTCGTCTTTTCTGTCCAGCAGTCGCGTAGATCTTACCAACAGCTTGCGTCATGTCCATAGTCCCATCATCCATGGGCGAACTTTCTCGAGCAGCATGCGCCTGGGCTTGCTTCAAGATACCTCCCACTGCCCGTGTAACATCCATACTCATATCCGCCGTATCCTCTTCTTCGATCGTGGCCGGCCTTGTAACGACTCCAGATACTATCTGTGCCTTGAAAGCAGGCGAGAAAGGATTGACATTCTCTTGATCCAGACTGGCGGAGAGAACAGGTTCAGCAGCCTGACGTTGTGCCCATGGCTTGAAGGCATTCGTCACTTCCTCGCTTGCAAGCTCCATAGACACTGTACCTTCTCCATATTCGTCGTACTCGATACCACGAGTTCCAGCCATTTCCGACGCTTCCTTCAACCTTCGAGTCAAGCTGGAACTTGTGCTCGATCCACTCTCAGATGAACGAATCGTCTCTTCGCCTTCGTCCAAACTCATAGCTGTGCCTGTCGCGTCCTCGAGATCGTCTTCCTCACCTTCTTCTTCTTCCTCCTCATCCTCCTCTTCACTGCCAGAAACGTCACTACTCCCACTCATACCACTCGAATACATATCCTCGGGATTAATCATCTCCGCTGGCGAGATCCCCGCACTACTTCGATGTGTCTGCTTCCTATGCAAATCACGCTGCGGAGCGGGTGATGCAGGCAGAGTCTTCGGCTCATCCTCCTGCTCCGGTGGTGTGGAAGGCGGTTCTCCATCCTCAACAGCACGTGCAGGCCTTTTGACTGGCGAGCTGCCACTGCCAGCACGAGTGATGTTCGAAGCGCGTCGCGTCTGATCTGAGGAATCCGTCGATGTCGTCTGGTCGCGCATGAACTCAATCACATCCCATGTATGCAATGTCGCCTCGGGGGCGAAAGAGACGCGTCGGTTGGCGAGAGTCTGGCGACGCGCCGCTTGTCTTGCTTTCTTCTCTGCTTCGCTCGAGATGATCGCCTTGCTCGCTGGGACGAAGGCGGACTTTCGCCTGTTGCGCGCATCGTGCTTTGCGCTTTCGGATGGGGTTTCGACGCTATCGCCTGGTCCAATACTCTTGCTTCGACCTTTGCGATTGAGCTTCTTGGCCGGTGAGGAGCCTTTGCGCGCGAGTGGATCGCTGGATGTGAAAGGCGCGACGTTTTCCTTATCATCGACGGCCGCCATATTGTCGTGGTTCGATAGTCGTGTATAAAAAGAATGCCTGCAGAAGAGAACGTGAGCTCTCGTCGTCTAGCGGGAAAGCACGAGGTAAACAAGCCCACAACAAGCGGTTTCTGTTCCGCTTGTGCTCAAACGCCACACTGTGGCTAATAATAATGCACCTGCACCCACTGCCAAGACACAAATTCGCTCAAGGAACTTTGACCATCACTGACAGCAACAGAGCAAAGCCCGCGAAGTTCGATCTCGTGCGCAAATCTACGAACGTCGACAACCACCACCCTCACCACCACCCTCACCACCACCCTCACCACCACCTACACCCTTTTCCCACCGCAAACATGGCGACGGAACTGGCAGTGCAGAGCGAGCGCGCCTACCAAAAGCAACCCCACGTCTTCCTCCACTCAAAGGCCCTCAAGAAATCCACCAAGAAGGGCAAGGGCGGCAGGAGATACTACAAGGACGTCGGTCTAGGATTCAGGACACCCAAGACTGCCATCACCGGCAACTATATCGGTACGAAATAGCCTGCAACAAACCCAGCACGAAGGCGCAGGGAGTCGAAGATGCGGCAAAAGATTGGGCAAACGGTAAAAGGAAAACAAATACTAACATGATATGACATGACAGACAAGAAATGCCCCTTCACCGGCCTCGTCTCCATCCGCGGCCGCATCCTCACCGGCACCGTCGTCTCCACCAAGATGCACCGCACCCTCGTCATCCGCCGCGAGTACCTCCACTTCATCCCAAAGTACGCGCGTTACGAGAAGCGACACAAGAACCTCTCCGCCCACGTCAGCCCGGCGTTCCGTGTCGAGGAAGGGGATAGAGTGACGGTGGGACAGTGTCGGCCGTTGAGCAAGACGGTATGTTTACACCATAACAATCATGTGCATGAGGGAGGGAAACGGGTTTGCGATGAGGCCGATGTGTTGAGAGAGAGATGAATTGTGCTAACGATGTTATGCTGGCAGGTCCGCTTCAACGTCCTCCGTGTCCTGCCCAAGACCGGCAAGTCGGTCAAGGGTTTCGAGAAGTTCTAGGCGCGTCAAGACAAAATGTGTGCGCGCGGAATTTCGGGCGATTGAATCACGGCAAAGTACCGCATGAGCAAAGATGGGCTACCAAGTCGCGAAGGCATTCGTCATGGGCGTTCGATTGAGACATCGGCGGGTAGAGCTACTGGAAGCTAGCCAAATCTTGCGCGCAGAAACGTAGCATGGCTCAATATGGAAAGGATCGAAACATCACATACTCGCACTCTTGTTCAGGACCTCGTCTTTTTAGTCTGGGTCGTGAGGCTGCCTTGTAGTGATTTCGAGGCGCCGGCGAGAATAGAGTGGATCAACGCATCGTACGCAACCTGGATTGTCTCGAGTACTGACATTCCACCAATGGCTGTAAGCTAATGCTCGTCGTGCATGCACGAGTCGGCACTTGCACAGCGCCGCCAGATCTCAGCTTAATGCCTCGACCTCTCCCTCCCTCCTTTATTGCCCCTCTTAAAGCATGAAAAGTCTAGAGCTACCACGACGTCCTCCGCCGACCATCCTATGATCGTAAAGCATGTCTCCTCCCCCGAATCCGCATCCCAGCCCTCCTCTCCTCAGGCGAGCTCGGCACAGATTCCGAAGCAAGTGGACTCGAAAGCTCATCCTGCTCATCTTGGCCTTCTTCGAACTCCGACGCGTCCTCATCTTCCTCTTGAACCCCGTCAGTCATGTTGATGTTATCAGCCATGCCCTCCTCTGGTTCGTTCTCAGCCATGTAGTAGATAGCGAGACGGTCCTCAGGAGGCCTGCGATGGTCTTCGGATTGAGGTGTCGGCGAAGCAGGGCGCTGAGTTGCAACCTCCGGCTCAACACCCATGACAGATTTCCTCGACGGCTTGCGACCAGCATTCGGTCGTGCACCGCCTCTCTTGCCCTGCCCAGAAGGTGAGGCATTACTTTCAGCACCTGCTTTCCTCGCCTTCGCACTCCTCACGTCCGTAGCCTTCGTCGCTCTAACCTGGCCCTTCTTATTCACCGTCTCAGCCACATCATACAGATCCTTTTTAGTATTTCTGCCCCTGGCGTTCCCTTGACCACCGAGCTGCGAATCTGGGAACTTAGGACCGTAGTCGAAAAGTAGTTCCTTGCCAGCCTTGATATCTTTCTCGGCGAAGAGCGCGATGCGATGGACAGCGTTGACCAAAAAGATGCGTGGGTATAGATTCAGTGCAGCGTTACCTGAGTGTGCGTGATTGATGAAGCGGATGTCGTTGCCAAAGTACGTCGAGTCGATCTCCTGGCTTGCGTTGAGGACGAAAAGATAAGAAAGCTTCTGATGCTCGTACACTGCTCCACGACGCTCTGCCTCCTCTTTTGTGATGATCTCGCCTTTGTACTCACCAATAAAGTCATGGGCTTTGATGTTCTCGCCAGCGTAGAGGCCCAGACCGTGGATGCCGCTTACGCCAATGAGTGTCTGTTTCGGGACACCGCGCTGGATACTGGCGTTCTGGCATTTGCCCTTGCAAAAAGCGTTGTCGAGGCGATTGAGAGGGTCAAGGACCTCGTCCACACCGCACTCGCCACAAAGATCAGGATCGCATTCTCGACCAAGGTTGAAGCAGATACAGCGGTCGTCTTCAAAACATACTATATTTTGACCCTTTCGCTTGTTTCGATACTTGCAGATGCAGCCTTGGAATTTGCGCGAACAGTCTGCTGGTGAGCACGTGCAGATCTTCTCGCAGGGTATGTTGGATTCGAAGCAGGCGCAATTATTGTCCGAGCAGCTCGAGCCTGGATGATGACAGCCGTAGAAAGGCCCGCGTTCCTCGATTTTGTGTACGAAGGTCTCGGATCTCCAATACTGTAGAGATTTCTTTCCCGATACTACTGCTACATCCTGCTCGCTGCTGGTCGTACCCGGAGCTGATGGGAACGCGATGCGTTCGCGGTAGTTGACTTTCAGCGGGTGCACGATGTCAGTTTGGATGGCATGGTCGGCACCCTCGTCCGGATCTTCGCAGTCGTCGTCTTGTCGCTCCGTGATCTCGCCATGATGCGGACACTCGAGCCGAAAGCATATCCTGCACGTAAGCTCATCGAGACGATTCGCTGGATTGAGGGACTCCTCCTCAGGCTTGTTATCGAACAGGTGTCGTCTTGCAACGTGCCATAAGTCGAATTTTGTCATCCTACGAAAGTTCTCGCACAGTGTGGCCGCTTTTGCAAGTTGATCAATGGTCGAAGGCGGGAGTATAGACAAGACCATCGCAGTACGTTCGCCTTTCCGGGAGAACTCTTCCTGGCAGAACTCCTCTCGTCGCGCAAGCGCCTTCTTCGCATCTTCGTCATCTCCAATGCTGGGCTTGATCTCCAGCAGGAACCTAAGAACATCCGCCCACGTAATTGACAAGTCTTGCAAAGCATTTGCGACGTACTCGTCGAGCTTCTGAGCCTGCAAAAGTCGACGTAGCTTCTTCTCGCGGTCCCTGATATCCAGGGAGTACTGCTCTCCTAGACCTCCAGCTGTGCTGTAGTCGAACCCGTCGCCAAAGTAAGGCCAATGCTGCATGGTCGTGATATTTGGGGCAAGGAAGTTGTCCTTGATGGGGACAAAATGCGCATAGCCTGGCATGTCCGCCGGAAACGTGAAAGTTGTGGTCGGGCATGTCAGACTGATCTTCTGTGCTTTTGCCGGTCCAGATGCAGTTCTTTCAAACTGGAACCTTGCAAAACCACTACCATTCCTCGAGTTGTCCTTATCCATGGTGGCGAGCTTCATAGGCTGCATCTTGGTAAAGGCATATGGTACTGCTGGTCGATTTGACGTCTCCAGTCCTGTGTCGCCATTGCGACTGTTGGTCTGCAAAGACATCCGCGCTCGTCGGAGCTGTGCTCGATTGAAATACTCATTATCGCCACGCGACTCTTCCAAATAACCTCCCAGGACAACTTCTACCTGCTTGGAAAGACCTAGCGAGGCAATTGGAAGTGGCAAGCTCGTAGCAGGAGCTGCAGCTGCGCGCTCCATTTCATCTGTAATCTGCGCCTCTGCCTTGTTGGTGGCCGACCCAGTCGCATTGCTGCCTAGGTCTGACACAGTGTCAAGCGCATTTTGATCTGCAGTCTTGAGTCTGGTCTGTTTGGTGAGGTTTCTCTTCGTCCCTTGCTGCACATCTTCTGAAAGCTCACGGCGGACGGATTGGGTGGAGTCCTCACCATCCGAGTGCGCAGAGTCCACACGATCTTGCATAACCCGAGACTCGTATGCATTGTCCTTCTTCGTGCCTGGTGACTTTGCACGAACCATTACTGCGCTGGCTGGCCGGACCTTCGCGGCAGGAACATTCGACGAAGCCAATTTGCTTTTGTTCAGAACGGGGGCTTCCGCAGCTGATGGCTTGGTGGTTTGCTCCTTTGTGCTTTTATGCGCCTGCCTTGCAAACTGGGTCTCTCCCAGCCGCTCGTTGGCATTCTCCGTAGGCCCAAGCATGATCTCGGGATCCTTGGTGCGGTGAGACACCGAGAAAGGGCTTAGTGTACCGTTTCTGATCCGAGGAGATGCTGAAGCAGTCAGACCCTTGGATGAAAGTGACGACTTTGTAAGACTCTTTCGAACTTCTTCCACAATTGCCTCACGCCTTGATCTTTGGACCCTTTCAGTGGATTCATTAGCCCGGCCCTTCGACCCAGTGCCAGATTCATCGATCGCCAGATCATCGTCAACGGTCAAGTCAATGAACGCATCACGTCGCGGTGAGTCCATTGTCAGATCAATCTCTCCTGGTTGAGATCTTGGCGGGGAACTTGCCCGTAGCCTTTGAGCTGGAAGTGAGCTGCGCGATGAGAAGCGACTGTTACTATGACGAAGGTCCTGTTTACGCCGCTTCGACAATGTCACGCTCGAATCTAAGTTCTCCTCTCTATTGCGCTTCATACCTAGCCTCATCGACTGCTGGGAGCGATCAACTTTGATGCTCAGGGAAGAAGTGCCTCGAGCTCGGTCCAAGTCATACAGAGCATGGTGCTCATCTTCTCCCATGATTGTTCCGGGTTTCTTGGAGTTCTTCATGACAGCACGGCCATCGTCGCCTGGCTGGGCGACTCCAGTGTGGGCAGTGCGCTCTGTGGGTTCAGCCAGAGCTTGTACTCCAGACTTTGGCTTCCAGTCTTTAGACAGCTTCTCCGGGCTTGATGTCTGCAATTTCTCGAGCCCCATGGTAACGAGGCCAGTAGCGTTGCGACGCCCAGAAGGACTGAAAGAATGACGGGCCTTGGACTCAGGTGGTCTCGTCAGGAATCTGGCCCGGGGTTGCAGCGGCCCTCTGGCACCAGCTTTAAAGATGTGGGAAGAACTATCATCATCCGAGAGGCTGACCACCTCGTGGGCATTGAGTGACATCGCTGAGCTCGCCGACTTGATCACCAAAACGTTCAACTTCAAGTCGCGTCCAGTGAATCGCTGGCGTGACTTGTGTCCGTTTGCCGCAGTGGTCGTGTCCTCCTAGCCTGGATGCAAGCGTGTTAGACTTCTGTGTACGTTGCAGTACTTCGGCACTCTCGCGAAGCCGTAAGTTCATTAATACTAGAAGAAAGATGTCAGTCATGTGCATGTGTGTGGTTGGTCCTCACTGCAACAAGAGGTTTGCTCGCGCGAGACTCACTAGCGGGACCGGCCGCTCATTGAATGTGCCTACCCCTGTATTGTGTCATTCTTATTGTTCAGTCTCCAGAGTTGCGGTTGTCGCCATCACGGACGGAGTGATAGTTGGATGGCAAGATGCACGTGATGGTATGTAACAACGAGTAAACGCGATGGAGTGGTTTAAATATGAGCATGGTGGCGCTAATGCAGTGTGGTCAGAGCGGTTGCACTAGTCGCGTAACGCCACCAGGACGAGGAACATCATCTCGATAAGCACAGTATGGAGGTAATGCTCGCGGCGGAAATTGTGGGGGAAAACATTTCGTGATCTGTGTCACACCTTATACCGGACTGCAAGTCTTTCCATGAGATGGCGATAACTGAGTATACCAGCGACGCGGGCGGCGACATATCTCCAACATGCAACGTGCGGTCCGGTAGAAAGTCCCTTTCCTAGCATGTTATGTATGACGTGATCCGCTCGAGTGACCTCTCCAGCTCTCTGCAGCAGCAGAGTATCTGATGAGGCGGAGTGCCCGAAGGCCGTTTGAAGATACAACCACCAATACTACTCACAAGTGTTCGAGATACACCTGCGGCAGCACCGGGCAGAGGGATATTGTTGCGTAGTGCCCGAAGACCATGTGAAGATACAACTACCAGCATAACTCACAAATGTTCGAGATACACCTGCGGCAGCACCGGGCAGAGGGATATTGTTGCGTGGTACCCGAAGGCAGTGGAGAGATACAACCACCAGCACTACGCACTAGCATTCGAGATATACCAGCGGCAGCACCGGACAGAGGGGTATGTTATGGTCGGAGTGCCCGAAGGCCGTTTGGAGAAACCATCAGCACGTCGCCTCAGCATTCGAGATATACCGAAGGATGCACCGACTTGGGGAGTGTAGAAATTGAGGTGGAGGAAGTTATGTGAGTTTCATGGGCGAGCCGCAGTCGCTGGTGTAGTGAGCTGACTGTCGTTTGGCGGTTGTCGATGTGGCGAAAATTGGTTGCTTGGGCGGCTTGGTAGCGTACGGCCCACGGTGCAAGATGCGGAGGATCAGCTCCGTCTTGTCTATCGGCGTACCACGTTGAAGTGGCTTCTTGAACTCTGCGTCGTCTGCTTCTTGTTGCTGCTTGATATAGTCGGGATGATCGTGACGAAGAGCTGAAGGGGGATGTTGCCACTCTGGAAAGAGCATAAACGGATCGTCTTCAGTCTTGTCATCGAAAGGTGTAGTTGGGAGAGGAGCTTTGAAAGAGGTAGAAGCCATGGTGATGTGATAATTATTGTTGTTGATGTTGCTTGCCGTCTTGACGTCGGTAACTTGGATGAAGGAAAAATGAGATCGAAGGAATCGACACCAAGGATATTATTTGTGCGACGAGCAAACCTTGCAGTGTGAGTCGAGACGATAGTCCCGTGGTAAGCATCATTAGGAGACGTCTTGACCTACAGGTAAGCAGTATTGTAGCTAGTAATCAAAGCTCACAAGCAGATTGTTTTTACAGACGACCTGATTGGCTCAGAAATTCGACAGACCAGACGATCAATTGTCTTTATACAACAGTCGTATCGTATCGAGTCTAAAGAGGTGACATTTAGTGTACATCTCTGCGGTATGGAATCTGGCAATATAATGCCACGGCGGGAGCCAGTATTGTGTCGAATGCACACGGCGTGCGAGAACGAGACATCCCGCTGTGGAGTCGGGCTGCTAGCTGCCATGTCGCCCGTCAGTGCTGACCAAAATGTGAGTGGCATGTAAAGATGTCTGTTTACGGGTACGCACTGCCGACATCCTCACTGGATAATGTTAATACAAAGTGGTCGTGGTGGAAGCCGCTATTACAGTACAAGCATCGGTAGTTAGAAATGGCAGATATCTCTTTCAAGTGCCAACGAGTGTGAGCTAATATGTGGCTTGTCAGTGGTACGCGAGCAGTGCTTTGTGTAGGAGAAGCTTCCATGAATACTATACGACCATTATGCGATGCACACTCGCCGGACGTCAGCAGTGTTTCTAGAGTCGCTCGGATGACACGGCTCCTGGAAAAATGGGAGACTTGACAAGCAGGTCTGCTGGACAAGCCAGGATGAGCTGCATTGTAGGCAAGTATGGAAGTCATTCAGATCAGGAGGCACTTCATTGTGGGGAGTGTCTACCGGCGTAGTCTCTATGACGAGCAGTCTTAACCTATGGTAGTATCGTAGGAGTCCAGTCAGTATGGGAGATTCTGCGTAGTGTGCGACATGTGCCGACACACTAGGGACGACAGAGATTCGTTTTTGAGCCTCATAGAAAATGATGCGTTTCCTTCTCGGCAGCCAGAATCAACTGATAGCGGCTACCATGCATACCAAGGAAGGACAGCCGTGTATTCCTCTGGATCGTCTGATTTGCAGTGGCACCTCGAGGACTGGCCCTTTGTCCTTCAAGCTGTAGGATTTTCCACCCCACGGACATCTCCAGGCCGGGTCTGACTGTAGAAAATGTTGTAAACCTCTGAGCACACAAGATCCGACGCAATAGCGTTACGCATACTTAGATTTCATTCTTGCCTTGCTGCTCTCATGTCCTCGTGGTCACCCTCTTCGTTCACTCCAGCGGTTTGCCCAATCAAGAGTCTCCGCGTTGCCTTGGTAGGTTCAGGCCGAAAGCCGACCGCGTGTGCAAGCTAGCAATCAGTTTCGTACAATTACACCTTGGCAGTCCTGACATATGATAAGCCTTCTCGCTGGAACTGAGCCGCAGCAATGGCGCCGAGGTCAAGGACAGGATGGTGAGTGGGATCACGTTGCTTCGACGTCGCCTCCAAAGCAATAGAATACCGGCTAACCTTCCTTCACTCATCAGCTTGACCTGCCGTCAAAGGAAGGTATGTAGGTCATCTACACATGCCGGATGTATCTCATGATCTCAGCCGGCCAGGTCACTGGAGACTGACGTTCATGATCACAGCTCAAGTGTAGTGAAGAGAAGCCACGATGTCAACAATGCGCAAAGGCCAATCGAGAATGCGTCCCAAGCTCTGGCATCACGTTTCGGCATCAGCAGAACCCGTCCATGAATGCAGTGGACTTTGGTGAAGGCAGTCTGAAGAGCTTCTATGGCTATCGAGAGACATTCGACAGTGGGCTGAAGTGGGTGGACATACCGCAGAACTTGACGTTCGTGCATACCAATAATCCGTACGACGACGAAGATGCCGAGGAAGGTGCCCAGGTCGATGACTATCAACCTCATACCGCGGTCCAACAGCAGGCACCACAGCACGATGATGGTGCCACTTATGCCGAGTTCGCCAAAAGTCTGGCGATGCTTGCTAACAACGCGACCGAGTATCACGAAAACGTGCCAAGCTGGGACACAACTCAGGCGGCGACATATCCCAACTATGCCACGCAAGGCCTCGAGGCACTGAGTGCCGTCGCGAGCCGAGATCAGTACAACTACGCGCCGCCTCCAGCGATGATGACACGCGGCGAGCAAGCACCCTCTCACCAGTCTCCAGCCATTGGATCAAGCAGTCAGCAAGCTACTCCAGTCATGGGTCCACCACACAACAATTTGGAGTTCATCCTCAATCGCAATAGCGCAGACGCTACACCTGGCGAGACCAACCTCGACCCGCAACTGAATTCACCAACCCCGACTGGTGCCGGCCCTGGTCAGCCGCCACAACAACAGGACTTTTCGCAACATTCAACCAACCATGTACGTACTCCATCGTACAGCTCCACATTTGGCGGGCCTCGCTTACAGTCCAAAGGATCCAATCATCAACAGCCTCGACGAAATGGTATAGATGACCCAGAGCTCTCTTTCTTGCTACGAGATTTCGCCGAGCGTGCTGGCGTCTGGATGGACCTGTTCGATCTATGGCTGTTCTTCGCTATGCAGGTGCCAGTGTTGGCTGTGAGATGCCCACTGCTATTATATTCATGTGCTGCCTGCTCGGCGAAGAGTCTGGCAAGGGTGGACGGCAGGAAGCCGGTAATGGGAGGTCAGATCACGCCATCGCAAAGATGTCGAATGGAGTTTTGGCCACGAAGAGTACCCGATGCAGAAGGCTGGGTGCGAAAAGCCAGAGAGTACTACGACCAGGCTGTGTCATTGTTGCGGCAGGCGCTGGCCAGAGGAGTGGCTAAGCCAAGCGATTCAGCTCTATTTGACGATGCGGCGGACGAAGCTCCGCCCACTCCGAAGGATCCCTCCTTACCCACCACTGAATCCGATGAGCTCGTAGCTGCGACTGCTATACTGTGCGTGTATGAATTCCTCGATGCCTCTGGTCCTGAGTGGAGCCGGCATCTTGATGGAGCAAAGACATTATTTGACATAGCCAAAGATCGCATGGTCCCACTGACGCTTCCACCTTCGCCTGCATCATCACCCAGATCCATGCTACATCGGCTGAGTACGGCATCAAGCGCGAGCCGTCCTTCCATACCTCGCCGACTCAGCCAGGGACGAAGAGCAGTATTCTGGAACTTCGCCCGGCAAGATATGCTGGCTGCCTTCATAAACAACACGTCTACGCGACTGGACACTTTCGATACAGCTATGTGGCGAAATGCTGGTCTGAAGCTGAATGTCGAGGGTTCTGTCTGTCCTTCAAACCCGCAGCACGCCGACTATGCACCCGAGAATGCTATGTCTGACGATCTGATTGCCAACGCTCTGATCTGGCTACAGCAGAAGCTGGTCAACTTCATCGCAGCTGGCGATGACGTACCACGCGGGGTGTGTCCTCTTGGCCTAGGAGTTCGCCAGCAAGAGTTACTCGAGTACTGGGAAGGTCTGGACAAACAATTGCAAATCTGGTATCAAGGCCTGCCAGAGAACTTTGTGGCGACGGCCATTCGCCCAGCCGCGTACGATGCGAGTGGGAGCCTCACAGCGATCGAACAGCAATGGCATCCCAGACCCATGTGCGCGAGTACCATGCAAAGCTATCACTTCGCCCGCATCCAACTCCTGCACAATAAACCTCACGTCTCGACCGCCACACCCTTCACTTCAGGCTCGCCCAGCAGGCCAAAGTCCACCACGCCTGCACCCCTGCCAGGAACACCAGATGGATCGTCCCTAGCGGCAAGACACGCAAGCTACGCCAGCATCCTCCAACAATCACGTAACCATGCCAAGGAAATCGTCGCTATCGGTCTCGGTCGCACCGACGAAGGTGCCAGGATCCACTCGGTGCAACCGCTCTGGACGGCTGGGTTGGTGCTAGGTGGCGACATTAAGGTCGAGGAGGGTGGCGGGGTCGATACCGAGACGGAGATGTGGAGACGATGTATTCTTGCGCAGTTGAGAGCGATTGAGTACGATATTGGGTGGGCTAGTGAGTATCGGGTCAGGAATCTGCTCGAGTTGTGGGGCCTGCCTATGGATTGGGGTGTTGAGATGACTCAGGTAGTAGGCTGAGACGAGATCGCCGTGACGAAGGTATGTGACCAACGAAGTCACGAATCATTTATGCCATGACGTTCTATGAAAGGGGTATATCGCTGTATAAGCAAACAAAAGCATCTATTCATATCACGCTCTGCCAAGCTGGTACCCATGGCTTCTTCATGTCCAGCAGCTGTTCCTCATCGACCACCCGGGCCACTTCTTCGTCGACACGCGCCTTCTCGCGCAGTAAGATTTCCTTCTCTAGCTTACCCATCATTTCCAATTCTTTCAGCATGCCATCTAGTGGTGTAGTACAATGCTCAAGCAGTACATGAAGCGGTGACTCATGACCCTGGCTGTCTTGCGGGTATTGATCTGGTGCCGGTGGTAGAAGACTCATATCCCGCTGCAGTGCCCGCAGGCGCAAAGCTAGTGATGTGTGAGTTTTATGCCAGTCTGGCGGCAGGGCTGCGATGTAATGTCGCGTAGAATCGCCACCACTAGCCGATATCCACTCCTCGAATTTGGCGACGAGACTACTGTATCGACCTCCAGACTTCTCGGTCATAGTCGTAAGTTCGTGGTGTACTTTACTCAGGATTTGCAGGCTTTCTGCCAGTAACGCCGGATCATTGTGAGACCAGCGATCGAGTACCTGAAGACTGGCGATCCGCTTTTGTTCTTCCTCCTGAGCACGTATAGCTTCGTACTCTTTCCTCAGCTTAGCCTGCTTCCTGCCCAGTCTGCGCTTCGCACTTGCGTTGTACTCGTGGCTCGTCTGTAAAGCCGCCTGGTGCAGTAACGACAATTGCAGTAGTTCCGTCTGCTGCTTTAGCACGTCAAAGCTTGGCACTGCATCCTCGAACTCGATTGGAGCACTCGGGAGTTGTTTGCTCAACCTTGGAGTCGGCACAGGCGGTTTTGGTAAGGAAGACTTGGCGGGACTGTAGTGCTGTTGGTAAGTCGTAAAGTTTGGCCGTGAGGAAGGAGGGAAGAGTTGTGATTGGGGTCTTCCGCTTAGTCGGGAACTTGTGGAGGTTGATGGCGATGGTGGCGAGGTTATACTTGGTGGACGAGCTGTGGCCTTTGCGTCGATTGAGGTTGGTCGTGATCGTGTGGTAGATGTGCGTTTTTCGGCTGTCGTGGATCGTGCTGAGGGCTCCTTTGGTCGAATACTGGCCGTCCGTGAGAGACCTTTCGAGGGTGATTGTGGTAGTCTTGTTGAAGTCGTTCGACTGAGACCGGTACTTGTGGTTGTGGTGGACATTGCCGGAGCTGCACCGGTCAACGCGGCAAGAGCATCTGCCCTGGCATCTGTGGGTGCTGCTCGAGTGTGTGTCTGCACTGATGGTGCCCTCCCGAGTCCTCCATTGTAGACTGATGTTGGTCGGCCGAGCCTGGAGGTTGGCGGCGGCATTGCCTTCCTGTCCACCTCCTGAGCCATCCGCCTTTCACCTTCGCCATCTGAGTCTTCCTTCACACTACTACATGTGCTTGCTATCTCTGCTGTCTCATCATCCTCCTTGATCGTCTCCTTCTCGCCCGAGAACTTTCGGCTGAATTGTGGTAGTAAACTTCGTCTTTTCGACTGTTTCGAGGTTGTAGCAACATCGCTCTTGGTCGTAGGTAGCTGTAGGTTTGACGGAGCCTGCTTCGGTTCAGTAGATGTCGTGTTGCCTCATCTCATGAGTAGCATACTTCGATCATGGACATTGGCCGGCTCCGACGAGACGGCAGTCTACTCGTGCTGGCCATTCTTACCAACTACCTCCTCGACACTTCACAAGGAGTAAAGTCATGTTTTCTCATCACGATAGTGAAGGTCTATTCTCAGCAACAGCATGCCTCGGTGTGTATTGGCATTTCCCCAAACGGCAGTAGGGGTTCGCGAAATGTTTCAAAAGTCGCGTGCCATCCTTCCCTCTCCTTCTCCAATTGTATTCACACGGTCTATCATGTACACAAGTCCGCAATGCTCCTCCGAGACTAGCTAATTCGAGACTCCAAGAGGTCAACACTCTATACGCTTGTCACAATATGCTTGCGCAACACCTGCTCTCGTATTGATGCCCATAATCCATCAAGCAACGGAAAGAACTTGCTTTGACAATCCCAGAGCTACTCGCATCGATCAACTCTGCCCTTTCAAGCTTATGAAGGAAACCTGGCTAAGCTGCCATCATCCTGAAGTGTACGGTACTTCTTGTTCAAGCTGCAGTGACTGCATAAGGCAGTGTCCGCCCGAAACAGTAACTGCAATCCACTTGCTGCAAGGTACGAGCCAAAGTATCCATTGACCGATAAGGACTTCACCGATGCTTGATCTCCAACTTTACTCTAATCATCCAAACCTCAACTCACTCAGCCAAGCTATGCCATCCAGAATAATATCGAACTCCGCTGGGGTCAAAGTGGCTACTGACATCTTTACGGAACCCCATGCTGAGCGACCATCTGCAAGAGACATCAATGTCCAGCTCATGTACCTGAAGGACGACCCCTTGTACAAAACGGTGAAACCTGTACAAATCACCCCAAACTTTGCCGACCAAAATGACCGCACAAATGTCCGACTAGCGCCTGGCCAACAAGAAGTCTTGCACGATGTACGTGGTCGACACGGCGAACTTCTTGGCGATTTCTCCCTTGATGACCATGGCTTTACCTACATCAAATCGCCTACAGCCTTCAAAGACTGGTCATCCCAGCCTAATATTGCTCAGGACTATCTGCCAGAACTGGAGGCATTACTTGAGCGCGAGGTAGATGGCTGCGATGAGATCTTGTTCTATGATGCGCGGATACGACAGGAAGGCGACGAGGGTCTGCGTGTGGAGGGACTTAGCTACAATCCTTTCGCACGCCAAGTTCACACAGATAACACTGACAGGAGCGTCCTCGAGAAGATCCGAGACCTGATGGAGATGAAGACCGATTACCTGCTCAACGGCCGCGCACGCATCATCAACATCTGGCGACCTATCAAACATCCCGTCTACGACTGCGGCCTTGCTATTGCAGATGGTAGTAAGTTGCGTCCAGGGGATGTAATGGAATGTGATCGCCATCGGGCAGATTCTGGAGAGTACTGGGACACAATGGGAGTAGTGCAGTATCGACCCGGCTTCGAATGGTATTACTGCAGTGAACAGGACGAGGAAGACGTGATCCTATTCAAGAACTACGACAGTGCTACTGATGTCAAGGCACGCGTATGTCTTCACACCGCCTTCGACCTACCCGCGGAAGTCATCCCACCTGGCGCGCCGACAAGGGAGAGTATTGAGGTCCGTGCCCTTGTCTTCACTTACCCGGCTTCTGGTATGAGACCGCTGGGAGCGACACCACATCCGCTTGCCACGTCACTGCAACAAAGCCATTTGCAGAGGCTCGATGACGAGTATACTATCACGGATCGGCTTCGCACTGATATCGATGAGGGCAATGAGGTGAAGGACGCTGTATTGCTGTTGCGGCGGCAGGAAATCAAACGGCTGGAGCGCTTGAACAAAGCTGTGACAGGCGAGCGCAATGTTGCTGTTGAGCAGCTGAAGCTCAAGGACCAGGAGTGCCAAAATCTCCGCAAAGAGCTTGGTCATCTTCGACAACAAGCCCAAGGGCAATTCGAGACATCTTAGCCGCACAGCTTGGCCTGGCGTATGGTCGTAAGATGCTGCAGGCGCCATGAAATGTTCCACGATTGAAGGCATCTCCCCGAAGTATGTTGACGCTGCCTCCAAGTAATAGAACAAGTAGGGGCAACAGCGAAGCTGTGAATGGCCCGATCTATGATCCAGGCTCTTGTGCAAGATCTATCCACCAGTCTGGCCAAAGAATAGAGGTAAGTACGCCAATTGCTTGTCATACATGGACAGTGCTAACCCCCGTAGTGTCATCTTCTCAATCTGAACTATCACAATTGATCATATCGAAGCACATCTAGAGCAAAGGGGCATCCTGGGCATCAAGATCGACGGGTAGTCCCCGCGTTTCGTATAAATCAACCTGCCAGAAGCATGTCCACGAGTTTCATAACCATCATTCCGAAGACTGGATGAATGTCCGCGAATCTACCTAGAGCACAGAAGGCCGACTAGAGCGAGTCCCAGAAAGGCGGCAACCTGCGTAATGTCCTTGCCAGTGGAAATCTGGCCATACAGCCCACCACCGAATCCGATCACAGCCGTCAAAAGTCCCGCACGACGAGTCGGTCTGCGCCACAATAGTATCGCTGCTCCCAGGTCGAAGGCGCCCAGAAATTGCTTGAACTGTGTGTGTGTGGTCAGCACATTCTGTAACCGTATCCTGTTACGTCTTCTTACCGGTGCATAATTCATGCCTAGACCGCCGAATGCGACGTATGTGTTCTGCGTCATAGTTTCTATGTTGCTTGCGAGGTCTGGCGTGAGACGATCAGTGAAATGTGCTTGGCCTGCGACTGTGTACAGGCCAGCGATCAGGAGACTAATGGCATCACCGAGATGACTGAGTCGAGAGGCCATGAGATGGCATTTGTGAGGAAGTAGGATGTTGCGCAGATGACTCTCGTCACGCATGATGGTTGTTATATCTAAATAGTGGTTGTGTATAATCTCCCCGAACCATCATACTCGCTTACATGATTTAACACCAACTCGTTGCGGAAAGGTAATTCTAGCCGAGAAGGATCTCAAGACAGCAAGAATGCATTAGGGCAATCCATCTCCATGAAGGCTCACCAACAAGCATCTCCCTCTCATATTGTTGAATCGTCTACCAGTCGGGACCGTTACAATAGGATCCTCTCGGAACGCACGCGACATGGAAGACTTGCCTTTCGTCGAGGCTGCGATACACCGGCCGCGGACGTCCAGGAAGCCCAACACGATTGGGATTGGAGAAGAGGAATTTCACCTCCATTCGGACCTGTTGGATGAAGTGTTCGTGTCCGACTTGCTCGGTATGGCACCGACGAACTGATCAGGAAGTATGGGCTGGTCAGGATTGACAGGCAAGACGATCGAGATGGGCGTCGGGTGGCAAATAAAGAGGAAGAAGTGAAGTAGATAGGATGCGACTTGACGCAACAGCAGTTATGAGCATGGGGGCCATCATCTGCTTGTGTGATAAGTTGGAACTACATGGACGGACCATTGCTGCGTGATCACTATATGGCAAGTAATACTGCACTGTGAGCTTCAATAGCTGTGCAGCGTACTTGTCTCAACAGAAGACGAGCATACAGTCCTCTTCATGAAGGCACTGGGAGTTACATCTACCCAAGCCTCGTGGAATTATGACTGAGGGTTCTCGTCCATAACATCATCAGATGGCCACTTGACAGCCAGTTTGGAGCGAGAACGCTAGAGTCGTCGACAAGACTATACTATGTCTAGTACAATGCAATTTCTTTCTCCCGCCACCAGTTTCGCATCAAGCGTTTACACAGTCAACGTGTAAGTAGCGTTGTTGCCCGGCATCCTAGGGTAGAACTCCACCACGAAAGTCGTTGTCTGTCCCGCCGCAACCACGGCCGCCACAGCAGAAGCCTTGATAGTCACACTTGCCCCATCAAAATCCCACTGGCTACCATATGTGGTTCGACACTGCTGGATAGCTGGGAGATATACTGTCCAAGTATCGACCAAACATGTCCCATCTGGTAGCGTAGCTTTCACCGCCGCGACTTGGTGAATGGTATTGTAGGTGACAGGAATCCGAAGGTCGGTGCCGGAAGTGGCGGTAGTGGCGACGGAAGTGTTACTTGCCAATCCGCTCTTGCCAAGGTTTACAAGAGTGACTTGGAGAGCTGCGCCTTGTGAGAAATTGACTGTGAAGTTTGCGACTGGGCCGAGGGCGGTCTTGGGTGTGATGTATCTGCCTACAAGCGGACCTTTGAAGGTGACGTTGTTGCCACTGACCGTATAATCGGGGCCTTTATTGAGAGTCTGGCCTGTAGGCGAGCGGACGGAAGAAACGGTGTTGCCATTGAGGATGTATGTGGCTGTCAAGTCACTAGGAGGTGGCGGAGATGTGGTGGTTGTTGCTGCCGTGTGGTAGATGAAAGCATCCGAGACTTGTGTAAGCGAGTTACCGTCTTCGGTGCTATCAGCCAGGCTGTTTGTCTTGCCCTGTGCTGCCTGAACGATGATGTCCTTGACCACAGGATCCCGAAATTTGCCAACGGATCGGTCGAAATCGGTTGCACCATTGTCCCACCAGAAAGTCGCAGTGTTATACTTGGCGGCAGTCCTAATCAAGGAATCAGAGTATTTCCACCTGGCTGCGGTCTCGGTCGTTGTGCCAGCAGCAGACCATTCGCCAATGACGAGCGGGATACCAGTAAAGTTGCCACGGACGGCGGCGATGTCAGCCTCGAGCGCCTGCTTGTCGGCATCAGAGCCCCAGATAGTCTTGCCCCACGCTCCGAAGATGAAGTCATATGGCGAGTAGTAGTGGTACTATGAACATGTCAGTGCGACTCTACATCAAGACCTGTAACGCTTACCTGAATAGCCCAAGGGTTCGTGATGTTCGAAGGCTTCTTGAAGAACTGCGAAGTCAGACTACCATCCTCCGAAGGTCCAACCAGAGTCAGAACTCTGTTGGGGTTGAAGCCTCCGGCATCATTGACAGCTTTCACGAAGATGGCGTTGAGCTTGTTTATCTCGTCATAATGTGCTTGAGTCGAGGCCGGTGGCTCGTTTATCGGCTCGAAGGCGAGCAGAGAAGACTTGCATGCTAGCTTCGTGGCGATCTGGTACCACAAAGAGTAAAATTTCTCCTCGATGGCAGTGTAATTCGCACCCGAAGCTGTCACATCCGCCCAGTCGGTAGCGTCGTGGTGGACATTCACGATAGTATGGAAGCCTCGTGAGATAGACTGATCAACCACATCTGATACACGCTGCAGCCAGGTAGCGTTGACAGTCCAGCTCGGGCTGCCAGATACGAAGTGATCAGTCCAGGTGATGGGCAGGCGCATACCCTTAAAGCCGGCACTTTGAATCTGGCTGAAGGTGTTCGCGACGACTGGTGGGTTGTTCCATGAGCCTTCCGTTGGGATAGCATCTAGCGTGTTACCAAGGTTCCAGCCCGGGTTCGCCTTATTCAGCCAATCTTGGGCAGACACCTTCGTGAAGCCGCCACTGCATGTATTGGCGCGAGCCACTGGGCTGGCTTGCACAGCAGAAACCGCCAGAAGGGCTAGCAGAGTCGCGACCATGTTAGCGAGTGGTGGTGATAATTTGCTTCACACACGCGGCATGGTGACAAGACTGCTCCAGACTATATAGCCCACTGCATCTCCGAAAAGATATGGTGATCACCAGTCTGTACTATGCGAGACGTTCCAGACGACGGTCCCTGTATATGAGGTGGCGTAGCGTGACCCTTCGTGCATGATGTGCCGGTATTGGGTCTCCGGAGTAGCACAGGCATATATGAAGGTCAAACTAGTATACCGAAGACCCTACACCAATGGGATGCAGTGTCGGAGGAATTGAATATGTATTTTCCTCCAAGGTAATGAGAGTAAGTTTTAGCCGACTTTAGGCTCCCTGCAGTATGCGAAACAATTAATTGACTACATAGTCATGTGCGCTATTGGTATAGACCTGGCAGTCCCGAATAGAGCAGGTGGAAAGGGAGGTGCTGCATCGTCGGTCCGCGAGCCCTTGCGTGCGATCTGGTCAATCAATGAACATCTTGCTCGATGGTGCAAGTAGACGTCTGTTGATATGAGAACTGTTGCTCCTCAGCAGCAATCCGATCTCCTTCTCCGCTTTCCCCGTCGCTGGTCTGTGCGACGGCGTATAACAGCAACAGCAACGAACCATCTGGGACCTATAAATCTTGAACGTAGCGACATTACCTCGCAGCTATCTCCAGCTCACACCTGACGCTGATGCCTTCAGTTTGAATGTTTACCCAGGCAAAGCGTCCTCTACAAAGATCTGAAGTCCAGGTAAGTCTTCAGTCCGAGGATGCTTTCTCTGCGCCACACCCAGGGTGTGCGTGGCCTGCAGTATCTTAGCCGCTCCTATTGCAGCACCGCCTCACGCGAAGCCATTTCGCGACCGACCATCAGTTCCGAGAGCTCTCACCGTCCAGGTGTAGTCGCCGCTCTTGAGGAGTCGCAAGCTCGCGGCGACTGCTGCTCCTCTCACCTAGACTTGCACGGAGCATTCTTACGAGGGTCTCTTGGACAGGCCCTTTCCGTATGATCAGCAGCACGTAAATGCTAGGCACCAATTTAATTCATCCCAGATCTATCCAATGTCACTGACGATTCTTGATGGTCTTGCGTTTGCGGCCACGTTACTGATTTTAGCAGCCATGGCAGAAGGCACAAGTGAGGCACGAAAGCGCACCAAGTCACACCAAGAGTATCTTACCAGGCTCCAAAGGCCAACCATCTTGACGATGAACCACATCTCAGCCATCCAACAGCACAAGGAAGCTATCATTGACGCGAAGTATCACGATGATGTACAATACCAAGCCGCATTGACGATCCAAAAAGCATATCGAGGGTACCGCGACCGACGACAAATGGATGGAATGATTCTCGATCCCTCCTCCCGATGGACGGAAGCACTACGAGAAATTCGATATCGAAATGCGACAGCTTCCTCACCAGAGGCCCGTCCAGATGGCAAGGACCGTTCGTTGTCGAATGCAGAGAAAGCAAAGGCGAACTGGATCAAGGTCGGTCAGGTGGCAGAGCATGCAGCTGGGGACAGCTGCGTACCCGTACAGTCGAATGATTCCGGCAGTCAAGCTCCACCAGCCGACTCATTGTTCTTGGACCTGCGGTATTTTCTGGAGATGGTGGACGTCAAGCACAGATACGGCACTAATCTACAAGTCTATCACGAGGAGTGGCAAAGGTCGATTACGAAGCAGAACTTTTTCGAATGGCTGGACCACGGGTGAGGGCCGGCACATGAGTTTGCCAGGCTGTTCTAGGGAGAAGCTCGATCACGAGAGGGTTCGATATCTGAGCCGCGAAGAGCGCAAAGAGTACGAAGTCCAAGTTGACAATAATGGGAAGCTATGTTGGCTCAAAAATACTCAGCCCATCACGACTAGTTCTGATCTCTACAAGGATTCTGCTCATGGAATCGTTACGCAAGACTCGCCTGACGCGCCATATGTACCTGAGCTGGAAGAAGCGAGTGACGATGAGCTCGAGCTACGGGATGCGCAAACCGACCATCAAGCAGCCATAAAGGATGAATCGCATCGCAGGCATTTCCACGTCTTACCTGCCACTGTACTGAACCACTTGTTGCGCGCCTCTGTACGACCTGGGACGTGGATCTACGTTGCAGATACTATTGGTCGGCTATACGTGGGCATCAAATCCAGCGGTGCTTTCCAGCATGCATCATTCCTTGCAGGCGCTCGCATCAGCTCAGCTGGACTCATAGGCATAGAAAATGGCCAATTGACATACCTATCTCCATTGAGCGGGCACTACCGACCAACAACCAAGTCCTTCACCACCTTCGTCGAGAGTCTGAAGCAACAGAACGCTGATCTTTCACGACTGCGAATATCGCGTGCATATGATCTTTTATTGGGCACGGAGTACTATGGCAGGACTAAGAAGGGAGTTGGCAAGCTATTGGGCAAGAGCCATGATGGGGAGCGAGCAAAGGCAAAGCCCAGAGTGCAGTCTCACTATACTGCCACCGACCTGGTTCAGCGAGATTGGGAGGAGGATCACGATCACCCGAAGCGAATGCAAAAGCTCAAGGAGGATTTGCATATTCGAAGGCGTAGTCCTGGGTGAAGTGAATAGTTCGTGCATGGAGATCATGTGAACTAGCAAATCCTTCCACAATGGAAACCAGAAATTACCTTATTCATGGCGGAAACACGGCGGTAAGCAGGTTGTTTCATTCCGTCGAAGCACTCAATCATATCAATGGAGCCGAGGCCGGGGCTAGGATATGGTGAGGGAGCGTAAAAAGGGAAGGGGCCATCTCCACATGGCAGGTGCTTAGCTCGCTGACGTGGCCGTTGGAATATGGGAGTAAACAAAGCCAGAGCTGCGAGGAGTCTTGGGTCGAGGCGAGGAGCAATGAGGCAAGGTGAGGAGAGGAGGCCAGCGATTTCTTAAATCACATGTGGTACTGGTCAAACAGACTATCGAGCGCCGTGAGGAACAACAAGATATCGCTGCAACAAGTACACTCGAAAATAAGCTCGAAGCAACAAGCCAAGCCCATAATCCAGACGTCGCCGCGTCATCTACTCGCCGGTAGTCAATGTTGTGGCGTCATGCAGTCGTTCGGAGGTTGGTCGGAAGTGAGGAGTGGTGTAGGGAGGCAAGCCATGACGACAATGGGCTGCGTTGGCGATTGGCATGGTGTCTACCAGTCCCAGGTCCAGGTGGCACTGGCGTTGGCGTCAGCCGTGGCATCGGCACCGGCGTCGAAGACGGTCTTGGTGACCTCAGCTGGAGCGGAGGTGGTGCAGCTGGAGGACCACTTCTTGCTTGATGTGGTGCACGAGGACGTGGTTGGGGTCGACTTGGTGCAGCTTGATGTCTTGGACGAAGTCGTGCACTTGCTGGAGGTCGACGGGGTGATAGTGGCCGTGGAGCATGAGGTGGATGTCATGGTGACCGGCTTCCAGACAGGGGCAGTTGAGGTGGATGTGCGGCTGCTGCTGGTGGGATGCTTGGAGCTGGTGCACGTCGTGGAAGCGGTCTTCCATGAGGTCGACTTTGGGCTGGCCTTGGAGGACGTGGTGGCGACGGGGCTGGCCTTCGTGGGTGTGCTGGTTGCGCAGCCAGTGAAGCAGGAGTCGGCCCTGAGCCATACTGGAACACACTTCTCTTGGCCGATGAGGGTCTTGGAGTACAGATTCCAGCCGTCGTGGTCTCCGGTGGGACAGGAGTAAAAGGTGCTGTCACCCTCGTAGGTCAATGTCCCGTTGCAGGTGAGGTCGAAACCATATGTCGGGGTGGCACCCTCATCACATTGCCACTGAGTGGTTGGGGGAGTGAGGATGCAGCCACGGTTGTGGGAGTCGATGAGGCCGCCGTTGACGAGGTGGTAGTAGCCGAGCGGGATGTTGGTCTGGCCAATACGGTTCTGGCCATCGCCGAGTTGTTGAACCTGCTGGAGACCGGCAGAGGCAGTGTATGCCGTGATGGTGAACTCGCATGCTGAATCCCGCTTGTCGTGGTCAGGGTTGTGATTCCAAGGGTAGCCGGGACAGTCTGAGCAGTCAGGGTCGGTATCGATGAACTCGCACTTCAAGCAGTGGGCGCTGTCCCCGAGATCGTGTACGCCTCGAGACATGACTTTGAGGTCACCATTGACTGAGAGTGGTGATGCGAGAACACCGGCGGCCATGGCCATGAAGGTGGCGACGATGATGCTTTGGGAGTGCATGTTGAAATTTGGTCTTGGATATGTGGTTGGTTGTTGATATATTTTCTGATTGTTTGTTAGCAGATGCCAGTCATAATGGGAATGGGAGCTCACATTGATGTTTCGATGTCGATTGCTGATGAGAAATGTGGATGGAGAGGAGAAGAAAGGAGAGGAGAACATGGCGGACTTTTATCCCACCTGCATTGTTTACAGGTCAATGCGTCGAGTGTGCACTTGCAGTATTCTAAGTGAAAGGTGAAGGACAGTGGTAGCAGGAGCTGGCTGGTCGGCTCGGTTTGCTCGGCAGGAACATGATGGCAGGATCGTGGAGAGCAGGAGCTGGCTGGACGGACCGTTGCGTTATGGCAGGAACCGCGATACTTGGACAGCAAGCACGCCCTCTGACTGCGAGAGCCGATGTGCACCACGTCCTCGAAACAGGCCATGCTTAGCCACTCATGGCACGGGTTCTGCATAAGTTGACTTCACGAACTTGCGTCAAATCCTCGGCAACGTGATGACCCCTGCCCTCTGTACAGCTGAAGTCAACGCACGCAGCTGCTCGATGGATGTGAGTGAGCTTTGATGCGATCGATAGGGCACCTTTCAGTCTCATCGTTGACAATTCGAACGGTGCACCCCGGAAGCACTCGTGGGCATTTCGTTCGTCAGTTGTGGGATCATGGCGGCCATATCCGTGTCGGCCTTTGCGTGGGTATCTCAATATGATCAATGACCATAAAGGTGACGATGTGAGGGGTGAGATAGATCGGCCCCTCGACCATGCTTTGAATTTCTGACCTGCCTTGATGGCTGATGAGCGGAATCTGTAGGTTGTGATACAGTTGAGTACTTTGCGCATGAACTCGTGGCCCGCTCGATGGCTCGAACGGCACTCTTACGAGCAGGATGGAACTTCTCTGTAGCGGAAGCAGGCCATCAAATTCCGAGGTGGCAGCGAGCTCTTCACACGTTGCGGATGATGTGTGGGCATCGAGTGTCTCAATGTTGAACAGGTACCATACCAGAAAGATTGCTACCCTGCGCTGCACCATTACTACTCTTTGAATTAGTGAAGCAGGCTATCGCCATTTCACCCAGCCATCGCATCTGCTCAATGCACATATTGTATGCTGTATATCATCCTCAGCAGTCTCTCAGATACTCCACTGCAAACCTCCAGCACTTGTCAGCCACCGCTCTTTTCAACCAAGCCATCTGCTGATCGACCGCCCACCACACGCTTACACACCCGACCCGCCCTTCTTCTGCTTCTTAGTGCGCTGCGCCGAGGTTGATGTGTTCTGCGCAGTCTTGGCAGAACCCTTCGCCGTCTTCGCGCGGACAGCCTGTGGCTTCGGCTCCATCTCCTCATCGACCTCCTCCACCTCGACCCGCTTTTTCACTTTCGCCACTCCAGCCTCAAAGTATGCCCTTCCTTTAGGACAGTCGCCAACGACGACAAATTCTTGTGCTCGAGCAGCAGCCACGGCGATCTCGGGAAAGCTCGGGATCTGATCATAGCTAGCGAATGGCCTCTTCCGATCCGAAGTAATCCATTCTCGCGAGTGGTTTCGCATTTTCAGCCAGTAGTAGTCAGTCTCCAGGTTTAACTCGAGCCTCTTGATCTCGGTAATGCTAGTGAGTAGACGTGCGACTGTGCCCAATGTGTTGTCCGGATCTGCTTCGGGTGTGAACTGCAACTTCGACATGTGTTTGACACGAGTATTCGCAAGCCCGAAGAAGTTGTGCACCAACGGGCGCGGGTGCGCAAATATGAAGTAGTTCTGTTGGTAGAAGACTGCCACAGCTTCGGTAAAGACTTGCTTGCATGTCTCGAGCAGCCTGAGCCGGTCACCGATGCTAGGGAACAAATAGCGATGCGGATTTCTGGGCATGTACCTGAAGTACCCGCCTACGTCGGAGATCTTACCGTCTGTGCGGAGGAGAATGGTCGCACAATCTCGGTCTCTGACGAAGAAGCGCTCACCATGATCACGATAGTGGTGGTACTTTGCCAAGCCGCTCGCTGGTGCCTCAAGAACTAGCTCGTATATCTTGGTTCGCAGCTCCGGTGGCAGACCCTGGAAGTCGAACGTCCCCTTGCGCTCGGACTCCAGCCAACGACGTAGATAGATGCGACTTGCCTTGTGATCTGCTGAGTACAGCCAACTTCCCGTCAGATCACTATGCATGGCACAATTCCCACAAAGCCGTGCATGGAGATCCTCAGCCTGCTCTTCCATGATCAAGGGTAGCTCTGAATTCTTCATGACGACGTATTAGCCTGGGACAACATCGTGGTCGTAAACCAAGGCTTCTTTCTCAGTGTCGTTGTAAGGGTGCACGGCATTGTTGACGTAGGCGTCCAGCGCTCTATTGGCGTAATACGGGAACGTGGCGAGTACTGCACGATGGGTTTGCTTGTCCTGCAACCACTCCGCGTCATTGCATACGCCAGCGATGGTGATGAGCTCCTCAGTCGAGAAGCGTGGGGCTTCTGTGGGGTCGCTGTTGTAATCTTCGATCAAATCCTGGATCTCAGCCTTGAGCGCCATCTTGTGCTCCTTGAGTGAAGTCATAATCGTGCGTGGCGTGTGCTATCTTGCTGTGTGCTGGCGGTTGTGTGCTGTCTGGTATGTGCTGGATGCTGTAATGGCGATACGATGCCTGTTCGAGACAAGTGAGCGAATTGTGTTGAGGGATCAAGAAAATCTTGTGCCGACATACGAAGAGAAGTACTTATACGGCAGGTGCGAACGACGCTAGGCAACAGCCTCCTCATCACAGACTTGTGTGTGGAGCTAGCCGAGCATTCACTTACATCTGCAGCCAGGTAATGTCGTCACTCCGTCACGAGTCTATTCACTCAATCCAGAGTGTGAGCATCTCAGCCATACTTGGCTCCTCCTGGGCAACGATGTCGCCTTCGCCTCTCCCTCACGAGTATATTTCTGCTGCAATATCGAAGTCCTGCAAAATTTCACTCATCAGATGCTGCATCCTCCATACGCAGGACAGAGATTCGTCTCCGTAACTAGGGCGGCGCGGCTCGATAGTCTCGTATGGATGTGAATAGCAGTAGCAAGAGTAAGCCAGCAGTGCTTTTGGAGACTCAGAACCAGAATCAAGTAAGATGCATGACGCGAGGGATAATGCTTTCACCCCTGAGTGTCCTGTGGGTGGGTCTATCCCAAACCCGGGACGGTAACACACGTGCCATAAAACCGCCAATGTTGTGACTAAGTAACGCCGTCCCCTATTCCGCTTCCCATGTCTCAACTCACACCTTCGCATCCGCCGTCTTCACATCCCCAGCCGTCTTTGCCAGCGAATTGCCATCCCTCTTACCTCTGCCTGCAGCGTTGACACCAGGGCCCGTCTTCTTCGTCGCAGACACATCCCGACCACCACCACGAGCCCTCTCAACCTCAACCCGTATCCACTCAATCAACTCCTCATTCTCGCCCTCCAACACCAGCTCCTGCACCTTCGCCACCGCACGCACCAAATCCCTCAACCCCGGAAGCTGCTCGAACCTCGTGAACTTCGTCTTCCTCCCCGCCCGCTCCCTCTCCCCCTTGGACATATCCAACCACCTCCCTTTCTCAGACTCCAACCCCCACCTCCCAGCCATAGACCCCGGCACATCCGCCCAAGCCGCCATAGCAGTCGCAAACGTCCCCGCCTCCTCAATGCTCGGCCGCGAAACCACAATATGCACGTCGCGAAACCACCTCATCCTCTCCGCGGAAGTCCTGAGAATGAACTGCGCAAAATCCCCCGTACAGGCGAAGAAGAAGCGATTCGCACCCCAAAAGCACGGCCCTGCCTCCACAGAAATCTGTCGGTTTACGCGGAGCAGGGCCAAAAGGTCCGTGGTGGGGAGGTCGAAGGCGTGGAAGTCCGACGGGAAATACGTCTCCTGGCTCCCCACGTCGCGCCGCCACGTCTTATTCGCCGCACCATCGGCGTCTGTTTCACGTTCGAGGAGATGCACGGCCAGGGAGGATCGGGTGGGCCAGAGACGGAGGCCTGTGGTGGAGAAGGTGAAGAGGAGGTCGTAGGTCCTGTTGCGCAGTTCGGGCGGCAGGTCCAGGAAAGGGAATCTTCCTCTTCTTTCAGGTTCTAGCCACTTGCGCAGGAAGCATCGGGCGCGGGCTGGTAGGATTGTCATGGCGTCCATCGTCTCCTCGTGGGGGTCGTAGTGCACTGGGGAGGTGGACTCGCTGTAGCGGATGGGCATCGCCCAGTCGTTGAAAGCTTCGTGGAAGCCCGGAAGGACGGAGCGCGTCTGGCTGGTTTTGCCGTCGTCTTCTTGGTTGTATTGTGCGTGGCCTTTGGCGTAGCTGGAGAAGGTCTTGTCGCTGTAGTAGGCGAATCTGCGGAGGATGTGCTCTAGGATGGTGGCGGAGTCGATCGAGTTGGTGTTGCTCGTGATTAGGGCTATGACTATGAGCTCGGGGATGGCGAAGGGAGGCTTTTTCTTGCGGTTGAGTTGGAAGGGCTTGATCACCTGGCCGATCTCTTGTCTCAGCTCTTGGTGAGCTGTGCTTTCGATGTCGCTGCTGGTCATGGCCGCCATGGTCGGAATTGTTTTCTCAGACGTCGATGTGGGATGATCCACGGCTGCTATCCGAGAGGCAGTTTTGTTGCGTGCTTGTTGATATTTCCTCTCCAGTGCTTGGAGATGAGGAACAAATGAATTTCGGAATTGTGTCTCGTTCTGGCAGTTGGCTTTGCACCGATCAAGCGACCTCAAGCTGATATTGCTACAGAGCAGAAGTGAAGACTGCTGAATCGTACAGTGAGGTCTGCTCACCCACCGAACACGCTATACAGACAATACAATGACGGATGATTGAATGACGAAGACTCCATCAAGCCTCCCCACCCGCCCCCTTTCCCCCGGTAACAACCTCAACCAACCTCCCCACCCTCTCCTCCGCCCTCCCCACATTCCCCCCCGCAACCTCCATAGCCGTCCGCCCCCCAACCCCCATCTCCCTATTCAACAAATCCTGCACCCGATCCGGCAGCCCCGCCTCCCACACACTCACCGCCCTATCATCCGCCGCCCCCAAATTACTCTTAAACACCGTCGGCCTGGCTTCACTCCCGAACGCCTCTTCCACCGCGGCATCGAGTTGCGCGGGCGTGACGATGAAGGTGCGAGCGTGGGAGAGCAGGGTATTGAGGTGGGTGGCTCGGGTGGAGCGGGCAAGGGCTGTGGTTGCGGAGTGGGTTTCTCGACTGGTGGCCAGGCGGATGGAGCGGGAGGGATCGAGACGAATACCCGGGCCTTCGAAGGCGGAGGTTAGGGCTGCGAGATCCAGGCCGTGCGATGGGGTGGTGAGGAGGTCGTCGGGGCGTTCGGGCTTCATCACGGCTTCTTGTCTTTCCTTGGCGTTGCGTTCATTTCGGATTCTCCTCCCTTCCTCCACCCGCCCTTTCCTCGCTTTCAGACTGACTAGACCTTCCCGTAGGTTCCGTCGCCGCATCTCACTCATTTTCCCTTTCCATTCCTCTCTGCTGCCGGGCTTGGCGCGAAGTTCACGCGACGGTGCTTTGGTGGCTGGATCGAGAAAGTCATCGGAAGCTTTATCCCTTCCTTCTGCGCCGGCGAAGACATCTCGAGGCACGGGAAGCCGGCCTTTGATAAAGGGTCGGTAGGGGAGATTTTGCTGTGGTGGGGTGGGGATAGCGATGTACGACGGGTGTTCCGGGCCGAGTTGGGCTTGTCGTGAGGTGGTGGTGAAGGTGCGGCAGTGCGGGCATTTGAATGCCGATGATGGTATTCGTGGAGGTATTCGTGGAGGCATTGTGCGTGGTTTGTTGCTATGGTCTCGTGATCGATGAGATGCTCAGTAATATCCAATGTCTCTTTGCGGAGAGTTCGGGAGAGCTCGTGCTTAGTCATGCTTGAATTTCCGATATCACGAGCTTGAACTTTTTCTACCCACTACATTCTCCACATACCACCGCCAAACACGATCACACCACCGCCACCGCAAACATGGGTACCGGCAAAAAAGAAGCCTCCCGCCGCACGCGGCAAGGCGTCGACAGCAAATCCGACGGCATGGGCAACGTGCACACCAAAGGCGAAAACTTCTACCGCTCCGCCAAACGGGTCAAATCCCTCAACACCTTCAAAGAAGGGCGGGCCGAACGCAACGCCTCGGGCAAAATCACCAAAGCCGCCTCCTTCCAGAGCAGAGACAAACCGCAGGCGAGAATAGAACCGCATCGGAAATGGTTCACCAATACACGAGTCATTAGTCAAGAAGCCCTGGGGAGTTTTAGAGACGCCGTGGAGGCCCAGCAGAAGGATCCGTATAGTTATCTGTTGAAGCGGAATAAACTCCCCATGTCGTTGATCGACGATGGCAAGGCAAAGGAGAGGAAGGATGGGGTGGTGCAGCATCGGGCTAAGATGCGGTTGGAGACGGAGGGGTTCGGGGAAGTGTTTGGACCTAAGGCACAGAGGAAGAGGCCGAGATTGGCGGTTAGTAGTCTGGGAGATTTTGCCGCGGCAACGAGTCAGGAGCAGGAGAGCTATTCGGAGAAGTTGGCCGAGGCGGCGGCTTTGCAACAGGGTGGTACTGATGACGTTCCTGTGGGCGAGGTGGCGGATCTGGTCTCTGGCGAACTCACGACGGCGAAGGAAGCCATTTTCTCCAAGGGCCAGAGCAAGCGGATCTGGAATGAACTTTATAAAGTCATTGACTCGAGCGACGTGGTGATTCATGTCCTGGATGCACGGGATCCGTTGGGGACGAGGTGCCGGAGCGTGGAGAAGTATATTCGGGAGGAGGCGCCGCATAAGCATCTGTTGTTTTTGCTGAACAAGTGCGATTTGGTTCCCACGAGCGTTGCTGTGAGTCCGCACCCACCCTTCCCTTCCCTCTCTTCTTGCACACCACCCCTCACATTTCCATCACCCACCACAGCCCAGTCAAGATCCTCGCCCTTTTGCTTTTTTAGGCAAACAAATCAATGGAGAAGGACCTGTTACGGCCGTGGCAGATTATCTTACACGGCGCTCCACCTCGATCCTCTGTCGTTATGATATGATCACTTGAGTCTGCCTCATAATCGTCCCGTTCGAGTAGCGATCTTGAATGCCCTGGTGTGACTTCCCTACGGGAGTCTACTGATCGAGGGCAGATATACAGTCTGAAGGAGAGCTTAGTTATGTGGACATACATACACAACGGCCCATGCCCATGGCATACACACACACACACACACAGAAATCAGCAACGCGGAAGAATGCAGCAACGCCAATGCTAATCTGATGATCTTCACAGTCCAAATGGGTCCACCACCTCTCCCTCTCCCACCCAACCCTCGCCTTCCACGCCTCCCTCACCAACTCCTTCGGCAAAGGCACCCTCATCACTCTTCTCCGCCAATTCTCCACCTTACACTCCGCCCGCAAACAAATCTCCGTCGGCTTCATCGGGTACCCCAATACGGGGAAGTCGAGTATTATTAATACGTTGCGAGCGAAGAAAGTGTGTAAGACGGCGCCCATACCGGGGGAGACGAAGGTGTGGCAGTATATCACGCTGATGAAGCGGATTTATTTGATTGATTGTCCCGGCATTGTGCCGCCGGAGATGGTGAGTCTCTCTTCTTCTTCTTCTGCTTCGGCGTCGTGTGGTTCGTCTTCTTCTTCTTCTTCTTCTTCTTTTTGCCTTTTGCTTTTGTTTGTGAATGGTGGTGTGGAGGCTAATGCGTTTGGTTAGGGCCTTGATGATACCGAAGTCCTCTTACGAGGCGTAGTGCGCGTGGAGAATGTTTCCAACCCGGCACAATATGTTCCAGCCGTCTTGGCGGTGTGTAGAAGAAAGTACCTCGAACGTACATATGGAGTTACGGGATGGTGGAGGGATGAAGAAGGTGTCGAGGTCAATGAGGTGGAGCAGATGGTGGGGACCGCGGGGAGCGACAAGGTGAAAGTCAAGGAGGCTGTGCGGTTCTTGGAACTCCTTGCGAGGAAAGGTGGGAGGTTGTTGAAGGGCGGCGAGGCGGATATGGATGGGGTGGCGAAGATGGTGTTGAATGATTTCTTGCGGGGGAAGATTCCTTGGTTCATTCCGCCGCCTGCTGGTCTTTCCATGGGGGATGGGGTTGTTGGTGACTCGACGGCGGCTGACGGTGCGGAGGCTGCGACGGACGGTGATCGTGAGGGGATGGGCAGGGATGAGATGTTGGGGATTACGCATGGGAAGCGGAAGAGGGATGTTTTGGAGCTTGTGGGGCAAGGGGCAAGGGGGTTGGGAAGGGTGAATGAGGTTGTTAATGGGCTTGCTGAGGGGCAGGATGAGGAGGAGGAGGAGGAGGACAGTGATTTGGCTGAGGATGATGGAGAGGGTGATGATTTCGCCCGTTTCGATGAGGAGGATGTGGAGAGTGGCGAGGATGAATCGGGGGATGTGGATGTGGATTTGGAAGGTGGGGTCGAGGGTGGAGTGGCGATCGAGGTTGTCAATAGTGGTGGGGAGAGCGATGAGGAGTCCAGCGCATGAGGGAACGAGATTTTCACGAATTCACGGACCTGCGACGGATAGTACTCGATTATCGTATTGTAGCAGATCGATCGTGTGTCCGTTTCATCGCCATTGGATGGTGGTGTGAAGTCTGTGGTTGACGGGCGGCGTCGTCGTGTAGCCCGCCATGGTCTCGTGGTTACGCCTGGCGTGCGGTGGGTTACGGTACTTGTGGTCGTGCGACGGTCTTGGGTCTGAAACCAAGGACCTCTCGACCGCTATACGATAGGAAGAGATCGATTCGACTTCCTTCAGGTCCTATATGGCCATAGGCATTCCACTCCACATGTAGGTGCGATCCTCTGCGACAATGCCTTTATGGTTCATGACGCTGTGCCGCTCTCGAAGCTTCGCGCCGTGGGCTAAGCACGGTATTGACAGGGAACTTATGTGGATACAAAGGCAGTGGCACGCATGGCGATCCACAAAGACTGGTCCGGTCGGATCTCACGACTGTGGTGTACACTGTAATGGTGGTTAGGATACAAAAAGGGGATGGTTTACTGGCGATCATTTTAAGATGAGAGTGAGAAGAGCCGTCGTGTCTGGCAGGAGGCTGGTTTTAAACTTCACCAAAGTGGCCGATCAATGCGGATGAGCGTCAGACGGGACCCCCTTGCGATGGCCCGGTTCGGGACGCGATCGACGGCTGTCAAAGTCGTTTCGTTGGATTCGCCGACTTCCAAGGCAAGAACTTGTCAAAGAAGCGGGTCTTTTACTATCGAATCATTGATTGTCGTCGCTGTCGCATGCTTTTGAACAATGCAAGAGCGTTGCGCTACCACCGAGGGTTCTCAATAATGTCAAATCATTATGACAGTCGGTCATAAGACGCTGAAGGGTAGGTAGTCTTCCACAATTTCCCTTCCCAACGATACATATTCGCGCCCTTCACCAGCTAGCTTTCATCAATCACCATCACAATCATGTCGTCCGAGAAGCAAGAGCAAGCCCAGAAGAAGTTCTTCATCGTTACCGTCGGAGGTGGAAAGTGTCTAACCAACACACCCAACGGAGTCCTCGATTGCTTGCCAAGTCCCTCCGACAAACAATACTGGACTATTGAGGCCTCAGAGGACGATGCCAATGTCGTAGCTTTCAAGAGCTGCTCAAGTGGACAGTACCTCCGCAACGAAATCCCACAGGTGCTTTCCGGAGCCAAGATCGGTCTTGGTGAGAAGCAATGGTGGACGCTAGAGCGTGGAAACATACCCGGCAGCTGTGCGATCCGAAGTAATGTCTGTTCGGTTGGGAAGTCGTACCTCAACGACTACGAGGGCGTGTATAGGGATAACAACCTCGTCCATATGTGGCAATGGTAAGTAACGATAGTGTGAACCCATGTCTGTGTGTTGATGGTTTCAAATTAACACTTGTGGCAGGGTTGTGAGTATCGCTGCTGAATCCATTGTTGGGGCTTTCACTGATTGCCTGGATAGCCACACTTGGAGTTCTGGTTGACTTGGTACCTGATTGACTCTGAGAATGCTGCTAACTTTAACCCCATTGGAGAGGCGGCGGGTAAGAGCGCGGCCGACACAGCAGCTAGTGAGAAGAAAGCTAGTGAAGTTGAGCAGAAAGCCAAGGAACTCGAGGCGAGAGAGGCGGCTCTTCAGAAGAAGACAGATGAGCTTGAGAAGAAAGCAAAGGCTGCAGAAGACCAAGCAGCTGATGTGAAGAGGAGGGAAGAAGAAGTTGCACAACGAGAGGCCGCAGCGTCCAAGAGCAGCAAGGAGCCACAAGCCACTAAGAAGGAAGATAGTCCGGCACCCAAGTCTTCGCCTAAGCAGGACAATAACGAAGACAAACACACCATCGCCATGCTCCGCGGCGAGATCGAGCGCCTAGAAGTTCGGAACGAAAACGGTGATCTGAAGCTACAACTTCGCAATAAAGACCTCGAGGTTCAGCTGGAGAAGGCTCAGCATGCGGCTTTCACAGGCAGTCGTGCGCCGAGGCCGAGTAAGGCGATCATGTATGGTTGTGGACATAAAGCGTACCCGCCGCTGAGGAAGATCGAGAGGAGGATTGTGGGGATCATGTATGAAGGGCTGGAGTACCAAAGTCTTGACCAGTGAAGAGACGGAGTGTGGATGATACTGGTCCTGTAAAGTGTGTACAGATCTGTCGTTGTACTAAGCTTGCACTAATGATCTCCCGGCCTGGTGAATCAAGAAAAGATTGAACCAATAATGTGAATCCGTATCATGAGCCCGCGCATCTTCCATCGATATTGGGGATAGACATTGTGAAGATGAAACGACTACAGTAGGAGAGAGCTTTTCCAGGCAGATTCGTGCTGGAAGCATCTCTATGTTGTGCAGTCAGCAGTCGAAATTCATGTCCGCATGTAATTGGTGAATATGAAGTTCAATCTGAGAGCAGTCCCAAGCCACAAGCTGTCTGGATTGAGTTGCCTGTCAATTGGGGGCCAGATCTACAACTCATCCTTCTTCACACCCGCAATGCTGACAAGCTCCGTCTCGAAGATCAACACACTGTTCGCAGGAATGGGACCCATGCCTCTCGAGCCGTATCCCCAGTCAGGCTGGATCGTAAGCTTCCTCTTCTCGCCAGGACACATGTCTAGCAGACCCTCGTCCCAACCCTTGATGACTTGCCCTTTGCCGACATGGAAGGAAAGTGGAGTGCCTCGGTTGTACGAAGCGTCGAATTCACTGCCGTCAGATTCGAGAGTACCCCTGTAGTGGACATCGACTTTGTCGCCTAGTTGTTGTTAACGGCGCCGCCAATATATCATCGTCGCCGTTTGACTGACCTCTCTTGGTCTGCCTCTCGCACTCGACTTTGTGAGTGACCTCGATGTTCAAAGGCTTGTCAAGAGCGGAAGCGCCAGCCAGGAGCAGCGCCAGCGCCGCTGTTATCGAAGAGAATCTCATGGTGTTGCTTGGTCTTGGTGTCTGTTCACGTTGATAGTGTGCAGCAGTGAAAGGTGGCACAAATCCAATGCCTGGAGGGGCAAGCTCGGTTCCTGCGCCTGCGCCATGGGCCGGTCCGCTGCAGGGTGCAGGTTCCTCGAACTGGCAATTCAGGAATCAAGAAAACCCGGAGCAAGTCGAATAGGTTCGCACCCATGACATGTTACCGCATACCTCCTAGCACGGCAAATTTACTTGGGAGCCAATCTTGCATATATTCAAGACTTCAGGAGTCCACGGAGTCTCCTACTACTGCGAAGCTGTGAGACACGTCTTCGAGTGATCTTGACAACTTTTTCCTCCGTCAATGGCTACTTGACAGTATACCTCCGAGCGTCTAAGTCTTTATCACTATTGGACTCCATGTGTCAACATCACCAAGGAACATCATTGACGCCATCTGCTTCTTTGGAATACAGGAGCCCGCCAATGTTACCAACACACAGTGTGACTGCACATGTCTGGCAGTAGGTTCACCTGGCTCGGACCTCTCAGCTCCAACAATTATCCCTACTCTCAGGGTGTCGGTATACCAGAGTCGGGTCTGAGTTTGGTTGCTGGTGATGTTACCCCTCTCATGGGACCAAGTATACTCGGTTTTCACGCCTCCGATTCACAGCCTCTTTCGTGGACAATCGAAACGCGAGGCGAGGAATCCTATCGCACGCATGTTTCCAATCTTGATGGTGGTGTTTGGATCTATATCTCTGCTGCCGAACGACGCATCCTTCTGATCTTTGGAGGTGGCATCGTAAGCATCGACTCTGAGCCACGATAGAGACAGGGTGACTGTGTAGGTGCTAGGTGAATGAAGGTATCAGTCCAGACTCTGGCTGTAGACGACAGCCACAGCGCGAATCAACGGACTTGAGTCGTCACCACTTTTCCATTTTCGAGATCTTACGACCTACAGTATTGCTGCAGTCGAGCCTAGACTTGAGTTTCAACACTCGAATGCCTGTATAGGTACGATTGAACTCTTAGAGATGCTATACACACTGCTAGCAGTATGCAAGTGGCGAACTTCCGCCACAAGAGGCGTTCAAACATATACGTCAAATGAGCTCTCATAATAACACACTTTGCATTACAACCTCACAAAGTCTGGGAAGTCGCTGCCTTTCCCTCGTTTGCTCTCGATCCCAAAAGTTCAACCCGATATGGCTCCTAACGCGCAGGCTTTTCCGTCGCTCCGCTATGCGGACTGCCTACCGGTGATTGCAACTCGGTAAGCTGAACGGGCTTTGGATCGTACCCGTGAGGGCTGTAGACAATTCGGGGATAAGCAGAGCTGTTGTAGCTGTTCGGTCCTTGACTATAGACTGGCAGCCCTTTGTTCTCGATTGCGTAGTGGTCGTCACTGAGGTGATGCATATTCGGCTTCATTGATGCATATATGCGCCGGTTTTACGCACGAACAGGCGTGTGAATGATCAAATGTTACCAAACTTGATAGCACTCTGTTGATGGAGGTGCATGCTTTAGGCAGTTCCTTTTGTTACTGCTGTTATCCCTCGTGGCGAAGAATCATCATCAGAAGCTCTTGGAGAGTATTAGGGCCTCCAACAGGAAACCACGATTTGTGAGGTTCGTCAATAGTAAGAAAAGCCACATCGGAATCTCAATTGTCGCTCCAGAGCCGAAAGACTCAAAAGCAGCAATCCTCGGGGGTGATCGTCCTCGCGCCTTCTACCATCATCAACGCCACTCGTGTTCTCGTCCGTCCTCGCCACTCTGACCGCAGCATATCATCCACAAGTTACATCAACACCCGGGATTTCGCTCGACATGCCTGCGGTCGGCAAGAAACCCAGCAAAGTGCTGCGCAAGCTCAAGAAGGAGTTTGAAGACAGCAAGCGGAGCCTTCATAGGCTGAGAGAGAAGTTTGCAGATGGCTTGAGCAAGGGACTCGAGCGCAAATGGGTGTCGAGGACCAACAAAGCTGAAGCTGCCCTGAGAGAGGCCAGAGTAGCAGCTGGTGTCGAACCTGGAAAGCCAGAATTTCTCAAGGAGCCGAATAGCAATACGCCAGCTACCGGTAAGCCAGCGCCAGCAGGGTCACAAAGCCATGGCAAGTGTAAAGCCGACAAAGATCTCGACACGGAAGTCAAATCTAAAAGGCTGAAGTCCAATGCGCCAGCTGGGGAGCCATGCGAGCCGGTTGCAAAGCCCAAAGCGAAGCGTAGAGCAGTCGATACGTGTGACGGGGAGATGGAAGCCCGGAAGAGGGCCAAGCACGAGTTTTATCAGCCGATGGGCCTCACCAACCACAAACTGGCCTGTTTCTCGAACGTCGTCATCCAGACTATAGGGGCGGCGACGCATGACCAGAATCTGGATACTCTATTTGGTCGTCCGAGCATTGTTGAGACATTCGAGATGACTACTGCATCGTTGCGGAGATGCGGCAAGTCGAGTCGTCTGTCCACGAGACAGCTCAAGGACGAGCGCGAAAAGCTTCGGACTAAGGTGAAAAGCTCTGCTGCGGCTGGTGAGAGAAGTAAGGTCAGCGTTACAAAGCACCTTCGTCTGCTTCTGCAGGATATGAAGACAGCCAGCAAGGATGCGGCGGCTTGCCCTTACCTCTTACAGAACGTGCTTGCTTTTGGTGGCCCTGAACAAGAACGTCACTTGCGCGAGAAGATGAGTGGCGACAGCCAAGAAGACTGTCATGAGTACTTCACTACCATCATGAATGCTCTGCAAGTGGATCCTTTGGCGCATAATGCAGCTGGTGTAAATGCACTGTTCGAGCTGGAGACTGAGACGCGCGACATCTGCCAAAGTGACTGCGGTTATAAGGTGACTGCGGTTATAAGATGACTCCAGAGATGAGTAGAAGCAATTATCATCCCGTCAGTGTCCCACTGCAGGCGGACGAGGAGTCTTCGGGCCTGCAAACGTTGATTGAAACCTCGCTGAAGAGTGAAAGCGACCGCTTATGCACTGGTTGCAAGACTAGCACCATCAGACGGGAGACAACAGCCGTGAGGGCGCCACAGGAATTAGTGGTCAAAGTTGATCGTCTGTCCTTCGATCAGAAGAGAAAGCGTGTCCTGAAGAGCGAGGCGGCGATTGATTTTTCGCCCAAGGACGACCTTCGAGTTGATGGTCATCGATATCGGCTGGATGCAGTGATCATGCATGACGGGACGACGCCACAACGAGGACACTATACCATTCTTCGTCGAGTCAACAACACCTGGTGGCTTTTAGACGACGATGAGGTGATCAGTGTTGCGCAGGACCAGATCAAAGACGGCACGAATTATGGGCAGTCAGCAATGTTTCTTCTGAAGAAGGGCCCGGACGTATGAGTTGTGGTATGGCCATGGTAGTCAACAGCATAGCTCGATGAGGACAGATGATGGTTGAGAAATGAAGGAGATGTGGTCTGCAAGTTTGGCGATGTAGCAACGCGTGCTTTCCGCGTTTAATCGACCTTTCCTTTTCGAGCACACGCGTTCTCGCGTTCATAGCGACACATCAGTGCTTCCTTCAATACACACTTCATGGCCAGCGATATCTTGAAAGGTCTCAATCGTGCTCAGCGAGAAGCAGTAACTTCTGAGGCGAATGTCGTCCAAGTGCTCGCACCACCAGGATCTGGCAAGACCAAGACTCTTACCGCCCGCGTAGCATATCTGCTCGCACACCGACAACTGCAGCCATGGAATATCATCGTGTGTACGTTCACGGTCAAGGCGGCCAGCGAGATGAAGGAGCGCATCCGAGGATTTGTTGGTGATGAGTGTGCGAAGCAGCTGAAGCTAGGCACATTCCACTCCATTGCTCTCAGATATCTAAAGCAGTATGGCACCCATATTGGACTGCAAAAAGACTTCGGCTTGGCAGATACTGCCGACAGTCGAGCGATTGTCAAGAGGATCGTCAAGCAAAATGAGCTCTCCATGGATGCGAACCAAGCACGCAGCAAGATCTCTTCTCAGAAGGCCAAAGGCATCGATGCCGAGGAGTTCGCTCGCACACGAAAGAACGCCGAGCAACAGGAGTTCTCACAGATCTACCAAGAGTACCAAGCTATGCTCGACGCGTCAAACCTTCTAGATTACGATGATCTCCTTCTGCGTTGCTGCGTGCTGCTACGCACAAAGCGAGAGTGCGTGAAGAATGTTCAAGCACTTCTCATCGATGAATTCCAGGATACGAACACCATCCAGTACGACTTGATGAGTCTCTTCGCCCAAGAACGAAACGTGATCACTATCGTGGGCGACCCGGATCAAAGCATCTACGGTTTCCGCTCGGCTGAGATCAAGAATTTATCGCGGATGAAAGAGGGTTGGCCAGACACCTTGACCATTAATCTAGAAGAAAACTATCGGTCGTCCGGTGCAATTCTTCACGCTGCCCAGCACATTATCGAGCAAGATGAATCACGACCAGCGAAGAAGCTGCAGGCGACGCACACTTTTGGTCTACGACCGATATTGCGCAAGCTGCCACATGCTCAAGCAGAAGCCGAGTGGCTTGTGTCCGAAGTGAAGCGTCTACAAGCGTTGACAGGTAACATGCTGCAAAAAAGTGACTTTGCAGTGCTATTACGGTCTGCTGCGCTATCGAGAGTGATCGAGACAGCACTGGGTCAAGCTGGGGTACCATACCGCATGGTAGGTGGAGCAAGGTTCTATGACCGCGTCGAGATCAAGCTGCTACTGGACTACTTGCGTGTCATCGACACACCCGGCAACAGCGAGGCTCTGGAGCGCATCATCAATGTTCCCGCACGTCGCGTTGGGGAAGCCACGGTCAAGGCCCTTGCGGAGGAAGCGAGGATTAAAGGCAGCACATTATGGAGTCATGTCGAAGCTGTTGCACAGGGGAGGCGTAGAAGCAGGGCGAAGATCAACGAGCCAGCAATGCTAGGACTTAGAAAGTTCGTGGGCATAGTCCTTGGTGGTCGTAAGAAGATTGAGGCAGCCGCCGATGGGCCCGTACCTGTCGTCGACATTCTCACTCTTGTCATCAAAAAGCTGAGCTTTGAAAAGTACCTGTCCGAGCACTACAAAGAGGACCACGAGACTCGCTGGTCCAATGTTGAAGAGCTGCTGGCGCAGGCCACAGAAGCGTCGGATCCGGCTCGGCTGCAGTCTCTGATCGAAGAAAGTACTCTGCCTGATATAGATGACTTGGAACAAGTCGCCGTTTCTGCAAAAGATGATGCCCTATCCTTCTTTCTTGCCAATATTGCACTCACAGCGTCTTCGGCAGAAAAGGCAGAAAAAGATGGCGAGCAGGCGCAACAGCTTACCATCTCGACGATCCACGCTGCGAAAGGATTGGAGTGGCCAGTCGTCTTTATACCGGCTTGCTACGATGGCTCGATACCTCATAGCAGGGCAGAAGATCATGACGAAGAGCGGCGACTGCTATACGTCGGCATGACCAGAGCACAAGCCGTGCTGTTTCTCAGCTCACCACAAAGGAACTCACAACGTGAAGAAGCTGTGCTCTCCACATTTCTCGCGCAATCAGGAGTGAGCTCTTTCTTCGAGGAACATGGACCTAGTATAGCCATGACAGAAGTGACTGGTCTGGCTATCACCTTGCGACGAGAGCGTCCTACTCCAGCTAAGCTCGCGGAATGCAAGAAAGGTCTGGACACGGACGAGGATAATCATTGGCCAGTTACTGGCGAGCTGCCTCTGGCAGAGCTAGCGAAGTGGGATTATGGCAATTCAGGTGGACAAGCTACACGGCCAGCAGCTGTTTTCTCGTCGGCTAGTATCACTATGCAACAACTGTCTGACTTCCCTGGTGCCACCGCGGCTGCAGCTCCGGGCTTTACCAGTCTGAAGATAAAGTATGAGGAAGCCAAGGAGGAATTGACACTTGCCCAAATGGACAGACGAGCGCAGCAGGCGAAGATGCTGGAGACCGAGAAGCCGAAGGGACGGAAACGCCAGATGGAAGGGCAAGGGACTATTGCGAGCTTCTTTGGAAAGCCGGCACTTTCGAAACAGACGTCCAGCACGACGTCCCTGGAATCGACCGCCGCTGTAAATGCATCAGACATGCCACCGGGGTTCAAGCGTTCACGGCAAGCACTGCAAGAAGTGGATAATGTGAGGACTATAAGGCCAGAGGTCGAGCTTGAGCGGCAAAACCTGCTTCAGCACAAGGTCCGAACGGCACCTTTGCTGCGACAAAAGTCTGTCATATCGACAGAACACTCAGTACCAGCTGCAGGGTATATGTTCCTGTCCAATTTTCCGCCTCGGCCAGAAGACGCTGAGATCTCGTCATCAGCTACCATGCTACCCTTCGAGGAGGAGGATACGGAGAACTATGGCCATGCCCGACCGGCCACGACACTTCACACTACGTCAATGCAGAGGGTGGCACCTCAGAGGAAGACCTTGGGTATGCGCAGGAGTCTGCATGGCTGGAGTGCTCGTGGGGGCAAGGGATGACGAAAGAAGACCATCACATAACCTCAATAGTGCCGTCGTACAGCCAGACAATATATCTGCTTGACAGGTATTTGTGATCGTGTTCATGCCCATTAATGCTCAAGGCTGGGCGCGGGACCAGCCGATTGCTGCCCCCCACACTGCTCTTGCATCAGTCATCTTGAGCGCGTTTCGTCACTCCTTGTTGATGATCGTCCAACCTATGCAGAGCCCCAACTCGAGAAAGCGACAACAAAGACGTGGCAGTATAACTTGACAGGACCTCGTCCCACTGGCCACCGATTGCTGCCTGCTGCTGTGCTCGGGTGATTGCGGCCTAGCACCAAGAAGCCTCGCTAATCCGCGCCTACCTCCAGGCTGACGAACCACTAAACACTCGGCTCCTGCCAAAGTCCGAACCATAACACGTTTCCCCGTACGATAACCACTGCCACCGGTATTGAAACACACCCAAGCCGACAAATACACAATCCACACGCTGGCACGCAGACTGGACCATCAGGACCCTCCACCAGCGCTTCAATACCTTCCTGGCGGAGCAGGCCATAACAGCATCCATGCCAAAGCATCGCTAGGCGCTTCCGCAGAGATACATTGTCTTGCATACTTGGCAAGACTGCTGAAGCCTCCCTGACCCGACGCACACCACACACAGCCACAGCACATAAAACATACCATCACGCCTGCTCAACAGCACACGTGAAGGGGCGGAGATAAACGGAGCTCTATTGGTGAGCAGAACATGGGCAACCAGCCATCAAAGGAAGGAAAGAGCAGTGGATCTCAAACACCTACCGGTTCTGGCCCAAATCTTGATTCTTACCCCTCTTTCAGCAAATCAGAAACTAAGGAATCAATGCGTTCCTTCAGAACAGCCCTGCGGACGAAGATCCCCGGCGGCAAGTCTTCTTCAGACAGTCCACGAGGATCTTCTTCTGGTCTAGCAGGAGGATCTACCACGAGTCTTGACAAGACAGAGACGAGCTCTTCCACCAAATTTGGTTCGCGGCGAGGAAGCTTGGCCAGTGATTCTACCCCACGACTTGCGCCTGTGTCGAGCAAGGGCGAGGTTGATGATGAAGCGGCGCAACCACCACCTTCGCCGACGATGTCGCCGGGCGTGGGAGGTGGACACGGTAACCTGAAAGAGGCGCAGAGGAGTGGAGAAGTTGATGCGGTTTCCGAAGGTCCGCTAACAGGGCAGATGCAGCCGCAGGCGAACAAGGAGCCGATGGAGTCAATCTTGGTTAAGAAGAATGCTCCGGTAGCTGCATCCGCTCAAGGCGCAGCTGCTGCGCTGGCAATTGCTGAAGGCGGTGGCTCTACCTCACCTGGTTCTATGGAAATCGGTGCGCTCAAGCCTGGAGACCTGGACGAGATGATCAAGCGACTTATCGATGCTGGATATGCCGGGAAGGTCACGAAGACGGTGTGCTTGAAGAACGCCGAAATTACTGCTGTTTGCACTGCAGCACGTGAGCTCTTTCTCTCCCAACCTGCACTACTCGAGCTCTCCCCACCCGTTAAGATTGTGGGAGATGTGCACGGTCAGTATACCGATCTAATCCGCATGTTCGAGATGTGCGGCTTCCCACCCAACAGCAACTACCTTTTCCTCGGCGACTATGTAGACCGCGGCAAACAATCCCTCGAGACCATCCTCCTCCTTCTCTGCTACAAACTCCGCTTTCCCGAAAACTTCTTCCTCCTACGAGGTAACCACGAATGCGCCAACGTCACCCGCGTCTACGGCTTTTACGACGAGTGCAAACGCCGCTGTAACGTCAAGGTCTGGAAAACTTTCGTCGATACCTTCAACACGCTTCCAATTGCCGCGATAGTAGCCGGGAAGATCTTCTGCGTGCATGGGGGCTTGTCTCCCAGCTTGAGCCATATGGACGACATCAGGAACATTGCGAGACCGACTGATGTGCCTGACTACGGCTTGTTGAATGATCTACTCTGGTCCGATCCGGCGGATATGGACTCGGACTGGGAGGCAAATGAGAGAGGCGTTAGTTACTGCTTCAGCAAGAAGGTAATCATGGAGTTTCTGCAGAAACACGATTTTGACCTTGTGTGTCGCGCGCACATGGTTGTGGAGGATGGGTATGAGTTCTTTAGTGATCGGGTTCTGGTCACAGTCTTCTCGGCACCGAACTATTGCGGGGAGTTTGACAATTGGGGAGCGGTGATGAGTGTTAGTGGAGAGTTGCTTTGTTCTTTTGAGTTGTTGAAGCCTTTGGATAGTTCGGCTTTGAAGTCGCACATCAAGAAGGGCAGGACGAGGAGACAGAATGATTTGAATAGTCCGGTAAGTCTGACACAACAGTGCTGGATGCAAGGCGTTGAGCTGACATTGTTTCTAGCCTGCCAGCCGATACCCGCAAAGCTACTAAGAACCACGACTATCCATCGATCTGCAAGGAATAATAAAACATGACGGAGGACAAGCGTGGCTTCTCTTGCTCACGGCCATGGGCGGCAGTATATGCTACCCACAAAAGGACCCAAGCCAGGTTCGCGGTAGCTTGGCTGGAAGAATTCGAGGCTAGAGTGGATACGGCGGTAGGGTCAGCCGATAGGCACGATGTGATGTTGGAGTACAAGCGAGAACCAGACTGTAATGTAGATAGCGGGCGGCCCGTACGATTGCCGAGTGAGCGACTCTTCTCATTTCTTACAGTTCCACTTTCACTTTCTGGTATAGTCCGTGCACTCTTGCGCGGAACTGGTCCGCGCCCACGCCAAGATTCCTGTTCCCCCACCCAAGAATTGTCAACCCTCGAATACTTCAGAGCTCCCATTCTCGCAAATACTCTCGCACACCCTCACACTCACCCAAATACAACACAATGGCTGACGCAGGTGCTCCTCGTGGCGGCGCTGGTGGTGGTTTCGGCTCGCGCGGCGATCGTGGCGGTGGGGATCGCGGCCGTGGTGATCGTGGACGTGGTCGTGGCCGTGGACGCGGTCGTGGCGCAAAGAGCGACGAGAAGGAGTGGCAGCCCGTCACCAAGCTCGGTCGTCTCGTGAAGGCTGGCAAGATTAAGAGCATGGAGGAGATTTATCTGCATTCGCTTCCTATCAAGGAGTATCAGATCGTGGATTTCTTCCTGCCTAAGCTTAAGGATGAGGTTATGAAGGTCAGACATTGCAATGGCGGAGTATGGACATGGTGTAGCATGGATGACTGACGTATTCCACAGATCAAGCCTGTTCAGAAGCAGACTCGTGCTGGTCAGCGTACCCGCTTCAAGGCCATTGTGGTCATCGGTGATGGTGAGGGCCACATCGGGCTCGGCATCAAGACCTCCAAGGAAGTCGCGACTGCCATCCGCGCAGCTATCATCATCGCTAAGCTCTCTGTTGTTCCTATCCGTCGTGGTTACTGGGGTACCAACCTCGGTGAGCCCCACTCCATTCCCGTCAAGGAGAGCGGCAAGTGTGGTTCCGTCACCGTCAGGGTAAGCTATGCCATCCCATCTATCACGTCTTCAGCTACTAACAAGTTCCAGCTCATCCCTGCCCCGCGTGGTACTGGTCTGGTCGCCTCCCCGGCCGTCAAGCGCCTGTTGCAGTTGGCTGGTGTCAATGACATCTACACCGCCTCCTCCGGCTCGACCAAGACCCTCGAGAACACCCTCAAGGCTACCTTCGTCGCCATCACCAACACCTACGCCTTCTTGACTCCCAACTTGTGGGCTGAGCGCAAGCTCAACCGTTCCCCACTTGAGGAGTACAGCGATGTTCTCCGTGAGGGCAAGCGTTACTAGAGTGCTAGCTTGATCGCAAGGACTGGTGTGTGAGGCGGTAGGAAGGATGATACATGTGCTCTAGCACTTACTGTTTGCAATGATGGGTCGAGGCTGTCTGAATCAGGCAATCGCTAGTGCTTCATGTTCTCACTGCGAGATGGGAACGTCATATGTAGTCTAGCTTGAGCCAAGACAGGTCGAGATCATATTTGCAACAGCGTTGAACGATACTGAAACTCTCCGGCTTCGCTTCCATTGCCTGAATACTGGGTGTCGTGAATATCCTTCCCGGATCTGCGACAGAACGCTTCGCGGAGGCACGCGAAGGCGCTGAGAGAGCATCAAGCTGCTCCCTGACTACATTTAAGTTGGAGTGAAACACAATGGCACGATCGATCATTTCGATACATGAGCCGCGGTGAACGGAACATGCGGTCGGGCAATATGAACAGAGAACCTGCTCTGGTAGAGCTTACGCATTGCAACCCGTAACTTAACATTCATATTTGCCCAACATCCTTGCCCTTGCCTTCGGGCCTTTCTGCCTCCCATTCATCTCTCAATGCCGAGTATACCGTGTCCGTAAGGATGATCAGCAGTGCCAAGCTCCACACCAGCGTGATGGCGTAGAAGAAATTGGCGTTTCCGGACCCAGCATATATCCATAAATGATGGAATGCCGGACCCAAGAACGTGCTGTACAGCAGCGCGGCCAAAGCCGGGAAAGTGTACCGGTATGCGGATGAGACTAGAGCGACGTTAATAGGACCATAGGAAATAAGAAGGACGTGGTACTCGCCTTCGAATAAGTGCCCAACCAACCCCAATGAGCTCAACCACGCCCCTGCCGTCCCAGCATTGGCATATGGCTCGAAGATCGCCACAACACCCATCATGAGCACCACAGCTACCAGCGGTTGTTTCTGAAACCGAAGACAGAATGGCACGCTGTAGGATAGCATATGGAGCGCGAACACGCCCAAGAAGAAGCTTCTGAAGGCGTCGAACATTTCGATGAAGAAGTACCACCAGAGCCCTGGGTTGGGTGTCAAGTCCGGGAGTGTCAGAGGTGTGAGATAAACGGCGGGAAGGAAGTTCCAGGAGGGGAGGATGAGGCGGGAAAGTAGGAGGAGGAAGGTTAGGAAGACGGTGAAGGTTGTTGTGAATTTCAGGGCGAAGGGGAGAGGCTGGGGGTGGTTCCGTTGGTCGGTGGAGATTTTGATGCCGTTTTGAGGTGCGAAAGACGTGTCACCATTGGTAGTGAATGGTTGGCTATTGCTGCTGTTTATGCATAGTCTGTCGTAGCAGAGGAGTCCGACGGGCGGTAGCAGAAGGATTGGATGAAAGCTGTTGTAGCTAGCCATAGCCAGTGCGAATGCTGCTGTCACAGTCTGCCTCTGGCATGCATGACTTATGCTAAGCAGGATTAAAGTAGTCGTGAACACACTTGTCGGTCGTCCTAGGCACGCGAGCAAGGTGTAGGGGTTGAACAGGTAGGCCGCCGCCACTGAAATGGGCTTCCATACTCGATCACTGCGAGGCGAAGTGAACAGTCTGGTTTTGTATCCAGCCCCGGAGTCTGCGATCGAGTAGAGACAGTCGGCGCTTAGTAAATCCAGGCCGGTATATAGCACTATGCTGATGAGTCGGCCTATCCAGGAGGATGGATTTGGGACTAGTGAAAATAGCGATAGGAGTAGCGGTGCCTGATCCTCATTAGAACACTGTATGTGGCGATGACAGGGCGAGACTCACTTGGTGGAATATGCCGCCATCGTACGGATCGAGTCCTCGCTCGTGTAAGAACAAGCCTTCTTGTACTATCGTAGGAGATATATCAGTAAAACGAATCAAGTGTCCAGTTGATCCGCACATACATCGCTTGAAGCTATTCACAGGAGTCGAGATCTCGGGTCTCAGTGTCAAAAGATCCGGTAGTCGTGGGAAGACCAAGGCTGCCAGGATCCTGATCAGGGCGCCAGAGGCGAAGACGACCGTTTTGGGATGGTCATCGTAGACCTTGCGTAATGAAGTCATGGCTCGAGTAGCCCATAATTATGCTCGCATCGCACCCATATTGGACAACTGTGATCGTGCTCGAGGAGCCAGGACGGAACGTTTCGAACACCGAGACGAGGCATCCTTGTAACGTACATAAGGTAATCAGCGGATCTAGCCGGGGATGAAATCTTGGCGACGAAGATCGACAACTTTTTGCTTGCAGAGAAGAGAAGCGGTCGCAAGAAGCATTAACTTCCACTTCCAATAACACCACGTCTCTGTCAAGATGGGTAAAATCAAGAAGAAGGGCACGAGTGGTAACGCCAAGAACTACATCACTCGCTCACAAGCTGTGCGGAAACTTCAGATTTCACTACAAGACTTCCGACGACTGTGCATCTTCAAGGGCATCTACCCACGAGAACCTCGCAGCAAGAAGCGCGCCTCAAAATCATCGACGCCGAGCACGACCTTCTACTACACCAAGGACATACAATATCTCCTCCACGAACCGCTGCTGAACAAGTTTCGAGATCAAAAAGCACTTGCAAAGAAGATCAGTAAGGCATTGGGCCGAAATGAAGTCAGTGATGCTGCACGATTGGAGAGAAATCTGACGCCGCGGATACGACTGGACCATATTATCAAAGAACGCTACCCGACTTTTGTGGATGCCCTGCGAGACCTCGACGATGCGCTGTCCATGCTCTTCCTTTTCGCCAACCTCCCTTCCACCTCAGAAGTACCTGCAAAGACGATCGCCAAGTGTCAGCGACTGACCCTGGAGTTCGAGCACTACCTCATTCGAACACATACTCTCCGGAAGTCTTTTCTCAGTATCAAGGGTATCTACTATCAAGCTACGATCCAAGGCCAGGATATACTATGGCTTGTTCCGTACAAATTCGTGCAGAGAACTGCTGGCGACATTGACTTCAGGATCATGGGCACGTTCGTGGACTTTTACACCACTCTTCTCGGCTTCATAAATTTCAGACTGTATACAGGCATCGGGTTGGTGTACCCTCCGAGGTTGGATGCGCAGTCGGAAGAGCAGGGAGCTGAGCTTGCGGCTTTCCATCTCGAAGGGCAGGCGGATGGTAAGGAAGAAGTCATAGCGGGCGAGATCATGGACACGGACACCAACGCAAAGGCGCAGGCTGAGGCCGACAAGATGCTCGCATTGTCTGGACCGGACACGGAGGATGTGGAGAGAGAAGTGATCCAGAAGGCAGAGGAGACGAATGCATCGACAGCTCTCGACCAATTCGCTTCGCTTGATCCTTCAGCAGACGCACTTCTACAACCATCTTCGACCGCCGATGCCGAGAGTGCCGGCCAGCTATTCGAGGCCTTCACATTCTTCCTGTCCCGCGAAACACCACGACATCCACTCGAATTCATCCTCAAGTCCTTCGGCTGCAAGCGCGTAGGTTGGGATACATCACTAGGTGAGCCCGGCGCATACTGCCCCGAGGACGACAAGCGCATCACACATCAAGTCGTGGATAGGCCGGACATACCGCTACCCTCGCCACCTTTAACGGACGGTGAAGCCGATGAAGATGCCGCTCCCACAAGAACGAGCAATCACCGTGTACCTGGTAGAATATACGTGCAGCCACAATGGATCTGGGACACGATAAATGCTGGTCAGCTCCAACGGCCTGATTTGTACGCGCCTGGTGCCACGCTGCCACCTCATCTCAGTCCGTGGGTCAAGCCGAAGAAAGGCGACTATGATCCAACTCTATCTTTGGCGGATCAGGCTACCGCAGGCGAAGAGGAAGAGGCTTCAGATGATGAGGCCGAGGCGGATGAGGCGCTGGAGGCTGCTGGTGATGGCGAGGAAGTTGAAGGTGTCAGAGGTGACGATGAGGCTAGAGAGGTAGAAGAAGAGCTTGAAGCAGACGAAGGCATGGATGTCGAGCTCGCTGCCTCAGACGACTCCGAAGACGACGAAGATGCAGCACCTGGCGCCGCGGACGACGACTGGGACGGTCTTTCCGATGATGAAGGCGAAGCACCAGAAACCGACCACGCCACGCGCGAAGCCCGCGAACACCAGCTCGAACTAGAGGCGGAAGCTAAAGGCCAAATTATCAAAACCAGCGATGAAGGTGAGAAGAAAAAGCAGGCGCGACAAGCGAAGAAGGATGTCAGGACCCGTGCCGAGAGAGAGGCAGAGGAGGATGTGGAGAGGAGGAAAATGATGATGTCGAGGCGAAAGAGGAAGATGTTTGAGAAGATGGTTTATTCTAATGCCCGCAAGGATGAGGAGACGGAGAAGTTGAGGGGAAAGAGAAGGAAGATCGAGAAGGGGGGCGCGAAGGCTTGAGGATAGGTGAGGCTGTAAGACTGAGAATTGATGGCATGGATTTCATGCCTGGTCTTCGTCTTCTGTCTTCTTCGCTGAAGGGACGTCTCGACTCATAATCACGTAATCCGGCTCTACGACCCGACCTCTTGTCTTCCGTGGTCCGGGACTGCATATATCTTTGACATAACCCCTTCGCTTGTAGAAGGCCAACGCTTTTTCATTGGAGAGGAAACAGGTCAGCATCACTTTCCGCACTCCCATGCTTTCGGCCACGCTCTCAACAATGTGCATGAGATGTGCACCCAGACCTATCTTCCGAAGGTGGGGCAGAAGGTGGATCTCATAGATGTATAAGACCGGGACTGGAGGGTCGGAGTCGTGGGTTGCCATGAAGGAGACGAAAGCTTCGATTGGTTCAGTTCTAGCTGCCGTTTCCTGGTTGGTCGTGGGAGGTGATGTGGTTGAGGCAGCAGAAGATGGTGCTTGCGATCGGACGAGGAGATATCGCATTTCGTTCTCTCGCATCTCCTTCAGCTTGCGCTTGGGATGCCAGCCGAAGGTACTGTTCTCATAGTCGGTCTTGCTGGTGGACGATATGACGTCGAAGCAGGCTGTTACTTCGGAGGTGAGCAATTGAGAGGCGGATATAAGGGTGATGGTATATGATCGCTGTTCGGGGTGTGGGCTTAAAATTGGTTGTGCGATAGTGCGTGGCTGTGGTACGTAGTGTAGCCATGCTGGGTCGAAATGTTGTCCTTCTAGTCCCGCCACTTGGAGGGCGTTCAAGGATTTGATTAGTTCTTTTTCGCCCGCTTTCTGCTTCTTGCTTGGCCTGTTGCTGTCATGATTTGGTGACCCTGTGACTTCTGCCTTCGGTGCTTCTTCTTGTCTACGCTTTGCCATCGTCTACAGGTGATTAGATGTATTTATCTCAGGCCTGACAGACGACGCGACAAAACGCGCCTTTCATCGGCCGAATCTTTCCGAGTTCATCCGACGACTTCACATCATCGAGCTTCCTCTCAAGACTGCACCAATTACCTTATTGATCAGAAGGCAGCATCAAGAGCAAAAGTTGGAGGTTGGACGTTCCCAGTGTAATGAGAAGGTAGCATGGTGCGAACGTGGTCGCTGCAGCATGCCATGAGATCAGTCTCCAGACTATACGCCACCATCTCCTCTGGCAAAGACTTGAAGGGAAAAGGACCACTGTTGACACTCGAGCATGTGAGTATGAGCATAGTGACGATTTCTTGGTGATTGTGGCTGATCACATACATAGTTCGTGCAAAGAGGACGTGCCTTAGTACTCTTCCGCAACATCACAAGGACGATTCACAGTGTGTACCTAACAAACCGCCTCGTACAGCAGTGTCAAGCTGACTTAGGACAGAGCTGCCACAGTCCTCGACAAGATCAGAACTCAGAACCTTCGCTCGAGGCGAGTTCGAGCGAAACAAGTTCGTCCATGATCTGGGTCATATCCGCTACCTTATCTCGACTGGCAAGACGCAATTCGATAGCATGCAGCGGTATATTGAGCAGAATGCTTTGTAGAGTACACAATCTTACAGCTAGTTGTACAATTATTCGACAGTATCGATACACACCTCCTGCCTTTGCGTACGTACTGAAGGAGTCTGAAGAGGCTAAATCATTTCTTTAGCACCTTCTCCTTGAATTCCTCCCAACCAGCCGCCTGCAAACCACGAGCATCAAACTCTGCATCCTCAACAATGGTGAGCCCACGCACTTTCCACTTCCCGATCCTAAGCGTCATATGACCCTCGTTACGACCAAAGTACTTCACGTCCTCAGGGTTTTGGTCGACCCTTAGAGGAATGTAGTGTTGTTCGCGCTCCTCCTCCCAGCCCAGTATGCGGCCTTCCTGATGAAGCGGCTCATTCTGGCCGGCAATGTATGCACCTCCGGTAGCAATCAATCGAGTTCCTGCCGATTTGGAGCCTACGAGGCCGGAGTGGTAGAGGATGCGGGAGAATGGCATGCCGTAGACTAAGCTCGCTGGTAGTATTATCGCGTTTGATGATGGCGATGCAGAGTGTTTTGTCATAGAGCCGGCCTCGTCGAGTGTGGCACGTGCTAACAAGCTCGGGTTGCGCAGGCTCTCATGCTGTATTCTGGTCTCCTTCGCCACATCCTGACCATGAACCAGTTCCAGCACTTCACCAGCAAGAAGATGTTGTGCTTTCCGCTTGCCAGGGTCGGTGATGTGCTCGGCCATGATGTTTGCGATATCTGCGCTCGGTACAAATGTAAAGAGCTTCAAGTATCGCTCCACATCGGTATCAGATGATCTCAGCAGGAACTATAGCAGAAAGTGTCAGCACTCTCGTACAGATAGTATTACAACTGTACTCACACCATAGAGATCGAAAGCAGACGTCATACTCTGATCAAGCCACACGGCATTTCCAGCACTTTTGCCGAACTTCTCTCCCGAAGCAGCAGTCAAAAGTGGTACTGTCAGACCCATAGGTGCCAGGTCGTCTTTCAGCTTGCCATCCTTGTCCAACAGCTTCTGTTGCTGTTTGCTCGGACTCCCGCCTTGAGCGATATACTTGATGACATCCATACCAGCGATGATGTTCCCGAACTGATCGCTGCCGCCTATCTGGACTTGGACATCGTTATGTTGATACATGTGCCACCAGTCCCAGCCTTGAAGCAGTGGGTATGTGAATTCGGAGAAAGTCATGCCATCACCTTTCTCCAGCTTGTTCCGCACGCTGCCATATCGTCAGCTCTTGAGCTAGCAGAATGGCGGAAATGCTTGGACTCACTCACGTATCCCTCCCTAGCATCGGCCCTATCCTTGTTCTATGCCCAAGAATCTGCAAGAAGTCACCTAGCTGCAGGTTGCCCAGCCATGATGCATTGTCCAGTAATTCCCGATGTCCAGCATCTTGCTCTGTGAACCCATGCCTCTTGCCATAGCTTGCAGCGTTCTCCCATATCCCGGCCAGCTGCGAGAACATGGCACTGAAGTTTGAATCGTGTACCGACTCTACTGCTTCTGCTCGTGATGTGAGACGCCCACTGGGATCCCCTACCCTTGCTGTGAACCCTCCAACCAACGAGACGGCTTTGTGGCCATGGTGATACAGCCAGAAGAGGACCATCAATGGCAGCAGATGGCCAAGATGAAGTGATGGTGCCGTGGGATCAATGCCAGCATAGAATCCAACCTGCCGCCGTCGCAAGAGCTTGTCCAGTGTGATCCGGTCTCCAGCGATCTGATTTACATAGCCTCTCTCCTCCAGCAATGCTAAAACACTCTTATCTTTCTGAGCTTCATGATTCCGTCTTGTCACGTGGAAGTTCCTCTTCGGCTGTGGTCGTCCAGTAGTCCGAAAAGCCTTTCGCATAGCACAGCGCATACACACCCAGTCGGTCGTCTTCGCCGTCGCCGCCTGCAGCAGAGGACGCGACATGGTGGACGGAGCACAGTCGCCCTGGTCACGCTTACAACATAAGGACAAAAGGATGGCGCTGGCGATCACCAAAGCGTGTCCTGTCGCCCTTTCTGCAGACACCCGCCGACACCCGCTAGTGCGAGAGCTATCATGTCCAGTCACATCACGTATTGTCAAGCCACGCTCTTAGCTGCCGGTCACAGACATTGCACTGCCACTCAGATAGCATTTGTCTTGGAACAATGATCGACGATCAGACGACAAGGCCAAGGGAGAGCTGTCAAATCCGTACAACGGACTATGCACCACTACTTACAAGTCCGCCTTTGCCTCTTGGCCAGCCCAGCATCGTCGAATAGTCTCCCTCAGAGGCTCCTTTTCGATCTCCCTCGGATTCCAGTAAGGATTACCCACCGCAATTTCCACCGCCTTGTCTACATCTTCCTCCTTCATGCCGAAGTCCTTCAAACCTCGCTTAAATTTCAACTTAGTCAGTAGTACATTCAGTCCTTTGATAGCATCACCGTCACTCCCCGGCAACACATTCGCGAGCTTCTCCATCACCTCTGGGATCTTGGGCGCATTGTATGCGATCGCGTGAGGTAATACGATCGTATGTGTCTCTGCGTGCGGGAGATTGAATGAGCCGCCTAGAGTGTGGCAGAGCTTGTGATGTAAGGCCATGCCTACACTACCCAGACACATCCCACATAGCCAGGCGCCATATTGTGCTTTTGAGCGCGCCTCCTTGTCTTGAGGATTATTGACGATGGTTGGGAGAGCTTCCGCAAGTTCTTTGGTGCCTTCAAGCGCCAGCAGATTCATGATTGGGTTTGTATTGCGAGCATATAATGCTTCGACTATGACAAAATTTCAGCAAGGCCACCCCAGTCACCATATTCAGGACGTGAACACACCAGCATGAGCAATAGCATTGACTCCACTCGTCGCCGACAACGCAGCAGGTAAAGTCATCGTGAAGTCCACATCATATATCACCGTCCCTGGCAGAATCTTCTCATCACTCCTCGTCGTCTTCTTTCCCTCCTCCGTCTCACCAAGGATCGGCGTCATCTCACTCCCAGCATAAGTCGTGGGAATACATATATGCTCTAGTCCTGTCCGAATACTTATCGCCTTACCTAGACCTATCGTGCTTCCGCCGCCGAAAGAAATCACACAGTCAGCGCTCACGGACTTGGTGTACTCAAGGGCTTGATTGGTGATATGGGTGGGCGTGTGCATAGTCGCTTCTGAGAAGAGCCCGGCGGATGTGATACCGGCATCTTTGAGTATCGGCTCCAGAGCTTGTACCTGTTCCTTCTGCTGCGGTGTAGATAACAGCAAAGGCTTGCTCTTTCCCAATCGCTTCACTTCCTCAGGTAATCTTTTTATACTTCCGCTGCCGAACACGACACGGGCTGGATTGGCATTGTACTCGAAGGAGTGCATGGTGACGTCCTCGAAAGTATGATCGTTGCAGATTGTAGAGCGTTCCTATGCAGAAGCAAGCGCTCTGCTTTGAGGAGCGCCATCTTATGTCCACCGGCACTTGACTTAACCGAATGGGTGAAGGAGGAAGCAATGGCTTTTGCTGGCTGGATTGGTACCTCGAGTGGAGATGTGGGGCAAGCGCAAAGCGTCGGTCACGTGCGGGCGGAGCCACTATGGGACCAATGCTATCGTTGGAAGTCCAGACAACAATCAAGTTGTAGAGGCATTCGAAAAGATAAGCAACTAGACTTAAAGCTGGACTAGATTGAATGTCTTACATAGGACTGATGTATCATGGATAGCTTCATTAGTCACTATCACCAGCGTTTCTACACTGTCCGCCACCCCAAACCACGAACAGATGCGGATTATCCCGTGTTCCTCGTTCACCATTACAAATCTCCACAAATGCGTCGCTGAAGTACAGAAAATGAAATAACAAATGCTCTCAGCAAGTGACTACCGTGTCTCGACCAGGAAAAGATGCAGAGCAGCATATCCCAGCACCAGGAATACGCCACAGTAGACGGACAGTCCAATAGCGTCCCGCCATAGCGCCAGGGTATCGAACCCGAAGCTCGACAAGATGGCTGAACCGGGCACCGTAATATCTAGACCATACTTGTTGTCGACCAGAGTCAGATACCTCGCCTCGTTGACAATGAGGCCCTCGAAAGCGTAGTGGAAGATGGAGAGCTGTTCGGAATTTGTTAGCATTCGATAAGCGCACAGTACAATAGCAGACATATGAAGACTTACCGACTGCAGCCAAGTAGCAGCTTTGGGAATAGTATTCTGATTGAGCAAGAATCCGCCAAATAGCAGACTGAATAGCATGACCAAAACGCCAAACAAGTTGGCGACTCCCTGGTTCTTCACACAGATGCCGATAAAGAGGATGATGGTCGCGGCCGCTAAGTTGAAGAGAGTGAGGAAAAGGATAAATTTGAAGAACTCCGCCCACGCAGGCACAAGGCCAGTCATAGGATAGAGTATCACACCCATGATAAGTGGCGGGATCAACCGTAAAGGCACAATGTCAAACACCATCTTGCTAAAGTAGTAGGCGAAGGGGTGATAGTAGCCTTTCGCTCGCTCGCGGACGAACAGTAGTCGCTCTGGCGCGAACACAGTGAGCGAGGTAAGGGTGCTGAAGCCGAAGAGCGCGAGCATGAAGAAGAAGAATCCGAGTCTGTTCTGGAAACCTGCCAAATCGTAGCTGAGGCCGTAGAAGAGGACGCCGGTGAATACTGCGAGCACGATGGCGATGGCGTAGTGCGTGAGCATAAGCATGGGGTTGCGGTAGAGATTACGCCAGGTTCGACGGGAGAGGATGGCGATCTGTGTGTGCAGCCAGGGCTTGCGGTAGCCTTTTACTTTACCTCGATATGGAGACCCGTTGCCATTCATGCCAGCTCCAGTATGACCGTTGCTGTTGGCTGTCTCGGCGGCGTTGTGAATGTCGTCTCGAAGATTGGCCGCCACGTCTGAGTCGTGGTAGGCAATCAAGAGGAGGTCAAGGTCAGTGCCTGTTGCGCCGGCAATGGTCGGTGGAAGGTCGTTTGTGTCTTCATTGATTGGCGGTGGCGGGTGACCGTGCTGTTTGGACATCTTCACCCAATGTTGCCGCTCATCTTCGCCGATCAGGCTATCACCCTCACTTCTTATACTGCCAGCATTGTTTGGTGGTGCGTCGGTTGTGTTCTTGCGCGTGAACAGCTGTCGTTCCTGCTGTTGACGTATGCTAGTCTTTCGCTTACTTTTCGGCCGCAGCTGATTTTGGCTTTCGCCACCAGAGCCGATCGAGTTCTCGATACTTGAGTTACTGATGCTAGGGATGCTCTTGACAGCCATAGTCGAGCTGGCTCTTGTTGACCGTCGGTCTACGTCAAGGCCTGCGGGATACTCAACCTCATCATCAGGGTCTGCAGGCGCGCCAACGTGCATTGTTAGGTCGACGAGATAGTCCGCAATGTTGAATCCGGATGGACATGCGTAGCCTATGCTATCGAAATAGCTTTGGCACTTCTCGAAAGGTCCACTATAGACGACACGGCCTTGCGCGAGCAAGATGAGCTGGTCGAAGAGCGCAACAATGTTCGATCGCGGCTGATGGATCGTGAAGACAACAGTCCTGTTATATGTCTTGACCAGAGTGACGAGACACTCGACGACATTGAAAGCGTTGTACGCATCGAGTCCAGAAGTAGGCTCGTCTAGGAAGAGAATGCTTGGACTGGTGACAAGCTCGCAAGCAATGCCGACTCTGCGCTTCTCGCCACCAGAGATGCCACGGCCATTGCCTTCTTCAGAGCCTATTAGCTGATGTCGAATGTGATAGATGCCAAGCTGTCTCTCGACGTCCTCCACTTTCTGTGTCTTTGCTGCGACACTCATCTCTTTCGGTAGTCGTAGCAATGCAGAATCGAGAATAGTCTCGTGCACAGTCAAGGTCGCCATCATAGTATCATCCTGATCTACGAAACCAGTGACGGACCGGAACTCCTCGTCGCCAACCTTCTCGCCGTTCAGCCAGAAATCACCAGACACGACACCACGCTTCCTCTTGCGTGCGAGGATGTCCAAGAATGACGTCTTGCCCGCACCTGATGCACCCATGATGGCGAGAAGCTCACCAGGATGTACGGAACCGGTAATGCCTTGCAGGATCTGTTTGCCTTTGAGGTTATAAGATGCGTTCTCGAAGTACAACGCAGCAGGCTTGTGATCGGCCAGCAACTTCGCATTCTCCTCTTCCTCTTCATCGCCGAGGTAGACTGGACCATGTCGTGCTGCGCTTCGTCTGCTCAGGAAGAAGACCAGTAAGATCACAGCCACAATGAATAGTGCACAGCCAGCGATGACACCTGCAATCAGTGGGGTGTTGATCTTTTTGATGGGTCTCTCGTAGCCAGGGACTTCCAGCCGGGACAAGCACTCGCCACTGTGGCACTGAAGTGTGATGCTTTCATCACCAAAGACGGAAGAGATGAGGCCGTTCATGGCAGGCTCGGAGAATGTGGAGCCATCCTTTTCGGACCCGCCTTCAGTACGCACGGTAGTGAAAGATGCAGGCCCTTTGATCTCTTGATCCAGAAAGTCGCTGATATCGATACTGTTCTCCGATCCACAGAGCATGCGACCCGGCACACAACTACACCGCACTTTCTGGCATGTATAGCTTGTCGTGTTCCGTGTCTCCGTAGCTTCGGCAGTCCAATCGCATTTATCCAATGCGCAGTAGAAGCTTTCCACCTGATCGACCCAGAACTGGAAATTGCACTCTTTGCGCGGAGCATTGCAGCTGAAGGTAGCTTGTGGCTTCTTCTCTTTCAACTGGTCCAAGATTTTGCGATTCGTGATATCGCACATCTGGTAGTTCTCGTTGACCACTAGTCCCTCGCGATAGCACACAGCATCATCTGCCTGGACTGGTGGCAGCATAGCCTTACATGCGTTGTTCGACTTGCAGACATTGCAATTGATGCCCTCCCATCCTTCATTGCATTCGCACTTCTCTCCCTCTCTTGGTGCACGATCCTTGCCATCGGCCAATGAGCCGCATAGCGGTGCACTGCAGTCTTCGCCACCAAATCCGGGAGGACATGAGCACTTTCCACTGCTCTTGGTACAGTTGGCGTATTGTTGACAGACAAAGTCGTCCAGATTACAGTTGAAGCATGGTGGGCAGTCCTCCGGCCGCTTCTCGTACAGACTGAATGGATTAGGTTGAGATAGTAAGGCGTCGTTGGTGGTGTAGTATTGGTGTGTTTGAGCTCCAGCCGAGACTGTAGGCAGCACCTGCAGTGCTATCGCCGACAAAGCGCATAGTGTTCGCCACATATCGACGCTCTTGCCCTGCAGGCTACCAGATGACTATGTGAGAAGGTAGATACACCACTTTATGCAGAAGGCGTACGTTCGGCGAACATCGACAGTTTGGTGAGATAGTACAGCGGGTGTGTGTGTGTGTATGATGATCGCCAGCACGTGAGGCTGCTATCTCTCAGTCGTGCATATGTACGTAGCTATAGCACTAGACGATGGATGACCGTTGCAGCAGTTTACCCGCCACCTCTGAGCCAGTGAGCCAGTGAGCCACCACGGAAAGCTGCCGCTGTCCTCGTGTCCCTGCCCCGAGCCGAACCAACACCTTGTTTGAGCTCATCCTTGCTCCGACCACGTGGTAACGATCATGATCATCTCGCAGGGCACCTTCATGCTCGACCAGTATGAAAACAAATATCCTACACAACATAGCACTCGTGCTCGTTTGCGAACCGGTCTTAGAACAACAGCATAGCGGACACTAAATGGCGACACCATAGACTGGACAGCAAGTCCAAGACAAGTTCCGCCTGGTAAACCTTCGTCTCCTGTCCAGCATCTCTCTCGTCCTGGCTCATCTCACAGCTGGCATCATTCTTGTCCACGGAGATGTCCTGGCCATGTGGTTGGAAGACGTCGACCTGCCCAGAAAACCAAACATACTGCATTCGAGAACAATGCACCCCCCGCACCAATAACAGCCGAGAGGCATTGAGGCCCGATAGTCCCTGAGATAGTTCCTGTCTTCATTAGATTGATTGAAGCATGGACTACGGAATCTGGCCGAGACCGATCTTGAGACCTCGACAGTGCCACGACACGGCATGAGCATATATAGAGGCGACCGGCTGGTCAAGGAAGTATACCAATTTCACGAACATCACTCCCCTTCATCAAGATCTCCAATTCTTGTTCATCATGACTTTTTTCACTGCCCTCTTCGTGCTCTCGGCCATTTCGAGGGTTTTGGCCACTCCCGTAGCCCGACCTCACAGTCAATCGAATGTTGTTTGGGATGGCCGCATCGACGATTGCTTCACGGTCAAGGACTTTGACTCGACTCCACCCTCGCCATATAGTCAGGGCAGCGTTCACGGTATGATCGCGTTGCAGGACGCTTGGGACCCTTGGCTAAAATCTTCATAAGGCTCGAAGAACTTGTCTGGCTACATCAGGCTGCCGAACGTCCAGCCAGACTTGGTACGTCACAAGGACGCTAGGAATCTGGTCCGTTTGATTTAGCTCACCGTTCACGCAGTTTGATATTGTGGGCAAAACGAAGCCGTTCGAGGTTACCATTGAGTGCGTGGCTGCTAGTACAACAAAATGGAATGTGGCACTGACCTACTGCTTCGATAGTGACACTTCTGTATTCGTCCCTGGTGGCAATGCACCACAAGTGGGTTTTAGAAGGACCGAGCTGAATCCGGCATCGAACAATGGATCCACTACTCTCTATGGTAGGAAGGACTCCAGAGCAAGATCACACTGGTACTGACCGCATGGTATAGTTGAAGCAAAGCGCACTGTCCACTGGTCCCTCCGCGCTGACCCTGCTCGTCTACTCGACTTCACGCATGAGTACCAGGCAAGGACAAATCGCTATCGCTTGTTTCATGATCTTCGACTGACGCCAGCGTAGAATGTATTCCTGGAGACAGCCGCGTACGATGCACACCAATTCACCATGAAGACTGGCACGCCGTACAACAACGCGACCAAGGGGAAGATCCCAGCGACTCAGACCCTTCGCATCGAGAGTAGCACAAATGGTGGTGTCAGCGAGACTACTCTTTTCGAGACCTACTATACCTTGAATGACTGGCACAACTTCGCTCTTGAGCTGGACTTCAACCAGAAGTACGTTGATTATGTGCAAGGCCAATGTTCAGAAGCTTATGATTCTCCACAGTACGATCACAGGCTATTACTCCAAGAACCACGACGCCCTCAAGGTCGTCATTCCGACGAAAGCCAATAATAATGCCGGCGGTGGACTCTGTAAGTCCTAGTCGACCTGCTCGTTCCAAGATGGAATAATTGATGGGGTACAGATCATTTCGGCATACTGAAATTGCCTGCGAGCGGTACGGGTAATGGAAGTGTGACCATTAGTGGTTATCAGCCATCTGGCATCAACGAGGTGGGTTTCTTGAAGTTCACTTACTGTGCTTGTATTCCTGACTGACGGCACCTCTAGGGTCAATACTACGGTGGTATCTTTATCGAGGACACTTCTGCGCAGCCTGTGACTACCAGCGTTTCATCATCTGGATGGAAGCTCTAGGCTGGTGTCGATTTACGGTCGTGAGCCTGTGTATTCAAGCAAGCTTCAGCCTTGGACGAAGTGGATATCTTGACATAAGGACTACTGTAGAGTACAGTTCGCACAATCTCTGTCTCTATATTCTGCGGCTCTGCCAATGTGAGTTGGCGCAAGACTACATGTCGAGGCTTTAGCTCTGTTCAGAGATCATTTTCACTTACGCATGACCAAGCATGCATATCCTGACATGGAAGTTCAGCACCTGTATGTTCTGCTATGTACCAGCTCAAGCATGCGACTCCAATGATCTGAAGCCTCGGAACTGTCGGCATGACCTCAGAACGTGTCACCATGATACCGTAAATTGATCTCGAAGCAAGAAGCATTGCGACAATGCTGGAATGATCAATCAAAGCCAAGACCACATCATTGATCGTTAGACACAATCTCCTACCAAATGCGTGAACAGCAATCTGAGCTCGCACAACCAACAATGCCACAACTCCAGGACCTCTTCGGCGTCCGCGGTCTAGTCGCCGTCATCACAGGCGGAGGGTCAGGCATCGGTCTCATGGCCGCCAAAGCACTGGACGAACATGGCGCCAAAGCCGTCTACATCATCGGCCGACGCAGACAAAAGCTCGAAGATGCTGCCAAGCAAGCCAGGAACGGATCGATCATCCCACTCGAAGGCGATGCGACATCACAGGACTCCTTGACAGCAATGGTCACACGAATCAAGGACGAACAAGGCTATATCAATGTCTTGTTCGCCAATGCTGGCACTATGGGTGTGCAGTGTTTTGGTGAGCTGCCGGACGATCGTCATCCCACTGTACAGGAGTTTCAGAAAGTCGCTTTGTCGCATCCGATAGATGATTTTGCGACTGCGTACAAGGTAAATATTTCCTCGCCGTACTATACCGCTGTGGCATTCCTCGAGCTGCTAGATGCCGGGAATAAGCAGGGTTTTGCGCAGCAGTCGCAGGTTATCGTCACAGCATCTATTGGCGGATCCTTGAGGTATTAAACCTGCTATCCTTCCCGTTCATGTACTCTTGCTGACAGTCACAGACAATCACAGGGTAGGTGGCAGAAGTCTTACCTATCTTCTTGAGCATATATACTGACATGCAGCTCCAGATGGATGGGCGTACAGCACATCAAAAGCAGCCGCGGTGCATCTAGTGAAGATGATGAGCACCTACTTCGGCCCTTGGGGTATCCGAGCTAATTGCATAGCACCTGGACTATATCCCAGTCAGATGACAGCACAGCATCCGGCTTTGCAGCGAGAAAAGCCAATCACAGAGCCAGGCGCGATGCCAAGTGAAATCGTACCAGCTACCAGAAGTGGAACGGACGAGGATATCCAGGGAGCGATCCTATTCTTGACGAGTAGAGCGGGTGCTTACATCAATGGCAATACACTCGTGACGGATGGTGGGAGGCTTGGGCAAACGCCGGCGGCGTATTGAGCTTGGAATGCTTGCTTCGGAGTATCAGCTCGATATATACTGTTTGAGATCATGCTTATGGCTGAGCGACTTCAGCTAGACTTTTGTAAACATCGAACTCGAGTACTCGGTCCTCAAACGTCAGCGGTACCATGCTCGTGAGATATGTGATGGGGATGCTGAGGATATCACCGAGCATGCTCCGGAAGTCCTCATTTAATGCTTGAAGAACCTGCCATGCATCCAATGCATACTGGAAGTTTGATATCCGGGTGAAAGGACTCGTGGACGGCGTTGGTGAAGTTCTCGGGGTCGCTTCAGTCGTGGTTTCACCATCCCATTCCGTCGCCTCCAGCTCCACCCTCTCCTTGTCACCCATGACATCGTCCCAAGAGTATAAGTTGACAGCGATCAAGTTGCTGACCAGGATGGCGAAGCTGCCATACATAGCTTCAGTATCTTTTTGCAACTCCAGTGCCGTGTTCCAAGCCTCGATGCGGGATGTAAGAGCATAGCCTCCCTTCTCATACGTGTTATATAACCGCGGCCTGCCTGTCCACTCGATAGCCTCCAGCTCCGCGGGCACCATCAACCCATCCAACTCAAAGTGCTGTGATATACTCGCATCGATGACAAAAGTGGTCTCGCCCATAATGCTCCTCTCCCGCATCTCCATCGTGATCAGCCAGAATTCACCATTCTCCGCAAAAAGCTTGACCTGACGTGGAGCTCTTGAATGAGGACAGTCGTCGGCGGGATGAGCCTTGCAAGGGCGAGGATAGTCGACACACCTTAACGTCTCCGCGCACGACAGCCCCAGGTACGGCGTATCTTCGATGGTAATAGACATCGCAGGAGCCAACGTCATTACATTGACACTTGCTTCGTCATCTCCTTGATTCCTCTCAGGCTGCATCATTTGGTAGCCGAAGGCGAAAAGTACCTTGTCTTCAACCATAGAAACCCGGGACGTAGGATTGCTAAGCTTGACCGCGACACCTGCTACCACTACATTGTCGGGTGAATCTGCTCGACCACTACTATAACGATCGTCTACTGGGAGGCTACGTGATCCCAAGGGTCGAGGATGCATGACAGAGCCAGTCCAGCAGTCTTCTGGGTAATATGCAAGCACCCCGTATGCAGGCTTTTGTAGACTGCTGCTAGGGAGGCGAAACCAAAATTTCACAGGCGACTCCTTGGCCTGGAATCCGCGGGTAATACCAATTAGAGTTGGCTGCAGAGCCAATATCCTCTCCAGCGAGATGGGCATAAGTCTCGTATTTGCCTTTCGTCTGGAAGAAACAATGAACTCATCTTCATCACGGAACTTCTGCATCCGTAAGGCGATGGTACTGTCCATATTGTGCTGCCGGCGGCAGTTCAGAATGCCTAGGTACTACTGTTCTTCGTACTCAGCGCTCCATGGTACAGGTACAGCTGGTGTCTCCTGCTGCAATACAGGCAAATTGATTCTAAGACCGCGATTGGTCATCTCATGCTGGCCGGGTCTGCCCCACGAGACGATGTCATGACCTCCTCGGAAATCAGCCGGAGAGGAAGCCAGAAGGTCGCTAGTGCTCCGGTCGAGGTTGAGACCCCACGCAAATATAGAATGATCATTTGATGTTCGGATAATCTCTTCCTGTAAACGACGAAAGCTTCTCTTGCCTTCTCCGTACAGCATGGGAATACTGACCTCGAACAAACCCAACAAACAATAAGCCATATCCTCCGTTCTCGAAGTCCGCCGATAAGCAGCCCAGGACATCCGTTTCGCAATACTGATGCTGCTCAATCTTATCTCGTGCCTCAGAACCGCCACGTCCACCTTCGTGATGCTAGACAGCAAGGCGACCTCATGAGAGCCCTCGAATAGCATGAACCAGTCCTCGCCGTAGAAGCGCACGTCTTGGGGTGCAATTAGTTCCTGGAGCGTCCAGCCACGGGTGAACCATTTGCTCGCATGTAATGCACGAAATCGATTCACCATCCAATCCATCCTCGAGATATCGCCAAGATAAGCATAACACACCTGCGCCTCAGCATACCACCTATACATCGAATTGATCGCCTCCTGCAGCTCGGCACTGCTGGTCTTGTCGATACAGCACGTGTCGACCCAAGCCCATTGGATCGCTGCCAAGGAGGCTTCGAGACATGCCCAGGCGATTTTCGAGAAGCCCTTTTTCTTTCTGGCGAGCTTGAGTTTTTGCATGTCTTGGTAGGAGACTTCGTCTTGGCCCCAGGTGTGGGAGAGGATGGCGTAGGGTGGGACATCGCTTTCAAGGAATTCGGAGAGGGCGTAGGTGTTTACATTTATAAGACGCATCGTCTAATTTGCGCGTCTTGGCCGTCCAGTCCACAATTCTGTCTCGTGGCCAAGAGAGCGATCCTCCATTGGCCTGGATCTTGGCCAGGCTATGTCTTTCGAGTCCGACCAGCTTGAGCTTCATTGGCATGGCTGGCGGGCTATCAGCGTATAGATCTTATGCTTCGTGCTCGAATCACAAGTGATGGATTTGGAAGGCAAGAGGGGAGGAAGAGTAAGGTACTACTTTGTTTGGCGTTGCCGCCTCTTCGAGTATGGTGGCGTGGATTGGCTTGGGGGCCGGATTGCGCACAGTCGGCGCGGATGGCACCTCTCGTGACTTTATTTGTTCCCATACGGCTCATTGCCACAGTCCTCACCGTGATGTGGCTTCGATAGCCTACACGTCGAGTTCTGGTAACGATGTTGCTCGAAAGGTCATCGGCATGGCAATGGCAATGTACATGACTCGCGGCCATTGGTGAACCCCACGCCTGCCTCCGACCTCGTGCTGGTATGAACATCAACATTCGATGAATATGGGTGCAAAAAGATCTCGTGGCGAAATGGAAGGCAAAGAGCAGGACGGTAGTGGCCAACGCTCATCACCCTTCATGCCCATGTTCGAAACGTTCCGGAGCGAGCTAGACGAACACCACGACAGACGGGAACGGATAATCAAAGCCTCGAGAGACATTACCGCGTCGTCCAAGAAGATGTCAGTGCATGATGTGAGGAAGGGACTGAGTTCATGCTGACTTGTGTGTACAGTATCTTCACGCTACAACGGTATAGCCTGGAGCATATCAACGGCATAACTTGAGCTGATATGACCAGGATACGAGCCCTCAAGCAACCACTTCCCCAGCATGCGATCAAGTCGAACAAGCAGTATCACGACACCATCAAGACACAATACGCTTCCGTCTCTCGTGATCTCCAAGGTCTTAACGCTCACCGGTACAACCGACAGATCACGGGTGGTTGCCAGGAATGGATGGAGGCAGCAAGCTTCCAACACTACCTCGAGACTGCCACCCTGATCGCCTACGACGATGCCAGGAAATTGTTGAGAGGCTTAGATGCTGAGGGACCAGGGGTGGACTTAAGCGCGGAGGACTATGTACTAGGCATTTACGATATGACGGGAGAACTGATGCGGTTCGCCATCACTGCCATGGCTACTAGTGGTGAACTGCCCAAGATCCCGGCTACCAGTGCCATGGACGGAGAGGAGATGGACGTGGATGCTACGAGTGCGGCACAGCAGCGTTCTGTGCTGACGGATATGCGAGAGCTGCGCTCGGCGTTGGAGGGACTGGATGCTGGGGTGGGACCCTTTGCAAAGGATGCGGATAAGAAGATGGAAGTGATGAAGCAGAGCGTGGAGAAGGTGGAGAAGGCACTCTATGGATTGATTGTTCGGGGTGCAGAACGACCGAAGGGGTGGATGCCGGATATGGATGGTGCGCGGGCTGTTGAGGTGGAGGGTTGAGTAGAAGTGAACATGACCATTGTGGACCACACACGTCCACGTGTTATGGCTGGATGTTCGACTATACGACAGAGAAATTCTTTGTCATATCAAAAGTGTTTGCCTGCATCCTTTGCGCTCTCATGGGTGCTGTCCGCTTCTGGCTTTGCAGACGCAGCCGGAACAAAGAAAGTGCAGGCGAAGACGACTTCATGTCTGATCACTGCCATATCCCGACTACACAGACAGTATCACAATCATCACATGGACCATGGCTTCACGAGGCGCAAGAGGTGGCCCACGTCGCGGCGCACCCTCCACAAGATCACGTGGTGCTCGCTCATCGCCTCGCGCAAGGGGTTCTGCTCGTGGCGCTGGCGTACAGAAAACACATGCGACTCGCATACGGCCACTACAGCCACGAATAACAGCTGCACTGCAATCCGCTTCCAATATTAGTCGCAACCCAGCACCACCAGCAACAGCCACCACAGAAACTTATCCAATATTACCCTCCGGACCAAGAGTCACTCGCAACCACGATGCCAAGTTCATGTGCAGCCCTGCATCGATTTTCTTCGTGTCCATCGGCGGCCTTCAAAGCACACCTGATACAGAAACTATAGCCCTGAACCTGATGGACTACTTCCTCCAGCTCTCAATTTCGCATTACCCAGCAGAGCTCTGGTACGGACATCTCCACGCCACTTGCTTCCTGCTAGCTAGCGAATTGACAAGCTGCGAAAACGAAGTTGTGGAGGTGTGCCGAGCGGTCGAGATGCAGGCTGCTGGACTTGTAGCCACGGGCGCTAATGAGCAGAGTCTAAAGGTGCAGCCGGAGCAGGTGTTGGCTGGCTTGAGAATGATGGTTGCATGGGGAGGGGAGATCATGGGGTGTGTAGGAGGGTATGACTATGCTCTAGAAGGTCTATTGGTTAGGATGTCAGGTGGTGGAATGAAGATTGGTGAGACCGAGCATCAGTATCGTGCTGATGAAGCCGAGGGTTTCGCATCGATTGATACGAGCCATAAAGAGAAGGACCTGGTCGACTTCGATACCTTCGATGAGGTGTAGAGCGAAGCTAGACACCTGTATATCTGCTCTCACGAGCGTCAGTGAACGAAATGCTCGCCCAGAGTACCTTCCACTAACTTGTATGGATCTCACCGTCTGCCTCAGCCTTGCCACGACCTTTACCGCGTCCAATCCCGATCATCTGACCGCATTCTCGCCAGAACCCTATAGCAGGTTCAGCGAATGTAGCCTCGTAAGCATCATTCATAGGGCGTTCCCAGATTAGATCGGCCTCCACTGATTTCACCAATCGCGTGCCTTTGAAGAACTTCCAGAAGAAGAAGCGGACTGGAGCTAAGGCGAGAATCAGCGATCTCTCGAGGTCGTCGACGAGGACTGTGTCAGTATACGTACCATCGATCACCATAGTGTAGTATGTGAAGAAACTCGTCACCGACCATGGCGCGAAGGAGGTGTAGCCGTAGCAGGTCACAATGCAGATCATCCATGCTAACCCGATATATGCCTTGATACTTCGTTAGCTCCTGTCTGCTGGCTGGGTTGAAAGATTACCAATGACTTACACTGTATGGCTGAAAGTAAGCAGTGTAGGGAAAGGTGCGTCGATCGATACCCTGAGCTTTGCAGGCGTTGTAGAAGAAGATATAGGTTTCGTCATGACGATATTTGTCATGCTGTCAGTCGCTGTCTCTAGCTCCATGGCTCAAAGGATGTGCGTAAGTGAACATACAGTTGATTATGCCACCAGCTGTGATGAGGTTGACGAGCCTGATAATCATCAGCGTCTCATAGTATTCCGCAGACTTAAGCACTATCTTACCAGTTGAGCACAACAACAGAAGAATTGCTAACTTGCAAGAACGAGAGGAATGGGAAGACCATGACGACCGCAAAGCAGTATATCGGAATACCGCTCTTCGTGCACTTGCGCAGCAATCTAGGTGCTCGCCCTTCGAGAGCCAGACCGTATAGACTGCGGGTCGCACAATAGGTCAGGGTATTGCCGGCGCTGAAGATTGATGTGACCATTAGGACGCTAACCACTTGTGGCAAGACGCTTATCCCGAGGTTCTTCATTGCGATAACGTAGGGAGAGGCATTCGCTGTACCTGAGCCCGTTGCTTTGCCGCTGAGGATCTAGTAGTTATTGTCAGTCACCAAAGTCATGGAAAGACGGTACAGGAAGCCGGCTGGTTGGAAGTTTGTGGACTCACATCGACTAGCGTAGGATCATCATACGGCAGTATAATACGACAAGCCAGCGCTCCGATTATAAAGAAGACTCCGAATCGCCAGTACATCGTCTTGAACGCATCCTTGACGGTAACTCTAGGTCTTTTGGCTTCTCCCGCCGTCATGGAAGCGTACTCTGGTCCGACAATAGGGAAGGATGCAGCCCATAGAGCAGCCAGGAAGCCTTCGAAGCGCCCTAGTGGGCCAGTAGTGATGTGTTCCGCGAAGCTGCCGGGATGGGACCAGTTACGGAAGCCATAGGCGTCGTGTTGGGGGTTGCAGCCGACCATTGTGAAGAAAGTAAAGCAGAAGAGGAGGGCGATCAGAATCACTTTCCCACCTAGAAAGTACCATAAGTAATGCAGTCAGGTCCGGACGTCAGCCGTGGTATTGGTGCTCACTGCACAGCCAGAATTCGGCTTCTCCGTAAGCTTTCACTGCCAGCACGTTCAGTAGACTTAAGACACTAGACGCCAGCATTGGTTGCCTATGGGCTGCTCGCTCAGGAATATATTCGCTCGTTGCAAGGGAGATAAGCTACTGCTTCTGGGCATTCGATGACATGGAGTCTGCTTGAGAAGATGAGTGTTGCTGCATTGGGCTTCTCACCTGTACAGCATGATACAAGCTATCGGCACGCCTACGCCGATAAGTTAGCCTGCTGTCACGCAGTATCAAAAACCGCAATACTGCTTACTCCACGGAGGTATATCCGGAGACCAGAATGCCAGCACAGACGTCAAGGCAGTGATCTCGATAGGTATGAGAAGGGCTCCGTATAGGAAGAAGTTCCATCCTGCCATAAATCCAAAAGCATCGTCGACCCACTTCCCTGCCAACCGAACAAACCCGCCGGACACGGGCATTAGCACGGTCCTTTCCGCCATACAATTGTTTACAAGGCCGAGGAGTAGTGTACAGATCGTATATGCTATGAACAGGCTACCAGGTCCTCCGCTAGCAAGGCCAGTGCCTATGCTGATGAAGAGAGCTGTTCCAATACTGCCACCAATGGCAATGAGCTGAATCTGTCGATTTCCGAGCCGCCGGCGAAGACCATCGTTGTTCTCCCAGATATCGCCAGATTCATGAATGGGTGGCGCTTGATCCTGAGCGTACTCGTAGGGCGCTTTCGTGTCTTCAGACATTAAGTGAGCCATGATAGTGGTCGTTCGAGTCCCGAAACTGGAGTGGAGAGCTATCAGTCCTCGAGCGCGGGCAGAGCATAGTCTTTGTTGTTTCGGCGCCAAGGAATCTATCTCACTATCTTTCGCATGGCATTGGAAGACCCACTGGTAGTGTCCGCGGGTAATGGCACGCGACACAGCAACACGAAGTGTCGAACCCACGCGGCGAAAAGACAGCCGAGATCGCCCGGGCTTGGCCGGCACGTGGGTGAGATCTTTCGAGGGTTTGTTCCCGTCGACTGATGAGAAAAGGTCATTATTGATGAGTGCAAACTCGACAATGACGAATAATCTTATGATAGAGGCGCTCAAAACGGTCCACCAGCGCCATATGTGTCGATTCCACACACCACATCTACTATGCTAAGGGACGCTAAAGTCACACACTTGTTCATTTCCTGGCCTACCAGAGTCCATAATTTTAACGATAGGCGAGCCAGCAGCTGTTCAAGAAGTGATCATACATCGATCGACAAGAAAAGACCGCGGGACACGAAGATCACATGGAAGCTGGCCGTTGGCGTGCGTAGGACGTCCTCATTCGTCTTCTGAGATCCCGGGTTATAAGACTGGTCGAAATCACGGAGGGCTGCCTCAATCAGGTGTGAAACCGTACGCCAACGACGAAGAAGGCAGGATGCTACGTGTACTGGTCTTCGCACGCTGTGTCGTAGTCCTGAGTCGAGCTTGCTCGTAGATAGATGTCTCAGCCATAGTGACAAGGACTGCCTCGACCGAAACAGGTACTCTTGGCGTTGTCGAGAATTGATGGATCAAAGTCTCCCCCAGAGGACCGCAGTCCTGGTTGGTACACTTGCAACGCCAGAATCGAAGACTGTCATGCGTGCGAAGCCTGCAATTATGGATCTGATGCTCAATCTCTCAGTGCTTCCAGGAGATTGGCCTTATTCTCTACACCGATAAGTCGTTCTCAGTAGGGTGTCTCTAGAGGGAACAGTGGTCGGTTGACCATTCATGCTTGAACTCCATGGCACGACACGAAGAGTGCAGCTGACACAGGTAGTCACAGATTGGGTTCGCTTCAAGTCATGCCCATTCTGAACGTCCTTGCTCGATTCTGCCGTGATACTCCTCGTTCAACTCATCCTGTCCAGTGCCCGCTGCAAGATCATGCAGCAGGTTCAAAGACTGGGTTGCCTGAAGCTCTCCTCAAATCACCCCATTGCACATCGCGCTGGATGGAGGTTTGAGGAGAGTCGCCTTCATCATCTAAGCCCGAAGTCATGTCAAACGACACCACCGCCGCTCCTTTGGCTTTCCAGTCTTCGTGCTCTATCTGAACAAAGACGCTGAGCTTCGTATACGATTCTTGGTAGTGGTCCAGTACTTGTAATGGGGCTCCTGCTTCTAGCCTAGCAGCTTTATCTGCGCGATAGTGCTCCACGCAAGTCTCGACGCTTGCACTGGGGGCAAAGCGGACATCTAGGCGCAGAGGATAGGAGTCCAGGACTGGTGCTTTGATGGCTGTGAGAAGTCGTTCAGGCAGATCTAGAGCCGGTTGCGCAATGGCACCGTACGTCACGTAGACCTGGAACGACCAATTGGGTGGCAGAATTGCTGCACCTGCTCGTGGTCGTTTGCCATAGTATGCTGAGATTGCTGTACAGCCGCTTTGATCCGTGAAAGACGCAGTCGTCTGTCCTTGGAGTGTGTTGTGCAGAGATTTGACAGGCGGCGTACCGCCAAGACTCTTCGCTGCGAGAGGGTTTGTTTTTAGGTCAGTCTTCACACCAGTGACCATTATTGTTAGCGAGACGCTTGAATTCATCCATCGTCACTGTCACGCCAGGCTCGCCGCAACAACCGCGACCTCGACTCGGGGGTGGCCCCGGGATCCCAGCCCGTCACGGTGCCGTGACGCGCCGCTGGGGAACTCCATACACCAATAGTAACTATGTCACGGCCGTCGGGACTGTTACGCAGACTATCTGTTCTGTGACTTCTCAGTCACTCGCGAGCCCTAGGTCTCATGCCACGCAACGCAAGGTAATTTCATAAAACAATTTCTTCGCAAAGCAGAATGACATATAAGCGCAATTGATCAGGGCCCTTCGCCTGGCTCGTCCTTGGGTGACCAGGCATGGAGGCAGTCCTATCGGTGAGCCGCAAAAGAGTACAAGGCCCCGTACCAAACCTTGCTCAGGAACAGCAGAATGATTGATAGGCTTCTAGGGGTAACAAGACAACCAGAGCGGTACAGAATTCCGCCTCGATCGTGGCACCCCACGTGGCCTTGGCTCTGGTATTGCCTGGGCTTCAAGATCTACAAGTCTTCCGTGAGGTGGAAAGGCGGCCATCTCACAATTCAGATTGAATTCTTTGCTTCGCCAGGCTAGATCACAGTTGTTGTATCGAAGGCATGTGAAGTGCTAGCTTCTTGAAGACCTGATTTGTGATAGTCAGCGAAGATTGCTGCTCACCGTCCATCCACAGAGAAGACGATGTGCTGATTGTCGTCTATGTCGTCTAGAATCAGTCCCATCCTTGGCGTATCAGTCCATCTCACGGTCTCTTCAGGACAAGTGCCATTGGTCGTGAAGTAGTTGATCTACCTGCTGCTGTAGTCTATACCGCACGAGTCTCCAGATCCCATATCCAGCTTTCGTTTGTTAGTGCTCTGGACCTCAGCCCACTGGGTAGCGCAACCAGCAGGCATACACTGCGTCCACAAGGGGAAAATGCTATCGAATGCAAATGGACCTTGGACCAGGCGGACTTCTCCTCCAGCTCCAGATAGAGCGACCTTAGCAAGATCCCGGTGGTAAAGTCCCGAATCTCCACCTTTGAAGGTGTGCGTACTAGCGCTACTTGTATACCGTTAGGAGAAAGAGCACTTCTTATGACTGATGACTTCATTTCGGCAAGCCACTCGAGTCTCGCTCCTGTTGATGTGCTCCAGACATTGGCAGTCGTCCCGGCCACGCCAGTCATCCAACGCCCATCCTGCGAGCACACTACCATAGACAGTCTATCTGTGGCAGTGAAGTCTACTGCTTGACAAACCTGGCCATTCTTGGCGTCACACACGAGAAATATGCCATGACGACTTCCAAGCACAAATCGTCCAGACTCTGCAGAGCACACCACGCACATATCGATCTCACGTCCCTGTCGACCCTTAAAAGGCCGGAGATGTTTAATTCTTTTACCATTCGTCGCGTCCAGGAAGAGCACTGCCGACGCCTGAGGAAGAAGCACCTGCTGTCCATTCGGAGAGTAGGCGCAGCATGGCGAGTCCATGTCATCGAATCTTAGGTCTTCTGTTGACCAAATGAGCGCTCCTGTACGCTGCTCGACCACAGTGAGAACATTGTCGTCTCTGAGGACTAGACGTTGTCCATCTGGTGAGAGAGCAGCTATATGGAGGTGGCAGACATTGTCGTCTAAAGGCCAAACAATGACGCCAGTCGTGGTGTCTACAACACACGATTCGGTACCTATGTCCGAGACCGGAGACTTAGTGGTGAAGACCGCGCGTCGTCCATTCATCGAAGACATTTGGTGGGTCCACTTGGCCTTATCGAGAAGCAAGGGTATGACCTTCTTCTTGCTAGTGGAATCTTGTGAAGGCAAAGCATAGCATTCAATGTCAACAATGCCAGCGAGGTGTCCTGAAGACTCATCCTCGAGTTGTTGGTCCAGTGCTGCTGGCGTGTTCGAAAACTCGGTAGCAGATACATTGGCCGCGTGACTGTGATTAACAGTGGCCAGCATGCCTGCTTCAGGACTATCTATCAATTGTGCTTTGGGACAGCTCCTCTTCCTGTAGTCCTTGTAGAAGCGTTTGGCCATAGTCGCTAGGCGAGGTGCATGCTTTCTGCCATCATCGTCCATGCTATGTCCTCGTTCCAGCACACTTGGTGGTGAACTTGGTGTCGGTGACCTATCTCCGTTAGGTGGCCGTATGCGATTCCCGAGATCCTGCATCCGCGGAGATATATCGAAGGTTCGACGAACACCGACTGGCCTGGATCTGTATTCGATCTCCTGATTCTGGTCGACCATATGCTTTGCCAGCACGCCTTTGCGCCAGTCGCTGTCACCAGCAACACGCTTTTCGGAGGCTTCTTCATGCTCCGTGCCTCCTGCAATAGTTGACACGCCGCTTGCTGCAGTTCTGGACGAGACCTCGTAAGTACTATCTTCGCGATCCAAGGATTCAACCTGCTTGCGCTCTCTCAAAAAAGGCCGTATTCGTTCTGATGAGTCGGGGTTTGTGTGTGCCCGTGCCTCCTCATCAATGTCCGGCACTGGCGGTAAAATACCCGATCCTCGGACAATACCCGGTTTCGTGGTGGTGACATCTTTCTCTGGGGCCCAGTTGGACGTCTTTGTCGTTGTCCAATCAATGCGGTGAGCGCCATTGCTCATGACACGCTTTTGAACAGCTTCATCATGCTCTGCATTAGTGGTAATAGTCCGAATGTCAGGTATCGAGATCTTGGACGTAGCATCATAATATTTACCTTCACGGCGCAACGAACCCTCTCGCTCTGGCTCGTTTGAGAGTGGCTGCCCGTTTCTTGGTGATTGTAGTCTTGTGAGTGCCCGTTCAACCTGAGCAATGTCCTGCCCCGATGGAGGACGTGGCTTCTGTTCACTGGCAATTTGCTCAGGTGCGGACTTCTTCTCTCGAGCCGTTATCGTCCTCCCCTCCCTTGCCTGGTCGGTGGCGTGTCCGTGAGTACTAAAACTTTGCCTCGGTGATGTATCTCTATGGACCACACCACTCGTATCACCTTGTATGGTCCACCTTCCAGATGCCGCGCTGAGTTGTGACGTGGTACTGACATCCTTGAGAACGTGATTGCCTCGGAGCCAGCTATGATTGAGGCTGGCGGCTATACTTGGTCGGTTACCAGCTTTAGGAGCCAGCAATCCCTGTACCAGTGTGCAACCGTGTGCGCTGACCTGACGAAGTCGCTGAGTTGGGAATGCTGTCTTTCCTTTGGTATATCTTTTCAAGACCCGAGGCTCGGATGGTGGGAAAGGGGTCTCTCCTGTCAGCAACAAGAATGCGATAACTCCTACAGCCCAGATATCAATGCCTTTAGTGTAGGATCTTTGAGCTTCATCGTCGTCGGACAAGTCCTCGTCATCGGATCCGAAGCCTAGTACTTCTGGCGCCTGAAAAGCTGGAGTTCCCGCACTAGTACGCAAAGATGTAGCTTCGGCGACGATACGCTTGCTCAGGCCAAAGTCTGCAAGCTTGATATGCCATCGTGGTGCTTTGTTAAAAACGAGCAGGTTCTACGGCGGGACAAGTTACTCCAAGTCTCTTAGCTACAGCATCGACTAACTTCGACCTACCTGCGGCTTGAGGTCTCTATGTGCGTACCCAAGGTCATGCATGAAGTGCAGGGCTTGCAGCGTTTGGGTGACAATCTGTTGCGCCTCATTCTCTGGCATGGGAAGACCTAGGTATTGATGAAGATCGCCATGAACCACGAACTCCATAGCAAAAAGTATAGTAGACGGCGTTTCGTACCATCCGAAAGATTGTACGAAATACTCCCTGTACTATTCACATAAGCATATGGGTTTCAGACTGCTCGCATACCGTAACGAGGACACAGCGAATTTGGCCAATTCACCTTTTCTTGCGAGAATCGTGCTACAGCCTCGAGTTCTCTGTCATATCTCACTGCTCTGGCATGCTGCAACATAGGCTTTCGTACAGCTTTGACGGCTCTTACATCTCTAGTGTCCTCACTAGTCATTGCTTCTTCCCTGTATACTGTTCCAAACCCACCGCTTCCGATCGATGACACTCTCTTCCACACCACCTCCTTCTTTACGCTTCCGAATCCCCATATTGGCGGGGATTGATATATGTGCTGGGTTGTGAGACCATCGGTGGAGACTTCAGCTTCGAGTTTCGCAAGCTGCACCAGCTCAATGCTATTCGCAGCCATCGATGTGGCAAGAGTTGACGAGTATAGCCTCCTCTACTGGCTAGTGATCGTAAGCCAAGTCAATAAACACATCTTTCGCTTCTACAATCCCGGCTGGTAGTCGCCCCGTGGATGTGGTACACTGCACTATCCAAGGCTGCGAGTGAGCTCACTCATGCAAGGCTGGACATCCCAAGCTCGCTGATCGTCGGACTTGGTGCCTCATGTGGCTTTTGGCCCAGTGGAAAACACAGACTATTGGAGATCAACGAGCCTGATGTAATTCCAGTATCGATCGTGACCTCTATATGGAGAAGGAAACACAATTGATATCAATACTACGTCGTAGTAGTGGCTCAGTATCAAATACGCGGATGGCGTAGTAGACGCCATAAGAAGGCTCGCACTCGCGTATATAGTACAATTGAACGTATAATGGTTGTCGCATGCCGAGACGTAGGGAACATATATAAATAGTATCTCGACGAGTAATACTAAAAGAACTCTTTTAAAAATAGCTTAGATATAGCGTTATAACGTATATAGAACGTAGTATTACCTTTCTCTTAAGTATTACTATAGTCCTTCTCTAATATAAGGTATTATTAAGGCGATAAGCGGATATTATAATAGTCGGCGCTCGTCGAGATACTATTTATATATATTCCCTACGTCTCGGTATGCGACAACTATTATACGTTTAATTGTATACCTCCTTAAAAATTACTACAGCCCCTTACTAGCTAGCCGATAAATAGAGGATTTCGACATGTAGAGTAGAACAATACCACGAAGGCCTCATGGAAACCGCAACTATTACGTGGATCATCTTGTGAAGACTCAGGAATTGTGCTTGCTCGATCCCCTTAGCTATCTGCATTTGCTATAGCATTTGCTCCGGCACATCGTGGATATCAAATTGTGTCCATTGATGAGCCAAACGAACAGGCCAACTTGCGGAAATCGGCGATATGCAGCTCGCCACCGAAGACCTTGGAGTCCGAGATGGTAGCTGAGTCGCGAAAATGCCAGTGTATAGTTTGCAACAGGTAAGCTTGGGCAATATGTCTATGTGTTGTACAGCGGCCGGGTGATCCAGCGGCCAGTGTAGCTCTCTTGACAGCGACGTTCTTGCTGATACGAGATCAGAGATTGCGGCAGATCTATGCTACTCTCGCATTCATGCCACCCACCTCATCCTAGTATGATTGAATCCTGGCAGAGAGCAGGGAGCGTTTGCCAAATGATTGCAGCCGGTATAGATGGAGCGGCTTACTTGCCAAGTAAAGATTGCCAGGCCGATGACCGCCACAGCAGCGATCACATAGCGGTACACCTTTGCTTGTATAATGTTAGCAAATGGCCCTCCTATTGGAACATATTTCGCGGTCGTCATGTTTGTGCTGATCCCGGACGGGTGTGCTGCCGAGCCGTCTAGTCTTGTGGCATAAGATAGAGCGCAAAAAGCACTTTGGCGTGTTCTATGGTGTGGTCCAAGACACAAACAAGAGTGGGAAGCGAGGACTACCGGTGAGTCTCGCTTATACAACCATGCATGTAATCAATCTACCCGACCTCGATCATTCTTGCAAGCGTGTTTAGCTCACTCGCTCATCACCTTCCCCTCGCCTCGCTTCTCCTTACGGCGACACGTTGCGTGATTCGTGCAGAGAGTAATAATCTCTCTAATATCGCTATGTCGTTTGCTGCATACTACCTTAGCTACATATTGATCTATGCAGGCACTCCAGGCTGTGGACGTGTGTATAAGCCTGTCAGGAGTCCAGGACATTTCGATCACATCAGTAGTGAGGACTATAGACATTGGACTAGTACTCACGAGATTCTCTGACTACTGTGCTCCATGATCGTACATAAGAAAGAGGTTTCTAACAATAGTTTATATAACATCACAAATTGCTAGCACACCCTCAGATGATCTCGACGAACGGGGCCTACCGCCTCAGTCGTACGTAACAACAATACACCTGAACCAATAGACTAGTCTAATCCACGCAACATCGGCTATCACTAGAGTACATTTCAGGCACCACAGCAAACCGTCTGGTGAAGCAGACCATGTAATGGCCGATCAAGGAGTCGGATGAAGTCGACGGGTCTACAGCTCTCGAGTACGAGGCGACTTCCGCCGCAGCGAATGATTGTACAGCCCATGTCCTTACTTCCTGGACCAAACACTGAAGGACGATACTACGCCATCGTTGCAAAGCAGGAACCACCAGAAACTCCACGAGAGAAGAAGGCGATGTATGTCTTGCGATAGGAAATCTGCGTATGGCATTGGACCAAGAATATGACATGCGGTATAGCGAGAACAGGTCATGGACGATGAAGTCTCTAGCGTGCTCTGTGGCGCTCTCCATGACTCTCGGGTACATATTACCCTACCTGTTGACGTTGACTAGACACCAGGTCCAAAGGATGGGGATTTCATTCCAGTGTAGCCGTTCAGCTCCACCTAAGATCGCTCGTTATGACCATTTGGAGTCGACCTGGACATGGGCGTCTAAGAGAGTGGCAGATTCCGTAGAGTTCTGCGCAGTGCTCAGGCTCTTGAGAGTGCGTCGGACGTGCGAGGGTGGCGAGTCTTGAGCCAACGCTGCTACATCGTTTCTATCCGATCGTAAGATCGCGTTACATTGGCCATTGGTGCCTAGGACATGGCCTGCGCAGCCCGGGGAGTCGGGGATACCTCGTACACCGCGTCCCGGAGACAGAACTGAAGTCTCCTCCTTCGCGATGAAGTTTGGACACCATTCCATCGATCTCGAGTGCTCACGTCCATCGTCGTGCAAAGCAGCCACTGGATCAGGCTGGCCCCACTCGATATCCGCGAATCGCTCAGCAAAATACGCCGCGCATAAATGAGATATAAATAAGATTAACGATGGCAGCTAACGACAAGCGCACCCCGCGGCCAAAGTTAGGATGAACAGTACGCCGCTCTGCTCAGAAAGGCCAGAGACACTGGAGAGTTCGACCTGCCAAGCCCAGAATGCTGCAAGGTGATCCGCCAACGTACGAGCGGCTCTCGACCATAGGCCCTGGACCGCTTCGAGCCAGGTCTGCCTTTGTCTGCTAGGGCGAGGGTATGAACTATGGTACCCGACTCGTCTTCTCTGATGAATTCCCTCGACGTTAGGGCGCTAGGAGCCCGTGGAGCAAGCCGGAAAAGATCCACGACTGCAGGAAGCGCCCCAGCTATTTTTCATCGCTCGGCTGCTTGAATTCGAGCCAGACGAAGCTCGGCATACTAGCAGAAGCGAGGGCTTGAGGCCGGTCGACTCGGGAGGGGTATCTCAGGAAATTCCCATCGTCGTATACATGCTCACTAGCGGCGTCTCTGCAAATTAGAGGCACCCTTGGTCGGCCGGGTGAAGCAGATGCTCCATGAGCCCACCTAGCGCAGTCACATGAGTTTTACGCGACAAGATTCCATGTTAGCGCATTGGCAGTGCTCTGGTCGACGTGAGCCAAAATGAAGCCTAGTCGAAGATGATCGTCGTCTGGCCAGAAGTGAGACGTCTCGAGGCACGGACTCGCATTCGACCAAACCATGACCCCGCACGTCGAAGCAATATAGTTAAGCTTGCAAGGCAACCTTAACAGCATGAGCTTAACCATGCCGTTTCCTCGGACAGAAATGACGAATGAGAGGGGCTCTTTCCGTCCAACGTGGTTCTGCTGCTGCAGATCGATGGACGCTTTCGGAGGGCGACGAAGATCGACATCTAAATCTGGTCACAACCAAGCTCCTGTCACGTAGTCTTTCTCCGCGAGCTACCACGGTTTCCGTTTTGGGCCAGGCAGCCAGGTTGTACTCTACAATGACATACAAGACAGATGGTAAGATAGGTTGTGGGGGGCTGGGCGATGGTGCCCAGTCCTGGTGATTCTCTGCTTTCCCGCCATGTATCGATCGCGGCAAGGCTCCTGGCGGGTCAAGGTAAGCGACACAATCCATGGGCAACAGTCAAATAGAGAATGTTGCTGAATGTAGGTTCGGATGGATGGACGAACGCCAGAACGAACCAGCGCTGTCATGCAGAACAGCGATCCTCAATCTATTCTGAGCAGAAGCTGTCAACTGACTTCCTACTTGCTTAAGACCGGATGCAGGGCATCCGCTCTGGTGGTCAAAGAAATGGACCGGAAGCTCGAGCTGCCGTGCTGGGTAAAAAGGATATGTCGATGAATACGGGACATGCCGCAACAAACCTCCAGCAACGGCAATGAGATCGCTGCGAGACCAGCAAGTGACTGGACGCTTCCCGTCCGTGACAAATGGTATGGTCTTGGGCTCCTGGTGATGGCAGCAAGAAGTGACGAAGGCTAATTAGACCTTCTACGTCGTGTTGCAGATCTTGGTTGTACGGCAGGTTGGCCAATATTAGAATCGTCCCGCGAGGTACTGTGGACATATATCAGAAGCGTGTGCCAACCCAGGACTCCTTCTCCCTCATCCTCCACCGCCTCTCGTCACTTCTTAGCCACATTCAACCGTCGCCATGTTGTCCAAGATTATCACTGCCTCTGCGGCCCTCACTAGCCTCGTGTCCGCCCTGCCCACTGAGAAGCGCCAGAACATCGACACCACCGTCCTCCAGTTCGCTCTGACCCTCGAGCATCTCGAGAACGTCTTCTACAAGCAAGCCATTCAGAAGTTCTCCCAGCAGGACTTCATGAAAGCTGGTATGTATCAGTCATCGCTCATGTCGTATGATGAGTGCTGATAATGGTCCCAGGCTACTCCGCCGACTACTACAACGACCTGAAGTACATTGCTTATGACGAGCAACAGCATGTCTTGGCTCTCTCGGCGGCCTTGACCGCAGCTGGGGTGACGCCAAACCAAGCCTGCCAGTACTCTTTCCCATACACTGATGTGTAAGTAACCCTTTCTGTCCGACTTGGCCAGCAGACTGACCTTTTTGCAGACCAAGCTTCATCACTCTGTCTTCCGTCCTCGAGGATGTCGGCACCAGCGCTTATCTTGGCGGCGCCGGTCTCATCACCAGCAAGGCTTATCTGACAGTGGCTGGCTCCATCCTCGCCACCGAGGCTAGGCACACTGCCTTCCAGCGAACTGCCATCGGTGAAGTTCCAATGCCGAACCCGTTCCAGACTCCGCTCGACCCAACGTCAGTCTACACCCTTGCCGCGATGTTTATCACATCCTGCCCTACCACCAATACACCATTGCCATTCACACCATTCCCAGCACTCGCCACCGACACCAAGACCTGCACGTGCGAGGAGCCACAATGCGGTATGCCCAGCGCCTACATCAAGGCTCGTGACCGGAAGAACGACAACTGGGGCAAGGAGCACGGCTGGGGTAGCACCTGGGACCCCAACAGCAGCAAGTCTTGCATGCCACCAACTGCCGGCACCCAAGTCATGTTCACCGCCAACGGTACTATCAAGGCTAACTCGTACGTAACCTTCGTCAACGGCTTGAACGTGGTCAGTGTCGCTGGCAAGATCGACGGTAAGCATCCTGCAGTCCGACTTGTTGTATCGACTTGAGTACTGATGCGACTTCTAGGCATGAACATCTCTGCAGCGGTCCCATCCCAGGCTATGGGCCAGACATACGTCTTTGTGACGTCTAAGAACGAGAATGGTACGCTTACGGCTGCTGACGTCGAGTATGGTCCTGCTGTCCTTGAGGTCGCCCCACCAGCGCCGGCTATCGACTTCAGCGAGTCCTAGGCCCGGATGTTCCAAGTAGAGAAGAAGGCGACAGAAGTAGCAAGACTTTTACGATGTGGCGGCAATGCTCGAACGAAAGAAAAGTAGTAGCTAAGTAATGTCAACGTATGACCATTGCATCATACTGCTCATGTAAAGTTACCGTGATCACTTGTCTCTATCATCCTCCATGTCGACAGTGAGTCCTCCAGGCGCCAGCTACCATGCCCCTTGACTGATACTGAGTCGAGACGATAAGGGCACCATCTCACCTCGAAGCCATCACAAGTAAGCCGGCGCCTGATAATCCGCCCCCAACCCCACCCTCCCCGTCCGACCAAGATATTCATGCACCACGTCCCTTCCGCCTCTATACTCCTCCTCCAACATCCCATGCGTCAGCTCCACCCTCGTCGGAATTCTCCAAGCAGGATTCAACAACTGCAGTAACGTCCGAAAAGCCGGGTGCTCGATAGTGCTGAGCGGCAACCCGCAAGCGTAAATCCATTGAGCGCAAGCCTGGATAGCAGCCTCCTGCTGTGCGGCGGTCATGTCATCGTCAACATCGCCGTCGGCATCAAGATCAGGTAAGTAATCCTCTTGATCACCATCATCCTCCTCGAGCCTTTCGCGCGAAGCACCATTGACGTACTTCTCCCTCACTTTCGCCTCCGACTTTCTAGTCGGCAAAGGTCCACCAACCTCTCTTCCACTCTGATACTTCTCCCACAAATCCAGCGGCAAACCCTTACACGCGCTCAAATGCGCGAGCACGCGACCCTTGCCCTTGGACGTCCATTGATCTGAGCAGAAGTTGCACGTCACGCGTGGATGTTGTTTCTCAGGCAGGAATTCGCGTTGAACATAGTCCCAGCACTCGTCTAAGGATTTGGGTCTGGGCATGATGACTTTTGTAACAGTGCTCGTGACTTTTTGGTCGGGCTGTATGGAAGCGCGGACGAAGTCACATCGCTTCCCGCGGCGCGAGAAAGTCATGATACATTTATCACGTGCTTTGTGACGAAGCCGTGACCAGCTTTACAGGACTCAATCGGAGTTGTGGAAACAGTACTACACATGATAACAATCTGCCAATCACATAGACGTGGATGCTTAACATAGAGTAATTATACAATCCCTACTCTCTAAAGTACCCACAACTGTACGCGTCCACCCCTGTACGGACTGGATCGTCCATGTATGAGTAATACTAGTAACACAAGCACATTGCAAGCACACTGCATGTACCACAACCACATCAGAAATCTATTACTCCTCCTCATCACTCTCAACCTCAAACTCATCCGGCACCGGCGCCTCCTCAGCGCCCTCCTCATCCTCATCAATAGCCGTCAACACGCCCGCGGCAGCCGCAGCTCCACCGGCACCGGCCCCGACACCCAGACCCGTGAGCCCCAAGTCCCGGAGCGCATCAGGCATTTCGGAGTCGTTGCCTGCGGAGCCAGGCATACCCGGTGCCGCAGCGGGCTTAGTAGTCTTCTTTCGAGCCTTGAGTTCGAGGAGAGATTTCGACTCCTCTGGTGTCGTGTCTTCGAGGAGGATGACACCGCTTGTTGGCTGTAATGATAAAAGTCAGCGTGACGTTCCAAGAAACAAGAGTAGATGTGGCAGCGACTCACCTTCTTCACAGGGCGATACCTCCCTCCTTCAAGGAAGCTGACATATCTGATTTGACCCGGAAGCACGCGACTCATATTCTCCATCTCGAATCCCACCTTCTCCCTCTCCACCTTCTTCTTCGCTTGCGCATCTTTGCCCTCACCTTCGCCTTCTTTCTCCTCGGCAACTTTAGCAGTATCAACCACATCATCCGTCTCCATCTTGTCCTCCTCACCTGCATCAGCTTTGCCGGCAGCAGGAGCAGTATCAACATCCATGCTCTCCCTCCCCTCCTTCCTATCCTTCGCAAGCTTCCTTCGCTTCGCTTGTGCGGTCGTGGAAAGCACAGCCGTCTTGACTTTCTCGGGTGCTTCCTCGGCTTTGACTTCTTGTTCGGGCGGGTAGTCGAACATGCTTGGTCGTGTATTGGAGTGGAACTTGAAGCTTGGGATCTCCAGGTCTTGATCCACGCCGATGATGGCTGTGGGTGTGAAAGCGAGGGAGAGGAAGTGCGTAAGTGGGAACCAGTACCAGTATTGTGTGAACACTGCCATACCAACGATAGCAGCCATGTTCAGGTTGCCGGTTGGTGTCTGAAGACCGATCGTGCAATTGCGGCCTCCGGCGTCGATGATGCCGAGAGCGATCGCGCAGCCGAATTTGGCCATGGCATCTTCGTGGCGATCGGAGAGGGACTGCATGAGTTGTTTGCGAATACTGCTAACCTTGGGATTCATGGCCTCGTTCTGCTGCACCATGATCATGGCGAGGGCGATGAAGGCACCTTGTCGCACGAAGTCGACGGAGTCCTTGCACATGGGCTCGAGGAGGTCAATGGCTTCATCTAGACCTGTGCCGGCGCATGCAATACCTAAAGCCATGGTAGCACCGTACCGTACATGTGGGTTGTAAGACTCGGAGAGCAGCTCCACCATGCGTGGAACGCTGCCGGGTTTGCGGAAGAGGACGAAGCCTAAGCTCATGACTGCCGCTCGTCGGACGTCGTCGGACACATCACTGACAGCCACATGGAGGAGCTTGCGAACAGCTTTGTTGCTGCCGCTACCACAGTATGCAAGAGCCACGGTCATGATACCACCGTATCGTAATGCTGGATCAGCGTCGTCGAGTAGACCATTGATGAGCTCATCGGCGGCTTCTTGTCGTGCGTACATGACGAGAGCCATACCCATAGCCAGACCACGGACAATCTTCTCGTGCTGAGTATCGTGCGAGTACTGAATCATATCTTCCAGCGCCTTCACGTTGCCCGTGCCAAGCATGACCAGACCCATAGCCGTACCGACAGCCTCGCCATTTATGGCGGAATCTTGGTATAGTACATTCTTCAGGTCCTCGTACAGCTGCTCGGAGCCAGTGGCCATACCAGCGACACCAAGACCAAGTGCGCCACCATGCTGTACGACCTCCTCTTGCGTCTCCTTGAACTGTCGCTGAAGGTAGTCGAGGACGTTCGTGCCGTGATTGGTGTAGATCAGTCCGAGAGCGTACAACGAACCACCCTGGCTGTATGGGCTGCCTTGGTTGGCGTTCGCGTTCTCCTTAGGGAGGTATGGGTCCAAGAGCTTCTGGCCTTGGCTGAGATTGCCTCGGTGAATAACGCCCAGCGCAGCGGTCGCAGTAAACTTGCTCCAATTCACTGCCTTACCCAGCCACTCCAGGTTCTCCCGGAAGAAGCTGTCCACAGTTGTGCCAGCGTTCATAAAGGCGTTCGCAAACGTGACAGAGGTGTGGAAGATACTATTGCGAGCCTCTAGCGAATCTCGTACTTTGTTGAGGATGGCCTTGTCGGAGTGTGAGGATCGGAAGAGGAATTCAAGGTTGAGGTCGATACTCTTGGTGCCTTGGAGGATCTGCCGTATCGAGCCAAATGCTTTGCCTTGCTCTTCATTCTCTGCTTTTGGTTTCGTTCTTGATGGCAGTATTGTCGAGCTAGGTGCTGCGTCGCCTGCACTATCCTGTAGCTCTGATAGCAGCTGTGTCGACTCATCTGTCTCCTCAGCCTCGTTCGGGTGTGGTGTAGCAGGCCGCACAGCATTGCCATTGGCCTTTGGCTCCTCTTTCTTTTCCTCTTCGCTTTCTGGTAGCTCTTCCATGACCTTCTGCAAGAATTCCTGCGTGCCGTTTTCGTACAGGTCGAACGAAAGCTGATACGCGATCGCTAGTGACTTGCCGTCGCCCTTCTGTATCAGCTCTCGCAGCATGTTCGACGCCATGGCGTGCTGGTCGAGATATACTACGCATCGTGCGATCGAGAAGTAGTCCGGGCTCGGAATGTCGTTCAACAACTCCAGGATGAGCTTCAAGATCTGGTTCCGAAAGCCACGCTCTTGCACCACATTCATGCAGATATCAAGAACGTACTCCATGAGCTCGTCGGTCTGACTTGCGCCGGAATGTGCTGCACCTTTCCCTTTGCTGCTCTTCTCCGCCTTCGAGACACGCAGAATAGCTTCACGGAGGACCTCCATGTTCCTAGCCTCAACTGCGATACCGACCACCTGTTTGTATGCGCCCACTTCGTAACAGCTCTCGAAGATCCTCCGAATGACTGACTGAAGGTTCTTCTTGGTCACGTTCTGGAGAGTCAGGGGATGGGGATGTGCACCAGGTACACCAGCATTGCCGCCTCCTGGCGCTGAAGCGTCCCAAGTGTTCTCATCTTTCCTGCTCAGCAGCGACTTTGATGGCAGGACCGCCTGCGAGAATGGCATTGTGGGTGAGCCCATAGCCATGGCAGCGGCGGGTGGCGCATTTGGGTTGCTTGAGGTGCTATCACCGGATTCGGAGGCACCGATTGTGGACGATGCTGGCTTGGGAGGGTTGTGCAGTGCGCAGAGCGAGATATAGGTGTCGATGCACTTGGCGACTATGGTCTCCTCATACTCGTCAGCGTTCTCGATGTCGAAGTGGTCGCCAGCGCCGAGGGCAAAGACCATGGCCTCATTGTACTCCTGAAGATTGTAGTAGATCTTCGAGAGTACTAGAGCTGCCAGCTCGCGGTGTGAGAACTTCTCGTCCTCGTACAGTGCTTCTCTACGATGGATGCGTCAGCGTGCCGGTCCTTGTCACACAAATGTCCTGTTCTGCGCCACCAAACCACAGCACGTGGCAGCTGTCAAGAAGGCAGGATGAAGGGGAAGATATACGCACATCTGTCCAATGGAGCCTGATACCTCCGTCCATACGCTCTCGATATCCTCGTTCAGCTTCTCAAGCGCAAAGACCTGTAGCGCCTGATCCGGCTCGGATAAGAAGCCCACCACACCGGCGGCAGACACGAGGCCGACCATCTTATCCCTCGCTCCTACTCCTACTCAGATGCACCAGTGCCTTGATCGTACTTGCTATCGAGATGATGGACGTTGATGAAGGTAAAGTGGCTGTAGTGTTGACAGGGAGGCTATCGTGGCGCGCTGCCCAATAATGGAGATTAGAGGTGTGTTGTGGCCGGATGTAGCCGTGTATAGTCGAGAAGGACAGGATGAAGGCGACAGTACACACTCGTGGAAGATGATGAGGCGGAGATGTGTTCGTCGATGCGTGAATCGTGGCTCGTGTGAGCAGAAGCCAATCGAAGCTCGACTCCCGCAGGCAAACACGCGCAGCATCGTCGGGCGCCTCGGTAAGACTCCCGAAGCCCTAATTGCTGAGCATCAAGCACGAGTCATGCAGTCAAGGTGCGCCCTATGAATGCAGTAGTATCAGAAGGCCAAGAGAGCATAGCAAGACAAGCTATCTGTGTACAACCCATGGCAACTATCTTCACTTGTAGGTGCGAGACCTTGGCATTCGATATTTGTGGCTTGCCTAGATACATACGGCCTCCGAAATCTCGATGACTGCTGATCAGAAACCATCCCATAGCTTTAAGCCCACCGGCGTCATTATTCCTGTGCCGCGACACGAAAGCAGTCTCTGTAGTACGCAGTAGACTACCATGATCTGATCTATTCGATGTCGACGTACTCGTCATCTGTAAATATGCAGTAAGCCTCGCGTAATCCCCGATTAGTGAAGAGCTCAGGCTGGACTGCGAGTGAGCTTACCATGACGATGATCACGAACACACCCCTCGTCTTCAGCCATCGAGCACACCGATGCGGGCATCACTCCTTGCTGACTTTGGCAGTCTGTGGAATGACTACGCTGCTGGTCCCTTCACATTGCCAAAACGAATATCAGACGATCAGATGCTGCCCGGCCGACAAGATGCTCCGTGGTCCGAAGACGACTTCGAAACGTCTGTGGTGGTGGTAAAACCTCAGCTACATCTACTCTCATGATTGGGTGTGCTATCGCCGCGGTCGCCATGTATATTTGGCTATTATCAAGATGACGAAAACCTTTGCAAGGGTGGCACGACGCTGTGGAAAAATTTCTCCCCAAAGTCTTCTCGCTCCAGTCATTGAGCCCTAAGCATAGGTACCGATGGGTGGGACCGATCTCCCTGAGCTGGGCAGAGTGGAAGGACGTGTAAATACTCTGCGCAGCGCCGAACACGGTCTTCGATGCCTGGTGCGGCTTCGACTTATGTTAAGCAGGCCATGACATCTGTGCTGTCCTCTGAAGTATGGTATTGAATCATATGGCGGCACGTTTGCGGATCTGTTATGTGAGTGGTGGTACGTATTGAGGCCGCTGGCTACAGGACGAGGTCTACTGGCTTGGGACCGAGAGAAGTCGACCTAACGCTGTACGGAGACTTTACAGAGCTCCTGATAATCGTCATTGCCGAGAGGTCTTGAGATGGATGAATACATGTACTATTAGAGGAGGAGTGGTAGGCTGGTACCGAACAGGCGGCTCGGCGGAGTAGCCGGAAGTTCAACCTAATTTTGATTAGCCATATTCTACCATTAGACCAAAGATCACACCCAGCATCAGTATTACAGTGCAGCCAGTATGGTGACCAATTCAAATGTGCAGGACGAGGGTCACGACTGTGTCGTCCGGACCAGGGCGATATGTATACGTGATGGTAAGCGTGCTTCAAGTCGTCGATCGCGAGTGGTGTTGTGTATCGTTCGCTGTGACTCGGCGGGAGTGCCAAGCCATGGCCGCGCCGCGTCTTCAATTGTAGATAGTTCACACATCACCGCCAAGAGAGATATAGCTCTCATCTCTGTAAAACATCTTATCGGTCTTCGCCAGTAGCTGCTGTATACCTGGGGCTCATGCTGCAGTGTTCGCGACTGCGGGTAACTCGAGCGCAACCGCCAACGCCGAAGCCTTGCGTCGATCATCCGAAAAGGGAGGAGCTGGAGAGCATCAGGAGGGGCTGCGCCTGAGCGCGGTGGTGCGCATCGCATGAGGAAACGATAGCGAGGGAAGGCAGATGGTCTGCGCATACATATTGAGGAGCACATAAGGCGGCACAGCGGACGTCAAGAGGTTAGCCAGAGCGGCACAGTTCGAGGAAGGCACCATGGATCTCTCGGCGATGTTGAATGATGGATCGGCGGAGAAGAAGCAGAGTCAGAGTCAGAGCCGGGCATCGCCAGAGAGGCAGAGCACACAACGTTCCATCCCAGCCACCCCCAGCGCCAATGGACTATCTTCTGGCTATCCACAATCGCAGACCACACCACTATATGCTCCTCCACCCGGCGCACCACTGTCACGACAGACCACAGGCTTGACACCATTACGCACGCCGTCGCAAGGTCTGCCGGGGTCGCAATATCCTTTCCCAAACCAGACTTCGCAGAGCCCAGCCGTCCAGCAGCCTACTGGCAGCTATCCACACTATGGGGCCCACCCAGCAACGACACCTGGACCCCGGCCATCGAGCCATAGCTACCCATCATATACGCAGCCTTCACCAGGCCAGCATAGTCTGCAAGGGCATCCACCTGGAGTGTACGGCCTTCAGAGCTCCTCACACTCGCCGACGCCTTCGTCCCATCATGGCCAGACACCGCAGTCATTACGCCAAAGCCCGCTCTCAGTAATGTCGCATGCACCACCGCCCATGCAACATCATCCCCAATATGCGCATCAGCACTCGCAGCCGAGCACACCACTTGGTCCGCCACCCTTACAGTACTCACGAACATCCGGCCAAAACTTCCACGATGCGCAAAGCCCATACCATCAGCGACAATCATCTGGCGCATCAAACGGCATGACTGTAGCCTCTCCTGCGCAGCATCAGCCGAGTATTGGTAATCTATTAGACTCGCCAAGCGGGTATACCCGCCAGTCACCGCATCTTCGCCGAACAAGCGACTACCTCAGTCAAATGGACCGTGAACGTAGTGTGTCAGTCAGTCCAAAGACAAAGGTCCTACCCCGTGCACTTTCCCAGACTTCGAGACAAAGCAGTCAACAAGAAGTACCGAGTGCACGCAGTTCACTGCAGCACCAGCACAGTGTGGCGTCGCTATTGGAGTCACCGAGCCACGTGACCACACACTCGCACTTGGCTGTGGCCCAACCTTCACACAACGCACCGCAGTCACAACAACTGCATGGCGTCACACAGGCCATACCGCCGTACCCAGCCACGGGTCAGCCGCCGCTAGCACAGAATTCTTTGTCTCAACCCAACAATCATTCGCAACTTCCAATTCAGCATCAGCCTCAGCGTATGGACATGAATCACCTGCTCACCTCTGCCAGCTCAGTGACGAGTACAGAAGGACAGGAGAACATGGCACCGAAGAGGAAGCCACAGGAAGCATATCAATTCATGCGGCCATCGCCGAAACCGAAGAGGTCTAACATTGCGCCGCCGCCTGCGCCAGTAAAATCAACCACACAAAATCAGTCCGACGATCTGAAAGGTCACGAATCTCCGGAAGTCACACCTGTGCAAAATGCGGATTCGCGAGAGGAAATCTCTTCGCAACAGGGGCCTAATAATGACGCGATTCACAAACAACAGCCTCGCGACACTCACATGCTCGATGCCAAGCCAGCTAGTACTAAGCGTCCTGCCGAGACAGAGCCATCGTCGGAGCCACCTGCGAAACGTGGAAGGAGTGGGCGAAAATATGCAGATTTCATCAAGCCGATCTGGGCGAGGCTATCTCCAAAAAATCCAATGTATAATGCCAAAGAGGATGGCGTAAGCAATGGCCGCGCACAGCAACATGCACCTCCGCCGGCACCGGTGCAGCAACGACAACAGCAACCTAGACCGAACGGGCAGGTCCAGCAGGCAAGGAATTGCCGAATGTCGCAAGACGACAACTGCTTCCCACCTGGTGTAGATCCTGAACGACCATGGGCAGATGATCCGCCTCTCAATCGCGATCTTATGCAGATGCAACACTGTCTCAGCCTACCGAGGTGGGAGAAGTCGCTCAAATACCACGACCCGATGCCAGATATGCAACGCTGTGCAATGGACTGGCTTTACCGCGAGATGTCTCAGCTCAAAGATATACCACATGACAAACGGATCGTCGAGATAGAGATCGAGGGTAAGATCGGCCGGATCATGAAGGGCGACGAGAGACTCAGTATGCCGATCCTCACATCCACTGTCCTGAGTGAGGACTATGCACAGAGGAATCTTCGTTTCGAGAGCAAAATGGAGGTTCACGAGCACAAAGCCATGAATGACTTCCTCAATGCCGAGCTACTCGCGTCCAGAAGCGATTGCAGGGTTCCAATGGAGTACTCGCACCCGAAAACAATCGACTCCTTCAAACCTCTCTCCGCCGTCGGCTTCCAAACCCTGCCGCCCTCCTTCAAGCGCCACTGCTTGCACAACTCGAAAGACCTCAAACTCCGCACCACCACCGACCAAATCACTGGAGCAGTCACCGCACGCATAGTGAAGCACAAGATCTCCGACCTCCACATCTTCGGCCCACAAGGCGAATACGACTGTCGTATCTCCCTCAACCTCGAAGCGAAACTCATGCCGCCGCCGCACGATCCAAATCCACCCGAAGAGCTGATGACCCTTCCCTCCGTCGCCGAAATGGGAGATGAGTGGCCTTCAAGTTCGCGTGTCCAGCCTGACCGGGAGAAGGATAGGTTGAGTTATAAACATCAGATCTACCAGATCGATCTGACAAAAGTAGGCGGTGGGAAGGGGAGTTACGAACTGGAGATCGAGGTCGATACCCAGGTTCTCCGCGAGCAGATGGAGAGGATGGAGCAAGGGAGGGAGAATGGGTTTGCTGGGATTGTGGAGGGGTTCCTGAACAATGCTACGTTCTTGACGAGGCAGAGAGCTTGATTCTTGTGCACTAGACACTAGTTTGAAGGCATTGACAACCGTTATAGAAGGATTAGTGCGTAGTGTCATGGTAGAGATAGCTTGCCTCGCCTTTTGTGCGAAAGGCTCGATAGCATCGTATTGCAATTTCTTTCCTACTCGTTATAGTGGCGTGGAGTCTCGAGCCGTGGCATGAAGTGCATGTGTCCGTTAGTCACCACATGATGACTCAGTGTACGTTAATGTGTTCAGATGCCACGGATCAGGAGGAATTGGTAGCAAGCGCGGACCTCTACAGCTCGTCTACTGTCACTGCGATCAGCAGACTCGACATAGGCATGTTTGTCATCTGATTGCAGTCCCTCTCCGTTTCCCAGGACATTGCTTCTTCTGCCAATCTACCGCCTTCAACTTCGGCACACCTTCCGTCCTCTTACCAGCCGCTCTACTAGATCCTTCGGCTCCAGTCCACTCTCCTCCGTTAAGTAAATTCACCAGCGCACCGCCGCTCTTACCCATCAGCTCCTCAAACCCACCTTCCTCGACAATACTGCCTCGATCAAGCACGACGATCCTCTCAGCCATCTCCATCATATCCCGACTGTGCGTGATGATGATCACCGTCATCGCCCTCCTCTTATCGTTCACAAGCTTCACCAAAGTCTGACGTATCAGCTCCGCGCTCTCGACGTCTAGGGCTGATGTGGCTTCGTCAAGAATGAGGACACCTGGTCTACGTACAAGTGCTCGAGCGATGTTCACGCGCTGGGCTTGACCTCCTGATAAGCCGACACCGCCTTCTCCTATCAAGGTGTCGTAGGCTAGTGGTAGGGAGACGATGAAGTCGTGGATGCCTGCTGCTTTCGCCGCCTCGGTTACGGAGCGGAGATTGTTGTATGGCGAAAGGGGCGAGAGGCCATAAGTGATGTTTTCTGCTACCGTCGCAGCGAAGAGTGTTGGTGTCTGCAGGACTGGGACTATTTGCGCACGGATAGACGGTGTAGAGAGAGTCCGGATCTCCCGGGTGTTGATCTGTATGTCTCCACTACTGCTAGAACATTGAGCTACAGACCATAGGTCTAGGAGGAGGTTGGCGATAGTAGATTTGCCGGAGCCGGAGCCACCAACTAGTGCTGTGCTTGTGCCAGGCGGGAAGTGGATGTTGATGTTGTTCAAGATAGCCTGCTCTGGACGAGATGGGTAGGCGAAGCGGAGATTGGTGAAGACGATCTCGTCTGCGCGGACGAGATTCGTGTCGCCGAGGTGTTCGTGAGAATCCTTCGGGAGATATGCCAGACGCATAAGTCGTGAGGCGGCATCGAGATTACTGCCGACTTCAGGTATGCAAGAGAGGATGACGCCGATGTTTGTCAGGGCGAAGATGAGCATGACGAAAACTTGGATGCACTTCATCACTGGAGCTCCGTTCTTGATGAGCACAGTCCCAATGTAGAAAATCATTGCGGTGGCGAAGCTCGTCGCAGAGTCTGACAAGCCAAAGAAGAAGCCCGTGTGAAAAGACCGCTGGAGACCGATGGTCAGGCCCTTGTTAGTAGCGGTGACATACTTCTGCCTGAAGTGCTCTTCAAGTGTCAGGGCTCGCACGGTCTTAATATTGGTAAAGGTCTCAGTGAAGATGGCTGAAGCTGTCTCGGCGGCATCAGCGCTAGCTGTCTCCCACTTGCCGCTGATTGAGGCGTAGACACGAGATACGGCGAGGATGTATGGTCCGACTGAGAGAGCAATGAGTGTCATCTTCCACTGCGCTGCTAGCGCCCATAGTAACGAGACGACACACATCATGAGAGCAACATAGCCCAACGATGTGAAAGTGCTCAGCAGCTCACGCATAGCCTCAGCGTTACGGTCCAGGCTGTCGACCAGGTGGCTGACAGAGTTCTCCGGCGCATCGAAGAAGACTTTGGGCTGATCCAGGATTCTGGTGATAGCCCGATCACGAAAGCTATCCACCCACGACTGACCAGCACGTCCGAGATTGTACCGCTGCATCCAGGTATGCAATCCATCAGCGACAGCTATGCCCAGTATCGACAAGGCATATATCAACTGCTTGTGAGCTGATCCTACCGGCTGCGCGTAAGTTGAAAGGAGCTGCGAAAGGATATAGGCGAACAGCGGGACAGAAATGGCGTGGACAGTACAGCTGTAAACTCCCAGCACCAGCATAATGCGAGAGGGTAGAGTAGCGTTGGGCCAGATAGTAAGCATAACTTCGGCAAGAGTCCATTTCCTGTGACTTGACACCTGCTCTGCGCTACGTTTCTTGGACTTCCTGGCCAACAACAAATCGTGATCCTCAGCCAATGCGAGCGACAACATCTTCACATCAAAGGCCTTCCGCTGTCCGGCCGTCCGGGCGTCAGCTGCCTGCCTCCCAGTACGGTCGATAAGTGTTTGTAGCATGCCAGACCACCTAGAGTTCGATCCATTACTTTCTGGATTGGTCAATGCATTCTCGCCGTCCAGTAGCTGCGAAAATCGCATTGAGGACCGTGGTGATGTCGGCGAAAGGTTTGACCCTGGCATCCAGCCGCCTAGTGCACCAGGCACCACTCTGCCCAGAGGTCCCATCACTGGGTTGGTGTGGCTGGTTTCGAAGACAGCTGGCAGGAAGGTGATACGCTTGTTCTCGTAAGCATCCATTCGCGCTTCTAATAGGTCGTGGGTGACATAGCCTTCGTCGAAATCGTGGCCCAGGGTATCGATGGAAGATCCTCGTGTTCTGATGCTCTCGAATATCGACATTGTAGCTTTCCGAGCGTCGTACGGTGAAAGTGTTGCTCTTTGTTCTATTGGTAGGAAGGACTGGAATGGTGTATCTTTCATCTTCTCCAGATGTCGACGATACCCTTGCTGTACAAGCTTTCCATGCTCGAGAAGAAGAACATAATCGTCTGCAAGGATTTGTGAGATATCATGTGTTATTATGATGGTCGTCTTACCCTTTCGCCACAGGCGGATAGCATCCATCATCAACGCACGACTGATATGATCCAAAGCACTAGTACTTTCGTCCAAGATCAGTATAGGTGTATCGCGCAGCCTAGCTCGTGCCAATGCTATGCGCTGACGCTGCCCGCCTGACATCGTGCCTCCTTTGTACCCAACGACAGTTTCCAATCCGTTTGGCATATCGCTGATCATGAGTTGAAGAAGTGCAAATTCGACCGCCTGCATTACCTCTGCTCGCGTGACATTCTCGTGATCAGGTCCGCCGAACGCAATGTTGTCAAACACAGTAGCGTTGAAGAGCAAGCTTGTCTGCTCTACCAAAGTCACTTTCGACCGCAGCCATCCCACATCAAGCGTATCCAGCGACACTTCATCGATCATGATTTGACCTTTTGCAACCCTGTAAAAGCCCATCAGCAGCTGACTGATTGTGCTTTTGCCCGATCCACTACGGCCGATCAGAAACGTCATCTCGCTGCCAGCGATGAACATCGTTACGTCGTCCAATGCCAGCTGATCTGGCCTGGACGGGTAGGCGAACGTAACGTTCTTGACGTCGATATCGCCCTTGCAGGTACGCGGCGTGAGCCAGCCCTGGTTGCTCTGCACCACGCCACCGCGCTGTACCTCCGCCATCACTGCTCTTAAGCTAGAGCCTGCTGTCCTCCCTTTCTCTAGGTTGACCATCTGCGGCAGTATGGACTGCAGTGCCTGGAACCCGCCGACTGCTGCAAAGAATGAAGTCATCACGTCCGCCACGGTGGCTTCGCCGTTGCGAATGACCACACCACCATAATAGAAGGCCAGCACGAACATTGCGCTGCCGAAGAATGCCGCTGCGCCCTGCTGCAGACCAGCTGCGAAGGCAATGCGAGAGTATGAAGCGGCGGCACTGTTTACACGAAGCATGTACTTATCGCGCTCAGCTTCCTGGCCATTGAAGCACTTCACGGTCTCGATGGATCCGAAAGCTGAGATGGCGAATTTCTGAGCTTCGCCGAGCTTGTCCTGCTGCACCTGAATGTGCTTTTGCATCGTGCCCGCGACGACCGCAAAGAGCGTCATGAGCACAGGTGCGAGCACCAGTGTCATGGCAGCTACTTTCCACTGATAGTAGAACGCTTCTGTCAGGCTCAGGATGCACTGCGCCAGGGCCGAGAACAGGATGCCAAGAGGCTGTGATGTCGCAAGCTGCAGATCTCGTATTTGCGCTTGCAGTCGTGGTAGCAACGCGCCAATGCCATTCTTGCGCCGATCATACCATTCGATATCTTTCTCGAGTAAACCATAAAACAGTCGGTCCCGCGCGCTTTTCGCCTGCAGCTCTCCAAACGCCAGCCAAAACACGAAGTCGAGCGAATGGAAAATCCAGCTTCCAGCACCAATCGCTACCAAATATAGTACATACATTCGCTGTTCCTGTAGAAGCGCTTCCCCTGTGTACTTCCCGGCGGCATAGTCCGTAAAGCCTTGAAACAATTTGCCAGTGACGTATGATGTGAAAGGACTGGTGGCGCCAGCCAGGAGAGAGCTTATAGCGCCCGCGACGAGAAGCGGGAGCTGTGCTCTGGTTGTGAAGAAAAAAAGCGCTTTCCAAGGTGTCGGGAGCTTCTTCTCGGTATCCTGTGGCGAGTCATCTTTGGCTCGAATACTAGGCTGATTTTGCGTTGTGTCACTTCGGCGGTTCGGAGGCATCTGACCGGAGAATTTGAGTATGCCATTCGGTTTCGTGACCTGAGGATGTACGGGATAGTTGGCAAGACTGTATACAAGACTGTACAAAATGTGGATCGGATCTCGCGTCGCACTAATCCGATCATGAAGTGACGTTGAAAGGTCGAGGCGCCGTTTTCGGACTGGCCCGTGCTCAAAAGAATGTGAGAAGCTAAGTATTGTTCTTGCCCAGCTCTTTCACAGAGGCGCGACTCGTGTCCGCTCCTTCAACTACTCCATGTCTTAGCTATCACGTAGCTAAGTGAATCACCATGTGCCCATCAATCGTAGAAGTCTATCGCGACGTGCTTACGGGCAGCAGAGGCGCTTATTGGTAAGTCCCACTCCTCATTCCAGCGTAGGCCCATTAGTGGCTCCTTTACGCGGTTTATGCTGATGCGGCCTTTGTAGTAACAATCGATGATCAACCATGATCAGGGTCCGTAGGGTAGACAGCCAGATGTACTGAATCATCACTCACGAAGCACTCGCCTTGTCTTGCTGAGCCTTCTCATATATCCAGTCGTTGAGACCGGCGCGGTTACTACACAAAGTCAGTATCATGGCGTCGACCCGAGTAAGGACGGGCAGACATACCGAGCAATCTCGACGGCGTAGAATTGCATGCGCACAGCTGTCACAAACATTAGTCCGATTCTGCCACATTCACTTCAAAACCATCATGGGAATACCGAAGATCGTCTCCTTCTCGCCGTACTCCCAAGTCGAGTTCGCTCTCAGCATTGCCCCGAAGTTGTAATCCTCTACCTTCCCTTCATACTCATTAACGAACGTCCTCCACTGCTCCTTGCCCTCCTTGCTTTTCATGTCGTCCTCATTAATCGTCGCTTTGAGATCAAAGTCAGGGAAGTGGCGGTTGAAGTGTTGGAGTATGTCGTCGTCCATCTTGGTCAGACGCAATTTTGAGCCGGGCATCTTCTCTAGGATTGCCCAGTACGTGCTCATGTGTTCGACGACTACAACATCTCGTCAGACACTGTCGAATGCCTCTTTGAAGCCATCAAGACCATACCCTTCACCGCAAACTGCTTCTCAATCTCCTCAAAATTATCTGCCTCCTCCGGGTTGATGACCCCGCCTCCAGGCGCACTGAGTGCCATATTGGTAGCAAAGGAACAAGACAAACTGAAGACTGACTCGAAGTTGATCCTAGGTTGCACCTCTCCCAAAGCGCACTACGCAGGGGAGCAATCGTTTCAGCGAAGGATGACGAGCAGAAATTATTGTGGGGCAAACACCGTTTCGACCATTCGAAATATACAGCAGCCCGTACAACAGCACATTACAGACCTCAGAGCTCCCGTGTCTCCTTATCTCCCACACCACGTCTCGATTTCCGACCCTGCAGCCGCAACATCTGTAGCCCGATAAGATGCCGCCTATGTTGAAGTATCATTCGCTCCCCTTGCCAGAGCCAGCCGGCATAAGCTGGCGCCCATAACGTCATGCTCCCGCCAGTAACTACGAGTATCGTGTACTCCGTATATACGACGAGAGATCTACATCTCAGACTGGTTGTGATGCTCGATCTGGTTCTCAGCGTGTAGCTCATGAAGTAGTGAACTCCGCGGAAGGACTGATGGTATGGTAGGCATAACGATGTACCATATATTTCATTCCCATATAAGGTAGGACTGTTAAGTCTCTTCCTACTTGGTGTGCTTCATTCTCCAAGAACAATCGGCAGCCATGGACGCCTTCACGCCTCAGCAGACCATCGAGCTCGTCTCTCGTATAGGTTGCAAAAAAGCTCATATGCGCCTGGACAAGCTTTTCTGGAACAGTTTCATGTCTGGACCTCTACTGGGCTTTGGCTGTGCAGTACTTGTTAGCACGAATGCTGCGCCGTGGTATCAAGAGAATGCACCAGGGCTCATTAGGACGATAGGCGCTTTGATGTTTCCGATCGGTAAGGCTACTGTGGGACATTTGAAGCTGCTGAGAAGTCGCACTCATGCTAAGCATTGGTCAGGACTCGTGATGATTGTGCTAAGCGGTGCCGATCTGGTAAACGCATCGTTCAGCCGAGGGAAATTCTGTCGCTAATGTATCTCCAGTTCACTAGCAATATCATGTTCATGACTACGGCGTTCTTACGTCAGTCTACCAGCCAATAAAACGACTCGAATCGATTACTGACTGTGACTCAGACCGTAGAGTGAGCATAATCGATGTGGCCAAGAACTGGATCGTCTCGTACTTTGGGAATCTGGCAGGGTCGCTCTTTTTTATGGCCATCATTACCGGCTACGGTGGCGTGTTCCAGGAGGCAGAAGCGTATACTCATGCGGCCGTCAATCTTGCAACACAAAAGGCCTACACACCACATTGGCATCAGATATTCCTTCGTGGAATAGGTGCCAACTGGCTTGTGTGCTTCGCCGTCTTTATCAGCATCAGCAGCCGTGAGACCTCAAGCAAGATCATTGCTATATGGTGGCCGACGGCGACTTTTGTGGCACTTGCGCTGGACCACGTTATCGCCAACATGTTTTTCATCCCACTTGGCATCTGGTGTGGAGCCCCGTTCGGCGTAGGATACTACATCTGGAAATCGATGATCCCTACACTCATAGGAAACATGATTGGAGGTGGCTTGTTCGTTGGTGCCATGTATTGGTACCTCTATCTGACTGGAGACGATGGCGTGTCGGTGGACTTCAACACTGGCTCCCTTGCCACGGCCATGGAAGCCGGCGGACCTATGCGAAGGACGAGGACTGAGCAGGATCGCGGAAATGGCACGGTAAGTGGAGGAACAAGCTGCACACATGAGCAGAGCCTCTCGCCTGACGTCGATCCAGATTATTGGCCAGGATCCAACAGAGCAATTATCGCCGCAACCGACCGGCCACATGATGAGTGGACTTGGCAAGGAGCTGGCAGACGACAGTCCATACACATTGACGCACGCCGACCGTGTGAAAAAGTCACGCGATCAGGCTACGGACGAGAAGGTCTGAAATGTGCTTGGGGCTTTTCAAAGAACGTTTGGCGTGTGCCATTATACATGATACGCCTGCGGAAGGATTGCTCATACCAGGGTATATTTCATGACGCCTTATACTACACTAAAGTTTGACAGACATCCTGCTCTCCTACAAATGCTTATTTCAGCCGTCCCTTAGTCATCACATTCATTCTATGCATCACTTCCTTGATGAAAACAGTCGCTTCATACCCAGCTCCTCCGCCAACCACTGGCCGCTCCGCCTATGCGTACTCTCCGCAGGTACGATGCAGGCAACTTGCTGCTCCACGGATTGCCGCATTATGATATGCAAGCTCGGTGTCGCTGGACGAATGCCCATCTCCGGGTCTAGCGTTATCTCTGAATGTCGGAATTCGCGCATACCAACGTCCTTGCCTTCCTGCTCGACGCCGTCCTCTGCCTTCACTGGATCTTCAGACAGGCCCTTTTCGATGCTGGAAGTGGTTTGACTTTTCTCAAAGTTCAATCTACTGATCTGGAACCAAGGCAGACTTCTAAGCGGACTGAACACCAACCCTTTCTTGCTGGGTGGCTCGGGAGGCGAACTTCTGCGCGACGACTGTGGCGAGCGTAGTGAAGACAACTTGGACGATAACCTGTGCGACATCGAGACGATAGGCGGTTGAAGCAATGACTTCCACGCGGGCGCGCATGCGCATATCACAGCCAAGTCAATCTCCACGGCTGCTGCGATCCACAATGGATATGCCCACCACGTCTCGTCGTATTGCGCTATTAAGCTCTTCCAGATGAAGTATGTTCGTACGATACCAGCTATCGTGACAATGAACCCAAGGCATAGTAGGACGCAGACGCCGAAGCGTTGCCTTCGAGGCATCTGTAGTCTGGCGACGATCGGTATAGGTAAGACCGTGGTGAGAAGGTCCGAGAAGCAGTTGATAACTCCGCTGCCGAGAACGACCTTGCCCTCGTCAAGGCAGTGACCAGATGTTGGTGGAAACACCCAGTAGGCTTCGACAGGCCTGGCAATGATCAGCGTAATCTTAGGATCAAGGGAAAGACACTGCCAACATACACGCAAAGCCATACGCACATGCACACGAAGCCTATGCCAACAGCCAGGGTCCAAAGCAATGCCGCATGTAAGACATATTTGAACCACTTCATGCCACTGTCTTTCACGAGACGATAGTAGAAGCATATCAGTGAGAGGCGTGTGAATGTTGCGGCCAAAGTGAACATGAGCTTGGCGGCGAAGGCTATCTTGTTCGCACTGGCGATCTCACTTGTTGGAATGTCCCAGACGTGGCGATCCCATCCGTACAAAGCGTTTGCGAGCATGACCGTGCATGTCATGCCCACTGCGAAGAGCTGTCTGCGTGTTAGCGCAAGCATGGTGGTGCTTCACGGACGGACGCACCCAGGCAAGTACGATTATGGTATCGTCTATGCCGAACCATTGCTTCACCACTATTCGCGAGTACAGCCTGCCTACCACCGCCACGCAGACCAGAGTAATAAATATGGCATTGACGATCAGAAGTGCTGGACCATGCGTTGTCGGGTCGACATAGTTTGGTACAGGCCATTTCAGAAGGACTGGTAAAGGTGGTAGTCTCATGTTGGGTGGTCAAGCCGTCAGTTTGATAGGCGCAGTGTGCTTCGCAGGATCCATGCTCTTGCGCCCTTGTGGTTTCAAACTGAAATCCCAGATATGTTCAGGCACAATAGGTTCGAGGGACTATGGTTGAAGGAATCCGAAGGGACAGCAGGCCATGCAGAGAAGGTGTGGGCGTACGATATCATCGGTCGGAACTGGCAGCCGTGAAAAGAGAACTTGGCTAATCATAGGCGCATAGGGTACCACTGCGACAGGTCGCACTCGTTAGACTCGAGATGCCGTGTCACTCTTGCTTGTGGGTCTTGCTTGCAATACGCAAGGGAGGAGTTTTCAACCAGCCATTGAGCGTCGCCGCGACCAATAGAGCTGTGAACATGTGCTTGGGAACTTTCTATACGCCCGTTTATGATCTGCTCAAGGGTGTCAATATTGTTCCGGGTTGGCGGCAGACCGTCGTGAACAACCCGGAGAGCCGCTGATGCACGATTCAAGTGCCACGGGTTCCGTTTTCGTGGACTTGCATGTGGTGTGGCCTAGAACAGTCGAGCTAGCAATCACGTCTTGGTCGTTTGCAGATGTCTCATGGTCGCCACGCGGACATCGCGTTGAGTGGCCTTGAGTGTGCTACAACCATTGAGATGACCAACCTGATTGTTATTGAAGTGGTGGCCGAGTTTCGCGTCCCATCCCACATCTGGTGGCGCTCGGCTAGGCCTGCGGCAGAGTGGGTCCAATCAGTCATGCAACTCCCGCCTTCCTCGAAACTCAATGTGCTACTTCGACCACATCTTCGTACCACAATAGACTGGGTGTGCGGAACATCGAGATCGTCCCACACGACAGTCCTCCCAGTCCGGAGGCGATTACTCGAAGTTGAATGACAATAGATCGAAGACTTTACTAATTCTACATATACTGCAGACGATCAGGAGTATAGCGGGGCTGTAACGCACTCCAATCTTGATCGAAGCTGAAGCCAGTCTGATACTGGTTGTACGCAAAAAGTGTGCAATTAGTCAGACGTGCCCCAGCATCGGTTTGTGCCCAAAGGGCGATAGAAATCGTATTCTCATCATGATTGTTGATTACCCCTGGTGGTACCGGAAAGCGAGTCTGTGGACCTATCTGTGGGATGTATTTTCCATCTGCAGGGAATTAGTCGGCAAGGATTGACTCAAGGCGCACTCAGACTTACATTGATAACCATTTACGTAAAGTTGCAGACTAGCCATTGTCCCTGCTGGAGCATCGAATTCTATGCCGAGCGGAACGTCCAGATCAGCATCGATGTCCAGACTGAACTTTGAGATGTACCACCGAATACCACTGGCATTCAAACCCTGGTAAGGCGAACCATTGCTCCAGGCTGCGCCTGTAGGCTCAAAGCCGGGGAGATGCCATCCAAGGCGTGTTCCGTATAAGCCGTCTTCGTTCAACGGTCCACGCACAGGGTCAATGTTGGCATCACCTCCAGCATTACCTTGAATCTTCCACTGTGTGAAATTCATGGTACTGTTGTGGCTTCCGTAAAGCATAGCACCAAGCAACCCTCGTGGGTTCTCCACGCCAGAGCCTGTGGAGGTCTCATCGTGACCAGTATAGTCTGTGACCACCGTAAGAACATTGCTGGTGTTGTACATCGTAGCCTTGTTGAAGTCTAGCAGCGCGGAGCTCGACCATCGAGTGGCATTGCCAGTATTACCACCCACGAATCTGCCATTCAGCCATGCCGACCAACCGGCCGCGGCACCACCTTGTGCGGTGACGTTTGCCGATATAGCTTGACCATCGAAGTAGCCTCGGTAGATCTTAATGCCAGCATAGTACCCGTAATCAGAGCTGAACAGGACAGGCAATGTCAGTGGAGCGGTGGGGCTGAGCGAGCTCGTCTTGTTGCAGACTCGCCACTTCGTGTCGTCGTATCGACGTTGTGCTTCTGGCAGAGAATCGGCGACGAGCCAGGTCAGACATGGTAGTTCGATTTTGCGAGCGCTCGCACCAGGAGCAGTTGCGATGAGAGACCCATAGGCCGTCATCCTGGTATCCAACGCCTTGCCATTCCAGGAAATCTTGTTCGCACTGGCTCCAGCATACACTTCTATGCCTGTTGTGTTCGCATTGTCGCCAATCAGAGAGATAGTGTTGCGAGAAGTGGTGACGTTGCGTACGTTGTAAGGTCCAAGCACAAAAACTTGCGCGTGCGGTGCCACATTCGGATTGGTAGTGGTTGATGGAGCGAAAAATGTCCATGCCGTCTCTGTGTCCAGCAGATATACTACAACGCCGTTCGAGAAGCGTAGCACAGTCGAGCCTTGAGTCTGAGTATAAACGTACTTAGTGTACTCACATGGATTGTTCGTGCTGTTGCTGCCGCTTTGTGCGATAGTCGCTGAAACATTCGCCGTGCCGTAGGTATGAAAAGTCGTGTGTGGTTTCGGGTCCGTGAAGGCAAACTCGCTGGTTTGACCCACGTCTGCGTACATGACAAGCACAGCCTGATTGAACAAGCCATAAGTCAGGATATCAGCTGAGCTATACAGTAAGGTATGCTTGCCGAAATGGTAATCGCTTGTCAGGATCTTGCTTTGCCGACCATTGAGCGAGACCGACGGTACCTCGATCGCGCCGATACTCGTTTCAAGGAAGACGGAGAACGAGATGACAGCTCGGGATGCCGAATTTGCTTGCTGAACAGTGTAGAAGCCTGCCTTTGTGTTCGGATTCCGAAGTACCCAAGAGTACACGCCAGTAGAGCTTACAGCGTTGCCCGTTCCATTGCTTTCCATTTCGGTCATCAGTAGATCTTGCGACACGCGGGTGAACAATCCGATGAGTTTTGTCTGCTTGAACTTGAGCTGGACCTCGCGGGTCTCACGAAGAGGAGCAGAGTAGTCATAACTCGTGTAGACTACTGGAGCTCCAAGGTTGCCCCAATTAGTGCCTCCAAATGCCATATACAGTGACTGCATGGTAACTCTTTGGCCAATGTTGTTCTTGTAGTAGAAATCTGCAAATGCTGGATCATGCTCCGCCAGGCACTGATCTGCAAAGTAGGTGCCCCATCCTAGAATATAACCAGCTTCGAATTCCGGCAGGAACTCAGGCTGACTGGAAGAGTAGTTTTGGAACCATTGGTAGTAGTTTCGGACGACTTGGAATCCCGAATTGATGTTCGTACAGCTTAAGCCACCTGGGTAAGAATCCAAGCCATAGACATTGACCGCGCCGCCGACATTCTGGTAGTCCGTTGACCAGCTCTGGCTTCGTTCGCCTTTCTCGTTATGGGTCAGAGGTACGGTAATACCAGCAGCTCGAGTAGCATTCTCCAAAGCTTCCATGTAGAGAACTAGGGTGTTCGTTGGGTCGTGCTTAGTCTCTTGCAATTCGTTCTCGATCTGCACGAGGATAACATTCCCACCATGAGTAATCTGATTCTTGGCCAAAATGGTGTCCACAGCTTCGATCCAAGGTTGCCAGGCTTGTTCATACGCCACGTCGTTTGTTCGGAGTTTCCCCATTTGACCGTCAGAGCCCCAGAGAGCAAACCCTCCGCCATTGGTCTCAGCATTGCAATACGGACCTGGCCTTGCGATGACATAAAGGCCTACATCCTTGGCAATGTCAAGAAGCTGCTGGATATCCTTGCCAGGACTGGTGAAGTCGAAGACATCCCTTCGAGCACTGTGGTATGACCAAAAGAAGTAGATGCTGACTGCATTCAGGCCGTTGGCCTTATATTTCTCCAGCACATCTCGCCACAAGACTGGATTTGGCAGTCGCTCGTAGTGGCTACCTCACCACGTCAGCGCTGTGCCTTGCGCTCACTCGTTGAACGCATACGTACAATTCACCAGCAGAGATAAAGACTCTCTCGCCGTTGACTGTCAAGCTGTAAGGATCCCAGGTCACTAGGTCGGTCAAGTTGTCGCTGGTGGCGGTTGTTGCGGCGAGCAACGCGGCCAGGCAGAGCATGAGATTGCTGATGAGCTTCATCTCAGTGTGCAGCCAGGCTACAGCCTTGAGATTTGTCTGTTGGAGGAGCGCCGTGACTTACGGTACTTGAACACTTCTAGCGACGTGAGGTACCCATCTGGTGAGCCTTCGTGCCTGCATAGCGACGCTCTGATCTGCATCGTTGTGATCTTCCGCCAATGAGCAGGGAAGCTAACGCGGCGCACATCTCGTTTTCAGCACGCCAGGCTAAATGGACGTGTCCAAGTTCAAAAGAACATGGGCATGATCTCCTCCTCTGCATCGCTCTACTGTGTGGGTGAAGGAGAAGAGAGCGGAGAAGTTGTGCTTTCCTTCGGGGCATGATATTCCGTCTCCACATCCCGATCGCAGCATTATTTCACCGAGATCCTTTGCTTGGCTCCAGCATCAACATGACTGCTTGAATCGACGGCGTACCATAACTCGCTCATCGTGGGAAAGAGGATACCTACAGAACATCTACGTAATCTTAAAATCCACACTCTCTGCTTTTCGACTAGTCTGACGGATCGTCGGTCGAAAGGCTTTGTCGCAGTTCGAGAGAGATCCCGGAGCATCAGAAGCTTGCCCAGTCCAGCCACCCAATGACCAAACCTCTCATCTCTTTTGTTGCATCGCCTTCCACCATCTGTTCCACCTCATCTATGGTAAGACGCCCAGCCCCACCACGCTCCTTGATATCTGTTTCAACATCATCAAGTTCTGCGAGTCTCAAAAGCCGTTGTGGCGATGGCGGAGGTTTCGAAGGTTTCTCAACAGCTGTGGACCTTTCCGAGTCCACAATCGTTTGATTCTTGTGCTTGACATCCGATTGAGGTGCCGCACTTCTCTGCCCTCGCTCCGAGTCTGGTCGATGTTGTGGCATGGTCGGATCTTGCGTGTTGTCAATAGCCTCAGAAGCTGGCAAGTCTGCTGAGATTTTGCAGGGGTCTGCATGATCTTGCTCTTGATTGTCCTGGCTTCCGTCAAAGGTACCATAGCCGACGGTTTCCAGCAACTTGTAGAGTGGCCGATCTGCTATCTCAGCTTCCCGCTGCTCCAGGCTATGAGTATCGGTAGGAACGAGGTCGGCTCTGAAAGGGGGCTCATTGGTCGAGTTCGGGTCCCTGTCAGGCGCAATAGTGTCTTGGGAAGTGAACGCTGTGGCCATGAGCGGATCAACCCGAGACCCCGATTTCAAGTCTTCTCTGAACGCTCGCCTGTCTGCTGCCGCTCGGTCAATCTCAATGCGCCACTCTGTTCGTTCGGCTTTGGTGTCGATGGCGTCCTGGTGCTGTTGCTCTTTGGCCGAGAACAGAGGGTCAAGCATGTCGTCGAAGCCTTGTTCCACGACTTGCCAAAGGGCATCTTGATCAATTTCTGGTTTAGCGTCCAGTTCATCAACAGGAGTCTCGGCAGCGGAATGAGGGCGCTCCGTTATGTTGCGTCCATTCGGTACAGCACCGGAACCGTCAGCATTGACACGTTCGTCCGCAGCCTGCGCAGCACCTTGATCGTCATCGTTCATTATGACATGATGTACCGCGCCACCTTCTGACAGTCGACTTCGCATTGTGAAGCGAGCAGATTCATCCTCGTCATCTCCGTTTAGCATCTCCTCAAACCGTGAGAGTTGATGCCGCAAGCGATCACGACCTGTCATATCGCCACCCCCTTGAGATCCCCCACGCATTTGCAGCGGTCGTTCAGCCGGCCAAGGGTCTTGTTCGTCCAGTATGGTCTTGATACCATTGGGAGGTATCAAGTCCCCATGTATGTCAGGCTGCTTACCCCTAGGCCGTCGTACTTCTCCATACGGTATCTCATCATCTCTGAAGAGAGAACTGATCGGTTGACTCGACCGCAATGTGCTCATTGCTCGCAGAGCCTCATCAGGCTTTTGTGCGTCCACCATGTCACTGACTAGCTGACGCACCAGTACAAACTTCGCGCGGAACAGACGTAGGAAGTCTGCACGATCCACATACCCGTCGCCATCAATGTCAAATCCGTGTAAAGCTCGAGTGAAAGATTCGAATCTTTGCGGCCCTCGAAGATAAGCCATACCACCAACGAAATTGGCAAAACCGATGAAGCCTTGTTCCTCAACATCGTAGAACGCGAACATCCTGTCGAAGATGGCGTTAGGTGCGAATCGCTGAGGCCATCGTTCCGGTGTAAGAGCCTTTCTGAAGGCACGGATGTCTATCCCACCCTCAACACACGTATCATCAGGTGGAGTCGAGACATTTGCCAGACATGAGAACTGATCGTACAACGCATCTATTGTGTGTTCCTGGAAATCATGGCGTTCAAGCAGCATATTCTTTGTTCGTTGACGGAGTAGGGGCCAGATGATTTGGGGATCGCCAGGATACCACGGTTGCTGAAGTTGACTCGGCTGTGACAATACGGGTATGGGTATCTTGATCTTGACGAAAAGGTGCGTCTTCGGATGAACCTTCATAGTCTCGCAGGTAGAACAGAGATCGTAGTCCGGACAATTCAAGCAGTGCCAGCGAATGCCGCAGATTGGACTATCACCGCAGCTCTCACAGCTGATGCCACGATGTTCATAGGCCTTGCTCCCTGCGTTCTCCTCGGCAATGTAATAAAGCAGGCCTGTTATACCTTGACCGCCGTCGCCGGCAGTGCTATCGACGTCCTCAGGGCCCGCGACCTGCTGGTGCGTAGATGACTCTAGATCAGCGACCAGCATGAAATCATGCAAGGCTAAATCAATGATGTCGATATTGACGTTGGGCAGGTGCTCCTCGAGTACATTGCGGACACGCCTCATCGCAGCCACATTCCGTACTTGCAGCGGCCGAATCAATGGCGAAAATTCAGGTCTCGTCACCTGACTTTGTAGCCCAAAGACATTCAAGGGCGAACAATTGAGCACAATAGCATACACAGCCTGCTGCATAGACCTAGCATAAAAGTCTTCGCTAACGCTGCCCACAGCTTGTGAGATCACTTCACGGGCCGGTAATGCTCCGGAATGAAGATCATGCTCGAAGACAAAGCTACCCTGGCGGACAGACAAGATTCCAAGTGGCCTGTCTGGGCTTGGGGTCGTAAGCTCGACCACAGGCGGGCGCCTTGCACGGTTGCGGTGTATTGCATTGCTCCTATGCAAATCAGGCTTCGCAGGAACTTCGGTGATCGTTGTATAGATCTTGTAGGCGCCTATTGCTGCTGCTGCAGTGGCGATGAAGACCAAGGCAGGTCGATACCGAAAGACTTGGGGTGCATGTGCCATGGTCCAGCATGAGATCCGAATGAGTCGCCCAGGGAACGTGACAGTGATTTTCTGCAGCCGCTACAACCAGAATATGACAACATGCAGCGGCGTGAGGTCAGAGTTGCAGGGCACTCGAGTTACTGCGTCGTTATGGTGGTGTGGCGTGCCTGCTTCGCCGATGTGAGGCAGGATTTTCTACGTGACATCTTTCCCAACAAGCACACGGTAGTCGCGTGTACTTGGTTGGTCGCAGGTTTTATTGTCGACATGTGCAGCGGCCGGATCCATGCAGTGATAAAGTAAGGAAGGGAAGGGGAGCAAACACTATTCTAGGCCACAGGCGGCCTGACTCGGCGAGCGCGGGAGTGTGCACTAATCTCATGTCACGTGATGATACTTTTATTGTTTCTATAGCCATCCAATTCTATCAGCTTTGGTCCTTTTGCCAACCTGGTCATTCAAGATCATACCGCCGACCAAGTCTGAATTGTGCACGGCACGTCACAATGGCAAGGTGGCGGAAGGTGACTCGAGGTGCTCGAGCCTTCCACTTCGTATTTGGGTAACTCCTCAACCAATTCTCCATCAAGTCGAATACCTCCCTCTCCATCAGCATCAGCAACACTCAGCCACTCATCATACGCCGTAAGATCGGCTGTGCCGCCCCCGATCGCATGCATTTGGAGTTTCCAGCTCGCGAATCGCCTTTCCTCCTGTTTGCATAGCGCCTCGAACTCGCTCTTTTCTCCATCCTTCACGTACCCAGTCACGACCACTGGGTGGCCTCTGACCCAACGCCAGGCAACATCGAGCAGCCACTTGGTGACCGTGACCTGGCATGCTCCATCGAAGTCATCACTCTCGGTTGCGAAGGATGGTGGCGCGATGTGCAGCGCTACTGAAGTAAGCTGCATATATCTCAATGCTTGTACTCTTCCACTGATGTAGTACAGTCTCGTGCCCGCAAGCTTCAGGCCGAAGAGTCTGAAGTAGTTGCGATGACTTAGCGCCAAGTCCAGACGGCGGATCCTGCTACGCTGCGCCAGATTACGCAGCAACGGGGCAATCAGTCCATATCTCTCCAGCCGGAAAGACGATCGTAGAAAGAGGACATCTCTCGCCTCACGAGAAATCTGTGCATTGATCTTCAGGAGCTCGCGACCGGACTGCGCAGCCTTGAATGTCAGCCCTCTAGGTCCTAGCCTACGGGTCTTAGAGTCAGGGTATGGATGGATGCATGGTCCATAAGAGTGCTCGTAGATGAGGTCGCGAACTTCAGGTGGGAGGTCAAGGAGTCTGAAAGACTTGCCATTGATCCTCCACCAGGCCCAAAGCACGTCCCAGGAAGCGGCAGCAGAGGTCGATGTGGCCGGGTCGAGCAGAGACAGAAACTCAGCCACGGCCTTCCACTTGCCAATGTGCTTGATGTAGACCTTGCTCATGCTTCGGCTAAGACGAACCTCAACTGCCTTCTTTCGAGGGCTCCAGTCATCGAAGATGTACTTGTCGAAGCCGAGCCATTCATCCGATGCAAACACCTCGATCGCATCCTCGGCAGGCTGAAGAAGCACAGTACCAACTAGGCTGAAGTTCGAAAAGCTCTTCGCCCGGTATGCCTCGATCTCGAGATCGATCCTGAGGGCTATCTGATCCAGACGACGGATCCGATTCATCTTGTTCATGTTGTGCTGATATGTTGCAGAGTAGAGATCATTTAATTTCAGCAGATCGGTGTGAGGCTAATGCCTTGACATCATGTTGCGGTTTTGACTTCTGAAGGATCGTGTGAAGGGGTGTTGTAAAAGGTACATGGTTTCGGACTGAACGAAGTCACTTGAATTAAGTAAAGTGCCTTCCGTTTTGAGACCTTATAAAGCCGAGAAGTGATGGTGGTGTCGCCTCGCGGAATTTTGATGTGAGCCGCCACTGACCTAAATCTGAAGCACTGCTGCCCTCTTGTGGTCAAGGACATGAGTGCAATGATGGTGCTCCTTGATGGTATCACATGCCATTGCAGATCCCGGGCACCTTTTGCAAGAGTTCCATGCCATCTGGTCCTTCCTACGAGGCATACCAACGCATCTCATAGCAGGCCTCGTACCATCGCGACCTCGGACCACGGGCGTGCTTTTGGCTTATGCTTTGTGCTGTGGCTCTAAGCGGCGTGGGATCGGGAATGATTCTCGAGCCTTTTACTGCCGATCATCGAGACCGGGGACAGTCCTGGCGTTCACGGTCGACTCGAAATCTGCCAGCAAGTAGCATGCGCCCGAAGTCAGGTGGTCTGTCTACTTCAAGGCCGAGGACTTACACCGCATCAGGGCTACTTAGCGGTAGCGTCAAACCGTCTCTCGACAGGACGGCTCGATCTTCTGCACTCCACCCTGGTGACCTCGGATCTCTTGCAAAGAACCCTGGCAGCTACTGTATAGATCATCATAGCTGGCGCAGGAATCACTCCAACGACTTTCCTAGTTGCTCCAGTGTGAGTATCGACAACAGCAATGACAGCGTGGCCGCCGTAAACTTCTATGCCCGTACAAGGCTTGTAAATGATCGTTCCTACAACTTGCCCTTTCCTTCCGCCTGGCCATCCACAGGCGACATTGTATATGCTTGCAGCGAAGATGGCCGACGATAAAATTCCGATTGAGTGGAATCAAATGCGGTCGACCACACTGGACATGATGATGACAGCTTGTCTACATAAGACCAGAGCGACATGATCGTAAATCGTGTCATAGCACCACAACACAGCCACAGCCACGATGCGCCACCTCGGTCCTTCAGAAAGCTCCTTTGGGAGATACCACGATATATATGCCTGTATGAGGGATGCATAAGTACGGACGACTCCAGAGCTCTCAAAAAGTGATTCACCCGTGACTCACAATAGCGACCATTCCTAGACACCGCCTAGGCCAAAGCACATTGCATTGAAACTTTGTGAACATTATACGACACATGCGTTAGAAACATCGTGACATCCCACGCAAGCAGTTGCAGCTCGATTATCGCCACTCTAAACAGACCCTCATCTGCTAGAATTACCACTTCATTGAGCTCTTGAGCATCGAAAACCTTTCAGGATTCCACCGATTCCATGACCACAACCATGAGCACCGACGACGACGACTTATGTGACTGTGACCAAGACAACGAAGACGAGGATGAAGCATCATACGACCACCCCATCTGGCTCACAGAACTCCGAGGCTTCATCGACTACCGCGAGCGAGAAGCCGAGATGCTCAACGAGCTCTTTGCCATGCACCGTACATTCGCCATCGAGGAGTGGGCGATTAGCCAACGCCGCTTCGTATTCCGCTTCCGAGATCTGGACGTCGAGCTTCTGCATGATCTGGATCAGCCGTTGTGTGTCAACGCGAATAGCTCGAGTATGAGACGGCTGTACTTGGACTCCATGCGAGCGGAGTTGCGAGAAGTATTGCAGCTGTCTCTGGCAGAGGATGCCAGGAGGACCATGAGCTTCGGGTGTATGCTATTGCGCATCACGGAATGTGCCGAGGGCTGGCTACAGTCCTGGCGAGATTCGCTGGCAGCATCTCTGGACATCACGAAAAAGGAGGCCAAAGCCGGAGGCTGGGACTCCGCAACCGTCAGCATTCAGACAGCGCTGTTCGACAACAAGCTAGGCCTGAATCTCATGACGGCCAACGACACAGCCAGACATCTTCTCGGCCGCTCCATCACGGAGATATGCAAGGATGACGAGTTCGAAGACTTGCGAATCCTGCACGTCGAGCCTGTCTTTCGCGATGACTTGGTCATGAAGTTCCTCCGGCAAAAGGCGAATATGAAAGAGAAGCTGATGCAAACGTCTTTCGAGTCACTTCGACGATGCATCTCCAGCCGTCAGAGGAACGCTGATCGCGTCCCTAATGACAAGGAGGCTTTCGCAGATTATCTTACGCAAACCTCAAGTGACCTTTCACGGCGCGCCACGCTATGTAGTCTCCTCGATCGTGCGATATGGATTCCTGATCCCGGGTCAAAAGATCGGTTTCACTGGCAAGATTCTGGACGTCGAACGCGGTTCTTCCTTCGGCGTGGCCATATATTCCAGCCCTAATGCCTCGTACGCTTCCTGTTATGGTCGATCATCGGGAGAATACACCACGGGCTTCACCTCGCCAAGCAGTATTCCCAGGTTTCGCTTATTAGTTTATGCCACGCTTATGGGCCGCTCCATTCAAGTGACGCGCGAAGAGAGGAGGAGACAAGAGGGTGTGGCGAATGCTGATGCGGACTCGCACGTATCGCCCAACAAGATGGAGTACATTGTCTTCGACAGCGCGCAGATCATTCCATGTTATGTCCTGCACGTGGACTACGGAGCCGAGTATGCGAAGACTGGGTTTGAGTGGTCTTTACAGTGGCGGAAAGAAGATCACAAACGTCGACAGCAGAATCAGCATGATAATTCCAGAGGGCAGGGCAAAGGGTATGAGATGCCAGCGGATGTCGTGGCGCGAAAGCAAGCCCTCGAGAGCGCCGCGTCGAAATGGTTCCCCTATGGCTATGGTCCTGCGACGGGTACTAGATTCGAGATCCTGGAGATCGGTGAGGTGTCGGATGATGAAGAGGAATTTGGCGATTACCAGGCTATTCGTCAGCAGCAGTGGGAAGAAACTCGGGAGAAGAAGAGGGTGGAGAGTGGTGGCAACTGGTTCGATCAGTATCAGTCTGTGCGGAAGAGTTTTAAGGAAGTCCGGTTTGATGAATATGATCGTTGATGACGTCGATGTGTGTGGTGTACCAATACCAGTAGCGAGAATATTGTCCTACTATATTGAGAGGGCTGTGTTCGTGTCTTTTGCCAAATGTGTTTCTCGTACCTACCTAGCTTTTGCATGGTGGCGTGGGTCACAATGACAGTAGCAGATGTAGGCTCCGCATTCTCGCTCTTGCCATTGGCGACGTCGCTTAGGTCTGTTCATCTGTACACGCATGAGAAGGCGAAGTGACGTGCGAAGTACACGAATATTCGCCGCTGCGCAGTCACCCGGCACTATCCGCCTCTAATTATGTCAAGGCTGAGCGCGAGTGCGGAAGGCGTTGCGCTGAAGCTTAAAGTTGGTCCCTGCGTGGCGCGATGAAACGGTTCGAGGAAATGGTCGCGTTCGTGATATAAGGGTGACTTTCGCCGTTGTTGTCAGCTGAGGCATGATTACTTCTTGGAGAGCATCTTCCTGAGACACTTCCGTCCCTTCCTTGACAACGACACTCACCATCACGTGCCAGCTCAAATCTCCATCAGTGAAGGAAGCGGTTGCTGTGCGAAGGCAGCTTCAATTCAGGAGTAAACACAGCCGCAAAGGGTCCAGGTCCAGTACCACATCCATTATTGGCAGGCGCCAGCAAACATTATGGCTGTAAGTCGTCCCTTCGCGCATCTTACTGCATATGGCTTGGTATAGTCTTCCGCGATCAGGCGGCAAAATACTACATTATCCTCGCATCGAAGAGGAGCATTGGCGCACAATCAGCAGACAATTCCCAAGCAACATCACACTAATATGGCCCAACCTCAGTACAACTCATACGGTCAAGGCGGCTACGGCTCCTCCAACCCATACGACAATCGAACAGAGAACAGTAACCCCGCCTACGGTCAACCACAAGGCTATGGAGGCAACCAGGGCTACACCCAACACCACGATGTCGAGATGCAACCTCTTAATGGGGAGTATGCACAATCCGGCACTCCCAACCCGCATCAGCAACATCAACGAGACCCCAATGCCATCCTAAACGACTGCCGCCAAGTCGGTCGCGCAATCGACGACCTCGAGTCCCGCCTCCCTGAACTACAACGCCTCCAAAAGGCCTTCGCCAATGGCAACGCAAGCAATGCCCAAATCGACTCCTTAAGCGCGGACATCATGACCGGGTATCGTGGCCTGGGTGACCGTGTCCGTCGTATCAAGAGCCAGCCTGAAGCCGGCAACCCACGAAACAGACCTCAAGTCGAGGCTCTCGACCGAAGAATAAGGAAGGCAATAAACAGCTACCAACAAGCCGAATCCGCCTTCCGCAAAGAAGTCCAAGACCAAAACGTCCGCCAATACAAGATCGTGCGCCCCGACGCCACAGCCGCCGAATTAGAAGAAGTCGCCAATAGCAACGGCGATGTCCAAATCTTCCAACAAGCCCTCATGAATGCCGACAGGCGCGGGAACTCGCAATCCACCCTCCGCAACGTGCAACAGCGTCACGATGCGATCCAGCAGATTCAGAGGACGTTGGAGGAGTTGGCGCAGTTATTCCAGGATCTGGATCAGATGGTTGTGGAGCAGGAGCCGATGGTGGAGCAGATCCAGCAGAAGACGGAGCAGACGACTGATCATGTCGTCGCGGCGAATGTGGACATGGGGAAGGCGGTGAATAGTGCCCGGGCGGCGAGGAAGAAGAAGTGGATCTGTCTTGGGATCTGTGGTAAGTTTGATCTTGCTCTGAACGTTTGTGTTTGGACCTCGCTGATGTGGTGCGATAGTCTCTATCATCCTCATCATTATCATTATCGTGCTGGCCTACGGTGCCACTCAAGGCTGGTTCAGCCATAAGAACACCACCAACACCAACACCAACGGCACTGCTTAAGCAGTGTTGGATGTTGTGGTAGTCCGATCAGACAGCCGCGCCAGGCTTTGATATTTTCCCTTGGGTCAACAACAAAATCACAGAGTTTTTTTGGAAGGTTTTGCTTCTGGGTGGTATAGCAAGCGTGGCGTTCGGGTGTGGACACCGGGATAGTGGCGCAGATATGCTGCTGCTGATGCTGGTAGTGTAAGTTGATATCATGGAAGTAATAATCTTTTCATTCGATCGCCGGGTTTTGTGGAGTATGAAGCGCGCAAGTAGCATGACCCAGCGGCACGTCTAGGGTACATCATCATTAGGACTGCGCTGCTGATCTTCGGCTTGTATTTAGGTTCTTGTTCTCAGAACGCGAAGCCGGCCAGCCACGGTCACCGCAAATGGATGCTGTCAACACAGCTCGAAACATCCCGAGCTGTGACACCAGGGCATGGAACATCGTTGGGTGGGAGATGCCGTGGTATACAGTATCTCATGGAGAGCGAGCGCTCTCAGCCTACTGCCGGCCGATACACTGCCACAACACCATCCGCTATGCTGGAGAAATTCACCGAAACAAAACCAACAACGCCATCGCTAAGTCAACTTCGGCTCAACTCAACCTCACCACTAGGCTCCATACCTCTAATTACCAGAGACAACATTAGCTGCGATATCAGCAACCATCTCCTCACCAAAATGCTTGACCACGATCTCCCTCAACTCCTCACTATTCTTCTCCTCGCTCAACACACCATGGTAGTGCCAAGCACGCATCAGACTGGTGCAGACGACAGTCTGCCCGAACCCGCCATTCTCATACCCGTAGGCGACCGTGTCCTCCTTCTCTTGCTTGAGAACCTCTTCCGTGGCGTCGGTGCCGAAGACGGTGGACGCGAAGTCGTAGACGGTGTTGCCGAGATGTCCGTTGAGGTGAGCAGAGAGGAGTGGAATGAGCACGCGGTCCTTGGCTGTCTGATTCGGAGAGGTAAGAGCACACGGCATTATGAGGTCTGAAAGGGGAGTGTTAGCTGGTCGACGCCTGAGCCTCAAAGTCACGTGAAGTGGCACTAACCAGTTTAGGAAGTCGTGGGAGAATGATACGACGGGATTATACTCCTGTGAAGGTATACCTGTGTGTCATGAGGCGGTCAGTAAGCATTCAACATACCTCACCAAGATGGGCAAAGTACTTACATATCTTGAAGTCCTGTAAGAGAGTGTTGTATCGAAGAGCGAACAGGGGGCGGAGAAAACCTTATATACCTGCCCAAGCACCTGTTTGAGAAGGCACAGCAAGCTTCACAGGGCTCGTGACAGCTGTGCATGGACTGGAAGAGGTGAATGCAGGCACGTGCTGACCGAGAAGAACCGATGGACGGGATTGGTGGTGGTGGTAGCAAGGAGAGCTACATGGCCACTTATGCTTGTGAGGAGACGATGAGGGATCGGTGTGTTTGCTACGTATCTTTGGGAGTGCAGCAGGCGATCATTCAGAGGTGGAGGACTGGTGTGCCTGCTGGTGGAAGGAGAAAGGAGAGATTAAGTGTGGTTATCACTGAAGGGACGAAGCTGTCTAGCAGGACGGAAGAAGCTCTACTCACCAACATCCTCCAAACCAACCTCATCTCAAGCAAAAAAAGCTTTCTTCCTCCTCTCAGCACCGCCTGTATTCACGGCCGGCGGCCGACCCCGTTTCCGCTTCGCAGTGTTCGCCGGCTGCGTACTCCTGGCCTCCGCTGTCTCATCGTCCGTGGTCCGAACAATCTCCTTGATCGTCTGTCTCGACAAACACCCATCGATATGCTCGTTGAACTGCCTCTCCTCCGCAGGCTGAGGCATGGAGCATATAGGGCAATTCCACTGCTCGATGAGAACTTTCGCCTCTTGAGCCGCCTGCGCAGCTTCTTCTTCCAGGATCGAACGCCAGGCGAAGCCGTTGCCGTAGCGGCGGTAGTCGGACGGAGCGCCGTCGGGGTCATATTTGGGTTTCTGGGCACTGGGCGGTGGCTGGTCGCCGTTCTCATCCCCTTCCTCATCTACATATCCATGTTCGTAATCCTGCTTCTGCTGCTCCTGCTGCTGGGATAATCGCTCAAGCTCTTCCATCTCCTCCTCCTTCTCCATCCTAGCGGCATACTCAAACTCCTCGTCCGGCCACTTCTGCCATCCTTCCTCATCGACGTCCACCTTTGCTCCATCAGGATAGCCCCCTTTCGAAAGTTCGGAAGTTAGCTGCCTTGCCCGCCCGAAGAAATCCACATCCCCTTTTTTCATGCTAACAAGATGCGTGCACCTCAACCCCATCAACCTTAGCTTCATCCCCGGCAGCTCCTTTATATACTTCTGCAGCATAGGCCAAGCGTAGTGAAAGAGGTCATCAGCCGTATACACAGCTTTCGGAGGCTGGATCTGTCGATTCAGGACTTCATACGTATGCAACTTGATCTTGAGCACCAGCGTCCTGCCTTTGAACTCAGTCCTCTTCATATCCTTCTCCAGCTCCTCAGCCGTCCAGCGTAGCTTCGCGCGAAGATCTTCAGGGTTCTCCATATCGTGGAACGTACTCTCCGTACCTACACTCTTCCGTTCGTGTTCTTCCACTGGTCTTACGTCTGTTCGACCAAGGCCAAGATGGACTGACATCAGGAATTGAAAAGCTTTCTCGCCGAATAGTGCGTTGAGGTAGTGCCGTTGGTCGTAGATGTCACCACAGGTCTTGATGCCGATGGCGTCTAGTTCGCGTTCGAAGACACGGCCGATGCCGTTTACTTTGCGTGTCGGGAGGTGGCGCATGAAGCCTATGATGCTTGCGCGATCCGAAGGTAATTTGTACTGGCCGTTGGGTTTGTTCTTATTACTGCAGATTTTGGCCAATTTGGCATTTGCGGCTATGCCAGCGGATATGGTAATCTTAGCTTCGAGATGCACTTCAGCTCGCATCTGCTCGACGACATCCTCTGGTTCCATATTGTGGTCTTGGCAGTATTGCGTGATATTCAGATATGCTTCATCTATAGATGCTGACTCGAAGCGTGGGTCGTACTGCTCCAGCACTGCTCGCACCTCCTTCGCTTTGGCAGTGTACTTCTCAAAGTTCAATGGGATGTGGATGAGCTCTGGACATAGCTTGTCGGCCACGAAGCCTGCCATCCCACTTCTGCAGCCAAACTTTCTGGCCTCATAATTGCATGTGGTGAGCACACCTACACCCACGGCAAATGGTACATCCTTTAGTTCGGGCCGATCCAGCTCCTCGACTGCGGCATAGAAGGCATCGCAGTCGATATGCACGATCGCCTGACTAAGATCACGACTATACTCCAGCTCAGCGATATAGTCATCTGCCTTCTTCCGCTCTTGCTTCAGGCCGCCTTGCGCTTCGATGCGCTGCAGTTCTCGCTTCTTCGCGAGAATACGGTTGATCTTGACCGTAAGATTCTTGTCCTTGTGCTCTTCGTTGTTGAAGTACTTGCTGCCCTTGGAAGCATTATAGATGATCTCCGACACTTTCTTCTGGTCCACGCCATCCTGTCCAGACTTGGTGAGGGATGGTCCAAGTAAGCTGTACTTCAAGGTATGATATTGACTGGCTGCTGGTGCTGTAGGAGGCAAAGGATTATCTTCGGCAACAGCAACCTCTGCTTCGGTGGCGAGGTCATCGTTGTGTCGTGGCATGCCTGCATACCTTTGCCATCACCACGTTCGATGCACATGTAACTGTGTCTATTAGACTTTGTCCCACCACTTTCTCGCGTTCCACCCGCGTTCGACCCACGCGTTCGGGATGACGGGAAGGGGTGGGAAGATGCAGGGACCGGCTGGGAAGTGATCTCACTATTGATCGTGGGCGTCAACATCGAACAATCGATACGGAATTGGGGCGTTGGATGCTCTGAACATTGGCTGGAATTGATGGGCATTTAGTTGATGCAGGCGCATTGGATGTGCTGCACAGGACAATAATTCGATACGTCAGCGCCTCTGACGAGGACTAGTCGGCAACTCTGATACACGCGCTCGCCCGTGCTTTCATCACTCCAATAATACCATCGCTGACCCACGACATCCTCTTACCAGAGAGCCCGGATTGCCGTCGCATAACCATCAATGTCTCGCCCACGGTATCAGTCTTAATACGATGACCGATCGCTCAAGCACAACTGGTCGCCCCTTAAAACCCACCCTAGCTGTCCCTCGAGGGATTGCCCGGACACCACTGACCCCACGCATCGCTGGCTCTGCCTCGCCGACTGTACGATCGACGGGACCGAAGACGCCTTCGACAGTGAGGTCAGAGCCTCCCAAGGTCACGCCACGGGACAAGCAGCAAGATGGCGCAGGAGGAGATGCATTATCTGCAATCAATGTTACACCACGATCCTCAGCAAGGAAGTCGCGAAGGGATAGCAACTCGACTACACCGACACAGAGTCAGGGCGAAGACACACCGAACGCGGCCAGACCACGATCAACACTTGCGACAACAAGCATAAGTGGAGAGAGGAATGGCAACGTGGGCGGGCTGAGTATGAGTGGAGGTAGGGTGTCGAGGCCGAAGAGTCTGGTCAGCGACAGCGGGACGACTAGAGGACGATCGCCGCCGCTGGTGCGCTCACCCGGCCGGTTTGATCTTAGTAGGGCTACAGCAGATGTTAGTATTGAAAGTCGCTTCTTCCATGCTAGTGATGCGCCGAAACAGGAGCCAGTAGCGAAGAGAGCTGAGCCGAAGAAAGGTCCGGCTTTCTTGTATGCAGACGGTCAGAAGGAGGAAGCACGGAGCAGATCGCCACGAGCATTATCACCAGTGGTGTCTGCGGTGTCAGAGAAGCGCATCTCTGGACCATGGATTCGAGACGAAAGTTTGAACCCGTCAAAGAGTCCTCCGATGCTGTCACCCGCGCTGAGCTCTATCTCGAGCGTCTCACCATTCTTCGCAGTTGCGACTGGACCAAACAAGGCGCGATCACCTTCGCCAAGCAAGGAGAACATTCATCTGTCATATCGCAAAGGCGCATCCCAAATTTTCGGTACACGACCTACGCCACGGACGACTGACACGCCGGCTGATCTCGATCAAGGAAGGACTAGTCTGACCAGTGCGTTCTCGCCACATCGCAAGTCGCCTAGCCTGTCATCAATCGACTCTGGCAACTCGCACCAGTCACGGCGAAGATCTGCAACGGCAATAGATGTCCCTCCCGTATCTTCGCCCCTTAACCAAGAAGTCAAGTCAGCAACCGTGCCTCGGGTAGCCAAAGCACCACAAAGCATCGATACGTCGATGCCAATTCTTGACGTGCCTACTATACCACAGACTATGCTCAGCCCAACCAAGTCCGTTTCCGAACTAGCCTCCGATGCCCGTCGCGAGCGCAAAGTACTCGATCTGGAAATCTCCAACAGCTCCCTCCTGGCTATCAACGCCTCCCTCGAACGCGAAGTCCGGCGCCAGAAGACAGAGCTCAAGCGCTTCCGCCGCTTGTCTCGCGCTGGTCGCTTCTCCTTCAACCCTTCCGAACGAAGCGCTCGCTTCTCAGAAGGTCTATCCACAGTAGGAGAACTGGAAGGCGAAGACGGCGACTACGACGCCTTCGGCCCTCCATCAGGCTTCACAGATATCTATGACGACTTCAGCGATGACGACGATGAGACAGAAAGTATCATCTCTGGAGGCGAGCCTCTGAGTCCCTCTGCTCAGGCGGGTCGAGAAAGTGATCGTTTGGCCAAGGACGAGAAGAGGTTGCGTGTTGATTTGGAAAAGCACAAAGAACTGCTTGTGCAATCTCAAATGATGAATCAGAGTCTGAAGAGGTGTACAATTGCTGCAGAGGCGATGATCAAGGATGGTAAAAAGGCACTCGAATACCATGTCCGAGTCTCGGATGTGAAACTCGGTGGTAGGATCTTGACAGGTCATGAGGAAGAAGATGAGGACAGAGAAGAAGTCATCGAGGTTGAGGACGAGACTTTGATGGGTGGAGATGAGGCGGCGGAGGATTTCTTGAAGGTTTGGCAGGGGTTGGGCGATAGGCCGGTATTCGAGGGTAGTGAGGCGAGTGGTGGAGACAGGGACTCGGGGATCGAGGTCGATAAGCCGTCACATCTTCCTCTACCAGTCAGGAGTATAGGCGGCGCAGCGCGAGAGCATACAGCGAGTTCTGGTCTACTGGATAGTGGCAGGCCGCCTGACTGAGACGTCGTTGGAAGAGCATGTAACGGCCACGAGAAGATATGAGAGACGGCCAGCAGAAAAGGTGGGAGGATCGTTGGTGGGGTTTCATGGAGGCTTCGGGCTGTTGTTGGGCATGGTCGTCACTGCTTTGCTTTTTGTGCGTTGAAGTCTGGCATTTACAAGATACCCTTTTCCCTTTTGTTGTTCCGTAGCACTTTCCGTAGTCGGAGGTCATCTTTCGATGGATCATCCACAACACTTCACTCTGCTTTGAACTCATCTACATACAATATACTCCGTGCTTCATTCACTAGCCTGTAGCCCTATGTTGACTATTATCGTTAGTATTGTTCAGCCGTACGATCGTGCCGAGGTCGCACAAAAAGGCACTTTTTGCTTCTCTAGGGGAACGCTGCCGCATCAATGACACACAATGTGTGTTACTTTGGCATGGTACTGTTGGTTTAAGATGCCTTGCATAGCGTTTCGTGATGCTATATAGACGATAGACTTTTATCGAATCGCTGATTTCCTTTCGGCGTCGTTAGCTACCTGTTGGCGATGGATCTCCTACAGTCCGTAACACGCCACATCGATCTCAAGGATAGACGGACATTGTACATTGCTCTGACTGGACCCATCGTTGCATACTTCGCATTGAGGACTCTCAGCGTACTGGCCACAGCACGTTCGAGGAGCAACAATAATGCAGGCATCCTGGCCTCACCTCGGAGAGCCATGGGATCTTTGGCCAAGAAGCAATTGGACGATCTGCCCTATCCACCTGATGCTCTCCCCGGCGGTCGAGATGTCGAGAGCCCCTATGGAAGTATCAGGGTCTACGAATGGGGACCCGAGGGTGGGAGGAGAGTGTTGCTTGTTCATGGTATGTTTTAGCTGCACATCTTCCGTGTAAGTGGTATGATGGCATAGTGCCCACGGTTGACGCCTGTCCCAGGTATTAGCACACCCTGTATAGCTCTCGCGCCCATGGCCAAACTCCTCGTGGAACAGGGCTACCGCGTCATGCTGTTCGATCTGTTCGGACGTGGATACTCGGACACACCAGATCCAGAGCTCTATCCTCAGGATGTTCGCCTGTTCACTTCACAGGTTCTGCTGGTACTATCCTCGTCTCCACTGAGCTGGACGGGGAGTGAGACCAGAGTTACGTTGATCGGGTACTCGCTGGGTGGAGGTATCAGCGCGGCATTCACCTCTTATCTACCCCATCTCGTCGAGTCGCTCGTATTGATTGCCCCGAGTGGTCTGATCCGTCACCATCACATCTCGCAGTCTAGCAGATTATTGTACGGGAGTCTGCTGCCGCAGTCATTAGTCAACTACTATGTCCGCAAACGTCTTGGCGGTGATCCAGAGACCAAACCAGCGACGACGAACACCACGCCGCTGCCGGCAAAGGCAATCGAAGCAGAAGTCCCAGAACATCCTGCTCTGGCAGCGGATTCTTCAGTTCCCTTGTTCGTAGACCGTCCGGGTATCTCACCCGCTAAAGCCGTAGCATGGCAGCTTGACGCACACCCTGGCTTCCTGCAAGCCTTCATATCTTCGATACGGTATGCCCCGATTCGTGACGAGCATGAGCGATGGAGCATCATTGGACTGAGGCAGGAGGCAGCTCGCTCAGCTTCTGCGCAGGACGCGAAGGATGAAAGCTTGAAGGAAGGCAAAGTGCTCATCCTGCTTGGGAAGCAGGATCAGGTGATTGTGGCTGCGGAGGTGGAGGAAGATGCTACGGTCGCGCTGGGGAAGGAGAACGTGGAGTGTGTTACCTTGCACGGCGGTCATGATGTTCCTATCATCAACGCGCGGGGATGTGTGGATGCTATCCTAGGCTTTCTTCGATAGCGCGATGCAGACGGTAGCTTCGTAAGAGGCAACGTCGAGTGACTCGGGGTACAACAACTCGAACGAAGCATATCTGTGTGAAAATCTGGACGGAAGCTCGGTTGTTTGAGTCACGCAGCATCCGTATTACTTAGATTCTGGATTGCTCACCCCTTTTTCAACGTTATCAGGGCGTCTGAGCTAGGATATCGGCTGATAATCCAGCAGGAATCCGTCACGATCATGAGTAAGCATTTTCGATGACAATACTGTTTCCGATGTCTCTCGGCCCCTAGGATGTGTTCTCGAGCTGGCGTACAGCAGATCAGTATGCCAAGAACAAGATGCAGGGTAGACAGACGACCTGATTGCCGTACTTCAGAGTGAGGTTAGCGGTTTGAGTTAGCTATCAGGTCAGCAGAAGGTCGACGTACGTCACCATGTGGTTCGATAGATCGTGGCAATTGCAGTCATATCGAAGGTCTTGGCTACAGCAAGCCCATGTGTAGGCCATTGGTAAACCAGGAAATGGAGCCTGCTGCTGAGACAACGGATTGGCTTACTGTGCTCTCCGTTGAAGTTGACAGGTCCAGGATAGCTAGCTTAGAGGCAGTCAGCCTACCAAAGTCTGCTGATAATTACCGCGATGAATGTCCTCCCCGTACTTCACGCCTTTGTGTCACACGCTCTAGTTGTCGCACAGCCCACCATTACATCGAGGATCAGATCCGTTTTCGAGATGGATGACCCATTCGTTGGCCGTTGCATCAAGGATGGTAGCCTTAAAAGGGGCTTGAGGGGCGGCGGCGGTCGGATACAATTTCTCTCCTCCTGAGACCAGTCTTGTTATTTGCCATGATCCGCATATCTCTCTTTCAATGCTTGCCGTATTCCCAGTCCAATATGCTGTAGAATTGCTGACATGCCAGTACTCACTTGACTGCCTACGGCACAGTTTACAGCAGCTGTTTCCATCGTATCTGATGCGATCACGCTGTTCTACAGGTCGGAAGCATATCGAAGGCCATATCTGGGATTTCGGCTTAATGCCTCCTAGCTTCTGTGGCAGTCATGCCGAGTGAATACCAATCTGAACATCTCGCCTGGACTTCTGACCTACGACGAAGAAATACTGGTTTTGCTGGCCGAGGAGCCGTCTAGCGAGTAGCTTTAAATGCATCGATGGCCTGTTCGACACATCTTCATGGTAGGTATGCGGACGAGTCATCTAATAAAGATGTTTACTGTGAAGACCTTCAGGTGAGGCGTGGCGATGAGTGGTGAACCTTCTCCATCGCTTTGCAAGCGTCTTCCGATAACGTATATAAGCACAAGCAGACTGGACTCCGGTTCCCGGGGCGCACCATCGTATTGTCATGAGAACTATCGGGATACTACAACCGCCGTTGTTTCGGCCGCCAGCGACGCAACGTCCTCATTTTGAGATGAGGCTACCACAGAGCAATCCTACCGCTAAGAGTTGAGTAGACCAGTGACAATGTCGTGTTATAGCCAGCCAAGCCGATCTTGAGCAGTGTTTGGAGCCCTTGATCGTGCGTGCGGGTACCACCATGTCCTCTCAGAACCAATCGAAATGGCATTTTGCCCTCCACTGCATGTGATAAACCTTGGACACTGCCTCCCAGAGCTTGAGTGTGCAGAGGGTGGGCAGCATAGCCGAGACTGGCGGTAAGATTGATGGCTGAACAAACACACCGCAGGTACACCGGCACGGTCGCAAGAAATACAGAATGTCTCTTACTTGCTTGGACGGTGTCTTCGAGTATGATGAGGCCCACCCTGGCAGTGATGGTGCCTGCGATCATTGCTTCGGTGGCCGTTGTATGATTTGTGTCCGTGTGGTCAATAACAGCGAAGACATTGTCAGGCGATCTGATGCGCTTTCAAAGTTGATCGTCGATAGAACAGATCTATGAAGATTCGCCATTGGTTAGGAATTCAGCATTGCAACGATTTGCCACACACCGCGATGGCGTCCATTACTCGAGCAAGCACAGCTCACCTCGTAGCAGAGGCGTACAGTAGTAACAACACGACCCGGCGAGATACGAAGGCAAACGAGTGCAGTCCTGGCAAAAAGTAAGATAGGCCGAAATAGCCTTGGCAAACACGGCAGGTTGGCAATCCTGGCAAAACAGGGCAATAGGTGTTCCTTGGTGCTGATAGTGCCTGCGCCACAAGCGTCGTCTGCGAATGAGATACCGGGGAACGCGCTGCACGCGTGCTGCGAGCACGCGATCTGAGTTTCGTGGATGGCGGTGCAGCTGCAAAGAGCGAATAACGGGCTTACTGAAGATCATGCTAGGCCTGTTGGCGTAATTGGAGCTGTGTGGTACTGAGTTCGCTGGTAAACGTACTCCGCAACCCTATATTTCTCAGCCAAGAACATGTCGCAAGCGGGGAGGTCGTTCAATAGTATGGGGTGGAGGCGTTGCGTCTGCGATTGTAGCAGAATGTCTTGTCGTGCCTGGACTACCGACGACTCGATATGCAACAAGTCTGGTGTAAAGGCCTGTCTTCAGCAGCCACCGACGTCTCTCACCTGCAAAACCTCCTGCCACAGGCATCCAATGTCTCTCAGAGGGGTCAACCTGATCGTTGGCAGACTGGGTGTTGATCCTTCAAACCTTCGGATGCGAGGGCAGGGTCTCGAGTGGTCTTACTCTGATGGCTCTACGGCAGCGCTGGCTGAGACTGTAGAAGGGTCCGATATCAGAGAGACCTGATGTGGAAGTGAAGGCAATGTACAGCATGAAAATTGAATTCGCGTTGAGGAGATGAGAGAGACATCGTCTGCAAGTCCCAATGCACGTCATAGCGTGTTGCACGCGATCATGCCAGCACGCGTAAAGTGTTCTTAGACATGGAAAATTTCGGGCGTTTTAGTCGCGCCGTGGTGGATTGCTGCGGAGTTGACTCTCAGACCTCAGTATGGTCCAGTTTGCGTCTCACGGCACCAGCGGCGGCTTCATGACAAGGTATTTCGGTAGGTTACGTGTACAGAAGAGGATATATGTATGAAATAGGACTCGGGGACGCACCGGTGCTATCTATACGTGATCGGACAAGCAGCAAAGTGGATTTTATGAAGCAAGGTCTCGCATTGACAAGCGGAGACATACATGAAGTTGTGCTCATATACACTCAGAAAACCTCGACGTTGAGTGTCTTCGCTTATGTACCGAAGATCTCTCGACGGTCACGACTGTGGGACAACGTCTCGTGGAACTGTTGGCGGTCTGCAGTGCGAGTTGGAGGATGGTGGAATAATGGACCCGGTCGAATTGACCGAGGTGAAGATGCAGATCTCCAGTTGCCCATCCATGTTCCCCGAAGGTAGACAGCATATAGCACGACATATAATGACACACGAGTGCCGAATTCTCTGGGCACCACAGCATGCCAAGCCAGTCGTGCCGGATTGATATTGAGCGATTACAGACGGCCAACGAGACAATCTATGAGAAGCTGAAATGGAGTAAGCAGCGGCACAGTGGCGTCTATACTACCTGGCCTTAACTGAAAGGCACACTGCCAATCAGTCGACATGATCAGGCGAAGCTGCGTAACATCGTCATTGTGAAGCGTGTCTCGTAAAGCGACGCGTCGCGTGAAGGTGCAGTCGTGCGGCGGACGTAGTGCTCGCAGCTGGATCATATACCTTGAATTTGGTCCACCGGTGGCGCTCATGCAGTAGCGAGGAGCCAGGAGCTTGGACGAGTGGGCGACAGCTTCTGGCGAGGCAACTTAATTTTGGACAAGCCGAGCCTACGTGTCACATTCCCGCTGGGGAAGTTGCGGATGGAGGTGGACGTTGGACTGCAGAGGCTGGCAGGAGACACTTATCATACACCATGACAATGGTTACACACTGGACAATGTTGAAGCGTGTGTCATCGTGGACGCAGCACCGATAGTGTAGATGGAGGAAATGGAGCGCTCGCGTGCTTGCTTCGCCCAAGCCACAATTGGACCAGGCTAGTGGATCCCCTTGAATGGCGGATCTGCAGGAGAATGCATCTCACACGCAGCAACGCTAGCAGCGGTTGCAGAAAGCACAGCAGAGTACGGTTCCGTGGCCTGTGGCTACTGGCAAATGGCCCCGTCATGTCCGACAGTCCGACCTACCCTGTTCCTGGTCCAGCATAATGGATCCAGAAGTGCTAGCGCGCCGAACCAGCCATGCTTGGAGAACGTCCACTCGTGATCGTTTCGTGTACGCCGTTTCTTTCATCTCTCGCCTCACCGCGTCAAACCTCCTCATCTTCTCCCCTACCCGACATGGAGTCTTGAGGTGACTAGGACTGACACTTTGCCAAAGACGACCGGTCTTTGCAAGTTCTTCCTGGCTCCTCGGCAAGCTCATCCTCCTCCTCCCTCCTTCACCAGTGTTATCCTCAAGGACCCACAGGAGACACATCGTGAAGCCGTGCGGTAGTCTCTCAGAGACTTATTCGGTCATCCTCCTGCCAATCTACCTCGCCCTTGATAATTAGTCCTCGTCGTCGACCTCTCCTCTTCGTTGATCGTAGAGCATCTCGACCGGACACGATCTTCGAACACCAACCTCCCAACTCCATACCAATACAATACAACCAGCCCGCCTGTACGCAACTGTACCTTGTGCATCTCATGCTCTGGATATACTGTGGAGTTGTTAAAAGAAAAGGTAAGCGAGCACATGACTGCATCTGAAAATTCTAGCTCGGACAACTGGGCATCACTTCGGGAAGGAGCAACCACTGGACCTACGCACCTGCCTCGAACCATCTCTCTACCGATCACTGGCAATAGGCATCAGCACGTGCTCAAGCAAGCGTTGGCTCAAGTAGGGACGGCGTAGTTCGAGGGTGTGAAGATTGTCGGGGGCAGCCATTGGGCGTAGGAAGCATTTTGGATTGACATGAACATGGACATACTCTGCTGCATGTGATCATCGGCAAATTGGCAGATAGTGTCGGTGGCACCTGCCTGATTGTGCAAGAGCTCGGCTATTCTATGGAGTCATTTTTATGCTTGGCTGTGGATGGCTTTTTCTCCAGTCTCGAGCATTCCACCCTCTGTGCTCGGACACCCACTCAATTCCTGGCCAAATTACTCGACACGCTCACCTCACCAAGCACTCGGACACTGGATCGGCACTGCACTGGACTCTCACGTTGTTGCTGCTTGTGTTGAGAATCACCTGCTGACGGTGTCTTCCAGTGCTATAGCGTTCCTGTCGGTCAGCGTCCTGTCAAGCCTTACCACGACCTCATCTCCGCACCTCAGTGAACCATTGTCGATAGCAGTGAGCACCATCAGGATCAGGTGAGTCCTTGTCGCCTCAGTGAGGACCACGCATGGGAAGCTAAACATTCTTCAGGTATCCCTTGAAAGCCTGGCCAGAAGTCTCTTCGGCACCACCCTTCCATCGACATTTGCAGAGCCGTTAGCTCGTTCTCTGCAGATTGCGACGGCATACCAGGGTGACGAAAGAACAATCTGCAGCATTCCAGTAACCCAATCGGACTGCACACCGTGGCTTGCAAGGAGTCTGCCGTAGTCGGCACTAAGCACACTGGCTGCTAGTATTCTGCTCGACCTAATTCCCAAGGTATGCATGCTTTCTTGCCCAACGCTTAGCCTTACGTCTCGTCACTGCAGCAATGCAAACAAGCTCACGCGACAGCGCTGACCCTTGAGCCAGGTGCTACACTGTTCATTATAACAGCTCTCGACGATTTTCGGACCACGTCAGTGTTCTAGATCGCTCATTCTTTCGACTCTTCGTTGCCAACTAATTACAATCCTTCCACTCGCCTATACTACAGGCTTTACTTTCATTAATAACGCTCACCTGACTGGATATTCGCTCTCTGACAAACCCCTGTACGACTTTCGACAGGTGACTACCACAGCACATCAACACAACAATACCACATTCAAGAGCAAGCCAATCCCACCACCTGGTCGTCAAGCCTCCAAAATGGCTTACATGCACCCACAACAACAACCACATGCCTTTTCGGCGTTTGGCTACTGTGACTCTTACTTCACGGAGAACCACGACGACGACGATGGTCTCTACGCTAGAGCCGCTAATGAGCGAGAAAGGGCACGTGGTGTAGCGAAGATGCGGCAAAGGACCCTAGCTGAGGAGTTGTCACGCCTCACAGCAGACGACTACCAGGAGGATGTCCTTGACCACATGGAACGGATGGAGGCAGAAACCATGCCCGACATTCAATCAATCGAGATTCAGACGGAGATTCAATGGTTCATGCGACCCTACCTACTGGACTTCCTTCTCGAAGCACACCACGCATTTCAGCTCCTACCAGAGACATTACACCTGGCTGTCAACCTTCTTGACCGATACTGCTCGCGAAGAGTAGTCTACAAGCGCCACTATCAACTGGTCGGCTGCGCCTCTCTCCTCATTGCTGCCAAGTACGGCGATAGGAAAGAACGTGTACCGACCATCCGGGAGCTCAAATCAATGTGCTGCTCGCTATACGATGACGATATGTTCACCCAGATGGAGTGGCATGTCCTACAGACGCTTAACTGGATCGTCGGTCACCCAACCGTCACAAGCTTCCTTCAACTGGCGCTCACGGAGGTCTCCTTCGACCCAGAACTGGAGCACATGTCGTGGTACATCACTGAACTCGCCCTTTACCACAAGGACTTTGTACCAGTACGGCCTTCCGTCCTGGCACGATCTTCGCTGGCCTTGGCACGATGCATCCTCGCGAGACCTCAATCACGATGCTCCGACTGGTCAGCAAGGTACGACCCACAAGTTGTACTAAGCTTGTCCAATTACATCAACCAGCCGTCACAAGCGCTGCTACGAAAATACGCATCACCACACTTGTCTTCGGTCTCGACAACCATCGAGATGTTCCTGCGCCAACAAGCCATGCTTGCCCAACGTGTGGTGCAATCGACTCCCACCGAGTCTAACGCTATGGATGTCGAGCCTACACCGGCCACCAGTGTGTACCTTACGCCACAAACACCGCAGAAGGGTGGCTACCCGAACGTACCTATAGGCGTACTGACACCACCCATCACACCGGATAAGGACTTCTGCACGGCCAATGCGGGCTATGGAGTCAACCAGGGCCTAGTACCAAGAATGAATGCATGTACGCCAACGCCACCACCAAGTGTCGAGCATCAGCATCAGATGCAATACGGGGTACCGCACTACGTTCAGCAACCTCAATTCGTGCAATAAAGAGGTCACCACAGCGGCACCTCGACCTTCCCGGCCAAAGGTATCCTGGCCAACCATCTGTTGTATCATCATGTATGAGCGTCATAGCGAGTCCATTCAGCATTGCAAGCGTTGATTTTGTCTATCAAGACTGGAGAGGGAGAGCATTTCTTATGTAATAATCTACCACTGCCGGACACCTAGCCACTCTGCGAAGGGAAGAGCGGGACGGGTCAGCTGGTATTGTACGGAATCATTCTACATCACTCGTTCACAGCAAGGAAGAACGGGGATCGATGTACGTGTAGTGGGTGGGTGGGAATCACCGAAAAAGCGGAAAGCATTATCTATTATGCGGCTTAAGATTGGATCGGGAAGCACTTATTACCTACTATGCATTTCGCTTTGCGGAAAGCGAAAGGTGGCTGGCTTTTCACCACACTGCGATATGGCTCAGACTGACTGCTTGCTTGCTTGCTTTGCTCTGCTCGCGCTAGATGGAGCGGGATTGTTTTACTGCCGCGTCTTCTTTTCAAGCAGCGACAAATACCCATGTTCGTATACATAACATTTGAGCCAAAAAGTGATCATCTCTCCACCTTCTCTTATGTGACCTCGCTGCTCGATGGACGTACACTGCTCTTGCACTCTATGTTGTCGATAGTAGGGTGTACTACCAATTCTACAATGGTATCGTCTCGTTCATTTACGCACTAGCGTATATAACCATGCACAAGCGGATAGATGTCGGCCCGCTTCCGTCGAAACCCTGCTATCAGATGCGGCTTGGAAATTTTGGAGGTGGAATTGGAGATTCTAGCTCTGGTCCAGGTCAGAGAGCACATGATGTTTTGTAGAAGTCGTGTGAGTGAGTTGAGGTGTTGAAGGGGAAGGAAAGTGAGGAACAGGCAGCTATCATGGACGTCCACCGATCACGATTCGTGCCATATCCAACTTCTGCCATCAGCGCACTCGCCTTCTCGCGACAAAGCGATGCTGGATATACTGGACCTTTGCCTGCGTTGAAACTCGCCATCGGACGGGCGAATGGCGAGATAGAGGTATGGAACCCGCTGCAAGGACAGTGGGCGCAGGAGACGCAGTTTGTGGGTGACGGCAGTGGGGTAGATGGTTTGGCGTGGACGCAGGATCCAGATGAGACGGACGGTGAGGGTCCAGTCTTGCCTGGACAGCAACGGCTGTTCAGTATTGCTTCTTCGCCTGCGGTCGTGGAATGGGACTTGGCGACTGGTGAGCCGAAGAGGAAGTCTACGGGTAACTTCAGCGAAGTCTGGTGTTTTGGGGCGCAGCCGAGATGGAGGTCTACGAAGAGCGTGGACGACGAAGCACGATCGCAGGATATTGTCGCTGGGTGCGGTGATGGTACGCTAGTCGTACTCACGACGGCAGACAATGATCTACAGTTCAAACGCTTTCTTGCTAGAGTGGCTGGCAAGCGGGCAAGGTGTATGTGTATCACCTACCAGAACCGAGATATTGTGGTTGCTGGATTCGCGGATAGTGCTATCAGGGTCTATGATACACGGAACGGGTCGCAAATCAGGCAGATGAGTCTTGGGTCAGGCATTCCTGGTGCTCCGAAGACGGCGATCGTGTGGCAGCTGAAAGTGATGCAGGGTGGTGATATTGTGTCTGGTGACTCGAACGGCGAGGTCAGGATGTGGGATGGGAAGAACTACTCGCTCACTCAAAGACTGGTGGGACATGAAAGTGATTGTCTGGATCTTGCGACTAGCGCCGACGGCAAATCTATCTTTTCTGGCAGCTTGGACGGCAGGATCGCGGTGTATCGGCAGGCGACTGACGCCAATGGACGAAGAAGCTGGGCGAAGCATGGACATCGAAGAGTGCACACACGAGAGGTCAAGGCAATGACATCTTTCGACAGCAAGAATGGTCTGAGTGTGGTGGTCTCTGGTGGGACAGATGTCGCGCCAGTCCTTACGCCACTTCGTGAGTATGGCAGGGAGAACTTGCGAGCCATGCCGTCGCTACCTCAGGAACCCAGAGTCGTCGCGGCGCCACGAGCCAGATTGATAGCCAGCTGGTGGGATAAGGAAGTACACATTTGGCGCATCGCTTCAAGATCCGCTGCCAGCGCTGAAACGCCAACACAAAGTCCTCGAAAGCTAGTTGCGAAGCTCGCGCTCGACGTGAAGCAGAACATCCGATGTGCCACCTTGTCTTCTGATGGAAGATTGCTGATCGCCGCCACGAGCCAGGAGCTCAAAGTATTCCAGCTGCGCAACCGACTGGATTCTGATAGTTTAGCGATCCGCAAGCTAGCTTTACCATCGTCGTTCGCGCAGCTCGGCGCCCGACAGATAGGCTTCTCGCCTGATGGGAAGTGGTTGGCGGTCGTGACAGCAGATAGCGAAGTGCATATCGCACGCTTCACTTCCGATTCTGCACAGCCAAAGCGCTTGATCTGTTTGCCTCAGACAGTCGAGCTTGATAGACGCAGTCGCAAAGTCGTTTCAAGTGCATACAAAGCCTACGACCGTACTATAACCCGACTGGCCTTTGCCGCCGACAGTTCTGTGCTCGTCACGGGCGATGTCTCCGGGCATCTTGACTCATGGGTGCTAGAAGGCCACGAAGATCCCACCGCCCCAGCAGTGGACAATGCCAAGCACGACTCCGACAATAAATCTTCAGCCAACGACTCGGATTCAGACAGCGACAGCAGTGATTCAGACGACGACGATGACATCGCGGTATTCTACGGCCAACACTGGACGAATAACCCCTCGGGCCATCTTCTACCCAAGCTAGAATCCGCACCCTTAGTCCTCACATTCCGACCTGTCCACAGCCAGCCTACCATGAACGGCAACCCAGGTGTACACTCCACCCGACATAACCCGCACGCTCACTCACACCAACTTCCCACCGGCCCCCACCTCCTCTGGATCATGACGGCTCGACACAACATCTACGAATTCAACACCCTCTCCGGCCGCCTAAGCGACTGGAGCAAACGCAACCCCACAGCCGCACTACCCGACGAATTCCGTCAGATCAAGGACAGAGTCGTGGGAGCTGTGTGGGATGCGAATGAGAAGAGGGGGAGATTGTGGTTGTATGGGACTAGTTGGGTGTTCATGTTGAATCTTGGCCGTGATCTGGCTGAGCCGGCAAAGCATGATATGCAGTCGAGCAAGAAGCGGAGACGGAAGAGCGATGGGCGTGCTAATGAGGGCGAGCGGAGGTTGAGGCGGAAATCGAATAGTGGGGCTGGGGATCGCGTGGGGGGGCGTCAGTCGCTTGGTGCGCTGGAGAGTTTCCTGAGGGTTGAGAATGGGAGGCGGGATGAGATTGATCTTCGAGCTGTGATCGCCGACGAGGAGGAGGAGGATGGGGATATGGATGATGATGATGGTGGGGTTCAGCTCGCCGGGCTGATGGGCCAAGGTTCGCAAGAGGATGGTGGACACATACAGGATGGCGATTCCACTGGCCAGGATCGCAAATTCTGGTGCACTTTCTCCTATCGACCTATCCTCGGTATGGTGCCGTTGGAAGATGCTACTCTACCGGCGGATGCGGAGAGGGCGCTTGAGGTTGCTATTGTTGAGCGGCCGTTGTAGATATATATATTCATGATGAAATCCCCATATCCCTTCACACATCAAACCAAGGCCCAAGACCAAGCCTGAAGACTAGTGTCGAAGGCGCTGACAGTGTATTATGTGGATGGTGCTTTATGCTATACAAGATGCTATCAGATGCATACATGCTGGGATGGTATCGTCGTGGAACCTTCGCCCTCGCTAGAAAACGCCAGGCATATGTAATCCATCCTTTTTATCAACTACATCGTACGCTAACACTCCTCAGTGATGTCTATAAGGCTCAAAAGCGCCACTCTGCTGCCTATAATGCCCCCCTTGCTGCTGCTGCTGCTGGGGATACGGCTGCAACGGCACCCGATCCCCCTCCCCCCCACCACCACCACCACCATCCCCGAGATACGGGGACGAAACCCTCTCATACCCACCCCCCGTCTTCTCCACCCTCAACCCCCTTCCCCTTCCACTTCCAGCATTATAATCCCCATACCCCTGCCCCTTGGGCTCCGCATTCCACAACCCGCCCTTATTGCTCCGATGATGTGGGTTCGAGCGCCCGGAACAGCAGCAGATGCTTAGGAGCCAGAAGGCCGTGGCGCCGAGGGAGAAGGCGACGGAGAGCCAGTTTAGGATTAGGGAGTGTGTGCCTAGGGATAATTTGATGTTGTAGGGGTGCAGGAGGGCTTCGAGGGCGCCGGTTAGGGTGCCGAAGAGGATGGTGCTGGTTAGGACGGAGGCGAAGGTGAAGAAGGTGGAGGCCTGAAATATATTGTTAGTTGTATTGGGGGTTGGGTCGGGTTGGAATGAGGGGGCCACGTACGATACTAAACAACCAGGTGAAGAAACTGCCCCATCGACTGAAGATGGCGAGGATGCCACACACAATCGTCGCCAACGTCGTCCAGAAGGAGATTTCGTATGCGATGAACATCCACTTCGCCACGTGTCTGTAGGTGTCCAGAGCCGCTTTCCCACTCTTGCCTAGCAGTTTATTCTCCAACCCCTCCGCACTATCCTTTGCCTGATTGATCTCGGATTGGACGACATTATTCGCCGCCGCGCTGTCGGAGGAAGAGGATGTGGCATTCGTCCCGTTCAGACCCCAGACACTTAAGGGATCAAAGACGAATTGACTCTCCTTCTTCGAACAGAAATCTATGCTTCCATCGGTCTTGCTACTGCTGCAGTAATTCCACAGATGGATCTGGTAGAGTTTCGCTAGTTGGTTTTCAGATTGGGCGAGTTCGAGGGCGGCGGTCAGGGTGGTGGTGTTGGCGAGGTTGGAGGCGGAGGCGGTGGAGAGGTTGCGGAAGTCGGCTTGGAGGAAGTAGAATTGCGATGTTGAGGTCGTGTTGGTCCAGCCCGAGGTCTCGATTAGGATGAGGCAGAGGAAGGAGGCTACTGTCAGGGCCCAGGGGATGGTTATGCAGGCTATTCGGCCGGCTTTGCCCATTGTGTTGCTTGTTGCTTGTTGCTTGTTGTTGTTGTTGTTGTTGTTGTTGTTGTGGTTGTGGTTGTGTTACTGGTGAGGAGGAGTGAGAGAATGTTGTTTATGCTGGATCGATGAATGGAGCGAGCGAGGGTGGTAGATACGTTTGGTCGGTTAGAACGAATGCGTGGGCCTTATGCTCAATACTGAATGTGGACCCAACAGAGCTGATGTACGAGGGCAAGGTAAGGCTGGTGGAGGAGTAAGGCAGTGAGACGCAGCAAACACTACTAACCACGACGCAGCCAAAGCCAAGCAAACAAAGCATGTCCCAGAGGCAGGCCAGCAGATGCCATTCTGTCGCTCAGCCTCACAAAAGAGCACAGCACGCGAAGCCTCACACACACACAACACGCGAAGAGACCCTGCATGCGTGTGGCTGCTGACGTACAGTACACTTCTAGTATAATGCTCCGCCGGCCTCGTTACTATGTCTGTACACCACGCACGGCCATGATCAGGAAGACAACCGTAGCACCTATATCAGCACAAGCAGACTGACTCTCCATCTCCATCATGTCTAACAGTGACCATCAGGAAACCGTACAGTAGCAGGAGAAATCCACACGCGACACATCATCCTCATCAGCACGTCCCATCGCCCCCACGCGAAACCTGAAAACCAGGGATGTGGATGTGCATCCTTCTCCGTTCGGTAGCGAAAGTGGAGAAGGATAACGTACCTCTCACCCGTGGCGAAATCAAGTAATGCGGCGGCCTACGTACAACCATTCCTCTCCTCCAGTGTGCTGCCTCCGTTGTATGCTTCAACGCTGTCTCCGAACTACAAGGCTTGTACGTGGACGGCTGCGGGGAAGAGAGAGAGGATCACGCATCGTCTCGACTCCGCCGTCTTGGTACAGCATATCTCGAGGTCCCAATATAGAAACACACATAGTAATAGTAATAGTAATAGTGAGAGCTTAGTCACTCGAGCCAACAGTAACAACAACAACAGCATCGTCCCTGAAGAGAAAAGTGGGTAAGGAACGAGAGGGTAAGACTAAAAGGCTCGCAAACTGATGCGAGTGCAGACGTTAACAATTCGATGCTTGAATTCATGCAAACTACATCCCCTTCATCCCCCCTCCCCTCATCACCTCCCATCCTTTTTAACATCTGGTATAACTAAGCCATTTAGACATATGCGTAAAATAAAGACCGCCACCCCATCCCATCCCATCCCATCCCATCCCATTCCATCCCATACCACATAATGCATCCAGCGCTCGTTTGGGGAAGAAACCCCGCCCTCATGCACAATGCCTTCGTGAAAACCCATGGAAAAATCGCCAGATCGCCCATATCGCTCCAGGAAAAAAACGCCGATGCTTTCGAAAACAACGATGAGGACCCGAAGCCGACCTGACCCGACATAAAAGAACCCCCCCCCCCCCTCCCCATACGAGTCCAAGAAACATAGTAAAAAGATGTCGTTGCCTTGTTTTGTGAACGAAAAGAAGAATCCATCCAAAGTAACGCCGGTGCTAGATTTCGCAAAGACTTAGATCCCCAAAGAAGCTCGTGGCCGGCGGCGTGAAGCGGAAAGAAGGATGATGTCGTTTCATCCGACGTTAATGCTATACTAGATCATTGCTGTCGAGGATCCCTAGGCCTAGGCCCAGGCCCAGTGAATTGATTCCTCCCCCCCTCCCCTCTAGACCTCACCCACTCCATCGCTCCCGACTGCCGGCCCCCCTCAGCCGCCTTCTGCGCATCCGGATCCGCAGGCGGCGACGCCCCCCCACCACCACCACCACCATCCCCCCCAGGTAAAATCCGACTAACATTAAACGCCAACGCCTCTATGATGACCTTCCTCAACTCGGCATCCTCCCGCATATCATCGGCGTTAAGGCGGAACTTCTCCTTCTTATCCATGTCCCGACGACGCAGGGCGGTGATTTCGCGGACGATGTGGGAGAGGACGCCTTCGGAGCTGCGGTTGCGTTGGGCGGCGTGCTCGGCCGGGTTGCGCGCGTAGCGCCGGGTCACGTCGCAGCAGCCGTCGGCGGAGAAGGCGATGCAGTAGGAGAGTTTCTTGCCCCAGCCTGGTGGATGATGGTGTTAGTTGCGGACGGACAGCGGTGGATTGACTTTGGGAGGGTAAGGATGAGATGACGTACCTTGGGTATACAGCAACGGGGCATCCCACTGCTCCTCGCAGCAATCGACATGCACCCATCGTTTGCGATGCACACTGTACACCTCCGTCCACACATGATCCTCGGCATTCCAGACCCATCTCACTCTACTGCCGACAGCTCTACAAAGCATCGTGAAGCAATTGGCCCACTCTCCACACCGACCCCGTCTTGTCTGAAGTAAGACGAAAGCGTCATTATATCGTGGAAACCGTTCGAAAGACCCGCATTGCTGATTGGCGCACTGATATAGTTCGACTCGATTCGCACCACGTGCTTGCTCGTCCGGTAACGGAGCAGCCATGCCACATGCGAGCGTCCGGGTCCGACACGTGGAGCACAGCGGGTTATTGACCCATTCGAAGAACTCGCGCTTGAACCACTTCATCAAGGCGCGCACGACACAGTCCTGGTATCCCCATGCGGGTTTGATATTCGGGCCGAGCGAGGCGGCTTCGGCGGTGAAGAGGTCGGATTCTTCTTGCGCCATGTCGTAGATTCGCTGCAAGGGTATCGCGCCGAGTGCTTCGTCCAGTAGGCCTGGGTTCTCCCATTTGCAAGGTGTGTTTGACAATGACATCAACATGCTTCGGAAGCGGAGGGATTTGGTGTCGGTCGGCGGTACGGGCACAGTAGGCAGATTCTTCAACGAGTTGTAGGCAGGCGGTGACGGGAGCGCTGCTGGTAGCTGTTGTGGTGGTGGTGATGGTGGCGGTGGTGAGAAGGGTGCTGCGGGTGCTTGTCTCGATGGCATCTGAGGTTGCTGCGGGGTTGCATCATAACCGTGTCGAGAAGGGAGAGGCGGCGGCTGCCTGCTGTCGGTGAAGAAGTCGGCAGGGAGACGCGAAGACGAGCGTCGCTGGCTGCTGGGGCGTCGCGAGAGTTCATTCATTCGCTTGGTGGACAGTTTCCGTCTGAATGCAATGGTGAGGTCGGCGGCCCATCCTTCTGGGAGTGGTTGCGGCGGCGGGACTGGCTTTCGCCGCGGCACTCCACTGCGGTCGGCCATGGTTCGAGAAGGTGTATGATGTTATTATCGTGTTCGAGTATCGTCGGCCGAGTGCGTGGTTGCGTGTATGTACGTTGGTGGGAATGCGAAAGCACTGCAGGGCGACAATGTCCGGAGCAAGTGCGGGCGTCGGTCGTAAACCCTTGAGGCTGATCGATCGTCGGGCGGGATGCGATGCGCAGCAGCGACTTTCACTTTCTGCTCTTCCACTCAGCCTCCTCGATCCCCGAATTATCGCTGCTCTGCGCCGCTTTCCCAACTCAATATCGAATCCGTTGATGGTATGGTTAGACACACACGCGACACACAGCAGGTAGCGATGGCGGGGACGAGGAGACGTCAATGTGTTGGTTGGCGACAGTGTCAAGGGAGTGAGGTGGTAGCGGTAGAATAGAGTAGCCTCGAAGTGCTTGCGTTAGGTGGCCGCGTCAGTGCCCTGGGGAAGAGCTTACGACGACAGACAAAATGCCAAGTCGCCTCCAATTTCTCTATATAAGCCCTCGTCGATCTCGCCTCTTCCCTCACTCCATACTCGCGGCCTGCAGGCGTAATACTGGTCGTCGTTGTGTGCACGGTCAGTATTTGGATGTTGATATCCTGCTTTACGGCTCTGTTCCATACTGTACCATCTCCATCAAGCAGGACCGTCTTCGGCGATTGTGGCGCATTCTCGTAGGGCTAGCGCTCTGACTCCGAAGCTCGGGCCATGTGCCTCGACTCGGTCCTTTTCTCTTTCTCCTCGGACTTCAGACTCGCTGTTTCATACCATGTAGATATATATACGGGTGCATTGTAGTTGACAGCATTATTTGCTGCGTAGCCGGCCTTTGCTGTCCGAAGATCGTACGGTAGAGCGAAACCCGACACGACCAAGAAGGGCAGCCTGTGTAGGGTTGGCAGATATCGCAAGGCCACCGGGGCATATCACGCTGTCACGGTAATTCGTGTGGAAAAGCAAGACCACCATAATTCACCCCACCACCATTTCCGGTGGGTTATTCGTATGCTCGCAAAGAAACACCTCACACGATTCGGATGCAGTCCGAACAATGCTCGGCGTCCACGTCCTCAAGCAATAGAGTCAGGTCCCCACTATCAAAAAGCTTACCATGACAAGCAAAACCCTCCACGCACACCACTCCCCTCCTCAACCAACTCGTAAAACATCCATCCCAACCCCCACAACCAACACGCCAAGCCCACCATCTCGTAACCCCATCGTCTCCAACCCCGACACATCAGCAACAGCCGTATGCACATCCCCCACCAACCTCACATCCACACCCTCCACACCCTCCCTTTGCCAGTCAACGTCGACATCCCATACCTTGACTCTCTGATCAACACTAGCCGACACAACCCTCCACTTCCCACTCCCACTCACACCCTCGGCATCCGTACCCACGAACCCGAGCCCCGTAACCGCGGCCGCGTGTGCTCTTGGCACGAGCAATGTTCGGACCCGACCAGAAGGCGTCACGCGACTGATGCCGAGGGCATTATCGTCTCCGCCCGTGAGCACCAGAACGGAGCCATCGGCTAACGTGGGCGTCTTCATCAAGCTCAGGATGGCGTTCTGGTGGACTCTGTGGCGTTGGGTCCAGGCTACCGTGTCGCCGTCATGCTCTGCTTGGCTCCACAATGTGATGTGACCGTCCATACTCGCGGTAAGGAATGGATTGCTCGTTTTGCCAAGCGAGGTGGCTTGCGTAAGACAGGCGGTCAGGTAGTCTCCCGACGCGCAAAGCTTCCACGAACGGTCGGTGGTCATGTACCGCCAGAGCTGTAGCGTCGAGTCGGAATATACCATGCTGATCGCAAATGTCTCCGGCTCTCTTCCCTCGACTACAGTAGCGTGCTGGACATCAAAGCTCATGATCCGCAGATCAGAAGTCCCGCTTCTGGGATGCGAGCTCTCGCAGACGACTCCAATACCAATACCCGCTACATCTGCCGTAATCCTCCAGACGAAGAATTCTTCGAACCCGCCGCTGGAGAAGAGATAGTGGTCACCACAAGCCCACTGTAGATGTTGTATGCCGGTATTATGCTTTCGTAGCGTCTGCGAGCATCTTAACCCCGTATAATCATTGTACTGCCACAGCTTGATATTCGTATCTTCGGCTCCAGTAGCAATGATCTGACTCGGTGTGGACGAGATGGCGACAGATTTGATCTCCCGCCCATGTCCACCAGATCTGAGCAGACCGAATAGCGCTTGGTTCTGAGATTGTCGATACAAGTTCGATGCTTTGGTCCACACAAAGATACCACCTCCTTCGCTAGGCTGGAAGGCGAAATTACGATGGGCACCGCCACACTCCACGACCATGACTTCGCGTTGAGCGTGGACGTCGTATGCGACGAAGTGCTTGCTTCGGAAGCCCCAGATCATGAATGTTTTGTCTTTCCGCAAGCTTATATGCTCGATGTTTGGTCCGAATGGCAGGCTGAGTTGGTGGACCAAGTCCGTCTGAAGCGTGTCTTCCGCAAGGGTGATGCGATGAATGGCATGTTTCCCATCCCGACCCGTCGAGTGTAGAAAGCCGGTAAGATCTCTTGTTAAGCCTGCGGAGTCCCACAGCAGCGAGGTCACCGCTTCTTTCGCGTGGACGTCAAGTAACACCAAGAGGCTAGTCTGCGCCGTGCCAGCCATTTCGGACGCCGTGTCAATGCCATAAATCGCAATCCTGCCATCGCGTGAACCGAGCACGGCGGAATTCCTGCCACCAAGACGAGTCAGAGTATAGCTGGTGACTACGAAGCCTGGGTCCAGCTTGAGACTCCTCTCCAGCTGCGCAGTCGGCACCAGGTTGATGCTTGACTGCATATGCGGCACCAGCTTCAACAATCTAGTAGTCGTACTTCCAACACTCGTCACAAGCAAACCGAACTCATTGCGAGCTTTGCTGAAATCGAGGTAGTCTACGAACAAGCCGGCAGTCTTCTGAGTGCTCGTGCAGACCTGGAAAAGCCTTTCATGCTCGTGCGCGTACATGTAGATCCCACCAGACGCACCGGCAAGCCATGCGTAGCCCGGCAGAGTCGTGACGAGAGAGTAGCCGCGAAGGTTTGGCATGCAGCTGGACAGTTCATTGATCCGCGAGGAATCATCGTGTTGAAGATCGATGGCCACGACTTTGCCTTGCTCGGTCGTACAGGCAATCGTGCTCTCGCTGATGAAGCCGTAAGCCTTGAACTTGTCTGCAGATTTCCAGGAGCCCAGCAGTGGTTCACTGAGCTCTGTAGGTGGGGCCATTATCGCAGCCGAATTATAAATGGCGATGGCGCCATCGGCACCTCCGGTCGCGATTCGTCCATCTTCTGCTGTGGCCACGGACCAGATATGTTTGCCAGCGTGTGCCCTCTGCACATTAGTCTGCTCGAGATCGTAGACAGCGCTCCCTGATGATTTCAAGATCCACGTAATGGTCGATGCGTCTTCGCCGAACGAGGTGATCTGCAATCGATCAGCAGGATCGAAGCCGGTAAAACGAACATGCCATATCCGTGATATATGACCCATAGCCTTTGCTAGACACCGAGGAGCATGCTCCTCCATCGTAGCTTTCGAACCAAAGCCTGTCTCCCGCTGTGGCCCAAGCAGTGTTGGATCCTCTGCTGCCAAGTCTGATATGTCCCAAATGCGAACTGTCCGATCGTCGCTGCATGTCGCCAGAAGTCCCCTGACCTCTGGGTTTGACTGGGGTGCGATTGTAGATGAGAGTTGCACACCGAAAACCGAGCCTTCATGCGCAGAGAATGTGTAGTGTATCTGGGTTGTAGCAGCGAAAGTGCCATCGTGCTTGTCAGATAGGACAGTAGACCATACTATGACATCCCCGAAAGCAGTGCCGGACGCGACAAGACATTGAGATGAACTTAGCCAATGGATGTGTGCGGTGTAAAGAATGCAATTTGACCCAGGCACTATTGGCAGAATCTTAGAAGGGCCTTTGGCATCTTCGAGGTGGCTCAAGTCCTCGAGTGAGACCACAACCAAAGCATTGTGGGCCGTCACCATTGCCAGAGTACGGACGCTAGTCTCATCGCTCGAAGATGAGAGCGCGCCATCTAAGATCCAGTCGGTTGTGGTGCGCAAGGCAAAGGCCTTGAAAGCATGGGAGGCACCCTCATCCTGAATAAGGCTGATTTCCCGGATCAGACTGCCGCCCCAGGCGACTATGGTAGAGCCCTGGTGTTCGTCGACGATCAAGCCATGCACGGCTGTGTTGTCGAATACTGTGATGCTGGCGAGGAGTTCTCTGGTACGAGCATCATAAGCTCGTACATATTGCCCTTCGCCAGAAATGATCACATCGTCGCTGCAGAAGGCGAGCGCCGTCACAGGGACTAGCTGCTCAACATGCTCGAGCATGAAGTCGCATGCGATCGACTCGAATGCTAGGTGCAATAGTTTTCAATTTTACGTCAAAATCATTAAGGCCAGTCGAAAGTTATGTACATTAGTGACTGGTCCGAGCTTAACAGACCGCGCTCCGCGATTTACCTCGAGCATATCTACCCTACTTCTGCGGCCACACTCAGTACTACACTACTACACGCTCGCTATTGAATTCGAGAGAATGGACCCATACGGCAGCGGCCCACCTGCGTTCAATCTACAACAGGCCACACCGCAGCTACCGTCAAATGTGAATGCTCTCCCTGGTGCTCTCACACCCGGCGGCTCCCGGCCTACACCCTCAGCTTCTTACTCCCATAGCCATTCGAGGAGTCTAAACCAGACGCCTTCACAACCACTGCAATCTTCGAATCCCAAAGCGTACAACATCTCCCACACTCAGACACCCGTAGGCCATCCTTCGCACAGCCCACTCAACCTTACAGACATCCGCTCACGAGCAGTGTCCGACGCCAATGAGGGTGCTGCTGGCACAGGCACCCTCTTCTCCTACTCAGAAACACCAACGAACTCGAATTACCTCGCTCCATTTCCTACATATGCATACGACTGGTGTAAATGGCCTGTCATGGGCGGCAGCAGCGCCGGCAAGATGGCCATAGGGAGTTACCTAGAAGACCCGCACAACTTCATCCAGATCCTCGATACGCAGATCACGCCGCAAGATGTCGCGAGTCCAGGGCAGGCGCCTTATGGTCTGGAGTACAACAAGATAGCAGAAGCCACATGCGCGTATCCTGTGACAAGAATACTGTGGGAACCACCGAGCTCGCAAAAGACGAGCACAGATCTGTTGGCAACGAGCGGCGACCACTTGAGATTATGGAGTCTGCCTCAACCCACTACACCGCACACGAGCAACATCAATCGAAGCGCGATTGCCAATTCAAGGGATCCCGCGCCGCAGAAATTACAGCCACTTGCACTGCTTAGCAACAGCAAGACCCCTGAACATACTGCTCCTTTGACTTCCCTGGACTGGAACACGCTTTCGCCGAAGCTGATCATCACATCTTCCATCGACACGACCTGCACAATATGGGATATACCGACACTAACAGCCAAGACTCAGCTCATCGCGCACGACAAGGAAGTGTTTGATGTACGGTTCTGCGCCGGGTCCGTTGATGTCTTCGTGTCCTGTGGTGCAGATGGCAGCGTGCGTATGTTTGATTTGCGAAGCTTAGAGCACTCCACTATCATATACGAGCCTGCGGAGAAGTCAGACAAAAGTATGTTCGTACGATCATGCTCGCTACTTATTGTGCTAATAGTCTCGCAGGCTCTTCACCTTCTGGATCATCTCCTACGAAAGCTCAGGCGCAGACAATGACGCCTTCACCACCTCTACTACGGCTAGCAGCTTCACCACACGATGCTCATCTCCTGGCCACTTTCGCCTCAGATAGCAACCTTATCCGAATACTAGATGTACGGCAACCTGGAACAGCACTACTCGAACTACGCGGTCATGCTGGGAACCTCAACACAATCGAATGGAATCCCAGTCGAAGAGGGATGCTCGCGTCTGGTGGAGATGACTCACTAGTGCTAGTATGGGATCTTCTCAACGCAAACAACCAAGCCGCCATCCCAGCTCTAAATGGTAACGGCACAGCTGCTGTTCCTGGCGAAGTACAAGGAAAGGGACCTTTGGCCAGCTGGCGATGCGAATACGAGGTTGGAAATGTTTCGTGGGCGCCGCAAAGTGGCTTGACAAGCCAAGGTGGCGACTGGCTGGGTGTCAGTGCCGGGCGTGGTGTTTGGGGCGTCAAGTTATGATTTCGTCTTCACCCAGCGATCGGGGAGGATGGTATGGGTTTTTTATGATTGGTGTGCGCATGAGGAATGCATTCACGAGCAAGCGAGGCGTTCCTGGTTGGTTTGTGGTTAGGAAGATATAGCATGAGATACCAGTGCACATCCTTGGGGTGGAGCCACAATCTATTCAACCCCTGACCGTTGTCCCGTCCGTGAAACTGCTTCGTATGGTCCAAATGTAATGTGGAACTCTGTGGACATAACAACTGAGGATCACAAACAAAAGTGGGGCTCGCGTATGCAACTCCCTCTTCTGCATCCAGATTTACACGACTTCACCTCCTTTGACTGCCTGGAGCCTACAGCTAAATACATCTCTGTCCAAGTCAGTAGATTTGAAACAGTATGCCATGATAGCGACGCATATACCACGTCCGGTGCTCCACCAAGCAGCATGCAATGGCTGAGCCAGCATACTCTTTTACGATCCCGTCCCTCGAGGACGACATCAAGCTTGACTGCCGCATATACCATCCGAGAATGCCAGGAGACACTTCACGGGAAGTAAAGGCTGCTGTTTTTGCCCATCCGTATGCTCCCTTAGGAGGCTCTTACGATGATCCTGTCGTGGGTGCCATGAAGGAGACACTGCTCAAACAGGGATATGTCGTCGGCACCTTCAACTTCAGGTATGCTGCAGATACTCAAATTTCCTGGGACTATACTGATGACTATGGAGAGGAGCTGGCGACTCAGAAGGCAAGACTTCATGGACTGGTCGGCCAGAGACCGAGGATTACATTTCTGTTGCTGGGTTTATGATGTACTATGCTCACCACTTGTCTTCAGTAAGGAGGTCATCAGCCGACGGCGCCCAAATTGGCGATGACGCTCGACATCCGATGCCTCTCCTACTAGCAGGCTACTCCTACGGCTCCTTGGTGCTGGCTCGCCTTCCCTCCATCACGAAGATCGTGGAACGCTTCCACGCCGCAGCGATGGGTACGGCAGCTGCTGAAATAATGCTGCGAGCTAGAACCCTAGCAAAGCAGACCATGAAAACATTCGATCTACATGCTCCTGGTAACGCGACAAGTCGTGGCCGTATGCTCGAGCCAAACGATGCAGCGACAGGTTCCACAGTAAACTCAAAGGCCTCATCAGTCATCATGGGTGGCGAAGAAACAGATAGCTCACAGCGACGACATAGTCCAGACTCCCGACGTAGCGTGGACGCTGTACGCGAGCTGCCGCACAGACTGAAAGCACATATAAGACAATCTAGCGACACGAACGATAAACATCATAGCCGGCGAAGATCGCAAAATACGACGACACCGCCCGGAACAGTAGATTCGACACTTGCTACTCCGAGTGTAACGGCTCACTACGCCCTCATCTCGCCCGTCATCCTACCTTTCTCCAACCTGATATCACCACCTGGTGCGCCGTCATTGACGATGGGCGTGAAGAAGGCTGGAACGGCAGACAAGAATGCAGGCGCGCTATTCCCGCAGCAACCGACACTGGTCATCTTCGGCACACGCGACACGTTCACATCAACCAAGAGATTCCTAGCCTGGGCTGAGAAGCAAACGAAACTGTCGCCAAGCTTCGAATGGGAGCAAGTGGAAGGCGCAGGGCACTTCTGGCGTGAGTCGGGTGTTATGCAGGCTCTACAAGCGCGGGTGGCGAAGTTCGCTCAAGTTTTGGACCAAAAGTAGGTATGACTGTATACGGCAGCTGGAACGACTCCTGGGAACAATGAGGCATGATCATTTCAGGATCTCTCCAGGGCTTTGGTACTTAGTCGAGCGAATCATGTATGACGCTTACTTTTGCGCCGGCATAACACCAGTAGTCATAAAACGCAACAAATTCTCCAACTTCATCGGCGCCAATGTAGGATCTATGCCCTTCTCCACTACTACTATGGCAACCTCCTTCTCCATTCCATCAGCCTTTGGTCTCTCCTCGTCCACGCTCATGTTAACATCATCGTCACCGTCTTCACTGTCGGACTCATCTTCTCCAAGCTTTCGTCTGAGCCCAGTAACCACATTCTCCACCCCACCTTCGCGTTCAGCGATTGTATAGTCGTCCTCGAACGCGTCCGAGATTTGGAACTGCTCAAGACACTCGTGATTCGACTGTGCCGCCCAATCCCATAGACCGGGAAACTCTTGCACTGCTAACCCGCCCTCATCCTGCTGCTTGGGCTGGATGCTGTACCTCGCGACCCAGTCCTCTGGGATAGGCTCTAGTTTTTTCCGCAGCAGATTACCTAGCAGTCCTTCTTGTGTCTGGCCAGGAAATGCAGATGTCGGGTATGCGTGTGCGGCTGTCAGAAAGTCCCGGTGTTCGTTTAGTGCTTGCTGTATATTGGAGATGTTGCGGATGATGTGGTCTTGTTCGAGCTTCAGTTCTTGCCTGGAGGGTGCTTACCTTAGCTGCTGATCTTCAGGGATTGATGCAGACACGATTGGAGCACACTACAGCAGAAACTAGAGAGGGCGGAAGGAGATATGTGATGTCCTACCATGAAGGGAGAGGATCGCTGCTCAATAATGACTGCCGCGATTCCTGCAGTGTTTGTGACAGTCGTGCTAGCTTCTGTCGCAGCTGGTCGACAGTACGGATCTGATCCGGCGACAATGCCATCTTTGTTGCCCTGTTCGTGTATGCTGGCGCTGGTCTCTTATGCGATGCTTGGAGACAACTTGAATGCATGCACGGCTCATATCCAGCACTCCGGCCGAGCCTCCCGCTTTTATGGAGCTGTCGCTCGCCTGCGTGTCCACTGCTTCCATTCACTCGGCTTCGTCTCCCCACCTCGCACAAACAAGAGCCTGAGCCTGACTCTGACTCTATGGCAGCCCGGCAGTCTCTGGAGCTGTATATAAAGTCTATTACAGGATGGATGTACCAAGGTTTCACATGGGTGCATAGCATCTCCATATCGATAGCACCCATGTCGCTTTCGCTTACGCAAAGTCAATGCACGATTAACCTGTTGCCAGTAAGCCATTAATCATCAGCCGTGGCGTTCGCTTGGCTGCAGCTCAGCTCGATATACCAGCATCTTCGTCCTCCTGTCGCAACACCGAAATCGTGTTCTTCGCTCTCGATCATCGCGAGGCGAACGCTGGATGACTATGGCCCGCTGGGCTCACTGACGTACTGGGAAGGCACGTTAGGCTTGAATCGGCATCGCAATATGAGCTCCACTCCTCGGGGCGACCCTGAGAAATCAGCGGGCTTACGCTTTGACGATCAAGGTACTGCCGCGACGCCGAACAAAAGACCAAGGCCTTCACATCCACCACGACATTATGGTCATGAGGCTCGAGAAAGGCTTCGACACTTCTTACATCCCGACGGAAAGCGTATACATATCGCCAACTCGCCTGAGGAGGCACTGAAGCTTAAGAGCAAGCTTGCGACCCGCCATGAGAGCCATGAGTTCGATGTCTACATCTCAGGATCTCCCGAGCATCTGGACGCCATTCGAGAAGCTCGGCAGCACCATGAAGCACGACGATCTGAGCTCGAGACCACGCACAAAGACATTTACGAGCGCTTTGCTGACGTTCACGCCGAGCTGGATATGCTAAGCAGTGAGCTTGATCGGGTGACGACCCATGGTATAAGTCTTGAAGCTCACTTCAACCGCTTCGGCTACGATGCACATATCAAGTCCTATGACGAGGACGAAGAGAGCCCCAGCGCCAGTGGCGTCACGACACCACGAGGCAGTACGTCTGGAAGGCGAGGCAGCTCGCTCAGCGAAGAAGCAAGTGACAAAGGCATCTCGCTGAAGCTCTTTAAGCGCCCTGTCGTGCGACAGTACTTTCACAAAGGTATCCTTTGGCGAGCGAGCAAGTGTGAGGAAGTGCAGTCGTTCGAGCTCTTCGTGGACTTGCTCTACGTTGGTATCATTGCTATCAACGGCGACGTGACGTCTGAAAGCCCCACTGGCAAGAGCCTGCTCAACTTCGTTATCACCTTCACGCTTAGCTTCAAGATCTGGAATGACATGGCGCAGATCATTTCATGGTTCGAGACAGACGACATGTTCCAACGCTTCTCGATCGCTTTCGAGCTGGTCTGCTTGTTCGGCTTCACGACCAATATCACGCAAGCTTTCGAACGTGAAGGCTCGACATACGCCACCATGATAGGCTTCTATCTCACCGCCCGGCTGTACAATGCTCTCTATCTGGCTCACATAGCCTGGGTCCTCCCTATGATCCGATCAGTCATGGTCTTCCACGTCACTATCATCCTGATCGGCTCTGCTATTTGGGTCGGAAGTATCCATCTCGAGTACCCGAAACAGCTCATCCTCACCCTGATAGCTCTCTGCTTCGATGTCTTCGCGCCAATGACGCTCGTCCTACTCAAAATGACAGTCGAGAATATCAAAGGCAAAGACTTCTTCGAAAATCTTTTCGAGTTTTGGCCAGCGATGAACATTGAACACCGTACTGAAAGGCAGAACGCTTTCGTCACCCTGGTCTTCGGCTACACAGTTGTCGCTATGCTGTATCAGAGCACAGTCAACGGCATCGACGCCTTCTTTGGGAAGGCCTCATTGGGTCTCCTCCAAGCATTCTGCTTCAACTGGATTTACTTCGAGATTGATGGTGCAAATCTACACTACCATGCTATCCGTCGCCATAAACTCAGTGCCATGCTATGGGCTCTTGCACACCTCCCATTCATCATGGCTTTCGTGCTTGGTGGTGGCGCGCTCAGCCGGCTTGTGGTAGCGACAGACACGGCAAACAGCGATCTCGAGCACTTGACCGAAACATATCAGCAAAGAAGCGAGCACGAAGTCCAGATTGGACTAAGATGGTTCTACTGTGCCGGTTTCGGCATAGCGCTAGCTTGTATGGGTATCATATCTAGCTCGCACGTACACAAGGAGATCGCTGGTCTACGCTTAAAGAAGCGATATAGATTGGCATGGCGCTTCTGCATCGCCCTAATACTGATTTGCTTACCGCTAGCCGAGAGCCTGACCTCGCTGGAGCTCATTGGAACCGTGACAGCGCTTATAGTATTCGCGCTGGGCACGGAGCTGTGGGCTGCAAGCTGCGCGGGCGAATCGTTGTGCTCCCGTGCGAAGCCTTGTAAATACACTGGTCAGTGTGGCAAGAGCAAACTACATGCACTGGTACAGGATGGAACGGAGGTGGATGTGAGTACGCTAGCCAGTCATAACAATAGCCAGGATGGATTGATTGTTGGGCCGTAAGGCTTGTGTTATTCTACACAGCTATACGAAATACAAATATCTACAAAGTACAAACTTTCATCGATGACAGTGATAACGAGATATAGCATTCTGGTTCTGTTCTAACCAGTACAGTGTGGTGTAGTAGTCCGAGCCGTTGGAGGCATCTGGGATTTCCTCTATGTGGTCTGGGACTGGTCGGAGCTGGTCGAAGGGTGCTGGTGCATTTGCCAAGCGAGTATCCTGCTCCTTGCTCTCCTTGCGCGAAGCGGAATTTGATCTTGACATGGTGATAGCCTTACTCTGCTCCTTGTCCGTTTGCCCCTCGGTCTTGACGAGAGTGACAGGCTGTAAGTCATCATGTATCATCCTTGGGAGCATTGGGGCCTCCGAAGGCTCTGCCGCTGTTGGCCGAAGTACTGGGAATGCAAGGCGCCTACTACGCCTACCCGGCTTCTTCTTTCCTTCTTCTTGAAGGCCTGCTGCTTGCTCAACATTGTAGCCAAAATGCTCGCGCAGCTCGCTGGAGTCTTGTTCTTCCTCCGCGGCACGAAGGCGTGCATCCCACACGTCGTCGGGATGAGGGACATCCAGATAACAATACCTGCAGTCCCACTCATCATGCTCATCCCAAGAATCCATGGGATGGTGAGGCCTGCATCGTGCGACATATTGTAGAGCAGCCTTTTCGGCCTCGTTAGGATGCTCCCATGGGTCCATGTCCATAATCGCCCATAAGTCAGAATAATTTTCTTTTGGTTGCAAGTACTCGTAGTCCGGGTCGTTGGGGTCATCTTCGTCGTTGAGGTCTATGCCGCTGACCAGGATATCCAAGTCTTCTGGCAAGCCCGGCTCGATGCTACCACCAAATCCTTCGTCACCTGGGAGGCTTTGCAATTTGGGATCATAAGGGATTGGGACCACTTGTGCTTCTCGTTCGCTTGTTACAGGCACCAATATAGCACGAGATGCTGCGAAATCCGATGAGCCAGATGTACTTTGCGCTTCTTGTGCACCTGCGACCGGCACATCATCAGGTGAAGGCGGTGGAAGACTAAACGAAATAGATCGGCCTCTCGCGGCCGAACTGCGCTCTTCACGGGTCCCTGCTCTGGGCGTCTCGTCAGCACCCAATACCGGGTTGTCAGCTGGGGCAGGCACTGTCGGCTCTGCTTGCAGCCCAGTGGTTGGTACCTCATATGACGGAGCAGTAAGTTCGTTGGCGAAGGCTGCCACGTTTTTGCCACTCCTCTTCTGCTGAACGAGCCCAGCGGCGAATTCGTCAGCATTTTCAATTGCAGCCTCAGGCTCCTGACGAAGCTGAGCAAGTAGCCCTGGATCTCTGCTGGTGTGATCACATCCGCTGGTATCTTGTCTGCAAACGCCTTGGCCAAGACTGGTATATTCTCAAATATCTTTTCGCCTTCGAGAAGCTGTTGAGATGTCTTCGTGAAAAGCTTGATGAACAAGTTGGTTGCAACCTCGTGCTGAACAAAGTGTTAGTGTGTATCTGTATCCTGTATATGGGCTCAGTGTATGCACTTACCGTAGCATAGCCGAACAGGACTTTGCGATCAATGCGACTAGCGCGGATGAGCGCCTTGTCCAGGGAATCAGGGTCGTTGGAAGTCATCAATACAATACGTCCCTCTGCCGCAGCAATACCGTCCAGCACGTTGAGCGGACCGCTGAGAGTCATGCCGTGCTTCGACTTTGCGGGACGCAGCGAGTCGCCTTCCGCGTCGTCACTGTCATCGCCTCGAGACCTATCACGCTTCTTGAGCTTGTTCATTTTCTCTCGCGCTATGCCCGAGCTGTCAATATCTTCCATGAGCACAATACACTTTGCAGGTAGCTTGTCAAAGAGGGTTTCCATTCTGATGTCGTTCATGTTCGGATCGGACAGCGTCAATAAAAAGACGTCAAGGTTGTACTCGCCTGCGAGCGCAGTGGCGAAAGAAGTCTTGCCAGTCCCAAGAGGGCCAAACAGTAGATAGCCCTTGCGATAAGGGATCCCGCTCCGGATGTAGAAGCTCTTCGTTCGTGGATCGAGATATGTCTCGATATCCTTGATTAGTGGTTCTTTCACCTTCGAGTCCAGCGTGATGGCTGCAAGTTTCCGCTGCGGCCTGGCACGGCCTTCATCCCAGCAGGTGATCTGCGAGTGTCTCTGGATGACTGGACGGTACACGCGGGTCATAGCGTCCTGCGCACTGGCAGCGGAGCTTTTGACGTGCTCGAGAAACTTCTGCAGGGATGTCACGCCCCCAAACAGCGAGTAGCAGGTTAGGACGATAGTGTCGTCTTCTTGATTATGCGACCCACGTTCTTCACCCTTCCCCCTCTGCTTGGCGAGTCGTTGTCGGTCGAAGGTCATCCAGTACCCATCGAAAAAGAAGGAATGGTGGCCAACAGCTGGTGTATAAGTGATCGCGTCCTTCTTCCTCACTTCATCGCCATCCACCGGCATGCGCTGACTCGTGTTGACTACAGGGTCCATAAACGTGATGCTTGAGCAGGCCGTGGTAGTGCCCGGTGCAGTCACAGTCAGCGTTTTCGAATCTTTAAGACCATGCTCCATCAGGTAGGCCATAATCTGATCGTGAAGCATCGGATTTGGTGGAACAGTCACTCGAGCCGTTACCTTGCCCATGATCCAGCCACGTAGAATGCAAATAATGGAGACCAGACTTCCGAACTTTTGAAGCGCCCTATACAACAGTATAGTAGGTGTGACCACAGCGATGAGTCGGGCGAACCACGGACTAAGTTGTTTCAGAAGGTGCAAGAGTTGCGCAATGACTTGATCAGACCGGGAGGCACTCAGATTTTCGCAGGCGGACGAGAATAGGGACAGCAAAGTCCCCAAACTCTGAGTTTTCGACAAGCTACCGGATCCCGTCATGATGTTCTCTAGATGTTGGTGTCACTGCTGGCGACCGCCGTCGACTCGTGCAGGCCTTTGGCGAGTGGACGAAGGTACGTCCATGCTGCTCAAAGAACATCGCCAGGCCGAGAGCGGCCAATACTTGGCTTGTCTGAGGGCTTTCACAACATACTGCCTTTGTCCGCATAATTCTCGTCTTGCGACGCGGTGGAGCAAGGAAGGATTAGAAGCCCAGCTCAAGGACGACAGTATCCTCTGGCTTGAACGCATTGAGTATGTACTTCTGTTACTGCAGACGGAGCATCAAGACCAGTTGGTAGTAGCCGTAAGATCCTATAAACTTAGTCGCTCCTGAGCTTCTGGCGAAGTGCTGCTCGTCTTGGTGCTCGCCACGCTTTCTTTGTTCAAATGGCATCCAGACTTCCGGCTATACCAGACAGGCTTTCAAACTCCGCTGACAAAGATGTTGCGTACGGCCATGAGCAGGTAACCTAGAGACATGGTACTCCTTGCGCTGTCAAGACATAACGAATGGTTAGGTTGTCTCGGGTCCGGTCCTTTACTTGGACCGCCATGTGCCAAAGAAGTCAAGTGATGAGTTATACACCACAACATCGTGTCTTATTGCCAAGAGTCGTGATGGCTTGCGTAGCGGTTTGTAGCTGCAATGTGGCGAACAATGATATGCACTGCTCGCTTCATGCGGACTTCTCGAGACACAATTCAAGCTGGAGGAATATCATCAAAGCCCAGATGTGATTGCCACGACTTGACTTCATCCGTCCAGGCTCCAGACAATTTACAAGACTGGCTGTATGGATGAAGTGTTGATACTCCGCGAGTGTCTCAGTCAATGGTATAGCGGCTTTCGCCGCATTGCCTTGATTTATTCGGAACCGCATCGCCGGGTCATCATGCCCCAAGCCAGCAGGACTTTTGGGGAGATATTTGAAACTTGACAGGGCTAGAGACGCTAGTCTACTAACGGAAAGAGCCTGCTGTAGAAGGTAACGGCACCGAGCAGACTCTGTGATCGTCTGTACGCCCGGTATTACCGATGCATGAAGACATGGGTGGCTGCGAGCATCGAGCGAGTCGGACACATCGACGAACATCTACACGGCTCGTCTCGTAGCCGATCAGATGCGCGCCGAGTTGAAAGGTCCCCTGCAGACAGTTGCTGGCAATGCATTTTCATTGATGTAACCCCAGAAGATAATTATTCAGTAATGTGTACAGGTTTTGGCTTAGAAAGACGGTCGTGCGATTGGGCCGTCTGTGGCAGCTGCTCGTCCATCATAACAACACCCGTTATGAGCAGTTCCAACGTTGGTTACACTTCAAAATGGAATCCGACAGGATCAATGCCTTCCCATGCAGCGACACGAGAAGGATGCGAGACTTTTAATGATGAGGTAAGCTGGTATGATGATTGGAACTGTACAGAAGGTTTCACAGAGTTTATGTGGTTTGACGATTGGTCCAACATCCACAGCACAAGTAATAAGCATCATCATCATGGTTCTCTCTGGGAAGGAGATAGCAAGTGGTCGTGTCTTGGAGGAGGGCATTCAAATACGAGCCGGATTGGGCTAGATGGACCGGCCGATTGCCTTTGATGAGTCAAGTGTTACGTCGCTGACGAGTCCTCACTCCTTCGGTCCCGATACAGCAGTGATGCTACTTCCTAAAAGAGTAAAATAAGCGGAGGATACGGCAGACTCCGTTCTCAATGCACGGCCTGAAGGATGACATACCAGCTGACTTGCCGATATAGATGACAAAGGTTCTGTGCGCTCAGACTTCCATGCGCTTCCGAAGCATATCTTGCCTCGGCATTGGGCTTACTACATCCTCTGTGATTCGCGCTTGTATGTTTGAGTGATGGTGAGATCTTGCCAGAGCCGCACCAGCCCTTGATGGGGCACGGCGAGCTCTTCTTCAGGGCAGCCCATATTGAGCTGACCATGGGTTGTCGACGGCCGGACAGAGTACGTACCTCTGAATTCCACTATAATTCGAAGCTTGTCTGACTAATTGGTTTCACGCATCCTGCAGATTTGCACCGTTCTGGTGCCCCGAAACCATTCCCGTACGGTACCCTGACGCCGCGGCGCCTGTGTGTCTCGATTTGACATGCATGCTTCCCCCACAAGCGAGTGATATGGTGGTCTGCAACCATTTCCAGTCCCCCGTACCGAGCATCTTCGTGCCACGGCTCGTATCCCTGACCTGGCCAGCGAAAGTCAGCGTCAATCTACTATAAGCTTCGTACACTAGATGCGGTAACACGTTCGTTCTGCCGGACTCGCGCCAACCATAGTCCCGTGATACGATACTGCTAATTGCTCGTCGTCACCACATCTTTACTCTCTTTCGTCGACGCTTCACCACTCGCAACATATTAGGCGTCTTGCGCTTCTCGGTAATGCCTTTGAGCGTCCTATATCGCTGGGCGTCGCAGCAATGAGCATGGAGAAGCAGCCTTGGACCGTCAACGGATGGCGCGAGAATCGTTACCAGCTAGACGCAGCGAGGTCTAACACCACGGCGCCAATACCGCTGTCTGCGCCCACCGCCATCAACCCAGCGTTCCAGAGCTCCATCCTTGTACAGAATTACAACCACAGAGACGAGGCCTGGAGACCAGACGGAACAAAGGAACAGATCTCTACAGACGCTCATGCGACTGCTGCTCGCCCAATCCTTGTGTCCGAACGCCATTCTCCGGCCCCAGGTGGCAACTACGGTCCGCCGCAGCTAAATTTTGCCTCACCTCAGCAGCCTGCGTCAGGGCCTTGGCGGGGCTTACATGACGATCTTCGCAGGAATAATGATACGACGCAAGTGATAAATGCTCCACCCTTGACCATCCAGATACCTCCGGCTCCCGGTACGTTTACACAGGTTATTGTCGCCTCCATTGAACGCCTTCTGTCGTGCTAAAAATTCTATGTCGCTCACGCTGACTGAGGCTGGCGCTACAGGTGCTCACAGATCGTCACCGCCTCTGGCCCAAGTGAAGTCTGAGCTTCCTACATATCCTCAAGATGTACAGACACCGTCAATCCAAGCACCGTCGCTGCCATCATTCGCATCCTTCCAGAAGCATACTACCCGCACTGACGATGCCGATGTGGATGGTCCGGAAATTGCCCCAATGGCAGCTCGCCTACCTTGTAACACCTGCACTCAATTAGGGCCCATGGTTCGCAACGTGGCGATTGCTGTCGCGGAGCTTGACGAGAATGTGCAGATGTACTGCAATAAAGCGGTGACTAGAGTACGGCGCATATCCCTTCATGACTGTGATTTCTGCTAATACTTTTCCGCTAGTCCCTGGATATGCCGACTGACGGGTCTGTGCGAACAGTTCAATGGGTCCTGGACAGACTACGATACGCAAAGGGAGATATGGTAGAAGCTGGCCGTCGAGTTCATGCTCCTGCTTATTTCTTCCCTCATCCACCTGCGCCGAGTACCGTACCGTCGCGATTAGACTCGCCACCGCGCATGTTGAAGCGATCTGCAATGTGGGAGAAGGACGAGTACTCTAATGTCAAGCGCCCTCGCTCTGGAGGTTCGCCAGGTATGGCGGACAGCGTCATGTATGATCATCGTCGTGCCTCAGTCGACTTCTCTGGCCGTAGTGCATATTCGCCACAAGCAATCGAATCTGCGCCTTTGTCCGCCTACCCTCGACAAGGTTCACCCGGAAGACTGTTTCGTCCGCTCCCGTCGCCGTCGTCTCTTGCCTACCCGCAATCGGCAGCTGCGTCACTCCCGCCGCCAACTGTCCATCCGGGGTCTCCTACAATGTCATACCAGGCCTCGACGTCAATCCACACAGCGACGACAGACTCTGCGACATCTGCTCACATAGCCAATCTGCAACACCAAGTCACTTTAAAGTCTTTATCGCTGCAAAGCCTACAATCCGAGTACTCCACTCTCCTGCAGAAACTACAGCGCGAGAAGCTCAAAAGCCAGACGATCGAGAAGAAGACCACAGTGTCTGAACAGGAGGTCAATGACTTGACCGGCAAGAACGAAGATCTGAGTGAGCAAGTTGTCTCCCTGCAGTCACAGCTCGAGGAGTCTGAGCGCAAGCGTGACAATGAACGTGTTGAGACCGGAAAAGAAAAGGAGCAATGGAGCCGTATGCTCGATATGAGCAATAGATTGCAAGCAAAATTGGCTGGAGAACGACAAGGCCTTGCTGAAGAGCGTGATCACTTGCGGAGAGTGATTCAGCATTTAGAGCAGCAGACAAGCAGCCGCACTGACCACGGTCCCAACAGCGCAGTGTCTGCCGATGGCCTACCAAGTTTCACCTCGGTGAACGGCTCCAAGACCAAGTCGGGATATAATGGGAACGCTAACAGCGATGCTGATGGGCTGCGACGTGAAGTCATGTCCATGAGAGAAAGAGTTGCCACACTGACCGAGGCGCTTCAAAAAGTCCAATCGCGCAGCCAGGAGCTGGACGACCACACGCGGCGCATACAAGAAACTAGATTTGAGCTGACCAAAACGTTGCGATCCGTTCTCGGGAACGATGTTGTAGACGAGACGTCCCCATCACAACCTCTGCCAAGGACGTCTGTCTCTGAGCCTACTCCGAAGCTTGGCGCGATTATTCCTGCGACGCCCATCGTGATTGAGCAGCCGTCGCAAGTCACGTCATACCACAATGCATTAACTTCAAATTTGCCGCCACTGTCTGCGCCGAGGTCTGCCACCAAAGCATCTGCTTTGCCGACGCCGACAAGCGCTACTGGGCCAAGCATCGCAGAAATGATCAGCGCTGCTAGGGCTACCTCTCCGAACGCAGAAGAGCTGGGCATATATGTACAGCCTTCGACGTCGAGTCCTGAGGATCTTGTAAGGGCACTCGGACCAGTGCCAGCGCCGGCACCATTACCTGCCTTCCGCTTCGAAGCGGGCTACCAGCACCAGTCGCAGTCACACGCGCCTATACCGGCGGACAAGCAGACGCACTCTCCACCCTCGCACCAGCAGCCTTACGGCCACGCCTCGCCATACAGGCCATTACCGCCAGCGAGTCAATATCAGCAGTGGGGTCACCAGAAGTCGTCACCACCATCCAGTCACACTTCGCCAGGTTCGTCAGGCCCGGGCGGTTCGTCTCCACGTGACGCCTCGCTGGCGCAATCACAGCCACAGTCTGCTCCAATACACGCTGGCTCATACTCTCAACCTCAACCGCTATCCGCAGATAGCCGCCGAAACTCTTTGCGTGGCTTTCCTGACATGGCAGTCACATCGCCCGCTCATGGGCCGGCTGGCTTCCGACAGTGGGAACAACCAGCAGGTCCTACCTCTATGCCGCCTCCACCAAGACCTATGACCATTGCAGACTCGAGGACCGTAGGATTCTGACCAATCAATCGAATGCATGCCGGCAGCATTTCATGTACAGAAGCTTTGCTTGAAGCGCTGAGGCATACAGACCACAAAATAATTTCATGTACAAATTTTGGCACTGAGCTATTTGATACTTCCTCGTCCCTCACGTTTCAATGCCTATGATAAATTTGTCGTGTCTGGAGCCGCACTCCTGTTTCCTGCTCAAGAGCATGATGCAATAATGCTTGGGGCCGAATGCCCACTTGCGGAGATCTGTCTCTGCAGTTGGGTGCTGAATGCTTACGCACAATATCCACCTTCTATCACACAGCCTCAGCAGACATAAGAAGAATCGACCAAGTGAGTACTACCATAGCAAGATCAACATTACTGTGCCATTCGCTTACGACAACGTTATTGTCGTATTATTAGCATATACGACAAACCACAATCTGGGAACCCTTGATGCTGGTTTGTCGCGGCTAAAGACATACTCGACCAACATGCCACCATCGGCGGAACAGCTCAAAGGGGCATGTGCATGTGGTGCCGTGAGTTGGCAAGCGACTGCTGATCCCCGGCATCTCGACCTCTGCTACTGTAAGACATGTCAACAGATCTCCGGCGCACCATTCGTTGCATGGACGGGCATTCCGAAGCAGGGATTGACATGGCATGGCCCTATCACCACTTTTGCCGTCAACGATCTGGCCACCAGAAGCTGCTGTCAAGAGTGCGGCTCGACGCTGAGCATGCATTATCATTGCTATCCGGACAAAATCCATGTCGCTGCCGGGACTGTGACAGATGGTGAGAAGCTCCTACCGCCTGTCAATATGCACATTTTCATCAGTCGCAAGCCTCAGTGGTACACTCTGCCAGATGATAAGATAGAGAAATGGGACGAGTTTGATACCGAGACGCAGAAGATGCTGGACGATTGGCGAAGCAGACAAAGCTCGTCATGAAGCTCCTGCGCTGTCTCGCGACGAAAGATAATCTACTGCTATACTCGATAACGACAGGCCCTGATCACAATATGTGCCATTTCTTTGACAAAACTCCCAAACGACTTCCGCCTACTTAGTCTTATCCTTCATCAATGTCGCATTGAAGGCGGTCAAGACAACCGAGGCGACCTTGTCGCCATCGAACCAGAAAACCATCTCATTGAAAGGCTTACCGGCATAGTTCAGCGGGTCAACGTTGGTCACGCAGTAGTCGTTCCAGATCTGCGAGGTCACGTTCGACTCGGCTAGTGTATCTTGAACATTGTAGAAGCGCCAGACCTGGCCGGTAAGATTGGCTTGGAGCCGAGTCTCGAAGGTCGGGACGACTTGGTAGTAGATGCCGCCAGGAACACCGCCCAGAGCGGACACGAGTTTGTATGATTGAGCGAGCACGTCAGTGTCGTTGGACGTCCAGGCGGAGATATAGAGTGAACGAGCTGATGATTGTGCCAAGGTGATCGAGGAGTTAAGATTGGCGTCGTTGTACGTGCCAGTATATGTGACGGCCAGGTCGCGTTGAGCCAAGTCCTCGGCACCACGGACAAGAGTTGTAGTGATAGCGTCGAGTAAAGAGTTGAACGAGCCGAGACTTCCCGCAGAGAGCATGGTTATGGCAAGGTCGTACTGAGATATTAGCACGACGTAGCTGTAATAGCCTGTGAGCCCGCCGCCTTTAGTGATGAAAGTGACAGGCCGATTGGTCTGAGGGAGTACAGTGGTGGCTCGGAAGATCTCCCAGGGCATCCCAATCAAGCTGTGTGAGCCGGCAGAGTATGCCACCGGTTCAAACCAGTCGATCATAGGGCTGATCGTCTGATGATGCTTGAGCAAGTAGCGCATGAAACGAGTCATGTCGTCAGACGAGCTGTATAGTCCACCAGCGCTTCGAACTTTTAGTAAGGAGTTGCGGCCATTCGGTGGAGTATATGGCTTACGCATTGCCTACAGCTAAATCTTGCGACCATTGGCTATCTGAGGCCAAGAAAGCGCCAGAAGTATTCGATGACGTCGTGAACGTCGTTGCATTCATACCCAGAGGTTTGGTAATCGCTATTGTGATATAGTCTTCGTATGGCATCCCTGTGACTGCTTCTATGACCAGGCCTAGCAGATCGAAACCCACGTTGCTGTACGAGGCCTCTGTGTGCGGTGGAAAGACTGGATTTGCTTCACGCAGGACGTTGAGGAGACCTATAATTCGTCAACTGGTAGGTATCATAATCACGGATAATGCTACACATACCCGCCCTATCGCATGCCACGGATACATTGAGGTCGCAAGCAGGTAGATCGTCGAACTCGACATCAATGACCGGAGGTAATCCAAGGATCTCTGCGACACCTTCCGTTAAGAGATCGCTTTGTGCGTCTGTAGCTATATCAGCATCCTCAACATGTGGAAACAGCCCAGCTTACAATTGTTCTGGACCACTCTGTTGACTGAGCAGCGATCTGATCGATATGCGATTCCACTGGATCGAGCCGCTGGAATTCTTAAGCTCTGGGACATAATCGGACACGGCATGGTCAAGGTCAATCTTTCCCTTGGCCTGTTGTTGCAAGACAGCCATAGCAGTAAATATCTTGGTGTTGCTTGCGATTCTATACGTTGTGGATCCATCAACCCCGTGGCCATGCTCAGCTTGAGTGGAGATATTCGGGGTATGATATTTCGACCATATGGATACTTGCGAAGTGGTGATCTGGATGGACAGCGAGGAGGCCTGTGCGTCCGGCTTGGAAAGGTAATTGTTCAGTACAGAGTCGATGGTCGCAAGAGTCGAGTTGAGTCCGATATGATTGACTTTGTTTGCTAAGAACGCGGCATTTGGCTCGCACGATGCTTCAACATGATGAGAGAGCGCGGTCAACGCGAGCAGAGAGCTCGGGAATGATATAATGTTGGTAAACATGATCTGTGGTCAGGTAGGTATTGAATGAGGTATCTTGGTGAGCTGAGTGGCCATGTTGTATGGTATATATGTCTCATGAATCAGGGCAATGCGTTAGGCTGATTACGCTGATGCCTTTCGTTCAATCTGTGTTGTATGGCATTGACCATGCCAGTAAAGCTGATGCCTTCCTTACGATCTGTTTCGTATGGCATAGCCCGGCTCGCTCGACTCGCGAGTTTGCAAAGAAGCTCGAATTATGAGTGACTGTCGACTGACCATCGTTTCGCGAGCTAGGACCTCGTCGACCGGGCCCAAGACAAGAGTGTTCATGGCACGGTAGTGGAAGGCGAAGTAACGCAAAAGCAGAAGCTCGAAGACTCTCGCATTGCGGCAAGTGTCCGTCTTCACCTCATTCGTCACATCGCAGCATGCACGGACCATAAGCCACTCCTAGTTCGCGAAACTCTGGAAGGTCTGGCCAAAAACGCACCTTGTACATGGTCCTAATCTGATGCAATTCGCCCCCTGCATTGTAAGATACTCTCTGGAAGTAGATCGATATGTCACCGCCGCCACCCTTCGCTGTCGAGCAGGTAGGTACGTAGACGAGGATCAGCTCGTTCGATAGCAGTCGATGAACTGGCGCAACAGAAAAGCCGCTAACAAGGGAGTAGTGGATGGATAAATATGAAACCACAGCAAAGTACAACATAGCCGAGACATGCTGTGCCAGCATCTCAATCGACGAGCTCGTCAGCTTCTCCGAGAAAGATGGTGTCAAGGCGACCGACATCATCGACTTCTCCGCCATTCAAAACTATGGCGAAATTCGAGGGAGCGCTTCGCTGCGTGGCCACCTCAGTAGACTGTACTCGAGCAAAGTAGGCACACCTCTCCCCGTCGACAACATCCTGATTCAGCCTGGGGCGATATCAGCCAACTTCCTCGTGTTCAATGCACTACTGTCACCAGGTGACCACGTAGTCTGCCACTATCCGACATATCAGCAGCTGTACAGCGTACCAGCCTCCCTCGGGGCAGATGTCAGCTTATGGAAATCCAAGCCCGATAACAAATGGCTACCTGACTTTGACGAGTTCAAATCGCTGGTCAACGAAAAGACAAAGCTGATCGTTTTGAAGTATGTGTAACCTGAAGTCACTCCGTCATCGTGCTGACGCCAGTAGCAATCCGCAAAACCCAACAGGCCAGATTCTGCCAAAGTCACTCCTCCACAAGATCATCGAATTTGCAGAAAGCAACAACATCATCGTAATGTCAGACGAGGTCTACCGACCTCTCTTCCACGGCACCACACCAATGGATGCCGAATTCCCACCTTCAATTCTGTCTCTTGGATACAAGAACACGATTGCAACTGGCAGCATGTCTAAAGCCTACGCCCTAGCTGGCATACGAACAGGCTGGGTAGCAAGTCGAAATGCCGACATTATCGAGCAATGTGCTGTCGCTAGAGACTATACAACCATCTCAGTGAGCCAATTAGATCAACAGGTCGCTGCCTTCGCACTCTCACCAGAGACTATCCACAGATTACTCTCTCGCAATATCCAATTGGCGAAGACGAATCTCGAATTACTGGAGCGTTTCGTGATCAAACATGATGAGTACTGCTCCTGGACGAAGCCTGTGGCAGGTACTACAGCTTTTATCAAGTTCGAACGAGATGGCAAGCCGGTTGACGCCAAGGTCTTCTGTGAGACAGTACAGGAGAAGACTGGTGTGATGTTCCTACCTGGTGATTTTGGATTTGGTGAGGAGTGGAAGGGATATGTCCGTGTAGGATATGCGAACAAGACGGAGATAGTCAAAGACGGGTTGGAGGAGTTGAGAAAGTTCATGCGGAAGGAGTATGATGATTTGCCTGTCTGCGACTGAGATGGGCTGTATGCTAGCTAATTAGCTGTATATGTGCCTCACAATGGGATGATCGGAGGCTACCAAGATCCCAATCTGGCCTGTACGTATCATAATATGCAGTGCATAGGCATAACTAGGGCACATATTGGTCAGTCGGTGCAATGCTCTTCTTCCGGCTTCTCGGCTATCATCGTTTCCGACGAGTCTTCGGCTGAACTTCAAGCCTTGCTTGCACATGGCTATTGCGGTGCATGCACAAAGGTTGCTTGCATTTCTGGTTGCCCTCGAAGGATCCAATGGACGTCAGCCGTGTCAAGAGATGCACTGACTCAATGATTAACAATCGCAACGCGTCGTGCATGAAGCTGACCGAATGCGATCTCGAGCTTGAGCAATGGCTGAAGTGAAGGCTGTTTAAATTCAGATAGCTTCGTCGTGTCAAACAGGAATATTTTAGAGATGATATATAAGGTACCTCCGGCGAAAGTCACTGAGCATCCGTCCTGTAGAGCCACACACCACATCATTCATCTGGTTTCTCCCGCAATCCCAGCAACTTTGACCAACGTTAACAGTCATGTCGTCCCTCAAGACCATCAAGCTCTATGACCACGCTGGGGGCCCAAACCCTCCCAAGGTCAAAATCATTCTTCGGGAACTGGGCATCCCATACGAGAGTGTGTATCCCGACAAGATCAAGGAGGAACCATACACCGATATCAATCCAAATGGGCGTCTTCCCGCCATCGAGGATCCCAACACTGGACTGACTCTTTGGGAGGTTTGTCAACACGGACTCATCGTTTCTTGCGAAGCACATCCTTACTGACCCTGCCATAGTCCGGAGCTATCATTGAATACCTGATCGATGAGTATGACAAGGAAGGCAAGCTTTCCTACACCTCCTTCCCAGAGAAGTGGCAACAGAGTGCCTGGAAGACATTTCAGATGAGTGGCCAAGGGCCGTACTTTGGTCAGAGGATGTGGTTCGGGTTTGTGCGTGCCTCCCATTGTCTACATCCACGTACAACTTGGAAATTAATACCCTGTTAGTTCCACAGTGAGAAGATTCCTTCGGCCATCGACCGCTACAGCGCCGAAATCAAGCGTGTTCTCGGTGTCATCGATGCCCACTTGACCAAGACCGGGCAGCCATACCTGGTGGGTTCGAAGATTAGCTACGCCGACCTCATGTTCGTGACGTGGAACCATGTTTTGCCCTTTGCGATGGGAGAGGAGTTCATGAAGGATTTTGAGAAGGATATGCCGAAGGCGTACAAATGGATGCAGGAGTTGGAGGCACGAGAGAGTGTAAAGAAGGTTTATGCTGATATTGCTGAATATTCAGCCAAGCATGGGAAGAAGCACTAGGCTCGTGGTACCATGCTGTGTGGCACCAAACGCTTCAGCTGGAGCAAAGCAAACGTATGGATCGTAGATAGATCAGATAAGTCGTCGTCTGCTCACAACGGCATGCAGAACTATGAACAACCGATATCGTGGAGGTTGAGAATTAGTTTAGCATGATTAAGAGATTGGTACGGTGAGAAGGTCTGGTGAGCTTTCCAGTGGTGAGCTTTCCTCTGCTTATGTTTGATGTGTAGAGGTGGTGAGCTTTCCTCTGCTTATGTTTGATGTGTAGAGGTGGTGAACTTCATTGAAGCAGTACCTAATGCTCAGCGCAATAAGACAGAGAAGAGAAGAGTACTAATAAGCAGTACACCACCTTCATCACGTAGCGGCGACAGTCCTGCTCGCTTGCCCACGCTCACTCGTAATAACCCAGTAAATCGACCTGTCAACGCCTGTCCCGCTGGGACGCCACCTGTAACGATTGTTTGACTGTCGATATAACCCTCTCAAGATTTTATGCCTCAAGGTACTTCTTTGCCAGCGCACCCAGCATGGGCTTGGCGACTGGCTCAACCTTCGACCAATGCTTCTGGCCCGTCTCTAGCATCTTGCCTAGATCCAGATCTTTTTTGTCCTTTTTGTCTCGTTTGCCCGAACGCGGTCTGCTGTCGCGATCATCACGATCTCTATCGCGGTCCCGGTCTCTGTCCCGGTCTCGGTCCCGATCACGATCACGATCACGATCACGAGGCCTTTCCTTCTCGCGACGCCTTTCCCTGTCCCGGCGAGATTCCTTCTCGGTACCATACCCACGATGCGCCTCATCCCGCTCCCTTCTTTTCGGGGCCTCAGAGCGATATCCTCGATCGTCGTGTCTATTCCTCTCCCTCTCGCTTCTCCGTTTCGGGCGGGCCTCGTATTCATCTGACTCGTCGTCGTAACGTGGACGCTCAGATTGGCGCCTGCGATCTGAGTCTCGAGCATAATCTCTCACGTTATCCTTTCTCCTTGGAGGCTCCACATCTTGATCCGTTCTCCTTCTGTGGCGATCACGGCTGGGCGGTGGCGGATCTTCATACGGCTCTCCACGTCTTCGTCTATGTCCTGACGGCGGTTCGTCGTCGTAATCGTCTCGAGACGGTCGTCTTCTTGGCTTTGCGTCCTCCTCATAATCACCATGGCGGTGGCGGCCCACAGGAGGAGGCGGAATTTGAGAGTCGTGAGATCCCGAACGGGCTGAGTTGCGTGATCGTCCTTTGCTAGCTTCCGTGGGTGGGGATCTCAAGGGAGCAATGTCGTCCTCGTCGCTTGCATCGTAGTCGTCCCTACGCTTGCTCCGTCGAGGCGAATCATGTCTCGAGCGTGGACGTGGCGGCGGCCTAGAATCGTCTCCTCTTGCGGAAGCTCGCTCACGATACGGCGGAGATTCATCTGGATACGAAGAAGAAGGCATACTGAAATGTGGTGGTGGTCAGAGAGAAAGAAAGTTTACATCGTCACGAAGAGACGGTGAAGGCTGGGCCGGGACATATCAAAGCACTCTAGCTGCCACAGCTCCGGCCTACGGCTTGTGTGCACACTCGCGCTGCACGTGGACGTCATCTCGAATTGCCTGGTCATGTGCCTCTGCTCTGACAGAAGCGTAAGGGCCACCAGATGGTCAGTGAGTTCGAGACAACCCAGCCACCATTATGGATCCCCGCAAGCGGATACACGTAGTCGCAAAGGAGTGGTAGACGGAGAAGAGCACCACCGCTACGTTCACTTCTTGAACATCGCGAGCTTGTAATACGTAGATAAGAGCGACCCTACGAAAGAACTCGCATTAATGCCCAGACTAGCAGCCTATTCGTCGTAAGAAAACTACCGACGATCATCAGATTCATCATCATACTTCTCCCCCGAACTCTCCACCACTCTCCGCCTCTGTCTCTACATATGGCTGCAGCGCTCGTCTCCTCAGCTCTCGCATAGACTGGTGCTTGCTTATGCGGTGATCGGTCTTCTCGCGCCCAACTGTCTGACGCAAGTCCGCCAATGATTGGACTTTGACTGGTAGTGGGGGATACACTGTGCGATCGAGAGGCAGGCTGTGCCGTTCGTTTCGCGACCGGCTGGATAGAATACGGTCGTCATGAAATGCAGGGCTGCCCGTTGCGTCCCGTTCCTCCCTTGTCGCGGAGGTGGATGTATGACCCTGCTTACGGTCGTCCGAAGCTCTTGGAGCACGTGTCCTCGCCTCGTCGGCTTCGTCGCTCAGCAGATGCCGGATAGCTCGCGGATGTGGACTCGACACTCGTCGTCTCGGCGGCGAGGCATCCCGTTTGCTCCACGTACTCAACGGACTTGGCGCACCGAACATCGGCTTCCCTCCTCGTCGTTCGCCTTGGTCCCATGCGGACGCCCTGCGTGCCTCATTGGCCAGTCTACGGTTACCTGGGATAGGCCGGGGCGACCACATTGGAGCTGCGGTGGGTAAAGCGCGCATTGACATTCCGAATGGAGAAGGCTGCTCGCGGTCATCGACTTGCGGTCGCGTACCGTCTTCAACGACAGCCCGTGCCGCCAGCTCTGATTTCAGCTCGACTAGCTCGCCATCCCGCTCCTCCAACAATTTCGACACACGCAGACGTTGCCTCCTCTCGTCCTTGATATCATCCTCCATCGCCTTCCTACTCCGTGTCAACGCCTCAATTTCCTCGTCCCGCTGCTGCATAAGCCTGGCCCCACGAGCAATGATCTCTTCCTGGCTACGAGCAACGACATCCTTCTGCTCGCAGAAACCTTGTAGCCTCCGAACTTCCTCACCCCGCCCGTGTAGGATATGATCAATCTCATCATCCTTGCCGTTCTGACAGTCTTGTAGAATCCTTTGGAGCTTTTCAATACGCCGCTCTTGCGAGGCCATGATTCCAGTCTTCTCCCTGCTCCGATCCACAACTTGCTGAAAGTTGCTGAGCTGGCGGTCCCGTTGCTCGTCGCGAGACTGGAGGTAGTCGTTCATCTGCTGTAAATGTATATCTCTTTGCAAAGCGTCCGCCTTGAGCCTGGCAACTTCGATGTCTCTCTCCTTGCATACATTCTTCAGCTCCATCATTTGATCATGACTTACGTCGCAGCGGACTTGCATGTCGAATAGTGCTTGTCTCTGCCCATCGAACTGCTGCTCGCTCAGTCTTGCTTTTTCTTGTGCATCTCGGAGTAGGTCGTCGAGGCGCGAAATCTCTTGGTCTCGAAAAGCCACACCTTCTGCATGTCTCATTCCAAAAGGAGCCGCGGGGTGGGATGAATCCGGTCGAGGACGTGCATCGAGCTCTGTGATAGGCAAGGATACTCTTGGATCTTGAGGCAGGCTAACCCCGCCTGGCTGTTCTGGTTCGAACAGACCAGCCAGAGGGTCCACAAAAGCAGACGGAAGTACTACATTCGCATTCTCCTTAAGCCTCGGTGCATTCCACCTGTGATCACGAGCGAGATTAGTATGCAGCTTGACGATGTTCTTGACAAGTCTGAGATCATCCTTGTCAAATTCGGCATCCAGCTTATCGTTAGCAGCATTGTACTGGCGGAGGATGTCGAGCGTGATGTTTGCTGCTTCGAGCTTTGACTTTGTGAATGCTTGAGCGACCTGGATGCTCGTCATGTCCTCGAACGCTGGAGCGCTAGTCTCCTGCTTGAAGCTACTGTCGAGTGGTTCGAGTGCCGGAGAAGAGGCCGCGATCTTGCTGGAGAACGCATCGTTGTAGGTCGCAGAGTCAGAGCCAAGAACGTCGTCAGCCTCAGACGGAAAAAGAGATACGCCTTCCTCGTAGTTCCCATCGCTACTAGCCGGCGTGAATCTCTTCGGATCAAGACGATCTGTCTTCTCGTCAAGCTCTGCCAGATCATGCTCGACATTTTCGAAGCGGAGCAAAGTCTCCATCGTGAACCCTCGGAGTTTGCTTTCGAGCACGTGGAAGTCCTCCCAAGTAGGTCCAGTCAAATCCGGCGATGGCTGGGAGCGGCTCATGGTAGACTCGAGCTGAGCGACATGCATCTTCAGGTCTTCAACTTGGGAGGAGAAGTGATCAGTAGATGGCGAAGCTTGAAGGATATGACCTGGGGCAAGACGTGGCGAATGCTTCATAGCCATATCTGTCACTCGAGACTTTAGCTGATTGAGTTCGCGTTGGAAGGTTCTTTCATCCATGTTGGAATGTTTCCTATGGTAGCCTTACGAGACTAACAGTGTCAGCTGATAATAGTGGATGGAAGTCGCCGTCAAGGGTGATGAATGTGATGCACGAGGGCGTAGACGGCTCTGCTGAGTTAGCGCGAATCTCAGCCGTGTGCACACACAAGGTGCTATGCTATTCTCTTTGTCGAAGACCAAGTCGTGACCTGCAACGTGCGATGGTGAGATGCAAGGCTAGGCTGAAGAGTGAGGCGGAGTGAGCTTTCGGGGCACGAGACAGGCAAACCAATGACGACTATTTAGTTCTACGCTAAGCACATTTCAAGACTAGCACCGAAACTCCAACTCAGGTTCGCCTCAGTCATCAGCGGCCGCTTCGACCGATGGAATATTGGTCTCAGGGCTGGAGTGCCATTATTGACTTGCTTCCTTCGACTTCGTGTTTCGAGGGCTACATCTACATGGCATAGAGCTTGTGACTAGCTGCTTGCGGGCGGTCGCGATGCGTGGGTACATATAACCTTCTCCGACTCACCCACCACGTCCCTTAAGTTACCTTCCCAAAACGTGTCCTTCACATGCCCAGCCGCTCCACAACAATGGTCAAGCTAATCGCAGGCCTCATGGGAGGCTCCGTCGCAGCGGGCTCGAAGGCAATGTAAGAAGCTGATGCCTATCAGTACTGCGGTATTGCCCAAGACATACACTAACCTTGACACCTCTCTATTTGAAGGTCTGGCGCAGACCAACTACGACCTTTCCTGCACATGCTCAAACAACACAACGTCCAAGAATTAGACACAGCACGAGTCTACAACAGCGGCAAAAGCGAAGAGGATCTAGGCCAGATCCCGGAAGCACAGCACGACTTCAGTATTGCCACAAAAGCACCCGGATTCAGTCCGAAGTCATTGAGCTATCAGAATGTTCTAGACAACTGCCACGCTTCTCTCGGGGCTCTAAAGCAGGAAAAGATAGATCTGTACTACTTCCACGGACCGGACCGACAAACACCACTGGAGGAGTCGTGTAAAGCGATCCATGAACTCCATCGCGAGGGCAAGGTTGTAAACTTCGGAATCAGTAATTACAGTCTCCAAGAAGTCGAAGAGATCCACGGCATTTGCTCGAAGAATGGCTGGGTCTTACCAACCGTCTACCAAGGCATGTCACTTGATATCGAGATAAGTAAGCCGACTAGCCAGTAGCTTACGATGTATACAGGCATGTACAATCCACTGGGCCGCGCTCCAGAAGAAGCACTCTACCCGGCCCTCCGCAAACTCGGCATCGCATATTACACCTACAGCCCCCTAGCCGGCGGCTTCTTCTCGCGAACAACCGATCAATTGCGAACACCACCTGAGGGGAGTCGGATGGAGCAGATGAAGGTCTTCTCCAACATGTATGTCAATGACGTTTCCTTGGATCTGCACGACAAGCTCAGTGAAGTATGTCGAAAGCAAGGTGTGAGTGTGAAGGAGGCAACGCTGAGATGGCTGATGCATCATTCCGTGCTCGGTGAGAACGACGGTATGATTCTCGGAGCGTCGAGTCAGCAGCAAATGGAGGAGAATTTGAAGGCTTGTGTGGCTGGTAAACTACCCGGAAGTGTGGTGGACGGCTTTGAGTCGATGTGGACGGAATGGAAAGCTGCCGGGAAGGCGTTACCGGCAAGCTTTTGAGCTATGATCCTTCATCGTAATACCATGACCAGGAATTGGCTGCTATGCTGTGTCTTAGATGACAGCAAAAGCACTCGCATAGCTGACACTACTCTCCCCAACTTTCTCCACCTCACTACTACGCTCGTACCTCACGAACTTGAATCCACCTAGGCCCTGATCAGCACCACCGCTCGACTTCCTAACTTCTTCCACCGCAGCCATCACGACTCCTATCGGGTGCCGTCCACAAACAGTATTCGCCGTGTCCTGCAGTGCCTCGAGCCAAGCAATATGGCTGCCGCTCTCACAAGCACCCATACATTCGAAATCGACTTCCTTGATACTTTCATGGATAGGTGGGCTGGTAGGCGTTTTGGAGTTGGCTTTGAGGTGCTGGGATGGGGAGCCCGGGGAGCGATAGAAAGTGTAGCGGAAGCGGAGACCCCAGTGGGCGAAGTCCGAGGAGATTATGAAGGCCGTGGTTGGGTCCGCCAAGTATGGAGCAAGAAGACGTCCTAATTGCGCTTCGGTTGTCATGGAAGCGTTGCCTATCATGATCGGCGTCAACAGTGGGAAGGCTGACGGGTCATCGCCGAAGGTTCTGCGGATATCAGCTTAGATCTGGGTGATAGTTATGGGAGGTGGTGGCAAGCTCACTTTGATAGCATCTTGTAGATGTATGGAAGGTGCATTTCCAGGCTATGCTCGTCTTCGTCGACTGACTGTGACATCCACTCGAACATGCCGGACTGATGTAGCCCTTCCGTCGTCGCACGATCGATTGGCAGGTTGCCAAGTGGCGTGGCATAATGTGTGCAGCGGGTCAAAGCAGCTTTGGTAAGGTAGTGGTGATGTGATGGGCCTAGCAGGAAGATGCGTTTGCTACGTTGTGTCAATATGTGTCCCTTTGCAACAAGTCTATGAGAGGTAGGAGCTTATGGTCCATTCGTCGATGACAATCCGATACAATCTGGTGTCAATTCGGAGGCGGGTAGATGGACGTTTTAAACACAACAGGACTATGAACACAGTAACACTCACGCCTTCGAGACATCCCAAGACTTGTACGCCCATGCAGCTGCGGGTCCGGAGTAAGAGTATCCGGCATGCCTGCTGAGCCCTCAGTCTCGATAACTCACCTACCTTGACATGCCACGTACGGTGCAATGATCACTCGTGCTCCAGCAACAGGAAAGTTTGAGATCGTCTGGCCCTCTGATCTTGGGCCTATGCACTTCACAGGCGTGTTCACGCCGGCGAGCCAGCCATCGAGCTGTGAGTTGAGCTGTGGCTTCGATGCAGAGTACCAGGAGCCGGCATGGGTGTCTTCTCTGATAACCTGTTTGCTGGCCATATTGTGTCGCGAGACGTGGATTGGGAGAAAAGGAAGAGGATGGTGATGTGAAGTTGATGGGCTGTTGCTATCGATATGCTTTACGTCAGCGTTCAATGCAGATATAGCGCGTCGCGTAATGAAGCGCGTCAACCATGAGCATTACCTTTGCCCTTCCCTCACTTTGTAACGTTCCAACATCGCTGCGAACGCACTATCCATCGCCCGAACACACATATCGTACCGTAGCCATGGGACTCAAACGTAAACGATCGTCCTGCACAGTGACCACAGTATCAACCATCGACTCAGACATGACCACCGATTCATCCAACAACGCGATATGGTCATACTACCAACAACAAAAGCCCACATCCCCACTCTACGAGAAGCCGACATGGTCATTCCTCACGTACGACGATAGTACGACAGCACAATCCATGAACAGTCGGACGAGGAAGAGGCATAGAGACGATAGGCCTGATGAGGAACATGTTCACGGTAAATATCCGAAATCTGCTGCTTATCATGAGCTTGAGAAGGGAAGCTCACTAATACGTTCATCGCTCAGCCACCACGATCTCAAGATTGTTCCAAGCACAACGAGCACAGCTTGATATCCCACCGCCACCTCCTCCGGCACAAGAGGTCTCGGCAGCTTCTATACCAGCGAAGCCACAGAAAAGCACACTGCACTCGTTCTGGCACCTGCCATCTGCATCAGTACGTGACGAGGTCATGGAGATGGATATGGACGCCAGCAAAAGCAGCACCACGGCGGTAGAAGCTCTACGTTGCGAAGATTGCGATACATCACTTCGAAGCGACGATGCGATGATGACGGACGACATGATGATGGAACAGGACTTCAGCTGCGTAGCCTGTCGGAAACATGTGTGCGACACTTGTGCTGTGAGAGGGAACGAACGGATGTGTCTTGGTTGTGCAGCCTGGCGATGAATAACGAACAGCACAAGAATCTCTGGCCACTGTTCGGCGCTCAGAAGATACACTACAGCTCATTTTCTCAATCTTGGCTGCCTCTGGGTTCGGCGAAAGAATTAACGAACACTCTAGAGCAGGTATGTAAGCCTTACGATGCTTCCAGATCTGCGGCTTATCCTGGTAGCAAAATGCAGGTCATCGCAATCACAGCTTCGCATATGCAGCCACTACAGCAAACATCTTGTCGTGCCCGGTGAAAGCCTCGAAGGATTATCAGAAGCCGTCCTTTCATCGGCTGTATCTCGGCGCCTCAAGAAGAAAGCCATATATTACGCGCGGGTACTCCCGTTGCCGTGGTTGCCTTCATCTCGCAGCGACATTAATCTTGGCCGTGTGGTGTAGTGGTTATCACGTCTGCTTTACACATTAAATACCCTACAGTGTTTATGGTAATCGCAGCAGGTCCCGCGGTATGCGCTCCACTATCTGTACGAAACGTGGATTATATCGGCTAATGCGAAAAAGTTCAATCCGCGGCACGGTCATCTTTTTTAGTCCTTCTGGGGGGCATTCTGCGGCCACCTAAGTGCTTTGACGTCGTTCGAGATGCTTCTGAGGGCTGCAGTGCGCAAATGCTCCTTTGCCACGACAAGCTGTCGAGAGGAGCAGCAGCTTTTGCTATCGGCCACGATGGAGTTCATACGGACGCTCGCGAGATTCGGGAAGCAGTCACGATGGCGGCTGCCTTGCCAAAGAGCAGACGCAGCATTGAAGCAAGTCAGATCGGAGATGCTGCTGCACTTTCAGAGCACTGTACCTGCCACCATCTCCTGCTTCCTTCGGTATTGCTTGCTTTCCCAAGATTGGTATCGACACTCTCTCCGTGGTCTTACATGATACGGTACTCCATCACAGCACAATTCCACATTTCTACATCGCTGCTTGTTATATCGCTCCGAGCACATCGATAGCCGGCACGACTCTCTGGACAGAAGCTTCGTCGTTCCACAAATACTCTGCAGCCTGAGACCACATTCGTACCAAGATTGAACATGGCGCGAAAGTCCTCAAGGAAATCCAACAGCAGCAACCGTAGCGTGAATCCCGATCACATCTCCGTGCGACCTCTCACTACTACAAAGTCTGGCTTCGTCAGCCAGGATTGTCTTGACGATGCCCTCTCACCAAATTTCAAAAGCAAATCGTCGGATCTGGATGCCCCGAGCAGCGAAGCCATCAACACCAGTTACTCATCCACGCGGAATTTGCAAGACGATCTAACGACGCCCTGCGATCCGAATCCACCCAAGCGCAACACAGCACCTATCCGTGATGGGCCTACTCAGACAACTGCAAGCGCTTGTGGTACGCCGGCAAGGAGGCCCTACTCGCACTGCAGCACGTGGGAGTGTGCCAAACGTTCCTGCGCCGGCGACGGCCATAAAGAGGGCGGGCCTAGCAGTGGTTGTCTTGGCTGCGACCTGGTTATGGCTGGGTGGGCGGGCTTGGTGGAGGCAGGGCCTAGTAATGACCTCGAACGCTTTGCTGTGGACCTCCTCACCGGAGTGCGTGAGCTGCCAGAGTCACCAGAATATTCCACTACTCGAGCGCAACCGACCAGTGGTGCTGAAACGCCGCAAAGGTCATCTCGGCCTGACTCGACGGTGGCGAGTCCATTCGACAGGATATGCAGTACGTCTCGTACACCACCCGTGTTTGGGCCACCGCGGCCACCACGTAACTCTGGTTCGCCACGATCGGCTCGTCCATCACACACGGCCGGCTCACCGTGGACTCGACGTCAAGCCTCGCCGTTCGGAGAAATAAGACAGTCCTCGGTGGAAATCGCTCCGCCCGCTTACCATACTCGTGTCATAAAAAGACAGCTCGAACCAGAACATGAAGTCCAGCCGCCAGAGTATCAAGCCGAGATCAGAAGACGGAAAGCTCGGACGCCGCGTAAGGAGGGTTGGAGGGAAGAAAAGTGGTGGAGGTGAGATAATGGGCATTAATCTTGGTAACTAGAGCAGTCGACAGGATAGATTCTGATACATCGCAGCTTGCTACGGCCCAGGTTCGAGTCGCAGGTTTGCGGGAGGCTGTAATGCTTCCTTGCTCGTCGTCATCATGGCCACAAAAAGCCACAACAGTCGTTATTGTGTTAGGAAGGCATAGTCAGTGAAACGAAACGAAGATCTTTCCCACGCATCTGCTTCGTTGCCATCACTTCCTCGTCTCCTTTATGCAATATTTAATCTTGGCAATTTGCCCTTTTCCATGGTAATATCTCGTGTTCTAGAATTCGAGATGGGAACAAGAACTTCATCTTCGTGACTGAGGTCATGCTTTTTGGTCCATCAACAGACAACCTAATGCAGGTCAAGAGAACTCTTTCTTTGCTTGTCTTTGCTTGATACGGGAGGAGTCCACGCAGCCATCGAATGACCGTGTGCCCTTTCACCTCGTGCGCCCGGCATCGGCACGGCTAGAGGATCTGCAGCATCTTGGCGGCGACCTCAGAACGCAGGTACACTTCTTCATTTGCTCCAAGATCACCAGCTTCGTCGGTGCTCTAGCACAATGCGGAATAGTAGAGCCCCTCACAAGTGGCGACAATGGTGTACGGCAGCAGTATATAATCAGTAAATTCGCAGTCTCTGAGTAGTCCTCCAAGCACATCAATCCACCATGCATTTCTCACGATCAGTCCTGGCCACTGCGCCACTGCTCTCTGCAGTCTGTGCACTTCCGCAGGCTGCCACTACTGCGGCCAGCAACACTTCCACTGCTGCAGTCAACACCACGACGTGCAACTCGAAGACCTACATCTACGAGCAGCTGGCTGGCTTTGGCTCCATTCCAAGCGACGCTCGAGACAGATTCGGCGACACCCTAGGTGGTTTTGGCAGTTCTATTGCCATTGACCGCAACAGCTGGCGCAAGCTGAGCAATGGTTCCTACACAGGCACTTTGTGGGCCCTGCCGGATCGAGGCTGGAATACCCAGGGTACGGTCAACTACCAGAACCGTGTACAGAAGATCAAGATTGTGTTGAACCCTCAGGAGGGTGCTACTGTTGCCAAACCATCAGGACCGAATCTTTACTTGACTTACCAGGATACCGTCCTCTTCACCGATCCTTACGGCAACCCGACTACCGGGCTTGATGCTAACGTGCGCGGCCCATACCTCACCTTCCCTGGCATCCCCTTCGACCTGCCAAGTGTGAACTACACCGGCGATGGTTTCGGCAGTAACGGCACCGGAGGCCACCGCGTGGTGGTCGACAGCGAGGGTATCTTCCTTGGCCACGATGGCAGCTTCTGGGTCAGTGACGAGTACGGCCCGTTCGTCTACCACTTTTCGCCCTTCGGCCGCATGATCGGTGCCATTCGTCCTCCAAATGCTATCATCCCTATGCGCAACAGCAGTGAATCCTTCTCTGCCGACAGCCCGCCGATCTATGATCCCACACTGGCACCTATCCCGGCCGACAACCCTACTGGTCGCGACAACAACCAGGGCTTTGAGGGATTGACGGTAAACCCAGCTGGTACTCGTCTATACACCCTCCTTCAATCAGCCACGAACCAGGACGGCGGTTTGAAGAGTAAGAACAGCCGTAACGCTCGCCTTGTCGTTTACGACATCACTACGTTCCCCCAGCCGACTTACCTTGCCGAGTACGTTGTGCCGGAGAACCATGTCGTGCCGTCCGATGCTACGACCAAAGTAGCTCACCAAAGCGAGATACACTACGTGTCCGACACTCAGTTCATGATCCTGGCTCGCGACAGTGGTTTCGGACGCGCGCAATCTAGCACTCAAAGCATCTATCGCCATGTGGACATCTTCGATATCAGCAACGCCACGAACGTCAAGGGCGCTGCTGCCGACTGCGCTACTTGCCAGATTGCCTCATCTTCTGGTCTTCTCAATACCACTATCACGCCTGCTCAGTACTGTCAGTGGCTGGACTTCAATGTTAACTGTGAGCATATCCCAATCCATTCATACATATAAAAGTCCTGGGCTGACCACCTCTTGTAGCTCAACTCAACCGCTTCGGTGTCCACAACGGCGGTGCCCAAGACGCCTTCCTTCTGAACGAGAAGTGGGAGTCCCTTGCCCTAATGCCGGTCACTCCTCCATCTCTGATCGACGGTCTTCTTGGCATCCTCGGCTGGGGCGACAATGGTGCCGACCCTAACGATGAGTACTACCTTTTCTCGCTCAGCGACAACGACTTCATCACCCAGAACGGCTACATGAACTTTGGCAAGTTCCAATACAAGGACGCCAGCGGGTTCAATGTTGACAACCAAGCTTTGGTCTTCAAGGTCAAGTTGCCTAAGAACAGTAAGCCGCTTGTCTCCTAGAGTTGAGGTGAGCCAGGCCGAGGATATGTGCATATAATATATACATGATGTATGGACAAATCGCTTGCTTGATCGATTTCTAGGCGGTCGCAACGTTGTATCTAGCAAGCTTAGAGGTCTGCAGCTTAGCCTTGGTCTGATCTTGCATTAAGATTGAACGATTTCGTTGTGATTGTTACTGATATGATCGCTCCACCACGGACGAAATGCTATCATGTACACGTATGCAGGTACATGTCGTAGTCAGGTCCAGATGCATGCTCCGCCCCAATCATCTCCAACTCTTTGCAGGGTAAGCGAGGAAAGCAGCCAATCGTAGGGAGGCTTCCGGTGTGCGGCCTCAAACCACATCCTTCAGCTGAACACAAGACGTATTGCGACACCCATTGCTGCTCAACGCTTCTCACAATCTGACGTACATGTCATTGTAGGTACAAGTAGTGTGGTAAGTAGAGCATCATTCCTCATCTCTTCGTCTTCTTTCGTAATTTTCCAGCTTTTGGATCCAAACATTGTAGATCTTCAGACGCAGATGTGCGCACCGCAACAAGTTGGCATGGTATACGCTTCGAGAACAATGCATTCTATGTAGATTGCTAATTGCAGGCAGGAGGCGCCACACGTCTCTCGATTCGGTTCACAGTCCGCCGGGACTACGCTGATAGGAAGTGAGAATGGCACCTATTCTCCGGTATCGCCACTGTTTGCGGAATCGCAGACACCATTCTTGGGCGCGTACCCACAGAATGTGGCATACACAGGCCAATGGTTCTACTTGAACCAGGTGCCACCAAAGCTGCTGCGAGAGCTACAGCGACAGTGTGACTCAGCCGAGGGCAAGGACAAGACGAACCTCTGGGCGAAGAATGCCGCGAAACTCAAGGCCTGGGCACGTCCTACCAAGGGTGGAGTGGATATCAGACTGCGCCAGAGAGTGGACACTGGTCGAGACGAGGTGACTGACATCAGACTGGAAAAATATGATCATATGGAGCTTCCAGTCACTGGACCTTCTGAGCTTGGCGATACCTCCATCGTGCAAGAACTAGAGTCTCCTGCTGGGGAAATCAGAGCGTTGTCACCAGCTCCTAGTGACGCTACAGTGTCGACTTTGCCACGCTATGAGCCTGGTAACTTCCTCGTGTCACCTCTGCAAGTTCGGACAGGCTCCGACGAACCGGCCGTGAGCCTTCGTGGTCGAATGCATCAACGATCGACGTCGAGCTTGAGCATTGTCCCAACACCGAAACGTGGTCTGTCAGTTGCCGAAGTGGAGCGTTCAGCTCCGGCAGTGCCAGCAGACGGAGTTGACAAATCCCAAAAGAAGTATGAAAAGATACCCATCCAAGAGCTCCGACCGAGTCTTCAGGCTGTGACCGACGAGCTAGAAAAGGAGCGCCAGGCCCGAGAAATTTGCGAGGCGTTACTGAAAGATGCCGAAGCTGAGCTGTCAAGACGACAGTCTGACAGAGAGCGACATCCAGCTCCCCACTTGAAAGTGGCCGAGGCCGCTCGTTATGAGACTGATACGGACGTGGATCCACCGAGTCCTTCCGCCCGCCGGAAGCGCGAAACCAGAAGTGTGCACGGAGGATTATCGAATGAAGCTAAGAAGAAGAAGCGTGATATGCCCAACCGTGGTGCAAAGCCGAAGACCGGCCAGGCACTCCAAAAAGCCAAGCTTGTCACGATCCAAGCGGGAGCAGAGTATACAGAGCCAACGACGTCAGGTGAGCTTGGCCAAGGCCTCACTGAGATGGAGAGTCCACCAGTCTCGCCGGGTGGAAAGAACACCGACTTGGATCAATCACGCTCGGCTCATGCGCGCTCTACCTCAGCAGAACAAAAGCATATCGTCGCGACGGCGGAGGGCATTAGCGGCCCCAGCACAAGTCAATCAGACGAACATCTCAACATGCAGCGCCAGAAGCTCCCGCTGATCACGACCTCTTTCCATCCTGCTACGAGGGATCCGTCACCGGTTGAACAGAACGCTGTATATGGAACAGTAGACCCTTGGTATACACCTAGACCTCCCCACAAGACCTATGGAGCATTGTCTTCGTTTGTGGGTCCTGCACTATCGGCCATGGCAAATGCCTCTATCAACGGGATCCGATGGGTCCAGCGCAACTATGGACCAGAGCCAGCCTTGGAAGCTGGAAAAGTGCGGGTACGGTGGACCTGTAGATGCGGCCGGCAATTGTACGATGACTTTGTGGAGAAGCGTGCTGGTGCCGCAAGAGAGCTGGAGGCCTACCTCAATCGCCCTGTGTTTATGGCTAGCCCGACCACACCGTCTACCGCGCATAGCAACCGTCCGTTCTCGCCGAATAGCTCGCTCGGCATGCCGCCTTCCTCACAAACATCAATGTCCAGTTTAGGCATGTCAAGAGGTTCGCCAATCGGCAACGGGAAGACTAAGCCATCACGAACATCGACTGACCTTCCGGCTTACCGACCATTCGACTTCCCCGCCGAGCCTCCATGGCTACTGACATGTGCGACGGAGGACCGTCACACGCCTAAGCTTGCTCATCTGGACATGGGCTCGCAAAAAATTCGTTCTGACAAAGATCTGGCAATGTCTTTGCGGAACCACTATTTCAGCGTCAACAACAAATGGTGGCGCATCTTCCGGTTACGAGGGCTCGTCACAATCAACTTCGTGCAGTTCGAGGTGCACCAAAATCGCTTCGCAGACATTCGTAAGTGCCCGGACGTACCGATAGCAGGGCATACAGAATACGAGTTTGTTCCTGGTGATCTGCTGCCTCCAGTGGGCAGCCACTACCTTCTACATCTGTTCCGACATCCTGAGGACTACGACGGCGAGCTGATCACCTACTTGCGAGCTCCAAAGAAGAATGGTCGGCTTCAGCTCGGAGTCGGTTGGGGCATTGACCTTGTGGAAGGGTTCGAGGCCTCGAAAGTGTGGCTCGCCTCAAGTCTCTTCTTTGGTCTGGGTAGTTTTGTTTTTGCCGTTGCTTGGGCCTGGAAGAAGCAAGATATCCAGGGTGCATTTGGCGTTGCTGCTTGGATCTGTACATTAGCAGGGCTTCTTCTGGGCTGGATGCAAGCGTCAATAGGCTGAAATAGTTGGTCTTTGGCCTGCATGGCTATTCCGTCCCTCCCGCTTCTCGACAATGTATTCATTCCTCACTCGGCATATTCAAGGCGTCATTGATCGAGACGCGCGCAGATCTGCCAGTATATCCCGGTATACAGCCAAGTAATGATCGCCTCTGTCATATTCTTGAGCACTTCGAAAGCTTGGTGTAACATACGTTCGTGATGTTCAAGCGGTCGTTCATAAGGCTGAGGTTCGAACGACTTCAGGGTCACTCTGCTTGGCACTTGTGGCCCGTGCCGTTCAATCTTCTGGCCTCCAATAGCAGTCCTCAGACCACATCTCATTTATCACGGCAGCAAAACCCACTCTAACCTCCTATCTTTCATATGTACGGAGTACCTTCCTTGTTCTGTATACTCCGTAGAAGCACTTGCATGGAAGAGCAGGCCGCGGACGCGCAAGCTCTGCCTCGATGCCGCCATGCCGATCGTGTAATCCTTTTCATGGCCAACCACGACGCCACGTTCACAGCAGTCAGATGTCGCCGGACTTGCTGTTTGCATGAAATCTCCACTCCCACGTACATCAAGCAAGCATTAGCCGGCTGGAGTGGCGTCTGGATATGCATTCGTGTGCGGCTCTGTGCTAAACGTTGTACAGTACGATCTAAGTTCAGACGACCGTTGACTTACCGCCACACCGTGGCAACCCAGCCGTCCGGCAAGCCGACTGAGAACAACATGCAGCAATCCTAGAGGCTGGAGCACGCAATTCTGATACCAGCGACGATATGGCTGGCTCCGGCAGATTTATCCGACTCTCATCACTTCTTGACCGAGATGAGATGGACCATCTGCGACATTTCCGATGGCCCAATGGCGGGTACGCTGCGATCTGTCGACCTCATGTCTGGCCGGCGATCTTCCACTCTTCGGCCATTGTCGCATACCAACAGCTCCACTTTCATGGCATGCATTCCGTCTGTGGTATACACAGAGGTGATGGATGTCCGAGGCACAGTAGCGACTGCGAAGACCACGAGGGTTGAGAAGAATGGCAAGACCTACTATAAGACTATGAGTGCGCCAGCGTTGACGTTACGCTCTACCGTTTCTCTGACCAGCCCTCTCATACATTTTACCTTTTCCATTCTACCAACTCTAGTCACTCATTTTTTACGCCTTCTGATATCATCTACCATATTATACATTCTTTATACCCTTGAGCTTACCGTTCCTTGTACCCTGCTGCACGCCAAGCTTTGTATTGCATCTATCATCATGCGTGGATTTCTAGTATCGACACTGGCCATTGCCGCAACTCTCCTAAGCACTTCCGCTGCTCGACCATTGGTCAAAGTACATCCAGGAACAGCAAATGACATTGTTATCACGAACAAGAATACTGTCAATGCTACAACAACGGCTCTCAGCAATGGCACAATCCCGGCAAACAGTTCGACGGTTCAGATAACACCCCGATCGTCGACAAGTGGACGACTTCCGCTATCTCTGGTCAACAACTTTGCTGGCAACATAAACGCATATGTCACCGGTCTCGACAAGAACAATGCGTTGGTCATGCTACAACCAGACGGGAACTGGTACTATCCTCAAAGTGATCCTTCAGCGACGACACCTCAACCGATCAACGGTAACGTCGGAATACCCCTAGGAGCACAAGGTAGCACGACCAGCATCACTCTAACTGACTACATCTCTGCAGCCCGAGTATGGTTTGCTGCTGGTGAACTCAAGTTCTTCACCGTGTGGAACCCAGCCACGAATGGACCATCTCTTGTCGAGCCGTCGGCCGTCAACCCTTCTGACCCAAGTGCTGGTGTCAACTGGGGGTTTGTGGAGCTTACGAACACTGCTGAGGGTGGACTGTACGCCAACATCAGCTATGTGGATTTTGTCGGTCTAGCATTGGGCATGTCTTTGCTGTCTGGAGACGGCAGCATACAGACTGCCTTAGGTCTGCAGCCAAAGGCCGTTGCGTCCATCTGCGCGGCTTTGGCATCTCAGGGTCAGACGGACGGCCAAGAGTGGGACAACTTGTGCCAGGCTGATGAGAACGGTGACCCGCTTCGTGTCATTGCACCTAGCGACTTTCTTTCCACGAACGCGGAGTCTTTTGCGGAGTACTATACGGAATACATTGACGAGGTCTGGACGCAATATGCTACCAATACCCTTTCGATCGACACACAAGCAGCAGCTGGCACTGTTGCATGTACTGTCCAAGGCAGCCTGATAACTTGCGCCGGGGACAACAGAGGTAAGCATTAATCCACACCATATGACATTGACTCACCACTGACATGTCCTACCCAGGCTACGCTAAACCCACACCCTCCGACATATTCGGCTGCAACTCCGGCCCTTTTGCCATCGCCGGCACCGATAACGATGTCCATCGCGCAATCGTGCCCCGCCTGTGCGCGGCCTTCAACCGCAGTACCCTCACAGTTTCTGGCGGCGACCTCCAGCCAGGCGTTGGTGCGAAATCCTACTATACCGCGAACCCCACGAATTGGTATTCCGCCATCGTGCACCAGCATGAGGTCGACGGCAAGGGATATGCGTTCGCTTATGATGATGTGAACCCTAGTGGCGATATCAACCAGAGTGGTGTCGTTGCTGATGCCAACCCGACGGTCTTGACTGTTACTATTGGTGGGCCTTCTACTTCTTAGGGAATTTGTGCTCGATTCTGGGCATAGGGTTACGCACAGCAGGCGGCGTTGGATAGGGATAGATTTGCTTGGAAGATACCCTGGATAGTGCGATGGAAGCACTAGAGGTGCAGGGCATGGGAAGGATAGACATATTCAAAAAGTGAAGGATTTTGATTCGTGAGAAAAAGGCTTCGCATTGTATTATACACATGATAGAACACGTTACTTATCAACGTCAGGCAAACCGCTGCTTACGTTCCGTCAACTTCCCTCAAAAAGGTCTAACGACATTGACATAACTATTCATTTTCCGGTCATACGCCGCACCATCATGGTCGCCGTAGCCCAGCTCCTGAGCAATATACTCATCCACCCTCTCCAGATCATTCCTCACACTGGCGCTCGTTCGAGAAGACCGGTTAGAACCACGGTAAGACGAGATATTCGATGCCGAATCCGACGGTCGAAGTTCTGAGCCACGGTCGCTGGCTAGGTAGCGGTTGGTCGAGGCATCAGAGTAGCCGTAGCCCGATGATGCTGCGGCTGAGCTTCTGCCAGAAGTACTTCTACTGCCATCGCCGCGATCGTACGAAGAGTGGGAAGATGTTGTCGAGGACCGTCGGGGTGTAGTTTGGATGTAGCGGGAATCATATGCGGGTGGCGACCGTGTGTAGTCACTGTAGATCGCCTGTACCTGGGACCGTCGCCTGCTCCCTGTGCTTGAGCGAGATGTCAGGGACAGGCCACTGTACGCTCCGACGAGCTCGTAGGGATCGTAAGGTGCAGCTGCTCGTCTTTCCTGGTATCGCACTAGAGTGTTGTCGTGCTCAATGTAGCTGTCGTAAGATTCTGGCTCCGCGTTGGTGTACTTGTAGCATTCCGATCTAGGAGGTGAACGACCTCGTCTACTAGCATAGCTGCCGTTGCTGAGTTGACTCCCCGCCTTACTTCGACCCATAGTGGGAGGTGTTGGTGTGGTTGCGGATATGTGAGCCGATGAATCACTCCTCTATCAATGTCACAGCCTCGTCTCGGTTCCCAGTCACCGATAACGAGTATCGAGAGAGCGATGGAGGGTGTTGTGTTGTACTGTTCGACCAACATGACTGCGAAGAGATCGACTTACCTTTAAACCCATGCATCTTGTTCAGAAGGAGGCATCTGCAACATCTACCTACAGATCTTCTGAAGCAGGGCGCAGCTGGAGCACATAGCTCGACACAAGTCACATAAGCCTAGATACCAATTGCGAAATACCAGGCAACCAATGGCACAGACCTCACGTGATATGGTCGAAGCTTAAGCCTCATCCCACAGTCCGCAAGGCAACGACTAACAAGAACCAAGGCTACGCCCGGACGCCACAGAAAAGAAGGCGAGGGCTCGTGAACATGCCGCACTTGGGCCCGTATATGCAACACAAGGTGGTGAGTTGCGCGAGATGCAAAGGGGCGTAAGTAGCTGTATATGAATGTATGCCACAATCTTCCAGACTCACTTCCATCGAAAGCAATAACGGAAAGGGAGCCAAAGTGTACGCGAGGCAGAAAACATCGATCTAGCACTTCTTAAATGCGGCACAACGGAAGCCATGGGAAGAGGCTGCATTGCAATTTGACTATCCGTGCGGTGTTCTCTTCATCGACCAACTCATGCATGCATGAAGTTGTGGAAAGGCTAAGGTAGGCGTGGGTAAGTCAGGCCGAGAGAGCCTGACACAGGCTGGTACGCTTGGGCAGAGCGCGAATATGGAAAGGGAGATGGTCAGTAGCGCGGCATCGCGACTTCGGATGTTGTGCCAATACTGTACAACGTGGCTTTTCTGGGCGGGAGTACGCCTGGATATCATAACTCACCATGCCCAGACGGCTTCGCAAACGAGCTGGCAAGACTAGCCGCCTCTTGCGCATCCTTCGGCGGCACAATATTACCGCTCTTCAGCGACGAGAAAGCAAGATCGAAGCGCGCACCAGCAAGCCACGCAGCACCAACCTGCAACAAAAGTCAGCCACATTACCTCCTCTATTACCATAATCCCATACTCACCATCAACAACGAAATAAAAGCCAATGTCGCAAAAACCGCAATCATAATCATCATAACATCCTTCTTCGCCTCGGCATCGTCATGCTTCTTCTTCGCCTCCTGCTCCGGCGTCAACGCCTTCCCATCCGCTCCCTTCGCAATAGCACCCGCTTGCAACGTCCGCGCCGTCTGCGTCGGAAAAACACTCTCAATCCATCTCTCGATCTTCCCACACGCTATCGAGATCTCCAGGAAGTGCGGATCGCTAGGTGAATTCTTCTTATGAATCTTCCGTGCGTATCTTCGGAACACTTCGCAGAGGGTTTGGAGGTTCTGAGTCGATTCCATCATCAGGCCGCAGGCTTGGCCCTTGGTGATTTTGATATTGCGCTCGAACATGGTATAATTCCGGAAACAGAGTTCTTGGGTCGCTATAGCCATGGCCTGGGGGATGGCGACGAAGTTGAAGACGGATTGTTCTTTCACGCCGGCCATGTAGAAAAGGCACTCGTCGGCTCGTCGGAGCGCGATGAGCACCATTTCGCTTTGGCAGTGGAGAGCCTTTTCGCGATTCTCGGGAAGGAAGAGATCGCTGAATTTGGTAACATATTTCGACCACACTTCTTTGGGCCAGAAGAAGCGTTTGTCGTCGAAGTCTTCTCGGATGTCGCGGATGATGTTTGTTTGCTGTAGGAACTGACCCATTGATTCCATGAGCTCTGGTTTTTGCAACAGGATCGGGTTGGCCAGTTTGGCCTCCACAAACAATCGCGTGCAGCCTTCGCCGACGAGACCCGCCACGTAATGGCAGTAGAGCTCGTAGTCTTTTATTGTTTGCACGCCATTAGCTTGTTCATCGTAGTTCTTGGCGTAGTCTGCCATGCCGTCACCCATGCGCTTGCAGATATCTGATATTATCTTCTTGTATGCCGGTTTGATCTTGTTGAACTCTCTGCCTACTGCGTCGAAGCCAACTAGTAGTGCTCTGTCCTTCTCATTCGGACCATTACCGTCAAAAGTCCATTTCTCATCGCTAAGATGTTGGTCGAAGTCTCTCAGTAATGGTTCCTTTCGCTCAATCGGGATGGTCATGTCATCCTCTATCGTGTCCAGACCTCGCAATATCAAGTAGAAGATGGTCATGGGCATGAGGAGCTCAGGATGTAGTTCGAGGATGACGGCTGCGAAGGATCGGGATGTGAGGTGGAGGTACTTGAAGCATTGCTTCTCGTCTTCTGTCGCTTTCTCCTCATCGCGTTCGTGCACGGGATTGTGCCATGTCTTCCACTGTATTATTGATCGGAGCTCGGAGACGTGTGTGAGGTAGTATGCCACTTCTTTGGCCGAGACCATCGTGGGTGTTGCTGGCGGTCAGTGGCCGCGGAGTGGTGAAGGAAGCGAGCAGCCGGCAAGAAGATCCTTATATCTTTTGAGGCAGCCGGTCGTGAGTGTCGTATATCTAGCCAAATTGGGAGGTCGAGGTTGCTAATGAAGTGGTTCAATGGCTGCATGAATGTCGTTCTCGCTTCCTTCATCGTGGGGCGGAGAAATATGGTTCGACTTCGCCTGAAGCGGCCAATCTCCGCCCGACGGAGGTCTTCATCTCTCGTCCGCAGACCTTCTCCACCTTGACATAGACTCACATTGGGAGAAGAACAAATGTAAAGATTGCCATTGCGTAGCGACTGGCATTGACCGTAGTCGGCAAGATTTGCGTTGTATGGAAAGGTGAAGGTGGTGAGACAAAGCCACATGGACGAGTCAGCACATGCTTGCTTGCTTGCTTGCTCGGTCATGTGGTAGCCAGCGTCTCAGGCGTCAAGCTGATTGCTGTTTCCTACCTACACACGATCACACCTTATCTTCCACGCCGTTGCGATCATCCCTCCGTTCAAGCTCGAGAGACAGGCCTCATAAATTGACCAGTCTACTGGCAATATGAACTCTGTAGCAGTCATACCTGGCGTCTCGATCGGACCGTTATGTCTGGGCGCCTCGCTACACGATGTCCTGACAATAATCAAAGAAGATCCACAGCTCTACCCCAAAATCGACGTCCACCACTCCCAGACAGAACCAGTCACGACCCCAATCGTCGTGACACTCCCTAAAAATGGCCTCCGCCTCCGCTTCGACGGACGTGAGCAACGCCTCCGTCTAATCGAAATCACTGACTTCCGTCTCATCAAACTCCGCCACAAAGGCAGCGACCTGATCAAGACCCGCGAAGACACACCCACTCCCTCCGGCCCAATCTTCAAGCGCATTTACGAACTCTTCGGCCCTTCCTACCCAGGCGAGTACTTTCCGCCGCGAGACCGCTCACAAACCGGCACATACGTCTCCTCCTGGCCCGGCGTAGCCTTCAACTTCCCACTCCAACATTCCGCGTGGTCCAAAGATAAAGATCATGTAGCCTTACTGGGCTCGCACGCCGCTTCACCTGCCACCAGTATGGCGTTATTCGAGGGCAAAAGCTGGTCCGATGCGCGACGAGATCTGTTCGTGCGCCAGCCCACAGGACCACGATTGTCACAAGCGGGTATTAGACCTAGAGATAATTTGCCCGTAGACTTGGAGCATGCAGTCGTGTTCGGCGATGGTCGGATCGAGCTCCAACGACATTGTCTTGATGGCAGCTTCGTGGTTGTATTGAATGAGACCACCGTGCAAGATCTCACTACGGAGCTAGGAACGCCTGATGCGACTCATAGACCTGAAGGCGAACGAGCCGTTCCTGAGGAGACTGCACACAGGCGCACGGGCAGCACTTCCCGACCAAGGTCTAATGGGCGGAGTCATGCTATCTCCCAACCATCTAGCTACTCTTCTACTGGCACGGATACCTTCGAGACAGAGTTCGAGCCTACAGATGTGGAAGAAGACGCCTTTGACAGAGCAAGCAGGCAGAAGTTCTGGTGCTACTTCAATCATGGTCTAGACATTCTTGTCGGTACACCTACAGAGTCCTCCACCCTGGCGAGTGGCGATCCTTCCACGCGTACACCACTCAGCACAAGCCCGCATCTAGTCGTACTCAAAGTAGTGATCCACGGCAACGTCCCAGGGAGCTATGCCTTCAACCGCCATCGCCGGCTTCGCTGGACAATCGTCCTCCCTACAAACAACTCAAACGGAGATCTCAATACAGAAGCACACTTCGAGAACGAAATGAAACCCATCCTCCTCGCCCACTACACCAGCCATTTCGACTCCACTCACCCCTCAAACACCATCAACTCCGAACTAGGCCGCGGCAAAGTCGTCAACAGAACGTGGGGTGGTGGTGGTGCGGCCTCAAGCGAAAGTAGTTTCTTCCTTCCTGATGCCGATGAAGATGTTGAGGATGCTGGGGCGGACGGTTTGGGAGGCCGCGACGATGATGATAGTGGGAGTAGCGAGCAGTGGCTTGGTAATACCAAGTTGTATGCGTTTCCGGGGTTGGCGTTTGAGGTGCTGGAAAATGGGGCGGTCTGTGGACTGACCGTTGGTTAAGTAGTTCTGCTCATTGTGTGAATGGCGGTCTGGGGGCTGAGGTGGCGTAGTGGTCATTGGCGTTTGAGGGGGGAGTATGATAGTTGCCTTTGATGGGACGGATAGGCCATGATAACGTGAATGACAGGCCAGGTCCTACTTCTTGCAATCTTGTCTGTAAGACTGTGGCGTAAAGGATACTATCGTCTCGCCTCGCATCCACAGCCTAGCATAGTATGGTGTGATGGCGTTCAGCCTCAGGCATAATATCGAAGCTGTCATGTCGTTTGTACAGCTACCAATGCGTTATTCGCCGCCGGCGTGACTGGTGGCAGAGCTTGAGCAACCTTCTGCGTGAAAGGTTGTCGACACATGGGACATTTGCCTTGACTCGAGTCGGACTGTAGCCAGTCGGTGATGCAGTGCGTGTGGAAGCAGTGCGTGCATGCTCCGATCACTATTCTCCTGCGTCAGTACATATCTCGACTAATGAAGAGGGTGTAAGGTCCATACTGATGGGGCAGTCATCGCCAGGATATTTGCACTTGGCGCATGTACCTTCGAACTGTACGCGGCAAATACCACAGGTGTCGTCAGAGTCTTCGGGCAGGTCCCACTTCCACTCTGCTACGGCGTGGTAGGCTGTGAAGGTCACCTTCATGATGACGGCTCCTTGATGGATTTGTACCTGATCCCGTTTAATGGATAGGTTCGCGTTTGGATCGTGTTCTAGATGTTCACTCTGCCGCCACAAGTAGGGAGGACCCTGATCGCCGAGAAGTGGGGCATGCATGAAAGTGTCTCAGTATCGCGTGCTCGAGAGTTTGATAGGAGCTTCGTTTGTTTTGGTACGAGATGACAGCTCCGCATTGTCGAGCAGCCGTATAGATACAAGAAGGCGACGATGTCTACTTCAAGCTTCCGGTGAGCTCCTCGTCGCCAGCACCATGGCGGCCACTCTCCTGCTCCACCGTGCGAATCTACGCGTATACCAGACGATCAAGACCAGTGCTGTCGCCGCTATGGCACGTCAGCAGTCTACCTTTAGCTCATACCTGGTAACTCCGACCGAGCTGAACGATGCCCTGAAGCACAACTCGCCAAGCAAGCTGTCTACTTCACCGAGGACGATACCCGTCTGTGGTAGCTGGTTCTTGCCCAATGACCCCGAGAAGCGCTCTGGCCGTGAAGTCTTCAAGCAGCGACACATTCCATCTGCTCGCTTCTTCGACATCGACAAGATCTCGGATACCTCAAGCCCGTACCCACACATGCTGCCAAGTCCGGACGTCTTTCAGAGAGCTCTGAGCGAGCTAGGGGTGAACAGGGACGACGTAGTAGTGGTCTACGACACAGCCGAGCTCGGCATCTTCTCAGCCCCAAGAGTGGCATGGACGTTCGAAGTCTTTGGTCACCCCGCTGTACATATCTTGAACAACTTTAGGTTATGGGTAGAGCAAGGTCTGCCAACGGAAGAAGGCGAGCAGCAGAAGTTCGAACAGACCCAATACCCAATCCCAGTACTAGACAGCAGTAAAGTCGTGGCGTTTGAGGAAATGCGCGAGCTGGCGAAAGACTACAGGAAGGAAGGTAGCGAAGAAATCAACATCCTCGATGCCCGTTCCACGGGTCGCTGGAAAGGCACCGACCCTGAGCCACGTCCCGGTCTCTCCTCAGGACACATCCCCGGCTCGACCTCCATTCCAGTTCCTGATCTCCTCGATCCGAAGACCAAGGCCTTCCTGCCGGCGGAAGAGTTAAGGAAGGTGTTCGAGAGTAAGGGCGTCGATCCCAGCAAGCCGGTGATCTCGACTTGTGGTACTGGTGTTACCGCTACGGTCATCGATACTGCGCTTGCGGTGGCAGGACTAGGAGACGAGAGAAAGAGGAGGGTCTACGATGGGAGTTGGAGTGAGTGGGCGCAAAGGGTAAAGCGCTCAGAGAATCTGATCGTAAAGTCAGAGTAATTGAAAACCGTCATCTTCTGGGCTGGCTATTGTGACCGCGCGTTGGCTGCCAGCGATGGCTTTGGAGGAGTTTGTGGTGTACGAGATACCCCTTCCATGACGTGTACGTATGCACGTCAAATCACTCATCGCTGATCCGTTTGAATCCGCAAGAGTACCACGGCGCCTCATTCTCCAGGACTTACTTTTCATACTACCGGGAAGGCCGAGGGTGCACAAACGACCCAGGAATCCTACTTTTTCACCCGATGCTTGTAGCACTTCTCACAACACGACGCCACGCGCAAGGACTGCCGAAACACAAGCCACTGTCCCGGTACTCCGACGCCGAGGAGCCGTGGCGTGTATATGCGACTTCCCGTCGTCTTTCTGCCGGTTCGGGGATGGAGTGCGCATCATTCGGACCACGTGCATGCGTTTGGACGACTTCAGGATGATCTCTTTCCACGACTCGGCAGTGCGCTCGAGCTGAGAGTCATGGTCATGGTTCGCGAATTCGTATTCCAACCACTTTCTAGATGCGGAACACATTTGGCTGGCTTCGTGTTTCGCTATCGCTTTGTCTGGTAGCAAACAGATCTGGGTAAGGATATAATGCCGATCTAGTGGGCGCCACCCTGCGATGCATGTCCCTCCATCTTATTGTCTGAGACAGGGCTGGATTGACAAAATATCACTGCATCACTTTTCTAGCATCATTATCGTCCCCGTTCTCACTCTTTACAGTCTAGAGTACGCATATCCATACCTGAACGCTTCCCAAAACCCTTCCCGGTTTTTCCATCCTCCTACACCACAGAATCCTGCATCCTCCAATCTAGGATACTGCACCTCGACTAACAACATTCCTGCCAATCACCACGGCGATACAAGATCTTACATTCGCGACTGGACCTTCACGCCATATATTGCTAAGCAGTGGTCCTGATCCGACAAATTCGATCACCATCACGAATCTAAACATGTTCGCTCACGTGCTCCACTTCCTCCTCGCCATGATCGCCCTCACACTTGCCGCACCAACATCAAGAAACTGTCCCGTCGAAGACACACCATGGGATATCCGAAATCTAGTCGCCTTCCAAGCAGCACCCGGAGCCAACGTAGCCAGCTACATCAAGCTACACTTCTGCGACCAGAACACAGGTCTAGAGCTAGAGACCGAGTGTTCACGGACTCTTGCCGCCGGGAGCAGCGACTCATTAGTGGACACAGAGAATTGGTATCCTTGCGACAATGCCGATGTAAGGTTTAAGTACGGTGGCGACACAGTGTGGATTGAGAGGGCGTTCACCAGTCCTTGGTACGTATCATAGGCCGCTTGTTTACAGCTCCTGAGGTTTCTGCTGACATTATGGTATGTGTAGTCTTGGTCCACCACCGTACGATGGTGCGGTTGCATATGGAGAAGCCGGTACGAATGTGGTTAACACGACTTCTGCGGCTGGTAATACATGCACGCAGGATCACTTCGTTGTGGAGATCACGAGTGAGAGCTCATGAGAGGTGGTGCTTGCATCTGTAGGGCGATGTTGAGGTGAGCAGATTAGGATGGTGTTCGTGTGATCCAAGATCGACTGCTTGCTTGACGATGCTTCGCTAGGGCGACTGAACGTAGTGTTGGAGGGTAGGTAGCATGGTGCATGGCTTGGTTTTGCAGTAAAGCAAATGCAACCGAAGTGCAGCTACTCTTGCCTGGCTTTCGACTCCATCGGAATGAACAAGATCACACAGCACGCTCTGTTGTGCTTCATTGTCTGCCACACGGTGTCTCTGCTTCGATCTTGATGTGTCTGACCGTCTTGGTTATATGGTCACATAGTACGTACGGCGTCTACATTACAACATCTCCTGCCACACCCTGTTGACAAGCGGTCATATCAATACTGGACTAATACTGCATAGGCTCGCCGTTGCCTTCTAGTGACATGGCAGCTCAGGGAAGCCCAACCATCCGCCTGCCTGTGCGCAATCCGCCTCTGATTGCGTTCACAAGAGCATGTCCTGTGTGCTCAATTCCACCAGATCGCCTCATGCCAAAAGCACCACCAGCAAGCATACCCACAACCACTGCCGTACCTAGGAAACGCTGCAAAGTCTTCCATCCACCAATCGTAAGAATTTTCTGGGTATGCTTGCCGCCTATCAAGACATCATACGAGAAGTCCTTGCCGGGGACGAAGATACTTCGCCACCAGAAGAGGAACTGGTATTCGGGATACATGGCAATATTCACCCCCGTCGAAGGATCGAGTGCCCATGAGGTACAGCCGGAGGACCAGACGAGTTTGCTGAGCTTCGCTTGTAGCCACGTGCTATGCTGCTTTGCACTCTCTGCTTTGACGACCACGGCTTCGATCTGTTGATCCCTCGACATCAGCAGGCCTTGTGATGAGGTCCGAAGAGTCTTGAGGATAGGCTCTGTCAAGCGAAGTACCATGTTGATCTGGCATTCGACCGTGTAGATCACGCTCAAGTGCCCAGTCACGGTATTCGGACCCATGAGGGTGAAGAAGTTGGGAAAGCCAGGCACGCACGTCCCCATGTATGCTTGAGCGGAGCCTTTGTGGTGTTCGTCCCAGTGTTCGTTCAGGCTTATGCCGTTTTGGCCTCGTATCTCCATGGGAAAGAGCATTCGAAAGACTTGGAAGCCGGTGGCGAGTACAATGGCGTCCGCGTGTACTTCTCGACCTGATCTCGTCTTGACGCCCGTTGGTGCAATCTTGTCGACGGGGTCATCAGATACTAACTCGACATTCGAGCGATGGAGAGTTGTCAGATAGTCAGTATCCATCACTTTGCGCTTGCAGCCAATCTCATGCTTTGTTATCAAAGCATCCCAGTACTTCTCGGGCGCCATGCGCTTGACGTATCGCTCGTTCTCCTCCTTTAAGTCCTGTCGTATCTGCGAGCCTGATTCGACGTCAAAGCCAGCGAAGTCCCTCTCCATGTCTGCATAGAGCTTCAGACGATACAGACGCATCGCAAGGGGTAGATATCTCATCACAGTCTTGAACGTTGAGCCATACACTGGGTTCGGCCGTTCGGCTAGGAAATGTGCTTGTCGTGCGAATTGAGTAATGTTTTTGCTGTCCTTGGCCATGATGGGCACGAATTGGGTCGCTGAACAGCCATTTCCTAGGACTACGATATCCTTGCCTTTCCAATCGAGACTGCTGTCCCAGGTAGCGGAGTGGAAGAGAGGGCCTTTGAAGGCTTCTGCTCCCGGTATCTCGCACTGGCGCGGGATACTTAAGTTCCCTACCGCGCTGACCAGAATCTTCGCTCGACGAAGAAAGGTCGCCTTGGTCTGCTGGTCACGGACAGTGACCTCCCAGTACTTCCCCTCGTCTATCCAACTCGCCTTCTCCACTGTGCATCCGAACCTAGTCCGCCGTGGAATGCCGTACTGTTCTGCTACGCCCCGGAAATATGCCTGAATCTCACTCTGCATACTGAACTTCTGACTCCAGTTCGGGTTCAAGGCGAAGCTGTAAGAGTAGAAGTGGGAAGCCACATCGCAGCCGCAGCCCGGGTAGGTGTTGACGAGCCAGGTGCCACCGACATCAGGGCATTTTTCGATCAGCTCGATGGACTCTGTTTGATGGTGGCGGAGGAGCTGGACGGCGAGCCCCAGGCCGGACATTCCAGCACCGATGATCATTACATGCGTATCGACGGGAGCCATGATGGACAGTGTGAGAGAGATGGCAAATTCAGTGGCAGATGAATGTCGTCTGGTGGTAGAGAGATGCAAAGGTGAGAAAGAAGATGGTGGAGATAGATTAAATACTTACCGTGTGTGAATATCTACCGCGTGGGAAGTAAGGTCTTGTACCATCAAATGTGCCATTCGCAGACATGATGCTCAAGATCAAAGTGGATTGCTCGGGTGGAGCTGAAGCAGTTCGCCCGCTCGCCCAACCTGCCATCCAATTGACAGCAAGGAGCAAGTCTCGCGATGACAAAATTCAGGCACCATCTCTCCTTGTCTCAGCAACTTCACTCCACACACCTGAGCTCTGAAGCGTGAGACAAAGCCCGCCACTTATCACACTTAAAATCACGATGTCGACATCTGACTCGCGGAAGCCACAGCAGGGGAATAATCAGCAGTATCGCGCAGAAATCACCGCGCGCACAAATGCTGGCGAATCGTGCAAACAGATCGCTGATACCTTGAACGAGGCTGGTTTCAACATCAGCGCCAAAACAGTCTCGCGCTGGCGGATAGACTGGGGACTGCGAAGGCGGTCTGAGAATACTATGGAAGGCACCGTACGACCTGCTCTGCGTGTGCCACGTCCCGAACGGGTTGCGCACCACACTCGGCCATCGAAAACGACCAAGGTTGACAGACATGAACTTGAGCAACTGACCCAGGAAGGTAAGACGGCCACTCAAATCGCCGCCTTGCTAGAAGCCAAGGGCGTCGAGCTACGCGCTGGTGAGAAAACGGTCTACAGACTTCAGACCTTCTGGAACTTGATTCCGGCTGATCAAGCGAGGACGAAGAAACGTAGCTCGAAGAAGAAGGCGAGTGGCGAGCCGAAGGGCAAGGCCAATGCTACGGAGCGTGATGCACCGGCGCAGGATTCGGATGGGAGGGTGCTTCATTATCCTGCAAACTGCTCGTTTGGGCCGCAGAAGCGTGCTCGTGCTGAGAAAGGCCCGTCAGATGTGGGGCCAGGAGCTACAGCTGATGACGATGAAATGAGTGACTCTGATATCGACTCTGATCTCGAGGATGAGACGATGCTAGAAGCTGACGACGACGGGTACCAAGCTGTTTCAGACGGAGGACAATTCGCTAGCCAAATGGAGCCTGTAGTGGGAGCAAACGATGTCATGTCAGCCGAACTCCTAGTCGACCTAGCAACAAGCTCATTGATAGCCGCCAATCGTCTGAAGGATCTTATTCTGGCTGCGCAGATGCGGAGGTCTGTACCCGGCAGCGGAAGCAAAGCATTACCCACTCTGGAGGGCATTGCTGTAGCTCGTCGAAAGGTTCGCGAGGCCGCTTCTGTGGTAATGGATCTAGCTTTGGGTTAAGATGGAGTGGTGTACGAGCGCTGAAGTGTTTGCGTGAGGTGTCTACGCTGGCTTGCCTACTTTTCACAGGCGAAAGTCAAGACGAGCGCGACCGTCTTTGTGCCGAATCAGCGCTGCTTGTGTGCGTTTGCAAGCGTTAACGAATACCTTCGTACGCGCAGAGGATCCCACCGTCTGATTTCGAGGAGGGCGAGAAATCGAAGGCCGTTCATTTACCTGCAAGTCGCTCATATGAAAGACATACAGCATGAAGCGCAGACACAGGGCTCAAGAGCACATGTCTCCACTTTGTGACCGGACGTAAGAATATAATGCTATAATGAGACCATGAGACTAGCATATGTGGCGGATCCAAAAGCTGTCGACCATCGAGCATTCTTTCCTAATGTGTGCAATCGTCACAGAAGTTGGAGAGTAGTTCGTATCCACACCTCGCGCATGGATCACGCAAAAGAGAACATGACCTACGCAGGGCTCGAACCTTGGATATACGTTAGCAGTGATCAATCAAACGTCTCTTCTTGCTTGGTACTTACCTGCAACCTCTTGATGACTTCCTGGTGCACAGGTCGTAGTCAAGCACTCTACCATTGAGCCAGCAGGCCGTGACAAACACTAATGCTTGAGTAGTCGAAAATGATGTGATATATAAAGTAATATGTAATGTCTCCGAGCAATGCCCGACCAAGCGCGGATACCATTTCTTTTCGCACCCTAGAGATTCACGAGCTGAGCGGGAGACTTGCCTGCCTGACGGACTCGCATAGAGACACGACGGTGGGCCTACAGAAGACCACATAAGATCAGTTGTGTTTTGTAGCATGCGGTGCCCAAGACAAGTCAAGCTGAATTCAATTAGGGTCATCGGAGTGGATAATCTTTCATGATTCATCAATCAATATCTAGCCAGACAAAAGGCTGCCAGATCAAGTGGTATCACGCAATGCCGCCAATCAAGTCTACAAATACATGGACCCGCATGCCTCATTTCGCATCTGGCTTGTGAGCCAGCTCATGCCATCAAGCGCTCGAGCTCATCCTCTGGTATCCAAGGACCTTTCTCCTCTTCGGTGGCATTGAGCACGCCTTCAGCACGCGCCATAGTCTGGACATCCAAGTCTGTGACCCAAGCTCTTCCATCGCCTGCGCCAGGCAGCGGGATCCGGACCTCGTGGTCGGCATCAAGCATCATGTCATCTTTCCAGAGACGACGTTGTCCATCGTACACACATAGAACTCTCTTCTTCATCTTCATCTTTTCTGGTGCGGCACCCCAAGACAGAGGATAATTCTTTCTTCTCTTGTTGCCCTTGCCGCTCATGGGCCCGGAGAGAGGTACACCATTCTTCGATCGTGTGAGACCTTTCGGCTTGCCGATCGCACCGCTCATTGTAAGGTGATTACCACCCCCGACGTGCTGCGCTGAGACACCTCGGGGATGTGTTAGTTGTCAACTCGAGGCACTGGCGCCGGACTTCCTCGACTTGAGGCTACCCTTCCCAGATTTGGCGGAGCGCGTTCCGTATGTACCATCTTGCGTGTCCTCCTCATCCTCCTCATCCTCCTCGACCTCCTCGTCGTCGAATGACGTCGGCCCGCTGGAGTCCACATCGGTTGAAAGGCTGTGTCTCTCCATCGTCTCCTGGACCTCTTGGTCCTCGGCCACGGACGACAAGAGCTTCTCGTTGATCGCCTCACTGGGCTCAGCTTGCTGTACAACACGAAGCACACAGTCGTCGAGATGCTCGTAGAAATCTTGCGCACTTGCGAAGGTGATGCCGCAAGTCGAACACATACCGGATGACTCGTGCAGCCCATATGCTGGCTTCTTTGAGCTGCTTGAGGATGGGCTCTTCTTCCTCGCATTCGGTGGTGTCTGCTCAACGCCATGGACTGACGTGAGATGTCGCTTGAACACGTCGGCGCGGTTGAAGCTCTTCTCAGCTGCACTACCGCTACCAGGACAGAAGCCGCAAACCATGGTACCCTTGTAGTGAGTCAAGGTATGCCTGTTCTTGTCGTACTTGCGCGCAAAGCCCTTGATGTGGTATTCACAGGTGGGTATCGGGCACTTTTCGGGTCGCTCATTCTGATGAGTGAGCATATGTGCCTTGAGGTCTTTGACCTGTCGACCACAACTAGTGATCGGACAGAGACCTTTGTTTGTGTCGTCCCCAGAGGATATCGATCCTTGGCTGTGCCGGGAATGGATCGAGGTCACGGAATGTCGTCGCGAAGTAGGGTACGCTGGATATGGTTGCCATTTGTGTGGAGCCACGTAAGGCGAAGGAGCTTTGCCATTTGAAGATCGTGGGCTGGCGACCATGCGCTTGTAATCTGCTGGGGATTGTGATGGTGGATATTGCATTGCCTCCGAAGACTGCACAGCGGCCATCTCTGGAAATTGCGCACCACTAAATTGCGTGGGCGAGAATGTCGGCTGGATCAGGCTCGGATCTGAATAGAAATGGTTAGTGCTCAGCATTGTGCTATCGTGCCTCGTAGTGAGATTGAATAAAGGAGAAACGAAAGTGGTGGACAGAGGAGACGAACAAGAAAGCTCAAGAGGAGGAACGAAATGCCCGCTAGACTGATAGAAGAAGGGAGAGCTTAAAGTTGGTGGAGGTGCATGTGGATGAGGTAGAATTCCGTCCGAGTCGACTGACACGGCTGTGGACAACGGCGAAGCGCCTCGCGCACGCTTGTGCGCAAGTGGCGCCACTGTCGAAGTTTGTCGTCTGCCCTTGACCCTTTCCAGCACAGGCGAAGTCGCGGTCGCCGAAGCTGGCGTGATAGGAGATCTGAACACGCTGTCGTTTGGGCTCGTGATATCGGCCTCTGTGCTTCTTTGTGACCATGGTGCGAAGGCTATGTCCATCAACTTGGATGGATTTGCGACATCTGCCTGCCGAAACAGCGGGTGCTGCGCAGTGGAGTCGACCATGCCGGCATGATCGTTCGCCAGGTAATAAGGAAAGTGTGAAGAAGAAAATGCTGTAACCGAACGTGACATCTGAGCAGAAGAAATGTTTGTCAACTCACCAACACAGTCCTTCCCAGCGATCGGCAGGCTCTCATAGTCGAAGTTGGGCATCGCAAAAACGCCTTGTCCAAGACTGTCGTGTATGCTCGGCGCGCTCGCCACGGTCGCTTGCTGGCTCCAGTCGTGGGACTGCTGTGGGTGCATTGATGGTGAGTTCATGCCTGAGGATATCGTACTTTGGACAGACGCGCCAGAGTCGGACGTCGACGAAAGCACGGGAGGATTCTGGTAGTCAAAGGAGTGTGACGCGGAGTTCGTGGGCGAATAACCCGGGCTGGGTGCATGGAGCGCGTCCTTGATGGGGTTCGATAGAGCAGCAGTATCATACGGAAAGTTGCCCTGATGATTCAGTTGCGCATATGCTGTTTGTGCTGCAAAGGAGTCGTACGTGGTTGCTTGGAGGTAAGTCTGGTCCGCGAAGGTAGTCGTGGGTAGGTAAGTCTGCTCCTGGTTCCAGATATCCTGATATGGAAAGAGCGGGAAGTCCGTGTTATCCTCGGGGGCCATGATTTGATGTGAATAGTCGGCGTATGTAGTCATCTTGAGCGTCGAGGCACTTTGTTGACAGCTCTGGCCGCCGTGGCCGGGTTCTAGACACGCTGCGTACCACTCGTCAGTATGCTTGGGATGATGTCCATGGAGACTGCTCGACCATCAGCATACCTTGACTCAGTTGTGGTGGATCTGTCGTATTGCGGAGCTTGTTATTGTTGGGCTCAGGCGATGTCGAGGTCGAGAACCAACGAAGATGGGGTATGGATCAGCGGGTACCTGAAGCGTCGGCTCCTAATTGCGGCCAACGGTCTTAAGAAGTTATGCAAGACACGAGTAACCTGAGGATGGCTACGATGTATGAGTGAGCAGTCGTGCCGAGTATAGAACTGCATTGGGAGGCGGTGCCAACGACTTTGTATAGAAATACACGTCTGGGGCCGAAAGCGATGCAAGCGTGGCTCGTGCTGCTGCGCACTGCACCAGCAGGGTCCTAAGCCTTACCACTCACTGGCGGCCGGGCCAGCAGGGATGGCAATTTAGCGTACCTTTCTCCAAGCCCCCTAGTCGCCGCTCTCTCTACGGCCTGCCCGTAGCCATGACCTGCCTCCACACCTGCCGCTCGATCAGATGGTCTGTTCGTCAAGTCGCGGTACCCGAATGGTCAAACACAAACCCACGCTCTTTGCGGTATCGACGGTGAGCCGTCAAACTCACATATCCCACGTTCCACCTTTGTCAGCCAGATCAACATCAACAATCTGAATTCTACGACGTTCATTCGTTGCGATACCGCTCTGGTGGGTGATCGTAGTAGTGCCAAAGCATGCCACGTTGATGAAAGTGATTGTTGCAAGCGATGGGGCCGCACCCACCAGTCTTTGCACACCGCAGTAGTCGCGGTGTCAAGCACATCGTTATGACAGCGGTCTGCATACCATCGTCAGAGGTTCTGGGACACCAGCACACACAGAATTGATGAAGGTGTATGTACTCGGCGCACCCGCATTCTAGCTTGACGATGTGGCAGTGCGAGCTTAAGGCGGTGGACAAAGCTGCGCTATCTCTATATTCGGCGCGCTAGCTGCCACCTACTGCCATTCTCGGAAGTAAAACTGGCCGCTAGTCGACTTTGAGCACACTCTTGGCTTCGTCTAGGGTTCGTCTGACCGACTGTCGTTCGGTCAGATGAATGTTGACCACAACGTCATCTCGTGGTGAGGTCTGCTGCTTGTATCATGCACTGCCATCTATTTGACATGTATCGAATCAATCCGGCTGGTCTCGTGTCTGCGACGTCTTTCATGGTTCGGAATCAGGTGTGTCAACAGGCGAGCCATGTATTCTGACGAGGTTCAAGTGCGACGCCAATGGAGATGGTAAGATCAGCCGATCGACAACGATCTCCCTGAATCAGCAGACCCGTGACGAGTATACACCTACGATAGTGAACCTTACAGCAGCGACTGTCCTTGATCTTGCTGCTGGGGAGCGGATAGGGCGTGAAGTATAATTGCCCAGTCTACCGAGACTGCATGTGCAGCATGTATGATTATGCTGCAGACCTCTGACCAACCAAAGATCAGATTGTGCATCGATTAGGGCTGAAGGATTCACTATTCGAACTGCTAGTTCGACACCGGCATATTGCACCCCTGCGGATCCTTGCTGCTGACGCGATACACGAGATACCCTGTCATGCTATCATTCGCTCTGCAAGCGAGGCTTCGTAAACCAGTGATCGAGAACCAACAAAGAGTAATATATTATTTGGCGACTCGCATCCGAACGCTGTAGTACAATCTGTTGTCCCAGAAACACTGCATCTCCGATTTACTAACGAAGAATTACCAGATCCAGTGTGCCGTCGGATGGTTTACACTCCGCAGTAGTATCGAAATTAGGGAAGCATATGAAATGTGCGTTGCATAGTAGCGGGAACCTACTGTGGACAGTCAGCGAAACATGGTTTGACCATTGCTCATTAAAGTGCCATACATTTAGACTTCCATGTGTCAAGTAGAGACCAGTGGTTGTGGAGAGATAGTAGCGGGATCCACACGAAATCCTTCCACGAGCTTGGCCTCTCTCCGTGTGGAGTGAAACCCACATGCGTCGGGAGCTCCAGCGGTCATGTCCGCAAAACACAAGCCCTCTCCCTTCGACATCGTGACACCCGAGATGCGTGTTCCGTATCACGGGTTTCTACCCACACCGAGTGGACATTGCTGATGCACAGAAGAGTGCCTCCAATGCTTCCTTGCTTCCACTCGGAAATGGATCATCTATTACACGCGAGGATACAAAATAACCTTTACCCGCCAGCCACCTGGCGTTGAAATTATGTGCGCACCGGGACCATCGAAGTTACAGGGTAGTGCCAGAGGAGACTGGCAAGCGACGATACTAGAAAAGGCTTCAGATCAAGAGACAATAATTGCTTCTCGCTGGTTGCGTAACCAACATCTCTCGCTCTGTAAAGTCTTGGACTGGCTTGAGACCGGACTGAACCTAGCCGTCACCGACGGAGGCCACTCAAACACAAACGATGAGAATGTTATCCACTAAGCAGAACGCATACGACAAACGGCAAGCCAACCAGCCGTTGGAAGAGGCGTCTTGCCTTTGACGGACAGAAATCTGCCGCTGGTGAGAGGGACCGTAAGCACGGCGTAGTAATGCTCCGAAAACACGGGATGACCTGCCATTGACTTCAACCTGATGTGGCACCCAAGGATCTACACAACCCCCTATGCAGCTTCGCGACGCCCAAATGAACAACATGAGCAGGATCTGCCAATCACGACTCTCATCACGATGATTTCGTCAAGAACCAACGACATGAAGATGACCGCTGAATGAAGTCCAGAGCTTTTGCTTATCCCAACGCGACGGAACGGCGTGCCGGTTCCTGGCACACCGCATGGGGACACGTTTAGTAAGCGTGAGACGACGAGGATTGTCCCTGTCCCTGCCGTCTTGCGCGCTCATATGTCGGATACCTTCCCGCCAACATTCTCTTCCGGCCCCAGGATCATTGAGGGATGTCATCGTCCCGTCTAGCCAGTCTGAGAAGAGGTCTATTGTTTCATGTGTTGGGCATCATGCCCACACTAACACGCAGGACCAAACGCACATGAGAGTCTGGCGCCACGGACCGTCGTGTGTCGAACCGGTGTGAAATCCAGAAGCTTGCCGTGTAGGCTATCGCTGAAGGGTCGATCGCGTCACCAATTACGACGGGACTTCGGAAGAGAGATTGCGGTTCTGCCATGTGTAGCAATGATTCAAGTTCATCTCCGATCTTAGAGTTCTGATCGAAGGAACTGACAACAATGTTCATGGTTACAACTCGTTCTGCTCCTCTGACTTGTACTCCGCCTACAAGGGCAATGCTATCCTAAGCTCACAAACTCACGCTATCTTCTCATTTAGTACATAAGCATTTCGCGATTTTCGTTTCATCGACTTGACTTTGACTGATCATGATATCACACACAGCTCAGCCGTCCTTTCCGTACAAGGTGGCCCAACCCTGATGATTCCATTGCTGTAAAAGTTCGGTCACCAGTCAGGCCTTAAATCGTCCTTGCTCAGAACCTCGACATTACTACGACTCGTATAGCGGCATGCTGTTTCTGTGAAGAAACGCAGCCCTATAAGCTACGAGGATCTCTATCGATCCTGCACGGGTCCTGCCGCCCCAAGTGACAGGAGGCGCTCACAAAGGTACTGATTAGTTGACAGGAGTCGCCGAGGTTCGGGAAGTTTTGCCTCCGGACTCAACCTCGATGTACGGAGTACACAAGCCTCGAGTGAATCGTGTCACCCCCGCTCCTTCACCGGTCAACTAGCCCTTCCCAAAGCATTAGGTACGTATACATATTTGACGATGCCACAAGCAGACTGCAGCACCAACAGCACCAAGGCGTATTGTCTCGGCTCTCCCACCTCCAAGCAAGCTTCCGTACCAACACAATTCGGGGCAAGCTTTCCACTTCCGGCCCTCCACCTTAGAGCATGTCATACCAAAGCGGACGATAACGAAGTAACGAAGTGCTGTAGTGCGGGGTCGACCAGCATGTCAAGCTCTGAAAGGCAGAATGGTGCGATCAGGTGAGTTAGCCAGCCATGGTCCAGGTAGCGAAAGTGCAGCTTGCTTGGTATGCACGTTCGTGTAGTTTTGATCGAATCACAAGCTCCCGAGTTTGATGTGGAAGGAGATTTAGTATACGCACGAGAGGGGCTCTTTCACCGTTCTGCCTCGTAGGGCTGCATACATAGTACCAGTAGTGTCACTACTACTACTCCTGGCATCACGCCATGGACCGCTGCACTGCACTGCAACAATACCACTGTAACGTCCTCCAATCCTCCCAAAGCCCTCTGGCGTGCGTATGTTCTTGCATTGTGTCACTCGCTGCCTTGACGCAAAAGCGCAAGCCACGACCTTGAGTCCAAGTGTTGGACAAACGAAGAATAATGCGTACAAGTCGCGGTCGCGCAGAGAACCACATCCGGAAGGACACTACGGCACGAGCAATCTATTTCGCTTACCACGCGTCTTCGCGTCCTCAGGTCTCTGCCAACAGGCTACATGGGTAAGGCAACACCCCTAAAATGCACGAGTGTACGTGGTCTACTTTTCAGTTCCGTGGCCGATTTCGCGGTACTGCTATCGCGATCATTGTCTGTATGGAGAGAAGGCATCGACCGATCCTTTGATCTATTTGTCAGTGTTCATCGTCGATGCATCATCGAATCCATGTCCAAGCCTTGAGCGATAACGAGACTCTGCCGAGACGTGAAGAAGGGCGGTTGTATGGAGGCATTGTCCTTAGAGCTCGATTCGAGCCCTTTCACACCCTGTTGCCTCGAAGAATCTCCATGTTGAAACCGTGCAAAGACTCATGTGTGGCCAATACACATGTGAGAGCATTCGATAGCCGGAGAGCATTATAGCTCCGACTCGTCGTGAGACTCGATCCGGTGCCTTCGTGCCTTGGGAATTGGACTGCGTAACAGTATCGCTAGGTCTCAGTTATGCTTAGGCTCTGCAGGTCCAGTGGAAAGCCCTCTGTGTAGTCGGTTCGACGGGAGACGAGACCAAACTGGTCGTGCGACTCCAAGCACACATAGCCATGAACTTCCATTCCGGTAGGGCCCAGATATCCATAATCGTAGCAGGCCTTGCATGGTGAAGATTAGTAGGTCTCCAGATCTCCATGGTCGGAACGTCGTGGACCATAAAGCTGGCTTACTACCCATCCCATCATACCCCCTCCTCCTTCCTCCCCTCCATCCCCAAAAGAACCCTTTCCCAAGCCCCCCTCACAAATCCACCCACACTCCGCCAAAAGAGTCTCCCCGCCTCATGCTCTCTCACCCTACCAAGCAACCCCGCCACCGCCTCCCTAACCCCTCGCTTTGGATGGAACAGTCCCAAACCGAGATAGAACAATCCCTGTCCCTGCTGTCCACCACCGCCGCCACCACTACCATAGGAAGAAGAAAAAGCAGGCCCACCCGCGCCACCGAGCCCAGAACCCGTGGTGAGCAATCCGGAACCATTGACCACAACGGCAAGGAGTTGGTTGATCTCCTCCTCACTCCATACCGCAGCACAGATGGCTAGATATATATTCCCTGCTTGCTCGGAACCCAAACGTAGCTTAGCCAACTTGTCGTGTAAGTGTTGCAGGTCAATACTCTTGACCGGGTGACGAGAATAGAAAGCCGCCATATCCCGGATGAAATTGTAGTAGGAGCGCGTGTTACGCCACCCCTCTATCCTCGTAGCATTGGCAGCGAGTTCGTTCGTCTTAGCCTGAGCAGACGGCCAAACATAGCCATGGCTGAGGACCTCAGGCGGCAATGCAGGCGCCGCAGTGTCCAACTGATCAGCAGGAATCTGCTTGTTGAACAGCGGACTCGTGATCGCAGGACTATCCGGACTCTTGGTCGCGGAGAATGGTGTACTGGGCGTCTTGGGCGAAGGCGCGACCTGGAGAACAGACGCACCGTAGACTAGTTCCTCGAACGCCGCCGCCACCCGCGTGAACTTCAACACCCATCGTCGAAACTTACTCCTGATAGCATTCTCTCCGTGCCGCTCCTCAATAGCCTTCAACACACTATTCATGAATGCCGCATCGCCCGTGGCGTCACCCGCACCTGTGCCCATAAGTGCTGTACTCCCGCCCAGACCGGCCGAGAGACTGGCGCCTGCCATGGCGATAGCGCTGATACCACCCGTGGCACTAGCAGGCGCAGAGGGCGTTTGACCCGGTTGTTGGAAGAAAAGGACGCCTTCTGTCAACGGAGCTTGTTCAACTTTGGCAGATATCTTCATCCTGCCCGTTCCTAGATCGCAGAGCAGGTCCCACCACTCGGGCTTATGCGCGAATGCTGGATTGGTGACTCCGGCGATGAAACCCGGTACCCTCAAAAGATCATCGATCTTAGTCAAGTCAGTGTAAGGAAATGCATGGCGAGTGAACCCTCTCAGCATTCCTCCCGAAGCCAAGGCACAGGCACCAAGGACGGCTTCAGCGACTTCAGAGGAGGGAAGGTTGTGCCCGAGGAAGATGATGCGTTTTTGTGTTAGTAAGGCGTTGAGGAGGACGATGACGGGATGTGTTAGTGCTCCTGCAGTCGTGAGATGTGGATGTAGAGGCGAGAATGCTTGAGGTGAACTCGAGTGCGGTGTGGAGAAAGTGGTGATAAGTTTCACCAGGCTGAAATCTCCTACCGTCTCAGGAGAAAGAGCGGTGGGGATTTTGACCGGGACGGGGATGTTGGCGTAACGGACAACACTTTCAAATTCGTGGGTATCGCGCGGCAGACCATATCGAGATCGTGAGGGGTGAGTTGTGGGTGAAGGGGCCGACACACCTCCACCCTCTGTTTGTGAGCTAGCCATGCGCTGAGCAATAATCGCCTCGAACTTCTCGAGAAATAGGTCCTTGGCGTCGCTACTCTGCAGGATGAACCGCTCGTAGAAGCTGAGTTTGGGCATCAGAGACAAGTCCATGGCATTGACAGCATTGTAGAGCGTCGCCAAGGTCTCAACCACGGGATTGGCGAAGTACTGCTCCAATGCTATGACCAGCAGGGGTTTGTAGATGTGTAGGAAAGAATGTCGCGTACATATCGCCATAGCTTTGACGATGGCGCCGCGTTTGACCGTGTGGTCTTGTTTGGTGTTGACGAGATTGAGGACGTAGACGAGAGGCGGGCCGTCGATCAGTTCATCTTCGCTGTCGAAGCCGTCGTAATCGTCCTCGCCATCTGCCCCTTCGTCCTCATCATCCGGGTCATCCTCCTCCGCACCTGCCTCAGCCTGCCGATGCGTACCTTCCAATTCTGCTTTCCGTCTGCGTCGTCGCTTCCTTTTCCGCGTCTCCTCATCATCCTCCTCCCCTCCCGCATCTTTGTGTAAGAAGAAAGTCGTCCAATCCTGACTTCGCAGATGCGTCTGGTCTGGCAGCATCAGGTCTGCGAGCATATGTTCGTCACCTCCCACCACACCGGGGTACTGGTGCTCCATGATGGATCCGCGGTCGATGTCGAAGCTTGCGACCAGGATATATTCGACATGCTTCTCAGCTCCGTTGGCTGGGTACTGTGATCGTACTGGCCGCTGTCTTCTAGCTGCGACATGATTTGTTGCGCCATTGGTTCCGCCACTGGGTCCGCCATTGCGATGTGGGAGTTGGAGGGCATCTGAAGGGTGTGAAGAAGTCGCAGAAGGCGCGTGGTCATATGTCGTTATACTGGAATCTGCCTGCGTCGACTGCGACTCGGAAAGCCTATTACTCTGAACGGATGTCAAAGAGGGTCGTCGATGTCGCGAGGCGGTGCTGTTGGATGTGCCGCTCGAATTCGTGTTTGGTCGTGCTGGTAGGACTGTCGCCATGTCGCACTTCCAGATTGTGTATAAGAAAGACCACCTGACACCTCGCTAACCACATGTATGCGAAAGACAAGACGAGTCGAAACAATACTCTTCACACCTCCCAATCCCACTCCCTTTACGTCTGCTAGCTGCTCGTGCTTCATGTGCCCACATTCAGACCCTGGCGATCGTGTTTCAGATTCCAGACAGGGGTGAGGAGGCTCGGTCCTTCTCCCGTCCCGCCACTTGTCAATCGCCCATCAAGTCTTCCGAAATCTATTGACCTATTTACTCTAGACCTTCGCACCGCTGGACCATCTGCTTTTGGACGGAATATGCGATTTGCGCGGCACTTGCGACAAAAATCTGTTCGGATCGCCTAGAGCCATACTGCTGCCAATTTCACGCAGCTTGACAGGTCTATCGACTGACATATCAGAAATCGAAAGTCAAACAATGCCAATCCCCGATGGAACTGTCCCTCGATGTCCATCGGCCCTGATGCTGCAGTGATACGGAGAACCGCCTTTCGTCGCGCACTGATGTCACCTGCTCACTCTTGCTCTAGGGCATGACATGCTATCAGTCAGTTGGACACAGCGTCGATAGACCAGTCTCCTTCCGGGACTACTCCTTTCTCCTGCGCAAAAGGTATATTCTCTCCACGTTTGACGTAGAGGCTCCGACACCGACCTCCAATGTTCATGTTCAACCTTCTCTCCGTCCAAGATTTGTCAATGCTGCCGCGCACATCGCTTTGAACCCAACCTCCATGGTAGGTTGTATCACAGGTGCGAACAATGCACTATGGTTCACGGGAATATCCTCAGCGATCCGTCCAGCTTTCTCCGCCTTGTCCCACTTCTCAGCGTCGACACCGTCGAAGAACCACATACAATACGGTCGATCATAGCAGTTGCCAAGTCAGAAACGTCCTCTGAAGCATTGGCGATTGATGGGTTGGGATCAAATGCTTGTCCGAAGACTCCCGCAAAAGTGTCTCCCAGTTTCGAAATTATCGTATCGTCGTTGACAGTCAAGGGAAACCGACGGGTCTGCTCGAAGGTCGGTGGCTTCTCACAGTCGCTTGCTTCGCATTCCTGCATCAGTCAGTACCCAGGCTTAGCAGTATGTCGAAGAAAATCTACATGCTTTCTCGACAATCCTCTTCATAGCTTTCAGAATCCTCTCTCGGGTCTGTGCATGCTGGATCCTAATGTCAACTTTCAACACAGCTTTGTCGGCAATGACATTTTCGGTATGTCCAGCCTGAAGACTCCCGATAGTCAGCACCGCTGCTTCGGCCGGATCGATCTCTCGCGCCACGATGCCTTGCAGCCGAATGACAACATTAGCGGCCAAGACGACAGGATCGATGCAGAGTTGCGGCATACTGCCATGCCCACCGCGACGAAACAAGGTAATTCTAAAGCTGTCTGCCGCCGCAATCATCGTTCCTTTCTTTACCGTAAGTGTGCCCGTCTTGGAGGGCATAACATGCTGTGCAAGGACGACATCGGGGACTGGTACTTTCTTGTACAGGCCATCGTCCACCATTGCCTTCGCGCCGGAACCACGCTCCTCGTTCGGCTGGAATTATACGATTAATGTTCCGCGCCACTCGGCCTTCACTTCCTCCTTCGCCAGCCACGCAGAGGCAGCCAGAAGGCACGCAACATGCATATCGTGGCCACATGCGTGCATTACGCCGGTAGTGGAACCGTCATCTGGGTCCGTGAAAGTGGCTTTGCTCGCGTAGTTTAAGCCGGTCTCCTCTTCCACTGGTAGCGCATCCATGTCTGCGCGTAGCAAGACGACTGGCCCACTGCCATTCTCAAGTACGGCTGCGACTCCGTGTCCTCCGATCGATCCATGGACTTTGTAAGACTTGAGCGCGGCGTGTTTAGCAACAGTAGAGGCTGTGTTGGCCTCGTGCAGAGATGGCTCAGGGTGAGCATGTATTTGCTTGTAGACGTCTTCATATTGCGCAAGGTCGAACGGGTGGCGGTCCAGTATGTCCGCCACTGGGGATCCTGTTGCTTGTTGCTGGCTGCCCATGGTGGCGGTCGTCGGTGGAAGAGGCAGGCAAGCAGGCAAGGGGAGGATAACAGGAAAGCAAGACTAATGTTGTCGCTACAAGAAGCATACATACCTGCGCCATCTGCAGGACTCAAATAATCTCTCATGCACCCTATGCGTCACCAACAGGCTTGCAGCTTGAGAATTTCAGTAGCGATAGAATTCCGTCTGCACTGCGGCGTGATGGAGGAGCAGCGGAAGAGCGTCCAATACAAACCATGCCAGTCGCCGTCAGATTGTACTGCGTGGATATGGCAGCGGCAGATGATGTTAGTCAGAGAGTCGCTCTCTCGTTGTGCCAAACATGCTGCCGTCCCCGTGCCAAGTATGATCGCGCAACGGCCGGAACGATGATACCCTGATGAGTAGCTTGAACAAAAGCTTCAGCAATCAGAAACTGTGCACTTCCGTAGAGACGGTACAGTGGACAACAACCAGCTGATTTGCCGTGGCCGCAGCCGTTACCTGTGATGGTGGTCGTATATCAACACTTCTTGAATATGGGCTTTCTGGGCACATGGTGTCACACTACAACGTAAGTCGACGCGATGGAGCAAGCGCAGGTGCATCGACTCATGGATCTTACAAGACTGGGTAGCGCGCGCGAGCGAGGTCCTCCTCAGGACAACACCCGCCCAGGCTCGACCAACCCATCAGATATCTACCTGGTCGCCCTCTGCCGCGCCTTCATGACTTACGGCGCGCCCACACATCGTCTGGAAGAATATGCACGCCAAGCCTTGGATGCACTGGGCTTATACCTACAGTCCTTCTACATTCCCGGCTGCATGATCGTCTCCATTGGCGACACATCCAAAGATCCGCCGCGAATACACATTGTGCGGTGTAATGAAGCACTGGTGCTGTCGAAGCTGTACCGTGCCCACGCCGTCCACAAAAGGGTCGTGCACGGCGAGCTGACCGTCGAGGAAGCCACCATCGAACTGAACAGCATCTTGTCTCAATCAGCTTCGTTCCCAAGATGGCTGCGCATCCTCATGTACGGACTAGCATCCGCAAGCATTGGGCCAGTCTCCTACGGCGCCCGACCGATCGATCTACCCATCATATTCTTCTTGGGATCTCTGCTCGGAGTCATGGAATCGGCCCTCGCTCCAGGATCGGAGCTGTACGCCCACATACTCGAGATCTCCGCGGCCATCGTCATCTCACTACTAGCTCGAGCATTTGGGTCCATACCTTCCGGACCAGAAACTAAACCATGCTTCTCTGCTGTATGCCAGGCATCACTTGTTATGATCCTCCCCGGACTTACCATAACTAAAAGCGCTCTGGAACTACAATCAAGAAACATTGTCTCAGGCTCGGTACGCATGGTATATGGTGTCATCTTGATCCTCTTTCTGGCGTTTGGCATAACCATAGGCGCGACAATCTACGGCGCAATGGACCCCGCTGCGACGTCCGCAACGACCTGCACGACAGCTTGGCCTTTTTGGTGGCAGGCTATCTTCGTGGCACCTTTCACCATCGCCTACATCATAATCAACCAAGGACCATGGTCTGAGATGCCTGCCATGGTTGTCATTTCGTTGAGTGGGTGGTTCGTCAATTACTTCGCCGGTAGACGATTCGCAGCCAACCCACAAGTGACGCAGGCTATCGGTGCTCTTACTGTTGGCGTCCTTGCGAACTTGTGCTCACGCCTTGGCTATGGACTTGCCATCGCATTGCTGCTACCTGCGATCTATCTCCAGGTACCTGGGAGTTTTGCTGCTTCAGGGAGCTTGATCAGCGGTCCGAGAGATGCTGATGAGCTCGTACATAACGGGACGGCTTCGGCGATATCTGGATCTGCCAACACGACGGTCTTGAATGCTGGTTATAGCATGGTCGAGATCGCGATTGGCATCACGGTGGGCTTGTCTGTCAGTACTCTAATCGTATATCCGATCAGACAGGCAAAGGGCAAAAATGGCCTGTTCAGCTTCTGAAGCTGTTTCGCGTCATCTATCATACTCACAACATCATCAGAGTTTCGTCTGTAACCTACGAGCCTTGATACGCCAAGCTGGTCCGGGTCAGGGATTTAGACGCGTGCCAGGCGGCCTCCTTCTTTCACAAGAGGAGGGCTCATGCTACGTGCCACATGCCACATTTTCCAACCCGGTGTGCTGCCAAGGTCACTGCTAATTTAGAATGCTCAACAGATCCATGAGCATTGCTTGACTTATGAGCAAACGCAGGGAGATCGTAACTAAGTAGTGTGGTTATTCTGGAGTGCAATAAGCCTACCTGTATTCTTAATTTATACCGCCATATGCGGTTAGTCACATGACTCCCACGTTCGTCGCTGCTCGAAACGCTCTGTTTGCGGGGAAGAGTAAACATGCGAGACGAAAGACCCTAAAGTGTTCATGCGTTGAAATGGATCACTGAGCAAAGGGATCATGGTATGTATCGACGAAGCAACATATAGAACTAATGCTAACATTGTCAGGCAACACCACGCCCTCTCTCCTTCGCCGACTCGGGCAGACAGTCCCCCTTCAAGCGCCAGAACTCAGCATCACCAGCAACAGTCCGAGCAACAACGCCCACATCATCACCAACCAAGCTAGCGACAAGTCTATCACCAACCAAAGCCGGCTCACTGTCACCGGAGAAGAATAGTCCCTTCGTACGCCGACCATCACAGATCAGCAATGCCGGCGACAGACCATCAAGTCCTTTCGCCAGACCGGGCAGTAGTCTCGGCAGACCAGGGAGCAGTCTAGGCGTGCCTCAGAGTCCCTCCAGGCAAGTCAGTAATACGAGCACATACAGTCGGAATGACGATGCGACGTCTTCGCCAAAGGCTATGCCGGTCTTGACGAGAAGGATGACACCGCCCACGCCCCACCTAGCACGGGAGGAGACGCCTACGTACGCGCCAGCATCGCCGGTACGCGACCTACCATCGCCCTTGCCATCACCATTCTATGATGGTCCAGCTCCAGAATCATCAGCGGCTGCCACGCCATCTCAAGCCATGTTACGACCAACTGCACAGCGAATCCCCACTTCCTCGACCGTCTCGACAATCCGACAACCACAATTCACAGCCTCCATTTCTCACGACAACAAACCAACACCACCCATATCCCGCCCACCCATGACCCGCGGTCTCAGCAACAAAGCCTCCGGAGGCTACAACCACGTCCCTCCACCTCTCCTTCGCAGCATGCGCGAAAGCTTCGAAGTCCTCGACTCCTCCAACTCCGGCACCGTCAACGCCGCCGCCGTAGCAACAATGCTAGAGCAAATGGGCATGGATAACAATCCCTCCACAATCCGCGACTTCTTCCCTGCCAACGCTCCCGCGCAACTGAATCTAGCCCGCTATCTCGAGATCCTCTCATCGCCTCTGGGCCAGCTAAGCCATAACGACGAACTTATCGCCGCTTTCGAGGCATTTGATGTAGATGATAGTGGTCAGATCGATGTTATGGAATTGAGGAATGCGCTGGTGAATACGGCGCCAGAGCCCGGGGAGGAGGATTATAAGGTCAGTGAACGGGAGGTTGACAGTATTCTGGGCGAATTTGCGAGTAGGCGACATTTCGGGGCCAAGGGTCTGACAGTGGCGAAAGGAAAGGGTGAAGTGTTTAGGTACAGGGAGTTTATGGGTAGTCTTGGCGGTGGACCGGCTGGCGGCGAAGGTAATGTTGGTATGGAAGGGCTGACTGTTTGATTATATTGTGCATGTATATACAGCTAGGAGACTACGTGATAGCGTGGACGATTATCTCTTCATGAAGCAGGACGATTTCTCCCTCCGCTTCGCCCCCGAGTGACGACTTCGGAGCGGACCACCATGCCTCACGTCTTCATTCGCGATATATTCATTTTTGGCACGATTCGTATGCACTCTGGTCCACATTTGCCGAGTTTCCCACGGATGTATAGCTGAGCGCCCGTATTAGGAAGGCACACCGCCTGCCGGACATCCCGAAAACCTTACGATAACAAAACCACACGCCCTAGGGCGCCGTACCTGTCATGGAAGGCGAGCACAAATAGAGATAGCCCTTTTCGAGTGGGAAACTCACGTACCTTTGCATCTCACAGGGTAAGTCAGTACCCAAACTCTCATCTCCGTGGATCATGGCCACCACAAAAGACAAAGAAACCCGACCACCGCTATCCTACCGCCTCGCCACACGTCCCGACGCTCTAGCTCTAGCAGACCTCATAAGCCGTGCCTTCCGCAGCGAACCCACCGGCCAAACCTGGCTTTACGAGTCGCAGGACAAAAGAGTCGATATTGCCTCCCCAGAACTCACAACCCAGTTCATCGAATCTGGAGAAAGTCTCATGCTCGTCGGCTACTTACCCAGCGACCCCGAAAAGAAGCCCCTCTCAACCTGCTTCCTCCGCCGTCCAGACTCAGATCCTGCATCTGAACCCCATCGCTCTCCCGGCGCAGCCTGGCTAGGTTTCCTCGCCGCCGAGCCAGCGGACCACGGGAAGGGGTATGGATTGTCCCAACTTCGATATGCTGAGGCCTATGTTCATGATGAATGGGGCTTGAGTAGGCTAGAAATGACGTACGTGAACTCTCGGATTGAGCTGGGGGCTTGGTATCGACGATGCGGATACGTTGATACTGGCCGACGGAGAGCTTTTCCTTATGGGGAGCATGGGAGGGAGATTCTGGCGGAGGGGTTGGAGGAGGTGGTTATTGGGAAGGATTTGGGGGAGGGGGTGAAGTAAGTGTGGACGCGCAGTTATTGGTGTACGGTGTGATGTGTAGTGTGACGGAGAGAGGTGTCGGCGTTAGGTGCTTGCGGGTATATACTCGTTACAGTATCTATTGATCTCATTTCATTCGCCATCATGATTGCGATCCCATTACTCCAAAGCAAAGGCAATATATGCAAAAGCCCCTTCCTGAACACCTTGCGCTAAAAATGAGAAGTACACACCACCACATATCCTACTCCCGTACAGTCTGCGGCCACTGCATCTCCATCCTCGGCTCAATCGGCGTGGCATCCGCTATCCGTATACTCGGTAACCGCCCGATAGCAGGCAAAAGCGGCGCACCAGATATTGCTCGCTCAGGTTCCGGTCGTTGGGGCGGTCGTTCCTGCACAGGCGAAGTATAAGGCGGCGCGTCCTCGAATCCCTCGCCATCGTACGAAGGCGGCTCGTGAGGTGGTATATGCAGATCACCAATATCTAGTGTATCGAGCGACGGTCTCCCGGGTGCATTGTAAGAAGAGGCGCGACTTCTTGAGCCCCCCGCCGCGGGAGTGTGTACACCGGAGCCGGTGCGCGAATGTGTTTGGTTCAGGGCCACTATCTCGTAATCGTTACCTGCTCGGCCAAAGGGCGGGAGATCGAGGTCGGAGCCGTCGTCTGAAGCGGTCATGATTGAGTTGGTTGAGCGATCGCGTTGGTGATGGGCGTGTAGTGATTCCTGCGTTGACCACGGCCGTATACTCGCACCGCCACTGATACTAGCTGCGGAGTCGAGTAAGGGGCGGTCCGACTCGTTGGAGTTGGCACGTATGCGTGTGCCGTCGTGTCGTGCGACTCCTAGCTCGGCATAGCTGACGCTACTAACTCTCCTTTCTCGTGGTTGTGCCTGATACTCGGCGATCATGGCCTGCGCACCAGCAGTTTCGCGCTGCTCCGTCGCTCGTCTGCTATCCTGCCGTAGTCGCCTGAGCTCGGTATGATCGCCTCTATCTCGTGCTTCTCGCCTCAGCCGTCTTCGTTCTTCTCGTTCCGCGATCTCTTGTCTTCGCTGGAGGCGGATCTGGTAGAGACTTTCCATCTCGCCTTCTCGGCGCTCCTCCTCCTCGTCTATCGTCTCTGGAGCTTCCACCACCACGTCGATGCCGCCCCGCTCGCCCTCTCTGCCCAGCACACGTTCGCTTTCTCGGACAGATCTCGAGTATGCTGGCAATGTCATGACGGAGCGCACGCTTGTGCTTCGGTCTAATATTGCGCCTGCGTCGGCCTGACCGCCGCCAGTGTTCAGCGTATTAGCAGCTTGCGCGCGCTCGACGTCCAGTATATTCTGTGTACTATTCCTAGCGCTCCTGTTCTCGCTACGCAGATGTAGGGTCGGAACAGACTGATCTTCCTGCAGTCGCGAGCTGTACCCTCCTTTCGGCGACGTGAGCCCTCTTGGCGTCCAGTTCTCCCATCTTCGTTTCAAGAATTGCGTTGGTATATATCGTGAGCTCGAAGTTCGTTTCCGTATCGTTCTTAGGTACAACCAGAAGACTAGTATGAACGATATGAGGATGATTAGCGATACAACGACCTGTGGAAGCGTCAGCAAATGTTCGAGAGTACTGCAGATACAGCGACAACGTACAGCGACAGCGATAGTCGTTCCGTTCACCCCATTGTCCGGCGGCGGCTGCTGTCTCGCCTCAATCGCACTCCCTGCATTCTGTGGAAGCAGCATGGCGACAGACTCATGCGCTTCACTCTTCCCAATGTCTCATTCGGCGATAACGAGTCCCAGATTTGTTCACAAAGGCCTCGTGAGACTCGAGATCGCACACCTGTGTTACCTGGGCGCCGGTGCTGACGCGGCTGACGACTCACTTGTTGGTGATGACGCTGATTCAGGCCTCGTGAGCAGCGATCTCCCAATACAGTCGGACGTATTATTCCGCTTGACACTGAGATTCCATACAGCACGAGTGGCAGAACGTGGTGGGCAGTATGTAGAGTGAGATCAGACGATCGAGACGAGACGAGACGAACGACAGCGAGCACATGGCAGCACTGACCTTGAAACGTTGGTGCTGTGGCTGGGGGAACTCAAATATAGCCTTGACAAGTCACTATAGCTGCTTCGCCGAATCGCCATGCCCAGAGCTGTGGATCAGCGCCACGGCGACGTCGATCAGTGGAGTTGCGAGCTGCGCCATGGAAAAGCAAAAGTATATGTAGGTACAAGTATATGATCTCCCTCATCATCGTTTCTTGATCTGTTCAGGAGCCCAAAGTTAAACCTCGTGAGCAAACCTGTTACCCTAAGATATTAACTGGAGCGACGAAAGTGTAATGCAACCTTATTGCCAGAAAGCAGTGGCCGACCACCTCCTTCTGCGCGGATGACGATGCATGCATCAAGCAGTGACCTGTCTGTCTCTATCTGAGAGTCTATACATTGCTTGAGTGGTTGTGCATCAGAGTCATATACATCAATGCCGATGCTCCCCCAGCGAACCTCACAGGCCAGCGTCAAACGACCTCATCGACTACACCTCCAACACCTTCGTAATACCCGGCTGGATACCCTCAAGCTGCCCGACCAACTCCCTCCAAATCTTACTCTGGAGCTCAGCACCACCCTTTCCCTCCACCAACGGAGCACAAGGCGTGATTGTGTCGTCGCTCAAGTACTTCCCATGTGTCTCCTTACCACTAAGACCAGCATTCACGAGCGTGCGACTGCCCACCTCGGTCGTTCGGCAGAACACCCTTGTGATGGCGCGGAAGACTGCGCTGTCGATCTCGCGTGCTAGTTCGCTGTGGCACCAGCCTGGGTCTAGGATGCGTCAGTACTGTGGCCGTGATGGCGAGGGCGGGATTCGGTGAAAGGAGGGAGGGACTTACTGACGAAGTTGATCGTAACGCCTAGCTGGTCGATAGGATGCTGGCGTGCAATCTCTCGACAAGCAAACACTTCCAGGAGCTTCGAGGTCGCGTAGCGTTGATCCATACGAGCGGTCTTCTCATCATTCAGCGTCTCGAAGACCGAAGGTGCAGATTTTTCGGGGAGCTGTTCACAGCATTAGTATTGTCACACGATGAACGTTGTGTCTGATGATGGTCATATGTACCGGAGAAACAAAATGCATCTCACTGCTCACGATAGTGAGTGTGGGCGTGACAGCATTAACCTTCCCCGACTGTTGAAGCTTAGGAAGCAAGAGCAAAGCCAGCAAGAACGTCGAAGTGACATTGACTGTGATGGTCGACTCGTTCCCGCCTGCCTTGACGAATTTCGAAGTATCTGCGGGCAAGAGTCAGTACTGATGCCGTGTTCGCTCTCGATCGAAGGTCAAGCCTACTGATGCCAGCATTCTCAATCACAATATCCAGCCTCTTTAACCCCTCCGCTTTCTTCGCAAACGCCTTGACGTTGTCGTAATCCTGCAAATCAAGCTTCCAGACCTCGATAACTCCAGTACGGCCAGTTGAGCGCTCGATATCGTTCTTCGCGGCTTCGCCTTTCTCGACTGTTCTGCAAGCTGTAGAAGAAAATCACGTCTTAGCACTTTTGCCACCGTTGCGGATTTGGTATTTATGGGACGAACCTATGATGACTTTCTCGGCATTGAGACGCACAAAGTGTCGAGCCGCTTCTTTGCCTAGACCGGTATTCGCTCCCGTGACGATGACAGTCTTGCCTGTTAAGTCTTCGAATGGGTATTTGGGCGTGACGAAGAATTGAGAGTAGAATAGGTGGGGAAGGAAGCCGGTGATGATTTCGAAGGCGGACATTGTGAAAGTATTATTTGTTGTGAGGCTTCACACGAGTTGTGCGTGTCGACGGAAAGAAGTGTGATATGAATGTTCCTCAATTTAGATCCCGCTCTTATATGGTATGCTGTGCGATGACACGTTGTGAGCGGGCCGTAGAGCTGCGGTCGGGTACTCGATGTTCAATAAGTTCCTCCGATTCTGGATATACATGGTGCCAAGTCCGGTCTTTACTACCCGGTCATCATGTCCTCGGAGACACTGACCGGGATCAAATATGTGGCAGATATGCTGGCGCCTGGTGGTCTTACTGTTATGGTCACTCATAAGGACGGTCGGAGGCATTATCTCATGCGATCGTCAATTGCATTGATGAGGCGGAGTTAGGGACGGACTTTAGTAGATGGGATCCCGCCTTAGAAAACCATCGATGCCAGGCGCGAGGACCTAGAATGCGGGTCTGCTACTTCTTGCACGACTAGCTATGGAGACTGATGTATGGAGTATACGGAGTAGTCGACACTTACTACTGTAGATACATGTTTCAATACCCTTGATTAGACTATTACGCATGTCAGATCCTTATTATTATTACCATGCTTCTACCCAGATCCGGCGGCTCTGCAAGCTCCCCCTACGCTTTTTCGTCAGGAACGCAAAAGCTTTGTTGTCGGTCGTCGAGAACACGATTGATGCTTTTCGCACCCTTCAGCTTTACTCCTGCACAGCAAGGACGTCGGCCTGAAGGAACGTTCGAAAGTCATGAGCAACACACTTTCTCGGCCCACCCAAGCAAAGTCTGATGAGTATTGACTGCGATGGCGGGGCTGGAACACAATGACGAGCTTTTGCTATCGCCATGGACCCTGCTAGCGTGCCATCAAGGTGGATTTTGCGAAGAAGAGGTATTCAGTTGAGGAGAAGAAGTATTCGACATGCACTCCAGATGAGAAGTGGAAAGCAGCCATTGGAAAGGATCTAGAGTACTACTTGGAGGATAAGTTTCGATGTCAATTTTGTCCGACAATCTTCGATTCCAACTCCAAGCATTGGAATACGCTTAGTAGCAATCTCGACTGGACTTTAGTGAGGCACTGGCAGTGCAAGCCTACCTGGGACGACATCGAAGGCTCGAGCATATCGGAAATCTGAACATCGAGGGCGCTGCAGTCACATATTCCCATCGCAAATTTGCGGCGGACTTCCGTCGAAGGATTAGTTGTGCGGCCAACTCATGATATCGACGACCACCGAAGCAATCCGAGAACTCGCATAAGCAACCTCATTACATCCTATCAGGACTCGCTTACCAGCATCACCCTAGTGGAAGTCGATTCAGTCCACAACATAAAGCTGTCCACGACCTAGACTTGGGAAAAATCGGCAACCATTGGACAATCTCCGACAGCTTTCTTGCATCTATCTGGACTGTGTAGGACACTGAAGGACAGCTATGTCGACATGCGGGAGTGGCAACGATTATGACGGGCGTCTTGGAACCCGAATATCATCGATCTTCGTAATCATGATAGGGTCCTTCTTAGGGGCATGGTTTCCTGTGTTTGCTGCAAGACACAAGGGCGTGGCCGTGCCTGGATGGGCCTTCTTCATCGCTAAGGTGAGCTATAAAACTACTTCCACACACATCTCCTCCCTCGAAAGCACAGCGCTGGCAGCGTCCTTGGATGCTCGAATCAGTTCTGCATGTTGAAGACCAGTACTTTGATGGGTGTCGAATCGTCCGGCAGAGCTTCAATGGTTGCCATAAATGATGGACATTCCAAAAACGTATATCTAGACCTTCGAAAAGCATGAGCTAATTCTATGATTCAGTATTTTGGCTCTGGCGTAATAGTAGCGACTGCTTTCATACACCTACTTGCGCCAGCAAATGCGGCCTTAACAGATCCATGTCTTACTGGCCCTATCACGCAGTACTCGTGGGTGGAAGGAATCTGTTTGATCGTCATCTTCGCCATGTTCATTCTGGAATTCATGGCCATGCGATACGCAACGTTCGGCTATTCACACTCGCACGAGCACGAACATGATGTAGAGATGGCCCATCAGGCCCATGCCAAAAAACACGATAGGAAGAACATCGATCTAAGCAGCGCAGAGGACGCCGTGATTGATGCCGACGATTTGTCGACAGAAGAGACTTGTGCTGGACCTCACGTACCTGGTGATGATCATCTATCACACGGTCGCAACCACAACGATATCGAAAACGACCGCAGCGTTGGACATCGCCATGGTGAGAAGACGTTCGATCCTGACAGCTATGCGGCACAAATGACCGCCATCGCTATCCTTGAGTTCGGAGTCATCTTCCACTCCATCTTCATCGGCTTGACGCTCGCAGTGGCTGGTGCAGAGTTTACCACCCTGTACGTCGTCCTGGCCTTCCACCAAACATTCGAGGGACTCGCACTAGGAACACGATTAGCCAGCATAAAATGGCCATCGTCTAGTCGGTGGACACCATACGTGCTAGGCTTCTGCTATGCACTGTCGACACCGATCGCCATTGCTGTCGGCTTGGGCATACGGACTCACTTTGCGCCAGGCAGTCAGACGACACTCATCGTCAATGGTGTCTTCGACTCGATATCAGCCGGGATTTTGATCTATACTGGTCTGATCGAGCTGATGGCGCACGAGTTCATGTTTAGTGAGTATATGCAGAAAGCACCTATTGGCGAGGTCTTGTCAGCTATAGGCTGTATGTGCTTGGGTGCGGGTCTGATGGCACTACTTGGGAAGTGGGCCTGATCCCGAAGAGGTGTCCGTAGTGATTTACCTGTAAATAGTCCGATGACAATATTACAACGTCACTTGTGCCTAGGAATTTTGAGGTCTATGCTAAGCTTGACGGATCAGATGCCTGTTCTCTATTCCACTTCTGCAGCCATGATCCTATGGAAAGTCCACCGACGAGTTCATGAAGTTCTCAGCTCCGTTCCCGGATCGTGCACCAACAGATAGCCCAACGACAAGTTCAAGAAATGGTGGCTATGGAAGATGCCGTATAGATGGTATCGACGCTTCGTTCCATATAGCTAAAATGAAATTTTCCCCTTGGTCGAGAATCACATGGCTCACGAACGCCGTCGCACCCTTCACAGCTGTACTCATAGGTTCACCCGTCTCTCCGAGTGCCACAAGCTGGCAAACAAAACATGGTGCACTTCAGCTTCATACGTAGCAGATGGCGAGACGCATATCAACGGCTCGGCCGGGGGCCGCGGGCGTAATAATCGGCCAACGGTGCATATGCTGAGCAAGCCTTAGAGGGCCTTCGATGAACGTCCGTCTGCCGACTTGTACTGGACAATTCGAATGTTGGGAGTGCTCTAGCACTGTCGCCGCCAACGGCGTGGCGTGTTGCATTCTCGGTCGATTCAGCTCTGGGAGATGGCGTGCGACATGCGCTATCCTGCAGCATCCGATCCTCAATAGTGGAAACACAGCAATGGACTGTAATCACTTGGCTTCCGTCGTAGCCGCAGCTTCCTGCGGAGTCTTGGTTCGTAACTGCAGTGCATGAATGCCACCTTCAGCGGCCATTTCGTCCTTGAGCAGTGAGTACACCTCTCGATGTCTGGCGGGCTGACGCTTGCCCTCGAATGTGTCGGATGTGACATACACTCTGAGCTCGGTCAGACGTGAACGCTGTGAGCCATGCGGACGAGCGTACCTGAAGTGGGTTTCTTGGGATGTGCTGCCTGCCATGGCTTTATGATGGGAATGGAGATGCGAGTCGTTGAAGATCTCTAGAGACGCGGGCGCGAAAGCTTGAGTGACCTATGAATGTGAGATGAGGAGATAGGACGGACTCTAGAGATACCATACCTTCTGTCGAATGGCGTCTTCCATGGGTGTTTGCGAGGTGGCCATCGTGGATGCTCCACGGGCTGCAGAGCTGAATACTGATCGCAGCATTGAGGCCTGATCTCTGTTAAAGACGAACGAAGTCGGTGGCCCCGAATTGAAATACAACCGATGGCTAGGGTCGACTTGAGAAAGGAAGGAGCATTGTAAAGTGAATGCTCGGAGACGTCGCCGCACCTTCCTCCCGCTTCGTCACACGCGCATTGTATCGATAGCTTTGGACGATCGCAAGTCGCCATCAATATGTCACCAATACGCCGTTACCTTCGGATCACCAAGTACTCGGTCCTCGAGGTACGCATTTACCTCGAGAAGCCATCAGATGCACCATGGCTGCTGAGCTCCCGCGATTCGGTACTGGCTCGCGTCATCGAGGAAGTGCGGCCGCTTGTGCTCCCCAAACTGCGAGAAGAGAATGAGAATGCCAAGAAAAAGAGCAGTAAGAAGCGAAGGGGGATTAAAGATGTCGTTACCGCCGGTCAGATACACAATTACCACCAAGTGATAGAAGCACGAGGTTAATGTCTAGTAGAGGACTTCGAGGTCGCCATATTCCTGACCGAGCTCTCGACACGCCACTCGCTACTCACGAAGCACAAACACTTCTCCGACAAGCCAAAGCTCAAGTCCACCGGTAACAAGCTGACCGGCTGGTTGAACAACAGCGGGAACCCAATCAACATCGACGAAGAGGAGAAGGCACCAGAAATCCTGCTGGAGGAGGAGGAGGAGGACGTGCCTGAGCTGAGCGAGATTCCCGAAGTGCAGTCGAGCAAGCGAAAATCAAATGAGACAGGAGACGACGAGCCGCTCTTTGTGAGCTCAGACGACGAAGATTTCTTCACGACACAACGAGAGCGCACGGGTAAGCGACGGAAGCGGCATGCTGAACCGGAGGAAGAATCTGTAGAAGAACCGCTAGAGCAAGTGCAAGATGACAAGAAGAAGTTGGCGATGAACACCTCTTACGACGGCTTCAGCATCTATGGTCGCATATTGTGTTTACTGGTCAAGCGCAAAGGCAAGAAAGCTCAGCCTGCGAGCACAGTTGTGGGTGGCAGCCAGATGATGGAGCAGTGGGTGTCTACGCAAGCTGCGCAGGAAGCTGGACTCGATGACGATGATGATGGTTGAGAGGGTGATGGGTTCATGATATTACTATGGCTGAATATGGCTGGATACATTCCGAGCCTTTCGGCATACAACGTCAGATCTCACGCTCTTGTACACTTGCTTCTCATGCAAAACAGCATCGCCAACCAAGGCCAGGCCAGCGGGTAGTCTCTTGCAGCATGGACCGACTAAGGCTGCTGGACATGTTGGATGCTCTGTGACAAGACCAAGGGCTTGAGCGAGGAGTTATTTTCGATCATTGGAAGAGGTTCTCGTGGAAAATGCATGGGAACCTCGACACCGCAAACGACCGGCATAGGAGCGTTAGAAGTTAGTAAGATTTGAGAAGAAGGTAAGTCCATGAGGTCAAGAGTAAGTAGTACTGCTCAATACCGAAGACAAACTGATTACAAATCGCGAAGAATCAATTATCGGCGTGCGTAACTCGCAACAGCCTTGGGGTATATTTCATTGCTCCCCATCCATAATCCCATCCCAGCAAAAAGAGTCGCCTTGGTCAACAGCAAGAAACTCCTGTGCCCATCCCGTCCCGTGTCCACCTGACTGATGACGCAATGAAGAACTCCTGCGCGAAATGATCCTGGGTAATAATACAAATATGTCGTGTATATTATCGACGGTAAGCTGGACGTTGCGGTGTGAAGGAACCCGCTTCCGCACAATGCCGGACCAGCAAGCAGGTGATATTGGAAGCGAGCGGGTCGAAAGAAGGCGGTGTAGTGTAGCGTAGTGTAAGTCGGTGTACTATTCAATGACTCAAAGAATATATGGCGCACGTGGCGTAAGCTCGAGCAGGAAATAGAACATCGATTGGATGCCTGGTTGCGTCGCCTAGTTGCAAGAATGATGCGGCGTCGTGCTCATGCTCACGATGATAGGAGGTGAATGCTTCGTCTGTCTCGCATAGTCCCGAAAGTCAAGGTTTCGTGTTGACGAAGCAAGAGCTCGAGTTGCGAGGGGTTCGGACCAATTAGAAGGCAAGAAGCGCGGCTATGGTTTGGAAGGATGCATCAAGACTTTGTGAACCGTAAACAGCCCGAGCCGTGGTTGTGGTTATCTGAGTGTCTTCGCTCTGGTGAATCCGGGTTGCGATTGTGGTATGCCGAGAGTGATGATCCTATTCGATACTGCTGTTGTGCTATCGCAGGTGTTGAGTGAGTTTGAGCGTCGAGGTTGCCATGTCTTGTTAGAGGACGACAACGAAACTGCTCAGTGCGATGGTACGGGAGGCAGTGGTCGAGTTGGTGGCGGACCAGGGCAAGGAGGGAAGCTTGCGACAGGCATGATGTTGACTTGAGATGATTTCAAGTCGACGATGTGTATTCGATGGTAGACAGCAGAACTGAGAAGCTTTGGTCTTGATTGGTCTGTTGTGTTGCTCGTCGATGGTCGTTGATTATTAGTAGAAGTCGAGGTATTGGGTCGACAATGGTGAGATGTGGACGATGATATTTGGTGAGATCGGAGGCCACAAGTGTTGCGAAGGCAGGCGCAAGGCTTATATGAGTCGCCCGAGAAGGCCAGCATCCACGCACTTCCCGAAGATCACGCCCCCAGTCATTTCGTTCATGGTGCAAGACGAAGGCAACGCACTGTCATTCCCCCCTGCAGAGTGCACCACTTTGGACGGCGGTGTGTGCGTATCTCCATGCTAAGTTGCCAACTCACCCTAAACGCTGCCTAGGAAAGGAGCAGGATGGGCAACGCTCAAGCCTTGGCTCTCCGATTTAGCTCTGGTCCGCGGTCAGCATGACTGCACAGGGCTGACATTGACTGGGGTGCATCGAGACACATGACACCATGTCCTTTCCTCTTTCTCTTGCAAACTTGCCGTGTTACGAGAATCATTTCGAGCCTAAATGCCGAGTGTTTCAGGGCTGCAGTAGACGTAGAACTTATTGCTTATCGCGCGAAACGACGATCATGCATGTGTATGACTGTACGGGATACATACTGCATGTGTTTGCCTACGATTGATGACTTCTCCTACGTACCACGCGAACATGCGCAACGCATTACAACGTTTCAACCGGAGCTGCCGGTAGGCGTTCAAACTCTATCTCTCCTTGAACAACTGGTAGGGTTTTGTGTCAAGCCACGCGTTAACAGTCCGCGAAACCTAACGCCGAGGTGAGCAAGAGGTGGCCCGTCAGCTCGGGAGAGCCAAGGTCAGGTACGAAGCACGCGAAGGGGGGGTGTGCAACGAATACGATCGTCTCCTCGTGACTCGTGAGTAAGGTGTATGGTGTGTCCGCGGCTGCCGTTATGTTTCACCTTGTTCTGCGGAAATTTCTGTAACCATAAGGAGAGAGCCTCAAGTGGCAAATGAGGACGTGCAGGACGCCACTCTGCGCTGGTCATCTGGTCGTTGCACGCCTTCATCTCGCTTCTCTTCCAGAAGGCCGGGAGAAGGGCGCGAGCAACCGCTTCTGGCTTGACAACGGTCAGTCACCGCTCATGTCTACAATTGCTATGCTGGAAATCGCACCACTTCTAACCACTTCCCGCCATAGAGGCAAGACTTGAGCCAATCGTTGTCTGACAATGGATGACACGACTGCCGGCAAACTACCTATACGTACATCATTGCCAGAAACCAAGGCACGAAGCAAAGCCACTCGCGGACCGTTCTCAAACCACGACAGCCGCTCGGGCGAATGAAATCGTCTCATCTCATCCACGCCATCGTCCGGATGCACGCGTCAGACAGACGATCGTGCTTCGCCATGTGGCCGCCCAGGGCACTAACATAGCACACTAAAGCAATTACTCTGGTCCATCTTCCTTGTTATTACCACACCAAGAAAACACCGACGGCCTTTGGAAATAAGTGACCTCCTGATTTGGCCGACTGCGTCATCATCTCGACTACTGATGGTATTTCGTGTCGCGGGTTCCTTTCCTTTCCAGTTGATGTGCAAACGTCCCGCTGCACCTGTCAAGCTTATTATCTAGTTCCGCAGAAAACGAAATGTGGTTCTCCTCCACGCTGATCGCCAGATCATCAGGGGTCGACTCAGATGATCCAGCGGTTCGTGAAGCAACGGTGTGAAATGTACGCCGTTCTTGAAACGTGCTTATCGTGTCTCATGGTGATATAAGCTCGCGACATCGTATATTGCAACAATATCACCCAAGCGCGCAAGCAAGCGCTGATGTGAGATATTCCCGGGAACGAAGATGACAATTGAATCAGTAATCAACAAACACTGTACCTGACTCCTGCCGCGAACATGAACCCCTGCACCGAAAATAAGGTCGCCTGCATGGCGAAGAAGGCCTCATGCATGACAAGGCTCGATTGGCGATGATCAACATGCAACATCGGAACGAAAAGTCGATCTCATGGCGGCAGATGGGCATTTGCAGTTACTGCTTTTGATACGATCCCGCTTCGAGAAGTAGAAGTGGGTGATCTACTATATCGTTCATCTACATGACGCGGTCACTGAATCCGGTACGATATCGGCATTCTCGCGCAAAAACTAATCACGGTTTGATGACCCGTGTGAGCTCTGCGAGCCGGTGCGCGCGAGACATCAATGCTGACTCGTCGTGCGCCGTCGCCGAGAAAGAGGCACGGACAGCGTTCCTTACGGCCGTCCTTCTGGAAGACTTCTTCTCGGTCCTCGTTCGGGATCTTGGAGAATTATTCCGGAGACGATGCATCGCTGGCCTGTGGCTTTGATCTCACCTCATCATCGGTAGGGTAGTAATGTTATCTATATTCTGACGCGAAGGTTTTGACCATGGGCTGACAATGTAGTGCTTCATCCTGTGCTGCGTTCATCGATATGTTACTGCCGCGGTGAGACGATCCTGAACAGACCAATTTGCAGCTGTCATCTTAATGCCGGGAAGGCCTCCCATGGTGGACAGCGAATACATCTTTCGTGGGATGCGCGATTGTGGTTCATGTCCTATCTACAAGTCTTCGAGATACATCAGCTTCATGCCCTCCAGTCTCGCGCAAGAAACAGAGAACAAACTTACAGTTCATCTCTCCCGTCCTCCTGCTCCTCCTCCTCCACCACACTATCCCGCCTCGCCCGCCGCGCTGTAGTAGCCGTGGTATCGAAATGCCCCTCCAGATCCATCCACTCCGCTACAAACCCAAGCGTGATCATGGCCCAATCCTCCACACTCGGCAGATCCAAATGCTCCCCGTCATCATTTATAGTATGCCAAACAGTCGGAAAGGGACTCGTGATGATGTGTAAGATATCCACCCCCCTCGCCATGAACGGCACGTGATCGTCCTCGATGTAACCGCCTCCCCATCGACTCTCTTGATTCTTCTCCGCGTCCACGAGAAAGGGGTGTCTCGGCTTCGATTTCAGTATCTTTGCCGACCTGAGTCGTTGTTCCACCGATGCCATGAGCTGGTACGCCCAATGCGTCGTTTTAAAGTACGACGGCACAACCGGGTCCTTTGACCCGAGTAGATCCAACAGCACGAAGAGATCAATACTCGCCAACGGAGTCTGATATGTGCTCAGAGCAGGATGATACGTCTTCTCCCACTCCTCCGCCAGACTCCGTGCACCGTACAGCGAATCCGTATGCGTCCAGACTTTGAACGCTTCCTCGCCGTCTAGGAGGATGATCTGAATCCCCTTGTGCTCCTCCAACCCATCGTACCCGCCCTTTCCTAAGCCCTCGACTTCCATCGCAGCCCATTTGGCTGTGAGGGCTGCATCTAGACTCCGTGCGACGTGCATGAGCATGGCGCAGGGTGCAGCGGAGTCCGTGGCGCCTATGAAGCCCTCTGGTTCCATTTTGGAATCGTAATGCGCTACCAATGCTAACCGGCCTACATCCCCGCTTTCTGCCCAGGGCGGATCACGTGTTGCTATCAAGTTGCGAAAGGGTAGTTTTCGCCCATTCGAGGTTGGGGTCGTGGAGGTGGAGTTTTGAAAGGTCAGTTTCCATTGGGGAAGTTGGGCGGCGAAGAAGTCGACGAAGTGGAAGAGGACGGCTTCTTGACCTGGGGTTCCTGGGACTCGGGTTCGGAGGATCGGGGAGAGGAGTTTACCGGTGTGGATGTTGAAGTCGTCGTCTTTGGGGGATGGGAGGGATTGGAGGGTGGAGTCAGAGAGGGTGGTGTAGGCTATTGTTTCGCGGAGGAGAGCGGGGAGGAGCAGGAAGGTGGCGAGTTTCATTGCGGATAGCTACCTGAGTTCCTGTTCTATTACTGTGATGTATACATGTAGTAATATGGACTAAATGTGTGGTGGTCGGGAAAGCCAGCGAGCTCTCCCGGACCACCTACCCACTTCTCCAGCACTACAGACAGTATTCTTGATACAGATACATCTCAGCCATGTGATGTTCACGCCAACCCTGCTTCGTCGCAATGCACTTCCCATCGTGCGAGGAGCTGCACTGCAGCACATCATAAGACCACGAACCTTGAACTCGCAATGGCTCCGCAGAGATATCCAACAACCATGGCAAAGCACAGCAGCCAGGCAGGCTAGACAATCTCGTATGCATCTATACCTTGACCTTACAGTTGCTCACCAGCACTGAAAATGCCATAGCCTACAAGTATCCCGAGTCAATCGTCGTCTACCAAGCCCCCTATGTCTCCACCGCCTTCCACTGCCTCACCCGAGCAGCCTGTCTCGTAATCATCCCCATGGGCTGGTTCCTCGTCGCCCCAGCCTACTACCTCGACCCCGCAACCCCCAACTGGACAGTCCCAGCTCGTAAGCGCTCCCAATCTATCATACACACAAACCTCACACTCTAACCACATCTCCAGTAATCCTCGGCTCCGCCCTCCCCTTCCTCCTAATCTCCACCGCCTACAGCCCCACCACCCTGCAAATAACCCTGCACCTCCCCAACTCCGCCCGGCGCTCCCGCTCCCACCTCCTCAGCTTCGCCGCTTCCGCTCTACCACCCAACACCCGCCTGACCATGAAATTCATCCGCTTCGCCCCCTGGCCCAAAACCTGGACATACTACTACTCCGACCTCCGCCGGCTGAAATTCGTGAAGTGGCCCCTGAGTAATCTGGAGCATGTGCCGTATGGACGGGAGGAGGCGTGGGGCAAAGGGTGGAGGGGTTGGGCGGCGAGGACGTGGTTTGGACGGTATTGGGTTAATATGGGGAGTGCGACGAGAGATCGAAGTCAGGTTCCCGGGGTGTGGGATGCGGTTTGGAAGGGGTTGCCGTATGCTCATGCTGAGGCGGATATGGGTAGAGGTGGTGATGGGGGGGACGTGGGTGGGGAGAGGAAGGCGGGGGGGTTGAGGAATCGTGACGCGGGTGGGACGCGGCAGCAAGTGGTACCTGGGAGATCACTGAAGGGTGCGAGGCCGATCAGATCAGCTCAGAAGCGGCCTTGATGGTCTGTTCTGCGGCTGTATGATGGAGAGAGTGAAGGCTTGCCGTACCAAGGCTGGAGTTAGCCATGCGCGCCCTAACACTCAAGGTAGAGTGAGTGATTTCTCAAAGTGTACCTCGAGATCTTCAAAGTACTGGAGTAACAGATAGACACTCCCAAGATCGACCGGCTTGACTCGTCGCAAAATGTTTCAAAGCAATTTTTCCATCGGCCGATGTCAACACACCAGCCCAACTACAAGTACAATATCATACATGGCATCCTCGATTAGAGAGACGCCAGCCCGGCTGTTGCAAATAAGCCAAGCCAAGCCATGCCCAGAGTCCCGCCGTCCATCAGCATTGCAATATCCTATGACACCAGTAATGCGACCAGGGCGGACTCCAGAGCTTTCGCAGAAGAAACCAACCAACACCATGCTAAACCACAATCACAATCTATCACCCCAACCACTCACTCCCGCATCCTTGCCCATCCTTCTCATGCACTTCGTTCATATATCATAGCCCAGCCCACGCTTGCTGACCCAGCCCTTCAACAAAACCCCCTCCGAATTCCTTGAATCATACCCAGCACCCACTTTACACCTTCCACTGTTCTCTCCATCACACCAATACCGCCATCTTCTGCTCGATTTGCTTCATCTCAGTCGCGTCCTAGCGATCAACGACAATAGCGCCCGGATGTGGGTACCTCGCCGCCATGTTATGCCCATTCTGCTTGCTCAGCTCACCAATGCTAGTGGCGTTGCTGCTAGCAGCGTTGGACATGGTTTTGTTGACTGCCGTGAAGCCGCCCGTCTGCATTGGTGCCGAGACTGGTGGCGTGGCAAACTCCTTCTTGATCTCCGTGCTCGAAGCCTTGCGCTTCTTCTTATTCGTGTCATTTGTATCGACCATCTCGACATCGCCGCCATTGATCTTCGTGCCCGCAGGCTGAACAGCCGGAGCCTTTTTGGTCGCAGCTGTCGCATTGTTCTCAATCGAAGCCACCACGGAAGGTACGGCTGTCCCATTCGTCGTCTTACTAGGCGTGGTCTGAGCAGAAGGCGCAGGCATGGGCCCTTTGTTGGGGATAGCAGGACCTCGTGGACTAGCTTGAGGGAAAGCATTTGGGCCCCAAACCTGCATCTGTTGCTCGTTACTGGGAGCGAAGGAGAACTTCATCTGTGGGCCGCGCTGTGGCTTGTAGCCGGCTTGGTACATCACGACATGCTCCATGTGGTTCTTCTGCTCGTCGCTGTTGGGCATGGCCGGGCTTTGTGGCTGTGGTTGAGGTAGACCATTCGGAGCTGGCATACTGCTGTTTGGTGTGCTTGGCTTCCCAGTCAGCGGCTCGTTGACACCATTCTGCGGTGGAGCTGAGGCGGTCGCGAAGCCAGAGGGCGTGTTTGCCGGCTGTGAATCGACAGGCATCGGGTTGAGGTGATGTTGGCTCAAGTATGGCTGCTGCTGAGCGTGCGCCATGCTACGACGACGCTCCAGCTCCATTTCATGAGCTTGACGCATCTGAGCCTCATTAAGTGGCTGAGTGTGGTTGGGCGGCAGACCCATCTGCTGGAGAACCTGCTGGTGAGCAAGGTGCTGCTGGCGTGCCATCTCTTCCTGCGCCTTAGCTTGCGACCCCTTCCACTTCTCTACACGCATCTTGTTGGCAGCGATCTGCACACCATACGACACACATTGCCAGGTCGGCTCATTCTTCGAACCTTGATTGATGAGGCGGTCAATCTGCATATAGAGGTTACGCAGAGCACGTGTAAGCTCCTGAGGCAAGACTGCATTGACTTGCAGACAACCCGAGCTGATGACTTCGCGGAAGCACTCCACAGCTTTGCCCTCAGGCGTGGTCTCTGCGTGTACAACGACGGGCTGCTGAGCGAGCTGCTGCTGCATGCGCTCTTCCTCTTCCGAGAGTCGTTTGGTGCGACCAGGTCCACGCTTGTTCGGATTGAAGAACTGCTGCAACATCACATTATACTCGTGGTCTCTCTTCGCAACATAGTATTGGTTGAGCCTGGCCTGAGCCCAAGACTTGAGAGCGTTCTGGATGAACTGGATGCCGTAGGTGAGCGGACCGTCTGAGAGCCCGGGGTTCTTCAGGGTGTAGCTGAGGTTTGGCAATTGCTGCTTGGCTTCAACCTCGTTCTTCTTCGTGACTTCCTTAGCCGCCGCGTCATCATCGCTGCTGCTCTCACCGCCGTCCTCAAACATGCCGAGGAAGCTCTCAATAGCAGCGTCATCCTTCTTAGGGACTTCTTCGACGGCGAGGGTGTCTGCTCGAAGGTCAGTGTGGTTCAGAACGAATGACAACTCGTATGACTTACGAATTTGAGACTGAAGCGGGCTCTGTGGGGGTGGGGTGCCAGCGAATGCCGCGAGTGACGCTGACAATGCCTCGAGTCTCGTGATCATCTCAGCAACAGTCTTCGGGTTGTTCGGATCGCATGGCGTGTTGACGATGTCGAAGCTGACTAAGAGGACCGTTGGGACGGGAGGCGGTGGCGGAGGTTGCTGCATCCTCGCGGAATTGTTGCGGCGGGACTGCTGAGACGGATTCCGACGCTGCTGAGGTGCGTGCTGCTGAGGATGGTGTGCTCCGTGTTGAGATTGGTTTTGGTAGAAAGCCTGAGGGTGCTGCTGTGAGATCGCAGGAGCTTTGGAGGATGGACCAGCATCGGCCTTGGACTTGTCATCACCATCATCACCTGTAACGTAGTACGACATGAAGTCACCATATTCAGGATTGGCAGGAGTTGGTTGCTTGACTTGTTTCTGCTGATACATTGACCTCGGTGGCGGAGGGGGCGAGTCGAGCTCAGACAGATCGGAGGAGTCTGAATGGATACGAAGGCTCTCATCATCGAGGACCATGTTCTCATCGTACCTGAACCTCAGTGGCCTAGGCTCGCGCTGCGGGCGTGACACAGTGATCGACTCACTCGGACCATCCACGATCATGGGCACGCTCGGTGTGCTTCCAGGTGTGCCGGCAGGAGTCTGCGATGGGTCGCGCACTGTCAGCTTCAGCTTCGGCTTCTTGGCTGGCGGCTCCATGGATGGCGAGTGCGCCGGCGATGCTGAGTTCGATGGTGCCGCCAGATGCAAAGTACCTGCCGGTGCTACCTGCGGTGCTGGCGTGGGAAGTAGCTGAGAGTGTTTTCCCTTCTTACCGCCGGCAGCGGTCATACCACGCTGAGTAGCGATCGTGTACTTGCGGATCTTGGCACTCGAGATCCTCGACGTGAAGTGGAAGACGGAAACACCGTCCTTGTAGTCCGACATGATGAACAATCAGAAAGCTGCAGGCAGCCGTGACGTTGAGTCAAGGTGGGCGTGCGGACCCGTTTATTGCACGTGAGCGGTCTTGGCTCTGGAAGTTGGAGCACCAAAACAAAAGGGCGGACGCGCCACCGGTAACGAGCGTGTGCCTGCCCAAATAGTGTTAGTGTTGTTTTCGCAACGATTTGCGAACGACGACGTGATGGCAGGCAGCGGCGGCGGTCCAGGTGGTGATGTTGTGGATGAGGAGCGTGAGTGTGTGAAAGACTGAAAGAAGGCAGCAGTAAAAGTTTGGCTAACGTCCAAGCATCGACCAAAACGGCAGGAGCCATTTTAACACGTGCACGGAGCGGATTATCTTGCAAGGAGCCAGCCGAGTTCTGCGACGACTCGTTCTTTCGTCCCTGTGAAGATGGAGAGAACCTCATAGGACCAAGTGCTGCTCTTCTGATTGACATTGCAGACTCGCGGATCATCGATGCATATATGGAGGTAACGATGGCAAGGATTCGAAAGCACAGACATTTGGAGGCAGCTTCACGTGACCAACACGTCCGACCGGAAGAGAAGGTCTCGAGGATCGATCACTGATTACAGCATGGTCTGAAGGTCACCGAGAAGTTCCCGATACTAGATGACACCGAGGTTATGATTATGTTATATATTGTCAGGTACATAATCTTCACTTCACTCTGGTGGGTCGCTCTGTTCATATACGCGCTAGTTAATGAGCCTCAGGCATCAACACTTTCAACACGTAGCTCGGAAGCTGTATATTGCAGATGAAATATCATAAGCTGCAATACACAACCTCGTCGAATATGCGTGCCTTCTCTACCATTGCGCTCACTGCGCTATCCTTCACCTCAGCTTGCGTAGCTGCGAGTTGGACTTTCGAAGATGCTACCCTGACCGTACAAGCAAAAGGTGCAGGCGTGGGTGCTGGAGTGAAAGAGAAGTATGGGCCGCCATGTGCCATTGGAAATGATTCTTGCTGACCAACAACACAGACTGTCTCCAGGGTCGCCTCTTACATCGTCTTCGATCAGCCTTGGGGCTACAGACTCCCTCAAGATCGTCCTCACGACGACCGAGGGCAAGACAGCAAAGCGAGCACATCAGGCATTCCTGACCCTCCATGAGCCAATGACAGGTTTAGAGGAATCCTTCCCCTTCAACTTGAAAGAGAATGGCAAGGGTAAAGTGGAAGTCGTACGTCTACAACCAGAGCCTAACATCGAAATCATACAACTGACACGAATCCCACAGACCCAAAAAGATCTCCCGTACCAATTCGTCTCCTCCTCGAAACCTCTCAAAGCCTCCCTGATCGTCGCCTCCTTCGGCTCATCCACACCTTACAACTCCCACGCCTTCGACCTGACCGTGACGCCGGACCCAGCAAACCCAGCTCCCGCTCCTTCCCCAGCTGAACGCTACACAAGCAAAGAAGAAATCCACCACCAGTTCAAACCCGACCCACAATCAGGCCCCAGAATCATCAGCCTCTTCTTCACCCTCGCCGTCCTAGCTACCGTGCCCGTCTTACTCGGAGTTTGGCTCTTCCTCGGAGCGAACGTGGATCATTTCGGGAAAGCATTTGGAGCGAGCCCGATTTCACATGGGGTGTTCTTGGGGAGCATCGTTGCTATGGAGGCGGTATTCTTCATGTACTACACTGTTTGGAATCTCTTCCAAACCCTGCCTGTGGCGGCTGTGGTTGGGGTGGTAGCCTACATTAGTGGTAGTAGGGCTTTGACTGAGGTGCAGGATAGAAGGTTGGCGGGTGAGAGGTGAGAGAGGGGTTCATAGGTATAGATATTGAGCTATCCGGAGATATAGAAAGTGAAACATTTGAGATGTTGAATCTCGGCCAGGTATCAAGCCATCTTCTCAGAATGAGTGACTCCGGTCAGTGGTTTCGCCAGCGCTGCATCTGGTTGACCGTGGAGATTATCGTTGAGCTTTGTATCCTCCGGTCAAGGCGATATACCTGACCAAGAAGTCAGCCGCTATGCACTAGCCGGACACTTAGCGTATCGCGGCCAGCTCGAGCGGATCCTCATACCATTCCCTCAATACGCACACGTGTGCGCGTGGCATTCCAGATGAACCCTCACATCGACCCCGAGACGTTTGGGAGCAAGCGTAGATATTCCTCCAGAGGATTGTGGGGCGTGCCTGAAGGGCAGGTCTATGACCAATGGGCACGCCCAGCAATCTTAAAGAGGACGATACCCACGTTTGCGCACGAACGTCCAGGGGTCGATGTCAAGGGTGCGTCTGGAGTATCACTCATATGCGTGTGCATGTTGAGTGCGTTGGCGGATCCTATACGAAGCACGATGATTAGTCTTGGTTGGGATAGGAGATACGTTACCTGTTATGTCTTAGCCTTCACTGCCCGAGACCAGCCCGAATGCGGTCATAGCATCTTTCACTGAGTCCACAGACTTGCCACTATCAAGGTAGATGGCGCCCAGGATGGCTTCAACCGCTGTAGCTAGCATGCCGTTGCTGACCGCGCCCATATGGCCAGGGTTGGTAATGATGCAAGATGCTAGTCCGACATTATGGGCTGCGGCTGCCAGACTGGCGTTACTACCGACAGTAGACACGATCGAGTTTCCGGTACCTGCATAGTAGGATCATTGGCTCAGTCGCTCATCTGGGCTGACAAGACAGGGAGACTTACCTTTCGGAGTGCCGGTAGGATACCAGTCGTCCAACAACACATGCTTGAGAACCACATCGCCCAGTAAGGCCAGACGCTGGTTGGATTGCGGCTTTCGCATGCCTGTGGTGTCAATCGCCTCCAGAAGGCGATCGTCGTTGACGAAGTGGTAATCCATGATCCTGGCGAGGAGGGCCTTTGCTTCTGCGAGCTTAGCCGTCATAGTCGGATGTTGGAGGTTGGAGTGGCGGACAAGATCGATGGTGCGTTTCCTGGTAGGGAGTCGGGGGTGCAGTAGAGGCTAGATGAGATAAGGGAAGTACATGGCCAAGGTGGTGGGGCTGGGAGCTCGACTACAAACCTGAGGCAGAAGCTGCTCAGAATCGTGGTATGCGATGAGCTTTATGGTACCTGCCATTGAATCTGTCACATGCCACCGATGTATGTAGCGAGAAGATGCCAGCCATCGCCATGGCAGCGAGCACAATACTGGACGGATTCAAAGCCTTCACATCCCCCCGAGCCACGCGCATATCGATCTCTCGGCCCATCTGAGCGCAAACCATTGAGCGCATCCTCGCGCAAATCACTGACTCCATCCGAGCCATGGGAGGCACCAGCACCCAAACAACGAACACTGATACAGCGCATGCTCGGTCTCGCAAAGCCGCCGCCCCCACCCATCGTCAATGAGTCAAAGGATATAGCGCGAGGCTTTGAGGCAACGCAACGTGCAGTACAGACAGGAATCCTAGATCCACGATACCGACCGGCTGCATGGCAGATCACCAAGATTCTATGCACCTTACCGGTGGTGATTGTGCTGGGCTATCATCTGGTTGGGCGTGGGCTTGGCTGGGAGGAGCAGAAAAAGCATGTTCACAAGATGCCGGGGGAGACGAGGAGAGTGACTTGAGCATCGCAGATCCCTGGCAGCATGCAACCAAGTTGACAATGATATGATGAAAGACGAGTATGTTGCAGGATTATTGTGTTGAGACCAGCACTGCCTACGCCAAGCTAAGACGCTGTCAAAAGACCAAGAGGAATCAAAGCATGCACTTCTACCAAGCCGCATGACCACCATCTATCCTGAGGTCTGCACCAGTCATGAACGAACTGGCGTCGCTGATCAGGAACACTCCTGCACCTCTGTACTCCTCCGGCTTGCTGAGCTTGCCCAACATATTCTGAGTGGGCCAGTCCCGCCTTCGCTCTGGATACTGCTCGAACAGAGCCTCCACCATAGCCGTTACGATATAACCAGGGGAGATGGTATTGACACGAATGCCGTGTGATCCCCACTCTGCAGCGAGATTGCGGGCAAGCTGGATCAAAGCGGCTTTGGAAGCGTTGTATGCGGAGCAGATGAGGCCCTGCGCAGAAACATTAGCATGACGGACAGAGATCTGAAAGAAATAGCTTTCTCGCACTCACCCTATTAGCAACAGTCCCACTCATCGAAGCAATAAATGCAATGCTCCCACCATTCCCATGCTTGATCATCTCCCTCGCACACGCCTGCGCAGTCATCATAACACCAGTGACGTTAACCTACCATGCAAAGTCAGCTTCCACAATTCCAACCACTTCACCCACTCGGGTACACACGACTCACCTCAAACATCATATTAGCATCCTCCTGCTTGTAATCCAACGCAGCCGTCTCCTGCTGAATCCCCGCCGCCGCAATCAATCCATCCAACTTTCCATGCACCTGACTGATACTCTGCACGACCTCATTCAGCTGCGGCACATTCCTCACATCAATCTGTCGATAATGCAATGTCGTGCCCAATTCCTCCGCCGCCCTCTTCTGCACTCGCCAGAAATCCGGCGATGGTTCAGGAAGGCGGTCTAAGGCATACACGGTCGCGCCGGCTTCGAGCAGGGCTTCGGCTTGCACTAGGCCGAGGCCTCGTGCAGCGCCCGTTACGAGGACGACTTTGTCGTTGAGATTGAATTCGGGGAGGCGTTTGGTTGTTCCTAAGTAGGAGGCTGCGGCGTAGTTGTCTTTGAGGGAGGTGGACTCTTCTTTTGGTGGAGAGGGAGGGCCGCGGTCTGGTACCGGGGCGTTACCTTGGGGTGGGTTGTGGAGATCGTGCTTCTGGCGACTCTGTAATATCGATGTTGTGCGGGCTGTGAAGACTGAGGTGCGTAGAGCACGAGGCACCGTTCTTGATAATAGTGAAGCCATTGGGAATGCTTCAAGCAGGAAAATCAGTTCTCCAGCAAAATCTTTCGTTGGCGGGTCGTGATGATCTCCAAGGTAGTCTATATCCTGTGTGGTGTCCTTTGCGGCTACAATCGCGTTCACTACACCATCGAGACAGAGCAAGAGGGCAAGCGATAGTTTTGTACGGACGAACAAACCTTTTCAACTATTCCTTGCAGAGCCGCCGAAAGCTCCACGATGACAGCCATGAGCTCACCAGCTATCGCCGCCGGCTCGTCGCGGTGCTCCGGCAAGCCACAAAGACCATTTGGGCAACTCGGGCGGCGGTTTGGAGCACGTTCCTGCAGGTCTGAGGTGGAGAGTTTATGGCAGGTTGGTGGGGATAGCAGCTGACTTTGTCTGCGAGATGGCCGGCAGTCTGATTGCGGTCATCCGATCGGCGTCAAGGCGGAGATCAAGAGGGATATGTTGACGCGAGGACACGCGAGAACATGTGACTTTCGGGTTGTGCCATTGTTCTAACGTTGACGTTCTGGTTCTCCTTATTGTTCTCATCCCACTTGGGTACTTACATATTGGACTGCGATCTACGAAGAAGACGGCCGGCGTCTGGCAAAGAGGTTACATATACGACACCGGACCACGCAGCAGCTTCGCCACGGAACCAGTAGATTCAGGAGAGACGAGGACTTCTCGAAAAGCAATCTCTCTGAACGCTACGAACACATGCAAACCGCCTGACTAGGCCAGAGTGCAGCTCACTGCCCCATCACACCTCGAGGCTGAGCGGAGGACCACATCAGCAATGCCTACTGCTGCTATTCGAAATACTGGCGCCGAAGCAGTACCAAGGACCGCGCGATTCCGGTGAAGTTACTTTGACGACGTTCTAATGGCAGGTGTATCGAAAGTCACCAGGTACTCTCGTTTGCAAATTGCTCAGTAGAGCACGATAGGCGACCCTAAGAGCACTTGTTGCCTTGCCAGCACCAGATACCTGCGATGGAAGATCATTTCTACGGACCCCGTGCGTGTCAGTGGCGTGAATGTACTGCAATCCAGACAATTCCGCTCCAGCTCTTCCCTTCGTTAGTGGGCTACTGGCCGAGACTTATTCTCTGCAGTGCCACCTGGTATGGCATAAGATCAGGTGTGCCACAGCACTGTGGCCGGGCTACGTCTTGTAGTGCCATGCTCTACGGTCGCAACCATCGGATTAATCCACAACGAACAGTGTGATTGGCAACACATCCATCGTCACACTGCGGCGAGAGACAAATGCTGTTTGCTTTTCCTTCGCGGCCATAATCAAGTCCCTCACATGGACTGTGATGCCAGAAGTAGCCACTACCAGCACTATTCCTCCAGTCCTGCAGGTGAAAGATGAATATCGCGGCATTGGTCCATCTATCAGCGAGACGTATCCGGGTGATCCTACTGCTGGTGGGGCACTCGAACGTGACTAACGGACCACAAAGCTATCCGGGTCGCAAGTACAACGATTGCTGGCATTAATTGATGCTGGCTCGACATGATAATATGCCTGACCTCGCAACGGGTTCCATCTTTGAAGAAGTCTCGTAAAGTGGGTAGCGAGAAGCTGGGTAAGCCACTGCGAGAGCTATGAAGCAGCAACGTACTCTATGGACTACGATGTGTGGTCCTCGGGTCGTGATTAGCTCGCGCAGGGAGATGCGACGGAGTGCAGTGGGGTCCTCGCAGTCCTGCGTGAGCATTTCAAGCACTTCCAGGATGCGGATCAGCGGCACACTCGGTGCATGGGCTGCATGGCTGCTATTGTTCAGGGCCAGGCACTTTCAGTCTGTCTTGAAGCTATTAGTATTTGTGTTCTCGACGTGCCGCACCCGGGCATCCCATCTTCGAACCTCTTCTTGCACATCGCAGTGAGCCACAAGGTCACTTTGTACTCGAGAGTGGTTTCAATAGCAGTGCCGATAACCGTGAGCGCTTCCTTAAGTGGAGACGTAGACAATACTCTCTAGCTGTCTAATGCAAGTAGCCGACTTTAGCCTATTAAGCGGATCGCTGTCTCATTCGCTCTGACCGGCAACGCCTCAAAGCGCAACACTTGTCAGCCAACAGGCTGAATGCGCTCCCCGCCGACCACATGCACACTCCGTATGGCCCCATGTTCGCTACTCTTCTCATGGGCGCGCTGCTCCACAGTAATGTGGTCCAGGTCTGGTACTGGCTCGTCTGGGGAGCTGTGGGTTCTGTCTCGCCAACCAGAGTAGTGGACCAGCAACCCCCCCTCCCGTCTGGTCACATCACGAGGTAGCGAGCTTGACTACATCGAGGTCGATTGTCGAGCGAGATCTCCTTTAGCCGGTACACACGCCTGCAATTCGAGACACTCACTCCGAACGACCAATACAAGGCCTTTGTGCAGGCAGCGGTGGCCGGGACCGCGCTACATGGGTGCATGGATCATATACGGGTAAGCCTTGGTATGCAGATGCTCATATATCCCATGCTCTCCTTGGCCCTCTTAACTTGAACTCTTGCCGTACTCCCTCACACACACCATACATCATTGTCGCTGGAACAGGTCTTCCACAATGGCGCCCGTTGGTACAGCATCGAACTTCGACAATGCAGCCCTGCAAGCCCGCCAGAGGCTTCAGGGAGCCGCTGGTCCCATGGCCCTCGTCAGGAACGCAAAGGTCTTCGGTATCGCGTGTTTCGCCTGTCTCGGTGGTCTGCTTTATGGTTACAATCAGGGCGTCTTCTCTGGCGTGCTCGCCATGAAGAACTTCAACAAGCGTGAGTCCCGAATTCCCTGCTAGATGAGAAGACCTCACGGACTGACTCTTCCTAGACATGGGTGTATACACCTCTGACCAGACCAAGAAGGGTTGGCTCACCTCCATCTTCGAACTCGGCGCATGGCTCGGTACATTGTACTCTGGTTTCCTCGCTGAGATCCTGTCCCGCAAGTACGCTATTCTAATCAACACTGGTATCTTCATCATCGGCGTCGTCATTCAGACTACTGGTGTGACCTCTGCTGGTGCCAGCTCCATTCTTGGTGGTCGCTTCATTACCGGTACGAGTTGGAACGCACACTGTGAGAAGAGGGACAGCAACTAACACGTAGCAGGTATGGGTGTCGGTAGCTTGTCCATGATTGTCCCTATGTACAACGCAGAGTGTGCCCCTCCAGAGGTCCGCGGTGGTCTAGTCGGCCTCCAGCAGCTCGCCATCACCACCGGAATCATGATTGCTTTCTGGATCGACTACGGCACGAATTTCATCGGCGGCACCGGTGACAGCCAGTCTGAGGCTGCTTGGCTCGTACCCCTCTGCCTCCAGCTCGCTCCAGCTCTCATTCTTGGTATCGGCATACTCTTCAGTAAGCTCGAAGCCTGATCCAAGTCTATGTAGAGACAACGCTGACGCTGCTCACAGTGCCCTTCTCGCCAAGATGGCTAGTTCACCACGGTCGCGAGGCGGAGGCTCGCAAGACTCTTGCATCACTCCGTGGCCTGTCCTCTGACCACGAACTTATCGAGCTGGAGTACATGGAAATCAGAGCTCAGTCCATGTTCGAGAAGCGTACTGTCGCCGAGCATTTCCCGCATCTGGCTGACGGCTCCGCCATGTCGACCATCAAGCTCCAGTTCGTCGCCGTCGCCTCGCTTTTCAAGAGCAAGCCTATGCTCCGCCGTGTTGCTCTCGCTACCATTACCATGTTCTTTCAACAGTGGACCGGTATCAACGCCATTCTGTACTACGCACCACAGATCTTCGGTGGCCTCGGTTTGAGCTCCACCTCGACATCCCTCTTAGCCACTGGCGTGGTCGGCATTGTCATGTGGCTCGCCACTTTCCCTGCTGTAGCTTACGTCGACAAGTTGGGCCGCAAGCCAATTTTGATCTCTGGTGCCATCGGTATGGGTGCCTGCCATTTGATCGTTGCCGGTATCATGGGCTCCTTCCAATATGACTGGCCTCACCACGTTGGCGCTGGATGGGCTGCGATCGTGATGGTCTGGCTATTCGTCGTCTTCTTCGGTTACTCCTGGGGTCCATGTGCCTGGATCGTCATTGCTGAGATCTGGCCCATCTCTCAGCGCCCATACGGTATCGCTCTTGGCGCCTCCAGCAACTGGATGAACAAGTAAGCTCATTCCATTAAGCATCAAATATAAGTTACGCTAACAATGTCTAGCTTCATTGTCGGCCAGGTCACTCCAGACATGTTTACAGGTATCACTTACGGTACCTTCATCCTGTTCGGTATCCTTATCATGATGGGCGCTGCCTTCATATTCTTCTTCTTCGTAAGTCACAATTTGCCTCATTGGTTTGAATAACGCTGACGATCCATCAGCCCGAGACTAAGGGACTCTCTCTTGAAGAAATGGACATCCTCTTCGGCTCTGTCGGCGTGGCAGCTGCTGATGCCGAGCGTATGCGTGAGATCAACCGTGAGGTCGGTCTTGACAACGCCGTTCGTAACGCCAGCGTCGACCACACTAGTGGACTCGAGAAGCCGGTTCTTGACGAGAAGATTGCACACACCGACAGTGACTAGATGTGGTCGTTGGATCAGCAATGTCAAATACACTATCCTTTGAAGGATACAAGGCCACAATGATACTTCGCAGATATTTTTGTATCCGACATCATGAATCGTCCACCTTCTGCTCTACATTAAACACGCTAGTGTAAATCTTGCTTGAGGTATTGTCCACTCACTGGTCTGTCTATCGTGGTCTCTTTCGGTCTGAGCATATTTGCGATATTTGATGGACCGTGCTCCAAATACATGCTCAATCACACGCAATAGGAAGAAGTACCTACATCTCGACGGAATCGTTACCGAGCCACTACAGAACAGTCACACAGTTGGTATCAACTGGTAACAAGGGCAATAACAGATACCATCACGAGACTACCACTACGGTCTCGAAATATCACCCTCGACCGGCCTGCAGACGACCGTCGCTATCATCCGATTGTCAGCACCTCATCTTACCATCGACGCTCGAATAATTACAGCAGAATAGACAAAACGACATGTGCAACGGCACATCGTCTCGTAAGACCCAGGGAGGGACTATCGCAGTGTTGACTTCCCGGCAATCTGCGCATAGACCCACCTTTGGACGCCAGCTATCGTTGCATCTCGTTGACGACGCATCTTCTAAGCTCACCCAGATATCCTTCGAGGGACTAGAACACAGCCTAAATAATGCGGAAGTCATCATCCAGTCAGTCTGTACTCACCGAAAGTCCGTGGTGCAGTATAGAAGCCAATGTGCTGCATCGACTTTCCATCCCTTCACAACCAGCCAATGAAGCTTTCTTCTCGTTACATGAGCAGCTGAGCCTTGTAGCTGGTGACGACGGTGTCATAGGACGACGAGTCTCACTCATAAATGGTGGTCTGCTTATCGGTGAAGGTATAATGGGCTGGAACTAGAAGGCACTCGAGTGGGATGCTAGGAAGAACATTAGCGTATGACAAAGCGCTACAGGCACGGACGGCGGATTCGTTGAGAACACTGCTTACTCCGCGACGCCATGTGTCAAACCGCAAGCAATCTGAGTGTTGACCTGATAGTGATGTGCGACCACGCCCTGACCGCATCCCTGCCATCGACCCTCTGACGGTAGACATGTCAACTACAAGATTAGTCCATCACTCCTGCGGCTCAGTTCTCATTCAGCTCGATGAGCCACTCCTGCAGACTTATGCAGCATTGCTGCTCGTAGTGCTCCTTCAGCATAGATTTCAGAGCCCGGCCGTTACTCTAGATAGCAGGTCACGCTGCTAGTACACTGCGTGTCAACAAGGTTGCGGTATGATGAAAAGTGTGAAATACCATAGCAAATCATGGCTCATCTGATAACGTGTCAATAGCATGTTACAATAGTAATCGCCGCAGTAAATGCATGGATCATTCAGACCCTCTTCACCTCCCCATACAACTCTAGTTGCTTCTCCACCCACGCCTTTCTTCCTTCCTTTGGCTCCTTTACGGCAGGTAGGAAATTGCCATCCTCGCCTTTAGCCCAGTACTTGAGATAGTCACCCCTCCTCATTTTCGCCATCTTGAACTCTTCGTTGTTCGATTGTTTAATCTGTACAGAGTTGGACAGTCTACGAAGAAAGCCTCGCTTCTCCTCCGGTGCTACAAGATTTTCTTTCGGGGTTTCGTAGTCAGAGAGTTTGATTGGGATCTGAACCACGCTGTCATCGGTATAGCCTTGCGGGAGCATGTTGGCGCCGATTGATGTAAAGCCAGCACCGCCATCGCCGAGCATGACGTTGGTCAGTGTGTCGTGATTGTACTCCAGCGGCCGGCCGGTCAAGGTCGTGAGGCCTTTTGGGTTGGGGACTTGAGGGGATATCATTGTGCTTGAATTGTGCTATGAGGATGTTCTTAGCAATCAGTCTGTACAAGTCGATCTGCGACTCTATATCTCCTATCGATCCAACGGAGTTCTAACGCTAGTCATAAGGCTATGTCAACGACCGCAGGACTGATCCTTCATGGCTGCGGCACAAAAAAAGTATCAGGTGACCTCGAGCTGTTCGGCTTGAACGGCATTGATCGTGGCACGGGTACAAAGCGGAAGAGCAGTGCGCAAAGGGGGGAACGAGGTTATGTGCAGGATATCTCGCGTATTCGCTCGCATGCCTTACTAAGCCTGCTTCACAAGTGACAAGCAGATCAACTCCCAGTTCCAGACACTATGTAACAACAGCATCTGTACCAATCTAGGCCATCGACTTTAGCAGTCGCTCCTACATAATGATATGTATACTACAAAAAATCGTCTAACAATAACAACCACGCGATATGTCCGAGAAATTCCGTCGCAATGGTCTACTCTCCTCTTGCGAGCCGTGTCGAAAGTCGAAACTCGGGTGTGACCATGTCAGACCTCAGTGCGGTCGCTGTGTGCGACGACGCTTGCGAGCGGACCAGTGCCAATACCACTCGGCTCCGATGTCGAGAATCAAGTCTCCGCCACCAAGCTTCCAGACAGTGTAGGCGAGCATGCTCAAGCCGTCCCATGATTACCTACTGACCACATGCATGCGCTCCTCACAGCGTGAACGACGCAAACAACTCACAGGCGGCTGCCGGCAGTTCCGCCGATATCTTCTCCCAACCAGCTACCGAAGAAGCAGACCGCGCCACTAGCTTGATAGGTATGAACGAACTTCACCGCCAAACGCTTGCTGCGAATGTGCCAACACAGCGATATGGTCGAATGTACGCCTCGCTGGATCACAAAGGCGTAGTCGCCCCCGGGTTAGGTGCTGGGCCAGACGCCCACCTTGTTGCGAAGGGAGTGACGGTTCTTGAGACTCTTCTGGGCCTAACCAGTGATCTGAATGAATCTTTTGTGCTCTGGAGCTCCACATGGGACGAGCAGACGAGTCTGGGTCCAATAGAGAAGGCGGCGTGGCAAGCGACACATGCCATGCTCTCTGACTTACGACACGCAGACTCACCGGTGGAATTGCGTGAGAGATCTCGAATCTTAACCGAACGTAGCGCTTATCGTGTCAGTTATCCGCGCTCCGCTGAAGATAGGGCCCTCTGTCGGGCGTTCGTAGGCGAGTCGCTGCGCTGGGAGCTCTTAGGAATGTACTGCTCCCGCATTGGACTGTATTTTGGCTACCAGGAGTCTGCGACCCCAAGCTCAGGCGCCGGAGGAAACGCCAACAGAGAGCCGAAGTCGATGCTACGTCAGGCATTCTTTGCTTGCACGGAGTGTGCATCCTTGTGTGCATCCTTAGGTCAAGTCAACGACCTCACCATTTTCCACCTGTGCACGGCGATCAGTCTTGCAACCTGGTGCTTTGGTGATGATTCTTATCACGCTTGGCAGCTAATAGGGGATGTGTCCTCGGTCGTGTACTCACTCAAATTCAACAAGCCTAGCGTCATTGGTGAGGGTGTGCCATTGTACCTGTCGGAGCTTCGCAAGAGAGCTTTGGGGCAAATCCATGAGCATGACAAGCTCACGGCCACTTTCGTTGGTCGACCTCCGAGACTCACTCGACGGTACTGCACGATGCAAATGCCCTTTGATCTGGCCAACGAAGTTATCGAAGGATCTACGGAATGCCTGGAGATGGCTGTTGCCATGCTAGGTGAGGATGGGTGGGATAAGTCGAGGCTCATCATGCCTGCAACTCGCCAACGAGTGCTCATGATACTCTGCCCACTGCGAGAAGAGGTCTTGGAACTATCTCTGGGTTCGTCAGTGGCAGACTGGGTACCACGTGCGCAGTAAGTATTCCATCGTTCTACTCTATGCAACCTACCAACACGATATGCAGGTCGATAATGGCAAGGCTCGAGCTCGCATGGCAATCCATCCCCCATGCAAGTGATCAAACACCCGACTGGAGCAATGAACCTTTTTTGAGCTCGATGCTACGCCTGTTCGCCCGACTCGAATACCTCTATACCAAGTTCCTCCTGCACAAGCTGCTCGTGCGTCACGACCAGGGACACCACAGTGCTTTTCTTTGGGTGGCGAACGAAATACTCTCATTAGTTCTATCGACATTCAAGCAGAGAGTCATGGTCCTCGCACACAGACTGGACATGGAATGGACGGTAGGTTTTGATATCGAAAAATGGGGCACACGTAGCGCTAATACTGATAGATGGTTTTCTATGCGATGCCTTGCGCAAGTGTACTCCTTTGGGAGTTAGTGAACCGCCCGCTCTCTTCGGTCGGAGCTTCACTTCCCAATCGTGCTGCAGTGATCCGAGATATCACTACTCTGATAACTTGTTGCGACTGGTTGGTGGCATCTGGAGAAAGCAACTACGACATCTGCACGCAGGCTCAGGCCGTCTTCTCAAAGGGCCTTGACATCGTCCTTAACGGCACGAACCTTCCGCAGATGGCCCCAGATAGCTCGACTGGGCTTGGGCAGAATCCATCGTTTGACCAACCGACTGCCTTCCGGCCAGAAGCATCTGACGCGTTCGTGCAAGATCCTCAGTGGACAGCGTGGCTAGAGACATTAGGATTGCAATCGGATGGCTGGATGGATATTGATGGCGTGATCGATGGCTTACCAGGACAGCTAGCTCAGTAATCAGGTGCTACACGTGATCATTCGGAGTACTTAACCTTTCTTCAGATAACACTCGTTGTCTGCATCGAACGGTACAAAGTACTAAGGGAGCAGTATCGAAAAACGTTTCCACGTAATAGCAGCATGCCTGATTAGATGCGTCCATGGTGGGAATAAACGTCCAACGCAACGGCAATGTCGCTTAGTCCATGCCGAAGCGGAGTCGATGGCTGTCGATGCTGCCCATCCAAACACTCATTAGCGATCTCAACACAGGCGACCGGTTGTTGTAATAGGCCCACGGGCAATTTGTGGAGTGTCCTGACTCCTTCGCGCGCTCCCATTTAAGAATACGAGTGATGACGAAGCTTATGCACGGTATTGTGTGCCAAATAGTTGGTAGTCTCGCCACATGAGTGCCCTATCGGGCCCGCGCAATGCGAGCGTCGATCGTAGATACTGTAGCGTAGGTCATTCGTCGCTACATGGTACAATCCAACCAAGTCATCTTGCTTAAAGTAATATGCACATCTGGTGAACAGCTTGCTGCACTAGAGTTGGCGCAACTCCTACCAGATTGGGCTTCGCGATCATCGCGAACTGGTCCAGATGATCTAGGCGCTTTATGACCTGCACGTCCATGGGGCTGTGCTTTTCACATGGTGTACAACGCCAACTTCCTGGACGAAGCATTCATGTTCGGCCCGCAGCGCAGTCCAAGAGTGCTTATTTGCATCGTGTCTGTGGCTCAGAGTGATGGCTCGATCGGACCTTTCCATCCGCTGTACGGGCCGCTCGGTAGAACTAGTGTCACCAAAGCTTCCAGCTGCCGGCTGGGGCCGCCTGGCCACTTCGGCATCGGAAACTTGTAGCCTACTGCCTACAGTACTGCAGACCTTTCTGCAGCTCGCTTGCGCGCCATCTCGAGCTGCACTTTCGAGCATGCGCGCGAGCGGTTGCTGGTACTGTCCTTTCCAGGTAAGAGGGGGGGGGGGCTTCCCTGCACAATCATGACTTGTTTTGCTTGCTCCGTCAGACATGCAGCCCTAGCTTGACCGCACAAGCTTTTGGCTACCATGGGGCAGATCATCGAATCAGTGGGTATTGCAAGGTTGCGAGGCCTCTCGTACAACGCTCCTCCGCACGTCATCGCAACTTGCACCAACAGAACACCTTGCAGTGCAACTGCCCAGCTTCTCTTGTGGTTTGCCCCTGTCTACCTCGTCTTGGCTTTCTCTTCCATCCAAGCACTGAGTATGGGCTCTCTAGTCCTGGCTCGAAGGAGCGCTGGATGCGCAAATTGCAGGTCAGCAACCTCCTGGAGCGAATGTCGAGCCGACCAGAGACACGTTCGCTGACAAGATGCAAGACGGGCCAAGAAGGGTTGTGACCGGGGGAATCCAGCGTGTGGAAGGTGTTTGCGACTCGATCAAGCGTGTAACGGTTACCCAGATCCAGCAGACCCAGCATGCGGATGGTACAATGTGGTCTCCCATTCAGTCAAAGGAGTCCCACAGGAGGCTCTTCCAACACCTGCACTTTACCGACATACACCGCTGCTCAGCCAAGTCGAGGTGAAGATCCGGCATCTCATGCATAGCTTCCTAGCTCAAGAATGGTCGCCGCTATGTGAACAATTTTCAGCCCACTCGCTAGTTAGGGATATGATCACTGCCTGCGCACTGCTCGCATCGCAAGATTGCAGGAACGATGCGGCGACCATGACGGCTGCGGAGACTCTGTATGTCAATGCCATTGCAGGCGTCCGTGCAGCCGTACTCGAGACACAGAGAGCCAAGGAAGACGGCACATTGGTAGCATCAATGCTGTTAGCCAGCTTCGAGGTGAGACGCCGGTCTGTTGGCAGGCGAAAGCCATCGTGTTGCATCGTACTAACATGAACTTCTCAATGAATCAGCGGTACAACGGGAGTTCCGAGAAGACCACGAGTACGTGGGAGGTTCACGCCGAAGGTGTGAGCTGGCTTGTCGAGAATCGAGGCATCAACCAGACTCGGACAAGTCTTGGGCGAGCGGTCTTCCGCAAGGCTAGAGAGATTATTGTATGTCTTTCAGCAAGTCTGTCCAACGGGTGCACAAACAACGGCAGAGCTAATCACTATCTGCACAGATCGATGCCGCATTCTGCCGAGATGTTGCCGCCCCTTCGTTCGTGATCACGTACTCTCAGGCCATCGGCCGTGACTCCAAGAGTGGCATGGACGACCAGTTAGCGATACTGGAGGCACGTGCCTCCGCGCTGTGGTCACGATACAGCACAGGTGAGCTTGTGACAAGCCTGCATGAGCAAGCTTGGACACTTCGGCAAGACCTGGAACTTTGGGAGCGCGATATGGCCAGCACAGACCCCGCTTGCAGAGCCTCTCAGGGAGTCCTGAGTAAAGTGCGAGCGAATATGTGTCGTATAATAGCATTGAGGCTTGCTGCAGCTCTATGCGAGAGACAAGCTCAGCAGCGAGAGGCGCTGGTTGAGCACTCAAGCCAAGAAAAGGTGGACTCCTCGAGAATCGTCGTGACCGAGCTCTGTCGTAGTGTTTCAAACGTTCTACAAGGCTTCGCCGCCACAGAAATCGAAGAAACTCCCACGATGAGTGCCCTCGGCTTGGCGAGACCGCTCTACATTGTCACGAAGATTCTGGTCGACGAGTCAAGGCAAGGTATATCAGATGGCTTCCTTCTGGATCTGTTGGCTTCGCAGACTCGATGTGCACTAAGGATGTTACACCACCTTAGTCTCAAAGCTGGCGATCAGTGCTCGGTACGGATGTTGCAGGCCATAAAGCTGCAGTACGGCAACGCAGAGCTGCGACAGGACCAAGACTCCGAATTGGGCCACGAAATAGATACCTGGTGTTCGGTCGGCTCCGGTCGAAGTGGACAATGACGTATATGTTTACGATGAACAATGAGTTGGCGACATAGTCTCGTAGCCTTGGTATTTCGCCCACCCTGATCCGGAGAATAGCTGTTGACAAGATCGCAGTCTGGGCGCCACCCTGCCTCTCTATAAATATGTACTGAGAAGCCCGTCTTGTATATCGAGCCTACAAGACGGCTGTCACCGGCGTGCTCGCTTCTACTATCATTTGGCCCAAGATGGTCCCGTAGAAAGTGTCTTTCAAGACGACCCTTTGTCTTTGGTTTTTTTGACAGGCTTCCATTCAACACCAATGCTGCACACGGCAACTAAGCAGGCCAGCCCGAGCGCAATATACAAAACGTCTCTGATTGCGTTATTGTATATGAGAATGGCCTCTTCCCGAAGTGGCGGGGGTACAGCATCGATCAATCCTAGGGCTCCGCTATTTAAGAGCGTACGCGAGTCCACTCCAGGTACAATCGTTGAGAGTTCATGAACCAGCCCGGCAAGAAAGACATTCTGCGCGACCGTCAATATCACAATCCCTCCTAGCTGCTGAGAAAAGCTCAACAAGACGAGCGCCTTGGGCACCTCGTTCTCAGGTAATGCTGCTTGAACCGCTATGTAAGGGGGCTGGAAGGCCAGTCCAACCCCGATGCCATAGATGATCTGAAAGGTGATCCACTTTGCCGCGCTCGTATTCGGTTCAAGCGTAGTGATAAGCCCTGCGCCAACGGACATGAGCACGCCTCCACTAATCAACCCCGGATTGCCGTAACCCACGAAAGCAGTGAGAGGGCCGCCGGCCAGGGCCGTCACCGCCATCGACACGGCCAACGGTAGGTACATCAGACCGGACGAGAGTGTGTTAGCGCCACGGATTGCTTGGAAATAGACCGGCAGCTGCGACGACTTAGCAATGCGATTGCGAGACGTGATGAACGCCACTTACATAGTAAGAGACCACGGAAAGGCTTGCGAAGTTGCAAAAGGTGATGACGGTTGCGAATCCCGCAGTTCGCTGACGGAGCAATTTGTAAGGAACCATGCCATCTTCACCTGCCTTATACTCTGCGAACAGAAATGCGGCGAAGAGGGCTGCTGCAATGGCAAACAGAACAATAATCCTCCAGTTGTTCCATGGATAGCTCGTCCCGGCCCAGACCAATCCAAGCACGAAACATATAGTCATAGGTACGTTGATAGCGAAACCTATCAGATCGAGGCGCTTCAGCCTGTCACTAGTGCTGAGCTGAGGTTTGGTAGAGGAACGCAAGTCGCCGACACTGATGAGCAACAGGGTGATTGCGACCACGCTCACGGGTACGACGATCCAGAAACTGATTCGCCATGTGCTGTAGTGAGCGATGGATCCGCTGAGTAGGGGCCCGAAAGCTAAGGCGAAGCACTCGACACCGCCGCAGATGGCGAAATACACGGACCGATGTTTGAGTGAAGTCGTGTGCGCGAGGATGCTGACGTTCGCGGTCAGTCGACTTTCCCTCTTGTAATTTCGTCAGTGCCGTCTTGTACTTGCATGTTGATCCCAGCGAACACTCCAGCTGCACCAAGGCCGCTCAGAGCGCGACCCACTATGAACGCGGGAGATGTTGGTGCCGCAGCGCAAAGGATAGAGCCAATGATGAAAACAGCGCATGACAAGAGGTACATGTACTTCATCGAATAGATGGTGTACAGCTGTCCGTATATCAACATGGTCGCAGACTGGGCGAGCAGACTGCAACTTGTCAGTGGTCGCGACAACGGCTTGTAAAAGGTGATTTCTCACAAAGCGACACTGTACCACCCAAGGTCATCCAGAGCATGGAATTGATCGGTGATGACTGGCGTCAAGGTCACTATGCAGCTGCTATCCTGGAGTCCATTGTCAGCCTAGCGCCCCGCCATCCCGACTCGAGAAGACACACATAGCCAACAAAGAGATTGCCGAGGAGTAAACAGGAGAACAGAAGAGCGAATCGCAGGCCTTTGGGCCGGTCGTCGTGCTTCGAGTCTGCTTCTTCATCGCTGGGCCGGAAGCCTTCTTTGGTACCCTTGATATCGCGGGCTGGGTAATCTGAAAGCCCAGATTTGCGTTCAGGCTCGCCATTATCCTCGCGTGGTTGCAGTTCAATCGCCTGAGGGTAGGTAACAGTGTCGGTGACAGGGTTGGAGTCTGCGCTTGAGCTCTCTATGCTTGAACGGGCCATGATAGAATATCTTGAGGTGTGGTGAATGGGCGGTAGTATGGTAATGCTGGGCACGTCGTGACATTGCTGTCCGCGGAATATTATTGACCAGTACGACTATATGTCTAGAGTGAACGGCAAACAGATCGGACGATAGTGGGTTGGCCCACAAAAAGAGGTCTGATGGCTGATCGGAGTAACGGTCGGGGTTGTGGAAGCGAAGTATGCCAAGGCAGCACTGAACCACTCGCTCGCTCAATCAAAGCTGAATAATGACCACACTGCGGAGCTCGGAGCCCCGGTCGTGCGTGCCAGCCGTCTTTTTGTTTGGAAGGACAAGGCAATGTATATTCCTTCGAGGCACATAATCAGTCGTCAGATCAAATGTCACGTGACCCTGAGGACGTTCGAATGGAATAATCCTTGCGTGAGACGAGTTGGAAGGTCCATTATTGACAGCTCCATCCCTCCAGTCCTTTTGATTCTAAAGAGAACACTCCGCCTAACATGACACGACTTCAGTATTGCTTTCAGCCCCTATCTAGCGTCTGCATATCTCGACATCACTCACCATCCGCATGATTGACTTTCCAGCAGGAATCTCAAGAACGCAGCTCCTATAGCAAGACCGTCATGCGAGAGACCCGCCCGTGCCTTCCCAGCTTGATAAGTCTCATCGTCGAGAAGTGTTCCGCGCCTCCGATCCAGCAATTCGTTCGCAATGCAGCCACTGAATTCCGGATGACCTTGCACGCTGAACAACAGGTTTGGAATGTACATGACCTGCACTGCACAGAGTGGTGAGCGGCCTAGTACTTCAACACCTGCTGGACCAGAGGGAACCATGTCCCGGTGCATCTGATGTATCGCCTGCGACTCGTGACTTGGTTATTAGTGGACGCTTGCATCTTGGCACATGTTGTAGGAGACCTCATGGTATCACGTACCAACGACTCCATTCCAAAGATCTGTTTACCCTTTGGCGTGAGCTCGACGCGAGTGACGGCGACTTCCCATCCACCTTCACACCGAGTCGGCATCTCGTACAATGCGCGCCCAATGATCTGGTGCCCGAAACAAACACCCATAACTTGCACACTGGTTTCGTTCTGCAGAATTGCTCTGACAAATCTCACGAGCCGATCGATCCACTGATCTTCTCCCGGCGAGAAGGAGTTATATCCTTTCAGATACAGTCAGTCACACCACGGAAGGTCTTTTCCGACCCGAGAAATTCCTCATGCCTTGCACGTACTGCTCCCAGAAAGTATCACCGCGTCCACATCCTGCAACGTCGGATACTCTTGCTTTTTGACAACATCCCATGCTGACACCTCCAGCTTTAGTGATTTGTCGGAGGGTCTTGGGCCCAGAAGAGCTGTGCTGGCTTCCAACCATTCTTCAAACAGCTTCCCGAATCCACCGTACCTTTCTCTCGTGAGCCCAACCGGTTCATCACATTCGAGGACTGCTATGCGTAAACGACCAGCCATGAAGAGCTGGCTCTTGGAATGAGACCGTGCGTATCTGATCGTGAACAGGCAATGTGATAGGAGCTGGCTTGCGTAAATCGTGCAGCGTATGTTGTTAGTAGGCCCGTCAGTCAAGTACCTGAACTACACGAGCATATCACAACCACGCACAGAGAATGCCAAGTGTTCAACCTGCCTACCTTGATAGCTGGGGAGTGAAGATCGCCTAACCGAACCCATTTTGGATAGCAGAATTGCAATGAAGGTGGCCGCGAAGACGCCGACCGTGGCCTGTAGAAGCATGATGATATCGACAGCTTCATCAGGGTGTGGTCGGCATCGCACATTATGGCGAGCGAGCTGCGGCGGAAGCGAGACTGTCGAGAGTCTGAGCACTAGAGCTGCTCGGCACTCCGAGAAGTGGGTTAGCCATAAACTCCGGCCCACGTTATTGCTGTCAAGTGGATAGCAGAAGCCTTCGGGGTTGTCGGGGTTCTTTCCATTGGTCCATGACACGATTGCACCGGCTCCTCCAGCACGCTTAGTCATTTGCTCTACTTCCTACCCACTCATCACGGAGTTGTGCTTCTTCCCCACAACCACACTCCTTCATACACGCACCGCCCATTTGCACGCCGACCGCTCTGTAGATATGCTACGAGGCACTCATCTGCGACGGGCAGATCTCGAGATCTTCACTGCAGGCTGGCGCTCTGCGCTCCTCCACTGCACAATCGCGTCATCGCGCCACCAACTCCTTGACACGCTGTAGTATTCTGTCAGGCGCTGCAATACCATCTTGGCCACAGGCGCGATAGCACTCATGCATAGGGAAGATCTGTCTGTCGGATGTCCCGGGCGGAGCTATCAACCTGCGTCTCGGGACCGTGGATCTCAAGCCTCGTCATCCGAGAAACATGCCAGTATGATCGATCGAACATAGTTCACCACTCGGGCACAACGGGGTCGGAGACACTCTTGTGTCATTCGCCGAATGAATGCAAAGATATAACATCTCACAACTTTGACATTGCTTGATGACGGCGAACAACCTCCTTCTGACACCCGTTAACGACATTACGAAGTTACGGTTCCTAGTCCCTCGTCTCGACGCTGCTCCTCACAGAAGCAGGGTAGCACCAATCTTTCGCATATTGGTACAGAGGCCTCAAGTATGGCACGACGATACGCTCACGCGGGTGCCCGCTGACATAGAGCCTCATAGAATCGACTCAACCATAGCGTGGACAATGAAATTCCTAGTTACCTCCGAGGCGCCTGGTATTGATTCATTAGTGCGGGATCTCGTGCATGTCAACTTCTGCGCTCCTGCCTCCGATCTTTCTGCTGCTTTGACGGGACCGGAGACAATCAACGTGTGGATTTGCCATGGCGCAGAAGTTACCGAAGAACTCCTGGACCGGTGGGTCAATCAGGCCCGTACCACTTCTAAATCAATCTTGGTCGAAGACTCGTCCGTAGTCTCTCGACTACAGACCTACTCGAAGGGTCGTCTGGCTGAGATCGTGACGTTCCCTCCACAATACCAGCCGCATTCAGAATGGGCAGAGTCCCTCCTTCGTGCTGGCGAGATGATATACATCAGAGCTCATGTCAGTGCTCCTGGGCCGCAGAGAGCTCGAGAGACCGCTCGGATGCATGGAAGAAAGGTGTTACTTGTAGGCGCCGGCATTTTAAACCTCATCACGGCTGAGCTCTTGGCCAGTAAAGGCTTCCATGTGCAAATAGTCGACGCGGGTCCCGACCCTCGAAAGTGCGAAGATTGGACTCGATTAGGCGTTACAAATGGTGGAGGCAACGCTCGAATGTTCACTAGCACTGAAGCGGACAATTACAATGAGAAAGGCAGCGAGCTCTACCAAAACATGCGGACCATCTTTCGACATACCGCCCGCAACGGTGGCTGGAGCGTCAAGCGGCCAGAGCTGTTCAATGCTGCAGAGCAGGCATGGGTACAGTCTTTCGAGCAAGTTCCGGACTGGTTGGCCCGTGCTTTCAAGGAGGACATTCACGCAGTAAATCGCACCTCTGGCCAGCTTTGGCGCGAGCTCATGGACACAGCGCCAGATCTGTTCGACGGTGTCCAGTTGCGTGAGGGCATACTGCGCATGTACGCGGAGCAGAAGCCATTGGAAGCAGCCCTGGCGATGAATCGATCGCTCAATACCATCGTCGAGGACACATCCCCAGAGTCCTTCCTCGCTGCATTTCCTGGTTTCGCTCCTGCGGTCGAGACTGATGACCTCGCGGGCGGCTTCATCATTGACGGCTTCACTGTCAATATACATCCGTTCATGTCGAGACTGATGGATCGCATCACGAAGCTTGGAGGGCAGTTCTCTTGGGATTGTCGAGTGGAACGCATCGTCCGCAACAGTATTGGGAACGTTACCATGCTGGAGACGCACAGTGAGCCACTGTTCGCGGACGATTTCATTATCAGTCCTGGCGTGACCGGGAACACACTGTTGCGCGGAACAAAGTGCGAGGACTTGATCCAAGGCGTGTTGGGAGTTTGGTTGCAGATTCCGAACCTCCATCCTCAACTGAAGCATTCCCTCAAGATTCATCGTCGTGGACATTTAGTGGAGGACATCAACGTCACAGTAGCCAAGAACCTGACAACGGGCGAAGATGAGCTCATGCTTGGGGGTGGCTATGGTTATACTGGCCAGGATCGTCCACCACCGGATTGTCCAGAGTTAATGGCTCTGTTCGAAGAATTGAAGGAGGTAGCCCGCATCTACTTTCCGCGCGGGCATGCTATGGCAGTGGAGCGGGGCACCATGTGGCCCAATGAGCAGCGAAAGTATTGCATTCGACCATTCACCGCCACTGGCCTCGGTGTATTCGAGAGGATCCCAACGACTAGTGGAGGCAATCTCATCATCACCGGCGGCAACAATACCGGCGGCTTTGCCCAAGCTCCTGCTGTGGCGCGCGCGGTATGGCGTGGACTCGTTGGTGAGCACGACCCAATTCACGAACTGTTCCATCCCGACCGTGGCAGGCTTCCTACCGTGACGGCGAATAAGAGCCAGGTCGTGAGACCACTGGCACAGCGCATCACACACGCCTCGTCACCCTTGAAAGTGCTCCTACTCTGCTCCGACGGTCCTCAACATCACTATCTACGTCGTCGCGTGGCAAAGTTATGCCCTAACTTCCGATGCATCGTGGAGACGAGCGAGGGTCAGGTTCGCTATCTGAAGAGGAAAGGTCGGATGTTTGATGCCGCTTTCATGCAGTATCATACCTTGCGACGCCACATGTTCGGACAGGACACGCAGCGTATGGCCTACTTCGACGGTCTGATGTCCGAAAAGCACGAGCTGCCTTCGCCCGATCTTGTTGTTGACAACCTCAATTGCCGCGAGGTATGGGATACGGTTGAGAGGTGGCAGCCCGAGTTGACCATCGTCTCGGGCACGAAGTATATTGGACGCAAGCTCAACGAGCGCGCCGGTCTAATGATCAATCTCCACATTGGGCATCTGCCCGAGTACAAGGGAAATCACTGCATCTTCTTTGCCCTGTACGACGGCGCCCCGCAGCATGTCGCAGCTACTCTGCACCAACTCACCCCCGATCTGGACGGAGGCAATATTCTCGACGTCGTCTCTCCCGAGATCCTTCCCACCGACAACGAGAATACGTTATATACGCGATGCCTTCATCTAGCGATCGACCGATGCATGGAACATGTCCAGAGATTCTCACGAGGCCAGACTCTTGTTCTCTCTCCGCAGCCGACATCTGGAAAGATCTTCCGACACACGGATCGCACGCCGATGAAGGAACTTTGGCTCTGGTTGACTACCGCTTTCTTTGGGCTACCACAAGAAAAATCGGTCGGATGCGGGCAAACACATTTCCCGTTTTGGTAGCAAGTCAGAAATGCTAGTTGGTTCATAGAACTTGCGCTGTTGGCGGCCGGGGTGTAGTAGTAGCACTACAGCAGACTTCTCTTGGTTCATCGCGACTTTGTCCGATGAGTGTAGATAGCTGAGGAATAGTTGTGTGGAACATCCCCATTGTTTCTCACGTATCAATATCTTACTGCTTTCGGCTGGCTTCGCAGCCGTCTTTGGACTTTATTCATCCACGGACAGTAAAACTCGCATCGAGTCTTTCTTGCAGCATGGTGACACGCATTCATATAATCTTCTATGCCACTACTGGAAATGATAGAAGCACATGTGCAATGACTTGCTGCTACTTGTTTTCTGACGATACAAACTGTTGCTTTTGCAAAGGAGCTTATTGAACCTCCTATCATTTCACACTAGGCACCTAAGCGGCACAGAGCGCCGTTTCGTCGCGCACTTGGCGCAAGAAAGGCATCAATGTTGTACCGCCTGTGCCGTTCAGATCCTTTGCTACACCTTCTGCGTGTTGCGGTGCTGCTTTCTGCCGTTGGCTACGAAGGACGATGTACCGACCAACTATCTGCAGATGCACATCGCGAAAGGCAACGAGAGCCGCCACAGCCGCGTTGTATGCTGTCATGAGGGTGTGATGATGCGGCTTTGAAGCGACGAATTCGCGTACGATCGCTACCCGGGAGAAGTCGCGCAGGAAGCGACGGTGGCCTTCGGGCATATACTGACGCATGTCAGTGATGTAGTCTGGCTCTGCTTGTTTGGCGCGCAGTCGATCTGCTAGGGTGCCCTCTGATTTGGTATTGAGTGGATTCGCTGCGCTCGTCTCCTCGACAGTACCGCTCGTTGCTCGATGCGCGATGCCAAGGGCAATGTCAAACAGCTGGAATAGACTCGACTGTGCATTCGATCCGCCGGCAAGCTGGACATATTCTGCATCCTCGGTCCCGTCATCGAACATGACTCCATGCGGCAAGCCTGAAGTGGCCATGTTCTTGCCTCCGGCCAGGTAAGGCCGCAGCTTGTCATAGAAGAAGGCAGGATCGCATCTCTCATGCAGACGCTTCAATGTTCCGCCCAGCTCAGTCAACCCGGACGCAAGTTGGCGTAGGTGGATAATGACAAAGGCGGTTTTTTGCTCGTGTGCACATCTAGTGGCCTCCAGGATCGTGGATATCAAAGGGCCGCCTTGCGCCTCAATAGCAACGGACACCAAGTAGAACCAGCTCTCGTCGATGGCGCCGGTGAAAGTGGTCAAAGTCTTCAGGCCGCACAAGCTAGTGCGACGATCCGTAGAGAGTATTGTGTCAAAGTTCCACAGGACTACAGCAGCGTAAGTCGCAACGGGTAGCATCTCCAGAGCCTTGCATACAGCCAGAAACGGGATTGATATCGGAGGGGGCACGATCTTATGGGACTGTTAGAGCACAACTATTGAGTGTAGGACTTTACGAGCACCTTACCTCGGCGGGACTCTCTCCTCCCCATATGTATGCATGACTGATGAAAGCGAGGATAGAATAGGCGCATCTCAGTTGTGGAGTCGTGGTCAAGCGGTCGCACTCCAAGACGGGCAAGCGGTCGACCAGCGATCGCAGACGCCCATATGCGAGCAATTGAGGGAGACTGTTGACGATATCGACCCACGGTGCGTAGCGCGAGTCGAGCGAGGAGGCGTGCGGCGTTCTCTGAGGGAGGAACCCATGTTTCAGTGAGACATCGTAATCTTCGGGCTTCGGGATATCGAAAGGCATCTTGTGAAATGGAATGGACTGTAACGAAATTGAAGAATGCGGTCTGACCTCCGAATCAAGGAGCAATTAAGGAAATGGAGGATATGTAAGCACCGCTGCGGCGGCAAATGGCAGCTCTGATCGTCGTGACGAGCTGTGTACGTTCAATTCGGAGCTGGCACATTGTAGTGAAATGGATCGTGGTCGGAGAGAGCATAACATGGCGTCGGAGAGGGTATGGCGTGGCGTAGGTGAGACATAATGGTGGAAGTCGCAAGCGGTGTAATTTCGCTGGGTGCTGGTCACCGGTATGATTCAGGGTAAGGTTATCGAGATCTCGGAGTGCGCTCGTGAGATCTACAGTATTCGGAGGGATGTGTCCGCGTCTGAATGTATATGCCGAGTAGGAGTATGAAGGCGCCAAGCTGCAGTAATGCTTAAGTAAGTACCTACCGTAGCTTGTCGACCTGCAATTGCAACGGCAGCAGTGCTTATCTTTCATCAATAGCCCTTAGCGTCGCGGAGTGTGCAGATCATCGGATCTTGCTTCGAAGGATGGCTTGCGCCGTCCGCTCCTTCGCGATCGGACTCCAACACGGCGTCGATCCCTTCTGCAGGGTCGCGATGCATATCAATATCCCATCCCGCCGATCTCTGCCTTCAGCTCGACTGCTCGCCACGCCATCGCGTCAGCCAGCTATTGTCGAACGTACAAGCAGACATTCACATCCGGTTGGCCACGTCTGTCGCATGGATATACCGGGGTCCCTACTGCGATTGCATTGCCGAAGCGACGCAACGCGTTCACTCTTGATCATCGCTCAGGACCATATACCGAACATAGATATCGTAGAATCATATAATGCAACATATTCAGCTCCCTCCCGCGCGCTGCGAGATCTAATAATTGACTGCTTACTTGCGTCACATCTGCCCCAAATCAACTCATTAGTCCAATTACGCGATCATGTCTTGCGTAGCTTCACCCGCCTCTTGCTTCGTCGAAGCCGACTCACCTGGAGCTGATCAAGACGCAAAGCAGTATGCTGCGCGCTTTTGGCAGCAATACTTCGACGCCCTTGATGCTCAGCCCTTCCCATCCCTACCCTCGATGGGATTCAGGCCAATTGCGAAGGATAAATTGGAACATGCCATTGAGTCGATTCGATGGCCGGCAATGGTGCGGTCCGGAACGGTTGTGCGGGCCGCTTGGTCTGCGATCGCAGCAAAACACACCGGCATTGCTCAGGCACTGTTTGGTATCGGCACCTCTGTGGAGGACAGCTCTTCCTCAACTGATGATGATACCGCTATTGTGCCGATGCAAGTGCGGGTGGACGGCGAGGAGACCATTAGAGACTTCCTAAGCCGTGTAGATCGGGACACGACGACGTTACAAAAGCGCGCTGTCCGCATTGATCCACATGTCCTCCGAGCCATCAGCACTCATACGGATCATGCTTGCCACTTCCAGACCTTGCTACTCCAGGCATCATCTGACGTGGAGGGCAAGGCTAGCACACATGCATTGGTCCTCATATACTCGGCAAGACAAGATGGCTTGCATCTCAACATCGCCTTTGATCCCAGGATCCTGGACGTCGAATTCGTCCAGCGGATGGTGCGGCAGCTCGAACATGTCCTTCGTCTATTCTGCAACCCTGATCTCGCCTCGGCACCTCTGTCTACGATCGATCTGGTGAGCCCGCATGATCTCAGCACCATCTGGTCATGGAACGCGACCGTGCCTGAGCCCCTCGAGATGTGCGTTCACGACTTGATCGCAGAGACCACAAGAGCCCAACCAGACTGCCCAGCCGTGTGCGCGTGGGATGGCGACCTTACGTACACTCAGCTTGATCAATTATCGACCCGTCTTGCCCATCATCTGGTCTCGACTCTAGGTATCGTACGGACGGACATCGTTCCTTTGTGCTTCGAGAAATCTATGTGGACGTCCGTCGCCATTCTCGCAGTCGTAAAGGCTGGTGCTGCGTGTGTGACCATGGACACGACCCATCCAGAAGCTCATCTGCGCCGAATTATCCAACAGACATCAGCACGTGTAATCCTTACGTCCTCAGCGAATGAAAAGCTTGCCGCGACGCTGGCAGACGAATCGCTGCTAGTTCTGAGACCCGAAGCTCTGCTGTCAGACCCACACTTGAGCGTTTCGGTCGACTCCACGGACCTGCCGACTGTATATCCCCACGACAGACTCTATGTCGTTTTCACTTCCGGTAGCACGGGAACGCCAAAGGGTGCTACTATCACGCACACCAACTTCAGTAGTGCTATTAAGCACCAGCAAGGCCCTCTGGGAATGACCAGCAGCAGTCGGGTCTTCGACTACGTCTCTTACGCGTTCGATGTCTCATGGCTGAATTCTTTGCTCACATTCGCCACAGGCGCATGCCTCTGCGTGCCTAACGAGGCCGAACGCCGGAACGATCTAGCCTCTTCGATCCGTCGATTGGACGTTAACTATGCGGATTTAACTCCTTCTATCAGTCGCCTGCTAGATGCTGGCGACGTCCCGTCTCTCATGCACCTCACTTTTGGTGGTGAGGAAGTCCTCGCCGAGGATGTGTCTCGTTGGCAGAATATTGGCGACGTCGTGAACGGATATGGTCCGGCAGAATGCACTCCTAAAAGCATGGCCTATAATTATACTGCCGACGGCTCGTCGAAGCTTGCGAACCAGATCGGGGCCGGGACAGGTCTTAACACATGGGTAGTCGAACCCGATAATGAAAGTAAACTTTCGATCATAGGTGCTATCGGAGAGCTATGGCTCGAAGGACCACTCGTAGGGGCCGGGTACCTTGGAGACCGAGAGAAGACTGCTGCCGCTTTCTTCGAAACCCTTCCTTGGCTAGATCAAAGTAAAGAATCTAGCGGCCGTGGACGTGTATACAGGACAGGAGACCTCGTTCGCTACAATCCGGATGGATCGCTTGTATACGTCCGAAGAAAGGATCAGCAAGTGAAAGTACGGGGTCACAGAGTGGAACTAGCAGAGATCGAGCACCACATCCGATCCTCGGGCGGTGAAGGTGTCAACGTCGTGGCAGAAATGGTTACCCCTCGTGGTAGCAGCGACAAGGTCCTCGTAGCATTCTTGGCCACAATGCCATCTACCTGCCAGGATGATGGTCGTGGAGCTCTGGCAAGTCGTATGCGCCATATCTCCGAGGGGCTTAAGAGCCGTGTGCCTTCGTACATGATTCCCGGAGGATATATCGGCATGGATCGCATTCCGATGTCTGCGACTGGCAAGGCGGATCATCGCAAACTCCGGGAAATTGCGAGCCAAATGACTATGGAAGAGCTCGTCGCTCTGAACAGGGTCGAGTACCGTGAACCGACCACGGCGTGTGAGCTACGTCTACAGGCATTATGGGCATCTGTCCTAGGAATCAGCCCAGCCAGTATTGGACTGGATGACAGCTTTCTACTGTTAGGTGGTGATTCGATCACCGCTATGAGGCTTGCTCGCGAAGCACGACGTGCAGGTATACCCCTAGCTGTAGCGACTATACTAAAGAATCCGGTGCTGGCTGACCTCGCCACGCTTCTCGGCGATGTCTCAGGCCCGGAGCGAGTTCAGGAAGTCGGGCCCTTTACTCTGCTACAAGGCCTACAGCCGGATCACATTCGTCACCAGGCGGCTGCTTTCTGTCGATTGCGGCCAGAACAGGTGGAGGACGCCTTTCCATGCACACCGATGCAGGAAGGGCTCCTTGCTCTGACATCCAAACGATCGGGAGACTTCGTGGCCCGGTATATCCTTAAAGTTTCGGCTGATGCAGAATCTTTCCAGAGTACTTGGAATCATGTCGTGCACACCACTCCGATTTTACGGACACGCATTGTCGATCTTGCAGGCATTTCTTCCGGTGTCGGTCTAGTCCAAGTCATCGTAGACGAGCCAGTAAGCTGGCACCGAAGCAGCTGCCTGGATCAATACGTCATGGAGGACCAGCAGCGTGATATTGGCTTAGGAACGCCGCTGATTTCGGTCGCACTCGTTGATGATGCGAAGCGTGGTCGACTCTTCGTATGGACGATCCATCATGCGCTATACGATGGATGGTCCATGCAACTGATGATGGACAGGATGAGACGGGCTTACAACGGTGCTGTCCTTCAAACGGGGTCGCCATTCCAGTCATTTGTGAAGACCGTTGTCGATGGCGACCGAACACAGGCACAGAGCCTGTGGCGTACGTACTTCCAGGGGATTGAAGCCTCGCCCTTCCCAGCACTTCCATCGGCAACCTATCAGCCTGTAGCCGATCAGACGATTGTCTCCCGGATAAGCGGGATTGACTGGCCCAGATGCAATGTCACCGCATCGACTGTGGTTCGTGCTGCATGGGCAGTCCTAGTGTCCCAATACACAAACCTGGACGAGGCGCTGTTCGGTGTGATCTCCATGGGTCGACAAGGCAACGTGCCTGGTATCGAGGATATTGTGGGCCCTACGATAGCGGCTACCCCGATGCGCATTGTGCTGGACAAAGATCTCAAAATAGCTGACTTCCTCCAAGACCTACAGGCGCGGAACGTAGAGATCGCAGAAGTGGAACAGCTGGGTCTTCAGCAGATTCGGAAGATCAGTACCGACGCTGAGCAAGCGTGCCAATTTCAGATGCTGTTGAACATACAACCCAACCAGGACCGATTGCCAGACAATGTGGATGGACCTTTGGAACGAGTCTCGTTGGAAGGAGCCATTGCGGAAGCGGCACATGTTCTCCCTGCGATGAACACATATGGCCTTATGATCGAATGTATCCTGCACGACGATGGTATTGAGTGCTCAATCAGTTTCGACCCCAAACTCATGGGCAAGACCAAGGTACAGCGCATGAGTCACCAGTACGAGCATATTCTTCGGCAGCTTTCGACAAATCGTAACGCCGCCAAGAGGCTTGCGGATGTCAACTTCATCAGCAGCGAAGACTTGCATACTATCTGGGCGGGCAAGACGGCTGCACCAGAAGCGGCTGACGATGATGTTTGCGTCCACAACCTCATCACGGCGCACGTCCTCCACCAACCCAACTCGCCGGCTATCTGCGCTTGGGACGGAGAGCTCACCTATAGAGAGCTTGACCGTCTGTCTACAAATTTAGCTCAATATTTGATTGGTCAAAACGTTTGTCGTGGCACGGTCGTGCCGCTCTGCTTCGAGAAATCGCGGTGGGCGCCGGTCGCCGTACTTGGAACGATGAAGGCCGGAGCAGCGGGCATGCTCATCGACTGCACACTTCCAAAGGATCGCTTGTTGTCTATCGTGTCGCAAGTCAAGCCAGTCCTTTGTTTGGCCTTGGCTAGCACGCGGCCTCTCGCGCAGCAGCTACTTACTGTACCCGTTCTGCCTGTTGACCAATTCCTGTCGGACGAGAACGAAACTTCTCTGGCTGATCGGCCCTTACCTGTTGTCGATGCAGCTCACCTTTTGTACGTGGTCTTTACTTCCGGAAGCACTGGTGTTCCGAAAGGAGCTCTTATCACGCACCGCAGCTTCTGTAGTGCGGTCAAACACCAAGCCAACGTATTCAATTACTCTTCCGAGACGAGAAAATATGGCTTTGCATCGTACAGCTTCGATGCCGCTTGGTTTGAGATGCTTCACGTTCTGGTTGCTGGAGGCTGTCTGTGCATACCGTCCGAAAAGGACCGGAAAGACGACATTACTGGGTCGTACCTGAAGCTTTCTGCGAATACGCTCGGCATGCCTCCTTCCACCGCTCGACTACTCGACCCAGGGCTATTGCCAGGCCTGAGGAGCATTTTGTTGGGGGGAGAGCCGGCAACGGCGGCGGACTTTGCACGCTGGCCTGGGTCAATTGATCGTTTCAATGTATACGGACCTGCCGAGTGTGTGCCACCAGTCGCCATCTCGCGTCACAACGGGACCGTCGAAGACGTGCCATATATTGGTAGCGGCCAGGGTGTCAATCTCTGGCTTGTGGACCCTCGAGACTACAACAAGCTTGCCGCTGTGGGCGCTGTGGGCGAAGTTCTTATTGAAGGGCCGCTGGTTGGAGAAGGCTACTTGAACAATGAAGCCCTAACCAGAGAATTGTTTATTCATGATCCAATCTGGATGACACAGGGCATATCGGGCGTACCGGGTCGCCGTAGCCGTCTCTACAAATCCGGAGATTTAATGAAGTATGGTGAGCATGGTCAGCTCATCTTCGTTAGTCGAAAGGATGCACAAGTCAAGATCAATGGTCAACGATTTGAGCTCAGCGATGTGGAGGAGCACATCCGCCAGACAATGGAGACACCGGAAGATGCACATGTGCTTGCTGAGACGATTATCCCAAGCAACGGGAGCCGCTCGTTACTTGTTGCATTCGTATGTTTGACCGAAGTCTCCGGAAATGATCAGGATGACCAATCGAAGCTCCGCGCCATGGTTCTAGCCTGGAATGCGCAACTACGGGATGCAGTGCCCGGATACATGATACCGAGTGCGTATATTCCGGTGTCTCGGTTTCCCATGACAGCCACCGGCAAGGCCAATCGTCGACAACTGCGTGAGATTGGTCATACTATGACTTTGGAGGCACTGGCTGCTCTCAATCCCTCGAGAAGAGAGTATCGAAGGCCGACGAGGGCGATGGAGGTACGAATGCAGACGATGTGGGCAAACACCCTTGGTATCGATGCCGCTACTATTGGCCTCGATGACAGCTTCCTCCAGATTGGAGGGGACTCCATCGCTGCTATGCGACTCGTCCGCGCAGCCCGGGAGAGCGGCGTCTCACTCACTGTGGCTGATATCTTCAAGCAGCCAGTTCTGTCGGAACTCGCTGATCTCGCCAAAGACTCTGCCTCGGAGATTCAGCTCGAGCAAGAGCTCATGCCGTTCTCGCTTCTCAAGAATAACATGACACCTGCACAGGTCCGTAGTCAGGCTGCTACGATGTGTGGTGTACAGGTCGACTGCATTGAAGATGTGTTTCCTTGCACTCCTTTACAAGAGGGCTTACTGTCATTGACCGCGAAGCGGCCGGGCGACTATACAGCTCGATTTATATTACAACTTCGACCTGAGGTTGATATTGAAAAGTTCCGGGCTGCTTGGGAGCTGGTGCTACGAACAACGCCGATTCTACGGACGCAGGTTGTGGACCTGTCCTGCTCGGGCCTGGCTCAAGTCATTCTTACCGAAGCCCGAAGTTGGGAAGAGCACGACTCTCTTGATCAGTATATTGGAAAAGATCGGAAGCGTGAATTCGGGTTGGGAAGGTCGCTCACACATTCCTGCCTAGTCCGTGATGCAGCACGAAGGCAGAATTTCTTCGTCTGGACGATACACCATGCACTCTATGACGGGTGGTCGATGCTCCTACTGATGGATCGCCTGCAGCTAGCGTACCGAGGAAAGACCCTACCGTTCACCGCGCCATTCCAACGGTTCGTACAGTACATTACGGATACGGACAGAGTGTCGCACGCCGAATCGCTATGGTCCTCGTACTTGGAAGGGCTCGAGGCATCTCCATTTCCAGCACTCCCATCTCCAGGATATCATTCTACCACAGACGAGATGACTACTAAGGATGTGAAAGTTACCTGGCCGCAAGGTAATATTACTGCATCGACTATAATTCGAGCTGCGTGGGCCATTGTGGCAGCACAGTTTACGGGAGAGCAAGAAGTCGTTTTTGGGGCCACAGTCATTGGTCGGCAGACTTCTCTTGCTGAGGTCGAGCAGATGGTCGGTCCGACGATCTCTCTAGTGCCTGTACGAGTCGTAGCCGACGGCAGCCAGGTTCTCTCCAAGCTTCTCCATCAGGTCCAGCTGGACGCAGTCGAGATGACCGTGGCAGAACAGCTTGGCTTACAACGAATCCGTCACATCAACACCAGCACCGCACGAGCATCCGAGTTCCAGACAGTGCTTGTTATACAGCCGATCGAAGAGGTGCAAGATCCTGAGACTACTCTGTTCGACATGTGCGACTTGAAAGATTTAGGTGTGCGAGTCGACGACGCTGTCGATGCATTCAACACTTATGGGCTACAAGTCATCTGTAATATTGCCACAGACGGAGTTCGCTTCAAATTCAGCTATGACTCAAACCAGATCAGTTCTGCTCTTATGGAACAGCTTGGAAATCAGCTTGGGCATACCCTGGGACTTCTGTGCGCTCGGTCGAACATGAGCAAACGACTCGCCGACATCGATTTTGCTTGCGATCAGGATCTTGATACGATATGGTCCCGAAATGCGAGCGTGCCAGCCATCTTCGACGACGTGTGCGTGCACGACGTGATCACTGAAGCTGCGATTCAACAGCCTGCTGCCCCTGCGATTTGTGCCTGGGACGGTGCACTAAGCTACGCAGAGCTCGATCGAATTTCAACACGGCTGGCCCTTCATCTCGTTGATCTTGGTGTCACCTGCAACGATGTTGTTCCACTATGCTTCGAGAAATCAATGTGGATGCCAGTAGCCCAGATGGCTGTAATCAAATCAGGCGCATCATTTGTCGGAACAGATCCATCCCAGCCGGAAGAGCGCTTACGCTCCATCATCGACCAAACCAAGCCAGGGTTCATACTTTGTTCGAAAGCTAATTTCTCGATGGCCAGCCGACTCGCGACCAGCGCAAGAGTCGTGGTCACTGATCATGCAACACTCGACGATCTCGATTCTAGGGCGGTAAAGACGGCTGCTTTGCCGGCAACCAGTTCCTCGAACAGGCTGTATGTCGCATTCACATCTGGCAGCACGGGCATCTCCAAAGGAGCTGTTATGACGCATCAGAACTTCACCAGCGCCATCTTCCATCAACGAGAACCACTGCGCATTCTTCCGACTTCGCGCGTGTTCGATTTCGCATCGTATGCATTTGACTTGTCGTGTGCTAATCTCCTTCATACATTGGCTGCGGGAGCATGTCTCTGCGTCCCTAGTGAAGGAGACCGCCAGACCAGGCTTGCCGAATCGATGCGGACCCTTCGTGTCAACTACGCACATCTTACGCCGACTGTAGCTCGCTTCTTAGATCCCACGGCTGTGCCGGACCTGAAGACTCTCCTGCTCGTTGGGGAAGTACTCACGCCCTCCGATAAAGCGCAGTGGTTGTCGCACGCCTCTCTCACGAACACCTATGGCCCAACTGAATGCACGGCATTCGCGACCTCGGAGCCGATGGTAGATAATGACGAGCAAGTGCCTAGAATCGGAAAAGGAATGGGCTTCAACACCTGGGTCATCAAGCCCGAGGGTACTCCAGGACTTGTACCAATAGGTGCCGTCGGCGAACTCGTTCTGGAAGGCCCTCTCGTTGGTGAAGGCTATCTCGGCCAGCCACAATTATCTGCTAAAGCCTTCGTCCACAGTCCACCATGGCTCGTCCGCGGATCGACACAGTATCCAGGTCGTACGGGTCGGCTATACAGAACAGGCGATCTGGTTAGGTGTGAGCCCGATGGCAGACTAGAGTTCATTACCCGCAAGGATATGCAAGTCAAGATCCGAGGGCAAAGGGTAGAACTGGGTGACATCGAACATCATGTCAAACAGAGTCTTACAGATGTTCTCAAAACCCGGATCGCAGTAGAATTGATCTACCCCAAGCAGTCGACGGAGCCTCTGCTCGTTGCATTCTTCGAAAACAAGGAGACACCCAACCCAGCTGAACCCACCACGGCGGCTTTAATCTCGCAGATCACCACGGAAGCCAGCAGCAGGTTGAGCAAAGTCGTCCCTGTGCATATGATACCTGGTGCCTATGTTCCACTTTCCAGTATACCTATGAATACTACTGGGAAAACGGATCGCCGGAGACTACGCGAGATCGGAAGCTTACTTACCCTCGAGGAACTAGCAGCTGCCAACAACTCGAGTGAACGCCGCAAGCCGACTACTGATATGGAAACACGCTTACAGTCTCTATGGGCCTCGCTTCTTGGCATTGAGAGTAGCAGTATCGGTCGAGATGACAGCTTCTTGCAAATAGGAGGCGATTCAATTGGTGCTATGCGGCTTGTTCGTTTAGCTGCTCAAGAGGAAGGCATCGCCCTCACAGTAGCGGACATTTTCAAAGCTCCCGTTCTGAGCGACCTAGCTCTGTTCGTGAGCGACAACACCTCCAGGCCAAAGCTTGAGCAGAAAAGTCTCAGCCCATTCGGCTTGATCGATGAGCTCTCGAAGAAGAGAGTCTGTAACGATGCAGCCCTCCTCTGCTCCGTACAGGCTGCCAAAATTCAGGATGCTTTTCCCTGTACGCCATTGCAAGAGGGATTGCTTGCCCTAACAGCGAGAAGGTCCGGCGACTACGTAGCGCGATTCGTGCTCGAATTGCGTGACTCTGTCAAGCTCGACACTTTCCGCAGCATGTGGAGTCAAGTCGTACAGGCGACACCTATCTTGCGCACTCGGATTGCAGATCTCCCAGGCCTTGGTCTGACGAATGTTGTTGTCGATGAAGACGCCAACTGGCTGGAACACCAATCACTGTCTGGTTACATCGCACGAGACAAGGAGGACGAAATGGGCCTTGGTACGTCTCTTGCTCGCTTTGGACTGGTCAAGGATTCCGGACGACACTTCTTCGTGTGGACATTCCACCATGCTGTGTACGACAATTGGTCGTTGCAAATCATATTGAAAAGAGCGAAATCGGCTTTTCTTGGACAATCTCTGCCGTCGACTCCACCGTTCCAGTCGTTCGTTGATTACGTCACCAACATGGATAAAGATGCTGCTATTGAGTGCTGGCGTGAATACCTCTCTGGATTGGAGTCACAGCCATTCCCGGCGCTCCCTTCAAAAGCGTACCGACCAGCTGCCGACAAAACCTTCGCCTGGACCGTTCATGGCGTGAAGTGGCCGCAGAGTAACGTCACGCCTTCTGTCGCCATCCGCGCAGCTTGGGGTGTCTATATTGCACAGTTGACTGACGCGGACGAGGCGTTATTCAGCGTCATCACTATGGGCCGTCAGGCGAACGTATACCGCATCGAAGACGTGGTGGGGCCAACCATCGCCACTGTTCCGGTGCGTATTGTGATCAACAAGAACGCCAACGTTTCACAATTCTTGTTGGGACTACAAGAGCAGACTATCAGACTTACTGCAGTCGAACAAGTTGGCCTGCAGAGCATTCGACGGATCAGTCCGGAAGCTGAGTTGGCCTGTCAGTTTCAGACGCTCCTAGACGTGCAGCTCGAAAGCGAAGAATCGGCTACCGACGGACCTTTCCAGTACTCTATATCGGATCCAGCTGCCAGAGGAAACGATCATATCAATGCCGCCTTTGCAACTTATGCGCTTAAGATACAATGCAAGATAAGAGATGGCGATCTCCACTGCCTAGCGACCTATGACTCGCAAGTACTCGCAACCGAACAGATGGAGCGTATAGGGCACCAATTCGAACATATCCTCCGTCAGCTTTGTGCAGGACACAACAGTACTTCACCAATGGGCGAGGTCGACTTTGTCAGCGCTCACGACCTAAAGACCATCTGGTCGTGGAATGCAACCGTACCATCAGCAGAAAACTCTTGCGTCCACGAGATTATTGGTGATACAGCACGCCGGCAGCCCGATGCGCCTGCTCTTTGTGCCTGGGACGGGGATCTCACATACCACGAGCTCAACCGCTATGGAACACAAGTAGCTCATCACCTTGTTGACCTCGGCATTGGATATGGCGATCTTGTGCCTATATACTTCGAAAAGTCGATGTGGACTACCGTTGCTATCCTTGGTGTGATGAAGGCTGGTGCCGCTTGCGTAACCATGGATGCGACACAACCTGAGGCCCATCTTCGTCGCATCGTTGCTCAAACCTCCGCTACAGTCATCCTCGCCTCACTAGTAAAAGGACCATCGGCTGCGCGGCTTCTCAGTGGTACGACCAAGGTCATCCTACCGCAGTCTCTTGTGACCACGAGTTCGGATGTTACAGCCACTGGGAGAGAGCGTGCCTGCTTGCCGAAAGTCGATCCGAGCCATCCGCTTTATGTAGTGTTCACTTCTGGGAGCACGGGGACACCGAAGGGCGCAATCATTACACATGCGAACTTCGCAACAGCGATCAAGTATCAGCGAGTGCCATTTGGGATGACTAGTAGCTCCCGAGTATACGACTATGTTTCGTACGCATTTGACGTAAGCAGGACGAAGGATATGAATGATACGCAAGACATGATACAGGCTCTAACATTGTGTTCTAGGTATCCTGGCTGAACGTCTTACTCACTCTCGCAGTCGGTGCTTGTCTTTGTGTTCCGCACGAGAGGGAGCGGCGGGGTGACCTGGCTTCGTCTATTAGGCGCCTTAAGGTCAACTATACTGACCTCACACCTTCCATCACCCGTTTGCTGAATGCATCCGATGTACCCCTACTGAGACATCTTACCTTTGGTGGCGAGGAGGTACTAGCTTCCGACGCAGCCCGATGGGGTACTCTTGACGAAGTCATCAATGGCTACGGACCAGCAGAATGTACACCAAAAAGCATGGCATACAATTACATCACTTCGAAGTCGAAGCGTGCAAACGAGATTGGCGTTGGCACTGGGCTAAACACATGGGTGGTCAAGCCTGACAACAGCAAGCAACTAGCTATGGTTGGTAGTATCGGAGAGCTTTGGCTAGAAGGGCCACTAGTCGGCGCCGGCTATCTCAACGACAAGGAGAAGACGGATGAGGCTTTCATCCACGATCCAGAATGGCTCTTGAACGGCCGCACCTCACATCAATCGACAGTCCACGAGACACCAACTTCCCATCGAAAGGCTCTAGTATCGACGGACGCAGACCACGTCAGGGGAGGTCGTCGTGGACGCGTTTATAAGACTGGAGATCTTGTACGTTACAATCCAGACGGAACGCTGATCTATATTCGGCGAAAAGACCAGCAAGTAAAGGTTCGCGGCCAACGCGTCGAGCTCGCCGAAATTGAGCATCATATCCGAGAAGTGGCAAACGACGACGCCAGCATCAACATATTGGCGGAGATGGTGACTCCGAAAGACGGTAGCCAGAAGGTCCTTGTGGCGTTCATCGCTATGCCTGCAGCTGAGTTGGCCAAGATGATGCAACGTCTTGCCGAAGGACTCGCGGAACGTGTGCCTGCATACATGATTCCAACAGCTTACGTCCCGATCGACTGTATACCTATGTCGACAACAGGGAAGGCGGACCGCAGGAAGCTCCGTGCATTGGGCGGCTCGATGACGATCGGAGAACTCACAGCATTGGTCCCCAGAAAAGGCGAGCATCGCAGGCCAAGAACTGCAATAGAAATAAAGCTGCAGTCGCTGTTTGCTTCAACTATCGGGATCAGCGCAAGCAGTATTGGGCTTGACGACAGCTTCGTCGAGATGGGGGGTGATTCAATTACGGCCATGCGTCTAGCCCTGAACGCTCGCAAAGACGGCGTAGCGCTCACCGTGGCTGACATCTTCAGACATTCAAGCTTGGAAGATCTGGCTCGTGCGATCTCGAGTGGCTGCAAAGACGTGACGAATAGTCTCGCGAGCGGCAGTGTCAGCATCAAGCCCGTCGTTCTTACTCACAATGCGCAACGACAGGTCCAACGGCTTGGCGTGTCACCATCCACAGTATTACCGGTGACGAACTTCCAACAGCTGTGTATTCGAGGAGCGCTCAGGACTCCAAAAACCTGGTGGGATTATCGTTACGTCGACTTCCATGGAAAACCGGATGTTGCACGGCTCATCGAAGCTTGCCACCGCCTTTGGTACCATTTCGATTCATTGCGATTGGTATTTCTGTCCTCAGGCGACAGGTTCTTACAAACGGTGCCGGCAAACAGCAAGCCAATCATCGTAGTGCACGAGACAGAGGGCGATGCAGAGCAAGATTGTACCAATGTGTGTGAAGCCGATCAAGCAGAAGCGGTGAGCCTTGGTGCCAGCTTCACCAAGTTCATCCTCACTCGGACTTTGTCTGGCTCCGTGCGCCTCATCATCCGCCTTTCGCATGCCCAGTACGACGCCATAAGCTCTCAGGCAATGATGCAGACTCTACACGCTGCCTATCGGCGCGAAGACTTGGCTCCGTCAGCTCGTTTCCAGGATTTCGTGACATCCAGCATTACACAAGGCGCTGCCAGCATGCAGCACTGGCGTTCGCTCCTTCGAGGCTCGACTGTAACCAAGGTGCCCACAATCCTCGCCGATTCGGATCCGGGCATGGGTATTGAAGTGACGGCGACAGTGCCAGAGCCCGTCTCATCAAGTGCGGCTACTCCGGCCACTATCTTCACTTCTGCTTGCGCCGCTGCTCTCGCTAAGGTGACAGGACTGTCCGACGTCGTGTTTGGTCGCGTGGTGTCCGGGCGCTCGGTCCTTGGCCCTGAGTTGCAGAATGTTATGGGAGCGTGTGTTGGTTGGGTTCCGGTCCGTGTGCAATTCAGTGGCGCGCCGAGTGCGACAAAGGCCCGAAGCTCGGTGCAGAAGCAGTATATTGATGGTCTATCATATGAGATCACTGGGACTGGGGATGCGTCGGGCGAGGTGTCGAGCGAGGAGCTCCAGTTGTGCGATTTCGGCTGTGTTGTGCAGTACCAGAATGTGGACACACAGCCGTCCCAGCTGCTCGGCGAAGATGATTGCCGTCTGAAGTTCTACAAGAGGCCAGAGGTTCGTGTCGAGACCGACGTTTCGCGCATCGATATACTGGCCATTCCCAGCCAAGGGGGGTGGGACGTCACCATCACGAGTGGAAGGCACAAGAGGTCGGAGCTGGAAGAGTTGCTTCGAGAAATTTGTGAAGGGGTGGCATCCGGGTAAACGACAGTCACTGCACGCAACGTCGCCGCCCTCGCAGTCTGTCCCCGGTTATTGTAAATTATTTTAGGATCATCATTATCTCAACGGTCTGCGTCTTCGTCAGTATGAATATCTCCTTGTTCAAACGCATAGCTTCCGCCACTTCCGCATCCACTCTGAGACTGCCGCTCGTGCCGGGCCCATTCCGCGACGATTCCGTGCTTCGGTCCTGCGATCACTCTTCACGATCCTTCCCTCTGTGACACGAGAACGAACAGCAGTATCTGAAGATTGCATATACCGACATGAGTTTGAAATCCTACATTCAACCACAATGCATCACCCTGCGCACTTCTTTGAGTCTTCTGACTTGCTGGGAATCATGCCTTTCACAATGCTGCTGGTTCTATAATTGACTGGTCGTCAGACTTAAACGACCTTCTTGGACTGCATTACCACTGGCGGATTTTCTCAAGCGTCCGGGCACCAGTAAGTCCTTCGAAAAAGTCGGTCACCGCCCTGGCCAATCTATCAACGATTATATCGATCTCGGCGGCTGTGACATTATACGCCGGTGCGATGAGCGTGTGGTCCCCAACAACACCATCTGCCGTGCCATTTCCTGGGTAAACACAAATGTTATATGGCTCTTGCATCGCAAACTCGTGGAAAGCATAGCCTACGTTCCAGTCTCTGGGCAGAGATTCGCGGGTCGCCTTGTTGCGAACAAATTCTACCGACCAGAACAAGCCACGACCACGAATATCTCCAACATTAGGGTGTGAACCAATTCGTTCCTGCAGCGTGCCGGCAAGGCGGTCACCCATTGCTTTTACGTTGGCCAGTAATTCCTCTTCAAGAATGATGTTGTGGACTTCGAGAGCTGCAGCACATGCGGAGGGATGGGCCTGAAAACTCTGGCCGTGAGAGATCTTTCCGGAGCCATGCTCAATCGCATGGTCTACTTGTTTGTCGATCAAGACTCCCGACACAGGCACAAATCCTCCGCCAAAAGCCTTCCCAACAACTTGAATGTTGGGCACGACATCCTCTTGTTGCCAAGCGTGCATTGTTCCTGTTCTACCGATGCCGCACATAACCTCGTCCAGGATAAGGAGTGCTCCATGTTTCTCGCAAACCCTCTTCATGGCCACGAAGTAGCCGTCTGTAGCAGGTATGGTGCCTGTCGATGCGCCGGTCACTGTCTCTGCAACGAACGCACAAACAGAATTGGGTGGAAATCTCGAGAAGGCGGTGTCCAGCTCGTACGCAAGTCGTGCGACATACTCTTCGCTCGTCTCGCCAGGGCGCATGCCACGATAGGGGTTGCATAAGGACACACGCTCAGTTTTTGATGCTAGCATTGGCTCAAACATAGCGCGTCGACTCAGATGGCCCCCAACTTCCAAAGCCGACAGCGTTGCTCCATGATATGAAGGTGCTCGGCCAATAAAGTGTCTCCTTTGGGGTTGTGGTTCTGGCAACTCCAGAAAGTACTGCCGAGCAATCTTGAGAGCTGCTTCTAACGCCTCGGAACCGGAGCTGACTGTGAGCAGCCTTGACATCTTCCCATCCGTGGAGCGTATAACAGCGTCGGCAAGTCTCTCACTCGCGCGAGTTGTGAAGAACTGGCTGTGGCAGTATGGCACTTTACCCATCTGCTCCGAGACTGCCGTTGTCACTCTGGCATTGCCGTGTCCTAGACATGCAACAGCAGATCCACCACATGCGTCCACGATGCTTCTGCCGCAGAAAGTGTGGTAGTATATGCCTTTCGCATGCGTCAGGGTAGGTACTCGGCGATTTAGGTCTCGCGATAGAACAGCGCTCCTGATGTTAGGTATGATCTCGTTTTGGATTCCCATCGTGTCTCTGCAACGTGCTTTTGGAATTTCCGCTGGGAGAATCTGTCTACGTGGTCGTTAAATCGACCTTGCCATGGCTGGTAGATCAAGACTGTCGGAGAAGTCATCTTCTGCACGTCTGCCGTCCTCGACCAGATGATGGATGTAAAGACGCCGAAAGCACCTCCTTCGGCCTTCATTGGTGCTTGTATTTCGTACCGAGTCGGAGAACAACCAATTCGCCTCCACATCCTTTCCAATTGCGGCACTTTTGCGCTTTCGGCTCCTTCGCGCTCTCTGCTCCTTGAGCTTTTTACCCCGAATACATGCCAGTCCTGCATATCCGATCTGCAGACTCTCTGCTGCAATTTTACTCCGTGGCGACGGACTCATCGTCAGAAAAGTCGATGAGGATGCAGACGTCCGGACGATGATCCGTCGATGTTGATATGACGGAACGGAAAATGATCATCAGACTTCCAAGTCGCCTAACGCAGCAATGTTGTGGGCAGCAGTGTTATGAGTAGGACGAGGCAGGCAAAGTAGTGCATAAGGTGGTCCTGACATTTTCTCGAAACCATCATGTCTGGTAGTGCCACTCTAATGCCGCTGAGCACAATGAATACCATGCGAATCCGAACTTGGCTCTGGCACTCATCGACTCACCAACGAAGATATCTACAGTCTTTATCAGGGCTTCCGTGTCGATTGAATGACAACAATCTCGCCCGCTGCCTATCTTCCCAGCGACGAGCACCAACGGCGACACCTCCCCCGACCGCAATTTTTCGTCGCTATGCACACGTCGAAGCAACTCCAACCAAGAGTCAGCGCAAGATCACGTTCGTAGACAAAGATGGCTCGGAACACATTTCCTGGGGTTTGGATGGTGAGAGCTTGCTTCGAGTTGCCCAGACTAGTCCCATGGAAATTGAAGGCGCTTGTGGAGGTTTATGCGCGTGCTCGACTTGCCATGTCGTCGTGGAAGGCGACGAGATGTTCGCCAAGATGAAGACACCCACCGAAGATGAAAATGACATGTTGGATCTGGCGTCGGGGTTGACCGACACAAGTCGGTTGAGCTGTCAAGTCACCATCAACAAGGAGTCGAATGGTCTTGTAGTAAGCGCCGCCCTTCTGCCCGAGCGCATAAGATGGCTGCGGACCTTTTGGGACAATGACCGCTGCTGACTAGAGACCGCAGATCAAGCTCTAGTCCGCACGACACTCTGTGGAAATTGCAGGACATTGTGAGCCAGATCCTGTTCTTTGCACTGCATGGTGCACTTGGAGCAGAATGACATGTGCCGGCGAGCATACTTCTCACTAGCAAAATGTGAAGCAGAGTGAATGGCTCCTACCTGCTTACAGGTTCATCAGCTTGAACATTGATCTTGGCCCGGTTTGTTGCTGATTTCAGTAGCCATGAAATTCGAGGCATAGGCGCCGGGGGTGTTATGATATCATCGTTAGGTTCACGCACAAAGGCCACTTAGTTAGTGACAAAATTGGCACGGTGTGCATTGGAAACACCTACCACAAGCTCGTGTCCGAACATGCTCCTGATCAACGTCCCGAAGCTCCTACTCTGGCTCAAGCACTGTCAGTGCTGACATAGTGACCGCTTAAAATCTGCATGTCCTGTAATGTTCAGAGCATGAGCAGTGGAACTTATCTGGATCTATCGCTGGACGTTCTGCCATGGGGAGCAGGCCTCAGATAGGTCAATGAATTCACACCTTATGTCACAGGAGACCAATGGCAATGGGTGTGGTTGAAACAAGATCAATGATCACCATGAACAAGATGGACTGCTGGTCACATCGAGAGATCGACTTGCCCACTATCGCTAGTGACGCCTTTTCCTGCAAGCCAATCGACATCACACAGTTGACCTGACGACCCTCCGTCAACATTCAGCTTTTGCTGTTGATACTGCTCATTGAAGAAAAACTCCTTAGCACCAAACGCTGGCTTCAGATCATCAAACCACGATGCATTCGGATCAAACTCTGCGAGAAAGACCTTTTGGCTCCATTCTGGGTTGCGACTTTGCAAGAACTTCAGGACAAAGTAGCGCCGATCGTTGATCGTTGTCTCGCCCAGAACGCAGACTTTGCCGGGGCTCGCCGACATGGAAGGACCCCGAACAGTCCGTGCAGTGCCCGGTAGCTGAGAGTATGCGGAACTGAATATATCCAGGGCTCGTGTGAGAGGGACCGAGAAGAAGTCCCGTGCACCTGTGTCTCGTTCGACAAACATGTAGTACGGAATGACTCCAAGCCTCGATTGTAGTTTCCACATTGACGCCCACGTCTTAGGCTGATCGTTGACGTGCTTGATAAGGGGTGCTTGAGAGCGTATTTGTGCTCCCGTCATACGGATAAGCCGGATAGCTTCTTGCGTAACTGGATGTTCCACTTCTCGTGGATGACTGAAATGTGCCTGTATCGTGAGATGCTTTCCTGATGCCGTGATCTCGGAGAAGAGTCGGAGTATGTCCGCGGCATCTGGGTCGTGGACGAAGCGGTACGGCCACCAAGCCAACGACTTTGTCCCAATGCGAATGGTGTCCAAGTGAGGTGGGCTACCCGGCCCAAAGAGCGGCTCGAGGTAGTGGCGTAACGTAGACGCTGGCATGACCATGGGATCGCCTCCAGTGACCAAGACATCTGATACCATCGGATGCTGTTGCACATACCGCAGGAGTACATCTCGATTCGAAGACTTGAACACCTGCTCGGATCCGACAGATGTGAATTGGGCCCAACGGAAACAGTACGTGCAGTATGCGTGGCAGTATTGACCCTATGATCACTTAGTCATCGAGAGTCGCACACGAGAGTTGGGTGGAGCTGGACTTACCTCGGAAGGGAAGAATAGCACCGTCTCGCGATACTTGTGCTGCAAACCAGATACAGGTTTACCATCGAGCTGGGGAACATTTTCTTCTTTCTGCCCCGCAGGATGCGGATTCATGCGCGTTCGAACGAGCTCGGATATCTTCCTCATCTCCACTCGAGACGTTTCGGGACGCTTCATCGCTGCCAGTATGTAATCGAGATGATTTCGGTCCAACATATTTGGCTGTGGAACGCTCAGTTTGAACATTGGGTCGGCGGGTGCATCAGACCTTTGGAAAATTAGCGACTGCCAGTCAAGTCCATCGCGATGGACTTAAATCATGAGCATGATAACTCGAGCTACTTGCCAGTCGATCAGATCATCAACTACATGATTGTTGAGTCGCATGGGAAAGACGTGTGCCGCAGCGACGAAAGCGTCTGGTTGTAGTCTAGGTTGGAAACGTTTGAAGAGAGCAGGTATCGAGTTTTTGGAGAAGAGGTTGTAAGTCTTCGGCAACATGTTTGCTTCCTGAGGGCGTCTGGTCCAAGATCGGTCAGTGTGAATAGAACTGAGGTGAAGTGAGGTCGGTCGCTTGCAGGATGTGCTCTGTATCGCGTTGCCGTCATATCAATGACTTGAAGGAAGAGTCGGCCTTCCACTGAAATTATGCCTCTAAGGAGCGCGGAAAAGTTCATGGAGTCCTTCCGTCATCATCGACCGCGTTGTCGGAATCAGTGCCTTTCACGCAGGTACTGATTTCGGGTACCACGAAGACAACACTTCTCGGGCTTGGTGACAGGTCGCGGCGGAGTAGCAGGGGTAGGGCCAGTGTGCAGACCAGCGTACACTCTGCACTAGCCATACTAGGACCCAGCGCCATGGTTGTAGCCGAGCGCATTATGTCGATCCCCGTAGAGTGCGTACGGACTCCAGCAATGGCCGTCGTGATCGTCGTGTTGGTGGTGCAATGGAAGGACAAAGGACCTTGTATACGCGCAACGGAGTAGTGGGCGCGATCCTACCAAATTGGGTAAGGTCGAAAACAGCTTCATCGGAGTGGGATCGACGCCAAAGGACACTCTCTTCCTCCTTCCGTTCATGTTGGATTACGATCATCGGTGGGCGTCTTAATGTTCGTCTTCCCAGGAGGACCACTCAGCAGTATGCTCAATTCCTGCTGGATCATTGAGCGTCGGACGAATGCTTTGCTCGGTCACCTGCCGAGTCTGGTCAGATATATGACCTAAGCATTCCTTTCTGCCTATCCATATGCACAGTATCAATAAATAACCACCTCAGTTGGTACGCCAGATCTAACATGCGGAAAGCTCCATTGAAGTGCGTTGTGTCAGGTGCCGGACCCGTTGGCGCCTTGGCGGCATTATACGCAGGCCGTAGGGGATGGGACGTGGAGGTATTCGAACGTCGTGAAGGTGATGAAGCCACTGCACATGACATGAGGTGACACTAAGGTATAATTCAGACGTTCGGAAATCTAATTCAAAGGGAACTTGCTTCTCCGCCGACCCTGCTAAGTCTATTGAGCTGGCTTTGTCGGAAAGAAGTCTCCACGCCATTCGAGAATCTTGCTAGCCAGCACTCCTCCAGGCCGTCCAGCGGAGCACGAGACCACTTCGAGGACGAATGGTCCACGGAAGAGATTCAAGCCAAGCTCTAGTCGAACGGGAGCAGCTGTACGATATACACGGACATTGCCTCCTAGCGATCGATCGGGTCACTTTGACAGAGCTCCTGCTTAACGAGCTAGAGAGTCTCCCGAACGTCAAACTCTTTTTCCGACACAAGATCACAACGATAGATCTGAAGCAACAGCAGATTCAGGCAAAAGACGAAAACTTGGCAGAACGGCACTGTCAAAATCACCATCTAGAGCAACAGGACATATCGCAGCATGTCTTCGATCTGCTCCTAGGATGCGATGGTACTCACAGCGCCGTTCGCACTTCTATGATGAGATCTTCTCGCCTAGACTACTCCCAGACCTGGGTCGACATCCTGTGGTGCCAGTTCACCATACCCGCTGCCACCGCGGGCTCATTCACTACTCCTTCTGCATCGAATGGCTTCTCCGTGAGTCCTGATCATCTGCACATCTGGCCAAATAATGAGATGATGTTAATGGCCATCCCTGCGGCGGATAAGTCGACAGCAGGCACGCTCTTTGCTTCCTTGAGTACGTTTGCCGAGTTGGAGCGCAACCCTTCTCAAGTCGAGCACTTTTTCATGCGAAACTTTCCAGGAGCGGCAGAGCTCATTGGCCTCGAAAGTATACGGAAGCAGTTCGAGATGAATGCGCACGAGCCGCTCATCAGCATCAAATGTTCTCCCCATGTCTACGGCTCATGCGCCGTTATACTTGGCGATGCGGCCCACGCTATGGTTCGTTTCTACGGCCAGGGCGTCAATGCCGGTCTGGAAGATGTGCAGGTGCTGTTTCGCTGTCTGAATGAATCCGAGGCCCTTGATTTAGGGCTCGGACACGCCCTGGAGTGCTACAATGCTGAGCGGGTTGCCGATGCGCACGCTATCAATGATCTCGCCATCTCAAATTACTGGGAGATTCGTGCCGGAGTACGGTCTCGATACCACCTCTTGCACAAGGCATTCGAAGAAGTCATCTCTCGGTACGCTCCATTCACTGGCTTTGTCACGCAATACAGCCGGGTCAGCTTCAGCAATCAGCGGTACTCCAAGATTGTCAGTGCGATGGCTCTCCAGCGCAAACGACTTGCCAGAGCTATCACGGCCATATTGGCCCCACTGGTGATACTCCTGGCCTGGCTCGTCTGGAAGATACTTTTGTGTAGAGTGATGATCAGAATTCTTTGAGCATCGCTCGGATGAACCTCATGTCTGTCTCTTAAGCCCCTCGCTGTATAGCACTGAGCCCGCAGCGATAGTCGCAGCATCCGAGACGGCTGTAGGATTGGCCAATGCTATTGCGTAGCTAGTGATTCACTCATTGTGATTGTTATGGGACTCATGAAATGATTACCATCAGGAACAGTAGGCTGAACGCATGACATTGAAGTGATTCGCGCGCGAATCCAAAGAATTAGAACTACTCTCGGATCATGTCACGTGCGTTTGTCCTCCGCATTCCCAAGAATCGTCATGCTGTAGGATAGAGTCTAGCTCGAGCTCCACGCTGGGAGCGAACTCGCGTCGGCAAAGAGTCGTTTCGTGGACACCTCAAGAACAATTGGAGACAGTCCCAGGTGCAAGTGAATGCCTAGCGACCCTGCCGTCTCTCGTCACTCGTACCCACATCCATCATCCAAGATGAAGTCCTTTATTGCCTCTCTCTCCTCTAAGCCTATCTTCCGTTCACACATCCAGCCATCTAACCACTTGAGAATACTAAGAGCTTCATACGCCATGCAGCACAGCGTCCCAGATCTGAGCGACAAGTCTTTGCTCAAGAACCAGACTTACATCAATGGCAAATGGGTTAATGCAAAGTCGGGCAAGACCTTCGAGGTCTACGACCCGGCTTCTGGGAAGCTTATAGGCACAATGCCGGAGATGGACAAGGAAGATACACAGGAAGCGATCAAAGCTGCTGCGGCTGCGCTACCAGAGCTGAAGAAGACTACGGCACGACAACGGTCGAAGTGGCTGCGAAAGTGGTACGATCTGATGATGGAGAATGCGGAAGATCTGGCGAAGTTGATCACATGGGAGAATGGAAAGCCGATAGCAGATGCCAAGGGAGAAGTCAACTATGCTGCCAACTTCTTCGAGTGGTTCAGTGAAGAGGCACCTCGAGCATACGGCGATACCATCCTTCCAAGCATTCCCGGAAACAGAGTCTTCACGATCAAGGAGCCCATTGGTGTTGCTGGCTTAATCACGCCATGGAACTTCCCAGCTGCTATGATCACCCGCAAGATTGGGCCGGCACTGGCAGCAGGCTGTACCGTGGTCGCGAAGTCTCCGGGCGAGACACCGTTTACAGCTGCGGCGCTTGCTGAGCTCGCGCATCGTGCCGGCATTCCGCCAGGCGTGGTCAACATCGTCACATCACTGGAGAACACTGCAGAGGTCGGCGAGACGATCACATCCTCTGAAATTGTTAAGAAAGTCTCCTTCACCGGCTCAACTCGCGTAGGCAAACTGCTCATGAAGCAGTCGTCTGATACGCTGAAGAAGCTTTCCTTCGAGCTTGGAGGCAATGCGCCATTTATTGTCTTCGACGACGCAGACATGGACACCGCGGTCAATGGTGCCATCGCGTCGAAATTCAGATCATCAGGCCAGACTTGTGTCTGTGCGAACAGGATATACGTGCAGAAGGGCATTTACGACAGCTTCGCAAAGGCACTGACAGAGAAAGTCAACAGTTTCAAGGTTGGTGGCGGTTACTCCGAAGGCGTCACTCATGGACCGCTTATCCACGATCGCGCTGTCAGCAAGGTCGATGCACATGTCCAGGATGCTATCCAACAAGGTGGCAAAGTGCTCACCGGTGGCCAGAAGCTGCCTGACCTCGGCTCGAACTTCTACCAGCCAACTGTCATACGCGATATGACTCCGAGCATGGACTTGGCGCACGAGGAGACGTTTGGTCCAGTCGCTGGTCTATTCCCATTTGACACAGAGGCCGAAGTAGTGAAGCAAGCGAATGATTCCGAGGTTGGTCTGGCTGGCTACTTCTTCTCGAAAGATCTCGCACGCTGTTACAGAGTTGCGGAGGCGCTTGAAGTTGGTATGGTCGGAGTCAACACAGGTCTGATCTCGGATCCTGCTGCACCATTTGGCGGCGTGAAGCAGTCTGGTTTTGGACGTGAGGGAAGCAAGTATGGCATTGATGAGTATATGACCATCAAGATGGTGACGATGGGCGGTCTAGGACAGCCGCTGCAGGGCTCATGAGAGGGTAGCAGCTACGTTCTCGAAGCATGATCCATCTATTTTGAGAAGTCTGGGCCACAGTCATAGTATGCAGATGAGACACGTGAGCTCTTACTATATAGCAGCTCACCAAGCTCTGTACCTGCAGATGCTATAGCTGCGGGACGGCTGGCGATGCTCCAGCCATATTACAAAAGCCTGTATGTACGAATGTGAAGCCTGTCAACGTATCCACTACTCAAAGTCCGTGATAATGTAAATTTGTCTATTCTCCTGCCTTGGTCGACCAGTGCATGTGGATCTCATGTTGTGCTATGCCTGATGACGCAAGCCGCTCGCAACAGACGCTCGCGATGTCACTCGTGGTCACTGCAGTTCGTGCAGGCTTTGTGCCAATTTTAAATTGTGTGCCTTCCCGACCTCACTTCTTATGATAACTCGCATTTGTGGTATTTCTCAGATAGCCTTCGGTCGCATAACAAGATAGCAGAGGCAGTCGCCAAGATGTCGCTTTTCGAGACTGTCAAAGGTCTGACCAACGTGAGTCGGATTCAGCTATCGGGGATCCAAGATTACTAATTTGTGTAGACCTACCATGCCTATGTGTTCGGTAAGACTAATAGGGCTGTCTCCAGCAAAACTTCAGACTAACCAGCGGCAGGCACGGCATTCTGGTACTTCTTGCGCGGCCTAATGAGAATTATCGCCCCAGTCACCGTAGCTGGCTGGTTCCGCCCTCCTGCCCAATGGACGATGGAGAAGCTTGTGTCTGCTCCTAATGGTGCGTATGCTGTAGCCTGATCGCCGGTCGATGGCTGACACTCCACTAGACCTCGAGCTCTACAACATCCGCACAGATGCCTGGGGCCTGTGGGCCATCGCCATGTTGCTACTCGCCATGGCTGACGCAGTGCCCTTGCCTGCATCACTAGTTGGATCCTCATTGGCAGATCCTGCTCCGAGCCAGTACAAGAAGCCTTATGCTCGAGCTGCGATCTTGATCACGATCTTCCATCATATCACCACCGGCATTGGCGCTTACTCGCACTGGAGACTGCAGACGCATCATACTGTAGCTATGGACATCGGTGTTTATGGCAATGTTGCGCTGACGGCTCTTGGTGTGTTGGCGCTTGTGTACGGCTTGAATGATAAGACTGTTGGAAAAAAGAGGGCTTGAGATGCTCTGAAAGGCATTGGAGCGAGGAATGAAGCTAAAGTTGTCATGGCGACTCCACCAAGCTTTGATCGAGCCGCTGGGAAGCGAAAGGTCCTTCTAATGAGATGACCATGGCTGTGAAGACTATCACGAATTCATGACGAACAGTGAGGTACGAGAGGAGAGGACTTGAGATCTGTGTCTGATACCATATAACGTACAACATCCACGAATGAAAAACACCGGTATCACTGCGCATGCTTTGTGCCGGACGGACTACTTAAGCTTCACCAGTCCGCCACAGCTGCATCATACCAGTTTCCGATCGATCCTTTCGGACTCTTGACGCCCGTAGTGTCCCACCACGTCTTCGATGAAGGATGCTCGATCTGCCACGCCCGCGAGCATGGATGGGGTGGATACAATGCCTCGGTGTCTGATGCTCAACAGTCGACCAAAGCTTTCGTACTCGACACCTGGAGCAATGGGTCTTATTGTGCCTTCATAGGCATCATCAATGCAGCAGTCTTCTGGTAAGCTCTGCTCATATAATATCCTGTCCATGTTGAATGGTCGCCGAATGGTCATGTTACCGTCATCGTCTGCCTCATATAAATGTCCTCGAAGCTTTGGTACCTCCAGGGCCGCAGCACCTTGTATCGGGACTGTCTGCTCCCAGAACGATGTGGTGAACAGTGCACGGACGTAAAATTACGGTATCTCCTAGCCCATGTCGACGTCTGGACATTTGTGTTAGATCCATATGTGCCATCCCTCTTTCAGGTACTTCTTGCCTATGCAGCCGTTGGGCCACTGGTTGACGATATGGTTCATGGCGTGCTCAGACTCATAAGTGTGTCCTATATCGCCAAAGATATCGTTCTCCCAGTCGCAGCCTGCTTCGCCCATAGTTACAAACCCGCAAGGCTCCTCCTGAACGTTCGAAGCAGCCCTATGAGCAGCATGAGCTAGTTCATGGACCATTAGTCTGGCAAAATTTGTTTAGGTGAAACCGCTGAAACGATTCGCAATCCCGAGTACGATCCAACTGCGATAGCTGTGCGACGATACTCTCGTCGTAGTAGACCGTACTGCAAGCACCAGGGAAGTCTCCGTACGTATAAGGAGCCACACAGCCAAGGTGACCATCTGATGGTTGGCACAATGCTTCAGTAAGAGTCTTACGACGATGGAAGCTGACCATACCTGCCATCGTCTTCAATCTACTACGGACCATCGCCTTGTCCTTTGACGAGAGTATGGACCTACTTGGGAAGCAGGCCCAATGCCAGTCGTCTTCACCATCACCCCGGTCAACGCGAAGAAGGTCGCCGAACCATAGATTGTGCCAATAATTCAACAAGCAGTCCGTATCGATGAGGAGAGATGCAAGCCGCAAGGATGGCAGTATCGTCTCGAAATTGATACCAGGGAAATTCATGAGAGCGAAGATTGGATGCATTTCATTGGCGAGGTCGTCAGATTCCTGTGAGACGACGCCATCAACACCAGTAGCCTCTCCGTGGGCCGAGTCGGATTGGTTCTCGTAGACGGGGTCAAAGCCGTATTCTTCCTCCCCCTCGGTCACGTTCCAGGGCTTAAAGTATAACATCGTGTGTGTAAAGTCACCAAGACGAAGTTTTGGATCTGCAAGTGAAAGAGAGACTGCCTCTTTATATCCATTGTTCACTCAATCAAATTGTCCTCACCTTGACAAGTTCCAGCTAGTGTTTATTAAGCTTGAAGACAAAGCCAGTTAGGGGCAGTTGAACGGTAACCATGACTGACTTGAGCCACAGCAGAGGAACGTGAATTGGCTTACTGTCCATAAGGTGGTTTGCTCTCGTGGCCCAGCACTCCACTGCTTCCCGAGTCCTGGTCTTTTTCTGCTGGACATGTTGCGGGGTAAATGGCGTTGGCTACGAAGCCAATCTTGGCCTCATGGCAATTGTGTTTTCACAACACTGCGAGCTATCGATGAAGTCGAGAGTTGCGGAGCGTACACATAATACAGAATAAAGGGGCACAGACTTCTGTATCACGGACAATCAGTAGCCACGACCCGGCGGCGTTGGACTCTCTTAGTGTGTGCCAGCAAGTTCTCAGTAGATACTTTCTAACTTCGAGCGTGCCTTCCGATGCTGTTATAAGAAACCATAGTACCATGTTTCGAGACTTCATGGCTTGCTCGCGACGTCTGTGCTGTAGCCAGGGTGCGACTGTCTCCGGTCTCTCTAGCCACAGAGGTACTGTTTTAGCAGAATTTATCGAATCAGCACGCCGAGTCAACATTCGGAAGGAAGAATTCGAAGAGGTACTGGGGGCCTTTCACATAGCATCTATCCAATACCGCTTGAAAAAGGTGGGTATGCGAGTGCACTCCGCTATAGCCCTCTCAACTTTTGTCTTGTATTGACATGCCACTAATGTACCGTCCCAGAGCATCAGATACCCTTCGGGCGCCACATCGGTGGTCCTGATGCCTAGAGAAAGGCTTCGACGTCTGTCCGGGTGATAGTCCCATTGTCCTATCTTGCAGGCGGGATCTTCGACGACTCTATAAGTTGACTTACACATCGCGATCGCCTCACCGTCTAGCTCTGGCGCTCTCTCCTTCTCCTCAAGCCGGCAGGTGCAAGGCTCCACGATATCAGCATAACCACTAATCCGAGGTGCTCGCAATGCTTGCACTCCCAGCCTTGGTCCATCAGAGGTCCAGAAATCATCGTGGAAAAGGAGCTGGGCCCATGCCAATGGCAGATACCAGGTTCGATCAATAATACCGGCGCCAGAAGCGGCTCTGCTCGTGCCCATATGATTGTAAGTCGCATTAAGGCCAGGGGATGGCCACTCCGTCATCACAAATGACCCTTCTGGATTGCAACAATCGAGGACGCCATCCCAAGCGATGTGCTCGAGCGAGAAGCCGATCTCACTCACAGTAGCGGGTGCAATCGCAGGTTCTTCAACGACTCCAGTGGGCTTCGGTCGCATTCTGAAAAGAGCATGTCCAAGCTCGTGTAACAAGGTCGATGCGAAGCTGAGCCATGGTAGTACCCACCTCAGTCGCTGGAGATCTCCTCCGCACGACTTGTAGTACTCATGCATATCGTCGAACAGGAACTTGGAGTATGAGATTGTGGCTCGAGCTCCGGAGAGCAGTCTGTCTTCCTTGCTGTTGCCTGACAAAGAGTAATGTGAAGTCTCTTCTGCCGGCACTGACCATATCTCCGCCAGATCTTGCGGGATGCCACGCGGTGAGAAGACTTCTGACGGCTGTACTAGGGAGGTCTTCTGGGAGATGGCGACTTCCGCGTAAGTGAAAGCAGCGGTCCCTAATTCTCTAGGGAGTTCGTTTTACATGATCTGCAGATACTGAGCAGCTTCCACGAGAGCTGACCTGGTCCGCTCACGTTCCCGTGGCTCGATCTGCTCTCGGAAGTCTATGTACCCGCCGGGGTTGTTCGCATCAAGATCATCGAGACCCTGGACGTCTGCGTAAAGTATTGCATGGAATGCGGCTATCACAATGTCAGTATGAAGCAAGTGCGAGAGGAGTCGTAGAGCGGGTTCTACTACCTCAAAGTCTTGTCCTCGGAACTTGTCTGCGCTGCACAGAGGGTGGAACTCTTTCTTAAGGGTGTACCGTCCAGTGACCAGCATTCGTGGTTCCCACAGCTCGTGGAGGTTGAGAAATCTGCAAAGCATGTTGACAAATTTGGTGTAAATCACGAATCTTGCTTCGGTTCTTGTCGAACAAGGTCAATTATGTCTGCACCGTACATGGCGACCAGAGACTCTGCCATTGCCATACGCAGCTTATCGCAGTGTGATCAAGAGCTACAAAGGACTATTGTTCCGTTGTGGGTAATGATTGATAAAGGCTGCTTTGTCTGACTGCCACTTCTCACTTTGAATGCCGACGTCATGCACCGATGTGTCGTCTCCAGGCCGCCATTAGTCTGAATGAAGTATGAGCAATGACAGAACCACCAGCACGTACCCTTCACATCGACTGCTGATACAGCTCGAAATCGGAGTCAATACCGTTTAAATCTGTTGAACGGAACTTCACGAGCAGTTGTCGCGGGCGCTGGGCGTGAGGGGATGATGAGTGTACTGGGAAAGCGTCTGTTTGTATCGAAGTAGTCAGCTCTTTAGCTAATACTCGTGACGCAACGAGAAGAGACAAGTTAGTACATAGCATATTCAAAATCGCCGTCTGATGGCTGTGCTTGTCCGTCCTTCAAAACCTTTTCCACCTTGTCTTTCAGCGTAGAAGGTATCAAGGTACCGTCCCATAGCATCAAGTGACCTTTTGGTACCAGAAATTGCGGGTCGACATCTTCTTGTCCTGCAACGATATCACTAGGGTCGTAATAGTAATGAAGTGGCGTTTTTTCCCATTCACATGCGGAAATTCCCTTACGCTTCAGCACAGGACACGGGCTTAGGGGCCCGGTGTCCACCTCGTTGCCTGCGTCGTCTCTCAGGATCACGCTCTCGAGAATGGCTCTTTCAGCCTCGATGTCCTCCTCATCGCAGATCCATTTGGACAACGTGCGCACGTATCCGCACAGCCGCGGTACCTTCAATGCTTCGGCGCCATGCTTCGCCACTGCCAAGTCCCAATAATTGTCCCGAAACAGAGACGTTGTCCAGTGGTGCAGGAGACGCCACAGACGATCGATGCTGCTCGTCTCGTCAGGATCGACAGTGCAGGAAAGATGGCTGTACTTGTAGCCGGCACAAAGTGAAGCACTTGGATATTCTTTGAGAAACAATACGCCGGGGCGGACTTCGAAGCCTTCGGTTATCTTGACTGTACCGCCCCATACCATGTGCTCGAGCACAAACCCCATTTCACCAATCGGGCCATGGTCCATAATGGGATCATCACGATGGCTGTCAAGTCGCATATGCCATGCCACGTGGCCAAGCTCATGCAATAAGGCATAAGTACCTCTGTCCTTGCGTCCGGGAACATCTCGGGTTCGAAGAGAGGGTGAAAGTCATTAGTCAGGGAGTACTTACCAGTGACCGGCACTGGTGGCTCCCAGGGAGAGACGATGCGCTCGTTAGCGCAGAACCTAGTACACATATCTGCAGTCTTTTCCAGTAAAACCAGATATGTACGGTAGTGTTGAATATGTTGTGATCTGGAGTATGAAGGACGGGCCCTACTGCATGCTTGTACGGTATCTAAATCGCGAGTCAATAATGACCATTGTACTGTTATTCGCGCTTCCCACAAGACCTAGAATCCTTTCATCATGCCATGAGGACCTCAGAGCCAGGTTGATGGGTCAGTCGTATTTCGGGAACAAAGACCCTCGAGCATGTCCCACTCAGACCCGGTGTACAGTGGAGCACATCCATGTATGTCACGAGGAGCCAGTGATAGCATACAAATCAGTAATCCGTTCGTACTTCCGGTGACGATAGCACCGTGCCGGCTTTCAAGTCCCTTCCGGATGATAGAGACTCCACGAATCTGGAAGTGAACGGCGACTGCAAGAAGCTTGCTTCATACCAAAAAGCTATCGTACAGCGTATACATAATGCTGGTAGCATACAAGCTACATAAAGAAGTATCTGCGGCAAGCCTTAGCAAACACGAGAACGCCATTATTTCCCATGCACGAATTGGAATATACCTTTGATCTCATATCATCTCGCACCCATGGTGTCGCCATGCTATGCGGTGAAAACGCCATGGCTATGCCGCTAATGTTCAATGTGATTTTGGTGCCGGTCCGGACGGCCACATGCTTCACGTCCGGCGGGCCACCTCGAGCACATAAAGTGATGCTCGTGTGTCAGCCATGCCATTCCTTGCCTAAGTCATGCTCTCCCTTCATCTTCGATCGCTTCATGTCTTCGATGCGTTTCACGTTCGCTCAGTCTCCTCCTCAAACAGAGAACTTAGCCTTGGCCCTGCTGCTACCTTGGTGAGCGGAGTCAGCATGTCCGCTGAACTCAACCTGCTCATTGTCCGGCAATTGCAGCACAGCCTTGAACCTCTTGCCGATACGCTCGAGCCTGTTCTTGCTGTCCGCCTTGTCCGTGTCCTGATTAGCACCAGCTGCGCCCTTCTTAGGGGCCTGGCCCGCAGACCTCGTCCACAAGCCCACACGCCAGAAGCCCTTGCGGATGTTGACCACGACGCCCATCACCTCGTTGTCGTTCTCTTCTTCGAGGGTCTCGCCGATTGCGGCTAGCATGATATGTAACCAGACGTCGTCGTTGGCGTTCTTGCCGCCTTTGAAGGTGTAGGCCCAGCGACCACCTTGCTTGTTCTGCAGATCTTCCCATTCAGGACGGACGCCTTTCTTGAAGAGATGGTAGTCGGATTTTTGGGCAAGCTCCGAGGCAGGCGTGATGTTGTTCTGGTAATGCGAGTCAGTAATTGTAAGCACGTGAGTGGGTGATGATGTGTAGAGTCATACGTAGATACCCCAGAATTCCTCAACGCTGTCGAAGCTGATGACCTCCTTCAACAGCTCGTTCCAGTCCTGCTTCCCGCTTGGTGGCTTGGTGAACCAGAGCGTCCAGGGATTCTGCAGCTGGTGCTTGACGTTGAAATTTGCTGGGTCGTCGAAGACAGTGACGATCTTGTCGTCGTCATGATTGCCATTGGTGGCACCGTTGGTGGCATCCGTCACGGCTCCGTTGGGTGAGATGGGAATGGTGTCGAGAGGGACTGGGTCCGCGGGCTCGTTCGAGGTTATGCCAAGAGTTGCGCCTGCGGCGACAGTGAGATCAGTGGCCATTCTAGTCTCGTGGTTGTTGTAGGGCTGGAGTGATGGTGGCTTAGTGAGCGATCGGTGAGAGGAGAGCGGTGTAAGCAAGACTGTGCGCCGGGCAGAGTCTCCTGGAGTGGTTGATATGGTACGGGTTTGCAAGCGCGACCAAATTGTCAAGAACTCACTGGCATGGCGCCGGCGAATCGGCAAGAGGCAGCCTGAAATTGCGCTAGATCCACAAGCGGGAAGCGTGATTTCTTCACGCGCAGCAAGTGAGTGGACTGCAGACGGCGCTTCCTTTTCGCAACATTCACAGCACAACACTTCACGCTGGGGGAGCTTGTGAGTCGACCGAGTGAGCCTCAGACATGTCATTCAGCCAGATAGTCGAGGTGTTACGACAGCACAGAGACGATGGCTTCCAATATGGATGAACCATCTGAACCTTCCATCTTCGGCCCAAGTCAGGCAAGCACTCCTCGACCATCGCCGCCACCATCACTTCAGGACCGTCCGGACGATGATACTGGAGAAATGCCCGACCGGGACGCCAAAGGGGGCTTCCCATCATCGCCTTTGCCCGGACCATCCAAGGTGGACGATGCAAATTCCGAATCGGAAGATGACGACGAAGACCGTCTAAACAAATTCCAAGGCCTCGCAAGTACGTGGTACAAGCACACTGCTGATGAGCGCTCTCTTGCCACATCTCTGGACCAGCAACGAGCCAACGATCTTGGCGTACACCTGTACAACACCCATGCCTTGAAAGCTAGAGTACGAGATCCCGTACGAGCCGCTGCTGCCAAGCCATGGCAGAGCAAGCAGGCCTGGATCCAGCGAGATAAATATGACAAGTCACCGTGGCATCCAGATGCACACTGGACCTCCTGGCCCTTGCCTGTGACAGATGTGCCTCGAAGGGATGAGGGCTTTGGTGTAGATCTTGCCGTTGCTCACGATCTTGATACGTATCGGAAGTCTGAACCATGGCACGCGAGTCAAGATATACAGGACGAGCTACAGGCTACTGTGTTGCGCAAAACAAAAAAGCGCTTCAGTCGTCGTGTATGGGCCACAGACCTTACAAGCTATGTCGAACGGCATGACGAGACCGAAGATAATGACGGCACGTACCACACGCCCCCCGAATCTCTTGGGCAAGATTTCTGTCAGCCATCACTCACCGCAGATGACGATCAGGTTCATGAACTATTGAGACCGACATTGCGGCACATATTGAGCAAATTTGACGATTTATTAGTCGGGCTACACAAAAGTCGGGCAGGTCATCGTCGACAACAACATGGCGATCAAGTCTCTGGTGAATCCAGACCACAATGTGCACGATCACGGTCTCGCTCCCAACCATTTAGAAGTCGCAATGCAAGTAGACCACGAACAGGAAAGGCATCGACAACGAGCACACAGTCCAGTGACGCTAATTCGGAGATGGCTGAGTCCGACGAGGGTTCGCCAAAGTGGTCTCAGAAGCCACGACGACGTGCTTCTGGCCAGTCTAAGCACGACCTCGGCCAGCGGGACTGGAGTGATGTGCTCAGTATGGCGGCGCTGACAGGCTGGGATCTGGCCGTTATAGATCGTGCTGCGAAACGATGCGCTGACTTATTCGGAGAGACAATGGCCTTTCGAGTCATGCCTGAGACTGGAGCTGATGCGATTGACGATCGCCTTGTGGGGTATCGGCCTGAGATGGTGCCTCTCACCGACTCGGAAGGCGAAGAAGAAACTGACTTGGCAGAGCCAGAGCTCACTCCAGCGTATTTCTGCCCTTTCCAGTCTTGTGCACGGCATCACGAAGCTTTTCCTGTACCGTTCAGATGGCGTGAGCATCTTCGACGGGTACACAAGCTTAGCGTGGCAGCCATCAAAGATGCTGAAAACCAGCTTCTTGGTCTAGTAGCTCATGCCGACGATTCGCCTCAATACTTCTGTCCTTTTCAGTCGTGCGAACGGCATCATAAAGCATTTCCACTGGCCTATCGATGGCGCAGACATCTTCGTGAAGCTCATAGGCTTAGCGACGATGCCACGAGAATTGCTGAGACACAGCTCACTGGATATATTGACCCTACATCTCCTAACAACTGCGAAGATTCTGGTTCGCAACACGGCACGGCCGCGGCAGTCAGCTCAGATATGGTCGGAAATACACCTAAAGATGTGCAGAACGTGGATGACGACGAGTCAAGCATGCTAGGTGCTGTGCATAGGGACAGCTTTATGCAGCCTATCACTGGCCAGCTTGCCAGAGGCAAGGACAAAAAAGGCCGGAGACGAGGGACTACGGACGAGAACATTGGCTCGCCCAAGAAGAGAAGAGTGGTGGACGATAATTATGTGGTTGAAGGTGACCTCGCCATCGACTAGAAGAGTGCTACACCTTAGCTCAAGTATTGTGCGGCCGACTCCTGCACTATAATGCAATAATTGTAAGCGCCTGATCATCGCACAGGACCATGCCAGCCATCAAGTCACGATTTGTCGATGCTGAAATGAAGCAGCAGCTCCATACAGCTTCTTCCTCGGCCTCAATATCGTTGACCTAGACCTCCGGCTCCGGCTCTTCATCAATCTCATCCTTCACGACCTTGTCCTTAGTCTTGCTGTTACTAGTCGGAGCCTGTCGACCTTTCTTCTTGGCTGGACCTTTCTTGCTACTTGAGTTCTTGGTCTCACCATCACCAATTCCCTCACCATCGTCACTACCCTCGACCCCCTTGCGCTTCTTTCCACCCTTGCCACCCTTCTTGCTGTTCTCAGCCGAGTCCGTGATCGTGTGAGAGCGGGCTAGGAGTACGACTCAGCATGTCCGAGGATCCAGCTCAGAGGATGATTCCATGCATACAAACGGTAGCGCCTCCGCCAACTTTCTCACTGGAACATGATTAGCTATTGCACCATACAAAATACCTCAGAGGGATTTGACTCACATCTTCTTCTTCAGACCGTTCCACGAAGCCTTAGCCGATGCCGCGTTCTTGAAACCAGCCTTTTCGGCATATAGCTTGTAGTCGACTTCGATGGGAGACTTGGTGCAGGTCATAGCGGTCGCAAGGTGTTGGAAGTCAAGGGCGGTAAAAGAGGCGCCGCCTTCTTTGTTGGACATCTTGGATGTTGTGGAGAAGTCTGCTTGGAAAGAGCGTGATGTGATATGTCTTGATGGATTAAATTCTCGGGCGATCTTGACACGGTATGGTATGTGATCCGGTACTGGAAGGAAAGATTGAAATGCTGTTATAGGCGCCGGACGCCAGTGAGCTCAATCACGTGAAAGCCTTCAGAGAAAGCCGCACGCTCGCGAGGAGATCATGTGCACCTTACCGACGCATATTCTCTTCAGAGATCGTAGGGAGATTGAGGCTGCGTGTCGGATGCACCGTCTAAGACTCTCAATGTGGTTCGACACTACTTGGAGGCAACAATATCTTCGAGCAGTGAGTGCACTCAGACGTACAAGTCACGACGCTCCGACGACTTCCATATATGACGAAATCCTCTGCTCCTTCCAGAGCAAATCTAGAACACAGCTCGCAAACCCACTCAGGCAGTAGCGGTACCGAGAGCGTTTGCCGCTGTACTGTCAGGACTAAGACTTGGGACGTGGACGTGTCAAGGCGCTCATACCGGCCTTGTGAAGTTGTGAAGTTGCCACGATGATATGCTCTGCCATGCAACCAGAGAAATATCGCCAGACATCCGACATGCATCTCGATGCTACCACAATGCGGTCGCGATGCTTAAGAATATTGCAGGCACATGTGTTCGAATATGTGACCTGTTTCCAAGACCCCTGCTTCTATAGTTACACAGAGGCTCAGTGCGTGCATAAGCCGCAGGCAACGAAGTGAATCATGCCAAACGACCTGTCACATGCATGCATGCACTCACAAAAAGTCCTGCATGTCCTGCGCAATGACCTTTGACACACTTTCGTTGCATTGTGAAAACATTCTCTCACATTACTCAGTTCCGTCGCATTGCGAAAACATTCTCTCACATTACTTCAGCAATTCAGCAGCACTGCAGAACATACGTTCATCTTACGCAGATCCCAACACAAGCTCACTCAAGGTACACCGACGCAGTGCCATACCATCATACTACTTACAACACTGACCACTATCGTCACAGATGGCCGACAAGGATTTCTCTGCCCGTGAGACGGAGATCATGGCGAAGGCGTGGAACTGCATGGTCGAGGAGCCCAAGGTATCGTCTACTCTGCCAAGTCTCAGACCACCAGTGAGTCCACACATTACTGATTTGCATGAAGGTCGACTACGAGAAGCTCGCCAAGGCCTGCGGCATGACGAACCCGCGCTCGGCCACCAATGCATGGCGTGCAATTAAGACCAAAATCATGGCCAGAGGCGGCATCACCAAGACTACGGGCAAAGGCGAGGACGCCGATGGTGAGGGCGGCGAGACTCCGGTCAACCCTACGCCCAAAAAGCGTGGTAAGGGTAAGACGGACGCTGATGGTGATGGGGAGAGTCCTACCAAGAAGGCGAAGGGTAGTGCCAAGGGCAAGAAGAAAAGTGAGGAGGTTGTTGGGGAGGCCGATGACGACGAGGATGGCGAAGGCGGCAAGGTTGTCAAGGGCGAGCCGGAGGTGGACGGTGATGATGATTTCAACTAATGCTTTGGTGCTTGATCGCAAGGTCTTGCTACCAAGCGCTTTACCAAGTCACGGTCTTAGGTGTACGATAGCGCACTACGAGTATCGATGTCGGATTGCGCAAGTCGCATTCTGTCCACATTAGGATGACGAGCATCCGAGTAAGCTGAGCTATGATGCTAACCTCCGTAGTGCGAAGATTGATTTAATATCCGGTGTGTGAGCCCTGTCATTCTCATGCAGCACTCTGCTCCTATATCAGCATGCTGCACTCGAAACGAGTGGTCAGCATATCAATTGGCGCAGCAACCTGCTCGTCCGGCGCTCTAGTGCCATAGTACAGCACTCAGGCGGAACGCCACCGCGGACTCCTTGTTGACGCGTCGTAAACTTCGTCCCTCTCATAATCATACAGTCGTCATCATGTCGCCAATGAAGCTTCTTCGGCCCATGGAAATTCACACTTCCAGTCGTGAGAGCTTGCAACCCCTTGCTCAATCCCACCGATGGCTTTCATCCCCACCTATCCAACTCTTCTCCTCATACCCGACCTCTTGCTTGATCCTCTGCACCAACTCATCACTCCCCATGTTCTTTGCTTTATCGTCACTGAGTTTGATCGCCGCTCTACCCTTGGCCTCGCTCAATTTGATGACGATATTCAGCGGAACGCTCTTCTCCCCTTTCTTCTCGCCACTGGAATGCTTGAAGTCGTTCGTGAAGAACGTTCCCACGCCGAAGCTAGGTGTCAGGCCGGCGGCGTCTGTGGCTTGTTTGTATTGGATGCACTTGTCCACGTTGAGCGCGTCGGAAAAGACGATGACTTTCTTGTCGGTGATCTTGTGATCTCTGTAGAACTTTTGCAACAGTTTGATATACTCCAGTGGATCGCCAGAATCTTGTCTCACGCCCGTGAAGATCGCGGCGTACGATGGGTCCTCCCCTTCTTGCTGAGTATCGATCGTGCCGCTCTTTGGCGCAGGTTTTCTAAACGAGCGCAGAAAAGCGGGTGTGCCGAAAGTGTCCGTCAAAGCGATCGAGAGTACGCCACGGCCGAAAGTGCCTGTCCAGTATTGTAGCGCTGTCTCGTTCGCGTCGGCGTAATTGTCCTTCAATGCCGCAATACCCATGAACCACTCATGTGCTACCGTTCCTATCAGCATCACATCATGCTTCATAGCCATATGGACGTTCGACGTGCCGCTGAACTTGCCTTTCCAATGATCACCATTGCTATCGGCTGCCCTCTGGGCATCAACAAGACCCTGCACGACCATCTCATGGGTTTTATAGTCTCGTCTCCGTCGACTGCCGAATTCGCTGAAGACGCAGCCGTTCTGGATGAGTTTGAGACCTTTCTCCTTGGCATTTTCGACTTGGCCATCATGCGTCCAGCTTGTGTCGACGAACTTGAAATAGGCTTCTGATACTAATGCAAGTAGAGGGATCTCGTACAAAATAGTCTCGACCCATATGCCTTGCACGTCCAGATGCAGCTCGCCGAAGACATCGTCGCCACCATGCTCGCTGTTTGGGTTGAAGTCCAGCCTGACATGATCCTTGGGTCGGAACGTGAAGTCCTTGAGATATCTGATATAGTTCTGATCCAGGTAGGAACATGTCTTCTTGAGCCATGCAAGTTCATCGTCAGTCGCGCGGATGTTGACCAGCTTGGCAACCTGAGTCTCAAGCCATCGGAAGCCCCGTCGATTGAGTTGCATCTGTGGTGTACGGTTGGTGAAGCGGTACCTCACGGGAACCTCTGAGAAGAAGCGAAGGACAGCACACTGCATAGTAATCTTGTATAGGTCCGTGTCAAAGATGGAGAAGACGCCTTCTGGCGCGGATGTACCATTGGTCGTAGCCATGATGGCGATGAAGATCGTTGGCCTTGTGCTCGGCCTGTAAGTATCGACAGTCCTGACAGGTACATGAGATGAGCTGCCATGTAAATAGAACAGTGTATATATGACGCGTCTAACAAACATTTAAATGTCGTCCCGGTGTGTTTCGAGCCGATAAGCGATAAGGTGCGGCTCGAATTTAAGGTTGAGTTAGCTTTACACGTGCAGCAAAGCAAAACACCTTGAATATGACCCGGCCGATTTAGCCGGGCAAGGAAGCTACGCTTCTGGTCTCCCAAAGTTCTTCTTCGTTGCAAGGGAGCGGTCGGTGTGAAGCGAAAAAGTAGTCGACGGTCGCCCGACATTCATCGAAGCTGTGTTCTCAGCATTCACTTCACCTTCACCCATATCGTGTTCCAGTAGCCGGCACACCGACAAGATGGCTGCAGCTTTACGATGGTAGGTCTAGAGCCAATGGCAAGAATCATAGCACTTTAAGGCATAGTGACTAACATGTCTTCCTAGGTACCAGGCTCGTCTCGCCGCTCGACCTCTCCTTACCCAGTCTATCACAACCTCGATTCTCTTCGCGACTGGCGACACAATGGCTCAACAGTTGGTCGAAAAGAAGGGCTGGGGCAACCATGAACTGGCTCGCACTGGTCGCATGGCCCTATACGGTGGTTGCGTCTTCGGTCCTGCCGCTACACTCTGGTTTGGATTCCTACAAAGAGCTGTACGGCTTCCTGGCCGACCCAACCTCGAAATTGTGGCACGTGTGGCAGCCGATCAGTGCATCATGGCTAGTACGAACTTGTTCGTGTTCTTGAGTACGATGGCTGTGCTGGAAGGCACGGATCCGAAGAAGAAGTTAGAAAGCACATATTTCAATGCTTTGAAAAAGAACTGGATGGTTTGGCCTGCAGTGCAGCTGGTGAACTTCAAGTTTGTGCCACTGGAGCACAGGGTCCTGGTCGTGAACATAGTATCTTTAGGTGAGTCCTATCGAGCATATTTCCGAGCTGTGCAGCGCATATTAACATCTCTGCAGGCTGGAACTGCTACCTCAGCTTCCTCAACAGTCAGGGAAGTAACCCACAAGCTGAGCCAGTCTATCCTCCAGACGTCTAGGCGACGGTTGATGAATAGACTGCTGTGACTTGGTGGTCTGCGGATGACGGGGTGCTAGGCCACGCGCACCATAAGGACTGGTATGTTCGAGTGCAGCGGACGGCAGCAGCACACCGGCTTTGCTGCAAAGACGATGGCCTGGGTGGGCATTATACCTAAGATCTTGAATTCTTTCTCATTGTCCCTGTGCAAAGTATAGTGCATAACAGCATAGCGGGGGCGTTGGGGATGACTTCATGGCCGTTGAGGTGCCAAATATAGAGGGTTGATTCGATGCAGTACACAACCAATTTTCAGTACAGTATTCGACAAACGTCATGTTCGAAGAGACATCAAACTTCTGTAACCACCGCTTTGACCTCGTCAAAGTATTACTGCTGGTAAAGTGGTCTATATATGTGCTTTGTCACTGCACGGAGGACTTATCATTTTGGAGTCTCCACATCAATCTTGACTTCACGTTCCTTCTAACAACACCATCGACAACCACAATCCATTCATGGTCCAGTAAGCTAGGTGCCTGACGGACGCTTACCGAATTTGACGGTGATCTGACTACCATGATCGATGCGAGTACCTACTTGCGGATGTAATGGCCTCCCTCGACCCATAGACGCGATCAGATATCGCCATGGCAGCTTTCATAGCGTCTGTCTCCCATCGAGAGTACGATATCGAGCATTCGCGACAAGCGCCGCGGCAATGATGGACGAGGACAACCGTACATACGAGGTGAGTACGTTACAGTGTCTTCTGACCGGTTCGCGTGAGATTGACGTGTTGTCAGCGCGCGCTGGCCATTATAGAAAGCCGTCGGCGCCCTCGCAGACCCAGTGCTGCGACGGCATACGTTGATGGTCAAGCCCAGGTTAATGGAGCGAGAAGTGGTGCTACTGCTCTACGAGGCACACCGAGTATTGTCGGGATGAAGGAATGGCTGGAGCAGATCGGGCACTCGGTAGGCATCGACGTTGTGCATTATGTTCCTTGATGCCGTCAAGCACTAACTTATCGCTACGGCATACAGCCGGACAGTCTTACTTCTCTGAAAATCATCCATGTAGCTGGCACAAAAGGCAAAGGCAGCACCTGCGCCTTCACCGAATCAATATTACGTGCTCATGGCAAAAATACTGGTCGCCCTTTCCGGACGGGATTGTACACTCTTCCTCATCTCATCTATCCGGAGGAGAGGATGAGACTTGATTCGATACCCATGAACAGGAGCCTGTTCGCCAAATATTTTTTCGAGCTTTACGACAATACACCACAACTTCATCATTCATTCGACGCCACTAATCCGGATCCTGTCGCTCGCGGGCCACGAAATCTTCAGCTATACTTCCTACTGGCGCTCCATATATTTCTCAGCGAGAAGGTAGATGTAGCCGTTATAGAGACTCATAGCGGTGGTGAGTACGACGCCACGAACTTCATCCTCGCTCCGGTCGTTACAGCTATCACGACATTGGGCATGGACCATATAGCCATGCTAGGGCCTACTATCAAGGACATTGCATGGCACAAATCAGGGATTTTCAAGCCAGGCGCAGTGGCCTTATCTACTGAGCAGGAAGCTGGCGAGGAAGTCATTGTAGTGCTCAGGGAACGAGCCCAGGCTATTGGAGAGGATGTGAGGTTTGTTGGTCAGGACAGCAGACTGCCGGCTGATGCGTCAGCCTTGGAACCAGCAGTACAAAGGAAAAACGCCTCACTTGCTATCTCTGTTGTCGAGGCGTGGCTGAAGCATTCTGGACAGTCTTCCAACAAGGTTCTAAGCAGAGAGGGCATCAAGATGGGCATCGAGCAATGGTCCTGGCCAGGCCGCTTCCAGATCGTGCCAGAAGGGCGGAATACCTGGTTTCTGGATGCAGCACACAACGAAATGAGCATCGGCATAGCGGCACAGTGGTTTGCCGAGTCGTCGAAGAAGATTTTGGAAGACATGCACGCGGAGCCAGTGCGGATATTGATCTTCAGTCATATCAACGAGCTACGTGATCCGCTCGCACTGTTACGAGCACTTGCCTTGGCCTTTGAGGAGCACAAGGCGAACGTCGATCATGTCATCATTACCAGCTACGACTCGCATGGAAAGGAGGATCTCAACAGCAACGTCGGTTTCGTCGCACTCAAGGAGGTATTCAGCAGTATACACCCCAGCACTCGAGTCTGGGATGAACATGCTATCGGCAGCGCTATTCATTTTGCTCGGCGCCTCGGGGAGGAAGCAGACATGCACGCACTCATCACTGGTAGTCAGCACCTGGTTGGCCCTGCATTGCGTATACTGACAGAGGGAGAAGGGAGGACTGTCGGATAGTTATACACATAGAACTTAATACGTACAGGCCCTCATGCTTCCTTGGTAACGCACACAGGATCGTGCACGGTACAAACTCTCGCCCACAGCACTCTTACAAAGCCGCGATAGCCTTTCGCAGGATCTCTAGACTCTTCTCACTGACACCCAAATCCTCCTCATCCGCATCATTGCGATCTTTCACCATCCAGGCAATGTCACTGAGCATACCGAGAGGTAACCACTCGCTCTGCTGAGCCTTCTCCACGCTCTCCTTGATACGACCGGTATGCTCCCAGCTCATGGCCGCCTGCTCAGCAGCCCTAATGACCTTCTCTGGAATACCACACATGGCGGCACAATGCATACCGTAACTGCCCTCGGCCACGCCTTCCTCGAGCTTGTACAAGAACGTGACATCGCGGACGTCGTGCTCGACGCGTACAGCCATACGCTTGGGCGTGATCTGTGGATGGGAAGCGAACTCCGACGCCAGTGAGTGGTAGTGCGTGGCGAAGTACCCGAGGGAGCCGACGTGCGTGGCGATGTGATGTAGCACCGCTTGCGCGACCGCCACGCCATCGTAGCTACTCGTGCCACGACCGAGCTCGTCCAAAATCACCAATGACCGAGGTGTGGCTTCCGACAGAATCTTCTTCGTCTCCGACAATTCGACCATGAAAGTGCTTTGGCCCGCGAAGATGTTGTCGTGGGCGCCGAGGCGAGACATGATGCGATCGACGGGTGTCATGCGTGCGTACTCGCAAGGCACGTAGCAGCCGACTTGGGCCAGGATCACAGCAATGCACGTCATGCGGAGCACGGTCGATTTGCCAGCAGCGTTGGCACCGGTGAGGAGAGTCATTGTAGCCTCGTCGCCACCAAGTGCTATGTCGTTCGGAATGAAGCTGGTCGTGGTCTCGATACATGGGTGCCGAAGCTCAACAAATTGTAGCACGCTAGGTGCATCGTCGTCCTCGATGAATTCGGGACGGCATGATGGCGAGCCGATAGCGCTGGACGCCTTGGCGAGAGAGATGAGGCAATCGAGTTGTGCCACCACCTTGACAGCGGCTAGCCATGTAGTGTAGTGCTCATCGAATCGAGCATAGAAGCGTCCATTGAGTGCCTTTACCACTTGCGCGTGCGATTCTTGAGCTTCTTTGAGATCTTGCACGAGGCCTTCGAGCTCTGGGAAGTACCATCGCTTGACGGCTTTCGTGGCAGAGACCTGCTTCCAGCCCTTCGGGATCGTACCCTTGACCTTCAGCGGCACTTCCAGCTGATAGATCTCCTTGCCATTGTCGGTGAACTTGATCGTGCTGGACCCGAGGTCCTTGCGAGCCTTGTTTAGCAGCTTCTGCAATTCCTTCTCGACATCGTCAATGCGCTCCTGGCTAGCATCGAACTCTTCTTCGACTCCAGGTTGTGGAATAAAGAAGCCTTCTTCCTTGGCTTTTGGTCGGTCAAAAGCATCTTTCCACTCCTCGAGGGCACCTGCCAGGTCAGGCATGGATGTAATAAGCTGACCGAGAACACCTTCTCCAGCCCCAAAGGAGCTAAGCAGCGACATAGTATATTCAATCTGCTCGAAGCCTTCGAGGACCTTGACGAAGTCTTGGGGTCTGCATCTGCCGGCGTGGACGCGCGAGATCAGTCGTTCAAGATCAGGCAGTCGTGATAAAGATGCTGTAAAGCGGTCCATGACAGTGCTATCGGCGTTGAGTGCGTCAACAGCATCGAGCCGCTGATTGATCCTACGAGCATCGGCAAGTGGATGACAGACCCATTGGCGCAGCATGCGCTTGCCGAATGGCGAGATGCAGCGGTTCAGCATTGTGAAGAGAGTGCCTTCTGTGCTACCATCGAATGTGTTGGCGAAGATCTCGAGATTGATAAGTGATTGTCCATCAAGCACGAGACTGGATGCTTTCCGGATCGGGTCATACCAGTTGAAGTTGCCACAAGTGACAAGCTCTCGTTCGATCTTGAGCATGCTAAGGTACCATATCAGTGCGCCCAGAGCCGAGAAAGTAAGCTCCTTATCCCTTGCTTCTCGAAGCGCCGGAGGCCAAGTGTCAACCGAGTCTTCCACTGACTTGTCGAAGTAGCCCTCGCCATCGATCTTCATTCGTGTCTTATCCGCGGTCAAGAACTCCTTGTCTGACTTGAGGTAGTTCCAAATCGTAGTGGGCCCGGTGTTATTCTTGAGTATGCGAAGCGCCTTAGCTGAGATCGCACCTTTCTCCAGCAGAAGCTCGCCGGGTCTAGTCTGTGCGACAAATGTCTCGAAGCGAGTCATATCCGCATCGTCCACTATGTTGGCAAGATGGAACTGTGCTGTAGCAGCATCCACGAACGCGATGCCAAAGCAAGGTCGACCGTCCTTCTCTGTCTCTTTGATGGCTGCGCAATACGTCGCCATGTCGTCCTGAAGCATACCGCCATCGGTCAAGGTACCGGACGTGAGTACGGAAGCGAGTTCACGACGAATGACCTTGTCCTTCTTATCACTCTTCACTGCATCGCTACGTTCTCGCATATCCTTCGCAAGAGCACTCTCCATCTGATCGACACGAGCGATCTTATAGCCTTTAGCCACGAACTGATTTGCCCAGTGGTCGAGGCTGGCTTCTGGTACGCCAACCATGCGCATGTTCACACGATCAGTGAGCTTGAGATCGAAGAGCTGGTGGCCAACGGTAGCGTCGTTTTCGTATAGCTCGTAGAATTTGCCCTTCTTGAAGAAGACAATGGTGTTCCAGAAGTTCTTCTTGATGTCCCAGTACTGCTTCTCGAAGTCGCTAAGCTTGCTTATGGCCATGGGAGGGATGTACAGTGTACGTGGATCGTAATCTGGATGATCAGGAGGATGACGGTCAGCGTCTTGGATATGTGCTAGCCATGGGTGGCGATCTGCTGGGTCTGTGTGATGAGCCTTGGCCTTCTTCCCATCGGCAACGGGTTGTTTCTTTGGTGGTGGCTTGCGACGCTCTGTTGGCGGTGGTGCATCTGGATCGAAGTTCCATTGCTGCGCGGTCGAGACTGTCGGGATCTCTTCGCTCTCCTCGACAGTAAGGGCCGGTGGCGATGCAGGCTTGCTTGAGCTCTTTCGCGAGCCAGACGGCGTCGGTCGTCGTTTAGCTTTCTTAGGCGGCTGCTCTTCATCGTCGTCTGCAACGACGAAATCGTCTATTGCTTCGGCTGACTCGAGTTAGCTGACACTCATATACTGTACTGGACACGACGTGGCACGAGAGAGAGCATTAGGGAGCTTACCATCTTCCTCCTGCTCCATCGCTGCTTGTGTGGCCTCATCAAAACCATACTCATCATCCGACTCGTCTTTGACGCTGATACGACGACGCTTGTTGGCTCGTCCATTGCCGGAGAATGGCTTGAGCACTTCCTCCTCATCTTCACCATCATCTGACTCTGCGTAGTTCACTTGCTTCTTAACCTTACGTGACGGGCTCGAGAACGATGTGCCTGGCGTTTCTGTCAGCTCGTTAGCCTTCCTATCTATCCACGCACACACTTATACACCGTACCGTTCTCCTTGTTCCGCCCATCACCCAACGAGCTTTGAGACGGTCCTGGTGCTGCTGGAGGACTAGAAGATGCTGCGATGCCACTGCTAGGTGCCGGAGTCAGATCGGCACTGGACCTCGGCGGTTTGACTACGCCTGTAATATCTCTCTTCGCCGGAGTGGTAGCGTTGGACTGGCCAGCAGGTCGTTTGGCGAAGAAGCCTGCTATACTTTGCTGCTTCGGTCCTTTGGATGATTGACTGCTTGTTGCCTTCTTCAACGATGTCCGAGGCGTCGCCATCTCGTTCCCTTCAATACCACGAACCATCGTGATGCTCGGCAACGATATAAGACGACGCTTTATAATCTAGAATAGAAGTGAAGTTTTACACGAAGGAAGTCACAAATGAAGGACGCGATGCGCGACGCGGACGCGACAGTGGAAGTGACTTCATCAAGCCAAAGCTTGGGCCGCCATTGTGCTCTCGAGTCCCCTGTCTCCCAATTCTCTCCTACCGCTACATACAGCACCACTATGCGGCCTCATCTGGCTTGCCAGGTCTGCGTAAGACAGCGCGCCATCCGCAGAACACGCTACAGCACGATGCAGGACACTCGTGACTACAATGCTGCCGTGCAGGTACTAAACTCCCTCCAAAGCAATTTCTCCGCCGTCGAAGCCATCCGTAAACAAGGCCCAGGATGGAACAAACGAGCACTTCCAGAGATGCGAGAATGGGTGCGCCGCATAGGCTACGAGGTGTGCCATGCATCTACGCTGGAAGATTTGGGAACTGTAGGCTGATGGTAAGCATAAGCCTTCCGACTTCAATCAACTGAACCTCGTACACATTGCCGGCACCAAAGGCAAAGGCTCTACATCATCTTTCATTTCCTCAATCCTATCCCAGTATCTACCCACTAAGCGTAGTATACATGCCGAGCGGCTACCGACCAGTGTGGGTCTGTATACTTCGCCACACCTGCGGTTCGTGCGAGAACGAATACAGATCAACAACAGCCCAATCTCAGAGGAAACGTTCGCGAAGTACTTCTGGCAAGTATGGGACAGGCTGGAAAGCTCGTCGCCAAGAGCAGTCGGAGGCGAAGAACCACGAAACGTCATGGGAAAGCCGGTTTACTTCCACTACCTGACCCTAGTGGCGCTGCACTGCTACATGCAGGAGAAAGTCGGCACCGCAGTGATCGAATGTGGCGTTGGCGGCGAGTACGACACGACTAACATTCTCGAAAGACCTCTAACGACGGGCATCACGAGTCTGGGGATCGACCATGTAGCCATGTTAGGTGACACCATTGAGTCGATAGCTTGGCACAAAGGCGGCATATTTAAACCAGACGTGCCTGCTTTTACCGCACCGCAACCCGACAGCGCGCTAGATGTACTTCGAAAACGAGCGAGGGAATGCAACACCGAACTCCGCGTCGTCCCTGAGCATCCTGCACTTCGTGATACCAAGCTGGGTCTACAGGGCGACTTTCAGCGCATCAATGCTTCGCTGGCGATCGCCATCTGTGCCTCGCATCTATCCCGGCTTGGACTACTGAAGGCAGAGACAGCACTGGACTTCGCGTCCGAGCTACCAGCTGAGTTCGTGAAAGGACTAGAAATTGCACGCCTCGGTGGTCGCTGCGAGGAGCGCCGAGACAGTCGCCAGAATGATTTAACATGGTACATCGACGGTGGCCATACTCTTGAGAGCATCGAGCTAGCAGGCAAATGGTTCGCCTCAGCCACCGAGGCCAGAGACCGCGGTACTTCTCGCATCCTAATCTTCAACCAGCAGACGCGAGATGCTCCAGCACTAGCTAGACGCTTGCATGCCACACTCGCGACAGCTACAGGCAACGACCGACCTTTCCAGCACGCCATCTTCTGTACGAACACCACGTACGAGTCTGCAGGCTACAAAGCCGATCTCGTATCTATGAATACCAGCCAAGAGGATGTGGACAGTCTGAAAGTGCAGAAGGAGCTTGCGGAAGCCTACAAGACTATTGATGCCAGTGCTGAAGTGCATGTCCTTGGCACTATCGAGGCAGCGGTAGCTTGCGCTCGACAGCTTGCTGGTGGAGAGCCGGCGCATGTCATGGTCACTGGTAGTCTGCACCTGGTAGGCGGTCTGATCGAGGTCCTCGAAGGCGAAAGCGAGGAGGAAAGTAGTAACCTGTAGACCGTCTCAACTTACATATGTCGCTTAGTCAAAGACCATGGCCTCATCCGCCTGTCGCTGGGTATATCCCAAATCCACTCTAACACCGAAAACAAACCCACCCCCCAAAAACGCCAGCCCATAGCATCCCCATCTCCAACCATCCCCGCTCTGTCCCACCAATCCCCAAAAGCCTCAACCCTGCATCCCCATCCCCCCCTCAAAAACCCCCCCAACCTCCTCCCTCAAACCCTCCATCTCCTCCGGCCTCATAGCCCTAACACTCTCATCCAAATCCTTCACCGCACTCTCCAACCCAGCCATCAACCCCGCAATCTCCCCCCTCTGCCGCTGCACCCTAGCCAAAACCTCCACATTCTCGCTCGAGACGTCCGATTGCCGTGTACTGATCTCAGACGAGTACTGCTGTAATTGCGGTGCCAAATGCGAAAGATAGAGTTGTGAGGGAGGGAGGGTATGCGGCCTACAACACACTCACCATCAGTCAGTACCAGTACCACACACAACATCCAATCCACACAGAAACCCCCATGGGAAAAAAATAGACGACTCACGCAACCACCTCCCCTTCCCCCACCCCTCTCGCCCTCCGCCGTCTCGCCTCCTCAACAAGCCCATCCAACTCATTCAACCTCCCCACCACCCCCCTCTCCTCAACCAACTCCTCAAAACACCCCCCCAACTGCTCCCCCAATTTCGCCGTGAACTGCTCATGCAACTGCCTCATAGCCTCCGGCACATGGCGCGAAGGCGTCGGGAAACAGGCGGAGAAATTCGCCAGAGAACAAGTCTTTAATACATGCGCTATGGCGTCCGAGTAGAGTTTATGCAGGGCGGTGGCGCGAGGGCCGGGGGTGAGTGCTGTGGGAGGGGGTGGGAGGGGGGAGGGCGAGCGAGTGCGTGTTTCGTCTGCTGGTGGTGGTGGTGGTGCTGCTGTTGTCTCGGCCATGCTGAGATTGGAAAGAGGACGGTCGATAAGTGAGGTGAGGTAAAGGTTGCTGGTGTCTGGAGTCAGTTTGTGAAATGTCGCGTCGCGAAGCGAGATGTTGTCAAACTACTGCCGCATTGGGAAGAGTCGCGATGCGGGGTGTCGATGTTTTTTTTTGGTGGTGAAGACGAGATACTTTTTCACGTAGGACTGTCGTACACTTTCTGCGAGGCCGGTCCGCGAGAAAGGAAAGCTCTATATAGTAAACATGTGTACCCCAGCCATTACCGGATTCTAACTTGAACATGCGCCAGACACGACACACGCACACCAACGCTAAAAAGGGTATCTTATTCCCCCTCCCCTCCCGTCTCGCCCTTGAATCAAATGTATCGTTCGTGGAACAGCATAGCAAGCAGCATACATCATCATCGTGATCACATCACACACACACCCTCACACACACCCTCCTTCCCTCCCTCTCTCTCTCTCGCCTCAACCCCCAAGCGTCCCTTTTCCCCCTCACCCTTCTTCCTCAGTACTAGTCACGCTCTCCGCAAAACTCACATCCCCATCCCCATCCCCATCCGTCGTACTAGCATCCGTAATACTAGCATCCGTCAAACTCCCATTAACCCTATGTCCACCCAACTTCTTCCCACCACCACCATTCAGTGCACTATCAAGCGGAGCCTTCTTCAGCTCCAACCCGGGCGTCTCGGGCGCACTAGCCAATCCTCCACCACCGTCCATACCCTGCTGCTGTTGCTGCTGTGAGTGTTGAGTATGATGCTGCCCAGCATACTGCGCCCAAATACCACTATCGTCGCTGCCAACACGGGTATGATGACGTCGACCATCAAGACTCTCATTCGTAGCCGCCGGTCCAAGATCCAACGCACTACTCCTCCCCACCCCCCCACCACCACCACCCACACTCGCGCCATCCATCCCCGTCGGCCCTTGCGGACTCATGAACGGACTCCCCCCGCCCTCCTGCCCCACCATCTCCGGACTCTTCGCCATGCGCTGGACCTCCTTCCTCAAACTCTCCAACTCCTTCTCCATCCTCTTCCCAAAAACATCAATATAATATGTCGCTCCATTCCAACTCGCCCACGTGAAAACGATCATCATGAACCCCGCCGACGCCCATCGGTACCAGAACCAGATCGGACAGGGCATCATGGTCATGATGGCGTAGGTATACTGGATGCCCATGAAGACATATTCCTGGAAATTCTCCGGAAAGCTCAGGACGAATTTGCCGAGGAAATTCCCGCGATAGCTTCGGCGGAGCCAGGAGAAGGAGGTTGGGCGTCCCGCGGCGATTTTGCTCCGTTTGCGGACGGTGATGAGGAAGTGGTAGCTTAGTTGCCAGACGGCGTAGGGGAGCGTGGCCCAGATCATCATATCCCAGAGGCTGTAGTGTTCCGGGGCGCCGGGGAGGGAGTATTTGATTGTGTGGATTGCGGGGAAGTGCTCGAGTTGCATTGATTCGGGGATGAGATGGACGAGGACGTGGAGGGTGGCGCAGGGCATGATGTGGATGAAGAGGCTGTGATGGAATGTCAGTATGTGTCTGAGTGAACGATCTCGAGTTATGGTGATCACTCACGTTGTCGTCTATACACACAGACAAGGTACGTGGTTAGCAGAGACTCTGGAATGTGGGGAGACGCACGATGTTACCTTGTCTAGACTGTGGAATACCAAGCTGTTCCGCCAGAATGCTATCGCCACTGCATTATTGCCAAAGGCCAAGCAGTATGTGCTGATGAAGAGGCGTTTTGATTGAGGGAAGAACCAGATGGCGAGGATGAGTAACAGGTTGACGAAGTAGCAGAGGTCGGCTAGGAAGTAGTGGAAGCCGATTTTTTGGTAGCTATACCATCGCAGGGGCATGAAGTAGCTGAGAAGATTCAGTACAAGTGCAGGAAAAAGTGAAGTTTTGCACTCACGCAAGCTGTAACGAGTACCAGTAGTGGAAGTACTGCGGATATGCACCAATCATGTATGCGGAGATGAAGATGTTCAGCACGGCGGTCACAAAAGATATCTTCTCCTTCAAAGTCACAGTCTTGGCATCAGTCCATCGTCTGCCCAGTCTGTCCACCGACTCTCGCATGCGCTTTCGATACTTGTCGAGTTGTTCTTCGGGTCGCACTTTGACTCTCTTCCGCCACTCTTCCACCAAATTGTTCTTGCTTGACAACGCCCTCGAGGCCAGCTTGGCGCGTTGCCTTCGCACCTTCTCGGCCTGGTTGTGCACTACATTCTGCATCTTCTCCAGTCGTTGTGGTAGCGCGAGGTTCTCCAGTATGTCGAACATGGTCAGGCGATCGACGGGAGGAAAGTCGTTGTTGCCAAAGGCGTCAAAGTTGCTGAGCTCCGTTTGACTCGAGCTCCGGGTGAGGCCAGGTGTCGAGGGTGTGTTGTAGCCGTTTGTATTAGTCGATATGACAGACAGGTAGTCTACTGCCTCGCCATCGTTGTAGGGGGTCTGGAGATAGCTGCTCCGCTTCGAGTCCATCGAGTATCGCTTCGCACTTTCCTCCTTGGCCGGGCCCATCTGGTCGACGTCACCCGGCATGGACCGCGACTTGGAGATCTTGGGCTGGGGATCCATTATATCGTCCATCTTCGCGAAGCTCTCCAGCTCAGCCTCGGAAAAGCCGTCCTCGTCCTCGTCCCCGTATTCGTCCTCCTCTGGTACGATATCCAAATAGCTTGATCCACGTCCAGCGTAGAAGGGACTGCGCAGCTTTGAATTCACGGTGAGACTAGTGGCGCCTGACATGTCCGAGGCGAGGTCATCAGCATGGCGTGGGGAGTGTGGTCAGAGGTAGAGGTAGAGGTAGAGGTGAGACGGTGCTGGGTGGTATCACGTGGAGCTAAGGTTTCAGGTACGGAAGGGCGATGTAGCCTCTCTGCTGCCTCGTGCTTGCCTTGCCAGTGGATAGTAGGTAGTGGTGGTGGTGAGAGAGCAACTTACAGAAGAAAGAGCGAATGTGTCAAACCACGTTTGCGGTGCGACGACGACGACAGCGATCAGCACGGCAGAGTATTGATTGACTGCACTGCACTGCACACTACTACTACTGCAAGCCGTCCAGAGGAGCGAACAGGCGTGGCTTCATGCGCCATGTGATTGGCTCTGGTCGTGCGTCATGACGGATCTATTCCGCTTGCGCGACATGAGAACGACGCGTCTAGCTAGCAACGCGTTAGAACATGCCACAATTTGACTGACCCCAACATCTGTCGCATACCATTGCAACGCTACCACCGTCCGAGATCAAGTCCCGGGATCTCGCAACGATGGGCAAGCTCAAGGAGCTGGTGCTCAACAACTTCAAAAGCTACAAAGGCCACCACGTCTTGCAGTTCGGCGACAGCTACTTCACTTCCATCATTGGGCCCAATGGATCGGGCAAATCAAACTCCATGGACGCCATCTCCTTCGTACTCGGCATCAAGTCTTCACACCTGCGATCGACGCATCTCAAAGACTTGGTGTATCGTGGTCGCGTGCTGAAGCACTCTAAAATCAACGCTGACGGGACTGCGACTAATGGCGATGCGAATGGTGACGCCAACGGTCATGCCGAGGCCGGCGCATCCGACGAGGAGGAAGATGCCGAGACGCAAACGAGTACGCAGCGTACTGATCCGTCATCGGCGTGGGTCATGGCTGTCTTCGAAGACGATGCTGGAGAAGAGCAGCGTTGGAAGCGCAGCATCACATCAAATGGCCAGAGCGAGTATCGGATCAATAATAAAGTGGTGACCGCCAAGCAGTATAATGAAGCTCTGGAAGCGGAGAACATCCTGATCAAGGCTCGCAACTTTCTAGTCTTCCAGGGTGACGTCGAGTCAATCGCCAACCAGAATCCAAAAGACCTCACGCGTCTCATCGAGCAGATCAGCGGCTCCCTCGAGTACAAAGCGGACTATGAGAGACTAAAGGCAGAGAAGGAGAAGGCCGATGAGGATCAGCAACACAAGCTCCACCAGCGTCGCGGTATCAATGGCGAGATCAAGCAGTATCAGCAGCAGAAGGAGGAGCTTGTTCGCTATCAGAACTTAGAGGATGAGAAGGATGCGGCGGTTGTGAACCAAATCTTGTGGAAGCTCTACCATTTCCAGCGCATCATCGACAATAGCACCGAGCAGATTCAGAAGCACCAGGCTGAGCTCAAAGAGTTCCGACGCACAGTACAAAAGTACGACGACCAATTGGATAAGGCCAAGCAGGAGCAAGCGAAGGTCGGTCGCGATGTCAGCAAGGTCGAGCGCGACGTCAAGCGAAAGGAGAAGGCATTTGAGGAGACAGCCAACGATCTCGTGCCGATTGATGAGAAGATCTCTTTGACCGACAAGAAGCTCAAACAAGCGCAGCGTAGTGAAGCGGAAATCAAGAGGGATCGCGATAATCAAAAAGAGACTGCAGACAAGTATGAAGCTGATCTCGCAAAAGTACAGAAGGCGCAGAAGAGGTGGGACGACGAGTGGCGCGCTCAGCAGCAGCAATCTGGTCGTGACTTGAGCGAGCAGGATCTGCAGGAGTACCAACGTCTACGTGGCGAAGTATACAAGCGATCTGGCAGTGATCAGATGAAGGTTGACAATACATCGCTACAGCTCAAGACAGACGAGGAGACGATCAATAGCCAGAAGTCGAAGGTCGAAAGTACGCAGGCCCACATTGACACACTGGATGCCGAGATCGCAAGCCTCAATCAGCGCAAGTCAGACGTTGCAAAGTCTGTCAAGACTACGACCAAGGAGATTGATGCCAAGAAGAAAGCGATCAACGCGACTGCAAGCGAGCGCGAGAGAACGTCTCAGAAGCACCGCGAGCTGGACGAGAAGCTGTACGAAGTACTGCAGAAGTTGTCACAAGCTCAAGACTTCGAACGAGAGTCTCGCAAAGATGCACAACAGCGCGAGACCGTGGCTCAGCTCAAACGCATCTTTCCCGGCGTCAAAGGGATGATTCATCAGCTCTGCAAGCCTAAGCAGAAGAAGTACGAACATGCTGTCGTCACGGCACTAGGTCGAGAGTGGGATTCAGTCGTGGTCGAGTCGCACAAGATCGCACAGGACTGCATGGCATACCTGCGTGACCAACGTATCGCTCAGGTCAGGTTCATCCCGCTGGACACCATCATCCACCAACAGCCGAATGCAAATCTCCGTGGTCTGCACACGGGCATGCGGCTGGCCATCGACACCATCGACTTCGACAATAATGTCGAGAGGGCCATGCACTTCGCCTGCGAGAACGCCATTGTCACTGATACCATGAAGATTGCCAAACACCTCTGCTATGAGCGCAAGCTCGAAGTCAAGGCCGTGGCGCTTGACGGTACCGTCATCCATAAAGGTGGCAATATGACTGGTGGTCAGGAGCCAAGTGATAAGAAGCGTCGTTTTGAGGAGGCTGAGGTTGACAACCTACGTACCCTAGTCGATAAGTTCCGCGGCGACATCGAAGCCCTTCCCAAGCCACAGAAGCGTCAAGCTGAGCAGGAGCAACTGCAGTCCGAGCTCAGCGGTCTAGAGTTGAAGCTGAAGTATGATCAGGAAGAACTGAAGACACTCGAGCGCAACATCGAGTCGAAGACCAGAGAGCTTGACCACGAACACGCACAGCTAGCTGAGGCTCAGCCAAAATTCGACGAGCAGTCGCGTGGCCTCGAGACCCTCAAAGCGCAGCTGGAGGAGTACACTTCCTCCATCGCGGAGGTGGAGGACGAGGTGTTCGATGCTTTCTGCAGTCGTCTGGGGTACCAGAGTATACGCGACTACGAGAAGCAGCATGGGTCTCAGCAGCAAGAGGCTGAGGAGAAGCGGAATCAGTTCATTCGGCAAATTTCACGCTTGAACAACAGTATTTCGTTTGAGAAGCAGCGACTGGAAGCTACGGAGAAGCGGCTGCGGCAGGCTCAGGACACTATTCAACGTTCGAAAGATGCCATCGAGCAATTGCAGCAGGAGAAGGAAGTGATTGCTGGCGAGATGGACGTCCTCAGCGCGGAGATTGATCAGCTGAGCCAGCAGCTTTCCGCTTTACGTGAGGAATCCGAGGCTCGTGGCGAAAAGGTCAACGAAGCTCGTCGTGAAGTGCAGAAGCGGAGCAAGTCGGTCGAGAAGACGTTGAAGGAAGTCGCTGCACATGAAGCAGAAGTGCAAAAGGCATCAGCTGGTCGATATGGTGTGCTCAAGACCTGCAAACTCGAAGGTATCGACCTGCCACTCGCGCAAGGGAGCCGCAAACCCGACGCCCTCCCGGCCGAAGATGCCATCGTAGCCGAAGACGAAGACGCCATGGACGTCGACGGCGAAGAACGCGCCCCAGCAGCAAACGACTTCGGCATCCACCTCGACTTCACCGACCTCGACGACGACCTGAAAGAAGACCCCAGCTCCCAAGCGGACACCCTGCTAACCGAAAAAATCACCTCCCTAACTGACTCCCTCACCAAAATGACAGTCAACACCCGCTCCGCCGACAAATTATCCGCCACCTCCGACCGCCTCAAAGCGACCGAACGCAGCTTCACCACCTCCCGCACCGCCGCCAAACACGCCACCGCCGCCTTCGAAGCCGTGAAGGAAACCCGTCTAGCCTTATTCCAAAAGGCCTTCGTCCACATCGCCGCCCAAATCCAACCTGTATACCGCGATCTCACGAAAACTACCACCTTTCCGTTGGGAGGGCAAGCGAGTCTCGACCTCGAAGACGACGAGGAGCCTTATCTGCAGGGGATAAAATACCACGCCATGCCGCCCCTGAAACGCTTCCGCGACATGGAGCATTTGTCCGGCGGGGAGAAAACCATGGCTGCTCTCGCCCTCCTCTTCGCTGTGCATACGTTCGCGCCAAGCCCCTTTTTTGTCCTGGATGAGGTGGATGCCGCGTTGGATAATGCGAATACGTGGCAGCTGGCGCAGTATGTGCGGGAGCATGCGGGGCCGGGGATGCAGTTTGTGGTTATTTCATTGAAGACGGGCTTGTTTCAGTGTTCGGAGACGTTGGTGGGGGTTATGCGGGATCAAGGGGGGAATAGTTCGAGGGCTTTGACGTTGGATGTGAGTTATTTCACCCATCATTCCTTCCGTTTTGTTGTGCTGGGAAGTTTTTATGCTGATGATTTTGATTTTTTTTGTGTCCTGCAGTTGCGGAAGTACCAGGCCGTCTGAGCAGAAAGCTACCTCGGATCGCTCAAAAGGAAAGGGGGAAAGGCCTCGCTTGTGCTTATCCTACCGCCCATTTTGCCGATCTTTTTTTTTTCCGATCCACGACTTGCTTGCTTGCTTGCTTGCTCGCGTCGCAGGACGTTTGAGAATATGGGGCAATCGAAGGACCTACCGCATGAATCATGGCTGTGTCGGCGTGCTCTTAGCCGAGGAAGACTTCGGGACGTGGTAGTTCGACCAGCGGCGATCGCGCATCTCTATCTATCTTAGCATCTTAACTCGTATTCGTCTCATGCCATTTTAAGGCATGCGTTCGCTTCGAAAGCTATTACTTGGGCGGTACTTCGCCCAGACCCGCACCCGAACCCCGTTCGTTCTGTGAGGTGCCATTTCCCAATCCGTGACCTCGACGTGTCGTTCGGCGAGACGGGGTGCTGTAATGGTTTCGCTCGTTCGGCTATGGATTATGTTTCGTTCGATCGTCGTCGGGGGTTGAGGTTGGCGCATGGTTCTTGTGGTCACGGAAAATTGGATATACTGACTATCAAAAGGATATAGTACAAGGTGTCTAATCTATACAGCGGCTCGCTCTACAGCGTCTCTATGGACTCACTCTCTACCCACCGTCCTTCCTCCTATCCCGCGGGGTAGAAGTCGTGGAGTCCTGCCATTCTAAAAACTTGACCTTTCCCACCCTGGACGACGGATTCAACGAAGCGGACAACGGTCGCGATGGACCGCGTACGGTGGGGGCAAGCCAATCCTCGTGCTTTTGGTAGAGTGTGGTTCGGAGGAGGAATTGGGGGACCGAGGGGGTGGGGGTGGGTGGGGCTTGAGGTCCCCACGTCTCGTATCGTCGTCTAGCCCAGAACAGAGGCGAAGTACGAGTCCCAAGCCGAGCATCCGCAAGCCTTGCCAACACTTCCACTATCAGATGATGGAGGCCTGTTTGTCCTTGTTTGACAGGACAGCGGGGTAGGTCGTCGGCCTTTTGGTGCCGTCCGGGTTGATGCATGGTGGTTACCGAGTCCATCTTATCTGAATTTGGCAGGGCGGAGATAGTCCAGTAGCTCGCTTGGCCATAGTAAGGGAATTCGGGCGATCAGCTGGACTTGTAGCTGAAGGCTCTTGCAGCTTCCCTTGCAGCCGGAGGATATGGATCGTGGGCCTTGATTCCTGCAGCCGGCAGTCCTTGATCCCACGTTTCCAGCATGGTAGAAACGTATCCCTCCATCGAGCAGCATAATCACACCGGTCCATATTCGTCTCCAGCGGCCTTCATGCTGATGTACACGGCAGGCAAGCCATCTCATAATCCCTCCTTCTCACTGGAGTACAACGTCCTCACCAAATCCGACACAACGCCATCCCCCCCACCCTCCTCTCAACACACTCCCTAGCATCCAACACGCCTCGATCCGTACTAACAACCAATACCTCCCCCACCCTCCCCAGCCCCCTGACCTCCCCCGCCGCACCTCCCCTGACCACCCGTCCCAAATCCCCACTATCCAACCAGATCCTCTTCGTCGGCTTCGACACCATCCTCGCTTTACTCAACACGGGCATGCCATCCCAGTACTTCAATCCCAACCATAACCGTCTCGAGGCCCGGTTCGCGCGCGTGATATCGTGTTCGCTTTCGTAGGCTTCGGGGTCCCGGTAGGCCGGCGGGAGGGTGGTGATGGGCTGGGAGGGGATGGTGAGGCCCATTGTTTGCAGGGTTATGCCGTCTTGTTCCAGATGTCGCGGGGTGGTGTGTTGGGCTGGGCCGGCGAAGTAGGCTAGGACTTCTCTTGGGAATCCAGTTTTGCGGAGGTGCAGGCGGAGGCGTTGTTCGATCTGCACGGGGGTTAGGCTTTCTTCCGCGATGCTTTCGCGGGCCAGTTGGGCGCGGACGGAGAGCATGGCGGTGGGAATGTTGTGGGTGTGGAGGATTGTCTGGGCCACGGTGTCGAAGCCTTCGGAGGTTAGTTGATCCGTGGATTTGCTGCCGTGCTCGAGGATGAAGTTGATGGCGTGTGTATCCCAGCCGTCCCGGGCTAGTTGCTCGGCGGTGAGCAGACTATGCTCGACAGCAAAGTCAATAGAGTCCCGTCCGAACCCCTCCCGCTGCAAATCCTCGGCTGATTTCCGCGAATGCACCATCTCATGCAACGCCGCTTCGTGTGAATACGGATCCCGATCCCGATGTGGCGCGCTCGTTATACGGTGATTATCTGGTATCGATGCGGGAAAGGCGGATGCGGGCGGTGCTGCGCCTCCAAGCTTGACGTGAGAGATGAAGCCTTGTTTGTGGAGGAGTAGGGCGAGGGAGAGGTGCAGTCTGGTGTAGGGGATTGACGTCAGGCCGAGGCGAGCGAGGGAGGCATTTTGGAGGTGCGAGCAGACGTGCGAGAGGTTGACGAGCGACATGGTCGGTGTCGATGTCTTGGGCCAGTATTCCGTGGAGCACGTGCACCTTGTGCGCCTTGTGCACCTTGTATCCTCGAATTGTCTACAGTGAATGCTTTCGGAGGTGTATACAGTATCCATCTTTCGCCGCACCTTCTCCATTCGGATCAGGTCTTGGTTCGGTTCCGATTGGATGGTTACGCGCTTCACGCCCACTTCTCAGCCGCCCAGACAGCTGCAGCTCAGAGTCGACAGGCTGGCATCTGAGTCTCTGACAGAGCACCAGCACAGTAGTAGTGTAGAGAAAGTGGTAGTTGGTAGTTGGTAGTTGAGTATACTGTACGTCTTGTTCTCGCCCCATCACATCTTTTTTCAACTCTCCTGCACCACCCAACTCCACCTTTGCCCGACCTCGAGAGACGATCGAGCAGCAGCAGCACGTCTACGCTGGAACTGTGTAGAGCTCGCCATTGGAGGCGGCACAATATCTTGACAGAACTGCGAACATGCCGGCCGGACCTGGTGAGACGCTGTTGACTACACTGTGAGCTCCAATCCTCCACGAGACCAGACGGCACCAGCCTCAGTCTAACCCTGCCTAAGCTTCGCAGACGTTCGTTATCACCTCGTCGATCCTGCCGCAAGACCGCAGCATGACCGCTTCGCCAAGGGAAGCTACTTGTACATCTACCACAACCCAACCACACAGCAAGCGAAGCTCGAAGTGGCGAATCATGCTGGGACGTCGGAGCAGGATGCCTTTGCGGGATACCTCGGTGCTGCGAGCGTGGAGTACAGCTACAATCATCCCACTCTCCTGACCATCGCTGTAGATACACAGGCGCAGGATCCAGGACAGTGGCGATTACCAGCTTACGATCTACGACATGAGCAGAAGTATATGTATCAATTGCATAGTTTGGACTTTTATCTGTGGACTGAGAAGGATGCTACGACTCTGCTTGGACACCTCAAGGCGGTAATACCTGGGCATAAGTTGGCTATCCGAGACGCTCCTTCAGGTGTCTCGCCACGCTCATCCTTACCTGCCGAGCACCGAGACAGTATGAGTCCCGTGGTGCAACAGCTGGAGAAGACAGCGATTGGGACCTATTTCCCCAGAGCCGGAAGCACAGTCTCAGCGCAAAGTATACCTGGCCCACCAACTCCAGGCACGAACGCTACAGCGAGTCCACAACTCACTGCGCCTCAACCTATCGCGGCAGCAATGGGAGGCTACAACCCCGCCGCTCCTTCCGCACCAGAACCAGTAATGTACAGGGAGAAGACTCCACCTCCGCTGGACGATGGAACAGGGATGGGTCTGAACAACGCCGCCAGATATGACAACATCTCTCAACCCCAGTACGCATCCGTACCGCCCGGCTACCAGCAAAACTCGAACCAGCCGACACCACAAGGAGCCTATTTCATCGGTGCGCCACAACAACAACAACAACAACAACAACAACAACAACAACCGCCTACCCCCGGCTTCCCAGGCCCACCACAAGCCACACCCCCAAACATCCAGCGTACATTCTCCGGCGGCCTCCCACCACCACCTCCACCCTCCGGCGGGCCGTCACCACAACCTCAGTCTCAGCAACAGCAACAGCAACACTACCCCTCCTCCTTCAGCCACCAACCCACCTCCCCAACCCCAAATCAACAGAACTTCCACCACCACCACCCCCAGCCCTCCTTCGGCGGTGGTGGCCCTCCAGGCCAAACACAATACGCCACCTTCGCCCAACAAGCCCAATATACCGGCCAGCAACAAGACCCAGGTACCCCAAGTTTCGGCCCCTACGCCGCCGCATCCCCCGGAATCCCACCGCAAGCAGCGGGATACCAGTCCATGCAACCGCAACCGCAACCGCCTACCCCTTCGGCACCTCCGGCTTATGCGGGACATACGCCTCTGCAATCGCCTGGGTTGCCTGGTCCGCCGCCACCACAGATAGCGGGACAGCAACAACAGCAACAACAGCAACAGGTCTTCGGCTATAGTTCCTACACCTACACCCCCTCCTCCAACTCTTACGCAGCGAGCCAGCATCTTACGCAGCAAGGGGCGTATACAGGGGATATTCACTCCCAGGTCTACAGGCCGAATGAGGGGGAGGCGAATACGCACGATCATCATGGTGGTGGTGGGCATGGTTCGAGACCGCAGGGTGCGGGGAGGCAGGGGAGCGGGAGTACGGGGGGAGGTGGAGGGCAGGTGAGGTTGGAGGAGAGGGTGAGTGGGATTGATAAGAGGGTGGGGGGGTTCTTGAAGCGGTTGGATAAATTGATCTGAGACTACGGACCCAGGATTTATGGTGGCCAAACCCCTCGAACGGACTATATCACGCCTGCCCTGATCTCCTCCCCAAGAACACTCTGCAGCTGGCGGATGAAATCGAGGAGGAGAAGGAGAAGAAGAAGAAGAAGGA